TATTTTATGCCTAATAAGGTTGAAATAAGCTATACTTAGGTGCTTTAGACCTTTTTTGATTAGCTAAATCTCTTATCTAAATCTGATTTTCGTCCGATTTTGGTAACTGATCTCGAATTAGCTTTAATAAATACGATATATAGTATCTAGGGGTATTATACCCTATTATATATTTGGTATATTAATAAAGTAGTTTTAGCGAGGGCAAAACGAGATATCAGCTAATTAGACGAAAATACTATTAGTATAAATATATATAAATTAGTTATTATTTCTAAAATCTAAGAATATCTTTTATTACTAGAATATCTAGTAATAGATTATAAAAGGGTTTTTTATCTTATTTATCTTAAAGAGAACCTTTTTAAAGAACGGGAATAAGATTAATAAAATATAAATAAAGTATCTATTAAGCTTATATCTAAGATATATTAAATAGAGGTTTAATATATACTAAATATATATTTATTTAGATATTTAGTATTATTAGTAAATCTATCTAGAATTAATTATTTTATTATTTTTATATAATCGGATTAATCTATAAATTTTCTACTAATTTTAAACCTAAGTATCTTAAATACTATCTTTTACTTTTTAATAAGATATTAAATATATAATTAAAGAGTAAGTTTTTTATATACTAGATATATATTATATATAGTACTAAAATATCCTTTCTATAGATATTATTAGGCTTTTCGACGAAATTAAGATAAAGATAATAGCCTTTATAAATATTAGGATAGAAGCTAATAAATATATTATAAATAGCTACTATTAATTTAGATAGTAGATAAGGTATATTTTACTTTTAATTATTCTATATTCTTACTAACTTTTTCTAGATTACTTAGTTAGATTATCTAAATCCAGCACTAACTTAGAAATAATATAAAGTTTAGTTAGTCCTATATATTATTACTAGAATTGATATCCTATTCTTAAAGATTCTTTATAATAAAGATAGGTTAAAAAAGACTAGTATCTAGGATTATAATTACTATTTTCTTCTTTACTAAAGATAGTACTTAAAATATTAATATAGTATATTATATATATATTTAATATATATATAAAATATTATTAAAATATTTTATACTAATATTTTTCTTAGACTCTATTTATTTTAGAGGCCTAGGATATATAATCTCTTATTAATATAAGGTTAAGTTTAGTCTTTTTATTCTATATTCTTAGGATCGATTTCTTTTTATTCTTTTTATCGCTCGGGGTAATTATATCTATTTTCTATCTCTACTAATAAAGATATTACTAGAGATTAGATCTTAGATTACGAATCTTATTTTAAAGTATAAACTTCTAGAATTAACTATCTAAAAATTTATATTTTCGCTAAAATTTAGTTAGCGTATTAAAAAGTATAAAATATTAGCTTTATATTATATTTATTAGAGTTTAAATATTAAGAATAGAGTTATTACTTTAATTTATAAATAGCGGCTATTAGCCTATCCTAAAAATATAAGCTTAGTAGATATATAGTGTAAATATCTTTTTAATTAAGTAAAACTAAATAATAAATAATAGATTTATAATATCTACTTCTTTAATAAGGATTATTAACTTTATTTTATTATATACTATATATATATATAGACTAAGCTTTTTTAAAGAGTATAGTATATTAAAATAGATCTTATATTTAAGATAGTCTAAAGAGAAATAAGAGTATTCTTAATTACTATAATTAACTTTTTAATAAAAAATAAGTTTTTATATTTTTTTATAAAAACTATATTATATTTATTAATAAAATTATAGAGATTAATATATATACTTATACTTTTATTAATTATAAAACGCGTGAATTATATTATATTTTTTAAGAGGATCTTTAAAGTCTTAGAGGACATTAAGAGGAAAGAAGTCTAATAGATATATTAGAGTTATAATTCTAATATTATTAAAGGAATCTATACTATTATAGTTAATATATATAAAAAATAGGCTTTAGATATATATTTAATATATATTAAACTTATTTCTTTACTAGTTTTTGAATATAGGGCTTAGAGACTATTTTATTAGACTTAATCCTCGCTAGATATAATTAGAATATCTTTAATATATATTAATTTTTTATTAAACCTATATTAAATATATTTTTTGTAAAAAGTTTAGTGATTATCCTATTACTATAATAATTAACTATATCTAGAAAGTAGATTTAAAGTAGGCTATTCTAAGCCTAATAAATAAGATGATTTTATAGTTTCCCGATATAGAAAATTAGGTTAAAAATAAATAAATTAATTAGATTCTCTCTAGTATTATATCTAAGGTATCTAAGATTCTTATTGACTAGTAGATTTAAGCCTTTTATTATATAGAGATCTACAAGAGTAATTATTTTATTAATAATAAAGTTATTAATTGAAAATAGGTATTTTTTATAATAATTCTAAGATATTTTTTATATTCTTTTTTAAGAAATATTACTAATACTATCTTAGGACGAAAGGATATATTTATAAGATATTTTAAAAGAATAAATTCAAGATTTAGTATAGGATTAATTCTACCTAGTATTTAAATAATATTATAATCTATATAGTAAAGTAGAATTAAAAAAAGGGTTAATAACTATATAAAATATATATTAAATATATATTAATCTTAATCTAAATAAATATCGTTAGATTATTACGCTTCGACAAAAAAGAAATCTAGTATAAGTTTAAGATATTACGAACCTATATAAAAATAATAAAGAGGATACTTTATCTATCTAGGATTTAATATAATTAATACCTTAAACTAATACCCTAGAGACTCAAGGATCGCTAATACTAAATATATAAACTATACTAAATATAAGAATACGATCTTTATAAATAAGAGCTAGTATATTAGTTTTATCTTAATAATATATTTAGTTATATATTTTACGTCTACGAGTAAGCTTACCGGCTCTAAGATCTACTATCGAAGGTTAATTATAATCTTAGCTTAAAGCCCTTCAAGCTAAAATTAACTATTTATAGAGGTTAAATTAAATTAAGGAGCTAGAGAGATAAAAAAAGGAGTTACTTAGGAGTTTAGCTTAATTATAAATTATTTTTTATGTATTTTCCATATATAAGAAATATAAGTTCGATATATATTTAGTATATATTAAATATATAAATAATATAATATAGAATAAAATTATACTATATAATATCTAATTTTTTTATTAGAAATATTTTAAAAAAAAATTAAAATAAAAAAAATTCCAGCGATTTAGGTATATATTCTATATATAATCTACGTGTATTATTAACTATTATAATCTATATATAAACTCCCTTATATCTAGGAGTCTATCGATTTAAGTCCCTCCTTCTTATCTCTAGGAGTATTCTTAGTAAGAATACCTATATTAGTTTCCTCCTCCTCCTACTCCTTTTTATTATTACTGTAATCGCTAGTATTAGGGGTACTAGTAGGCTCTAAAGTAATAGTTAGGCTAAAGAAAGATATAAGATTAAGAGAGGGATTATATCTACGCTATAAAATATTAATATATATTTAGTATCTCTAAAAGATAAATTTATATAATAGCTATAGTTATTAGAGGTTAGGATAATAGGCTACTAGAAATAATAGAAATAGCTACTAAACTAACACTAGAAGTCGGTATCCTCTCGACTAAATATAAACTTAGTATATACTCTGTGTATATAAACTATAGATATAAAATACTTACGCGATATATTCTAAAATATTATACTAGTAATTGATCGGGCCTATTTTAAGACTAGAGTCTAGTTTATTAAGATATATAGTATTATATTAGCCTTTAGTTAATATCTACTTTTTTAAAATATTCTATCTAATAAGTATCTCTAGAGTAGTCTTTACGCGGTGGTTAAAGATAAAAGCTATCTAGCGTTAGTATATATTTAGTATATAAGAGATATATAGACTAATTAGCTCTAGAATACTTATTATATAGATACCAATAAAAGGTAAGCTATTTCTCGAAGGTAAGATTATATATAGTCTAGCTATTATTAATTAAAATATTATAACTAGGGATTATATAATTAGTATTTAGCTAATATATATTAGGTATATAATATATATATTAGACTATTCTTTTTATTTAGGAGGATAAGTAGATTAGAGGATAGATTATCCGCGTTCGTAATATTACTAATCTTAATATTATACTTACGTAGTCCTATAGTAATCGCGTTGTGTTACGCCTAAGGCTTCTAGCTAATATTATTATTTAGGATAGGCCTTATATATTTAATATAAGTTAAAAAGATATAACGGGGTTATTTACTATATATATAACTAACTAGAGAATTAAGGTTTATAGTACTATAGACTTACGAGATATTAAAATAGATATAAGTAAGGCCTAGGCTAGGATAATAGATAAAGTTAGATATTATAGATACTAAATATATACTTAAAAGATACGTTGAATATATAAAAAGAGATATAAACTAGAAGGTAAATAGAAGGTAGGAAAGTAAAAAGAAGCAGAAAGAAGTATAGTAGTAAAGATAGATAAAGATATATTTTCGTTTCTTTATTTATACCGTTTCTAGGTTTTATATATAATTTAGAACACAGATTTTTTGTATATATTCAATAAAAAATCACTGTAAATATCATAAATATAGAGATATAAGGTTATATAGAGTTGATCCGTGGATAATAAAAGTATTATTAGTAAGAATTTTAATTTTAGCATAAAATATTTTAGGGCCTAGTCGACTTAACGAGCTAAGGGGGCCCCAAAAGTCGGCGTAATATTCCACCGATTTTTGGGGCCCGCTCAGTATTTTTGGGGCCCCCCTCAGCTGTAACCCGGTCGAATCCCACAGGTTCTCAGTCATTCCAACAGCGGCGAAAAATCTTTACGCCGGGCATAATCATTGTGGCGAACATCCTTCCTGTATTTGTAGAATATTTAGGTCCAGTTCTATCGAGACTTCATTTCCATTCACACTGTTATCCTCTATCTTATAGCTCTCAAGATGGCTCTCACATACTCAACGATCCCGCTTCAAGTACAGGGCGTGAACCTTGACATCGCCACAACCCACAATTTGAACGGGAAAGCCCCCATCTTATTCTTACATGGCTTTGGCTCTTGTAAGGAAGATCTGGCCGATATAATCTGCCAAGCAGAGCTGAAAAATTATGATTATCTCGCTTTTGACGCCCCGGGCTGCGGGCATTCTAGAAGCGACAATCTTTCAGCCACAGATATCCCTTTCCTTGTCGCGACCACCTTGGAAGTCCTGTCGCATTTCGGAATCACCAAATTCCATTTGATCGGCCACTCTATGGGTGGGCTCACTGCACTTCTCCTTGCTCACCAGTGTCCCGACCGGATCCTGAGCTTTGTCGACATTAAAGGCAACCTTGCGCCCGAGGACTGCTTCTTGAGTCGGCAAATCTTCAACTTCCCTACCGATGATCCCCAAGCATTCCTAGACGCCTTCATCATTCGAACTCGCGAGTCAAAGTCCCTTGGTAGCGCATTGTATGCGAGTACCTTACGCATGCGAGTACAAGCTCGCGCTGTCCGTCCGATTTTCGAATCTATGGTGCGACTGTCCGATAATGAAGACCTACTCGGAGTGTTCCTGGGGCTGCCATGTTGCAAAATGTTCATGTTTGGAGACGAGAACCGCGGTTTGTCTTACCTATCGCTGTTAGAAAAAGAAGGCATGGAGCTAGCACAGATACCGGGTAGCGGTCATTTCCCTATGTACTCAAACCCCGTCGAGATGTGGCGCCGGATTGCGGCTTTTTTGAACAGAATTGTCTGAAACTATAGCGAACGAACAGGAGGATAGAGCAATTTCATACATTTGAATTGATAGAAATATAGGTTTATTTCTCCCAGCATAACAATCCGAAAAAGAGCTTATAAATTCAAGTTGATAATGCGGTATCACTCTATTACTCCGAAGGCATACAAGCCAAATAGCATCCAAGCCAAATCCCTGTTTAGGTGCCGCCTTCGGCACAAATTCACGTCGCCGGTGTTGGACGCCGAACACTGATGCATTTAAATTGTTCGTAAGAAGACCATATTGCTTGATCCCTAACACAGCTAAAATCCACTACATCCTACGGGTACTTCTAAATTGCCGTCTCTCAAACGGCAAAAATCCCACGACCGGGTGCTTTTCAGCCATCTCATGCAACCCACAATGTCCGACATGCCAGCCATTGCAGGTGTGACTCCTAACCCGCAACTACGTCTGCTCAATGGCCTTCGAGCCAACAAGAAGCCAATCATGACCTTTCTGGGTCTTCCCTCCTTTCGGACAGCTCAAATAATAGCCCAGACCGGAGTCGATGTGAGCACTATTCGTTTTCCCAGCGTGATTCCTCTACTAATTATTTCAAAGGGTATCATTATTGATTGTGAGCATGGCAATATCAGCGATGATTCAATGCACAGTTCAACCGCTGCTATAGCTTCTATGGGAGTGTCACCGTTGGTTCGTCTTAGAATGAGCCACTCGGATCTCATCAAAAGAGCTCTGGATGCCGGTGCACAGTAAAGCAAACTTCATCTCTGACCTTCGAGAGTCTGGTGCTAACGATTGCCAGTGGTATCGTTGTTCCTCAGATAAATACAGCCGAGGAAGCAAGTGCTGTTGTTTCTTATTCCAAGTTTCCCCCAAGGGACTTCGTGGACAAGGTTCTGCGTTTCCAGCCATCGCCCACGGCATTGATATTCCGACATATATGAAAACCGCAAACGAAACGCTGATCATCTGTATCCAAGTTGAAACTAAAGTAGGGCTTGAAAATGTTGACGCTATCTGTGCCGTACCTGGAGTTGGTTAGTGACATTGAATAGAAAATTCCACATGACTTCACCTGTGGAAGTCATTTGCTAACAATCGCTTAGATATGGTTTTTATTGGACCGAATGACCTAGCCCTATCGGTGCTTGGTTATGTTCCTGCAAAAGGCGATGAGCCTGAGTTTGTCGATGCAATCAAAAAGATCGTGGCAGCTGCGAGAAATCATGGCAAATGGGTCGGCCGATTGTCTAACGATGGAGCTTCAAGCAAGAAACACCTGAAGATTTTTGACACTGTGGCGATGAGTTATGACATTCGAGCGATTCAAAATTGGTATAACTCTGAGTTGCAAGTTGCGCGCTCATGATCGTGGGAGGTACCAAGAAGATGAATTAGCCCTCTGTTATCTTCTTTGGAGATAATCACATGCATGGGATTCGAAAACGAGCTTGATGCTCTCATATCACACTCAAACTTTCATTGAATAATGCCTGGCGGCGAGACGGAAAGAGCAAAAATCACTAATAAGCCCCGTCTCCTAAGAACCTATACATGGTCTCTGTCAGTCTATGTCATTCCCACTTTCAATATTGCGGTGGGCCATAGAGCGTTCGTAGTTTTAGCAGTAGATTGGCTTGAAGGAGCTTCTTCAAATGTTCAACAACCTACTCTCAGCTCGTGAACCGCGCCTACCGTTCTCTCTGGGTGTCCTTGCTGTGATGGATTTCCTATCAAGAGAATTCTCTCATGAGGCGACCCTTCTCGAAATGCGCCTCTTTTGCTTTTTCTTTCAAGTGGTCTCCACTCTTGACATGAATTAGCTAAGTATCGTCTGTTGTCAATTTTATCATCTATCACCATCTACAAAACGCTCCACATAACTCCTTCCTAGACACAAGATTCTTCTTCCGTTCCGATACCGGACCTCTTACGTTTTTCTCGGGGCGCTATACATCTTGTCTGTAGTAATCTCTTCTTACAAGCAACTTAGGTCTATGTGTGTTCTGAAATGGTTTTCCCATTAGCGCTTAGGGTCTCTTCCATCTGCAACCCGGTCTAAGACTCCGTATGTAAATGTGGTCAAATGTTTTGCATAAGTTTTGTAATGGTCTGGCTCAGAGCTTGTAACTGTGGTCTTTAAAAAATATCCTCCCCAAGATAACCGATATCCAAATTTCAATTGTCACCTATACATTCCGAGGTAAAGTGAGGAACCTTACTCATATACTTCGACACCCCTCGAGCTATCATGCGAGTTGGACTACGAACTTGGGATTTCGTGGAATGATATACCATTTTAAGATCATGATAAATGCATTGCAGACTGTCAGTTAACTCCAATACCTAAGACTGTTGTGTACTAATGGGAAATCATCGCCATGTAGGTTCTGGGCTGCTGAGAACCTGGACAGTGGAATGACCCAACCCGCTCAAACATACAGCTCCTCACTAAGTACGATTTACTTGACCAGTCTCCTTCCTAAGATTCTGCCTTCAGTTCTCCCCGGCCCCTGTTTCTTCCCTCCCTTCCTCCCTTCCCTTCAGTACTTTGCTTTCACCACCCAGCTCTCTACACAAGAAACTGCATCAGAAGGCGACTTCTTGCATTTCAAAAGAAAGGAAAGCACTTCTGCTGGGCTGAATACTTGATCCGGTACCTTGCTCGCAAAATTGCGAGCGAACGCTTCGATTGTCTCATCATCATATTCCTCGTTGTATTGCTTTTGGCTTGGCAACTGCTTGAAGACAGTGCGGAAGAGCTGAGTAGATATATTTTGATCGGCGAGTTTAAAATGAATCTTCTTGTCTGAACGGCTAGATCGAATCAGTGCTTTATCCAGGTATTCGATATGATTCGTGGTCATAATAAGTGTCCGGCCCTCTTGAGAAGAAACACTATCGAGTATATTTAAAAGTCCTGACAGGGTGACTGCCGACTTTGATTCGTTCTCTTGATCTACGTCGACGCTGTCTCTACGCCTTACCCCAGCGGTATCCACGTCCTCCAATAGGACAATATAGTATAGCGGGAGCTCCGAAAAAAGCCTTATTAACGTATTGTCTAAAATATTCGACAATTAAAACGTATAAATATCTAATTCATACTTCCCTACGAGTAATAGACTAAAGCTAGATTTTCTAGTTCCGGGTAGCCCGAAAAGAAGATAGCCTCGTTTATAGGGAATACCGCGTTCTATATATTAGTCTTATATATCTTAGTCGAGGAACTTGTCTATATCCTTTAATATTTTATTCTTTAGTTCGGTATCTATAATTACCGTAGAAATAAGCCGAACTAGTCTTAGTCTAGCTTTCTTCTACTCCCCTTCGCGGTGTTTAAATATAGAGACTTTTTTCTGGGTACCCTTAAGATACTTTTCTCGGCACTCTTCGATCAGACTTTTTAGAATATTAGTATTAAGACTAATAGAGGAGATACGAAGATCCTTTTAGTACTCTTTAACTTAGTAATAAAAAATAAGTAAATATCCCTTATACTAGAAGAGAAATAATCTATCCTAAGGAGAAAAAGTTGTAGGCTTTTTCTTTATTAAATAGAGATTACTTATCCGTTACGTGGATCCTACCCGAGCGATCAATAAATAGGTATTATGGACAAATAGTTAGTCAGCTATCTAATCGACTAGTATATTATATGTTTCGTCGTAGTACGAGATGTAGATTATCGAGGCTTTAGACTATTAGACTCATCCTATTATAATAGGAGGTATACGAACTAAAGTAACTTCTTACTATATCGCAGAAATAACGGGCTGTATAACGGGCGAAGAGGACAAATATTCCCAAGCTATAAAACAGTCGAGTGTAGCTATCCAGGTTATTAGTAAGAAGTTGCTGTACAGAGACAGAGGCCATACTGAAACCGGGAAAGAGGACATCTATAAGAGACATTTGGGAGGGGTCGCGGTAGGAACCACCGCTGATGGTATTCATTGTAGGCAATGAGCAGAATATTCCGAGAATAAATATATGAGCGCAACCAGGCGATTGGGGGATTTCAGTCACTTGGAAGAGAATTGCTGAATATTTAACTCATAGTTACTTGACAGTACCGCGTTCCTTTATATGCTGGATACCAATAAAGAATACCCATACATACCTTGCATATGCAACAGCGCCAGTCTCAGCCGCCAGCTCCTTGTTCTTTCATTTATTTTTTCGCGGGAAAAGCAACTTACATATGGCTGTATCCACGATTTGGGAAAGGACTATCATATTCACGTTCTTGAACGGGGACTGTATTATCCCTGTCAACGTGCTGAACCCACAAATGACACGTGAAGGAAAATCAGAGGTTGTCAAAATATCCTGAAAGTTGAGTCAAAACACCCGAGACATGCGCCCCCCATCCAAGTTCGTGATCCGTCATGCAGTTACAATGCATTACAGGACCCACAAACCCCGCTTGAATCGACCAGCTGAGTTCCCCACTCTGGTCCGAATTGACTTAAAAGCTGGGCAATTTGCCCACATCATCTCGACGAGGTGTACCGCCCACTCCTCCGTCCTATTCTTCCTAGCAGCCTTCGGTATCAAAATTTCCCATAGCATGATTGCCTACATCCAAATGATCAGTTCTCTGGATGACTGATCCTCAGACTTTGACCCCGAAAGATTTGGAGATAACTTTAACATCTCTGAAGCAGCAGATGTTGAAAACCGAGGCTGCGAAAATATTATTGCCTGCAAAGGAGACATCTTTCAGTCGCGTTGCGTTGGGGCGATCGTCTTATTTGCTGAGCCTGGTGTTTAGGCCTGACAAGCGGCGCGAACCGAAGCTGGCAGCTCTTAGAGAATTAGACTGTATCTTTGATCATTTGTGGGCTGAGCCTTACCCAAAAGGCTATCGAGGTTATGCGGAAAGAACTCTTTGATATATTGCTTGAAAAAGCTGTGATCGCTTCTTAAACAACTGTGAGGATTATTGCGAAGAGCGATGAAATAAATAAGGTGGTTCTAAGCTCATCAGCCGACGAAGATTTTCTAAAAAGCAAGTTCTTATCGTCCGTATCTCTTACAAAGTGGCTCACAAAATCATAGATTATATAGGTCTGAGGCGAGTTGTTAATAGCACTATACGCCTAAGTCTTCAATACTCTCTCTGCGGAGGACTATTATGGTGCTATACTACGATCATCAAGCCCGAGTCTATGTAGACTACATTTCCTCGATTGCTTATTAAGGCTATCCGTGGCTCCGTTATAACTTTACTCCTATCTGAGGGATCGACGGATGGATTGATCAGAGTAATGATTATGTTTGATCAAAGACTCCTTCAAAGTTTATTCGGCTATACAGGGTCCGACACAATGGCTGCTGGTAGGTGACACATAGAACGCATTTGAATAATACTGACATAGATCAGAGCAATTTTCTGTAGGTTGCGCTGTGAAGAACCAGGTAGCTGTAGCGTTCGGAGATGATGTTTTCGAGGCTATTACAAGCAGTCAAGCCTGGAGTCAGGAAACTGGGGGGATTGAGACTAGATATGTGAAGGCAGATGTATATCCAGCACAGCTCATGATGATCAGTTTGACGGTTGGATGGACATCATGTTACAATTTTGTAAATTCAATCTACAGGTCGTGATTTGGCCGATCCACCCTTTGCCCTAACCCGAATACCAGGCGGTAGCTTCATTTGTCCGCTCCCCACTGCTCGAAAAAGAGTTGAGCCATCACCGTCCTGAAACAGGATCTCCTCGCAAGATTCGCAGGCAAAAAATTGTTCTTCGGTCAGGGATGCATCGATGTGATGGGCGGCTCTCTTATCTGACTCTTGAAATGAGACGGTGGTGAAATTTTGCCAGCGGCTTGCCTACTCAGGTCAGTCGGATTATGCAAGACAGAAAAAAATATAACATACCAAGTCAGACTGTGTCACCGTCGCTTCATTTGCCATCCGAGTTATTCAGTGCACCAAGGCTAGTGCGCAGCGCAGTTGTCCAAATGATCGAATTTTGTCGCCGGGATCCCAGATTTGTTGAAACTCGCAAGGTGCGTTTCTCGGGTATATGTTGACTGATCGTGCTCATCGGATAAGCATGGGAGATATCGTGATCAAGATTGATGTTGTCGGCTGCCCGCGGTGAAAATTAGGATGTTGGTCGTTTGGGTTTGGTTGGAGGGGCAGAAGGCGGGGAAGGCCAGATGACTAGCGATATGGATGGACTCGAGGTTGATTCAGAGATCAGTAGATAATACAAAACAGACATCTGACAATACATTACATGCGGCTCATTAATACTGAAAGCATGTCCATGTCACAACGGTTCCGAAGTCGCGCGCCGTGAGGGCAGCTATCTAAAACAACGGCTACGAGGCCACGGCAGGCCCCAACGAGGCTCCAAGTTCGTTTAAGAAGTGGTACACGATACATGTAATTATATTGTTTTATAGTTGCTGTATGCTGCATATCGCTTAGCGAGGGGTCAGCGTAAATGAAATCATCCATCCATCCGACTGTATCAATGATAACAAAGACTTGCTGACTCTGTGAACAGATCACTGCAGGAAGAGACCTGGGATGAGACGTTCTCATTTGTGCCGTAGTCCCTGAAAGAGAAACATCAGCAAATCGTTCAGCCCATCAGCCCATCACACAACCGACCAACCACACACCCAGTCACAAAACAGGAAAACTCGGTACTGCCATCGTTCGAGTATATACTATTATATTCAGGCACACTCTACTCCCTCTTCATGTCATGCAAAGCCCACTGCAGAAACCTATCATTCCATCGCCAGCTAACATCATCCCTCTATGCAGATCATGCCGTCCACAGCGAAAAATTGGGCCACGAGTACACCGCGTCTGCCACGCCGATCTGCACTCCAGACAGATCCAATGGCCCAAAATCAACATCCGGTTGCGCCAGAAATTGTTCCATACTCTCATCTAAAAATACCATCTCATTACCAAATGTCCCCGAAGCACCACTGTTCGTGCCAGGCAGCGCCAATCCACCGGATAGACCCACTTCACTCGCTCGTTGGGCAGCCTGGCCAGTGAGCACGGGCAGCGCATCGTTTGGGTGCTGATCCTGAATCTGACTTGATTCACCAGGAAGAGGGTTGCCCGCGTTTGAGCCACGTTTTGCGCTCGGTATGACGTGAGGGGGCTGAGTCTTGTCGAGACATTGTTGAACACACTCTAGGTTATCGTAAAACTCGGTCGCGGCTAAGTTGCCGTGGGCGCGCATTGCACGGAGAATTTCAAATGCAGTCTCGAATAATGCGTAGTCGCTCTGATTTTCTGAAAGGATTTGACTTGATAGAACCATGACCAGTGCCGCGGAGAAAAGATAGTGGGCATAGAAATAGCCCATAATCGGGAGAGAGCCGTTGGTCCACTCGGCTACGATCAGGGAGTGATTGTACCTTGCAGCATGAATGCATGCGTCACTCAGTGTTTTGAGGATCTGAATTTGCGTCTGTGGGGTATTTTGGTTGGCATGGTTGGCATCGCGAGATTGGATGAGGGTGTATAACAGGATAGGTCGAGTGGCCAAGATAATACACTGGATGAGTTAATAAAAAAACACATCGGCTCATGCTTAGAATAGCTGAAGACCACTCACCTGATTAAATTGCAAATGCAGGGACACCACGTTCTTGGGTCCAGCCCCATCACGATCCAACCGAACATGCGGGGGCAATGCCTGCGCCCATTGCTTAAGTGAGATCAGCAGTTTCTGTTCTCGTTGTAAAAACGAATCGGGCTGCTTCTTGCGACTGTACACTTTTTCAATCACCTGTCCTGTTATACGGGCTAGATAAATAGAAGAAACCAGGAACTGCGTGTCAGAGAACTGCTCGTCATGGACATCCCCAGGGACGGTCGAGGGCATCTCGACATGGATATCGTCATCGGCGATTTGGATGGGCCAGCCCACCTTGGATCCGTATATCCGGTCGAACACGTAGATCGCCCACCATAGGCGGATCCGATGTTGTTGATCTACAGGATCCGGACATTGACATTTAGGAATGTCATGGTTTAGTCCCAAAGTGAGACCGAGACGCATGGCGCTGCCGACGAGAAGGAAGGCAGAATGGCGGCGGTTGAGAAAATATGAATAGAGGGACTAGATCGAGGTAAGCTGAGACCGATCAAATCCTTCGCAGCAAATCATCTTACCAATAACAATATTGATTCAATGTGAGTCAAGCTCGGCCTCTCCGGCAAGATTGGAATTAACATCATAGCATGGACATAATACGCTGCCCCGGGAACACCGCATTCAAGCGATACATTCGACCGAGTCGAATATACCTCTCCAAGCGCAAACAATGCAAAGAACTTGCATGTCAACACGGGATTATCAAAATCAGCTTCTCGATAAACCTCCTCGAGCTCATCGATCGTCGACTTGCGCAGGACGAGATGATACACCCGGCTAACTTGATTGAACACAATCTGAATGAGAAGACGAGCCTGGGCAAGACTTGGCCATTGTGTGGAAGTATTGCGCATCTTCATTAAAGTTGACTCCGGCGTATACCGTGTGCATGGCATATGAGATGTCGTCTTGCTTCTGGAAAGCACCTGGCGAAGCCGTGTGGCAAAGGCTGTGCAAGCTGCCTCGCCGATGTGTACTGGCGGCTTTGACGGATCATATGGCTGAAACCAGGCGCGTTCGCCTAGCATTGGATTCTGTACATACGTATCTGATCCAAGAACTGGGGTATCTGGACATCATATCAGCAAGGTAGCTGACCACATTAATCCTGCAAGAAAGAATGACCTTCTGAGCGAATATTGCCCTCTGGACTTCCGAATACCGGAGAGCGAGATAATTGCTCACGGAGACGTTCATTCTCAGCAGCAAGCTGATCCAGGTAACTAGAACAGTTTAGCATGTGTCAACCCAGGTACAGTGACAGACCCACATACCTCTCGTGCACCTTGATCTGACGATCTCGATTCACGTAGATACATTCGGCAGGACAACCGGATTGCCGACACTTGCTGCACGGCTGTCCACCAGAGCATTTAATCTTGTGAGTGTGGCATCTCCGGCATCTGGGAACAGTCATCAGCAAGGACTAGACGAATGGGCGGGACAATCCGGGAGGTGGCATACGCAATTGACTTCTTCTTCTGCCGCTTGAGGACTCCGTCACTTGCCATTCGGAATGAGGCTGTTTCACCGATTATAGTACTCAAATGCAGGGTATACAAGGATTGGAGAAAATTGTCAGTGAAATCGTGGTGGCTAGACGAGACGGGGACTTCGGTGGTTGCGTCGGCAAAGTTTGATTGTGCCGAGTGGCGATTCCCGCTTTCGAAGACTTGGCAAGTCGGGAGTAACCCGGACCGGCTATGGATGGACCTACTCCATAGAATGATCTGTCAAACAAGACTAATCTAATAGTCGTGGTAAAGATTTCATCGTGTCCCAATATAAAACAGGACCCAAAATAATTCTATGCTAATTTGGTACGCATTGGTGGCATTTCAAATTTTGCACCACGCGGTTGACTACTGTACTGTAAGTCTTGCCTCCACACACAGGCTTCTTATTAAGGCCGTCAGGCTCGCCAAATTCTATATGTATATCGCAATATCATGCCCAAATATTTGGGCATGATAGGATTTTATCAGGAAACTGGCCGTACAAATACCTAGCCAAGTTGATTTAATTCCAAAACTCCGACGCTAGTCCTAGCGGGCTAAATATCTTCGCTTTGTGATTCCTGATAAGGTCCAGCATATGCCAGAAAACTAGTCGGATTGCTAACGTGGGAATGATACTCTTCTATGCCGATGGAGTCACCGATCATCTCCCTCTATCTCCCTAGTCAACATGCTATTGACTTTGACTAAGTCTTCATAAGAGAAATCTGACTTCAAAAGTCATGCATAATTGGAGACTCTACCATAATAATCAGCTTAGTAAGCCTGGGATGAACAAGAGCCGATCTCATACTCAATTAGATTCCCATCGGGATCTCTGACATAAACGCTCCGGATTTTCCCCACGGCCCCGGTTCTGTCTAAGATTTTAGCACCTTCTAACACCCAAACAATGTCAGTAAGATGAGAATAACAAATCATTTCTGACATACATACCTCAATTTTAGCATCTCGGAAAGCTTGCAAAACTGTCTCGACACTCTCATCCGTCACAAAGTACAGGTCCGCGCTTCCAGGCTGAACATTCTGGGCCTTCGGCTCAAACTCATTACCCGATTGATGAAGATTGATTTTCTGACTCCCGAATATGAGCGCATTTCTAAAAAAAAAAAACCCACAAAAAGATCAATTTCGATTCAAATGTCAAGACGCAGAATGTAATATTGACCTCTGGATAGCGGGGTTGGCCGGCGAACTAAAAACCTCGTGCCGCATACCGAGGTAAGTGGTATAGAAAGCTACCGTCTCTGAAATGGATCGTACTGTTAGAACAAGATGGTCCAAGGTTTTGACTGCAAATGTAGCCGCCATCGTAGAATGATAGTTGGGTAGGTCTGGCTTAGCTTCGAGAAGATGAAAAATGACTCAAAATTTGCGGGCATGGATTGAAAAAAAAAATAAAATAAAATAAAATAAAGGCACATTACTAATCCGCAGGTCTGCTAACATGACGTAATTTTCCGCCTGACTGAGTCGCCCCATTGAGAATCAATTTTCCTACTTAGATAGTAGATTCAACCGTTTGGGATGCTACCAAATCGAAGCGAATGCTCGCAGAAATTGGCTTAACAAGGAGCAATTCTCTTTTATTCTTCGAAGGTTTGGGAAATGTTCATATTAAATATATTTGCGCGGAACAAGGCCATACGTTATACCCTTCTTTACACTGCACGCGCGCCGGTCGTGGTAGCCATCTTACGTCTCAACTCGACGCATATCGCCACAGTTGCTAACACTTGTCAGCATACCAGGGTGCTCGAATATTAGCACCCTCTCATTCCATGTAGTCATGGTATTTAGCAATAGCAGTATATATGATGGACATCCTAAAAGGACAAAATTCACGCTGTAGACCGAAATGTTAAATTCAATAGATGCAACTCCTTGTTTAGGTATTCATGACTTGACAAATAGCGTGTGCCACGTATTGGACGTTTCTTTCAGTCAATCCACACACACTCAGCCGGCCTGACGGTAGGAGATAGACATGGAACTCATCTCGAAGTCGGGAAACTTGCTGCGAGGTCAGCCCTGTCGAACTGAACATTCCAATTTGGTTCTCAATGTATGACCAATCCTGTTGTGTCTCCTTCTCTAGCTTCCAACGTAGCTCATGTCTCATCTCCTTGATTCTTGAGCTCATCGTGTTCAAATCTGTTTCCCATTGCGCTTTCAAACGCTGATCCCCAAGTATCGTTTCGACAATAACTGCTCCGGGCCGTGGTGGATTGGAGTACTCGGCTCGCGCAATTGCCATCAATTCACTTTGAGCACCCTGCGCCGAAAGATGTCGAGGCACAATTAAATGCAAAGCGCCGACACGCTCGCCATAAAGACCAAAATTTTTAGAAAATGACTGTGCTACACAAAGTCCCGGGTGCGATCCGGAGGCAAGAATTTCCTCTGTAAATAGACGAACTGCCCACGCGTCTTCATTGACGTCGCCTGTCGCAAAACCTTGATACGCACTGTCGAAGACAACGAAAAGCTTCTTCCGCTGGACCAAGTCTAAAATCTTCATCCACTGAGGATTTGAAAGATCCACCCCCGTGGGATTATGCGCACAAGTTTGTAGGATGACGACATCATTAGGCTCAGCAACCTCGAGGGTGCTTTCACCTATAGCTTCCTTTGCCTGTAAGAGTCGTTACTTACTGGTCTTCACTGGTATGCTGCTTAACGTACCTTTCTGACGCTTGGTAAAATCCAGGGGTTTCCACTTGCATCGCGATATGCTCCAGCAATCAAAGATACTTTGTTTGGATGAGTGTCTGCATCAAAGTCGGCCATAAGACCGAATGCAGTGTCTGCGGGGATAATTGGGAGGCCAAGATATTGTTTTCCCATTTTTCAGAGTAGGAATTGAGATATCTCACATGAAACTCGGGATATTTAGGTGGCGCCTTGGGGACTTAAAAAGACCTGTTTTCTGGGAAATTGCCGGCGTGCTGAATATTTGACCGTTACATTCTACCCATGAGATCCTAGTGAGATACGGCATAATCTTACATTGCCGAGGTAGCATAATTTCGACTCGGTTTACGTGATCGGAATTCCTGGCACTTTATTTAACTATGTGGTATGTATGGTGAGCGTTCAAAAGTATTCGGAACACGCTAAGTGCCCCACTTATTTTTCTGCCGTCAAAACCGCCTATTTATTCAATATCGCAATAACTACGATTCCATCTTCTGTTTCCATGACATGTTATACACGATGAAGTCTTGCTTTCGCTAGACCAAAAATATAGTAAATCTTTCAAGCTACTTTACTAGATTCAACCGCTTGCATGAGGAAGCATGTGGCTCTTACAGGCGGGCGGTGTGGAAAAGCACTCTGGTCCAAAAGTTTGAACGGCCACTGTGATTGCAGAAAATTACCAAGTTTTCCGTAACACCCCCACTTTTGCATTATGACTGCCGGGCGGCATTCGGTATAATGGTGATTTCCCGATCCGACGAAGATCGCTTTGATGTCTGCAAGCCGAGTTGGTTTATTCAGCGGCGGTTGAATCTCGTCTGGCCTAATCTTATAATTTGATCAACGCCAATCCTACAACTGATCCTTCAAACTCTTTACTTGCTCAGGTCTGGTGTATCATATCTATCCTTCTTTCATCTTTTAGTCACGAGCTCAACATTCTTTTAATATTTTGACCCCCTACGAGTCACCGCAACCAATACCGATGGCTCAACCTACCATTCTGGACCGACTTTTGAAGCTCGACACTAACACTGTGTCGGACGCTTTGGATTTCCTCCAGCTTAAAGGAGCCACTTACGGCTTACAACCACTCTGGGACTGCCAAAAGATTGTCGGGCGGGCCAGCACAGTCAAACTGGGCATCAAGAAGGATGATGTCCCTACAGCACATCTTATTACCCCGGTCGTCGATGCGATAACGACGAGTGACCGTATTCTCGTCATCTCCGGTGGCACAGAAGGTATTTCGTGCTGGGGCGACATCCTCGCCAATGCCTCAAAAATGAAGGGAATCCGCGGAACCATCATCGACGGCATGAGTCGTGATATCGATGGCAGTCGCGATATCGGATACCCTGTTTACGGTCGTGGAGTGACGATGATTAGCGCACGGAATCGGATAGTGCAGCTAGACTCCGGCTCGCCTCTACAGGTGCAAGACGTCACGATCAATCAGGACGATTATGTGATCGCCGATAGGTGCGGGACAGTATTTATCCCAGCCGCGCACATCGAAGAGGTTGTCGAACTGGGAGAAAGGATTGACCGGCGTCAAACGTTGATGGTCGAGGATGTCCGAGATGGCAAAGCGGTGTCGGAAGTCATGCACGATAAGAAGTTCGAAGCTATCCAATCGGCTAGATCGGTAGCTCTTACACCCGGGCCTTCCCATCGCAATCATCAGAAGCAAAGCTCTGAAGATCAGGAGTTGTCCGCCCTATTCGCCAACTCGGATACCCCTGGGGTCTCTGATGCACTTGACAAACTTGGCATCCCTGGACAGGCATTCAACATTATGCCTTTGACTGATTCCAAGAAGGTTACTGTAGGACCGGCCTTCACAGTACGTTACGTTCCCGCAAGCGAGCCACCAGGGAGTGTTGGGGACTTCATTGACGACGTCGCGATCGGCGATGTTGTGGTCATCGACAATGGTGGCCGCACTGATTGTACTGTCTGGGGTGATATTATGACCCAGTACGCCGGACTACGGGGCATCGCTGGAACTGTTATCGACGGTGTGTGTCGCGATGTGAACCGTGCGATAGAGGATAAGTACCCGATGTTCAGCTCTGGACGTTGGATGCGAACCGGTAAAGATCGTGTTCAGGTTGGGGGTGTTAATGAACCAATTGGTATTGGTAACGTACGTGTCCAGCCTCGTGACATCGTTGTCGCAGATGCGAACGGGGTTGTCATCGTTCCTCGAGATCGAGCTCAGGAGGTAGCTGAAGTCGTCCGAAAGATCGAAGAGAGTGAAGAATACATCCGAGCGTTCATCAATGGTGGAGCTTCGCTCACTGAGGCGAGAGTGAAGGTCGGGTATCACACGCTGCAACGCAAGGAATAAGAATGATTTAGAGCAACATTTAAACACATATCTCCATGTCGTTCCCAAGAGCGGTTCTTTTTTAAGAACAATTTGTCCACTTGGAAAAAATGTCAGTAAAATTCTTTCTTGTGCAGTTTTTCGTGAATTATAATCAAAGTCAATAATGCAAGGACACTATCAGGCGGGAATTCTAATGACAATACGATAACAGTAGCTATATACAGCTACTGTAATACGATGGAATTAAGAGCAAGTAGGTTTAATTCCGATGATAAAGAGGAGGGCAAGAGGATAAAAGTAGCTAGCTCTACCACCGGGTTAAAATACCCCTTAAGTTACCTAACCGTTATATTATCTCTCCTATACTAATTCTTAATATAAGGTTAAGAATTTAGGTATATAAGGCCTTTCCTAGATATATATAAAGAATTATAAATAATACCTCTCTCTTTCTCCTATTATACTATCGATATCTTTATTATATTCCGAGATCACGCTAATATAACTATAGATTCGGAAAAATATATTTTAGCTACTATAGTCCGCGAATATTTCTCTAAGTTACCTAAATAATACAACTATCTTTTTTACTTCTTCTTCTTACTATTAATAATTATATAAAGATTAGCTTCTATAGATAGTACTATTTAGGATTTCGCTAATTTAGGGGCCTAGTTCTTTTTATCTAACTAAGGATCTAGAGATATAAATATCGGATTATTTAATAATAATATTTCTTTATAAATATTAGCGATCTTTATAAAATCAATATAATCTCTTTATAAGTCTTTTAAGTCTCTTTTTCTTTTTATATAATTTCTAATTTATCCTACTCCCAAAGCTCTTAAATAAATATAAGCTACTTCTCCTCGATTTTAAATTTAGTAATATATATAAATATTATTAGATCTTATATAGTAGATATATTTAACGCCCTTTATTAATAATAGTAAATATTATATATAGAATTAAATAATTATTTAACGTTAGTATTAGTAATTAGGATTAAGAGGAGATTATAGGCAAGGCTTATAAACGTAGGAAATTTATACTAATAATCCTTCTAGAATTAATAAGATAGGATTAGGATAGTATCTAGATAAAAAACGGATTATAATAATTAGTATAATATTTAGATAGATTAGAACCGATATCTCTATTAAAACTAGGGTTCTAAATAATTATTTAAAACCCTAGTTCTAATAGGGATAGAAAAATAGAAACTTAATAGATTAGAACTAGGGTTTTAAATAATTATTTAGAACCCTAGTTTTAATAAAGGTATATATAGAAACTTACCTTTTTTAATATACTATATTACCTTAGACTAGAAGCTTAAGATAGAAGAATTAGCTATTAAAAATATATTAAATTTATTAATTTAATAAAACTATTTTATTTTAGATAGTAATTAAGAGCTTAGAATATTACTAATTTAGTAGTTTAGAAGCTAATCTTTAAGATTTTATTAATATTAGATACTATAATCTATCTAAAGATAGTCTTAGTCTTTAGTTTAAAAAAATTTAATCTTATACTAAAAGACTAAGATAGTATTAATTATATAGATATTACTAAGTTTTTTATTATCTATTATAGAGTAATACTTATAGAGTTTATTTTTAGCTAATTTAAAGGCTTAATATATTTATTATTTCTATCTAATCTTCTTTCTACTAAATTATCTAATTAATCTCCTTAGACCTGGATAGACCCACGGACAACCTATATAGATCGACCCGTGGGTTAGCCTATGGGCGGGTCGTGGGTCAGACCTCTTGACCCGTGGGCGGGTCAAGATTTTTTTAACCCGTCCCACGGGTCAATAGGTTAACCTATTTAACCTATTTAGGTAGATACTTTATTAACTATATAACTTTTATAAATTATATTATTCTTGGCTATATTTTTAGGTATTATATTTATTTTAGTTAAATAATTTTTTATAGTAATTAGGAGAATAATTCTTAAAAAGTAATTCTAGAGAATATTATTTTAAATATTAATCGATTTTAATTTTAAAGCTTATAATTATTAAGTATTTATAGGCGTTTACGAACCCTACTAGAAATCTATAGGAGGCTATAATTATCTTTATAATCACTCCTTAACTTTTCTTATTATAATTAGTAAGGTATATTAACTATAATTATTAGATCTATAGTATTCTCCTTTTTATTATCACTAATTAGTATAATCTCTTTATAAGTCTTTTAGGTCTCTTTTTTCTCCTATATAATTTCTAACTTATTCTACTCCTAAAGCTCTTAAATAAATATAAGCTATTTCTCCTCGACTTTAAATTTAGTAATATATATAAATATTATTAGATCCTATATAGTAGATATATTTAGCGTCTCTTATCGATAATAATAAATATCATACGCGGAATTAAATAATCGCTTAACGTTAACGCTAATAGCTAGGATTAAGAGGAGATTATAGGCGAGGCTTATAAACGTAGGAAATTTATACTAATAATCCTTCTAGAACTAATAGGGTAGGATTAGGATAGTACCTAGATAAAAGATAGATTATAATAATTAATATAATATTTAGATAGATTAGAACTAATACCTCTATTAAAACTAGGGTTTTAAGATAGGCCTTAAAACCCCGGTTCTAATAGGGGTAAAAAGATAGAAACTTAATAGATTAGAACTAGGGTTTTAAACGATTATTTAGAACCCTAGTTTTAATAAGGGTATATATAGAAACTTACCTTCTTTAATATACTATATTACCTTAGATTAAGAGCTTAAGATAGAAAAATCGGTTATTAAAAATATATTAAGCTTATTAGTTTAATAGGATTATTTTATTTTAGATAGTGATTAAAAGCTTAGAATATTACTAGTTTAGTAGCTTAGAAACTAATCTTTAAGACTTCGCTAGTATTAGACGCTATAATCTATCTAAAGGTAATCCTAGTCTTTAGTTTAAAAAAATTTAACCTTATATTAAAGGACTAAGATAGTACTAATTATATAGATATTACTAAGCTCTTTATTATTTATTATAGAGTAATACTTATAGAGTTTACTTTTAGCTAATTTAAGGGCTCGATATATCTATTACTTCTATCTAACCTTCTTTCTACTAAGCTATCTAATTAATCTCTTAAGATAATTAAATAGCTTATTATAGATAGTAAAGATAGTATAAATAGTAATATCCTTTATTTTTAAGAGGACTATAGTAAATTAAAAAAATAGCTAAGTAATATTAAGAAGATAATCGATCTAGCGTTATTTATCTATATCGATTTTAAGATAAGGATAATTATATTTAGAGCAAAATTAATTAAAGACTAGTTATAACTATTTTATACGTCGGAGTATTAAAAAGGTTAAATTCTATCTAGTTCAGATATCTTAAATTAGAACTAATCAAGGGTAGTTAGACTAGAGACTAAAAAAGAACTCCTGACATTAAAGGTTTATATTAATAAAGATTGTAAGGTTTCTAATCTAAAATATAAAGTAGATTAGTATTTTAACTAATAAATAAAAAGTATAGATATATATCTTTATAAGAGTTATCGTAATATCTTGTTTTTGTGCTTTTCGATAGATATATTAGATATATTCCTCGGACTAAATAGTCTTAGTTACCTCGTTCTAAAGGTTCGCTTTTATCTAGCTAAGTAGTTGCTTTAAACTTAACTAAATTATATATATAATATATAGAACCTAAATAATTATTACCTTAGAGTCAATATCTAATAATTAAATAAAATCTTAGATACTTAAAATAAGGGTAGAGTTATTCGATATATTATTAGTTATTACTATAAATACTTAGTCTTTAATCTAATATTTCTAGAGGATATCGAGGAGGGTTATACTAAGATTCTACCTAAAGTATATACTAGAAATAGATTCGAAGCTAAGTAAAACCTCTCGATAATTCTAGTCTATATTAATAAAATAGCTAGAGATAGCTATAAATACTTATTAAAATAGCGATATCTAATAATTAAGACTAATAAAGAGCTTAGCCTTAGATAGAAGCTTCTAAAGTAAATCTTTCTATTAATCTTAGATTATTCCCTAGATTCAACGTTATATAATTTAACGGGAAAGGAAACTAGGGATAAATAATAATAATTAGGTTATTTAAAGAAAGGCTTAGAATTCGAGATACTTAATAGTTTAAAAAAGAAGCTATAAAGTAATTATTATAGTAATCAACTATTACTCCTATAGCTTTTAAGTAACTAGCTAGGCTATTCGAGAGGAGTTCTTAGTCTAAAAAAGATTAGTCTATAAATTAAATAATAGCTATATAATATATTATATATTCTATAAGATATTAGATTATTAAATATTTAGTAGTACTTTAGCCTTTCTAGTATATACTCCGATTCTAGTAACGTTAGAGACCTATTATCCTATTCTTAGTATAGACTAGATAGTCTATAACCTTATTATATTACTTATATAGGAGCTTTGGCTCTTCTATTACTAAATATACGATTTAATCAAAATACAACTATATATTAGTCTATTATAGACCCTTCTAGTTTATTTTCTTTATAGTATTATAAAAACCACTAATTTAGGTATTAAGCTACTAGTTTAAAAACTCTGTTTTATTTATACTATTAAAAATTACTTAGGTCTTTTTCCGATTGTTGGATTATTTTAGTGTTAGTAATATAATAGAAGGGAGGCTTTACTTAGTTTACTAGCTTTCTAGTAGTTCTAAGAGGGTATCAAGAAGTTGATCAGAATAGAAAATAGATGACTTAAACCCCTTACTCTTAATAAGAGAGGGAGAATACGAGGTAGATAACTAAGATATAGAAGAGATATAGCAATAGTATATTAAAATAAAGGACTCGAGATATAGAAAAATAATCTAAGGTAAATTATCGTAGATTTAGGGGAATATATAGGTCTAATACTTATTTCTTATTAATAGATAGGATTCGGCACTATTCTAGTACTAAATTTTATAATTAATTAGAAGATACTCTACTATAATATATATAAAGCTTATTAGATAGTAAGAAATAGATTAATAGGTTAATCTATAGGTTAACCTATTAACCTAAATAATTAGATAAAAGTAATACCCTAAGACTTTTATTTTTATCCCCTAAAAATTTTAACCTAACCAGCTAACCTTTTTACGTAGGTATATTAGAACCGGGGCTATAAGTAAACGCGTAGATAGATTAAAACCCTAGTTCTAATAGAGATAGAAAGACTACTATAAAAAAGCATATATTTTATTATATCTAGTAAAAGGGGGACTATACAACCCTTTTATAGCGAGAGACTGGAGATATAGAAAAATAATCTAAAGTAAATCATTGTAGATTCAGGGGAATATAGGTCTAATACTTATTTCTTATTAGTAGATAGAATTTAGCACTATCCTAGTACTAAATTTTATAACCAATCAGAATAGGCTCTACTAATATATACAAAGTTTATTAGATAATAAGAAATAGGTTAACAGATTAATCTATAGGCTAACCTGTTAACCTAAATAATTAGATAAGAGTAATACCCCAAGATTTTTCTTTTTATCCCCAAAAAATTTCAATCTAACCAGCTAATATTGTTATTTTATATAAATTCAGAAAAAATATTTAAAATAATTCTTTTATATAAATAAGACTATAATATACTTATATATTAATAAAGAAATATTAGATATTAGATTTATATCTATTTTATTATTTCTAATATATATAGTTTATTTATATAAAAAATAATAGTACTACTATAGACTTTAAATATATATTTTTAGGTTTAGTATAAGAAATAATTAATTAATATCTTCTTTCGCCTATATCTACCTATTATAAAATATAATTCTTACCTTAAAGTATTAAATTAATAAATTAATATATTATATATTCTAAATATATTATTACTATATAATATTCTTTTTATAAAGAGTTAGAATTATAAGTTATATTAGAACAAAAACAGTATTTAACAATAGTGTATTATTAAAAAAGGTAAGTAAATTATCTATCCTAATTAAGAAATTTATACTAAAATAGGTCAAAAATAGGTTAACCCGTTAACCCACAGGTCAACCCATGGGCGGGTCAGGATTTTATTAACCTGACCTATGGGTCGTGGGTTTGGGTCATGGGTCAAGATCTTTGACCCATAGGACGGGTCTGTCCATGTCTAAATCTCCTAAGATAATTAAATAGCTTATTATAGATAATAAAAATAGTATAAATAATAATATCCTTTATTTTTAAAAAGACTATAATAAATTAGAAAAATAACTAGATAATATTAAGAAGATAATCGATCTAGTATTATTTATCTATATTAATTTTAAGATAAAGATAATTATATTTAGAGTAAAATCGATTAAAGACTAATTATAACTATTTTATACGCTAGAGTATTAAAAAGGTTAAATTCTATCTAGTTTAGATATCTTAAATTAGAACTAATTAAGGGTAGTTAGGCTAGAGACTAAGAAAAGACTCCTAATATTAAAGGCTTATATTAATAAAGATTATAAGGTTTCTAATCTAAAGTATAAAGTAGGTTAGTATTTTAATTAATATATAAAGAGTATAGATATATATCTTTATAAGAGTTATTATAATATCTTATTTTTATATTTTTTAATAGATATATTAGATATATTCTTTAGATTAAATAGTCTTAGTTACCTTATTCTAAAGGTTTATTTTTATCTAGCTAAATAGTTACTTTAAATTTAACTAAATTATATATATAATATATAAAACCTAAATAATTATTATTTTAGAATTAATATCTAATAATTAAATAGAATCTTAGATATTTAAAATAAAAATAGAGTTATTTAATATATTATTAGTTATTACTATATATACTTAGTCTTTAATCTAATATTTCTAGAGGATATTAAGAAAGATTATATTAAGATTATATCTAGAGTATATACTAGAAATAGGTTCGAAGCTAAATAAAACCTTTTAATAATTTTAATTTATATTAATAAAATAGCTAAAGATAACTATAAATATTTATTAAAATAATAATATCTAATAGTTAAGATTAATAGAGAGCTTAGTCTTAGATAAAAGCTTCTAAAATAAATCTTTCTATTAATCTTAAATTATTCCTTAGATTTAATACTATATAGTTTAATAGAAAGAGAAACTAGGGATAAATAATAATAATTAAATTATTTAAAAAAGGGCTTAGAATTTAGGATACTCAATAATTTAAAAAAGAAACTATAAAATAATTATTATAGTAATTAACTATTATTTCTATAGCTTTTAGATAACTAGTTAGGCTATTTAGGAGAAATTCTTAGCCTAAAAAAGATTAGTCTATAAATTAAATAATAGCTATATAATATATTATATATTCTATAAAACGTTAGATTATTAAATATTTAGTAATACTTTAGTCTTTCTAATATATATTCCGATTCTAGTAATATTAGAGACCTATTATCCTATTCTTAATATAGATTAAATAGTCTATAACCTTACTATATTACTTATATAAGAGCTTTAGCTCTTTTATTACTAAATATATGATTTAATTAAAATATAACTATATATTAGTCTATTATAGACTCTTCTAGTTTATTTTCTTTATAGTATTATAAGAACCACTAATTTAGATATTAAACTACTAATTTAAAAATTCTACTTTATTTATACTATCAAAAATTACCTAGATCTTTTTCTAATTATTAGATTATTTTAGTATTAATAGTATAATAGAAGAGAGGCTTTACTTAGTTTACTAGCTTTCTAATAGTTCTAAGAGGATATCGAGAAATTAATTAGAATAGAAAATAGATAACTTAAACCCCTTATTCTTAATAGGAGAGAAGGTATAAAATAGATAACTAAGATATAGAAGAGATATAGTAATAGTATATTAAAATAAAGGACTTAAGATATAAAAAAATAATCTAAGGTAAATTATTATAGATTTAGGGGAATATATAGATCTAATACTTATTTCTTATTAATAGATAGGATTCGGCACTATCCTAGTACTAAATTTTATAACTAATTAGAATAGGCTCTACTAATATATATAAAGTTTATTAGATAGTAAGAAATAGATTAATAGATTAACCTATAGACTAACCTATTAACCTAAATAATTAGGTAAGAGTAATACCCTAAGATTTTTCTTTTTATCCCTAAAAAATTTTAATCTAACCAGCTAATATTATTATTTTATATAAATTCAGAAAAAATATTTAAAATAATTCTTTTATATAATTAAGACTATAATATACTTATATATTAATAAAGAAATATTAGATATTAGATTTATATCTATTTTATTATTTCTAATATATATAGTTTATTTATATAAAAAATAATAGTACTACTATAGACTTTAAATATATATTTTTAGGTTTAGTATAAGAAATAGTTAATTAATATCTTCTTTTATCTATATCTATCTATTATAAAATATAATTCTTACCTTAAAGTATTAAATCAATAAATTAATATATTATATTCTAAATATATTATTACTATATAATATTCTTTTTATAAAGAGTTATAATTATAAGTTATATTAGAATAAAAACAGTATTTAACAATAGTATATTATTAAAAAAGGTAAACAAATTATCTATCCTAATTAAGAAATTTATACTAAAATAGGTCAAAAATAGGTTAACCCGTTAACCCGCGGGTCAACCTATAGGCGAGTCAGGATTTTATTAACCCGACCTATGGGTCGTGGGTTTAGGTCATGGGTCAAGATCTTTGACCCATAGGACGGGTCTGTCCATGTCTAGACGGGTCTGTCTATGTCTACTTTGTATCCCATTCCACCTGACTGTTTGTTTAGTTGGCTCTCAGTAGCCCATCGGTGAGTCGAGTTTCCTTAGTTGGTTTAGCGACTGCAGGGGTCGTAACAAAATTCTAATTAATAGCGACGATAATATCGTTAATAGATTAACTAAACCTTTTATTGTTAAATTTCATAAATTCTAAGTATCTCTAAACCTTATTAAACCCCCGATAGTACTAAATAACGAAACTAGGATTTTGTAAAGAATATACTTGGCAGGGTATAAGGCTTGTCGATCAGGTAAAGAAATAAAGGGGAGGAGTAAGAGAAAGTAGTATATCTTTTTCACTATCAAGACTAAATCTTGTCTTACTAGCTAGATGCGAGAGTATCAATTTATCATATAATATCTTTGTAACTCCACATATCATCGATAATATAAACGACTGGGTCTCTGTTATATATCGTGATCATTCCACTGTAGGGTGGATGAAGTAACAAGTTCTGACTTCCTTTAGGATCATATGATATCACCTGATTCATCCCTTCCGTCAGTTGGGAATAACCTCCTGCCTCACCATCTTGGTAGACCCTTTACAGATTTATTAATATAAAATTAATAATAATAACGATAATTCTAATAAAATTAATAAAGATATTTATAAATTAGTATAAAAACGATAAAAATAATAACATTAATTAACGAATTTATAAAAAGAGATGATAATAATAATAATAATAATAAAATTAGTCTACTAGACTATATAATTAATTATTAACGTATCCTAGCGCTCTGATTAGCTACGAGAATCAGAGGCTAATTAATTTTATTACCGGTTTAAGAGATTTAGGCGAATTTAATAAAGATTAAGGTCTACAGTGTCGATGTTAGAGAGGGTATATTGGGACTAGGGTTCTATTAAACAGTTCTCCACTACCTCCCTAACCGCCCATAGCGTATCTATAGGTGGTAGTAGATAGCTTCTTTTCTTCTCTCCTATAGACCTTACAGATAGATAATTTGATTCTCTCTCTCTTCTGCTCCCTTAGAGTTCTGCTCTCCCTACCTTCCCCTAGTGCTCCCTAAGACAGCTCGTCGAGTATAGAGTATTCACAAATCTACAACTATACATGCGAGACCTTGGAACCAGACTGGCCCAGCAATTGCTGGGCTTCCTTATGAAGAGCTTCGCTCTCAGAGTCGGTCTCTTCCGCATCCTCATTCTCCTCTGATTCCTCTTCCTCGGACTCAGTCTCTTCTTCTTCTGAGTCAGTCTCGCCCTCAGTCTCGGTTTCGGACTCGGTCTCTGTCTCTTCTTCCTCATCCTCTTCGTCGAGCCACTGATTCAAGCTCTTCTGTCCAGCGGCGATACCCGCCACAGCAGGGCCGTTATGTTTCTGGCGCGGGGCGGCACTCTGGTGCTCGCGGAGAGCACGATCCAATCTTTCGCCTGCGGTCATCGAGGTCTGGGTCGTGGATGGCTCGGGCTTCACGTCCTCGGTGCGCAGACTCGAGTCCGGCTCTTGACCTGCCTCGACCCAATCGGGCAAAGGAGTGTAGCCAGGCAGGCCATGATAGCCGGCCTCGGGCCCAACGACAAGGGTGGCAGATCCGACCTGTAGATCCTTGCGCGTTTCGGACGGGCTGGGGGCATGCGGGACTGGCTTGGGAGCCAGGAGAAGGAGGTTGGCTAGTTGGGTGGATGCAGGGCTGGCGAGGAGAGCCTTGTAGAGGCGGGCGCGGTCACGCAGGTCGTATGAGGTGTCGTAGCGGGCAAGAAGCAATAGGTAGCGCCAAAGCAAGGTGATGCGATCCTCTTGTTCTTCCTTGGTTTCGGGGTCCTGCGTTTCTTTGCTAGTTCCCTCGCCTTCCCCGGACTGTTGGCTCTGGCTCTGATCTTCAGTGGCAGTGTCGGTCCACTCGTTGCGGAACTCCTGATTCGTCTGGACAGGACGCTCCGGTGATGACGACACCGGCTTTGGTTCTTCTTTGGGTGGGTTTTGCAAAAGATGGTGGAGATAGACCTTGGCCCCCAGAAGAACTATCTGTTGCTTGACGCCTTCCGTTTCGTCCGCGAATCCTTGCACGAGGATGCGGAGAACGTCGGGTGCGATGTTGTGAGATGGTTCCATACCCGAGAATTCGCCCACTAACCAGATGATGGTGGCTCGGGCATCCGGATGAGTAGTCGACCCGAGATGGTTGACGAGCTGCATAACAGTCTGTTTATGTGAACTCGGGTCCTGTTGGATCAGGTGGCGGATAACGGTCAATGACTCCGAGACGAGATTCCCATCCAAGCTGGAAATCTGGCCGAGAAGGATCCGAAGACACATGGCCGAGGTCTCGGAGTCGCCTTGTGCGCAGCGCCCAATAGCTCGTACACTCTCCCGGACCAGCTCTGGGTCTGTGCCTTTAGAGAAATGCTCCAACTCGCTAATGATTACACCTTTCCAGTGTTTTCCACAATGCGGGAACAGAATAGTCAGCACCTCTAACTTCAGGCGCCATATATGGGGCGGGTCATTGGCGTGGACGAGGAAGTGGGCTGTATATCTCGCGAACGGCTTCGGATCTCTCAGGGCCACAGCAACAATGCTGTAGAGGGCAATGAGTTGCATGTCCTGGGGGCTCCGTAGAAGGGCCACAAGCGGACCAATAGCTGAAGCAAGATACTCTGGGGGTGCTAGGTAAAGAAAACAGCGAACGACACCGACAATAACGGCCGAGTTGCGGTTCTGCAGCAATACCTTGCATGCCCGAAGAAAGATTTCCAAGTCAGGGTCCAGAACGGGCACCTCATATTCTTCGCCATCATCATCATTGTTCTGCTCGGGCTGTTCATCCTCATAAAATGGCTTAGTGACCGCCTGCTTGACTTTTTGGGTTCGACGAGGAAAGCATTTGCGCGCGTAAGATGTCAATAGGCGTAGCGTCGCCAGCTGTCCCCATTCATCCATATCCACTAGTTTCTTGACCAAACTGCGGTAATGTTTGTGGACCAGTTCGATCTGATCCGGGCATACCTCTAGGAACGCGGCAACTGCGGGACCGACAACGAAATATTGGGAGTCGCCCAGAAGAGTCGAAAGATATCCCATCAACTGTGGTAGCGTGTTCGGATCCAGACGGTAGCATTTAGGGATCGCCAATGCAGCTGCTTTCCGCACATGCGGGCTCATATCACCGCACCCTCTCTTGATGGCCAAAGACACGATTTGACTGATCACCGGTACTCGGATCCCCGACATCGTCCGCAGCGCCATTGTTCGCACTTGTGGGTTCTGGTCCGTGAGAGATTTCTGGATCGCATTGATAGAGAGCAGCGCCAGATCTGGCTCGGCTTCCGCATGGTGGACGAGGTAGATGTAGACCAGTTTCTTGACTTCGAGGTTGGCGCTGGCCGCGTTTTTGACGACTGCAGAAAAAAAGGTGAGGGCAGGCTCGGAGCGGTACATCAACTATAAAAAACACAAGAAGAATTGAGTTAGAAATTGCCGCCCATCTGGGGAATCATTTGGGTTAGCCACGTACCGAAATCACCCTCCGCATCCCATCCAGGACTTCACGCTCATGGCGACTGTCTAGTAGCCGTTTGATATGTGTAGCGTTGTATGTGCGAGATGAATAGTCCGGCTTCGAGCTTCGGTTGCTGGCAGCGGACTGGGCGGCCTCTAGGGTGAGCTCTCGTGCTGTGCGCACAGCGTCCCGCGGTCAGTTCCAGCCAGGATAAGAAAAGACGGGCGCAAACAAACCTGTTTCCAGCATCGACGATATTCTAGAAATTGTCTCCATCTTTCCAGCCTCCAAGGGCCCAGGCCAGGGGCAAGGGGGATCGATTGGGGGAGGAATGAGACAAGAAGTGAGGGGAGGAAAGGCGGTCCTCCGCGGGAGATGATGCAAAACTGCCCGTCGTCGGGACCCCTCGATCTGCCCATCTACAAGTCCTCGGCCCACTCACCCCAAGCGACACACTATGACTATTCACCGATCAGTGGATGATGGTCGCAAGCCGAAATGAAACTTGTTCTTAGCTCCAACCGATGACACTTTGCAGCTAGGAGACCTGGAGTGCAACGCCCATTCTACTGCCTGCAATGGCAGCGCGGATCGCTTCCTGTGACCTGGTGACCGATGCCCTGTACCGACTTCTCGACACCGACACCGACACATACCTCATCGTCTGTGCAACAAAGGCCGAGTTTTTGGTGCAGCTGGCTGCGGCTATTCGCGGCCAACGCGCCCATCCAGCCAGCGCAGGAGGTCCTGACCTGCTCACGAACACCATTGGCTTGCTCGCGAAATCTAGCAAGATACGCTTGATCTTCTGCCCGTCTCTGGAAAGCCTTCGAGCATATCTTGCAGTGCTGAGCCCAGCCGAGCGAGTAGCCCCTGGGGACGCGGCGGATCCGCGGAGACGGTTTCTGGCTGTCCTTGATATCGTGGCTCTACATGCCAACACCTCCGAGTTCTCGGCGCAAGGACTGTCGAGAACGTTGGCCGCTACTGTCGAGGCTGCCTCTCGGGCGGAAATGGACCTGACGCTCTACGAATGTACGAACGCGCTGGACCCTAGCACGGACCGCGGAAGAGGGCTATGGGATGTGCAGGTGCCGTTGCTGAATGGGTCAGTCCGAATGCGCGATGATGGAAGCGCTTGGGGAGGGCGCGGTGCGTCGGTGAAACGAATAGCCCAACGCTGGTTTGAATTCGATCAAGACAGTTCGGTGGAAAAAGCTAGACCATAACAAAAACTCCATAAAATGAATCTGTACTGCCCGGGTATCCTAGAGCCGACCGCTGAACTCCTGATCCATACATAAGCCAAGAAACCTGATTCTTCACAGGGACTTTTCCATCTCTGTGATATAGAGCTTGATGTGTGACTCGAGCTTCAGGTATTGATCGTGGGCGCCTTGAATCTCGCTCTCGATATTTTCTTTGAGATCGGCCATCTGAGGATGGGTGAGCATTTATACAGCTACTGTGGCACGGCTCGAAACATACCTTTTTCTCCGTCTGTTCAATGCGAATCCGCCTTCGTTCCATGTCCCGCTGCTTCTCGGCACGCTCCTCGCGCAGTTGCTTCTGAACATTGCGAAGCTCTTCCATGCGGACCTGGGCAATCTCTGCCTTCTCCTGGGCATTCTTCCGGAGTCCTTCGATACGTTCATTCCAACGAGCTAGCTGCCGCTGCAAAAGCTTCTCGGTTTGCTCGACCTCCCGAACACTATTCCCCCGGTCCGAGATAGCCTCCTTGTTCCGGGAAGCACGAGACTCCTCCTCGTCCTCCTTCTGCAATTCCACGGTAATATCATCAAGCAGTTTGACGCATGCCTGGACATCGTTGGAAACCACAGTGAAGGTGTCCGACGACGTTTGAAGAGCACGAGCTCTCTTTTCCATTGCATCGATCTGAGCTTTCTCGCGCATCAGGTTCTCTGACAAATCAGTCAAAGATGACTGAAGAGTTGCCGGGGATTCGAGGACATAAGGTCGCAATTTCTCTGCCTCTTGCCGTGTACGGACGGTCTTCTCGGTCTTTTCCTCGAGTTGTTGCTGTCTCCGAGCTCGTTCGCTTTTGACACGATCAAGTGTCTCCGCGACCCGAGACTGTTCTCGTCCCAACTCCAGCAATCGTGCCTTGAGCTCGTCGTTTCGGCCCACTTTATCCCTCACTTGAGCTTCGTTGGCTTGGAGATTCCGTCGCATCTCGCCCAGACGCTGCTCCATTTCCTGGTTCTCCGCCAGCAGAGTATCAATGCGCGACTTGGTCTGCTCTGTCTTGTTAAAGTGCTCGTCAATCACCTGGGTTTGCGATTCCCGGAAGCGAACGAAGTTGATCAAATAAGAAAAGATCTTGATCAGTCGATCATGCGTAGGTCTTGTCAGGTCGGTGAAGGTGAAGTCGTTGACGCCGCACTAATTGTAGAGGATGTCAGCTTCCATGAGCTCGAGATCGGGCCATCAACCAAGGGGCCGTACGCACCTCCATCAACAACCTCCGAAGGCTAATAAAGAACCCCATGAGGTTGCGCGTGTCATTGGGCACGATATCAGGATAGTCGCCGCAGATATCTTCCGCAGCCACATGCATAGCCGGCTCCACCGTCTCGCGAGTGATGTTCATAAGCAGCTCTGCAAACCATTCAAAGACCATCTGGATCTGCTGGGGATTCGGCTTGACCAGGTCGGCCGAGGAAAACGGGATACCGATATCGTTGATACATCCTGCAATTTCTTTGTCGGGCTAGAAGATGTTAGCAGGCAATCGAGGCACTGCCAGGCTCTCGGGGCCGGAGTAGGAGTCAAACTGACCAGGCGCATCAACGCATCATTCTCGTCTTCCTTCTTGCGGCCGCGATTGTGCGGTTGGGAGCCATGGAATTGCTGGCTCATGCGATGATTGTAGGCCATTGCAATTAAGCGCGACAGTCAAGTCGAGCCTGAAAACCAGGCCAAAAGTGCTCGGGTGAGGTTGTTATGATTTGCGTTGATTGTTTACGGGGAGATTCACCCCGATCGGGATTAGTGCTAATTGGAGGGGCAGCGTGCAAACAAAGCAAACTCCCAAGAAATCGTGACTCTTGTCTGGCTGCTTGTATGTCCGTCTGCTTTATTCCTACACAATCACAATGGCAACCTCGTCGGATGCGGCTGCGGCCGATGTGACAAAACCGTTCGAGTAAGTCCCTCATCCTGCCGCGGCACTGGCGTCTTGCTCACCCACCCCGCAGCATCGTCGCAACGTACAATGAGCTCCTCCGCTCCGACCCCGACCTCACCATGCCCATCGCGGCCATTGAAGCTCTGGTGCTTCTGCTCACTCACTCGGCCTCGTCCACGATATCGGAAACTCTCGATCTCTTGGAAAAGTCCACCGCCCACCTGAAGAAAGCCATCCCGAACCCCATCGGTCTCTCCGCCGGAACCGATCTCTTTCAACGATACCTGATCACGACGTTACAACGGCCGGGGCAGCTGGGTCCTGCTGGAGACTTTAAGGCTATCCGGACACATCTTCTCTCGAATGGGCGACTGTTCATCCGTCGCGCCAAAGAGAGTCGACACAAAATCGCGGCTTTCGGGCGAGGGTTTATTCGCGACGGCAGCACGGTGCTTACAAACGGTGGCTCGCGAGCCGTCGCATCACTACTGCAGAAAGCTGCAGATGACGAGGGTGGACCGTCAGCAGTGCGATTTCGCGTCATCTACGTTCTTTCATCGACCAGTCAAACCCTTGGACAGTCTTCTGAAGAGCCCGAAGGCATGGAAACGGTTCGGGCTTTGAGAGAGAAGGGCGTTCCAGTTGCGACGATCCCAGAGTCGGCGGTGGCATATGCCCTTGGGAAAGCGGATATGGTTATTGTGGGTGCAGAGGGCGTCGTGGAGAATGGCGGGATTGTCTCGCGCATGGGAACCTACCAGATCGGCCTGCTCGCCAAGGCAATTGGCAAACCATTCTACGTAGTGGCGGAAAGCCACAAGTTCGTTCGACTGTATCCCCTTGGCCAGTACGATCTGCCCATCGAGCAACGCGTCATTGAGTTCCAGTCGGAGGAGGATATTGCCGAGGAAAACAAGCAACAAGCAGCCAAGACCGACGCAAACGCAGAGACTCCGATTGAGCTGCCCCTCTGTGATTCTGTGGATTTCACTCCACCGCATTTGATTTCGGCGCTGATTACGGATAGCGGCGTTCTGACCCCCAGCGCCGTTAGTGAGGAGCTGATCAAGATCTGGTTTTGAGGGTTTGTTTGATGGCCCCGTGAGACTGGCTCTCCAAAACCCCAAGGGCTCGAACCGGACGAGAAAAGTACGATAATAGATGACATGATGGGAATGACTTGATGTGACCTGCGTCTCCAACTCCGCCTGTTTTGCGAATCCAGCCGAGTGCTGATATAGGACAATGGGGAAACTCGCCCTGCAGAAGCCTTTTCAAGGTTGCGCAAGGGGACCAGAGAAGATACCCGTCACGCAGAATAAGCATCAAGTGTGGAAAGGTCTGTGCAGCTGCACTCGTGTTCTGACTGTCCTTTTTAAAAGGATCTAATGGAATGAATTTCGAAAGTTCATTTCTTATTCTTCATTCCACTTGATGCACCCAATAGATCCCGGAAAGAGAAAATGAATTCCAAGCTATAGATCCTCCACATATCTTGAAACAGCCGGGAACGCTCAATCCCAAACGCCACATCTCTTGGTCATGTCATCGTTATCGTCAACCATGAAAAAGAAAATCGCCGTTGTACTCGACGACACGAGATGAATAAGTTTCCCGAAAAGAATGAAACCCGAAACCGCGTCAAGATACTCGTGCTGTGGTAGCAGCATCGTAGAAAAAAAGAAAGAATCGAATCGAGAAGCCACTGCAATCGCCTCTATACCACAACCCTATGACCAGATGGCCAGACCAAGATATTCATCCCAGTCCAATGATCACCCCCTTGTGATTGTCCCCGCGAGAACCCTGATGCAGCCTCGATTGCACCAAGCCCGGTTTGATATATTTCCTTTTTATCTTCGAGATTGGAGTTACGAGATCGCGATCCGGTTCGAGACGAGCGCACGCCATTCTGGGGCTTGCAGCGCAGCAAAGGCGTAGAGTAGTAGGTATCCGAGGGCCACGAATATCCACAGCGGTGCCATCTGGGATATGACGAAATGGCTAAGAAAGGAAGGAGAAAGTCGGTGAGGGGAGTATGAAGTGAAGGGGGAGGTCCGTAGAGGTGTGACTTTTTTTTTATATACTTCGACTCTCAACTTCTGTAATTGTGAAAGAGTCAAATGACAATTCCAGATCGTCTATAGGAAGGAAAGAGAAGTGAGAAGTGAAAGTCCAAAATTAAACAAGAAGAACAGCATAAGACAAGAGACATTTGATTTCCGAGAGATCCCAGCCGGGCATTTTAAACCCAGCCAGACCGAAAGATTGGCCTCTGTCCGTCCTCTCTCTCCCCGACACGTCCCCATCCAATTTCCAGTGGGTGGATTAAGTCTTCGGCCATTGAGAGAGCATAGTTGCTCGACTGCAGTGATAGTGATGCGGGGGTTCTTTGGGAGAATCGAAAAAAAAACGCTTCTTCCGTCAAGACCAGGATTTTCACTACTAGCAGGGATACAGAGAGTCTAGCCCACGTCTTTGTTCAATCGGGGGCCTCGTGGATCGGATTTTCTTGTTTGGGAATGGTGTTTGCAGTGTTTCTCGAGGGATGTGGAGATATCAGAGGGAAGGAAGTGGATTTCTGTCAGGGTCTGGGGGTGGGATGAATAAGAAATGGGCAGGGAGGGTACTCTGGCAGGATCTATTCTGTGTGATTGTGGGCTGTTATCTCTAGATATTGTATATCTTAGGAGACCAGCTTTAGTGTGTCTGCAAAATACATTGACATCCATGGATCGCCTTATAGCTGATTTATACTTTATACTTTATGGGGCAGCATTTAACTTCTCCTTTCCCTGGGGTTCCCTGGTCATGCACCGGAATCATCGGCGATGGCTGTTGGTGATATCTGACTTGCCCATGTGTTGTTGAGATGAAGTAGAAAGGGTAGCATTCCTTAAGCTTAATTAATACTTGTAAGAGAAGTCAAGCCACTCTCTCGTTTTGCAAGCTCTAGGCCATAGTTCTCATCTGGACGGGTTTTGGTCGCCCAGTTAGGGCATTGCAACGTTTCATGGTTATAGAACCTGGACCCTGTCCTCAAAGCACACCAGAAAACCATATCACCATATTTCTCACCAACTGAACATGTGAAATCCCTTCTTCATAAAATGAAGCACTTAGACCTTCAGACTCTGAAGATCCTAACACGCAATGCCCCACAGACCCCCGCCCTCAGTTCCTGATCCAACACGGGCTGCCAGTCTGACCGTTTCTCTCTTTATTTTCTCGCTTGCTCTCTCTAACTCTGTTCTGTTTTCTCTGATCCCCATCTCAAACCAAAAACCAGAAACAGAGAAAACAAAAATACCTTGAATTTGATATTAAACCCTGATTTTAAGACATTCGAAACCCTGCATCTCCGTGTGGAGACCGGTTCATATTGCCTCGTTTCAACCCCGCTCTCTCTCTCTCCCCTAGCGCAACAGCGCCGCTTGACGCTTTTCTGACCTGAGACATCCGTCAAGGAAGAAAGAAAATAAAAAGGAAGGGAAAAAAATAAACCATGGATGCCCAACCCTTAACGACACTCCTCCAATCCGAATCCCAGTCCCTCCACCCCAGACCCGATTCCCACGGTTCGTTCGATCTCTCCGGCCCCGATACCCGCCACAACCCGGGGTCGTGGTCTCTCAAGCGACTCTTGAGTGGACGTGGGAGTCGCAGGTATCGTGTTCTGGAGCGAGAGCCGAATCGGCTTCGGAAGCGGGTGAGCCAGTGATGGTATTATATCTATATATCCATCAGCTCGCAGTGGTCCGGGGGGATTTCCCCATTGTATATGGGTACCAGTTCGGAGATGGAGGAATTAGGAATGATTTGGGATCATATGCAGGCGCTCTTCTATCGTTGGCTTTGGGGCTGGGAATCTTCTTCCTTGTTTCCTGCGGGTCTGCATCCTGCCTGGCGTTTGCATTAGAGAATTCGAATGGGGTATGGAATTATGATATTGCGGGCAAGGAAGAATTTCAGTGGTTCTGTCTTTGAGCTGTCATATGTAGGAAATCCAGTCCAGTCCAGTAGAGGAAATGCGTTGGCGTCGGCAATGTGCCGTCTTAACGGTCGTGGCAAACCCTCAATGGATTTCCCCACGCCACAACCACGATCCCTACAGATGATGGGGTTTCTTACTCGTCGATAAGAGACAAGTGTGTGCAATCAGCAATCGACCGTGCCGAGTCTTTCTAGATTTCGGTTTATTTTATTTTTACTTCTTGGTTGTCTTTTGCTTGGAATACATCGCAAAGCTAACCCTGCAGCCTTAGGTGCTGGATCGACCCGTCCCTAGTGATAACTCAAAAAGATAGTAATTTTTATAGATGAAGGATCGTGTGATCCAATCGATGCACGCTCCGATGCCCAAGTTTGTTTTTGAGCAGGTCTCGGCTAGCGGTTTGCTGCAGTGGGGCTCAGACTGACTCCATGGGGCACATTATGGTGATCTTTGGTCACCGGCTCGGTGTGTGAGCTGTAAATTGTCGGAATTTCGATCTTTTTGAGACTGTGGTGGACATAGAGAGGGAGAGAGGAATTGTGGAGAGGGCTAAGTAGAACCGCGTATCTGCATTTTGCTTGCACGATATAGATCGGAAAACAATTGGATCACTCGACTTTTTTTGGGGTTTGATTCATTCGATCTGTTAATAATCTATTTTTATTCATTCTATTTTACCCTTTTCTCGCACCACTGATTTCGGCAAGATGGGCCATGTCCGGGGAGAGAAGTGAATTCATTTCCTCCCCGGGCCCTAGGAAGTCTCCATGCATGTACATGATTTTCCACACTTGGGGAGTTCCGAGTCAAAGACGATCTTATCTGGAACTTTTCAGTTGGGTCTGGTGGCAATGGCAATCGTAGATGCTTGCAAAATGCACCGAGTCGCTGGATTTTGAATGAAAAACGTATATTTAGCAGAGCAGGGGCGACACTCCTTGCGAGGCCATAGATAGTGAATTCTAAGGAATAACCAGGGATCGATCTATTGGAATGTCTGAGACAACCATGAGTCCACGTGAGGAGGAAGGATATATTTATTTCTATTTTGACTTTGCTGTCTATTTGGCTAGATTCAATAATTTATGATAATTATTCCCTCGAGGCATAGTCATACTAGGGCCGATGCGAGTCCATAATCACTAGCCCCTAATTCGGGTCGATCAACTTACAGTATCCAGTATATAGTTCACAGTAATTACTCCAATGTGAGCAAAGAACAAGCCATAGACAGTAAAAAGTCTGAGGATAAATTAAGGAGACAGTAGAATCAGCATTTCCATGGATCGAGTCGAGGGGTGCGTCAGATCTGCCGTGTCATCGCGGAACCAGACTTGTGCTGGCCCACCCGTCAAACGGCCTCAAGGGCGAGAATAACCAAATAATAGTACTAGAACACTGATTCTATAGAATCGAATAATAATAAACATCAATCAATATGCAGAGAATAACAATAATAATAATAATATAATAAAACAAAGCAAAACACAAGGTGATCAGCCCTCGCGTCTCTTGACTCCACTGGAGACCCAATTTCCCAATTTCCCGTGAAAGGAGACACAGTGACGATCTCGAGGCCTGCAAATTGGCCGGATATCTTCTAGTCCAAGTAAAAAAGGTAGATAGACAGGTACCAGGCACTGGTGTGACTTGGAAATGCCAAGCGGTTATTTTTGGGGGGGGTTTTTGGGGGGTTTTTTTTAGGGGAAAAACCAAAACAACGTAAAATTTGTGCCTTGGGGTCTGGGCCTGATTAACGGGGCGCTTTTCTTTGCTTTCTCTCTCTCTTCTCTTCTTCTCTCCCTTTTATTCCCTCGACTCCCATTCCCTTCCCTTTTACTTTTCGAGTCACGAGTGCGACGCACGTTCGCTGCAGCCCCCTCTCTGTCGATCAACTGGTCGCTGACCCCAAAGCTTCACTTATGACGAGGGTGGCCTGCTGAGACCCGCTTTCCAACGCCTCTTGTCTTTCTGACCCCCTTTTGACTGTATTCTTTTTCTTTTTTTTTTCACCTTTTTTTATTTTTCTTCCATTCTCCATGAGTCCCGTCAGCCGGTCGCGCGACCCTACTAATACAGACAGCGACTGCAACTGATTCGCTTGTGGGCTCGAGTTGCACTCTAGCACCATGGCGATATGGCCCTTCGGTCGCAAAAACAAGCGACACACGATCCAAGTCAGCCCAGACGAGGCCGCCACTCTCCAGTCGTCGTTGGAGGAGCAGGACCCCCAGGAGCCCGACATCGAGCCAACGTTGGGTCGCAAACTTTCCCGAAGACAATCCAAGCGCCACAGTGTTGCGCGACCCGATGGTACGGATAGCATCCGCGGCTCGGCACGCGCCCCTTCCCATCGCCCGATCTCGTCCCTGGATGCTCGCAATTCTGACGCCGGCTATGATCGTGTCGAGCGTGACAATCTTCAATCGCTGCCTCGCAACGAACCCCTCTACGAGCACCAGCCCCCTCCGCGCCCTGTGTCTCGCACTGGGTCAGTGCTAAGGCGCAAACCAACCCAAAATGGCCCAAATAAACTCAAGAAAAGCAAACGCAGGACCGACGAGGCTATGAGGGAGCGCGAGATTCGTATGCTATCGTCTACTCCCATCGATATCCCGCGCCGGTCATTTCCCGCAGGTGGTGATTATGGGATGGAGCAGCGCCGGCGCAAAGCCAATAGATATCTCTCCGATGTCAGCCTTTCGATTCGCGATTCTGCCGCGTCCTCCATTTCGGATGCCTCCGACCCCTACACCTTCAAGGTCAACGCGTTTGCCGCGCTGACTCCGCGCCCTGTCGTTCGCTACGTCGAAGCGCCGCGACTTCCGACTGCAAAAAGCCAGAATGCGCCTTCGACCCGAGAACAAAAAGAGAGACTGCAGGCGATGACAATGTCGCAAGAAGAGCTATATTACTCCAAACGACGCGTGAACGAGCTGGCCGATTCCCTTGATGCAGGCTCCCTGAGGGAGTTGTTAGAGCGGGACCGCCGTCGCCGCGAGAAGAAACAAATCGACGACCAAGAAAAGCTCCGACGCAAACTCCAAGAAAGAGCCGACGCCCAGCGAGTCGAGGAAGAACAACGGGCTGCCGAAGAGGCGGCGGCAGCTGCGCCTGCGATTGCTGTTGCAGAGACCCAGGATGAAGCTAGTCGAAAAGACGATTCAGCATCTGCCGCAGCCGCACCAGAGCAATCGGGGTCGTGGCTAAGGGGTGCATCCAAAGGTAGTGAGGTCACTAGACGTGAATCAGTCGAGAGTTCCCGCGACCCTTCTGTCCGTGACCAGCGACTGGCTGCTCGTCCGAGCTTTGCGCAGTCCCACGAGATGGGCATGTCGCGCACAACTCTTTCTCCCCACTCATCTGTCCGGCACGGGCTTAGTAGCCCCAGCCAATCGCAAAACTTTGGGCTTGGCTCAACTTCGGATATTTCCAGGACGGTGGATTCGGAGCGCCGGCCGTCTGATACAAGTGGTCGCCGCGGCAATGCCATCTCGTCTTTGTTCCGACGTGGTTCTTCTCGCCTCAAGCGCCGTTACCGCGAGCGATTCCAGGACACCAGCCCTGAAGTCTCCAACGCCTCGCACGAATCCTTCTACAAAATCCAAACCCAATCCTCCCCACCTCCCGCAGTGGTGCCCCCTCCCCGCACATTTGTTGCCATTGGAACCGTTAAACGCTCCCAATCCAAATTCACCGAACACTTTGGCGACGAGCCGCTGTCGCCCTCTGAATCGCGTTTGCAGTCTCCGATTATCCCCGAACAAGTCCCGGAGTCATCCATGGAGAACGAGGAAGAGAAGCACGAGATGTCTTCTCTGAATGAACCTGCTCCCAGCGCTGGCATCGATATTAAAAACCCCCGCCGAGATCGCCACCAGTCCTGGACTGCCGAGAGCTTCGACGCGGAATCGGATAATGTCCCGCTTTCGCAGTCTCTCGCGTCGATTGACTCTGAGGGGTCATGGATGTCGGGCCAGTTCTTCCGTCGAATGTCGCAGAAACCGAGCAGCCCTGTTCGCGCAAACATTGACTCATTGGGTCCTATGCCGACGGATGGGCCCGCCGACACTCCCGATGATATACAGGAGTCGGTGGATTCCCGTCGTCCTAGTAGCCAGATGATGGGAGAGCCCGAGCTGGATAATGATCTGGCCGGTGCCGATGCCAGCAAACCGGCAGAGACATGGCACAGTGAAGTTGGTCGCCGACCGATTCTCGTGAACCCCATCGTCCGCCCCAAGTCCACCCAGGGTATGCTGAAGACTTCCCTGTCACCCATCTCTGCCGAGGATGACTTCAGCCCCGAGGAGGAGCCGATCCCCATTGCCCTTCAACGGGTGCCCAGTGCCAAAGCCGAAATTGGGCATGTCGAGACGGATGGTTTCATATAAAAAGGGCCGAGGTTTGAATGATTTGACCTCAATTAATGCCCATCTCATGACCTTGAACGTGCTCGCACCCCGAGCATATAGTGCCGTCATTCCTTGAAATTTCCTTTGTTCTTTTCCTTTGTTCAACCCCCCTGTGATATTCGAAGCAGCCATGTACGATGTGATGCAGAGCCAATCACCGATATGCCACTGCCTACCCGGTTACCCTCCCCTATCCCCTTATTCCCTGATCCCCGTACCTCCCTGCCCCTGCACCCTTTTTTTTTTTTTTTTTTTTTGTCTCTGATCTGACATGCTGCGCTTGTCATTAGCTTCTTTTTCTGCTTCTTTCGATTTGTTGATACCCCCACTTCGCCCCATGTTTACAGTTGGGTCAGATGCATCAATCCCATTTATTCTTCTTGATGTGGACCCAGTCCATTGAGTCCACCATAAAATCCATGGCAATGTGTGAGATCATGTCTGCTATGGATATAGTCCTATGGTTTGGGCCATTTGGGACATATATGCCATTTTGCTTTACCTCTTTCCCTTCTCCCTCGATATTAGTACACTACTTTTGCGCTGATATGCTAAGACCCTGCTTGTACATACCAGAATCGGGCTCGCATCAAGCTATTCTAGAATTTGATTAACAATTTGGAATAATACTGAAGAATTTATCCTACATCTACTTAGTCAACTTGCCACGCAGGTAACTAAAAGATATCTAGTTAGGCTGGTGGATATACAGTGCAAGTCAGGCCAGACTGGGGCGATTCATAAGCAAAGCACGTCATTTCATACTGCCACACATCACCGCCCCAGCATTCCCCCGAACTGCCGAATCATCCAATCGGCCAGCATCCACTCCCAAGCGCGTTGTACTCCAGAATTGCCTTGAACACCAATTGCACCATGCTGCCAGTAAGTGAAAACCTGCGTTCTGCATTTGATTACCCATGCAATGAACCACCTGTACCCAGCCCTGCTACCCTGTTACTCTTTTGATTTATGAGTAACTGAGTAACCTGGCCGTGGAAGCTTCCACGCGGATTAATCATCCTGAGTTACCTAAGCCTCTTCTGGAACGTCATCGCCCTATAAAATCACCAAGGGCGCCCCTCCATCCGGAGAGCGAGCCCCTCCTAATAATTGACTGGCATTGACCTCTTTTCTTCTTCTCCCTCTCCCACCAGATCAAACCTCCCACTGTGGCCTCTTTCCGGCTTTCTTCCAGACTCTCCACCTCCGTCCTTCGAGCTTCTTCTCCTCTGCTTACGGTCCGCTCTGCTCCCGCTCGACCTTTTTCCAGCACGCCGATTTCCCGCTTTTCGCAGTCGATTCCCAAAATGGGTGTCACTCAGATCGCCACGTACGTTCGTTCCTATTTCATTTTCTTCATTCCTGGATAGTTGGCTACTATCATTTGAAACACTTACTACTCATGATCCAAACCATCGAATTGAAAAAACCATTCTAATTTATATTCCTTGACAGTGCCGACGAGTTCAAGGAGAAGGTCCTGGAATCAGAGGACCGCGTCGTCGTCGACTTCTTCGCCACGTGGTGTGGTCCCTGCAAGGCCATCGCCCCCGCCGTCGAGAAGCTCAGCAACGAGAACGCCACCCTCAAGTTCTACAAGGTCGACGTTGACGAGCTCGCCTCTGTCGCTGCCGACCTCGGCATCTCGGCGATGCCTACTTTTGCTTTCTTCAAGGGCGGCGAGCGCCTCGGTGAACTGACTGTTCGCGGTGCGAACCCGCCTGCTATCAAAGCTGCTGTCCAGGAGCTTGCTGCATAGATTTGAGGGTTGGTGACGGTGAACTTGTGATATGAATATGGATTCATACTTCTTTTCCTCTTCGCCCGTAATTATATATTCCACATTTGATAGACTTACTATTAGAGGATAGGATCTTAGTAACAGTCAGATGTGCCTCCCGAGGTCGTTCAGTACTTGTGGATGGCACATTCCATCAGACTGGAAAGTAGGTGGTTATAGCATCTCCATTATACACGAGATCAGACTCAGGATTATCGTCACACATATCAAGACAGAATCAAAGCTAGACAGGCGCTGTATGTAATGCAAGAAATGATAGTAGAATGCCTTCGTAGCCGCATCACCGACGAGTATAATCCCCCCCATCTGCAAGGCAAGCAACTCAACTTTTTGGGAGCAAAGCAACATATACATGCCTGACTCATGCCGCATTGGGGTCCTCACGCTCCAGAAATGCCGGATCCATTTCAATGCGTCGCTCGAACTTGGTCCACCAATCGCGGAAGCTCTTGAGCGGAACAACATCCTGGCCCTTATGGCTGGGATCAGACTCGGCAAAGCTAGCCAGGAAATTGAACGCGCTGCCGATAATGCGCTGGGCCAGGACTTTCGTCGAGATTTGCTGCTGCTGTCGCTGGTCCGCAGACCGGGGCACCAAAGCCGTGGAGGACTGCGACGGGTCCTGGGCCTGCGACTGGCGAGGACGCTCGGCCTCGAGCGTTGCTAGCTGCGGCGCGATGTTTTGTGCGGGCTCGATGGAAATGCCCAGCGTCACGACGACGCCGCCGCCGCTGGCGCCGCCGGCCCCGCCTGATGTGCCCTCGTCGAGCATTTCGTCTTCCTCCTCGGCCTCGCTGCGCTGTGGGATGTCATTGCTGCTGGATTGAGTGGACGGGCGCACGGTGAAGATCCCCGATGGCTTCTCGTTGGCGAGCGCCCCGATGAAGCGGAAGTCGGTTGGGTGGCCGGAGGCTAGGTCCGGGAGCTGGGCGTAGATGGCGGCACCTGTATTGGGTGGGAGGATGGTTCCTGGCAGGAAGAAGACCACAATGTCGCTAAAGGGCGGGCTGAGCGGGATCGTGATGGTGAATTTAGTCGCTTGTCCATTGGGTTGCGCGTCGACGGCGACAATGTCGGTCAGACATGGCCGGCCTGGGACCACGACGGAGAACATGAGAGAGGAATTGAGGGAGGGAAGACAAAGGGGAAGGGTTGGGTGAAGTAGGCGTGTGAGGAACGATCCTCTCTGTTCAGTCGCAAACCTGCCAAGTTTCCAAGGCTCGATGATGAAAGTGACATAAGAGGGGGCACCCTTATCGATAAGGGCTTGGCCTGTCCGCACTCTTTTCTCCATTCGAGAAGCAACTGGAATATTCACCATGGCCAAGTCGAATCTGGAGCTGGTCTGCGAATGCGATAGGTACTGAACTCCTGGCCCTGTGTTTTGGTGCTCGTCTCACGCCGGCCCAGTTTCCCCTACTACGAGGATGACCGTGCCGCCTACACGGCCAACCTCAACAACTACCACGCCTTCCGCGTGTCCGGATACGATGCTACGCTAGGATATATTTTGAACGCGGTGGTCGAGCGATTCCCCTGGCCACAGAATTGCTGGGCCGTGGACTCGGCGGCGCGCACAGTGACGCTCCTAGCCCCGAAAGACGCCAGCCCCGCGCACCGCAGCAAGCTGGTGGCGCAGAGCGTCGCCGAGGCCGTGCGACACAGCCACTTCGAAGTGCTGAAGGGATGGCGCAACGAGATGTACCCAGTGTTTGGGCCCAGGGGTGAGTTTCTGTTCGAGATTGAGCGCGCCGCCTCGCCGCTGTTCGGCATCGTCTCGTACGGCGCCCACCTGACCGGGTATGTGGAGGACCTGGCGGGCATCAAGATCTGGGTCCCGCGCCGCGCAAAAAACAAGCAGACCTATCCGGGTATGCTGGACAACACAGTCGCAGGCGGCATGTGCACGGGCGAGGCGCCCTTTGAGTGCATTGTGCGCGAAGCCATGGAGGAGGCCTCGCTGCCCGAGCCGGTTGTGCGCGCTGCTACCGTCTCCCGTGGCTGCGTCACCTACGTGCATGTGCGCGATGTACGGGCCGGCGGCGAGACTGGCCTGCTGCAGCCCGAGGTCGAGTATGTCTATGATTTGAAACTCGACCCGGCAGTCGTTCCCAAGCCAGGGGATAATGAAGTCGAGGCGTTCCAGCTGCTGTCGATTCCTGAGGTCCAGCAGGCATTATCTAATGGCGAGTTCAAGCCGAATTGTGCTATCATCATGATCGATTTCTTTATCCGACATGGTCTTCTGACCCCGGAGAATGAGCCCGATTATTTGGAGATCGTCGCCCGGTTGCATCGACGCATGGAACACCCGACTGCATCGCATTGCTCTCGGTAGAAATTAGCCATAGGCTTCATAGCACCGTGGCCAGGATATGTCCATACATCTCAGCGGGCAGATCTGGCACTCGATGATTTTGTATAGACGCTGAATTTGACCCAGACTGAGGCGAGCAATGACATTTGTGAATATGTAGCAGCTTTTTACATTCACTTTACCGTGCTCTCACAGATCAATTAGATCGAATCCCTGCCTCCCTCGATCTGAAGACTACCTTCTATGTGCGTTCATCTATCCTAACTGTTCCATGGCGATTGCCTGCGCGCCTTTTCTTTTTCTTTCTTCCTTTTTCAAGTTCGAGAATGCCTAAAATAAGGCAATCTTTGTGCCATACTCAAACCTCATTATTGTACGTAGCTCTTCATAATCTACTTGCAACATTTCCATCTCGCTAGTCAGGCGAGCTCGCTCTTCCAGGGTAGCAGAAGACTCGGCGGCAAGTCGCTCGACTTCTTCGTCTTCCAAGCTGCTGATCCTTTTGCTCGTGAAGATACGGCTCAATGGGCTCAGGAGGCAGTTTTAGATTCCAAGGATGGCGACGCTGTCAATGAAAGTAGCCATGGCAATCTACATTGCTGATAAGAAATTGAAAAACAAGCTTACTTCTTCGAATCAATCAGTGTGGAAACTCACATCATAGTGCGCCTGTATCTAGTCGATGATATTCGCTGCAGAGAATTGACCATTTGACAGTTGCAGTGTGGGAGGCTTTCTGGAGCTTCTCGAGAGTGAGCTTCTCACTGGAGTTTGCTAGCTCCGGCTGTAACTTTGACTTCAACTTGACCAACTGGCGATCAACCCGAGCCTTCTGGGCTTTTGCAAGAAACCCTTTTCCCTGGCGCATCGCAATGCCTCGCTTGTTGTAAGCTATCAAATCAGCGAGCCTTTTCAGGAGATGGCGTTCCATTTTATGAAGAGCATGTTCGAAGAAACCTTCCATCAGCAAGTGACAAATCCGATGGTCTGTGATATGATGTAGCGCCAAGCTGATAAAGGAGTTTACAGACAACCAGGCCTGGAATAAATGATGCTGAGCTATTTCTTCCCACGGCTTGGACTGGGCTCTAAAGAGAGCATACACCAAGAGCTGATACGTGTTTGCTAGTGACTCCATTTCTCGGTTCCGGCGTGCGCACTCGTTGATCTCCCGTTCAACAGCTTCTCGTCGGTAGATTGCTGGTTGTCAGATATTTCCGTAGATATTTGTGCCAATCGCTGGGTATGTGGTGCCATTGACATCCACGATGAATCTCCCACATCCGTCGGCCATCATGATTTCGGCAAAATCTTCATTCAGTTCTTGAATCACGGAGCGTAGACGGCGATTATCCAAGTAGAACTAAGAGATATACCATTTGCCTGCACATAGCCTTTAAGTTAGGAGACAGAAAGAGATTCTGTGATACTAGACCTAATTACCAGAGCCAGTTGCTCTATATACACATCAACAAACCCAATGACCTAGAACAATGACATATGATATTAGATCCGGCACCAGAGATAGATACCTTCACTAACAGTCCAGGATTGTTGTACAGTACAATTTCATAGAGTATAGATAGAGTATGGAGAATGTCAAGCTTTTGCATGTACTCGCCCTGATATGCCACCCATAGAAGAAGTCTCATCAGCGTCCATGAAAACCATGTCTGGATGATCACCTATTGGTATACCCAAAACAAAATGCAAAAAACGCCAGCGCTGCACAACCCAGCAAGAAAAGATGTCAACATCTGCCCAGATAAAGAGCCCCCCAAATTTTTCTTGGTCGTTATCACCAGATGAGATCAATTTACAGCTCACCCTAGACCAGAGCAATAGGCAACAAAAAAGAAAAGAGAAGAACAATTCCAGCAGCCGCGAACCTATTTCTTGAGAAGCAGGTACACATGATCGATGCGCAGCGGGGCGAGCTTCTTGTACGGGCCTTCGAGGTAGAGTAGCAATCCACCGAAGGAAACAAAGACGGCCCTAGAATTGGGCGAATATTAGTGACTGCCACTCCAGAAAAGAAAATAGCTGAAGAGAAAAAGCCCACGGGCCAAGAATGTTGCAAGAACAAGTTCGCGACACACTTACATTGTATCCTTGGTGGCGCCCTCCTCAAACCGATACACCTTGCCGTGGCAGACATAGTCGTAGTCATTTGCCAGCGTCTGCTCACCCATGCTGACTTCTCTCCAGCTGGCGCGGGTGTCTTCCTTGCCGTCGAGGGACAGAGTCGAGGCCAGCGCCAGGGACAGCGACTCACCCACGGCGCATGGGTAGAGCTCCGAGTTCACATCCAGAGTAAAAGTGATAGAGGCATCAGTCGAGTTGCAAGTTAGACGCGAGACGCGGTCGTATTTTTGGGCGTTGATCGCCGTAATCGCGAAGGTGTCTTCGAAGAGGAGCGGGTCTGACATGGTGAGATTATGGCCGGCGGGCAGTCGATCGAATGGATAGTTGATAGTAGGGCCTTGTAACTTGTGAAGACTCAGATGGTGTAAGTAAAGAGGCTTAATGTCCCAAGAATAGACTGGTTGGTGTTGCGCTGGGATTGAAGAAGTTGGATGCAAAGGCGGAGTTGATCGGAGAAGCTCTTTTTTTTTCTGCCGCTTAGGGTCCCGCCGATAACGAGGTGCTCGATCGCCTCAATTCGTTGTCTCGCAGTTTTACTTTCTTGCATCTACTATTTTGTTCCCTGAAATGTCCTTTCGAAAGCGGAATATCGGTCTCTCTTCAGGCGCTGACCGTGCTACTGTTCCCAATGCCTCTCTACGGCCAGCACCCGAGTCAATCCCCGGCATCCGCCCCTCACCTGATGATGGACGACCAACTACTTCCACAGGCACTCCGTCGCTAGATAATCTGCTCGCAGGCCATGCAGGGCTACCACTGGGGAAGCTACTGCTGGTAGAGGAGAACGGGACTACGGATTTTGCGGGCGCATTGCTCCGCTACTACGCGGCAGAGGGGGTGGTACAAGAGCAGAAAGTCCATGTGGTCGGGGTGCCGGAGCAATGGGGACGGAGTCTGCCAGGACTGATCGGCTCGGCAGAGTCACTCGATGAGAAAAGGTCTGATAAGCGCAAGGATGAGCGCATGAAGATTGCATGGCGATACGAGCGATTGGGCGAGTTCGGGGCGACTATTGCAGGCTCGCGCGGTGAGTAGATCATTGCAGAGTTGGCGATGCTGCCATATGCTAATCGTGATAGCCCCTACGACTACCGGGGAACAGGACCCTACTGCACCGCAGACGCCGGCCTTCTGCCACGCTTTTGACCTCACTAAACGTCTCGCCCACCCATCCATCACGAACATGTCCTTCATTCCACTGGCGCCCTCGAAAGAATCGCCGTTTCACTCTGTCCTCAAACGACTCCAAACCGCAATCTCCTCCAGTGCCCCTAATACAATCCACCGGATTGTCATTCCATCGCTGCTCAACCCCACTATGTATCCGCCCGACATTTGCCAACCCGAACACGTCCTCCAATTCTTCCACTCCCTGAAGGCACTGATGAGCGCGCACGCCACGCGCGCCACTGCCATGATAACCTTTCCTTTATCCCTCTTTCCACGCTCATCGGGATTAGTCCGTTGGGTTGAGTTGCTCAGCGACGGGGTCATTGAGCTCTGTCCGTTCCCACACTCCGCAGATGCCCTAGGGACATCAGGGGCGGCGACGTCCCAAGAAGAGCCCCCGCAAGGCATGCTAAAAGCCCATCGGTTGCCAGTATTGCATGAGCGCGGCGGAGGGAGCGATCAAAATGTTGGGCAGGACTGGGCGTTCATCCTGAGCCGGCGCCGGTTCGAAATCAAGCCTTTTAGTCTGCCACCCGCCGAGGGTGACAAGGAGGCGCAGGATGCACCGGCCCCCAACGGAATGCCTAATAAATCGGACCTCGAGTTTTAAAGGATCGTAATGATTGGTCCGAGTCGGGGGAGATCAATCCTCCTCGAAATGACGATGGGTTCCGGGCTCAGCGAGCATGTCCTCAAGCTCGATCTGCTCGGACATGGAGGGTCCCGTGCTAGCCATGGTCCGGAGGTAGCTCGGTCCGTACGCGTCGAGCCCTGGCCGCGCTGAGAATTCTCCCAGGCGAGTGCGCAGGTGACTCCCTAGGCAGGCCGAAACCGCAAGCCACGCTGGTCGGGTCTCAGTTATCACGGATGGATCTAGAAAGAAGAAGGGTGACTGACCGATGAAGAGTAGCAGCGGTGCGAAAAAGACCAGGAACAACAGTAGGAGAAAATCCATGGTGATGGCGAGAATAGAGACGGAGGAGTGTAGGCGACGTGAAGGAACGCTGTCGCCAAGACATCCCAAAGCGGACAAGCGCGTTGGACTGCATTTTTCTTTTTTCTTCTTCTTCTTTTCTTCTTTTCTTCTTTTCTTCTCTTATCTTCCTCTCTTCTAGTTGTCTCTCCCTCTTCCACAGCCATTTGCACCTGGCTCCGAGTTGCTGGTCAACCAAAGCCATTTTTCTTCTTCCATTTTTAATGGTAAGTTTCCACAGTCTCCATGATCCTCCCACCTCGCATGATTATATACCTACAAAATCTGTCAATCCCCTGAAGCTCGTTAAATATCTCAAAATTGAGCATATGTGATTGAGAAACGTATTGAAAATGACCTCGACTTGGTTATCTGCTTTGTCTCGCATTTGATTCCATATGGCCATTGCTAATTCCACTGTGGCACAGAATCTATGACTGAAAATTTATTCTTATCTTGATTTTGCTTTGATTTCTTATTTCTCTGTTTCTTTTCTCTTCCACCCACAATGGACCTCACTCCCACCCTTCCCATCCCGATCTCCTACGTATCCGGTAGATACCTACTATTCTCCATTGACGCCGTGACCTACCTTCGACGCGAGCACAACATCTGCGGCGTGCTGATCGGGACACTGCCGCAGATCCCCCAGCAGAATGTGTTCTTGGGACTCCCGCTGGAGCTGACCCCGGAAGAGGCGCGACTGTTGGTGGACAAGGGTGTAGCTTGCATCGTAGATGAGGCCAAGGCGCAGCTCGGCATGAAGTCTCTCTTAGAGGAGGACTGCAGACGCTATCTGCACGATCTCGAGGCCCAGGGCCTGGGTGTGATGCGCGTGCAGTCCGACCGCAAGGAGCAGCAGCGCGAACAGACCCTGAAGAAAATAGAAGCGAAAAAGGCTAAGGCGAAGGCCTCCAAGGCTTCTGCTGCTGCTGCTCCCGCCGATGCTGCTACGACCACCTCCACGTCCACAACCGCTTCGCACAAGGATACGCCCTCGGCGGTAGTGGATCTCTTTGCTGCAGACGAAAGAAACACACTCTCTCCCAACTCCCGGACGTCCTCGAGTAGGACCACTGCGTCGCAGCCAACAATGGGCATCACACCTGCCACATCCTACCCGCCCCTCTCCCACCCGGTTTCTTCTTCATCCTCGGCACCGCTGCTCCCGGCGCCCACGGTGCCAGAGTCATATGCGCTCTTTGCTCACCTGCATTCGCGCGGCTACTTCCTCTCGCCCGGACTGCGCTTCGGGTGCCAGTACGTCGCCTACCCGGGTGATCCGCTGCGCTTCCACTCGCATTTCCTGGTGGTGTCGGCCGAATGGGACCAGGAGATTGACCTGATGGATGTGATTATTGGAGGCAGATTGGGCACCGGTGTGAAGAAGGGATTCTTGTTGGGCGGTTCGGAAAAATCCATCGACGAGGTTGAGACTGAGGCGGAGCGGGTGGATAGCGTCCGGACGTTCAGTATTGAATGGGCTGGGATGTGAGCGATCCAGACAACGGTTTGGAGACCTTTCTTCCTTCTCAACCATCTGGATGCGGGCATTGGAGCCTGACCGGCATATCCTCGTGAACTCGACTGCATCGTCTTTGCCAGTGGACTCTGGACGATAGCCCCCCGTTGGGACATAGTGCAGCTCATGCCCTCCGAGAACACGCCACGTCCTTAGAGCTGGATTTGATATCTTCAGTCAATGCTCAAGGGCATTCTGACTCTACGCTGGTTGGAAATCACGCCTCGATCACCCCTCAGATCCATGAGATCTGAACCTTGAGTGTGATCCCGAGCCGAAAGAACTAGAACATGTTTGAGGGTGACTAAAAAGATTGCAAGGACTCTCACCTGAAGTTACTGTTCAGGTCCAGACATGATCTGGCAAATCGTACTTTGTCGAGAAACCATCTCACAAGCACTTGATCTCCAAGATCATTTCTACATATTGAGCATCAGCCAATATCTATCAAATTCAAATAGTACCACATCCAATATACAGCATCTAGTAACTCTTCTTTATAGAATTAGGCAATTTTGCGAAGTCTGTATTGCTGTGCTTGAATGCTTATATCGCGTATCTCGATAGGTATCGTTGAATAAAACCACCCTTATCCCGAAGATATCATAGCCTATGTCTGGGTCATGGGTTTCTTAAGCAGCGGCCGTCGCCTGTCTTGCTGAGAAGGTGTGCTCATCTTGTTCAGCACAGGCGTGGGTTGGGCTGGTCTGGCCCACATGGGGAGTATACGCTGCCATATGACTTTCAAATCCCCAAGACCCTCCATATAAAGCCCCGTAGCGGCGAAATCGCCCGCATGGTGTGGAAGTATTGCCATCACCACTCCGGAGAGCGTGCTGTGTTTAGTAGTGTTTCCTATGCCTTCATAGTCTGAAGATACAGCACATCGAACCATTCAAAGATAGTCGACATTTCTCCACTTGAACTTCTTGTTGGCGCGGTCCGCCGGCCGATTCTCAAACTGGCTGCCGTGCAGCTCGAAGACCAACGGTTTCGGGGTATCCGGCTCTGCCTGTTGTTCCTGTGTTGCGGTATCTGCAGCAGAACCCGTCGGCTCCGGTAGCGGCACCGTGAAACGGAAGATAGTCTGCTCCTTGGGGATAGCTAAGAAGCAGCGAGTTAGTCAAATAAACCCCCAGCTTAGAAAAACGACCCATCTCTCGAAAGGCATAAGACAGAAGAAACTCACTCTTCACCTCGTCCTTCTCAGTCACAACAACGAAAGTAAACTTAGTATCCCGCACAACAATCCCCCTCGTCCCAACCCGCCCCGCACACCGACTCCGTACAACCTCAATAAGAGCACCATGGTAATCCGCGCTGACAAGCTTACTCCCATGAGCCTGCGGCATGACCGCCACGTTCTTGCCATCCTGCAAATCAAGGATCTCCTGCATGTACGCGATCCACATAGCATGCAGGCCCTGGAAGATGGCGTACTTGCACTCTTCGCGCGGCAGATCGTATAGGCCCGAGGCGCGCTTCTCGCGCGCGGAGAGCGGCCGCGGCCGCTGGTGGCGGAGGAAGTATTCTTTCTTGCGGAGGCGGTGCTGGCGCCGGCGGGAGCGGTTGTCGGAGGCTGAGGGTGAGGTCGGGCGAAGGAAGAGCGGTTTTTGTTTGATGCGCTCGGTGAAGTGTTGCGCGGCGGTTTCGGGGGAGTGGGCGCGGGAGAGAAGGGTGTGGGCGATGTGGTTTGGGTTGGGGGCGGGGGAGGAGGCCATTTTGGGGGGTTGAGGAGGCTTCGAGAGCCTTGGATTTGAGTTTGGAGTTGGAAGCAGGTGTGTTGGGGATTGCGGAGGTTTGGGAGGCGCAGAAAAATCATTGCTGATAAGCTACCCAAGCTACGGGGACCCACCTCTATATAGAATTCAACATTTCAATTTATTCACAAATAATTACAACTAGAATCTGAGGACCTGTGAAATTGACGCCGAAAATGGCCACTTTGGAGGTTAGAAACGGCCGCTATTCCACCCGTAACTTTGGGCCGCAGCGCCCGTACTTAACCACCTATCGCCCTCGAAGACCACTATTCTGCACCCGCCTAGCGCTGTTTAGTTGTTCTTCTGTCGTGACGGTAGCGCTTAACTTTAATAGATCTTCTCCCCGTTTTCTACTCGCGACTAAAACGACGCTGAAAATAGCTCCTCTCTGCAGCGAAAGCTAAGTGCCTCTATTTTTTACCGGCCCTAGTCGGGCCTTTATAAGATACTCCGTCCTCTCTCCTTTGTGTTTTTGTACTCTCCTATTCTCTTCCCTTGTCTCTATCCTCCGCGGCCTAGGTCGGCCCTACTATTATTTCCTATATTTCCCCTAATATAGATTGTATCTAACCCTCTATTATAATATCTATCCTACTACCTCTGATTTAGGCCGATGAGCACTAATACTGGACCGATCTTATCCTCTGCGAAGAAACGCGAGCTAGGCTGGAATATTTTCGTAGTCTAGGATAGCTCCCCTAAAACTTTAAGCTAAGGACTTTGATAGATATTATTACTGTCGAACGTTACTAGCGAAAGTAAGTATATACTTGGTCGGAAAATAGAGGTGATTAGAGAATAATATATAAAGAATAGGTATTATATCTAGTCGAACAAGGACTATATAGTCTATCTTCTTTTGGAGGATTAAGCGACCTATATAAACTTTTTTGGCTAGATATCTAAAACGTTAAAAAGAGAAAACGCTTTAGTTATATAACGAATATTAGCGCTATCTTTATTAAATACTTTAAACTCTTTATTTATCGTAGTATTAATACCATATTTATAAATAGATACGATAAAGATAGATACCTCCTTTATTCTTATAAATAGTAGGCTAATTAGTATAGTCTCTTAACGGTATCTTCTTAGCTAATCGTAAGATTCCCTAAAAAACAAAGGATAAGAATACGTTAGATATAGATATCTTCTATATAATCTACCGCTATTATTAGGTTTATTCGATATTCTATTATTATAGAAATATAATTATCTAATTTGCTATAGTCTAGCTTTGGTCCGTTATTACCGAGACTTAATCTAGCGTTCTACTTTATAAAATTCCCCTTCGTCTAATAATTTATTCTTAAACGCAAGCTAGGCTATACTTTCTAGAGTAACCTCTCTAAATACGTTTCCGCGAAAAACCTTCCGGACTCAGTCTATTATCGTGATATTGAACTTTTCTATTTAAAAGACCATTAAAGTAAACGTGATATCCTATATACCGTTATTAAGTTTCGTAATCTTAAAGGCTAACTAGAAAGCGCCAATAGGTAAGAGTAATCTCGACCTTATATTCTTAGGTAGCTAGTCTAATAGGTTGATAGCTTCTATCTTTGATCTACTCAGATTTCTTGGTGTGGGATACAAAAAAACAGGTTGCCTATGATTGGGGGACGATTAAGAGGATGAAGCTGGGGATCCTAGTTCTGTGATCACTTTTGCAATGCCTTGCTCGGCGATAGCGGATGTGGTCAGACCTGTCGTGGATAGATCTATCCCATGCTGGTGCGCGGGAAGATGTTGCTAAATCTATCAATATCACACATTACTGGTGCCTTCAATTGTCGATGGCGATGATTCATATTCAAGATGAACATACAGATGGAAAGACCAATCATGTTTCCCAACCACTAGCAAACTGTAGAATCCCCCACAACTAACATCTTGCACCCGTTCACATCACAGGTTTCATCTCCCAGATTCTCAAAACGTCTAGACACGGTGGACTGTTAATTTTGTTGTTTCCACCTACTCCACATGGGTATTTCAAGGAAGCCTTATCATCCCCTTGATATTTACCATATACCGCTATCCGCTTGTGCATTAACCCCTCATCCGGGTTCATGCCATTTTCGGCCATCATCGCGATGGCGTTGGTCATAACCATATCCTCGGCATGCAGCTGCGCTTCTGGTTCATCCGAGTCTTCAGGCTTCTTTCCAAGTAGCCTACGAAGAATCCGATTGGAATAATCCGGGCATTTCTTGGCCATGTCGTATAGTTTCAGGGCAGTATCTTTGCTTCGTGGAATCGATCCCACGAACACGCCGAGGTCAGGAATATAGAGAGCCGCCACCAGGTTGGACAAGCCATTGTCGCAGAAGGCGTAGCTATAACCCTGCGAGGCCAACTCTTTCACGAGTCTCGCGGCCTCGTCACCAGTCTTTTCCCGGCCTATCTTGTCCCTTGAGACAAAGCCGTAGAACGACTTATGGTCGCCGTTGAAACGCTTGAAGTCCTCCAGCTCGATGATCGGTTCATCATTTCGCTTGTGATGGTCATTTGAGGGCCGTTCAAGATTCAATGACTCGATGAGCGGTGTGAGCTTGGTGTCTGGAGAGAATTTGGGGCTTAGTTCCTTCACGATCCGCATTTATGGAGTCCTCCGTCAACACCACTCACCGACATCAAGTGCCCGTTTCGAGTGAGTAAATCCATCAAGTGGAGACGCGTGGGCAATGGCTAGAAAGATGCCGCAAAGCAAGATAAAAAAATACGGAGCACCCATAGCGTGGGAGAGAGAGATAGAGGGGGAAAATAAGAATCTCTGCCGACCTCGGGATAATTTCCAAGGTGAGGCCTCTTTGTCCTAGGATGCACTGAGAAAAGAGGGACCATGGGTGATTAAATATCCTTCGCAATCAAGTCTCGCCTCAGCTGAAGCCCGTCAGGATTTCAGCCAGGCTCGTGGTTATGATTATAGAATCACTTCCCGAATCACATACGCTTCTTAGCATGGTCAAATATAACTACACGACAGTGCACGTGTAATTAGGCCCGCAACTTAGCGTCGATATGCGCAGCCATTCAGATACTACAGCCGTGGAACTAGATTGGAAGTAAAAGGTCCGATCCTCCGTGGTTGGCCTTATCCGCATCCACGGCTTGGCGAAGGAGGTTTGGACCCTGAGAGGTTGGGTTCCAGCGTCCAAGTTCTCGACATGGCTAATATTATCGCCTAGTTCAAGGAATGAGGTTGGCTTGATCGCGAATAAAATGCGGGAACCAAACCATTACCTGATGATTTTGTCCCCTCTCAGCCTTCTTCTAATCTTGAAAAAAAAAACATTATGCTGTCTACGGGTACCTACTTGATCCGCCCTGGAGAGTAGGCGTCTACGGGTCAGATCTCGAACCCCAGATCTTCATAGATCTTACATGAGATCCAATCTAGTACCCGCAGCATGACACCGATCGATACTAATCGTCTGCTGGTTTATAAATAGAGCGGAATATGTAAGAATCCCACGGTTCCTCGGCGAGGTGTAATTGAAAATAGACACAAGGTTGCAGAAGGGTTTTCAGCTCTGCCTCTAGAAATAGTGGCAGGGGTTTGTTAGGAACCATGTGGTGCAGGCATAGCAATAAACTATTTCCGGTGAGATGTGTGACTGCCACGTTCAAGTCCCTACCAAGGCTGGCCACGCGAGTGACAAGTGGAACTCTTTAGGCCACCCCCCACTTGAGATCGGGCCTCTTCATGAAGTGCAGGCCTAGCTTCAGGGATAAGGCGAGATGTTCTATCTAGACAAGCGGGATTATTTGGGATCTCGCGCAGTATATGCCGGATCCTGTCGGAGTGATAGTATATAAGGTGCTGAAGCCCGGCCCTGGTTGCTGCCGTCTTTCAACCAACCATTTGCACCATCTATCACTTCTTTCTATTGTTTTCATCCATCGATCACAAGATGGGTGTCCTTTGGCAATATGCTATTGCCTCTCTGGGGATTTCTACTTCCCTGGCAGCCTCAATTCCAACTACCACAACTCATGGGCTAGAAGAAAGAGACCCTCTGCCCCAGACCTGGTCGAAGCGTGCCGACAGCGAGACTAAAGACTTTGATCCATGGGATCTATCGCATATTACCAAGATCGCCGCCATTGGAGACTCCTACTCAGCGGGAATTGGAGCGGGCAATCGGCTTGGCAACAACTATGACCCAACCAAGATGGGTGCATGGATGTGTAGTCGCTACGACAAGGCCTATCCGTATCTTGTGAATGAGAATTCCGCTCTCGGCGATAAATCGAAGAGAAAATTTCAATTCGAGTCTTGCTCTGGTGCTTTGACAAAGGAAGTCACGGATGATCAAGTGAAACGAATCGATGATGGGCAACAAGCCATCATGCTTTCAGCTGGTGAGCATCTCGCACTATTTTATTTTCAATAAGCCCTTCACTAACGTATGCATGGGGCTGTAGGTGGAAATGATGCGGGCCTTGTGGATATTTTGAACCAATGCGTCTATCAGTTCTTTGCGCCTACCAAGGAAGGAGCCGGCCTTATGGAAACCGGCCTTGCATTCAAGGCCATTGAATGGTTGAAAAAGGGCGACCTCTCTAAATACTCTCGCGGCTGCGACGGTACGCTCGATGACTCGATGAAGACCATCGAGGGCGGTGACTTTTCCAAGAATCTAGACTCGCTGCTGAGTAAAACCAAGGAGAAGCTCGCCAAGGATGGTAAAATTTACTATACTGGGTAAGCTTCTGACTCCTTCCTTATAGCGACGTGGCGACCCTTGGATAAAAACATAACTGACATGCTATTTAGATACGCCCACTTTTGGTCCGACTCTATGTCTGATGGTGACTCGTGCAGCAAGAAGACCTGGTCGCCCTTCAATAAGGTGCGTTCTTAGTGTTTTTGGCTTTAACATTACTCTTCTAGTCATCGAGGTGGAAACAATTTTGCTGACAATCACCAGGGTAGTGGCAGTTATGGATGGCAAGAAGAAGCCAAGCTCACGGTCGACAGGCGGAAGAAAATGAATGAACTCGTCGATGCAGTAAACATGAAGATCGCTGAGGCCGTTAAGAAAGCCGGTGATCAGGTCGTCTTCGTCGACTATGACTATATGATCAGGACCTCCGGCGGGCAGTTCTGCGAAAAGGGGGTTGATGAACCAAACCCGGGCAGGTAAGTAAAGCCTCACCCAAAAAAAGAAAGCGCTGGGTTGCTAAAATCGGATGGTTAGAAAACAACTCATGTTCTTTGAACTGGACCCCACCGAAGCTCTCGGAATGTCACCTTTCAAGAGAGACGGCGGCGATAGCTACGAGGGCACATTTGAATATGATATTGACCGGCTTGGAGAGCTGACTCTCACTGCGGGATCGACGTTCAAAGATGCTCCCCATGCAAAGAATTCGACCAAAACCGAGAAGACAGAGGACAACAAGCGCTTTATCGAAGCTGTGCTACCCGATGGCTTTAAGTATGTTTTTTTTTTGCACCCCTCGGTGGTGTCCCACTAATATGCTTCATCTAGACGCATTTTCCATCCGACGATCAAAGCCCATAAGAGCATTGCTGACTACCTCATCTATTATATGGTCATGGACAATGCTGAGGAGCATCATACCGATTCTCCCAGTCCAACTTTCTCTGGAAAGTGCAAGACAAAGCCGACCGAGACCGAAGCCATCAAAGCCAAGTGTGACCTCGACACGTTATCTGGTGTTCCTTATAACGTCTTCGACGGGGTCTACGATAAATTCTGCAAGGAGATTGACAAGGCTCAGAAGGATGAAAAAGATGACGGACTGACTTGGATGGTTGACTCGCACGGCGATAAGATTCCCAACAAGAAGAGAGGCTTTCTTGAGGGCCGAACACCTCCCCCCGATTCGAATTACTATAAGGACTTTAAATTCGGGCTTGTCTGGGATCGGAAGAGTGACAAGGGCAAGGGGAAGTGTACGACGAGCTGCAAATCGGCATTCGAACAGATGACTCTCGGCTGCGGCCACACCGGCGGGGAGCAGAACGGCATGGCTCGAGATGCGTCGGTGTCCACGGATTGCGGGAAGTACAGCTACAAGATCAGTGGATCCGGTGTGCCAAAACACACAGATCCATACGACGCCGAGAGGAAATGCTATGATCTCAAAGACGTCAAGAAGCCTACCGAAATATCAAGCGACTTTCAGGCGGAAAAGACCGATGAATTCTGCGACATGACTAAAGGGAAGAAGCTCAAGGCTAACGGACATACGATTGGATTGACAAGCCCGGACCTTGGGAGTGGGGCTTATTATAACTACTACGTGGAATGGAGAAAGGGCTGTAAAAGCTCCGAGGAAGAGTTTGACGCGGAATTTCCTCTCGGCAAGGACAGTAAGAACAATTGCCGGTCGTTGATACGCTGGACGTACAAGCTGTGTGGGGATAACGGTGGGATCGGCGGATATTACGACGTTGATTGTCTGAGGTATTCGTTTCAAGGTGTAGGGTTTAGCTTTTTGAGCAAGAGTTAGAAGAACTGCACGAGAACATCTTCATGGGAAGAACACATCATAAGACACTCCTACAATTGGCAGATCATAATCTCAGATCAACACAATTCCTGACTTCTCTTAAATAATCCTCCACTCGGTGTTTGCGTGTCTAGCATATTGCAGCCAAGTCAAGACCGTGTAAGAGACTGGCTTCAATCCACATACATTCACCATGATTTCTTCTGTATACGAACCAGTCACTTCGAACGTATTGCCAGATCTTGCTGTCTTCCACTCGCCATCCACGTAGCAGGCTTCCTTGAGCAAGGTGGGGTCATTCAGGCACGGCTTTGAAATTTGGTTAAAACTGTACTTGACAAGAAATCAAGAAGAATCCTTCGCACCTTGAAAGCCATTGTTTTTTGAATTATCAATATCAATGTATCGTCACTTCCCAGACAGACTTACAATTAAGACTTAAGCTACATCGGAAACTTGCCCAAAAGAGGATAAGATCGACATGATTAAACTAGAGGTATAGGCATATCTTCGATCGACAAAATTGCCTGTGTTTTCCGACCGACACCGGTAGAATTGGCTAAGCTACATAAGCTTTATGCCCTGACAACTATAGTCTTTACAATAATAGTGATCTGATAATAGAAAGTAAATCAATATAATGAATGGATGCGGGATCAAACCCGCGAGTCTCAGCCTAGACTTAAAGTAGACATGATCGGATACATCAATCTGACATCGTCAAAGTCACCAATATATCAAGTACGACCACCGCTTATTTCAGAATAGTCATCGATGTCCTTTGAATTCATCTTTAGCAAAGATATTAAGTCACTGGATCGACCTGCAAGAAGTCAAAACCTGGTTTCGATATAATAGTAGTTGACTAGCAAACTTACTCTGAAGTAAACATAGAAGAATTCTTTGCCGCTCTTCCTCCCACGGCATCCATCCTGGGGCGAGACAAGTTCCTCCAGTGCGTGACGGTTTTCACACGCGTTCATATCGTCGTAGAATGTGAATTTGTAACCTTGTGCTCCCTCGAAGTAGACTCGCTTGGCAGCGTAGTCCTGGATCATGGTGCATCCCCATCCGGTAGTGCCTTCGTGGGTATGCTCCTTCTTGTTATCCTCGCATTTTTCTCCATAGGACTCAGTTAACTTCCATGATGCCGTTGGAATAACTGCAGAAAAAAGAGGTAGTAGAGCAATGAGACGCATATTTAGCAGGACTTGTTCAATGAAGATCATAGGTGGGCTTTTTTTGGTTGGAACGATCAATGAAATAGAGAAACAGAAGGGGGTTTTATATTCGCTATTGCTAAATATAGGGGTATATAACTTATCGCCCCCATTTCCTATTGAGAACCAACATCGACTGCAACGAGAATATTAATAGATACAGCTAGGAATCGGTATCCCTCCGCGCAAATACAGTATTTGGGGGCGGAAGACCGAGTATACCAGTGAATAGGCAAATTTATCGACCTAGTACTTGACTAGCCTTTTACTATATTGCATATATGTCTCTTCTAAAATACTAACTATGGAGTCACAACTTCTAATTTGCTACTGTCACCCTGGTAAGGTTGACGCCTACGCCTCTGGTTATTGTTATCTCGATAGGGATTCTCGAATAAACTCGACTAATCGTAGACCCAACTGCCAAGGATTCACAAATACACTTACAGCGCTAATCCAGATGGCGAGCCAAGGCGGAACTGCCTTTGACTCCGGCCTCCCCAGACGGCCCCACGGATACGAGACTAGTCCTGACCACTCAACCCTCGCTTTGTATCATTTGCGGCTTCGCCTCGGTCGGCATCGTTGGTAGTCGATAGGGCCATCGGTTGCACGTAGGTCAAAAGTAGCCAAGCATGGGCTGAAGAGGTGGCTAGGGAGGGAACATAGAACATATAAGAGAGTTCTTGAGCAGACAAGATACTGAAATCTGGAACCTGCCCCCCTAAGAGTCTCAAAAAAAGCAATGCCATATCACTAATCATCAGAGTGTGCTGGTTGGTGCCTCGGTCTCCGCAAAGATGCATAGCGGCGCAGCAAACACATAACCCCCACCTTTTGGGGGAGAGTAGGGCTGATTAATGACAGGGGTATTTACCATCTCATGCCAATAAGCTATGCCGCAAGATTCTAGTGCGAGCCATGCTGTTTTCAAAAGCCTAGGTCCTCGTTCTTGGGATTTTCAATATATCTAAAAGTGTTTCTACGTAGGGAAGGGTTAGTTGACGCGGAAACATTCAGCCTCCGCTTGCATACTTTCTTTCAATCTAACATGAATACCTCCATAAAACTTGCAACGCTGATTGATCCATTACCCCCGGTTTTGGGGCTCGAAATTGCAATCTACCGTATATCGGTGAGTTCGATATCTGTCCTTGTGTCCGAATCACATTCCATAGAAAGCTACGACCATATACTGACTATTAAAGCTTTGACAGTTGCCACTTAATCGTGGTGACAAGAAACTTTTTACCCACATATTATAAAATGCACTCTAATAGAACGTTGTGAAGTCAGGGTATAAGTTAGCCTCGGTATTTCCTATCTATTCCCAGGGTCCACTTCAAATCGCTATAGAGCAAAGTAAAAACTCCTTAAAAATGTCTAACCTGTCGATATTCCTGCAATAGAAAAACCCCCATCTCAGTAAATCAATATCATAGGCTTCATTGGAGCTCGAGTAGACGGAACAAAATCGCCTCCGACGCGTGGCTTGCTCCTCGGCTCTGCATCGGCTTCCCCGCATATCGCATGTTCATAGATCTGATCTCGGCAAAGTCATCCTTGCATCTTGCAATAAGACACACACGTATGTATCCTGCGCCGCAAGAACTTTTATCTCTAGTAGTTCTTTCTTGATTGCAGGAATCAGCTATGAGCTTTCAGACAAATCCCACCCCCGTCATGAACAACTTCCCCGGACTCCCGCCCTTCCCGGATGACGCCTCCACCGCGCCACTGCTACGACTTTCGCTGAGAAAATTGCTAGCTGGAGACGCAGCAGAATGCGAAAAGCTATTTATGTCCTCCAAGGATATCGGATTCTTTTACCTCGACTTGCAAGATGTAGAGCAGGGGACCTCACTCCTGGACGACGCCGATGCCCTGTTCCGAGTGGGCGAAGCACTGTTCGAACTGAGCCCGGAAGACAAGCAGCAGTATGATTTCAGTGCACAAAATTCGTACTTCGGATACAAGGCCCAGGGAGCAGCGGTGGTTGACAAGCAGGGAAACCTGGATCGAAACGAGTTCTACAATGTAAGACAACCCACCCAACGAACCTGATATACCGATAACACAACTAACCATCCGGCGTTAGGTATCCAAAGACGACATTCTAGGTGTAAGCGGGCAGCTTCCAGCCCCAGAGACCCTACACCAAAGCCGAGCGCGGCTAGCCTCGTTCATGCGAGGCTCACACAGCATCGTGAAAACCATCCTCACCATCCTCAACAAGCACCTAAGACTCCCAGAAGGGATGCTCTCTAACCTGCACCGCCAGTACGCAGCAAGCGGCGACCAAGTGCGTTTCGTCAAAGCACCACCCCAACCCGTCGACGACCGACGCACGGCACTGGGCCAGCACACGGACTTTGGCAGCGTGACAGTGCTCTTCAACCGGCTGGGCGGGCTGCAGGTGCTGCCGCCGGGGGCGGACGCCGAATGGGTGTATGTGCGGCCGCTGCCAGGCCACGCGATTGTCAACCTCGGCGATGCGATGGTGAAATTCACGAATGGGCTGTTGCGGTCGAATATCCACCGGGTTGTGGCGCCGCCTGGTCGTCAGGCGGACTCGACTCGGTATAGTCTTGTGTACTTTGCGCGGCCCGAGGATAGCGTGTTGTTGCGGCGTCTTGAGGGGTCGGAGGATATTCCGCGCGTGATGGATGGGGACGCTGAGGAGGTGGTTAATAGTAAGGACTGGATTATTCGGCGGGCTTTGGGTCGGCGGGTTGATTTGGGGGGTGAGGTTGATTTTGACAAGGCTGCGGGGACGGAGCAGATGAGTCGGAGGATCCAGGTTTGATGTGTTTGAGTATAATCAGCATGAACACATTATGTTTTTAGTGTCTATATTTAATATCCGTTAAATGGTAAAGATTTGTTGAGTCTCAGCATCAATGGTATACAAGCCGTCAACTAAACGTAGTATCTCAAGCATAACGTACACTTCTATGAGCAGGACTAGTGCCTATAGCGAAAAGGAAGATCTCATATCTACAGCGAGGACTGAAGATCTTATCTGCCAGTTGAGTCTTCTCACTTGACAAAAGCACGACTCAAAGCACTTTCAATTACCCCATGCCACGTTCACCAAGTCCACTATATCCCGACCCCTCCAGCCAAATAAATCCAAACGAATCAGACATCCACTCCTGCAAGCTGACAACCCCCAACCCCCTCATATATGACACCCTCGATTCCACAACCCGACAGTCTGGCCATGCTGTGGGGAGGAAGGGGGGCGTGCAGAAGTCAAAGCAGGGGGACATGGCAAAACTCTTCCTCCATACATACATATCAAAGCTATACATTGGAAGTACTGTATGGAGAATACACCCCTCTGCCCCGGGGGCTACTCCAAGACTAAAAGACTAGAAAATTCCCGCAAATCCCGAAAACATGGGTTTGACGTGCCAAGATCCTGAAGGAGGGGAGGTGTCAGGGGTATTGTCAGACAGTAAAAGAGAAAAAGAAATACAGAGAAGTCTTCGATCATTCGATTCCCGAAAAATGCGCCTGATTCCAGCAACACACTTCCGATTTGTGCCTGATGCGACCCAGCGCAATGGGAAGCCAACAAACACAAGATACAAGGACTGGATGTGTGTACGGGGAAAAGACCACGCTGGCCACAGAGATCCTCGCAAGCACGGGTCAGATTCAAATGGTCAGATTCTTTCTATTTCTATTTCTGTTTATTCTTGCCAATACCAATGTATATCCCTGGTCCTGTTTTTTTGTTCGGCTTATTTCCGTTGAAACCGTTGGATTCTTCGGCGTGGAGGATTTATTGCGTTAGTCGATCGTTAGAATATCCCCACCGGGAGACTTCTTCCTTCTCCTTCCTCCTGTGGATCTACATTGGACATATTTTTCTATGGATCACTTCTGAGGTGAGAAGGATAAACCCATACTGAAAGAAGAAGAAAAAAAACTCGGCTGATTTTTCTCCACTTGCCAGCCACCCATGGCCATCCAGACCAAGCGGATGACTCCATAATTCCCAGCACTTTGGGTCTGACTTGCTTCATCCCTTGCTCGAATGACTGCAGAGTTTGTTCGTGTATACATACTATACTATACTATACTATACGATGGTATGTATCAGTGGCAGGTCTTCAGAGCATAATTACTGTTGTATGTAGGAGTATGTAGTACCCTGCAACCAGTCTGAGATTGACTTAGGTCTTGACAGTCGTCCTTGCATCGGGCTTCACCGGCTGTCATGCAGTAGATTTGTTTAGCTATAGGCTATAGGATACACACAGATGGACGAGGGTATGTATGAGATATAAAAGTACTTGCCGAGGGAATAACAATAACAGCGAAGCAATCAAGTACATTCACAGGATACTCACTACAATCCTGCCAACGCACTTGGTACTTTGTTCACACTTCAAGTCCACCCGACTAAAAGATGGATCCTGTGGTCTAGATAAGAGACACCTGTCTTCTATCTTCTATTTTCTATCTGTGGAGTAAATTCCAGCCCACTTACGGAATCTATACCGAAAAGGGCGGACGCTCCGAACACACTAATTCTTGGAGTATAGTCCATCCATGAACAGGAGTTGTTGATGGTGAAACTGGAAAATAGATTAAACCTATTTTTTGTTTCCATTTTAATTCCTTAATTTGTCTCAATAGTCATAGGAAGGGATGTGATCCAACACCCAACCCCCCACATAGACGGCTCGGTCCGCGTTCAGCCGCGTGGTTCCGTGTCTAACGGCCAGGGCTATGTTGGAGGGGTGGATTCAATGGTTAGTTTCAACAAGAATAATTGTCAAGGTGAAAATATAATATATCATTGTATGGCATGATCACGAGCATGGCAATAACCGACGTTCTAGATCAATATGTAGACCCCGTCTAGCGCATCATCGATATCTCGGCAGTACCTCGGGGATCTCTCTGCCGAGGTATGTATTTTAGCATAAGGCATTAGCATAAGGCTATTGTAACGATTATTTCTTCATCCATATCTCTCGCTCTATCCCTATTCCTATTTTTTTTTTTTTGGAATACATGGTAAGAGTACTCTACTTGATACCAGACTCAGTCCTACCCAATACAAACATATAAAAGTAGAACGCACTCACAACAGTGTGCACAGAATTAATGAGTGAGTGGAGTGGACTGGAGGGAGGATTGCGGATCAGATTGCCCCGAAACGGGATACAGCACCGGTGCCATAGGTGGGGCGGGCCGTTGAGATGGAATACTGTAGATATGCTGTACATATGTGTGTCTCGCCAAGTCTGTAACAGGAATATTGTAGTACTTGTACAAACTGTAGTTGGTAGTCAGGGCCTAGACTGCACATCCGTCCATGGTGATACAAGTCTAGGCTGGCGATCAATGGCAGGCCGCGGTGGATTTCTTGTATATTGCCCGAGTATACTATACTATGTACTATGCACCTCGCAAGGATTGCAATACCGGCGATGACGGCAGAGAAAATAAAAAGTCACCGGGGGGAGGGGGATTCCGTTGGTATGTACATCTACAAGTAAAGTATACATACTGACTATACGAAAATATCGGGAGTACACTTCATCAGATATCAGATACACGTGTAACCGATACCAGTGCACGTCAGAATCGTAGCTCAATAGCCAGCCCCAGTCCCAGGGCCGGCCCAACGAGGGGGGATATTGATTCCATTCTTGGTGGAGATGTTGTCCGTCTGCTATGTATGAAGATGCATGACAGGAAGAACTGAAGGAAAGAAAAGGAAATGATCGGAGACAAGTCAATCGGGTGATACCGATGAACAATGCAGGAAAATGGGGGAGTAATCAAGAAAATGGCATCGTGGGGGGAATGTAAGGGTGGGCATGGACAAGAAAAGAAAATCGACATTCGCTGTACGGTGCGAGCGTGGTGGCTGGCAGGGATTCCGCTGTACAAAAAAAAAATGCAGGTCATTCCTTGATCGCCAGGGCCGAAAGTTTGTCTTCCATGCTGCGGACGACTTGGGGATCGGGTTCGTGTTTAATCTTTTTTGGTCTGGAGGGGATTAGTTGAGGTTCAAAGATAGTAACGCAAAAAGAGAAAGAAAGGCGATAGAAAGAAAGAAAGAAAGAAAGAAAGGGAAAAAAAGGAAAAAACATACGGAATTCGTATAGTTTCGGCACATTTCGCTTGCCCGCATTTCGAACATGTCGATGCTCCGTCATGATATGTGGTTGAACAGACATGACATATGTAATGGACTCGACGCCGCGGCTTTTTAAATGTGCGATCGGGTTTAAGTTTCGGCGGATCGACATCGCCGGGGTAGCCATCGGGGTATTTATCGAGCTTGGGTGGTTGGCGGGGACATCGCTTGCAGCGGAGATGTTGACACTTCTCACACTCTTTGATCCCCAATGGAAATTGCGTCTCGCATAGGTGACATGTGCGATGAACCCGTTGGCGGACGGTCTTGCGCACGAAATCCTGGCCGCCAGTGCGCGAGGGCAGGACCAACGGCCCGGTCGGATCGCCAGTGAACATGAGATGCGGCGTCATGGGCAGCACGCCGCGCTGGCGGGCCCGGATCTCAGGGATCTTGGGCTTGGGGATGGGCGGGTCTTCATCCTTGGGGCGAGTGGGCGGGAAGCGCGGACATTTCTTGCAACGTGCGTGTTGGCAATTGACGCAGACCTTCTCCGGGCCGAAGGTGGTTTCGCAGCGGTGGCAGGTGCGGCGGACTCGCATGCGGATGGGTTTGGTCACCCGTGTGAGCTGTAGATCTGTGGGTGATTTCCACTCGCCCGGTTCGAGAGTCAGGCCGTATTTAGCGAAGAGAACCCGTGCCTTTTCCTGCTGCAGCACGCTGTAGTCGGTCAGCATGACGGGCTTGGTCGCGCCTGTAGATTTGCGAGCCGGGGCTGGAGTTGAGGGCGCAGGAGCACTGTCATGCGAAAAAAATAAATAAATTCAAGTTAGCTATGCACTGACATAGAACGCAGATGACAAAAGAAGAAAAAATGGAGTCGTACGTTGCTGTGATCGACTGGCCGACCTCAGGAGGACTGGCGAGAGATTGTCGCTTCGAGCTTGATCGTGGACGAAGGACGGTTTTCATGCGCTTGAGGTACTTGGACAAGCCTTCGGGTCTGTCCTCCAGGCGACCGGAGGTGTCTTGCGGAGACATGGCGAAAGACTGCTGTGACGGGAGATCCCGTGGGAATGCAATGGCGAATATTCGGTCGCTGATCGATGTAAAAGCCCAAAATTCACTTCATTCCGCCAATTCCACCAAAGTCGGGGTGTGACCGAGAGGCTGTAGTTCCGTCCCAGGGAGTTGGGAGACCCGGCGTGCAGGGTCTGGCGGACAGGGAATGTCCCAGCAAAAGATGTAGGGAGGATAACCCAAGGTCGAATGGTGAAGGTTGAAGGACGAAAAGAGAAAAAGAAAAAGGAACTTCACCCTAGGTAGGAATAGAATAGAATTAAGGAAAAAAGAATAAGAGAAGCAGAGAGAGAGAATAATTACCATGCAAAGAGGCAACCAGCTCAATACCGTACGACTGCGGAGGTTTCCATGCACATGGGCCTTCCGGTAATGCGGATCTGGCTGTACAGCGTGTATAGAGAGTGTATACACTGTGTATCCATGGTATGGGGATTGAAAGATTCGCAATTTCTCCGGCCTTGTCATTTGGTACTTTTCCGGGGAGTACTGCTGTACCCTAAACACGGCTGGGAGGTACCGGGAGCCAGGTACTCCCCCCGAGAGAGAGACTTAGACTGGCAGGTGGGTCTGCGGGAGTTTGCATTTTAGTTCTCCCCACTGGATGCTTTGGCCATGAGCTCTGTGCGCAGATTTAGGGGGTTCAGCCTGGACAGTACAGTACAGGGGGAAATGTATAGAAGAGATGATATCAAAACTGAAATATAAAAATAAAAATAAAAGTACCGTCTGACTACCCCCATTCTTCCTCCCCGTTGGTTTCCCATTGGTTTGGGTCTACAAATACATGTATGTATTCATCCTCTCACTCACTCGCCTTCCCCGACTCATTGGTCCTCCAAGTGGACCAGGGCAATTCCCAGAATCCAGCCGGGACTACCCGCCCAGCCCAGTGGCGTTTCCAGAAACAGTTAACTTCCACGTCCATCAGTGGGAGCGGATCGGAGAGGGAATAATCGATGTGCCAGATCGCCGTTGGAGGACCAGCGTTGAGCAGTTCGTTAGCCCTGTTTTTTTCTTTGCTTTGCTTTGCTTTTCCTGGTTCAGGGGTCAAATATCGGATTATTGAAAGGAGTGGATTTGCCGAGATGCCAATTATCGTCAATTGTTGCCTTTTATCCTTTGAACGGGGGTTCTTCAGCAAACAATTGTATTCAATGGATCCCCGGATGGAAACCAAGCCCTAAGAGTCATCCATTCTCATAAGGACCACTTCTTCATGGACTACTACTCAAAATAATGAGTTTATTTTTTTATTTTTTATTTTATCTATTTATTGCTCTCTTTCTTTCTCCTGAATACCATCAATCTCCCAAGACGATCACCCTGGATAATAATAACCCTCTCCACTATTGCCCGAAGGATCCCATTTCCGTGTTAATAATCTAAATAATCCCCCTGGATCCGAGGGGTGTAGCGTATGTAGCACAAAAGATACCATAGTATTATAGTAATTGCTGAACAGCATGAAATAGTGACAGCCATTCAATGGGCATCTCTCCCCGACCGTTCGGGGGAGACACACACCATGCATGCTGCATGACACGGGAATCGGAAACTGGGAGAGAGAGCCAATGCAGTGGAGGATTCGACGATGACCAGAACCCAGACTAGACTTGGCCTAGCGGTGAAAGGAAAAAGAAAGTACCCGCGATTTGACGGAGAACCAAATCGATCGTAACCATCTGACTTTGGGGCTTCGGCCATACTACGGCTGCACTACTGCAGTCTAAGAGGGGCTGAGGGGGGAGACCCATTGCAAAAATTAATTTATTCCTCGTTGCCCAACGGTCCACTGCGTGCTCTCTCTTTTTTCTGTCTCCCTTGTTTCCCAGTAGAGGTATATTAGCACGTCAATCTATGTGCTATGTGCCGCGATCTATACGCGTGGGACGCGCCGTACATGAACATCGGCCGGGATCGCTGACACCATTAGTCTTAGTCTCTAACTAAAGAGAGAAAAAAAGGCATTTCTTCCCCCGATCGCTGCAACCAAGTGGAACACCGTTTGAAGCCCACTCGTCCGGTGATAACGGCGATGAGGTACTGTTATATCCTATCCATAGACCTCGTATTATATACCTAGGATATACAGTATACACCCTCCCAAGGACCAGCGTGTTGGATCAATTATTATGCAACCCACACCTCACCGCCAACTGCAGAGCGGAACCAGCTCCTTGGGAAGAAAAGATACAATACAGAAAACTACAGTATGTATGTATATTGTACAGTACTGGAGTTTCTGGCAGGGTGGTTCGTTCCAATGAGGATCCGAGGTGGTCAGTGCCGTTGCCAGCCCATTGGGACACTCGCCCCTCTTTACTGGAAGAGAAAATAATAAAATAATCAGCTCGCGGATTCCAGGTCTCTCAGCAGAGCCCGATCGTCGGGCTCGGGTGGAGCTCGCGCGGGCAAGGATCCACTGTGTGGACTCTTGTGGACGTTCATTGCTCAGTCGAGTGGGGGCGGTCGGGATGGAAGTGGAGGGGGAGGAAACAGTGGGCTCCTACAGTCTTGGGGGCCTACATGTATAGTATTATATGAATAATGTTAATACGGTAGGTTGGGAGATACGATGTGGATAGGGTGTACAATGGTGTACACATGGACACATGGACATGTCCAGGCAATAGGAATAATCATTTTACAATAACACCACAATCATTACCTTGATCTGGGTCTGTGTGCCAGTGTTCCAAATCATTTAAAGTATCTATACATTAGAAACAAACCTGTTGACAAATCCAAGGATGACACTGCGAATCTCGGTCAAGTGGATCTGCCCCCCCCATTGTCTCCCATCGTCTCTATTATTCGCTGGATCTTATTGGAAGATCCCCCAGCCGTGACGCCCGATTATGTTTAGGTGTTCTGATTGTACCTCGAGAGTTGACGAAGTGTAGCCCACTGCAAGCAGGAAGCACCTATCCATGTGGAAGTATGAGCCCTCCATCGGACTAGTGTAGCTACGAATCCAACTATGAAGGTTTGAGTAGTGGTACATCCTATCCTAGGCCTCGAAGTGTACTTCTGTACTGAGTACATAGTACATAATAGCATTCCTATGTACAACTGTACAACTGTACAACTACATTTCCACCAAATAATCCCTGTCGATACTCTTCAATAAATACACGGATCGGAGTTATGCTCATGATGTCCATGAAGCATTCCACCCCAATCTCTCGGGTCCTGCCCTTCTGCATTCCTCCGACACGCTTCAAAAATTGTAGCCGCCTCTTGTTTTTTTTTTTTTTTTTTTTTTTTTTTTTTTTTCTTTTTCCTTTGCAGGGTGTTTACCCCCCTGCAAGCCACCAGCCATGCACCGACAGACCATTCAACGGCGCCACCCGACGCCATCGGAATCCGGGGCTTTCGCGACCACTTTTCAGAGTAGTAGGTGAAGAGACTACTGCTGCACGAGCATTGCTCGGTATACTTTTAGTATACTATACTGTAGACACTGCACCACAAGGGATACCGTATCCTACTCCAGTACAGTAAGGAGGTATTCATGTAAAAAGCAAAGGAATCCATCCATGGTCAGCCATAAGCATAGGCCATAATCATACCGAACCCTCGGGAGGGATGATAGTAACCAACCAATTCAAATTCCACGGCGAGCTCCGGGCGCAACCCACAGAGTTTTCTTTCCAGATGACCCAGGCAGCTGAACCTTGTCTGGCTGCGATAGCAGCGAGCTACTGTAGGAGGATCAGAGTGAACAGTATATAGAGGGAAAACAGGGGGCCGTAGCGGGCGATCATGTCCTGTCCATAAACCAATCACTCTCTCACTCTCCTGGAATATTCCACTTGTCTTTTCCCACTGGCCTAATCCGATCGCAGGCGTCTCGCGGGATCGACCTGAGAGGGTCCGGGATCTGTGCCTAACGGGGGGAAGGGAAGGAGGTGGATGGTAGATCATTAGGGCTGGTCTACGATGGGAGAGCTTATGAGCTTGTCAGAGCAGGAGCGTAGAATTCATAAAAAAGCAAAGAAAAGCAGCAAAACAAAAAAAAAAAAATTAAGAAAAAGAAATACAACTAGCCGATGGCGATCGGCCCCCAGTGGATCGGGTCCAAGTGATGGAGGATATCGACGTTGAATGGCCACAATGATTGACAGGGAATGAAATCCGTTCTCTATTTTTTGCCTCTGTTTTGCTCATGGCCAAGGGTTATCTGTTTATATATTTTTCTTTTTCTTTTTCTTTTTTTTTTCGCCACTGCCAACTAGTTCAGCTGAGCTTCCCCATCGGTCTATCCCCGAGTAATTCGCCCTGCCCCAAATATTGGACTCGAAAGTTTGCGAGAAATCCTCTTCAGCTAGTGACTTGGAATCTGCAGACGGCACCGTTGCAAATAATTGAGGTGATAAATCGCAAACGGGGAGATGACGCCCGGATAGGCCTCATATCACCTCGAGGCTCGGGAATGATGGTTGCGATGGCCAGCTGGTCTTGTTTTATGTTGATCTCTGAGTCAAGGACTGATCATCGGACATTCCCCTATGACATAGATGCGTCTATATGTGTGTGGATGATATATGGCATCATCGAAAAATGACAAATGACCAGCGTTCGTGCCTAGGTATTCACTGTGCCCAACGCCCCGTTCTATATAAAATGCGACACACTCCTTCATTCCCGGTGGATTCACCTATCCAATTGATCGTTATAAAAAGGTCTCTGCTCGACCATAGAATGAGACCATAGAATGCAACCTTCGAAGGACCCAGCTTATTCGGCCCCAGTCAGCCGAGACGCAATGTCTGTGATGTCCTCCTCGCTCTGCACCTCGAGCACCCGATTCACCTCGGCAGTGCTGCGCATCAGCTCCACCGCCCCAGCGTACATCATGCGATGTGACGGGTTGCAGTTCTCGGGAAGATAGTAGAGAAGCACGTAAGGGACGGAGGGACGACCCGAACTCTAAAGATCAGCGCGTCAGTGTCTGTCTCCTACCACAAACCAGCAGCGGCAAATGAGGAAGAAAAAGAAAAGAAAAGAAATCAAAGAAATAGACGGATCACACGCACCATAGTCAACGGGTAGCTGAGAAGGATGAACCGCGGTGAAGACTCGGGGAGATCATCGGCTAGATCCTCCATCTTGGAGTAGACTTCGCCATCTTGTGGCCGGATCTCCTGGCTCTTTGCGTCGATGATGTCTGACAGAGATGACAGATGGTTAATTGAATCGAAATATCGAGGACTTGATTCCCATTCATGACACACGACCACAGACTCGAAGTGCTGATGCCGACTTAGGAATTCATACAAATGATGGCTTGCGCATCCTTGGCTCGCGATGTGCCCAGGCGGAACTTGCGCAGCTTCTCCTTGGTCTCAGGAGAGAAGGTATATAGCCGGGACTCGGACTGCTTGTGGTCAGTGGTAGTGTCTTCTCGAGATATATTGGCCCACTAGCCCCAGGGCCCGAATCGGAATCTCACCATGCTGGCGTCAATATGCGGTCTGCGCAAAAAACAGAATAAACCCCTCTTTTGTCGCTGTTGTAGACTTCTGCTTTCAATAACACAGACCGAAGAAAAAGATGCTTGAATGAGTGCACGCGACAAGCAATGGAAGCGGGAGTGGGAGGCGAAGATTGTCGTGTAACTGCGGGCGGTCCCCTCCCCCACTTTAAGATCTGCCCCCTTCTTCCACGGGCAGACACCCAATTTCTTCTTCTCTCCTTTGTTTCTCTCCTACTTTGTCTCCCTTATAAATAGAGAGGGAGAGAGAGAGAGAGAGAGAGACAAAGAGACCCTCTTCATGCTCAGTCGTCTGAATCTTGTCGCGCGCCACGTCCCACGCCCACTCGGTCCCCGCCCAGTCCCCGCGCTTTCGACTCCGTCCCTGATCCCATGTCCCGGTCTGTCCACGATGACATCAGCGCACGCGAAACCCATCCACACGGCCGCGTGCCTCATAATTGGTGACGAGGTGCTTGGTGGGAAGGTAAGCTAGCTAGCCTGGAAGAATGTGAGTGGGAAGATATCAGAGAGACAGCATGGCTAACTGATTGTTCGCAACGCGCAGACCATCGACACCAACTCGCCGTTTCTGGCCAAATTCTGTTTCTCGCTCGGTATCCAGCTGAAGCGTGTCGAGGTCATCCCGGACGATGAAGAGGACATCATTGAGGCGGTGCGCCGCATGAGCGCGAGATACGACTTTGTCGTGACCAGCGGCGGCATTGGACCAACGTACGTATCAGGCAGAGAGAGAGAGAGGGAGAGAGGGCTTGACACATATGCAGTCTCCAAGTTTACTGGAACGCTAACAACATCTTTATCCATAACAGACACGACGACATCACATACCAATCAATCGCCAAAGCCTTCGGCCTAAAACTCAAACTACACCAAAAGGCCTTCGAGCGGATGAAACTACTCTCACGCCCCCACCCCATGCAACCCAACTTCGACTGGGAGACCCCGTCGCCCGGCCTTACGGCCAAGCTGCGCATGGTCGAGCTCCCCTACGACGAAACCATTCCGCTCGAGCAGCAGGCCGTCTTCGTCGCCGAGGACATGTGGGTGCCGATCTCCGTCGCCAACGGCAACGTGCACATCCTGCCGGGCGTGCCGCGTCTCTTTGAGCGTCTGCTCGAGCACCTCAAGCCGCACTTGATCCCACGGCTCACTGACCCGGAGGGTAAGGGCACATTCCGTTTCTTGATCAGCACCCCGCTGCCTGAGAGTGCTGTGGCGCCGTTCTTGACGGAGCTGGCGGCCAAGGCGGAGCCATTAGGTGTTAAGGTTGGCAGCTATCCGCGCTGGGGGAAGAAGCGGAATACGGTGACTCTGGTTGGGGCTAATAAGGCTTTTATGGAGTCTTTGATCCCGGAGGTCGAGGCTGGCGTGCAGGGGACGCTGGTTGCGCATGAGGATGAGCTGGATCCGGCGTCGGACTCGGAGCATGTCTATAGCCAGTAGGCTTGTTTGAGGGATTGTAAATTCTTGGTTCTTGGTTGCGGTTCTTGGTTGTGAATGTGTAGTCTTGTTTAGTTTACTCGATAGAGCATCGCAAGATACACTGTAAATCAATATAACTATTTTGATATTTTATATGGTGAGTATCTCAGCTTGAGAAATCCTATACTATCAAGACACATCCATGGATCAAGGCAAAGCCTGTTGAGAGTAAATAAATGGATTGCATCTACCTACCTGGATGGTCATCTTCCACACAAAATTGATGCAAGAGCATACCTCTCGCAGGTCTGTGTTAAATACGAGAAGATCAAGACATGGACAAGCCGCGACTCAATCATAACACGCCCAAAGAATGGCACTATAGAGAAGAAGAAGAACAAATGATATACCCACTCAAGTGGTATTGACAGCCAGGTCACCACGATATCAAGGGCAGAGATGAAAAGAAAATGATAATAAAGTATGACAATTCTTTCGAAAACAGAGTACCAACAAATGAAAAAAAGAGAAATGAAAAATGAAAATAACAGACACAAATCGGAACAAAAAGGGGAATCAAAATGTTTCATGAGACGAGGTGGGCGTCACTGGTCGGGCAGTCATCATGCAAATTTGCGCGCCTTCGATGATGGAACCCATGAAATCCACAACACAATAACCAACAAGCCACTTTTCCTTTGGTGTTTTCCGAGGCTTCAGCCTTCAAGGCTGAATGTTTCCAGAGTCTCCTTCCTCTTCCTTTCTCCGTCGTCCATGAGTGTGGAAATAGCGGGTAGTGGCAGGGTTCGACCTTCACATCCCAGCGAATCCATACTCGTATGTTTCCAATATTTTTTTTTGTCGTGTTTGATCTGCGTGCCATTGCATGGGATTCGACTCGAAGCTTCGGCGCGTGTCCATAGGTGGTGGTGATGGGTGTTTTACATGATAACGCACTTGGAGCAGCAGCCGGCGTTCTCACCGGGCTCGCTCACGTCCATCTTGCCCTCTGGTGCGCGGGCACCGAACGCGCCAGTGCCAGAGGGGTAAGAGGACATTTCCTTGTTGTAGCGGCGGATTTCACGGACGAGGTCGTAGAAGGCGTTCTCGACGTTGATGCGCGACTTGGCCGAGGTCTCGATGAACTTGCAGCCGAACTGTCGGGCCAGGGCCTCACCCTCTGCAGATAGAAAGTTAGCAACACGAGTCAAATGAACCCCCCTCAACCACCAAACCAAACATGGGACCAATCCACCGCGACGTAATTTCAAGTCATACCTTGCTCCGAGACTGCGCGCTCCTTCTCCAAATCACACTTGTTGGCCACGACAATAATGGGGAAATAGTCCTTGTCCTTGACACGCAAGATCTGCTGTTGGAAGGTCATGATTTCTTCGAAGGATTGGCGCGACGTTATCGAGTAGATGAGAAGGAAGCCCTCGCCCGTGCGCATGTACTGTTCCCGCATTGCCGAATACTCCTCCTGACCCGCCGTGTCCAGGACGTCCAACAAAGCGACCTCATCGTCGATCACGCACTGCTTGCGGTAGGAGTCTGGGAGGGAAGAGGAGAGTCAGCGGTGACCCAAAACAAAGGGGAGAATTCGATTCAATTCCCGAGGTGATGAAGAGGGGGCACTCACCTTCGATTGTCGGGTCATACTCGTCGACGAAGTGGCTCTGGATCAGCTGGATTGTCAAGCACGACTTGCCGACGCCACCGCCGCCGACAACCACCAGCTTGTACTCTCGTAGGAACTGCGGCGAGGAAACACAAAAAAAAATCAGCCATTGTGCTCGACACACCGACGCGAATGGCGGGTCGTGTTTCGATGGAGGTGGCAAGGGAGGCCGGGGGCACGGGCAGAGGGCCAGGTTGGCGGTCTGGAGAGGAACGACTTCAAGCTCACCTTAGAAGCCATTCTGAAGCGAAAAGATCTATTGGTGCCAATCGGACCGGGGCGACAAAACGGAGCAACAGAAAATGGGACCGAAGAAATCAACAGGGGGGGGGTATGAATTCTGGGGTTTGAAGGCGGACCCTGAGGTGTGAAGAAAAGGGAAAAAAAGAGAAAAAGAAAAAAACAAGAAACGAAAAAAAGGGTTCACGAGGACCCAGCAGGATGAGTGTAGGGCGGAGTCCACACAAGGCGACAAGCTCTCTCTCTCTGGGGGGGAGCTGATTAGGGGGAGAATTAAGGAGGATCGGAGTAAACGGGAAGAAATCAAGAAGTGTTCTGGCGAGCTTCTTTCTACGGTGGAGACCCGGGCGCGAGGCAACGGAGAATTCGACAATATAAAGAAATAAGCGCGATTAATATAAAGACTAATTAGAGACCAAACAGAGAGGAATAAAACAATAACAAAAATAAAATAAGAATAAGAATAAAAAAATAAAAAAAAAGTAGGGAAGTTCAAGAGATCCGCAGAGCGAGGCTTGAGAAAAGGGGAGATGTTGATGCGAAGGAGGTTCTTCTTGCTTTGTTATTATTTTGTATTTTCTTTATTTATTTCATATTTATATGTTTTCTCTATTCTCTTTTTAATGCCTGCTGTTTCTCTTCGTATCCCCTATTTTTCTTGAATTGTTCTCAATGGATGGCCTCAGGACCAGACTTTGGTACACTAAATATCGAGGGGATCTCCCCCCCCCTTTTCCCTGACTCCCTGATTCCCCTCTTTGGAATCCTTCGAAGATTCCCATTCCCCTCAGACGCTATCAAACACACCCTTACTCTGTGCTAGATACTCCCATTCTCTCTCTGAATTGCAGTCCAGCTCTCCAGACACGAGTGGATCCCCTGGTGGAGATGGGTCCCTTAGGGCATCGGGCTAGCCTGGGGCGCTAGCTGTGATTTCTCTCTCTGCACCCGACCAGTGGATGGTGGCTACCCGAATATCAAGAACCAGAGAGGCGTTTGTAGTGGAGTATGGACCACCAGAGTCAAATCAATCATCAATTTGAACTGCTGGAACTGGTCCTCGACACCGCCAATGCATCTTGGCTTTCTTTTCAAGCCTGCAGCACCTTGCAGCGGGATTGCATCATTCCACGGGATCTGTCAACTGCGGATACATCTCGACACATCTCTCGACTATAATCAACACAACTAACCAAAGAACAAAGAACAATAACGAGAATAAGGATCTATCTTGCTTCGTTCTCTTGCACGGCAATTCCTGCCCGCCTTTCCCCAACACACACTTACCTCACGAGTCACATCACTGACATCTGCGCTCGCTGCAGATCAGGAAATTGATTCCTCTGATTTTCCTCCGACTCGGGGGACTTGGGGGCCTGTTCTCTCCACATTTTCTCAGCGGATACACCCGATTGCTGGGATTTATGGTGTGTCTGTGTCTGCTTCGACAAACCCCGCCTGCACCATGACTCGGGGATTCCGGGATCTTCACTGCGTGCAGCGTCACATCCCACGTCACAGTGCGAGATGGGCAGGGATTATCACCGAAGTATCTTTCTCTCTCTCTCTCTCTCTGTGTGTGTGTGTGTGATTGTCTATTTTGGATTGTCTCATCCAAGGCTCTCTCTCGGCTCTTTAACTTCGATCCGGCTGTGGTGCTGGGTTTCCATGGATGTGCAAACTCAGATTCAGCCATATTCTGATGGTTATGATTACTCAAAAGATAATTGTATAATTGGTTTCCTGCAAACTATCAGTGGATATGTTGACTGTTTCAACCCGGCGCCACGGCTTGGGACTATATCGGCCGTGTAGCTGCAGGGCCCTCCCGAGGCCGGTCTCGTTGACAATGTGGGTTTCTTAAAGGATCGGCCTTCAAACGCACTGGTTCTGATAGATAGGATAAGTCTTGCTATTAGCGAGGGCCATGTTTTAGTCGATATCTTGTCTGAAAACTATACTTCAATCCTCGCTCACATTCATATGATCGAAACGACTAGGCCTTGAGTATAGAGAAGTTTAGATCTAACAGTATTCTGTTCATTCGGGAGTCCAGATCAATCTCCGACCATGTCCTATGTTCTTCTACTTTATCTTGTAGTACAGTCCAATTCATATACTATGCTCACATGACTGCAATAGGCTGCAGCATGGGCAACACAAGCATTTATACGCGGCATTGAACTCGCACATTGCGGAACCATGCACACTGGAAGCTTATCTATGTATCCTGTACATCGTGACGCATGCCACTTCAAGACTTGCGGTGCATCACACCGGCAGAGGCCTGCTCCATGGTTAGTTAAACGAGTCCTAAACAAATGCTCATATTTTGAACAGCCCAACTGTTGGTTACATACCTGATGGCTGGGGAAGACCAGGGTATCCGCAATGACGACGTTCTCTCGCCGCCCTGCAGCAAAGACAATGACTTCGGCAATGTCGTCGCCGGTCAGTGGCTCGCAGCCCCTGTATATAATCAGCTACATGTAACTTATATAAAGGGCTGGACAACTCGGTTATCGGTTATCGCTTACTTGTAAACAGCATCGGCCTTGGACTTGTCGCCATAGAACCGCACGACCGAGAACTCCTATCCAGCATTAGCTTCTGTGGAGCATGACAAGGAAGAGAGTAGTATCATCCATACCGTCTCCACCTGGCCAGGATCGATTTCAATAATGCGAATCCGAGATGCAATGAGCTCCTTCCGCAGCGCATCTGTGAAGGATCGGACAGCCGCCTTGGTGGCACAGTAGATACTCCCACCAGAGTAGGGCTCGCGGCCAGCAATGCTGCCAATGTTAATGATATCGCCACGGCCGCCTTCGTCCCTTTTCTTAAAGATCGGGAGAATGGCCTGGGTCATGTTGATGAGACCGGTGACATTGGTGTTGAACATAACATTGATGTCCTCGGGCTCGATTCCAGGAGCCTGGGCAACACCCTTGACCAGACCACTAGATAGCGAGTGGCATGATAAGAAACCACACAGATCTTGTAGAGTAGTTTACAGAGATACTCACGCGTTGTTGACCAGTACATCAATCTCCTTAAACTCCTCCGGCAGAGACGGCACAAAGCCGTTGACATCGGCCGGGTTGCTAACATCCAGCTTCACCGGAAGCACCTTGACACCGTCGCCAACTTCTTCTTTGATCTCAGCCGCGATCTGCTTCAGCGCGTCGATGCGCCGCGCAGTCAAGATCAGTTTGAGGTTCTTAGGCGACGTGCGCGCAAATTCCTTGGCAGTGCTCTTGCCAATTCCCGATGAGGCGCCCGTGACCACAATCGTCTTGCCTTCGAGGCGCTTAGCCATTGCTGAAGTCATGGTGCGTCGGGGTGAAGCCGGATGAACGGGTAGAGTAAACGGGTTATTGGGTTGCTTGGCGGAGGAGAACAAGATGGTTGATCCGGGGGATGAGAGGCTGCGCAGAAATCCAATTGATCGAGTCCACGTCCTTACACTGTTCATGAAGGGGTGTTTCTTCAGGAGTCAACGGTGGATATCGTCAAAGAAATCGACAGAAGACGTGCGGGGGGTCCCCTCCCTGGCGTCATATCGGGTTATGTAATCGGCTGAAGGTTGAAGCGGCTCGGCTTTCGCTCCGAGTATTCGAGAACCTCAATATACTCGTGCTGTCCATAAATAGCGGATGTTTGTGGCTATTGTTTGGTGTTCTTTGTTGGAGTGACTGAGTTGATGCACAATGGCACTCTCTAACGTTTCCTTGACCAGTCAAAGAGTGCACTACTCTTTAAGAGCAGGGTTGGTTCAAAGAAGATCAAACAAGGCCCCAAAGAACAAGAAATGCCATTAACAACCCCGTCCTTGGGCTAAGAATACTTTCTATTTTTGAAGACAAAGATCTTGAATTAGATTGTCTGCCTCAGTCCTGGGACAGCAATGGGTGGCAGACACCGTCAAGGCTATCGATGTATAAGACAGAGGACGGGTCCGTCTGTCTTGCAGGATTGTCGGCGTTCACCAATAAAAGCACACTTGTTGGTGTCTACCGTGCTTTACTTCGAATCTTGCATGGCCACTCCAGAGTGTTTGGTGTATTTATCGTTGTGGTTGAACCGCGCCTCAGAATATCATTATCTCTCACCTCTTGCGTTTATACTTCTTTACTTTCACCTTCACCTATCCTTGTATTCCCTACCCCCCTGCATCGTTCTGTCTTCCTTTCTACTAAGCCTCTTTCACGAAACGTGTGTGTGTACACCTCTTCATCTCTGCACTAACTGCTCTTACCGTGGAGAATGCGAGATGGCTGCTGATATGGTATGATAGCTCCTCTTCTCACTCAAATTTGACTTTGATATCTTCATTGATAGCTAACTATGGGTATAGGGGTCTACGTGCACAGAGATCCTACAGCGGGGCCACTTTGACTGGGCCGAGGATGTCGAAGATGAGCTTGAGAGCATGACGCTCTGCCACAGTGCCGGTCTTGGTTCATTTGAGGCGTCCTTACTCTCACATCATCTGGAGGACCACGATGTCTATGAATCCATGCTCTCCTTGAGCGACACCGCCGCGCCCCAGTCGTCTATCAGTAGCGATGAAGCTGCGTGCATCGCCCCAGAGGAAGAGTCAGCTTCAAGCGCCCACCTGGAGCACAGAGAGCAGCCGGCCGTCGATTACCTCACAGCAGCAGATGTGGAGAACGAGTTCGCGTACCGCAACGTCCTGGTAGACTGCGAAGACGAGGCATCTCCCATCCATCATTTCAACTGGATGGGGACGCCAGTGTACGAGCACAGCGCCACACCACCCGAAGAATCTCTCGCTGTGATCCTAGCAGGCCCGAAAGTGCCTCGACTCGGCGATCAATACCGGATCGCCTCGATCCTCCAGCGAGCCTCGCGCCTCATCGACCCAGTTCTCACCACGCTGGATGGCACAAGAGAAAACTTGTTGAAGCTGTGCGGCACAAAGCTCGTGCGTGCATGCGCTGGCAACGTCTTCAAATTCTACACCCCCCACGGGGTGTGGATCGCCGATTCCAAGGAGATGTCGGGTGATACGGTGCCCGATAACGGCAGTCTGGACACCTACCAGGCCTCTAATCTAGCGATTGGCAATGGGTTCGTACAATCGAGCAGAATCCCCTCTCGCAGCCAGTGGGAGCTGGCTCGAAACGAGAAGCTCGCTACATCAAACAAGCCTTCTTCCCCGCCGCGCAGGCTTACGTGGAAGCCGCAACCTTCACCGCTGCTCCAGTCGATGGTGGCTGAGCCAGATGAGGTAGAGGTGAACGACGGAGAGGTGAAAGAAGTGGCAGTTGATTCCCCCGTAAAAGACAACAAGACAGTCCACCTTGTGAAGAAGAAAATCTGGCGTCGTCTGGCTTGTCCGAGTCTTACTGACTCCAAGGCTGAATACTTTTCGTTTCCACCTCCGGTCTTGGAGAGATCGTCAAAGAAGAAGTTCTCAGTGCGCAGGCTCGCAAAGAAACTGAGCCGCTCGATCTTGGAGGTTTTCGGCAGTGTGAGGCCTGCTACCTTTATGTCCGAACCTTGTCGTTGAGGTCAAGTAAAGGAGGACGGGTAGGATTGAGCCTTTGAATGTATGACTGAACCTTGCATCGTAGGCTCTGTGATCCCCTAGGAAATATGAAGCTACCTACAATTGGATAGATACGGAGTGGTTGAGCCACCGTGTGAGGGATGAAGCTTACCTGTACATAGGCTGGTGTCCCGTCTAGGGGTAACGAATGAAAGAAGTGATAGATCTATTACATCGCTGACCTGGAAGAATATACTGGGCTCGAATTTGGAGGAACTTGCCTACCCATCAATGTCTTCATTATCTACTTGTTTCTATTCGGTGGCTATGTGCTTCAATACATTTTCATATCAGGGCCTCCCCACTTCATCGACACGGATGCGACTTGAAACATTGCTGAGATTGTTAAGCAAGGTCTATGCCGATGTCAATTAGACCACCATAGAGGCCGTGTTTAGCAATAGAATCCCGTTTACCGACCGAGTTGATTGTTCTGCAAGACATAGAAAGGACCTTTTTTAGGCAAATATGATTACATTTCAAGACCCATTCTGACAACAACAGTGTTATATTATCAAGAATACTTTGAGACACTTCTCCATGCACTATCAAAGGGGGCATCATCCATAAGTTTACGCAGAACGCACAACGCAAAATGGGGTATAGATACAAGAAGAGCGCTAAAACAGCAAACACCATAATGCATTTCCCGCTCAATAAAGTCGCGCCAGAAAAGAATGCCGTTTCGAGACTCGCCGGAATTCGTCCACAGCCGGACTAACCGGCTTCGCGAGAGGATCCCCCATGCTTAATGGCTCCAAACGACTCGATGCAGACGAGTGCAAGTAGGGGGTGTTGACATCAGCCTTGGACCGGATATAGTAGTGCTCGTCGTTCTCCTCCATGTCGATATGCCAACGTTCCTTGAATTGTCTTCCATGCGGCCCACTCCCACACGCACCCTGTAACTGGTCGGTTTGGGGACTGTTGATGGCCAGCGTGAAGAGGTTCTGGGGCTCGGTGAAATCGGTGACTTGTCTACCGCGGGCCTCGAGGATCATGAAGGCGAGACAAATGGCGCTGGTGACGAAGGCGAATACCAGGATCACGTAGAAGATTACTTGCCACTTCTCTGCCCAGCCGGATGCATACCCGACTGTCTGTACGGATGCGCGGAAGTATTGGTAGACGGGCTTGGCGAGGATATTGTTCGGTGTGCCGGTGTAGTTCCATCCCTGGACGAAAGGGGCGTCTTGCGAGCTGAGGATCAGTGTGTTGCCCGACATCACGGCAAGAGCCTCTGCAATTGACGGGAGGTTAGGGTCGAGGGAGAAGGTGTTGGTCTTTTTGTTGAATGCCGGCATCAACTGCATCAGCAGGCGTGCATTGCTTGCCGCTCCGTCGGTGATACCCGTCCCCAGACTCAGCGAGCTGGCCCATTCCGAGGCAATATTTTTCCAGTCGGCCTCCCAGACGCCTTCCTGGAAGTGCTTGTTCTGGTTATTGTATTGGAGGTCATTCTTGGGGCTCTCGCATTTTGTCCTGAGTGAGGCTCCGCTTGACGCAGCGCTGTATCGCGTGGAACAGGCCCCCGTTTGCTTTGCTCTGACTGCACACATCACGTACTCGGTATCTCCAAGGCCCGCCGGCGCTGCTCCTAAAAGGAAGATGGCGTTTGCAGGCCACAATCCCGTCGTGTTGAGGAGCGTGTTGTGTAGTTTGGGGTATTTGCCGAACACCGGCGGCCTTTGGCCGTATTTCTCACCGAACTCGAATAGATCATCAACAACAGTGCGGTTGAGCCAAGAAGGACGCAGTGGGATATCGGTCGGCGTTTCCGTGTACCAGGTGGTCGCATTAAACCCTTGTGTGTGCGGCCATTCCGTGTACACCAGAGGAGAAAGCTCAAGTTTTGTCATCCCCACGCAGAGGACATTCACAGCAGGCGAGGGCACCGATGCCTCGACGTTATACTTGCCTTCACCCGAGGCCTCTTGGGGTTGACGAATGCCGTTCCGAGCATCCATGGCCGCCGCGAGAACGCCGCCATGCGGCATGGCCATGGTGATGTTGTTCACCATCCGGCCATGTTTTTTCGACAGTTCCGTCATGTTTTCCACATCAATCCAACTGCCGGTCACGGTCGTGTTGTCGTAGAGGGAACCGGTCGGATGTGGCCGCGATTTCAGTTTGTCGGATGTTTTGTTGCTGCCATGCACGAGGTTGCTCCAGTGTGTGATCCACTGCCGATAGTTGTGGTATGCCTGCCCGACATGCTCCATCTGCAGACACGTCGTGTTTCGGTACTCCGGGTCTGTTGACATGGAGATGGGAGTACGGCAGTGCAATCCCAGGAATTCGCTGTTGCCCCAGCTGGCAGATACTTTGCCCCATAGTGTTGTTGGTTCGACCGGTCCAAGGGAAAGCTTTGGCGACACTGTGGAATCGTTTAGCTATGTATTGCAGAGTTTTTTCCTTGAGAGCGACCTACCTAAGGCTTGGGCAGCAGTGGTATACAGCATCGCGACAAAGGTCGCAATGAGCGCAATGGACCCAAGAAGGGTGAGCCCAGAGTACCGCAACGTCTCCCAGTGCACGATCATGGAGCCAGGCTGCATAATCCATGCTCGCATACTCATATCTGAAATCGAGATACCCCGCGAATTTCCCATCAACGCGCGCCGACTGAGGACTTGTCCCAGGAATGCGACGCAGACGGTGACGTAGGACAACTCAATTGTCTTTGCAAAGAAGGAACTTAGTAAACTCGCAGTTGACGGCGCAAGTGGCCCATCACTCGCAATCCGCTTCCATCTTGGCTTCCACAGCGCAATAGCAAGATAAATCCCAGAGAAGACCGTGGCATACAGCGACAAAACCAGAATGGTCATCGGAACCCATGACAACCGTTTCTGAAGAACATTCGAACGGTTCGGACAATTGCCGCGCGGGGGTAGAGACTTCTGGGGCGAATTGGCAACCGTGCTTGTGCTTGCTACCGAATCGTGTCTTTGATGAGCTGGGATCTTGTCCCCCCTGGAATTCGTGATCCCCAAGCCCACCTCCCGAAAAGCCTCATCAGAGGAGCTCCGACGCGGCGGGGGATAATAATACGAATCCTCCAACTCAGGCGACGAGCGACCTAGTGGATGCCATGAACGTGGGGGTCGAGTGCCCATGGGCTGTCCAGAAGATAGGAGAGAATGCTGCGACTCTCGCGACTCGGCCATCCTGGATGGATGTCGAGAGGACAGAAAGCGTCCACGGCGAACAAAGGAAAAGACCCTGAAGCTCGCATGGCTGGTGGGGCTCAAGACTTCAAAATAGCTAGGGTTTAGTTCAGCTGGCCAATTGTTGCTATGTCGAGTTGGGGGCTGATGAGTTGGCGCACGTCGGATCGTAGTTAGGGCTTGGCAGGAGTGCGCTTGGACGTTCAGACGTCCCTCGGGCAAATCAGGGGCACCCTAGCGAGTATGGCTCTCTTTTATAGAATTAAAAAAAAGAAGCTTAGCTGGCTTGGTCCTTGCTTTCTAGTTAGAAAATAATAAACAATGGAAGAACTAAAATCTAGAGGTGGTTAAAGAGGTATCTTTGGCGAAGCGGTCCGTGGAGACTAGAAATTCATGCACCAAATATCTGCAAAGCTGGCCAATGATAAAGCGATAGGGGATACACTAGCGCTGAATGGGTAATTAGTTTGTAGCTGACTCGCCGATCTGGATAACTGGCATCAGTCATCGAAGTTCTCTGCAAGTATCAGAGAGCTAGAGTGGAACAAGAGGCAAGCCATCAGATTAAACTCATTGAAGATAGCAGTTTAGATGAAACATTTGATTAGGCGTATTGGGCACTTTAAAATGTTAGACACAGAAGAAGGCATAAATATAGATGACCAACTGTCCAAATATCTGCCACGGAATTGCTGAGAGCGAGATGAGCCTCAGACGCCAATACAGAGATTAGGAAAGCTGCCACATTCCCCACAAATAGGTCTGCTAGGTAACTCTTAGAACCGTGGGATCGCACGGTTAGTCTTTCCCAGCTTTCCCATAGTATCGGTTTCAATGTGCAGAACTCCATCACGGTGGACGGATGCATATCCATCATGGTCAAAGTCGACGACCACGCCTTGACTCTGCTGGTTGACGAAGTAGAAATGGCCCTCGAAGTAGTCGACAAAGCCATCTTTGTAATCTCTGTAGAACATGACGCCAGTAGCGGAGCCGCAGAGATTGTCAACATTTTGCGCGATAGTGTCCGTATCTAAACGGTGATATTGTTAGCATAGATACATAGATAGAACAAAGTACCATAAGCATGAAGGTGAGGTGTAAACATAAATATAACAACACCAGACGAAAGAAAACAAAACAGGAGATATCAAATCTCCGGCCGGGGATTACCTGGAGCCTGGCAAATATTACACTCAGTGAGACCGCCGTGTTTCATCACCGTGGTGCAACCAGCTCCAGAGATGTTGAAATCGATATAGCACGTCCCCTTCTTCATATCGGCTTTCATTACAGCCGAGGCGCCATCCAGCGAGTATTCATTTGCCGCGTAATCGTAGGCAGCACTCATTCTTTCATTCGTTGTCTCTGTTGGAGTGGCCGCTCTATGCGCTGCAAGTACAGCCATAAGGGCAACAGGCTTCAGATGCATGTTCGGTGAGGGAGAGAGTCGACGGGAGACTGAAAGATCGATTAAAAAGTGAGGATCAATGAAGAGCAACGAGCTGTTTAGATGGATCCGAGATCGCACTTTTAAATTGGATCTTTTTTCAAAAATACTGTGACAGTGAGGCTTAAGGCTGGCCTAGAATAATGTGCGTGGATATTCCGTAGAATTTTCGGTTCATTGTCTGCAATGAAATGGAGATCATTACGGGGATAGTATAACAGCCAATGTCATGATTGGTTTGAGAACAAGAATATCGAGGCATTTGCTTATGTTGTTAAACTTAGATGTTGCCCGATCCCATCAGGATACTACCGGGGATCAGTGTAGATCAGCGATATTGTAGCCTCGCCATTCTCTGACTGGACAGAGAGCGATCCTGCAAGCCCCGCCCCATCTTAGCTCTCCCATTGATGTGTTTACAGAACCCGCAAAGGATTCATTGCCCTGAGCATCGCGTATATATCCAACCGCTATCTAGACTTTGGCGAGGAAAACAAAACTCATGCATACATGCTTCATTATCTTCCTCGCCTCCCAGAAATTGATTAAAGGAATGTGACAAGAGCCGCCGAAGAGTCTGGGATATCAATGCTGAGTACGCCATTCTTGATATCGGCCTTCTCTTCCTTTGAATCAACAACGACCGGTTTCCCCTGCTTGAGACCATAGCCATACGAAACACCCCCAAACGTAACATTTTGCAAAGCATCGCTTCCCGGGGCAGTAAGACGCTCGATCTTGGCATCCTGGGAATGCTTCGGAAGTTGGAACAGGTACTTCCGATCGGGGCGGGTCTTTGTTGTAGTCTGGTTGAACGCCCGGAGATTGAGGACAGCAAGCTTAGACAGTCGTTTCCCGTTGTAAATCGCGTAGGCAGACTCGGTATCTTCCGATAAGGGGATATTGACAATCCGTGAATCCTTTGCATGGCCCAATGCAGTGGCTACCATGATCTGTCCGTAGTAGGGTGGTCGGGTAGTTGGAGGTACTCCCTTGCTTGTGATCGGTTGCCACGAGGCATATCGGTAGTTCAGGCCTTGGTGAAAGTGAAGACGTTTGATGTTCTGCGAAGAGATTTTAATATTGTTGACAGATAAAGAAACGAAGCCGTTGACCGTACGTGTTCTGCGGCCCAGAAGGAGAAATCAACCAGCCATAGCGCGTCGCCGAAGACATTGGTTTCACCATTGCGACCCTGGTTGGCGATGGAATTTAACTCTCCAAGAGTAAAGGGGTGGCCGAGGTATTGGAGATTCCGAGCTCGCTGGATTTGAGGGGCCAGGTTTTTGGCCATGTTGGTGTGATTCATCAGGGTTTCTAGAATTGTTATTGGTGCTTGTTGTATACATTTGGTTTGGCGCAACATACTCTGGAGGTCAAATCCTGCAGGAGGGAGGGGCGGTGCGTTGACACCCATATAGCTTTGAACAAGAGTCAGTAAATTAAAGACAGCCGTCGGGAGTGCCAAGGCGTACTTGTGAAAAGAAAGCTCTTTCGTCAGGTTCTTTTCATCATACCCAAGATGAAAGAGACCCTCCGCTGTCCATGTAGTCTTACTGAGCGCCAGGTCCAGCAAGACAAAGCTAGGAGCCATGAATCCCGGGAAGGGACCAGGGCACGCTTTCTGGACCGCGGCTTTCACGACGGCAGCCTTGCGGTTCCACTCGCAGGAGTAGTCGAGAAGTGAATAGTTGGCTGGTCGGTACTTCCCAGGAGCAAAATTCCATTCATTCCCGAGTTCAAAGAGGTGCAGCTGAGGACCGATGGAGGTACACGCTTTTGTTGCGGCACTCTCGAGCTGTTGCACAGACTTGTTTTGGTTCATGTTGAGTCCGTGCAGGAACTGGATGTCCCCCAAGGTGTGATATGATTCGAAATATCCGGGGCCATAGTTGATTTGGATTGGCTGGTCATCGGTTGGTTTCTCGTAGATGAGCTTGACGTTTTCTTTCTGGTTGGGGAAGTAGTCGGAATGGTCCCTATTACCCAGTTTAATTAGCGACCAAATGAAGTTGACATTTTGGAAAGATTTCATGCATACTGAGAAGTCCCTCCTACTCTCACTTTTGGAAGCACGCCGGTGATTTGTTTGAAGTTGTCCAGCAACGTTTTGGAAAACGTGTTTGGGTGTGACTTGTTGCCGGCATAGTCAGGGAAAAAGGCAAATTCAATAGAAAATGCCTGTAGGTCATTAGAAACCGGGTTGCTATTCTTCGGAAGAGAAGGAATGGAAATAGGCTGGAATTGACATTGTCCAGATTGAAGGAACAGGGCAGTGCCCAGGAGTGCAGAGTAGAGCAGCATCATAGAACAGTGGATGCTGGTGAGAAAGCTGTATTGTGTGGCTTTTTTTTTTGTTTGCCCCTTTGCTCTTATTTATAGTCCACGCTCATTACGGCTATTCATCCCCATCGGCATTTGGCAATTGATATAGCCGCCCCGATTTGGTTGAAGAACTCCCCCATATGATCTTCTTGGCGTTCCTGTTAAGGTTAATGATCAAAGTATGTGGAGTGCATACCGTGGAGAGATATGTCGTCACTTGTTCCAGATCTATCTGGATCGGATAGTCTCTCGGATAGAGGGCGTGGACTATATATGACTGGAAATAAATTATGCAAAGACAATCCCACAGCCAGTTTTTACAGATACCTTTACTCAACCCATTGAAAGAAACCTGCTCCAGACTCAGACCTCCCCTGTCAACCCCAGGCCCCAATGGTACTTCAAGCAAAGGAAAGTTTCTATACCACCACAATCAATAGCCGATTCATCAATTCACAAATGCCGCTTGAGGCCAAACCCCGGAGGATTTTCTAGTACCCGACACATCGCAGAGCTCGTCGGCTCCTTCCTGGCGCACCCCGCATTTCCCCAGGTCTGAGCTCTGCAGAGAATAAGCCTCGGCAATGGGTATGTGCTTTAAACGGGGTTACCTACAGGTAATTTGATTATGCTCAACTTATTTTCGTGGCTGTAGACGTATATCTGAATGTGATTGGATTTCAAGCAATGTTAACACGATAGGGTGCGGCATACTTCATGAGAAAATGGAGATGGAGACCAGATAAAGGCCAAAACAATATCAAGGATTTCTGCTATCGCGAAACTTGAGAAAACGCAAGGACAAGCACAAAACACAATTCATACTTTTTTGAGTATAAGTTGAGGATGGTTCGTGAGCGGAGTAGTTCCGCTCGCATTGCCGATATATCCGTGAGGTTTGCCGAGTCGCCAAAGTATGGCTGCAAATTCCGAATTTCCATGCCCCATTGATCCTACCGAATGCTTGTCATATCCCATAACCTTCTTGATTTATCCCTTTGACGGACGGTAATCTTTCTGGGGAGTCTGAGGTAGACCGAGTCAAGACTAGTTAGGTTATGACATTAACTTGGAGGGATGTCCTAAAACAATATAAAAACCCAAGTGAGTAGCTTCTTTGTCGAGGAAGACGGTGAACGAAAAAAGAAACTCAGCTCTTGACATCATCAATTAAACGAGCAGTGCAGTAGAGAGCAGACTATTCGTTAGTCAGAAGAGACGGCAGACAATGTTCTATTTCAAAAATGGCTTCAGCTGCAGCAACCGAGAAAAAGACAAATAAATCAGGGCTTTCCCTGACTCCATTATGAGGAGGCCGGTGGCTTCTACGATTTGCCTACGTATTCGGTAGCTTTGATATCGCCGCCATCAAGTACGTTGTTCTTAGTAACAATAAGACTCGCAACATTAACGGGTTTGGACGTATCATCTATGGCCACAGAGGCGAGAAGACTTTGGTCCCTATTTACCATAAAATAAGAAGTATTGTCGACTCGAAGCTTAACCCCTATAAAAAGGTCTTTGAAAACGTAGGAGCTTGTTCGCTCAGAAGACCTGATCATGAGCCTCAGATTTTGCCAACGTATCATGCCAAGTATTAAAAAGAAGGCTATCAAAAGTGAGAGTTTCCCATAAAGATGGAAAGACTTGTATACAAATGCTGCGACAAGAATAGAGCATATTTCCCTTAATTCTCATGCCTAAAGAATAGGATAAACTCGGGAGCTTGACTTATCTAAGTCCAGAAGATACCCTATAGCGCAATATAAGAATGCGCGAAGATAGCTTGTATTGTTGAAAAGATCTGAAAGATCAAAGCTAGAGAGCCGCATCAGTATATTTACTGAAGGTAGAATGTTTTGAATTGGAGCTCAGTGCATCAGAACCCAGTTGGCATGGGCAGATGATTCAAGTAAACGAAGAGAGGCATGTACTAAATAGGAGTGTGTTCCAAATGGAAGGAAAGAGAGGTATATTCCATGACCAAGTAGGTTCAACTTTTTATTAGCTATAGAAGGATAGATGAACTGGACTAGTGCCTATACTGTAACTCAGAATAAGGACCATTGCACTTTAGTTGAATGTTTCGTAACAGTTCGGCTTTCACTATAGTAGGCTTGGTGTTAGGAGAAAAGTGAAACGGCACATGTATACGTGAAAGATAGCAAGGATGTAGGATAAATATAAGTGAGAGCAGGGATATATATTATTTTAATTCAGTTGCGTGTTATTAAATCTAATATCAGACCGCCACACTTCGAATTTGGCAGCCACTTCTGCGTCAATAGCTTCCTTGGCCTTCAATCTCTGGTCTCTTTTTGTTTCATGTCTGACCCGAATAACAGAGGATTTAGTCACTGGCTTTTTAATGTACCCTTCTCTGGGGTGGCCCACGAATAAGACCATCTTTAGGATGCGTTCCACGTCGAACCGGCTCTGCTACTCGGGGAGGCGTCAGTCGATAGTAAGGAATCTGTAGTAAGGTACAGGTAGATGGGACGGAACACAGAACAGAGAAGTAATAACAAATATAAGATTCATATTCCAAAGATGTATTGCCCACAGCCGAATTATTGTCGATATCTGTGGAAGATTTGAAGACACAGGTTTGTAATGAAGCATCTACTCTTGATGGCAGCGGTCTCTGCTCATCGTGTGTTGATACGGTGTTATCCACCGGTATTAAATTCAGAATATGTGACATTCACATCGCCCAGAAGTGAGGTAGCAGAGGTATCGTTCGGCATTATAGGATATGGTGTCCTGGTCTCAAGCGCACAATCTAGAAGGTCAGTAAGAGCAGATCAAGGTCAAATCGACAGGTGCCACACAAGCAAACCAACATCACTTGATAGTTCTCTCAGGGTGACAACAGTCTAGGAAGAAAGGGAAGAAAGCAAAGACTCAATCTCCCTCAATCTAGTCAGCCCCCACCACAATCGCAAGTGCTATCAATCAGTGCCCTTCAAAGGCACCGCATCCTCCCAGCCCAGCCTCGTCATCCAGAACCCTCATCACGTCTATAACCTTCTACCTCCACGTAATAAGACCCTCACAGCCGCCGTGCTCGCCCAGCAGTAACCGCTACCCATGCAGGGGCCAGCCTATCAAGCCCCAAATTTATCTCTGGTGTCTTGGCAACCCGTCTTCAAACACAGCTGTATGGGTAGCCCGCCCACCAACATGACGTTTCCGCTTACGCAGCCCTGCCCTGTGCATGGGTAGGGTCTGGCATCCCTCGCAGGCTGCGTGTTGCTTCTCGAAACTTTCTTTTGGTTGATTCCCGGTATTGACGCTTGTATGAACCTGAATGTACATAGACATGTCAGGCGTACATACTATGTCCTAAGTACAGTAGTTGTGGACATAGTGGATAAAACCTAGTATGCATGTCGCTTTTTTTTTTCTAGGTCCAGGAACAGGAGGAATTACTCGTTATGGACTAAATTCCCGACTACATCTCACCATTGGTAGAAGGGAGAAAAAGGGGGGGAAAAGAAAAAAGAAGGAAAATATACAGTAGAGTAGTAAGTAGAAGACGAGTATGGCCTCGTCACCCCCCCCCCCCCCCGCTCTTGATCCCCCCCCAATCGCTTCGACCCAGTTTTAGCCAAACCCTGCATAGCGGGTGCGCCTGGAGGGGGCTGGCGTATCGCCCGCTCCGCGTGGCCTGATGCCAATGTATAGCCCAGTGGGTTTCGCTAGGGGTATCGAGGAACCATGGTTCAAGTGAGCTCTCAATATTGATTTTGTTTATGCATTGTACCTGAAGAGATTCGTATACACGTATACAAATATGAGCCCTATGTATATATACTTTTTTGTGGGGATGGTCGCGATGATTCACCGAATATCACCGACTATCTTGCGACAGAAACCGGTGAAATTTAAGACGAACTAATTTAGGGTGATGAGTATGGGGATTCGTAATCGGTGGATTACTATGTATGTACCTCCAGGACTAGGGTAGATTACCTTAGGGCTTGTTATTTTTTATTTATTTATACTTTTCACTATAATCGTCTCATTAATGCAAATTCCAGCACTGATCATCCAGATCTCGTTGACAGGCTCGGGACTTGTAGGGGTCGTACGTGTACCCCATACCGCGATTGAGGGGCCCGCCGTCGATCGATTGCTGAAAAGGACAGCCAGGGCACCGGGCCAGGGCGGTAGATCTGCAGACTGCATAAGCCACGGTACGTGGCGCGTAACGAGGCCTAGCCTGAAAGTTATCGGGGTGCGAATTGTGTCCGGGGCTGGGGCGAGTGAAAGATATGATTTCGACTTTCGACATCTCTCGGGTAAGAGAACTCGTAAGTCCCAGACGGCCTAATTGATTGTACGGTGTGCAAGAACAGAACAGAGTCCGGCTGTATGTAGCTCGAGTGGGCTGTGAGGGCCCACTACAAATAGGGTCGGACATAATACCATGTGGCAGAGTGGCTTAGTCTACTTACAGTACAATAACCTATTGCAGTATATACTTCGTGGTATGTATTTGTAGTATGTAAAGGGCCTTGGTGCAGTGATAGTGTATATACAATGCTGGCTGTACATTGTATATAGACCAATTCGGTTCCCAGCCCAGCCTATCTTACAGTAGATATGTGTACATAGCTCGGACGCCTAAGTGGATGATGTAAAAATGACTACTGAGACATGTTGTGGGGACGGGTGGTTGTGGTGTCAAGTTGGAAGTGCTGACCAGAAATTGGGCGAATCCTCTTGGCAAAGAGCTTTCTGGAATCGACGGGGTGTGGCTGTGTGCATATACCTACATATTCATAGTATGCACAGCGGATACTATATATGTCGGGGCTCGGGGATTTGTGAGGTTATCCGGTATGGTAACCAGGAAATTGCATTCTAGGCATCTACAATACAATATTTGGCGTGGAAGCTGTCATCCAGATGCATGGGGTCCAAACTCAATTGTAAATTGTGGGGGCCGATGATAAATCCATAGCCAGCTGAGAGAAACAGAGAGAGTCAAGGCAAGAAGAGCCAGATTATCCCCAGCCACAATCCTGCAGATAACAGGCAAGAAAAAAACGAAAAAAAAGAAACCCAAAAACAAACCAAAAAAGGCCGCGTGGGCAAGTGACGGGGGGCAGTTGTCAGCAGTTGTAAATTAGCCCCATCACACTAGGCGAAAACAGGAATTAGTTTGGGGGAAGCAGTGCCAATTCGAGTATCACGATACTAGTATCGAAGAGGAAGGAAAGGTAGGGGAAGGGAAAGGGGAGGGAAGGGGAAAAGCCAGGGCCACGAGTCCCTGCATCAGAAAGAAAGGAATAACGGGACAGAAAAAAGACGGGAAATAACAGAAAAATAAAATTAGAAAGGGTCTACAGGAACGGGAGAACCACAGGGCCCTTGACTCAAGCGTGTGGCGTAATACCTAAGGCTGATCGGGGTACGAATCATTGAGAAAAGCCGGAGGGAGTGGCCCTAAAACCCCTAGTTCAGGAAAAAGTAACCGACATGTCACTCGTTGGATGGCGTGGGGACACTTCAACTTCCGTGGATATACGTAGGCTGCATACGTATGCTCTTCTTCCCCTCTCTCTCTCTCTCCAGGCGGCCCGCGTCTTCGCAAGTCAGCCTGAACCATGCTTTGCCAGACGCGGGATCGGGACATGCAGAAGCTTGGCTGATCGACGGTGACTTGTGGCTTGCGAAGGGAGAGAAATGAAGGGTTGTGGTTTTGATGGGGTTTGATTACGCCAGCCCTAAGACCAGTGGATCCAACATCCATGGATGGATACAGGGCTGGGTAATCATAGGGAATCCACCAACAAATCTTTTGTCTTTTACGCTTGCGACCAAATCACAATTCTCACATCCAAAACACGATCCAACCTGGTTTTTTCAATGGCCCATACGTCGCCCCCTTACGTATGCCAGGCGGAGAGGGTGTCCCCGCGCGAATGGTTCTCGGGGCGGGGCGGCGTTGGACGCGTACGAGTACGAGGATCGCACGGGCCAGAACCGTCCTCAGGCTAATAATAATGAGAAGAAATCATGGCCAGTTGCCGTGATGGATCCCGTTGGAGATTAAGTTATCGCAGGGCGTGCGTGGAGGTGACGTGAGTTGTGAGAAGATCATTATTATTTTTGGTATTTCTGTATTTCTGTATTTCTGTATATGTTGGACAATTTGGATTTGAGATTAGGTACTATAGTGAATTGAGGTATTAGTATTTCTCATTGATTTGGACTCACTAACATTTGTACAGTACATATCGGACTTTTCGTGCATTCGGTGCCGAGTACCCTTTGTAGAAGTGGATAAGGCCACGTTGGGGCGTTTAGGGTTCTCGGGGCCGGCGTTCGGACTCCCGAGAGAGTAGATTTTCTTCAATTCCTTTTTCTTTTCTTTTTCGTTTCTCTCTTTCCTTACAGCTCGATCTCTGCGGATCCCGGAACCACGGAACAAATACTGTAAGAAAAACGTGGCCTCGCAAGGGCTGTATTCCAGAATGGGCTCCGCTTGGAAAATCCGAGCCGGAGCTTAGTTCCCATTCGGGACAAGCGATATCCGCATCATCTCTTACGTATGCTCGAACCCTGTACGCAGCGCAAGATGTGGTGTTCACAGACTACAGAGATACAGCGATATCTGGAATTCCTCGATAATAGTATTAGTAGATTATTAGAGTTATTCAAAGAAATAATCAATAAATACATCGTGGCTGACGTATGGCTAAAACATTTTCCGCCCTAGGCTTCAGGATTGGAATGCGCTCAATGTTATACTCAGGGTCCATGGGAAAAGAACGAAAAAAAAAAAAAGAAAAGAAAAAAAACCCCCGACCCATACTAATCTTTTCCCGCAGTTCTGCCGACCAACATGAATAATAATAATGTCTGGGCATTATTTCCCGGTGGGGCGTTTTCGCTTGGCCCAACCGAAGCTCTAGTTGCATTGAGGATCTGGACGCTTTGGTCCAAATGCCAGGTTCATGGCGAGATGGAATATAATAAATATAAAAAACAGGAATAGCAATAGCATGAGTAATAGGATATTAGAATAACAATAGTAATAATTCAAATACAAATCAAATACAAATCATAGAACAGATCTAACGATGGGGCGGCCCGGAAGAAACGGAGCCCAGAAACGGGTCTGCACAGGTCTAGTGTCAGGGGTGGGTTAGGGGTCTCCTTAACTGTAAGAAATATTGATGATTCAATATTCAATATTGAGAATTCATAATTACAGTATCAAAATATCGACGTCTGCCTGGTGATCCACCCAGGCTAAATGGCATAGCGTGCTCTCCAACTATGAGCTTCTGAGCCTCGCCAGACCCTGGAGCTTGGCTTTCGTTGAGTATAATTACTTGCTGACCTTCCCTGTCATTATTTTTCTTCTTTTCTTCGTTTTTTACTTACCTTTTCTCTTTTTTTGTTAAACTCGCCCATTTCCTTTCTTGCTTTTGTATTCTACTACTCTTTTGAATCCTCTCAGGTCATCTCTCTCTCACTCTCGAACCTTGGCTCTTTCCTCCCCCCTCCCACGACATCCTTATCGCGTATCAGTCTCTGTTCGCTTCCGCTATCGCATCCCCCAGAACTATATACCGTTTACTTCGATTCCCTGGGAGCCCTGCACTTCTCTGGAAGACTGTTGCTTGTGGCTCAACGTTGATACCCGGCGTTGGATTTCTTCCCTGCAATATCTCCGGGCCAGTTTGCAACTGCCGTTGAGGGTTGTGTTCCCCACCTCCATTGCGAGGGCAAAAAGAAAAGAGAAAGAAAAAGAAAAAGAAAAAGAAACCCTCTCGGACGGAGTTCGGCTGCAAAATTCCCGACACGACCGACCTGAAGACTGCGCCTATTTCTGGTGATCCTATAACTGCCTCCCTTAACGGGTCGCATCCACGGCTGGCCCTCTCAGAGCCCGCTTCTGGTCGCCAGTCCTCGACACGAGTCAGGGAGCACAGGTTCGAGTCAGCGGGCTTTTGTCAGGTCTCCAGGCGAGTGCCGGGTTAGGGTCTAATGTTGTCGACTTGTTACACGACGCAAAGGACAAACATCTTTCGAGAACCGGTGCGTTTGCTGTGACATTCGGGGGGAGGGAAATTTCTCTTCTTTCTCCCTGTGTCTCTGGTTTCTTTTTTTTTGTTTCGCTCTGTTTCTGCTCCGTGCCATCTCTCGAGCTATTCTCGAGTTCTTGCGCGGCAGAGCGGGCTGCTAGCAACTATACTGACTGGAGCTCTGCAACTTGTAGTATATCTTTCCAGCCCCGGTGATCGGATATCGGGGTCCAGAGGCAATGTCCGGCTGCAGGACGAGCATGGTGTCGATCCTGAACAATGATGATAACCCATCGTTTGCCGTCCGCTCTGCACCACGACTCTGTCGGAACCACTCTTCTCCGTCATTCTCTCCGCCACAGTCCGAGCCGCTGCCCCCGCTTGTCAGCGACCCTTCATACGCCCGTCCCCATGCAGCGTCTGAGTCGCCTGGCGCCTCTCCGCGAGGGACCCGCCATTTCTTCAACCCGGTGGCCGAGGCCGTGCAGCCCACATCGCCAGGCTCATCGGACGGCTCCGCGTATGACTATATCTCCAGCCAATCGTCATCTGGCTACCACCCGTACGCCCGGCAGGATCCGCGACGGGATCCGTACCGGTATCCATCGCGCGGTCCGGCAGCACCGCGCACACCACCTGAGACGCAGGCCAACATTGCCTCAGATGCCCAGTCGCAACCAAAGCGCAAGAACAAGTACCCATGTCCCTATGCCGCCAGCCACGACTGTTCGGCCACCTTCACGACCTCGGGCCATGCTGCTCGCCACGGCAAAAAGCACACCGGCGAAAAGAGTGTGCACTGTCCGATCTGCAACAAGGCGTTCACCCGCAAGGACAACATGAAGCAGCATATCCGGACCCACCGCACCCACTCAGACGACCTGCGGTCGACGTCTGAGACCGAGACCGAGGGCCGCTGGGTGTCCCGGGCTGATTCGACCTATCTCTCTTCCTCGCACCACCGCACGCCCAGTCAATCGACTGAGTCGAGCGTCCAGGCTCCATCCAGCAGCGGTCCGCATCCTCTGTGAAAAAACGCAGTCATGTCTCGTCTATGTTTCATGCCCAGTCTCGGGATTCATGTCTTTTTGACACTTCCCATGTGCTGACCCACTGCTGCGCAGTGTCCATCTCATTTGCTCCTCTTCTCTTCTCTTTGGTTTCTCTTTCTGCTCCAGCGCGTTTCTTACCAGGAAACTTGTTCTGCTTCTTCATTTCCTTTTTTTTATTGCATGGCCCTCAACAGACCCGAGATGTTCAGGTCCCTCCGCACACGCATTGATTCTCTTTTTTTGTTGTTATATTCCCCATGTATCATTGCATTTGTTGAGCTATGTCAGGATGGTTAATTTTCTTTGGGATTCATGTATCGATTGGGGTTTTATGTTTTGTATAGGACTCTCCAGGGTCCTGGAATAGGAAGGATGATACAGGCTTGGCTGCACCAAGACCCGGGCCAATTTACGGGGCAACCCGAGGGCGACCCGTGGAACGAGTGTTGACATTGCAACTTCATACTTCACCCACTTGAAGATAAAGTAGAGGGACCTACAAAATGTCTGCATCCAAATTGCCCAGACAGGGCGTAGGGCTGTCATATTCCCTGATTTTTTCCTAATGCAGGATGACGTCGGCGCGAGAAATTTGACAGAATTGGCTGATTCGAAACATTTTCTCTCTTGGACATCTTCCAACACTCGGTGTTTTAAGCGCGACGTCATCGAGGAAACCACAATATAAATCTCAGTTGGCGCAGCGCCCGTTGATCAACTCAAGACATGCCTCATCTCTCAGCGCCAAGTCCCCAATGAATCCCTGCACGGCCCAGTCGACGTCACGCCACCCCCGCCCCGCTACTTTCTCGCTCTCATCTTTCTCTTCAACCATCCTTGTTCTTCTGTTGAAAAAAAGAGTTATCATTTCGACCTTGTTTCTTGGATTTGTGAACTCCCTTCATCCCCTTCTTCCCAGTACCCCTCTTTTTCTCTGCGCCATGGCGTACCGCGAGGATCGTCGCTACATGCCGCGCGACCGCTACGACCGCCCTCCCAGCTACGCAGATCCTTACGATGAGCCCCGCGGCCGATATGCAAGGTACGACAGAGATGTCTATGCCCGTCGTGGCAGCGATGACTCGGTCGAGGAAGTCCAGCGGGACTACCCCCCGGCGAGGACTTGGTCTACGAGCGTGGTTACACGTCTCGGCGACCCCGCCGACCTGTGTACGAAAATGTGCGCCGGGCGTCGTCGGTCAGCGGCTACGATCCTCACTACGAGACTGGATACTACACCTCCCGTTCTCGACGGCCACGCCATTATGATGACCGCCGTACGTATTTCTCATTATTGCATTTATAGAAATGACTCTGATCTGACTATCTTCCAGGTCCTCGTCGCTCCCGGTATTCACCTCCTTCATCACCCAGTCCGTCACCGCCACGCCATAGACGCCGCAAGTCGTTCAGCGAGCAAGCACTTGGGGCCCTAGGTCTTGGTGCTGCCGCCTCAGGCCATGGACATCGTGGCCGCGGCCGCTCGCACTCCCGTCACCGCCCCCGATCCCGCTCATCCTCATCATCGCGTTCTCGGAGCCGAGATCGCGACCGTGGTCGGGGCCGTGGCCATAGCCGTAGTCGTCGAGACCGCAGCGAGCAGCGTATTGCCCAGGCGGCGCGGGCCGCACTCACAGCCGGCGCCGTGGAAGCATTCCGGCAGCGCAAAGAGCCCGGCGAGTGGACCGGCCAAAAGGGAAAACGTATCCTCACGGCGGCTATCACCGCGGGCGGGACCGATGGGCTTGTGGACAAAGACCCCCGCAAGCACGGCACACGTCACGTCGTCGAGTCGACGCTCGCTGGCCTTGCGGCCAATCGGTTTATGAATGGCTCGCGCTCGCAATCTCGAGGCCGAAACGGCCGTGGTCGTTCCTCTGGTGCTCTCGGGGGCCTGGCTGCGTCGGGCGCTCTGGCTGCTGCCGGCAAAGAAATCTATGACCGGGTCTCGAGATCTCGGTCTCGGCATCGCGGTCGAAAAGATGCTTCTGATAGCGAGGATGACCACCGTGGCTCCAAGAAACGCAGCAAGAGCGTCTCGGACTACATCAACAAGGGTATGGCGGCCCTCGGACTGGATGAAGGAGGAGACCGACACAGGGACGATTCCAGAGATCGCGGTCACAGTGACCGGCACAGGGAGCGGCGTCACCACCGGCGACCCCGGAATGACGAATATTCCGACTCGGATGCGGACAGCGATTATCACCACAGGGATTCACGACGGGACAGAGGCTCGAGAGATGTAGGTCGACACCGTTTCCAAGACGGCAAAAATCCACCCCCCTACGCGCCCACCAGCGCACCGCGCGGTGGGGATGGCGCCACCTCCATGGACCGCGGGCAAGCGTCCAGCTCAGAGAGTGATTCTGACCTCGGCGACAGTTCTGATGAAAAGAAAAAGCGCAAGAAGATGAAGCGTGACATGCTGCTGACCACCGGCCTCGCCAGCGTCGCCACCATCCACGCCGCCCACGGTGTGTATGGCAGCGTCGAGAAGCGCAAGGAGCGCATGCAGCAGCTCAAGGAGGGCGAGATCACCCCCGAAGAGGCTCGCAAGAAACGCCTCAAGGCTAACACCCACGACGCCGTTAGTATTGGTCTCGCTGCCCTCGGCATCAAGGGCGCTTATAAAGAGTGGAAGGAGGTCAACGAGAAGCGTAAGGAGACCAACAACTTCCAGTCTGAGTGTGCTATGCGCGCTGCCAAGCGCCAGATGCGTCGTGCACATAGCCACAGCGCTGCCCCGTCTTCGCGCCACCGTTGGCCCGATGAGATTGAATATGCGCCTTCTTCTAGTGATTCTTGGCATGACCATGCCCCGGGCTCTGGGAATTTGTATGGACCTGAGCCGCTGCATATTTCTTATTAGTTTTCGTTTTTTCTTCTTCTTGTTCTCTTTGCGGCGGCTCTATGATAGTTATGACTTATGGCATGATGTTTTTTTCTCTGTGGCTTGACTTTTCCGTGGGCCGATGGTCATGGTCTTTGCGATCTTTTTGAGGTAGCGTTTTCTGGGCTGATAGGATGGGGTCATCTTTCTTCTTTTCTGGCAATGCCATGTCTTATGCAATTTTATCGAGCCCTCGTTTTACTTGCATCTCCGTGCTCCATCATCTCAAGAGTGGACTTGTCGAGATTGCTTTCTATCTGCAGTGCCTAACTCATTTATTTCACTCTACATAAAATGGAACAGCCACGGCTTGGGGACCTCTCGGAGTTGACTTCATCAATACACAACAGTCAATCTTATTCCTGTGGCAGGCCCTGTTACTACACTTGCAGCCACGCGAACTAGGCATTTCTGATGGATTGAACCCTAGCAATGATGTTCTTCATTACTCAAAAATTCAAACTAAACTCCTTAGTTTATAATCATTGAATATAATTGATTCAATTCTATCTCAATACATATACGCTCTTCATACTTCACCTGCAAGGTCCTTGGGCCATGTTGATAACCACGTGATAAGCCGGACCCCGCTATCAGTGCAGAAGGTGGGCTGATTGTGGAAGTACCGGTACTTCCTTGAGCGAATTAATTCCCCCACTAAACTAGACATTTCATGTATCGGTACCTGCCCTGACCCTTAGTAACGGAAAGTTTTCCCCTCTCGATCTTTTCGCTCTCCTTTTCTCCCTCCACCTCTCCCTCTTTCTTCTCTCATCCTCTCAATCCCATATCCTATTCTATTTGGTTGGTACTCTACTACTTCCCTGTATTTATGTATGGTTTCAAAGCTAACCATCTCCCAACAGTCTCGTTCATCTATTTTCTTGACCATGGCTGCCCCCGCCCAAAAGTTCAAGGTCGCTGACATTGTACGTCCTCCCCTTTTGCTGCTTGATCTGCTCAATCGTTGACTTTTGTCTCGTATAGTCCCTGGCCGCCTTCGGTCGTCGGGAGATCGAGCTCTCCGAGGTTGAGATGCCCGGTCTGATGGCCATCCGCGAGAAGTACGGTGCCGACCAGCCTCTGAAGGGTGCCCGCATTGCCGGTTGTCTGCACATGAGTACGTTGATCGAGTTCAATTTTTTCGGGTCATTTCTGACTTCTTCACAGCCATCCAGACTGCCGTCCTGATCGAGACCCTTGTCCACCTCGGTGCCGAGGTCACCTGGACCAGCTGCAACATCTTCTCCACCCAGGACCATGCTGCCGCCGCCATTGCCGCCGCCGGTGTCCCTGTGTAAGCTTCTCCTGTGTTTTCATATTCGAACGAACCCGCCTAACATTCTATAGCTTCGCCTGGAAGGGTGAGACCGAGGAGGAGTACCAGTGGTGCTTGGAGCAGCAGCTCCACGCCTTCAAGGACGGCCAGAAGCTGAACCTCATCCTTGACGACGGTGGTGACCTGACCTCGCTCGTCCACTCCAAGCACCCCGAGATGCTCAACGACTGCTTCGGTGTATCCGAGGAGACCACTACTGGTGTCCACCACCTGTACCGCATGCTGAAGGATGGCAAGCTCCGTGTGCCTGCCATCAACGTCAACGACTGTGTGACCAAGTCCAAGTTCGACAACCTGTACGGCTGCCGTGAGTCGCTCATCGACGGTATCAAGCGTGCCACCGATGTCATGATCGCTGGTAAGGTCGGTGTCGTTGCCGGTTACGGTGACGTCGGCAAGGGCTGCGCCCAGGCCCTGCACAGCATGGGTGCCCGCGTCATTGTCACCGAGGTCGACCCCATCAACGCCCTCCAAGCTGCCGTCCAGGGCTACGAGGTCAGCACCATGGAAGAGGCTGCTGCTATTGGTCAGATCTTCGTCACCACCACTGGTTGCCGTGACATCCTGGTTGGCCGTCACTTCGAGGCTATGCGCAACGACGCTATTGTCTGCAGTATGTTTTAACTCGTTTCTTTGAAGCTTAAACATTGGTACTGACCTTCCAGACATCGGTCACTTTGACATCGAGATCGACGTTGCCTGGCTCAAGGCCAACGCTCAGTCCGTCCAGAACATCAAGCCCCAGGTCGACCGCTACCAGCTCAATGGCAAGAACATCATCCTGCTGGCTGAGGGCCGTCTGGTCAACCTTGGCTGCGCCACCGGCCACTCGTCGTTCGTCATGTCGTGCTCGTTCTCGAACCAGGTCCTTGCCCAGATTGCTCTGTTCAAGGCCGAGGACGCTGCTTTCGGCCAGAAGTACGTCGAGTTCGGTGCCGGCGGCAAGAAGCCCGTTGGTGTCTACGTGCTGCCCAAGGCTCTGGACGAGCAGGTCGCCCTCTGCCACTTGGACCATGTCAACGCCAAGCTGACCAAGCTGACCCCAGTGCAGGCCGACTACCTCGGCCTGGACGTCAACGGTCCTTTCAAGTCGGAGATGTGAGTTCTCTGTCCCTGTTCGGCTTCTGCACACCACTAATTGTCAATAGCTACCGCTACTAAACCGCTTTTCAATTGCGTCCCATTTCGATGAATTTCCTGGGATATAGACTTTCAACATGATTCGACGATGTTACGATTGGCATTAAGAGTTCTCCATCAACTTAGAACTCAAAAGTGGTTGTCCTTCAACGGCATAAAAGTGTGGTTGGGTATGAGGGGGCTGTATGTTTTAATGTTTTTTGGCGTGGGTTGACCGGGATGGTCTTGCATTCAACACTGCGTACGGATGGGATTAATTGATACCTCATTAAATGCCTGTGGGCTGTGCATAGTGAAACAATACTGTGCTTGAAATTATTGTTCATGGTGTAGGAGCCTGGAGAACTCATGGGTGCTTCCAGAGGTCGTTCTCAATATTGTATTCCAGAAGAAGAGAACTATTTATTGTCGGATACTTGAATCAAATGCACCAATTCATCGGCCACAGCAACAGCAAACCCGGGCTCATTAATCGCATGAGTATCCCGCACAACCTCTATTCCACTGCCCTGCAACTCATTCTCTAGCGTTGAAAACAGCACCTCATCCGCCTCGGGGTCCCAAAATGGCTGGCTGGGGACATCCAGCATGCTGACTCCCCCGGTTGGCAGCACGACCTTAGTCCGCGCCAACCCACTAGTCTCAGATGCAGTCCCGGGCTGTGCAGCAGAAGTGACGGTCTTCTCAGAGCCACCGAGTAAATTGCGCGCAATCATTCGCGCGATAAGCACACATTCCTCGGCTGTCGTGCGCATGAGCGTAACAGCAGCGTTATGCTCATGGAATAGCCTCTGCTTCCGTGAAGATTCACTCGCAGAGTCACCGGCAGAGCCACTCTCCCAGAATATGGATGGGACACTTTTTCTCTCCCCGAAATTCACCATGTCGCACGCTCCCACACTGACAACCCGCGGAATCCCTCGGGCCGTGGCTGCACTTAAACGTCCCGGACCTGCACTCAACACCCCGCCAACAACCTCGTCTGCGATCTCCGTTGTCGTCAGGTCGAGGACTGCGTCTAGCTGCCCCTCCCGAATCAGCCGTTCCATCGCCCGTCCACCTGACCCTGTCGCGTGGAAGATATATACTTCGCAGTTCGGGAGAACGGATTCGAGGTGCTGCCGGGCATGCGTTACAGAGGGGGTCGTAACCCCGAACATGGAGATAGCGATGCGTATACCACCATTGGCATTGTCGTTCTTCCCACTGTGTATATCCTGCATATCCCTCAAAGCATCACCCATAGATACTTCCTTGGATAGATTGGCATGACAATATCGATAATAAGACAATGCCATACCAGCAACAGCACCCCCCGCATTCCCCAAAACCCGCTCCAACACCCGATTCCGCCCCGCAATATCGACAACACTGTACATCATACTGATATCTGTTTCCCCGATGTACGGCGCCACATCCCCCGACGCCATCGTCGACACCATTAATTTTGGGAATCCCACTGGCAACGCGTCGCGCATGACTGCTGTTGCGAGTGTTGTCCCGCACGACCCGCCTATGGCAAGGATTCCGTGGATTTGGGAGGTTTGGTATAAATGGGTGGCTTTTTGGGTTGCGGAGGTGGCTAGGGTTGAGATGTAGGTTGCTCGGGGGAGGGATTTGAGGTCTGGTATATTGTTTGTATCGTTGTTGTTGGCGGTGGACTGGATTGGCTCTGTCGCTTGCTGTAATAGATGCTCTGGTGTAAAACTAATATCTGGATGGTTGGTTGTGTTGCGGCCTATGTCCATGATCAGGACATTGATCTGGGACTGTGTTTCGATTTGCTCTTTTATGTAGAGGAGCTCGGCGAGTTTGGTGTCACAGGTTCCTAGGAGGAGGACAGTTAGGGTTTGAGTGGACATGTTGGGGGTAGAAAGGGATGGTTAAAATGTGATAGATATAGCTAGGAAGAAAGAGAGGAAGAAAGAAGGAAATATAGGCGAGGGGAAGACTTGGTCGTCATCGGGTTATGTACGTTGCAGCTCCAACTGTACAGATGGTGGGGCTATGCGGAGTCTAGAGAATACATCCTGTAGACTGTAGACTGTGCCTGAATATAACAGAAATAAGATAAATTCAGAGAATCAATGTAGACCTAACTAGCCGAACATAACCTGGGTATATCTCCGCCCGAAACAACCGTAACATCTAGGATATAAAAAACGCTCCCAAAATAAAACCCCATGAGCAAACACATAAGCCAAGCCCGTAAGTCATAATCATCAGCTGTCTGCTTTCTAGGCCACCACATACCCCGGGTGCCATTCACAAGCACCGAGTACTTGGTCCCAGTTGAAGTCGCATTTCCCTTGCTGGTACGCCAGCCATATGCACCAGTACTCTCCTCCCACGACCAACGAGCAAACCACCATGACCAGAGCTAGCCAGGCCGAGCTTACGTTGCCTCCTTCTGCTTGAGGGAACATGAATGGCGCCAAGAGGAGACATGTCTGACCAGCAAGGAAAAGGAGCGGGATGACCGAACCGATACGGATGTTATTGTTTGTAGGCTGAATCTGGCGCCGGAGAATAAAGAGCGAGCCGACAACGGGGAATGAGATGATTGCTGCGTAGTATTGGGACACGCTGGTGAAGATGTCGTATGCATCGCCTGATCATGTCAGAAGGTACTCCTTGAGAAAGAAATAAGTGGATTGGATAGAACCCACCGAATGGGATAAAAAGTATAGCCACCACCGAAGACCCAAATACCACCATAAACGTCCTGGAGGATATGTCTGACTTGGGCCCTGCGCCGAATGATGAAGAAAGTGGCAGGATGCCTTCTTTCACAAGGATCTGGACAAGCCGCGAGGCTGTGAACGAGACTGCCATCAGACACCCACATGTAGACAGGGCAATAAGGGCTGCGGCAAGTCGGACGGCACCACTGCCAAACGTCTTCCCAAAAGTCAAGGCTACCAGCTGGACACCCGACCGACTGATTTCTTCTGGAGATGCCACGACGAAATAGGCGATGTTGGTGAAAAAGTATAAGATCCCCACGCAGCCCACACCAAGGACTCCGGCTTGTTTCAAAGTACTCCGTGGCTGCTTGATCTCGTCCAACACATATGAAGCGTTATTCCATCCTTGGAACGCAACCAGGATCTTGAACACGGCAACCACATAATCGGAGAAGTTGCTCGAGGAGCCCGCAAACGGGTGTCGGAAATTAGCCAGAGGATCTGGCACTTCAGACACTTGACCGAAGAGCGCCGCAATGCCCAGAGAGATGATGACCACGAGACCGACAATCTTGACCATCCCCAGGGTATTCATGATGCGCACACTCCAGACCCGCGAGGTGATATGGATAGCAGCCACCAAACCCATAACCCCCACCGACAAAAATCGTGTACTCCATTCGCCTGGAGTCAGATCAATAGCCAGCAGGAAGTTCTCGGCGACCACTGGACTCAGCAGCCCAATAAACCCGAAAACAACATAGGAGGCAAAAATCGTGGTGGTGAGCAGGTAGGGACGCGGATATGCTGCCTGCAGGTAACTCATTTCGCCGCCGCTGCGAGGCCTGAGGCAGCCGAGTTCAAGCCAGACAAGCAGTCCACAGAAGGCGAGCAACACCCCCACGAGCCACAGTGACAGCGCGGCGCCCACGCTGCCAACGTCTTGGGCGATGGATGCGGGGACGAGAAAGATTGTGGCGCCGACCATGCGGTTTGTCCTGGAGATAATCAGCAACTGCTCGGTTGAGCATAGTAATACTAAAGGTGTCGTACAAGAGCATCGAGGTCGAAAACAGCCCGAGGTGACGCTGGCCATCTCCATCGTCGAGGAGATCATGGTTATCAGCTTCACCGAGAGACTCATCCTTGGGCCGCGACAGAAGTGGCAGAGTTTCGCCGAAGCCTTTATGGAAATTAAGTGGACGCGGCATGTTGAACCCTATGGTGTGACAGAGTTGTCTCCCACAGCAGCGGATGCCCTTCTAAATACTTCAGACCTGACCCGGCAAGGGCCTAAGCGACACAGGGTTGGAAAAGCAGCCCTTCGGTCCGCGCGTAGGCGCATGCTAAAGAGCGGTGACAAGCATCAAGCCTGGACACGTTTCGTCCTGCCGTTATGCAGGCACGTCGTGTTACCCGAGCTCCCTGCAGACCAGCCCGAGGGGCACGGTGAACACATCACACTGCACACTATGGCCATATGGATATGGGCCATAGAGAAGGAGAGAATCCCCTGGATCCGTTATTCGAGAGCCACCGGGGCTGGCGAAACATTCCGTTTCCTGCATTGTCAGGGGCTTCCCCTGTTCACTGAAGCTGTCGATCGGGGAGGGGACATCGCATGTGGCCCTTCACCCCTTCCAGCAGGAATTCCGATCGTGCGTCTGCCGAAAATCCGGATGATAAGATCGGCGGTGCTGGCTGGCTGATTTGGCGGTTTCGAGGATCTGATTCGGTGGGAAATGTTACTCCTTGTCCATGTGCCTGGTGAAGATGTCTGCACGAGAAGTTGCTTATCATGCGGTGGAGAGGGAGTGTATCTGGCAGATGACGAGAACATCGGTGTGGACACTAAGTATTGATAATGTTGAATTTATCTTAAGTTTTAGTTTATTTTATGAGCTGTGGTTATTTTTATTTTTATTTTAGTTTTATATTTTTCTATATTCTTCTTTTCCTCTCTAGCATCATCGAGTATAAAGTAGACATGCGGTCAACACATTCCAGCCTCACAAATGCCTAAATCAGCCACCTTCCACCTTCGAGGCCACTGGATTTCTTTAGGCTGCACCGATCAAGGAACATCCCAGTAGCCCACGCACGTTGAATGAGGTCATCCGTGGGGCCGTGAGGGGGCCGTTGCGCCAGCGTGGACTGGCGGGGGTAAAAAAAAAGCAAATATCACGGTAACTTGGCAGCGACAATTAAACCAATTTCGGTGGTCGCAAGAGAGAAGCTGACACAGCATGCCTCGTCCGACTAACCGTGAGGAAGTCCTCGCCAGGCTTCGCAAGACTGTTGCCGATGGGTCGATTATTGTCGGGGCTGGCGCGGGTAGGAATGAACTGCTAGCTGTTTCAAAAAAAAAAAAACCCCGGGAAATCCCTCGCTAATTGAGATTACTGTTCAGGCATCGGGCTCTCGGCCAAGGCGGTTGAGCAGGGCGGCTGCAATCTCATTATCATCTACAACTCGGGCCGATTCCGAATGGCCGGGCGCGGCTCACTGGCCGGGTTGATGCCGTACTCGGATGCGAACCAGGTGGTTGTAGAGATGGTATGTTGATTTTTGTTCTCGTAGGATTCATACTCTACGGGGAGGTTTATACATGGGCCATCAGTATTGCAGGATACAACACCGAAAAAAAAAAAAAATTGGCTAACTCGTTCAGGCCAGCGAAATCCTCCCTATCGTAGAAAATACTCCCGTCCTCGCCGGCGTCTGCGGCACCGACCCCTTCCGCTCGATGCCACACTTCCTCACAGAACTGCAGAACCTCGGGTTCAGTGGCGTGCAAAACTTCCCAACAGTCGGGCTCATCGACGGCCAATTCCGAGCAAACCTCGAAGAAACGGGGATGGGGTACGACCGCGAAGTGGAAATGATCGCGACGGCACACCGGCAGGGTCTTTTCACCACGCCGTATGTCTTCAGTGTCGACGATACCACAAAGATGGCGCGCGCGGGGGCTGATGTCGTTGTTGCGCATGCGGGACTCACCACGTCCGGCGCGATTGGCGCGCTCAGTGGGCGCTCGCTCGAGGCGTGTGTGGGGTTTGTGCAGGCCATTCGTGATGTTGCTGTTCAGGTCAACCCTGACATTCTGGTACTATGTCATGGCGGTCCTATTGCGCGGCCTCGGGATGCCGAGTTTGTGTTGTCGAGGACTATTGGTGTTCATGGCTTCTTTGGGGCGAGTAGTATGGAGAGGTTGCCGGTGGAGGTTGCTATCAGGGAGAATGCGCACGCATTCAAGAAGTTGAGTGTGCGCTTGGAGTAGAACAGTGTGGATCTGTTGAGTATATTTGTAACTTGCGCTTTCCTTTTTCACAGATCGCCAATCTCACCATTTTGTCCACATTATCAAGAGGCGTGTATTCCCGCAATCCCTGGATTTACCCGACTTGCCCTATTCTCGCCCAAACAGGCAATTTGGCTCCGCTGGTGGAGCCGTGGAGAAGCGTAGACCGGGGAAAGGACCGAAGACCGGCTAAATTCGCCTCAATGTGAAGTATAAAGCGGCTCGTTGGCCCTCCTGTTCTTTTTCATCTCCTGTCTTCATCTCAGCACCATGTGGTCTCCCTCGAAAATGGCCAACACAACGCGGGTGCTGGACGGCAAATTGGGCATCGTCACCGGCGGATCGCGGGGTAAGTTGCCCTCCTCCCCACTTCGATAAGACGAGCGCTAATGCCATGCAGGCATTGGCGAGGCCATTGCGCACAACCTGGCATCCAAGGGTTGCTCACTGCTCCTGAATTTCACATCCGAGTCCTCGCGCGCCCGCACAGAAGAGCTGTGCACGTCGCTGGCCGCGACGCACGGCATCCGCTGCGAGAGCCTGCAAGCCGACCTCAGCAAGCCCGAAGAAGCCTCCGCCACCATCGTCGCAGTAGCCAAAGAGAAGTTTGGGTCAGATGGAAAGCTCCAGATTGACATCCTCGTCAACAATGCCGGCGTGGCGGGCGACCGCAACTTGAACGACGCGGAGCGCGGCCCCATCGCCCCGGAGCATTTCAACTGGATCTACACCGTCAACGTCCTCGCCCCGCTCCTTCTCACGCAGGCCTGCGCCCCCTTCCTCCCCACGGACCGCAGCGGCCGCATTGTCAATATCTCTAGCGTGTCGGCCTCGCTCGGCTTCGTCGGCCAGTCCATTTATGGCGGGACCAAGGCTGCCCTCGAGGCGATGACCCGCACCTGGGCGCGTGAGCTGGCTGACCGTGCCACGGTCAACGCTGTCAACCCGGGTCCTGTCGTTGGTGATATGTACTTTGAGACGGGCGAGCAATTCTGGCGCGATATTCAGGGCTTCCAGGATAACACGCCGATGAGCAAGCTGGACGAGAGCAGCGAGGATACCATGCGCCGGTTGAGCCCTGAGCAGACGCGCCTGATCAAGGAAAAGATGGGTAATCGGAGACCCGCTTTTACTAGTGAGGTGGCCGGTGTGGTTGGCATGCTGTGCACGCCGGATGGGCTGTGGTGCACAGGCAGTGTGGTGTGTGCCAACGGCGGCATGAAGATGGTTACATAGACTAGTTCAAAATGCGGACTCCAACTTTGATAGACTGTTCATTTGTACTTCTATTATTCAGTGCTTTTTCCCAGTAAACTCAAAGTCTACTACTTGCTTTACCCTTCAACAACCACATTCGGCTCCCCGAAACTTCCCTTCAGCCCAAGCATCAGCAATTCACCATCACTGATCTCCTCCTTTCTCTTTTTGAGTTCTTCGACATCCTAATTGACAAGGAAATACCTCACTGAGAGGAACGACTTATCGCAGCTCGACAGCCACACAGCAGCAACATCAGACAGTTCAGGAGCATCCCTGACGAACGGCTGGGGGAATGGTACACTAAGGCCCATATTCGTTGGAACGACGCCGGGATCAAGACTGACAGACGTAATTCCCGGATGCTCCCTGTTGAGAAATCCCGTGAACTCGACCACGGCCATCTTGGGCAGAGGATAGGAGCTCATTCCCGGCGGGATCCCCTGCGAGGCCATCGACGTCAAGTTGATGACTGAGAACGCTTTGTTGGGCGTGCATTCCAACGACTGCTTATCCTTCCTGATATCAATCCACGATAATAGATACTTAGGTTGGGTTGGAAAAGGTCGGAATAATCGAGTATAAGATGAAAAGAAAAAGAAGAGAGAGCAGCTGTCTGAGGAGAGAATAAAAGAAGAGAACTCTCCAGCTATCTGCTCTGAGGGGCCGATACGTGGGGAGGTGCTAGCAGAGCCCCAGCCACCACCTCTCAGCGATGTCAACACTTTTCAAGACTCTCGGTTCAACCTACAAGAGTAAAACGCTGGAACCTCTCCATAATGCCCTATTGTTGGTTCCAGAGGTTATAAATGCTGAGGAGAGAGACTTCGATCAATCGGGGCAGCTGCTAAGCTCGTCCCAGTTAACCCGTCGAGATTTTTTGTATATTAGGCATGTAACAAGCAGGCACACCTCAATCCATCAGCGCTGAATGGATATTGCCTGCAGTATACTGGGTGAATGATCTACATAGAGAGCAAACAATAAGACCATCAACTCTCACTTCTCCCATCACCTCACCCATCTCACAATTTCTTCCTCCAATCCTCCTACCACTTCCCCATCTCTGCTGAATCCTAACCAAGCTGCTACCTGACATTAAAGAACAACTCACTGTTCCTACTGTGAGTGCACCCTAAATCCCTTAAAAGCAGAGAGAGAGAGAGAGAGTCCATACTAACGAAACCACCATCTCGCAAGGCCAATCTCCATCAGTCACGATGGATACTACAAAGGACGACGCCCCCAAGGAGACCAAAAAGGTCAACAAAGCCTACCATGACCAGATGGTCCGAGTCATGGTAAAGAAGGCAAAGAAGCAGATGAAAGCCGCTGAAAAGCGCATGGAATTCCTCGAGAAGGAAATCAAAGTCCGGAACGAAGCGATCGACTTGTACCTTAAGCTGCTGCAACGCCAGCTGAAGACGAACTAGAAGGACTACATCAGTCTCAACGAAGCGGGTAAGGAGTGCATGGAGAATTCTCGGGCTGTTGTTGATCTGTTTGATGTGAAGCGCCCCTCCTCGGATGAGGAGTAGATGGCCCAGGGGGATTCTTGGGGCAAGTGGAATGGACGTTGTGTGCACAGATTGAATTGGGAGGTGAAGTGTTCATAGCAGGATCATGGCTCTGGCTTTGGCATAACACAGAAAAAGACGGTTTGATGAAAATACTCCAGCTTGACGCTTCTGTTTATCTCAATGCTTCTCGTAGAGGAAAACCAAAGACAAAGTGAACAGGGGGTAAAATTGCGGATCAGGGAGACAAGCGCTGGAACGGCTATAGTAGATAGTAATCTCTTCAAATCTTAGGGCTACCCTCCTAAACAAAGAGGACTATCGCCCTTCCATATATCTGGATCACCACACCGAATAACCTCATCAAACCTGCGACTGATCCGAGTATAATTCTGCCCGTACCGTCCCAGCTCCCGCAGCCGAATCGACACCCAGTCCTGATAGATGCGGTCTGAGGTAGCAATCCCTGCGATAAACAACGGCCAAGTGATGCGGACCATGAGACGTGGTCGGCTGTGGTGAAGTTTCAGGCTCAGTCCAAGAACCTGGGAAACGGCATTATTGAGAGGCAGGATCTGGGCATCGCTTTGCTCGTTGGAAGATTCGCTAAGCGTTTCTCGGAAACATAGGTGGAAATATACAATCGTGCTGTAGTAGGTGATGGACGACCAGTAGATGGTCTCCATCACGCGGCGGCCGTCGTCGGTGACTTCGCAGGAGGGGGATGATTTGGCCAAGGTGAGAACGGTGTCGAATTCCTGTGCACGACATTAGTTCAACTGCATAGGCTGCATGGCTTGCAATGAGGCTGTGATGATGTGTCTGGTTCAATCAGCTTCGGCGACATACCAAGGCAAGGGCATTGATCTCATTGATAATCCACTGGTACGAGTCTTCAGTCGAAACAGAATTCGGAGCCACCCTGTGCTTGCACAGCTCGGTGATTTTAAATTGCACAACGTGACTTCGGTGGTATAATGTCAGTCCTGGGAGATTCTCTTGATCGTCTAGCTGAGCAGATACAGGATACTCGTCGCCCCAGAAACGGGAGGGAGATTGCCTGCTGATTCGGTACAGCTCCGGGAGACTGAGAGGGGCCGGGTTGTCGGGCTCTGAGCGAAGGAAAAATTGGAGAATATCGGTGTCGAGTCGAGACATACCAGAACCAAAAAAGAGAGCTCCCGGAGTAAAGAAATATAAGGTCCAGAGTAGGAAGAGCGGCACAGAGGTACAGCGAAGCTCGTCTAGAGGACGGGATGAACTCGCAAGAGAAGCAGAAGAGGCGTTTAAGAAAGCTTGACTTGGGTAGGAACTCTTGGGGCTTGAATCTGCAAGAGATGCTTCAATCCTCGAGGCAGACGCGGCCTGGTGCTTAAGCAAGGGCACAATGTGATTATGAAGCAGGCTCTCCACACCCCGAATGTGAATATTGATGGCCGATGCACCACTACCAAATCGGTTCTCGTAGTCAATCATCAGCCACAACGTGATGAAAATGCCTTCGATCTTTTGCGGCGACTTCACGTCTTGCTTTAACGCCTCACGCAGGCCAGCCAAAGCCCGTCCATAGTGCACGCTCCCATCTGTATCTGGCGAGTCATCTCCTACAGATTGTCCGGGAACATCTCCTTGCTCATAGATTTGGGATCTATAAATTTCTCGAGCAGTGCTAGCGAGCATCATACTCATTACCATCGGCTCCTTCACGGCAACTCTGTGGTACGCATAAGAAAGAGTCGACCACGGCCAGTGCTTCCCAAGAATCACGACCAAAATCGAGTCCTGAAGATATGCGATACAACGACGGTCAAAGGCCGACAGGCACAGAGAGTTGGCAGCTTGCATGACCTGGTCACGGCTGCCATCGTCTGGACTCACGGGAAGCAACGATGCTTCACACGGGGACGATACTGAGACCGGCGGTCGTCTTCTCAGGACCTTGCCAGCCCCAGTCATCCCCTGGCTAGTTTCCCTCTGGCATTTCTGGCGGGTTGATGTCGACTTCCGGGGAATAGGCCCATCTTTCCATTCACAGAGAAGATGCGCCGCCATACAGCGTCCGCATTGTGGCTCTTCATAGCCTTTGACGGTGATTTTTTCTTCGTCGCATTTTAATTTGCGGATGCGACATGTCCGACATCCTGCGCGGGGACATTAAACCGGTTCCTGGAAAAAAGGGATAGTGAATCCTTACCTGTCTTGGAACGAGTCCTCCCCGACCTATGCATGTTTCACTTTATCTGGGTCTAGTAACTGCCGACGCTGCCAATGAATGATGACGAATTCTTGCATGCCGAGGGATCCAGTGGCCATGAAAGTGTCAAGTGGCTTCATGCGCCTTTTGAGACTAAAAAAGGGACAAAGAAGGAGGGGAAGTGGAGGGAGAGTGGAGGAGGGTGGAGCTTATCGCGAGAATGTGGAGCCTCAGGCTTATCGAGTTTAGGCCTGCCGAGACCAGCGTGCCGATTGGCTGCATCGGCACCGGATTCAGCCAGAGATTCAAGGCTCGTTACATCGCCCCCAAGACCCTCGCGGTTATTCCGCGAATCTCTTGAAATGTCTTATAAAACGTGCGCTCACGCCTCGTTTCTGGCTTGCATTGATCATGCCGATCCATTCCAATATGCATCTTCCCGAGTCTCAGCAGCGGTTCCTGGATAGCGTGCAGGAGGCTCTTGGTCGCTATGACGCACAGCTCAAAGACATCAACCATAAGGTTAGTTTTTTGGTCTGAAATCGCAACCCAATGCAGCAATTCACTTTTTCCCCTTAGATCTGGTCCAACCCGGAGCTCGCATACTCTGAGCACCAGGCCCATGACCACATCTGCGACTTGTTCGACAGCTTAAAGTCCAGTGGTTATGAGGTCCGTCGCAAGGCCTACGGGCTGGAAACTGCACTCGAGGTCGAGTACACGCACGGAAAGGGCGGACGCGTGGTGGTATTCAACGCCGAATATGACGCCCTCCCTGGGATTGGGCATGCATGCGGCCACAACCTCATTGCGACTAGCTCGATCGCGGCATTCATCGCTACCTGTGAAGCGATGAAAAATCAGGCCGAAAGTTCATCAGGACCAGGATTCACGGTCCGCCTTCTGGGCACTCCCGCAGAAGAGTCGGGCGGTGGAAAGTGTCGCTTGATTGACAGTGGAGCCTACAAAGGTGTCGATGCCTGTCTTATGGTGCACCCGATTCCCGTGACCCCAGGTAGCCCGGACATCCTAAGCATGGCGACCGTCCTTGAGGGCGGGTTCTTGGCCAACGACAAAGTCAAGGTGACATTCACCGGCAAGCCGGCGCATGCGGCTGCCGCCCCGTGGGAGGGTATCAACGCACTCGATGCCGTAGTCGCGGCCTATGTCAATATCTCGCTGCTTCGTCAGCAGATCCTGCCCAGTCAACGAATCCACGGGGTCATCAACGATGGTGGCGATCGACCTAACATTATTCCGCGGTCTGCGACCGTGGACTATTACATTCGGTCACCCACCGTGAAATCGTTGAAGCCACTGACAGAAAAGGTCATCAAGTGCTTCGAGGCAGCCGCAACTGCTACGGGATGCACGCTCGAATTTGACTGGTACTTTTCACTTCATAGATACTTCATTGGTGGTTGTCTAACATATTTCACACAGGGGTCCCTCCTACGCTGATCTCAAGAGCAATTGGCCAATTTGCGAGAGCTATGTCTCGGCAATGCGAGCCCTGGGTCATCACACCCTGCTGGACAACTCGACACAGTCGAGTGCGCTCGATGGAGCGTCGACAGATATGGGTTTGTTTATCCTCCATAGTCATCTAGAGACAGTAACTCACATTCATATAGGAAACGTATCCTACGCCGTTCCTGGATTCCACGGTCTTTTCACCATCCCCACCGAGGGAGTCAACCACACGCCCCAATTCACAAACGGGGCTGGGTCGCCCGAGGGCCACGAGCGAAGCATTGCATGCGCAGCCGGGATGGCGACAGTCGCCTGCCAGATCTTGGTGGACGAGAAATTCGCCGAGGCCGTGAAGAAGGATTTCGAGAGCCATTGAAGCCAGGGATTTACTTGGTGAAATGTTTAGATAGAAAAATAGGGAATATCAAGACGAGTTTGCTCACGCATCTATGTGGCCCTGGCCTAGTATACTCTGCTGAATTAGGAACGGAAAGAGAGGCTTGTTCCGCAGTGAAGCAACCAGCCTAAATCCGTGTCAGCGCCAATCAATCCTAAATCCACCCCCCGTCGATGTTGATGCCGCGACTCTACTTCCCTTGGCGGCCAAGACACCGCTAGCTTTGGCTTACCCTGACCCTGGCTCCACACCCTTCATAAGGAGGCTGAGATCGCGGGGAGATCTTTATCCCGCACAATTCTTCAAGTCTGGCATGGTAGGTTGACAGTGTGAGGGTCTCTGAATACATGAATCAGGGGGGTTGATCGTTGGGTTCTTCTGGAACCGCGAATGTCAATCTCTCCTTGATCCGGTTTATGCGTGGCCGCAACCATGGCAAAATCTGCCACAATAGGGGAGGTAGATCAGATCAAGAATGATTTGGGCAGTCAAAACCTCAAGAATGAGGCTGGAGAGGAATTCTCTGTTCCAATCTCGGTCAACGCCGAGAAAAGGCTAGTGCGCAAGATCGACATGATGTATGTTCCAGCCTTGAACTTGACATACTAATCATTCTTACCGACAACAGGGTCTTGCCGCTCATGGTCTTTGCCTACATGATGGCCTTCCTGGACAAGCAGACCCTGAACTACGTCGCGCTGATGGAAATGCGAGAAGACCTGCACCTAGTGGGACTGCAATATAACTGGTCCTCAAGCGTATTCTACTTTGGATATCTATTTTTCTCGTGCGCAATCTCTCACAGGGTTTAGTATTTGGATGATATGGCTACTAATCCTTTATAGATATCCGGCATCACTTTTGATGGTCAAATTCCCTCTGGGAAAATATCTCGCGATCAACCTGTTCATTACCCGCCTGTACTCCTCAATTTCATCGTTCAACTTCTAACACAAGTTAGCATGCTCTGGGCTATCATCCTAGCATGCCACAGAGCCACAAACAACTTCGCCGACCTCATGGTAGCCAGATTCTTCCTGGGATGCTCCGAAGCAAGCCTGTCCCCGGGCTTTACGCTCATTACCTCTCTATGGTATCGAACGTCAGAGCAGCCACTGAGACATGGAATATGGTTTGGCGGGAACTCACTCTCTATCATTCTGGGAAATCTCATCGCGGCGGGGATTTGGCATATACGGGATGGTCTGCGGCCATGGCAGGTGAGTGCAGAGCCTAACAACTAACTAGACATGAAATTGCTAAGAACGACAATTTCATTTCTGGCAGTGGCTCTTTATCATCTTCGCAATTGTCACCTTTCTCTGGGGACTCATCCTGTTCTTTCGTCTTCCGGACTCGCCTACAGATGCCAGTTTCCTTACTCAGGAGGAGAGACTTATTGCGACTGAGCATCTGAAGGCGAATCAGACCGGATACAAGAATATCCATGTGGAGCGAGCACAGATCTTTGAGGCTTGCACCGATGTCATGACATGGCTTCTTGCTGTCTTGGTTCTGTCCAATAATATTCCTAATGGGGGATTCACAGCGGTGAGTTAGCAGTTTAACGTTTGAACTATTTCTCCCTTAATATCGCGTCATCTAGTTCAATGGGCTTGTGCTCAAAGGCTTCGGATATACTACCTTCCGCACTCTGCTGCTCGGCATGTCAGGCGGTGCCGTAGTGCTGGTATCCGTGGTGATAGGGTAGGTCTGCTACCATCTACCCAGTAGTTAATCTCTGCTGATCAACCGCCCAGGGCAGCGATATCTTCCAAATTGCCGAACAGCCGGTGCATGGTTATTGTGACCATGAATCTGGTCGGGTATTTCTCTCATACTCAGTTCCTACTTATGTACAATGTTCCTAATTAATCCACGACAGCATGCTTGGAAGCGCCTTGGTCTACGCCACCTCGTCAATCGCCTCCCGCTATGCCGGCCTTCTCCTCATGGGAGTATACTCCAGCGCAAGGCCCGTCTCCATGGCCATGATCAGCTCCAATGTCGGTGGATTCACTAAAAGGGCTACCGTCAACGCAATCTACTTCATGTACTGTGCGGGTAATATCATTGGCCCGCAGCTCTTTTTCGAGCGGGAGGAGCCCGGATATCAGGTATGTTGACAAATCTCCGTTTGATAACGAGTGCGAGTTGGGGCTGATTCTCGATAGACTGGCTTCTTGGCGATCATTATTTGCCTTGTCATCTGTGTTATTGGCACGCTTGTTTTGTTTTTCTATCTCCGGGGGAGAATAAGAGGCGAGATCGGGAGATGGCTGCAGTTCCTGCTGAAGCACACAATAAGGATGCCAGTCCTGGGTCTTCTGGGGAGTTGGTGGATATCACGGACTTGAAGAATAGGCAGTTTCGATATGTGTACTGAGGGTTCACAGCGAGGGATTGACGAACAGTGGTCAGATATAGATTTTTTTCGGGATGTCTTAATAGAAAATACCAGTCGATCTTGCGCCTGGAAACACATTCTATAAGCGATTACATATTGCAAACAAGTGACTTTATAGCTCGTGTTTGAAAGTTTCCACTGATTTCAATATTCTTTAGAGGATGATAAATCTGGTCGAATTTTCAATACCCACAATAGAAGAAAGTGACATTCAAAGCAAATTCCATTCTGTTCTAGTTTCGTTATCCTATCTAACTATAACCCCCTCGACTTCCACATTGCAAGCCTCATAAATCATATGACATCAAGGAGCGTATCCAGTTCGTGTTCGCATTCAAATCATTCGCAACAATCATTCCACATCTGCCAACTCGCGTTCATCTTTTTGATGCGACCCCTAATCTAAGAGCAACGTCAGTTTGGTGTCAGAAACCACTATTTTTCGCGGCATACCTTTTGTCCTGCGTCTTAAAGACATTCCCTTGGGAGTGTTAAACGCGAGGAGTGGGAGTGGCGCGGTTGTAGCCGTTACCGTTGTATCCATCACGGTTGTAGCCATTGCCGTTGTTGTAGCCGTTACCGTTGTTGTAGCCGTCACGGTTGTACTGGTCGTTCTTCCAGTCGTTGCCGTTGTGGTGCTGGTCACGGTCGCCGTTGGTGAAAGGCCAGAAGCGAGGAACAGTCGGGGTGCCGAAGTTGCGGTCTCCGTCGCGGTTCAAGCCGGCGTCACCGAGGATGGGGTCAAAGGTGCGCTTCTGGTTCTGGTGCCAGACACCGTTGGCGTCGCGCCATCCCTGTCCGTTCTGGTTGTTACCCTGATGCCAGTGACCCTGGGCATCAGTCCAGCCCTGTCCGTTGTTCTGGTTGTTACCCTGGTGCCAGCGACCCTGGGCATCAGTCCAGCCCTGTCCATTGTTCTGGTTTTGGTTTTGGTTATCCCAGGGCCAGTTGCGGGCGTGGAGGCCAGACACACCCGGCATATTGCCGTTGCCGTTGCCGTTGCGGACACCCTCGCGGTCCATGGGCTGGTCGACCGAGGAGCGGCGAGTCCACTGGCCGTCATTCTGGCGGTTCTGGGCATCACCGTTCCACTGGTTGTTCTGCCACTGGTTCTGGCCGTTGTTGTAGCCATACGGGGTGTTCTGGGGGTTGGCCGGACGGGTGTTGTCTGGGCGCCAGCCGTTGTTGTTGTTGCCCCATTCGTTCACACCCTGCCAGTTCTGGCCTTGGTTGTTGGGAATAAAGCGGCCATTCTCGTAGTGGCCCTTCTGGTACTGGCCGTTGGGGTCCCAGACTCCGGGCTGGTTGCTCGGGTCAACGGGGAGAGCGAGGGCAGCCAGCGGCGACATCGCCAGAAGCGCAAGACCGTTGGCAAGGGTGTAACGCATATTGAAAGATAAATCTTTTGTTTGACTAAAGATATTTGGTTTGAAAGGATTCTTAGGATCTGATGATTCCGGGTGTTGGATCTGTTGGAGATGAGGATCCAAGGTGGTCAAGTCAAGCGGTATTTATATTCGAGGGAAGCTGGCGTCCAGCTTTAGAATGACGTATGCTGACAGTCCTCAGAAGCTCTCTAAGCTCCCAACAAAGCTGTCTGATCTTCGACCTCATTGTGTTTTGCTGGAGTTGAGGAATACTGCAAGGGACAAAGGGGAACGTGCAGTCAACAATCGTTCTGCCTTGCGGGGGATAAGCGCGACAAGAGAATCACTGCACGATGATCTCAACCCACTAGAGGTCAATTATTATGAGCCATATAATGAGCCACCGTGGATGTCTTACATTGCAGTTGTTAGATGTTGCATGATGAACCTCGCATTAAGCTGCACGGCACTGTCGATCCTTGGCCCGAAGGAGATTGACCACATTCTTCGCAGCACCGTCGATCGTCTTGGGTGTCTTAGAAGTGACGATCTTCCATAGTCTAGTTTGGATCACTCCAGCAGGTCGATGCGTCTGTGTTTTGGTTGATTGTTTACGGGAGCTCCAGCTTCGAAGCTCCAGCCTCGCGAAACGACAGTTTCCAAGTGCCCGTGCGCCATGCCCTCGGGGTGTTCATGGGATCACAAAACGTGTGAGACATGCAGGCGAGGCATGGCGTCAAACTGAACTTCAGTAACGAGCAATTCCCGAGCTGGCGTCAGCATCAAAGCCGAATCCTCGGCGGAGTGCGCGGCTTGCATCAGGACTTGCGGTCTGGCTAGGACTGAATTGAGGCCATGATTTTCTGTTCATGCTTGTTTTGGATTGCGTATTTCTGAGGTTGTCTCAGGACCTTGATCTCCTGCTTTGTTGTGTGGTTGTATTCCAAGTCTAAAACACCGACTGGGTCCGGGGGGAGGTCGAGCGGCAGCTGCACCTTTCTCGCGGGAGAGGGCAATCACCGAGGACAAAGTGAGATATAAAGCGGGACCTGGAGCAAATTTGCTATTGAGTTGCTCAATCCTGGGTAGGATGTCTCACAGATCAACTAAATTGCCGACCAAGTGGAAATCACATATAAAGGGGAGGCGTCTCTATAAATATTTTGGATCTATAACTTCTCCTCTGATTGTTTGGCACGCTTCCCATTATTTATCGCCTGATCTCTTGATTTCATCACTTACTTACAAAGTGTTCCAATCTTGCAACTATCAGTTTATTGCTATGGTCGCTGACATTGCAAAGATGGGTTTGGCAATGGCCAAAGCATTGTAGGGCGCCATACGTATAGGTTTTTTTCCACCTCGTTGCCTCGAATAAAAGGAAATGAGGTATTATGCTCTAAAGTATTTTTTTTGGCTTATCTCTGGGGTGTTTTATATCTTTTCCAGACATAGAAGGCTTGTGCCAGGGCTCCAGAAACCCCGGGCTTATACAGCTCTCAATGCACGTCATTAGTCACAGCTGGGATCAATTATCCCGAGTACCGCAACAAATATGAAATAAAGTAGAGATGGAGAATTGATTGATGACTATTACGATATGTTGAGCTTCTCAACCTCTTTTGGTCAGAGTCATAATAACACACCCCTTGCTTAGTCTGCCGCGCGACACCATCGATCAATGCCGTATGCCCCATGATCTTCACCCTATTCCCGGCAAAACATAATCAGCACTTTCTTTTTTTTCCTTGAAAGGTTTTGTAGCCCAGAGTTACTATCTCAATACCCTCCCCCGTACCCTGGTTAGTCGACTATTAGCAGCGGCGTTAAGTTTAAACAGACAACGCCTCTAGTTCTAGTTATTTCCGTGCATACTTAGCAGTATCCTGCCCTCTCCAGTTACGATGTTTTAGATTATAATGGGTGCCATCTAAACCTAGGACCCCTCTACATCTCTGGATTAAGAGCAAAGCATATCCGAACGCCCTAGCAACGTAACCCCGTAGATATTCCAATCTATATACATCCTACAACTTAACATCAGACTCAGCCCCACTGTCCGGGGAATATTTTGGAATTGATTACTCTGTAGCTGTCAAGATAGGTCTGCGGTATTGGATAAAGCATAGCCGGTGGCTTGCTAAGTCTTTGAGCACTGGGATTACGCGGAACTTTCACTCATAAAGAAGGCACGTAGGGATAATCACTGGATCATGCGAAATCCTCATTACATATATTACCACATATGCTTAGCAATTGGCTACCCCAAAGCCAAATGTTGACATTTTAGCAGTGTGCGGTTTAGCTCACTTCAAATACCTATGAATTTAGATACAAATAACCATTCATTATAGCAACAAATCTTTTGTTCTATCTCGCAGGCTCAATTTGGCGCGGGCCCCCTTGCCAGATTGTAAATGGCATTCACTCTTCTAGGAGGCCTTGCATATTCGCGATATCGTGAACCCCTCGCCAGGATGCGTTCGCTTCTCTGAAATGAAGCTTCATGCTTGATAAAATCCTTCATCTTGATGGCCATGGGGTTGCCTTCGCTGTCATATAATTTCCTGTCTAGCCCATGGAATGCCGGATCCGTATCGCATTGATCAACCCCGAGAAACATGGCAATCGTGGCACCCTATTCTATATCAGCGTGCTGGTGGGGCTGGACAAGGGAGATAAAAATTGACTTACCACAATCTGGGTCGGTGTACTAACACCGCCATCCGCACCCCATTCCATAGTTCCATCGGCAAGCATGAGATCCAAATCTGTAGCCTGGGCATAAACAACCTTTTTGGCGCCACCGGCATCGGGCGGAGTGAAGTCATAGAGGGTTCCATCCATATTGATTCCGCCAACGGGCATTGCAACGTTGTCTTCTGTCGAAAGAGCGGAGAAATAATAGTCTTGGAGTGTTCTGCCGTAGGGGGCGTCGTTTCCAGCACTGCACACGGCGACGACATCGTACGTGGCAAGGTCGTCGTAAAACTCTTGGACCATGGCAGTGTACACATGGTCATGGTCATCATCATGATCGAGAACTATCAAATCCAGGGGTGGCAAAAAGGTGTCAGTTCCCATAGCGCTTTACGACTCGGTCTTTTGGGGAGTTGTTATCTTTACCTGAAGACAAGGTTACGACAGATTTCAAGTCGTCTCCTGGCTCCGGGTTTTCTGCACGGCGGCCAAGGTCGAAAATGACATGGTCCAGGACGTTTTGCCATGTTGCTGGGGTGGTCAAAATTTCATTGTTTCCGTCCTCGTCTTTGTAGTCGTGCCCAATCTTGATCAAATAAAGATTGGCCTTGGAGGCAATGCCCATGGTTACCCCACCAGTGACAACGGCCATTGTGCTTCCATGATTGTCGCGGTCGTCAATGTTTACTCGACGGCGTCTGAGGCCATGGCCTGAAACAGGAGTGAGATAATCGGGTGGGAAATAGTGTTTGACGGTTCGATCTCTCGGCGCAAGCTCCTATCGACAACATGAGGTTGATTAGTTAGTCATCGGAACAAAGAAAGCTCAATTCGTGACGAAGCGATGCTCATACTCTGAGGCGAAGATTAAAGCCAGTATCCAGGATATAGACGGTGACACCCTTTCCCTTCCTCTTATCCTGCCTATATCTCGTTTCTGGCGGAGGTTTGCCCATTCTGTTCCAGGACAGTAGTTGTAACTGATTGGGTACCGATCCATCGCGTTTGGTCTTTGCAGGAGATGATTCATTGAAAGTGGGCAGATGAACGTTAGGCTTAGGGAAAGCACGCCGAAGCTTAGGGGCGGCACGGGTGTAATTGAGCGGCGTCGTGTCACTTATCGGTTCAACAAAGAGGACAAAGTCTTTCTTGCGGACCTCCTCTGCCTGGGAATCGCTCAGGGATGTCACGTAGATCTGGTGTCGGACGTATTGAGGTGTCTCCTGTTTTCCTTTTCCTTGATCTAGGTCTTGAACGAAGTCCTTGAATGTGGACAGGGATGTATTGGCTTTGGTCCGAATTGAATATTGCTGCTTTGCCTCGGCCATGGCTTTTGTATAACAAAGAACCAGCAGAATCCAGGCAATTAGCCTTGGGAAATTAGCCGGTCGCATTGTGCATGGTCGACGGGTCAACTCAAGGAACTAGTGATGAGACATACCTTTGATTTATACCAACACCGGGCAAGAAAAGTCTGCCATCGAGCCTTTCAAATCCTTCTTTAATCTACAAGCTTGGGTGTTGGATCCACATTGTATGAGTGGGAAGAGAGCGAAGGAGACCTGACCTGGCCCCCAACTTGATCCACCGGGATTCAGGTGGATCTTGTTGGATGTTTGGGGATAATTTATTTTGTTTCACGGGGAATGGCACGAGCATATCATTCACATGAAGATTACTTATAGTTGTTCCTCCTATGCTTCCACCGATCCTTCTTATTTACTATATATAGGTGGTAGGACTACAGACTCGTTAAATCAAGATAGCTCATTCTCATTATATTCTCATTATACATATCTTCTACAGGCGAGGTCCTCTTCAATTCTAATTGCGTTTTCCCGTTTTCTATTGACTCCCGCCCCCGGTTCCCTTTCTCCCATTCGCGGAGAGCTGCGGGTAGCCCTACTCCGGTCGCCCCTTCCTGCTAACTGATGGCCAGGTTGCACGGCGCCCCCTGGACCCCCCGCCCCAGGGCCAGCCTTAGCTGGGCGGTACCACACCGAAGTGCAAACTGTTGCCTTAAAAGTGTTGCACTAGGGGGCTGTCGAGCTCCGGAGGATCTTTGTCTGGTAGGGATGGACCCATATATATCCCAACATCCCAATATTCTGATAATAAACTATAAACACAGTATAGCTGGCATAATAATAAATCTGATAAATATAATTGAAAGTGTAAATTAAGAAATAACGGAAGATAAATTGATTATATCAAAAATATTGTGCCAATGACGAAAAACCTGTTGTGTCCCGATTGGATCATTGGGAGTCTATTTGTTCCGTCCACGGTGGATACCAACGTGAATCAGTGATTAAAATCCTTCAGAAATGGGTTCATGCGCGATCCTTTGTTTTTTTTTTTTATATATACCCACTCGACCTGTTTTATGGCAAGGACAATTTGACTCATTTTGCTTCTAGCTGACCCAAAACCTGCTGACTCGGACCAGTATATCCTCCCGAGGTTTCAATCGTACTTCGCAGAGACCGTCGGGTATGTAAAATGAGCTCAAGCTCAATAATATGGTGGAGCTCCCATCCGATGCATCGATAAGAGAGGGAGACCTCCCTTCATCAAATTTTGGAGCATAACTCATTTGAGCCAGAGTTCTTTCGGATATTTCAGACGGTAGATAATTAAAGCACGACGAGTAGTCCCGGTCGATGATCAGCCCCACACATACTTTATCGGCATATCGACACGTGACTGGATATCCGGTGACGTCACTGCCGCCTCGCGGTCCTCGACATTCGTAAACACCTCCGTAAAAGACCCGTTAACAACTCGACACTTTAAAACCCAAGAGCTATCTAATTCCTTCCACATCCTCTACAGAATGCATCCTCTCACATCTCTCCGCCCACCCCGAATCCCAGGCCTCCCAAGCCTCCGCAATCTCCTAGCACCACACGGACCTAGTCGCCTCGCACGGCAACGCAGCCTACACAACCAAGCCAGCACACACAAACTGCACTCGACACTAAGTCACAATACACCAGCATACACAACTGGAAGACTACTCACCACCACTACAACCACCACCAGTAACTTGCTAACCCAGCAACGCCAACACCACCACCCACAAGCCATCTTCTTCCCACCAACCCCCCACGCAAAACGACCCTTCGGCGACCTCAAAGCCACCGGCGGCAAAGCCGAAGCAGACCTACTCGTCGAGGAGCTCCAGGAGCTGTACGAGGTCGCGACGGACGAGTTCGAGATCGCCACCGACAGCACCGACGCCGCGACCATCTACGCTGCGTCGGATCGGGAGTCGGCGCGGGATGCGCTGAATCAGCTGTGTGCTGTATATGGCATGTACAGCTCTGCTCCTTCTACTTCTTCTTCTTCGTCGTCGTCGCCGTCGTCGGCTGCCAATCCCCATACTGTTGTTACGGAAGGCCAGGCCGAGGCCGAGGGGTCCGGTGAGGGTCCTCCTTTTGTCGAGACGAATTATGATCCCGCGCAGGTTTCGCAGGCTGTTAGGGATGAGGTGCGGAAGAGAGTTGGGCAGCGGGTGAGGGAGTTGAAGAATGCTGTTGAGGTTTTGGAGGAGAAGGCTAAGGCTGATTAGAACGGGTCTTCTTCTTTTTCTGTGAAGTGTGTGTGGCTATTTGAGGGGTGGCCATGGGTGTATTTTGTTGTTTGTCCTTTGTGGTTATGGTTGTATTGTTAGATCAGGGTCTTGACCTATGTGTCCACTAGGTAGAGAACAGTTATTGCGAGGCACATGTTGAAGAAGTGGTTTCATTTCTCCGGATCCCAGACCCGACATTATTTCCTCGTCAAAGCAAAGAGCTGTTGGCGCAGTTGGCCAGTTCCATCGGCTACCCGTGTAGTGTAGCCCAAATAGCTCAACAATCATAACATGAAACCACCATAGCAAGTCATTAAATAGATCGTGAACACCCCCACAACATCTCTCCCGGGTGGTATAAAGCTTTTTTTGTGATTATCGAAAACGCCAGACACATAACCTTCCCAGTCATCCGTAATACGCCCGGTTATAGGTAGCTCGATATCAAGTAGGTCGTAAGAACATGACAATCGTACAGAACAAGATCTTCGAGGGTTGAGTTGGTTCATCAGACGACCGCAAATGCGGGTAACGCGAAGTGGTCGGGGCTGGGTGATGGAAGCGTTGAGGGCGGCTCTTGTTTGTGGGTCGTCTTGATGTGGCGCTTCAATTGGTCTGTAAAGCAACTCATGAATTAGTATACGTAGGACTAGGGCAGTGGCATGCGTGTGGCGGGACATACCGGGTCGAGTGAAACTCTTGGTGCACCCCAGGAAATAGCATTTGTGTTTTCGTTCCCCGTGAGCTAGTAAATGTCAGTGTGATGATCTCAATGTTTGCAAACCTCAATTTCAACTTACTCAGTCTGTGGCTGGACATATTGGATGACTGCAAAAATGTTAGATTCCAAGCTTATCATTTCTCGTTAGGAGAGGAAACTCACATCGCCCGTTTCAAAGTTACATCCGGGATAGTTGCACTTGAATGGCTTTTCACCACTGTGGGTTCGGGAGTGTGTTTCTAGCATGATCAGCTGCGGTTTCGAAGGAAGGTACCAAGACACAACATACTCAGCTCGCTGCTGTCTGTAAAAGACTTCCCGCACATTTTACACTTATAGGGCTTGTCACCCCGGTGGCTCCGCTCGTGACGGTCCAAGGTCGCCTGCCGGGCAAAAGTCTTGCCACAAACAGAGCACTTGAAATTCTTGTCTATAAAGCCGGCAGTTAGCAAGACAGTTCCGTAATAAAGATAAAATGGAAAGAGACGGACAGTTGCTATGTGTTAGGAAATGACCCTGAAGCTTCGACTTTTGGGAGAACGGCTCATCCGGGCGATGACATCCTTCCCAGCAGCAGTAGTACCCATTCCCTTTAGCGCCGTCGACGGTGGTCATATGGTGGGTAATAAGATGATCCTGCAGACCACCGGCATCCGCGAACGTGGCACCACATGCAGCCTTAATCCCATGGACTTTCATGGTCCACTTGCAAATATGCAGATCGCTATCTTCTGAGAAATCGGGCGTGGTCAACACAGATGATGCGCCGCCTTCGAGGGGTGGCGGGGTCTCTCCAGGACTAGATATGAGGTGGGAGCTGACGCTGGACCGCGAATTGCGAGAATAGGGGGAGTAAGGATGCGAATGCGCGTGGGTGTGAACTCGGCAGCGGTGGTGGTTGCGGTGCGGTCCTCGCTTGAACCCATGAAGATTCAAATCATTAGGGTTCTTGAAATGGCCATGAACATGGTGATGTTCGGGATGGAAACAGCTCAAAGCGCTTGATGAGTCGGTCTTGGGGGTTTGAATCGGGGTTGTGCTGTCCTGCGGGTTCGACACATGCTGGTCCTGGCAAATCGCAAAGTCTGAGCACATTCCCAGCATATGGAATACTTCTGCTGGGTTGACTTCGGTCTGCGGGGGAAATGGTGGGTTCACGAACATGCCCTGCATGTCCTTCTGGAAGTCATGGCACTCGAAGTGGTTAGACACATTTTGCTCGCAGTGGTGTGCATGTGCGTGGTAGGAGGACAAGAAGTCATGATGATGGTTTGGATCAAGGGTCCCAGGGAAAGTAGGTTCCGGGACCTTTTGCGGCGAGCCGACGCCATGTTGTGCCATGGCCGTAGAGGGCAAGATAGCAGAGGGATCTAGTGACAGCGGAGTGTTCAACCCGAACAGAGAATCAAAGCCGCAGTCTTGGCCCTCGGTGCCGTCGCAGCAGTGAGCATCGAAGCAGACAGGATCTATGCTCTCGCAATGGTGGTCGTCACAGTGGTTATCATCACAGTGGTTGTCATCACAATGGTTGTCGTCGCAGTTATTATCGTCGCAGTGTGTGGCTGAGCAGACAGTCGAGGCATCGCACTCCACGAAGCCATCACATATTGACCCACAGTCCAGAGGGCAGTCATCCACGTCACAGCAAGCTTCGTCAACATCGCAATGAGCCAGCGAGGTTTGATGCTCATGCTCGGGACAATTCCATTGCTGTTGGGTGCGGTTTTCTGAGGGATTCACCGCGTCCTTGCCATCAATATGGAAAGCCTCCCAGTGGCATTCGAGGCAGAAATCGCCTCCTTGGGGTTGGGTCGCCATGGCGCACGGTTCACTTCGGATATCCGAAGAGGAAGGTGTGTGCTGAACCGCTTATAGGGAGAGCAAATCCAGGCACAGGATTGCTGCAGCAACCAAGTGCAGCGAGCGAGCGAGGGGGAAACTCGGGGAGTAAAACCCGGGGGTGCGCGCGAAGTGGGATAGATAGTAGAAGGACCACCAGGTACAATATCCAGGGCTGAGAAGAGAAAAATCACGTAACCGAGAGTCAAATCCTCTGCGCAATTTGACTACCAGTAATGTGCCCCCCGAGAAATGGATCGCAAGTACTGGTTTTTTTTTCCCTCCGTACAAATAGTTTCACGATTGTGTCATGGGCTTAACCTCGAAGGAATGTGTGCAAGTCCGGCGACATAACCGACGCACTCGGAAAAACAGGCAAGATCAACGACGTGCAGAGGAACAAAGAGGACCTTGGGAGAGGTGTTAGGTCAAGTAAAAAAAAACCTGCACGAGGGGTATCAGGGGCGTGATGCAGAGTGAGACCCGATGCTGAGGACCTTTGGGACGATGAGGACCTTGGGGGTTAAACGTAAACGTCGAGCGAATCGCATGGCGCACGTTGGCAAGCGGTCAACGGGGAAATCTGAGCACATACATCGCGCAGGACATTCCGATCTGATTCTTCCCCGCGTATGTCTTTTTCACCTTTTTTTGTTCCTTTTTCTCTCCTGGAATGTCCCTCGTTCTGCCCCTCGTCTCCGCTCAGCCCTAAGTCTCTCTCTCATCGCGGGGAGATGAGTTGCGCAAGACATCCATCGATGCGATACACACTGCTTTCTGGCCAAATGACCCAAGCCCTGCAAAATAAATCAATAAGACGCCCTTCGTCATCGAATCAATGAGTGGATTCGCATGCAAATGCAACAATGCCCAGAATGCTGACATAACCCCGCCCACCGCCTTGCCCCAGATCGTCACTCGATAATCATGGCTTATCTCGACGCGATCCCATCGTTCCCCGGAAAGATTATGGCCGGACACTGACTTCAGTTTCAGCACAACTGACCCATATTTTTGCGTCGTTTTCTTTTCAATCTGATTTGAATCCCTGTATATTCCTCGCATTTGCGCAAACTCAATCGTCCCACTTAAATCAGACCGCGCTTGTTTCCCACCGCTCCAAATCCAAATCCCATCCATCCCATTTATCTCCGATCCCATCTGATCCACCATGGGCAATCTCTGCTCCCGCTCCGCCAACGAGCCAGACCCCTTCTCCCGACCCGGTCGCGTCGTCGGCACCACCCCCTCCGCAGGCGCAAACGCCTCCGCTCCCCGCGCCCCGCTTCCCGCCAAAACGAACTGGAAGGGCACGCCGGGCCGGACACTGGGCGAGAGTGCAACGGGACAAAGCACCGAGGGGGGCAGTGATGAGGCGCGGAGCAATGCAGCGATAGCGGCGCAGGTAAGAAATAAAATTATCGTTACTGTTTCGGATGATAGTACTTACTGACTGTTTATCGACACTAGAAACGCGCTGAAAGCAGCTCCACGGCGAACAAGGGCAAACTCGGTTCCAAACTCGCGGCGCAGAAGGCGCAGACGCAGTCGCAGACTCTGGGTGAGGTCAGTCGCACGGAGAGGGCTGCGCGTGATGCGGATGGAGCCGAGGCGGCGAGGAGATGGGAGTAAAAAGGCTGGCTGGTTGCGAATGAGAGAGAACCTGCCTTTTCATTTTTGCGGGCGTTAAAGCATTTTCTTTTCCCCCGATGCTTGTGGCGTTCTTTTTCCTGCTGCGTTCAGCTGGTTGTCGCAAATCCCACCTGTTTCTTGGAGCGACTGATTTCTTACATTTCCTTCATGCGAATCATCATACTATACAGCGTGGCTAAGAGCTATGCGCCCCCCCCCCCCCCCCCAATTGACGCTCCATATGGAGCACTCTGATATGCCAATATATCCATGAATACACTAAACACTTTGTGGATCATGCTTGCATCAATTCCTGCTGTCTCTCGCTAGAATTCTCGGTCCAAGACCGATGATATAGTACAACCACGTAAGTTAACCCTCAACGCATGTCACGTTGCCTTAAACCCCGATTGAGTAAGCGGCTACACAACATTGTACCGACCACCCACAGGCGCGCGGGCATCGCTATCCGCCGCCGCCATCGTTCCCTCCTTGAGCAGCCGCATCAGCTCGCGCATAGCATTCGTGACCGAGATCTCCGTTTCACCTTCCACCAGAATATACAGCTTGGGGTTCTCGTTCGGGCCAGGCACCTTGCCAGCCGCATAGAAACTGCCCTTGGTGGTGATGGACGTGCCAGTTGCTTCCAAGATCTTGGCAACGTTGGTACGATTGGTAACACCCCAACGAGCTTTCTCTGTTGCAGTAGAAAAACAGGATCAGCACGCGTTTCAAGCAAAGAGAATGCAAACAAGGAAGAGATGAAAACTTACGGGGAAAGTCATTGATCTCAAGCGTGGCATGGAACGCTCCTGCGTCGGGTCCGCGGTTGTCGATGGGAACACCAGACCTCATCACACCCGCTCTGCTCAGGCGCGCGTGGATATCGGCGACTGCAGAGCCGACCTTGTCCAGGGGATTCTTCGAAGCCGCAGCCGGGTCCTTTTCGGTCCTGTGCACGGTAATCTTGCCGTCCAGATCGATACCCTTGGGAACACCTGCGAGCGGGGCAGCCGGAGCAGCGGCAGATTGTACAGACGAAAGCACCTTATTAAACCGGTCCTCGGCTTCATCCGCTTTTTCTCCCTTCTCTTCTTCCTCTTCGCCCTCCTCGCCGGTCTTATATGTTCGTCGCTCGCGCATCCGGGTTGTTTCACGCTCTTGGTCAAGTCGCTCAAGACCTTTGCCACCAAATCCAGAGGCGCTCGCCTTCTCCTTTCCGCTCTTGACTTTCTCCAAAAAGGCATCGACCAGTTTCTGAACCGGCTCAGGAACCTCTTGACCACTCTGTTTCAGTGCCTTGGCGATATCTACCGAGTACCGATCTTGTTGATCGGTCAGGAATGTCACCGCGGTTCCGGTATTTCCAGCGCGGCCGGTTCGACCAGCCCGGTGAACGTAGTCTTCCAGGTGGTTGGGAGCGTCGTAGTTAACCACGAGTTTGAGCTGCTTGACATCCAAACCCCGAGCGGCGACTGAGGTGGCAACAAGAACCGGGAAAATGCCTGCCTTGAAGTCCTCAATGGTGGAGTCACGGTCAACTTGATCTTTTCCGCCATGGATCGACATACACGGGTAGCCCTTCCGCATCAATTCCTTGAGGAGACTATCAGCAGACTCTTGGCGGTCGACGAAAATCAACGCCCGTGCATCCTCGTTTTCGTCATTGGAGTACAGGTTACCCAGCAGCTCCAATAGACGAAAGAATTTCTGGTCATCGTTGCGAACCTCGACGATCTGGGTGATCTCAGGAGCCACGACACTTTTGCCACCAACCACAATCTCAACTGGTTTCTTCAACGTTTTGCGAGCCAGTGCCTCCATGTTCCTAGGGAAGGTGGCAGAAAACAGTACGGTTTGGCGATCAGGGCGGATATTGGCCATGATCTTCATAACTTGCGGTTCAAAGCCCATATCAAACATGCGATCTGCCTCATCAAGAACGACATAGGTGACGCGTCGCAGGTTCGTAACTCGCCCTGCATTCGCCGCGAGTAGGTCAATCATTCGACCCGGAGTGCAAACAATGATTTCCGCGCCTCGTTTCAAATCGGCAATTTGGTCTTTGATCGGGGCACCACCATACGCACACACGGCGCGCAGACCCAAGGCTTTTAAAAAGGGCTTGCAGTCTTTATGGATTTGGGTGGCCAGCTCTCGGGTCGGTGTCATGATCAAACCAACAGGGCCTTCCATGCTTTCCAGCGGGCGTTGGTCTTTGATATGCCGAAACATCGGAATGAGGAAGGCGATGGTTTTCCCAGAACCAGTTTTAGCGACACCAATAACATCGCGACCAGACATGATTGCGGGAATTGCCTGCGCTTGGATGGATGTAAGGCTTTCGTAGTCGAGTTTGTCGACAACATCCAGCGTCTGCACGCCCAATCCGCACTGCGACCATTTTTGCACGGGCTTAGGGATATCAAGGCCACGAACCTTGATCCCATCCAGTTCCAGACGCAGGCTGGCAACCTCTTCCTCGCTCATCTCGGCAAGATTCGAAGGCTCGTTGTAGAACTTCTTACGGAACGGCTCATACTCAACTTTGGCGTGTTCAACCACTGGAATTTCCTTTTTCTTTTTCTTGTTGGCGATGGCAAGGAAATCTTCATCGTCATCACCAACGGCAGTAATGTCCACGTCGGCTTCATCCCCGAAAATGGCCTGCGGTGGTTGTGCCTCCTTTTTCTTGGAGAACTTGGCCCCCACGGTCTTTTTCGGTGGAGCAGTATCTGCCAGGCCTGACATGAAAGCGTCCAGGGGATCGATGTCCTCGGCCTCATCAACTTCCATTTCGGCAGATTCGGCTTGTTGGTTGGAGTCAGCCATGTGAACATCCCCAGTCGGCTGAGGAGTTTGATCGGCAGTTGAAACATCACTCTGTGATTGATAGGCTAGATGCTGGTTCTGAAGCCGCTCTTCACGACGTTCTGCTGCCGCACGCGCCGCAGCCGCAGCTTCTTCTTCTGTCCCTCCGTCTTGCATGTCAACGTCGTCATCTTCGCCTGCATCGTCTCCAACTGCAGTAACATCCTTGGCATCATCAAGCGGAGGGGTCGGAAGTTTTTCAAGTTTCTTGCGTGTTGATTCTTCCTCGCCGAAGCCCAAAGTTCGAGTAGCTGACGGTTTCTCGGCGTCCGAGGCTTGTTTCGCACCCAACCCAAATCCACTGACCTTACCCTTGGTTTTCAATGGGACCGGAGCCTTGGTGGTTTGTGCAGGGAGTTTGCTAGCTTGTGTTGGCGGAATGGTCGAGGACGGCGGCTTGGCAGCTGGAACGGTAATGTCGTTGCCCAGTACGGGCAGCGCAGGAGCTGAGGGGGTCGCATTCTTGGCAATCGCCTTGGGATCAAATTTTCCGGGATAAGAAACGGAAGCTTGTGGTTCGGTAGGTGGCGTGGCAGGTCGAGGCGAGCCAACAGCTGGTGATAAACCTGACTTCCGGTCTATCTCTTGCAGGAGATTCCGGGCGCCACCGGCTGCTTGCTCGCGTTGTTTCCGTTCCCGTTCAGCGGCTTGTTTCTGCTTCCATGCTTCCAGCTTTGCAAGCCGCTCAGCTCGTTTCTCTTCGTCGGTTGGAGCGGTTGGAGCGGGTGTGGACGGCTTAGACGGCTGCAAAATATGAATCAGTATAATGCATTCTCTCAAATATGGACATATCCATGACGTACTTCACGAGTCCTTGACCTGGACCGCCGATTCGAGACACGGTCACGGCTATCATCCCGTCTAGACTTGCGCTTCAAGTCAGCAGAATCATCTGTGCGCCTCCGATCGCGGTCGCGCGAATCATCTCGCCTGCTTCGGTAATCCCTCTCGCGGCTTCTGCGACGATATTCGTAGTCATCATCCCGGTCTCTGGACCGCCGACGGTCTCGCGATCGGTCTCGACGACTGGGCCGATAATTGTCTTCGTCACGTCTGTCTAGGGAACGGTCGCGTCGCCGATATGCATCTCGATCGCGGCCGCGATCACGTTCACGTTCTCGGTACCGCCGCTGTATCAACCAAAAAGTCAACTTGGTTAGTTCATTCCGCGAAAATTCAAGCCGGAATTGCCACATACCTCTGGGCTGCGGGATCGGCGGTACATTCGCCCATCATCCCGTCTGTTCCTCTCATAGCGATCATCATCTCTGCGGTTCCGGCGGGATGACGAGTATGTGCTGCCTACTGGTGATGGTGAGCGAGTATCCCCGTGGCGAGCCATTGTTGCAGGCCAACGATAAGTGAGTATTACTGGAACTCAAAGGAACCCGGAGTCGAGCAAAGACCTGCAAGAATCACCGCGCTGCCATGTGGATCTTGGATTCGAGCAGGTCGTACGGTTCGCCACTGGGAGATATAGTAATTGGGGGAGGTCTCGAAAACGATGCCATTTTGACTTGGCGATTGGGAACCCGTTTGGTCACGTGGTATATCAATCAAGGGTTTGCACGTGACTATACACTAATCCCAAAGCGGAGAGACCCAAACGACGCGAACCCCGGCAACCAGCCTCCCTCTCTCCGCCTGCGACAGGAGCTCCTTCAAGCTACTTTCGCGCTTACTCAATTGACACTTGTCTCGTTCTTGGACGCTCTTAGATTATATCCCACTCTTGTTCACTTCCCCATGCCTTGGCAGTACGCAACTCGTAGGGCCATTCGGCCCCTGCGCCTCGGCGTTGCCCTCGCACGCCATAGTCGGGTGGTGGGCGTGCAGAACCAGCTTCGTCGCATTGCCGTCGCGACCAGCCCGCGATTGATGACTCCCTGTTCTGGATATCGCTCTGCTATCAAGTTCCAGCAGTCTCACACATACGCGACTACCTCCACTCCCAAGTCGAACCGGTCCACCAAGAGCAAGCCGGCCAAAAAGTCCAAGAAAACCGCTAAGAAACCAGTCAAGAAGCCTGCCAAAAAGCGTGTGTTGACTGAGAAGCAATTGGAAAAGAAGAAACAACAGGAGCACCGCCAACGGATTAAAGAACTCAAGGAGGCTAGCCTAACGCCACCTGCAAAGCTGCCCCAATCCGCCTACATTGTCGCCTTGACGTCAAAGCTTACTGAGCTTCGATCTGAAGTGCCTTCTGAGCCTCGAAAGCCATCGGATTACTTCAGCGCTGCTGCGGGGCTTGTGAGGTCCATGAACTCTGCGGAGCTCGAGGTCAGTCTCTGCTCTTTGTCATCTCTTGTATTCTCATTCCATGCTAATTATAACGTAGGAATACCGAGGCAAAGCTGAATCGAACAAGGCGACTAATTCTGCAGCCTATGAGTCGTGGGTGAAGTCGCACACGCCCCTGCAGATCAAGGAGGCCAACCTCGCCCGGCGGCAACTCGCGCGCCTTCAGAAGAAGGTCTTCCGGCCTCTCAAAGACGACCGACAAGTCAAGCAGCCTCTTTCTGCCTTCATCGCCTACAACACGGAACGAAACGAAAGTGGTGACTTCAAGCATGTGAAGAGAACGCAGGTCGCCTCTCGCGTTGCCGAGGAGTGGAAGGAATTGACCCCATCCGAAAAACAGGTAAGAAGCTTTCCCACTACCACAATGTGTGTGATTCCTTGGTTTGCAACGACTGATTATGAGCCCAGCGCTACGTCGACCTTGCCGCCGAGGACCGTGAGCGATATATCAGAGAGCACCTGGAAGTGTATGGAGAGGTGCCCAAGAGGGCTACCAGCCCCCATCCGGAGTCCGCATAAGGGGGATCCACGTTCTTTTCAAGAGAAGCCGGTGTTTAGTCTGAGGTTGGGACAGGGGTCTTGATTTGTGTTTCCTGCATGCCGCTTTATTCCCTTTCTTTTTGTCGCTGTATTGTAGTTTCCTTGGGCTTTGTGTTTTTATCATAGGACTTGATGAGATTGATATATCTGCCAAACCCGCGTATTTCTTGCCTCCAGTCTCTGGGGTCTGCAGTGCAACCTGTCCATGAGTCAACTTGCCACATACCCCACACAAGTGGGTTTTTGGCTCCGATGGAAGAGTGGCGGTGTGAGAATGTGATGCGTTGGGTTCGTGCTCCAGCGATCGAGATATATAGAGTATTGTTTGTCTTGAATTTCAGGGTTAAAGCCTCGAGTTATATTGTGTTTGTAAGGGGAAGAGTATATTATGATGACAGATTTCTCTATTGTGAATATATATTCATAGATACCTCCACTCTACTATATCCAAATTGAGCATAGATATAAGATCTCTGCAACTCGATTATTTATTATTCTTTCATGTCTAGTTCTAGGAAATTCTCCCAAGTCCAATGCAAATGCAAGTCTTTGTTTTGATGCCCACTTCCCACGGGCCTACCCGCCCGGGTCATTGGGCATCCACGGGTATGCGACCTCTCTCTCCATGATCCATCGCAATCCATGGATAGGGGAACCACCGTTCCCTGGTTTGGATGCGGTGAACCAGACCCTTGGGAATGGCATGAGCATTCGCATGTTTAGTTAGCATGGGGGGAAATCCAGTTGTATTTCCAACTGCCCCCCTGCTTTGACTCGGATCAACCCTGGCTTGAAAGTGGAGGGGGACTCTCGTTATCGATAGGGTCGCGTCCTGTCTGCATGCTGTATGCGTAGGTAGATCAACCAACCGCAGGGTGTCTGTGCGACTTGGGCTTAATCCAGGGAGAGTATGCCGTGCAGAGAGGGGGAGAAGAACCAAGAAATGCAGAATTGTAGAAATGCAGAAGTTGAGTGGGAGTATATCCTCGGGGCGATCAGGGTGTTTTGTCCCAGCCATCTTTTTTTTTTCTCTTCGCGATTATTATTATTATTATTACTTTTCTCTCGGGGAATGAACAGGAGTTCCCGAGTTTAATATATTCCCGGGTTTAATATATTTTCTGTTTCAAATTATTCTATATCATTAAGAAGACACAGAAAGGGAGCCATCCAAGTGTCTTGCTGCTTGCTGTGGAATGTGTACGGTCCGTCATACTTCGGATGATCACCTCCACCGCCCCAACTGCGTCCATCCCTGCGAGATCGACTTTTCTCTCTTTGCTTTCTCATCTTGCTTGTCGGGCTCATTTTTTTTGGAGACCCTCTGGCATATTCTCTTCTCTGATCCCTTCCCACTGTCCTCCTGTTCTAGGGTCTCTATTGCCCATCGGTCCAGCGCAGTTCTCCGAACCCAAGTCCGACTAGCACCTGAAATCGCGCAGGTCGTGCAGGGAGGCTCTCGTGCTTATATACCTCGCTTTTTGGTTTATTTTTTTTTATCAGTTGCGATCCAGAGCTGAAGCTCGAGTCCTTTTTTTCCGTATCGCAACACATTCCCCGGATCTTGTGGCTCCGCACGTCAACTCGCATTCCAACCGATAAGCGTTTCCTCCGCGGGGACCCCGACTCCAATCCCACCACCCCATGTGGTCTCCCCCTCCGACGTGGGTTTGACCGGTGTCTGATCGGACCATCTTTCGGATCGGCGCATTCAATCTCGACATGGAGACGGTCGGGTGGTCCGTTGCCCACCAGGAGCGCGCGGAAAACCCGAAAGAAATTGAGAGCATGGCATATGATGCAGAAAACACTATGGATATTGAAACTGCAACGGTCATCGCCGGATTACAGGCGGCTCTGACACGCTCGTGGCTGCAAGACTACGCCATTTCGTCCGGCAAGACCGCGTTCGTTGAAAAGAGCTTCTTCTGTCCGGAATACCAGCCCCCGCCTTCCTACGACGATGCGATTCACGATCTCCCTCCGGAATACTTGGACCTCCCGCCGTCCGCGCAGCGCAAAACCCCGCTTGCTCCAGCCGCGCCAGCCGCGCCAGGGGCGAAATCTCGTGGCCTTCCGTCTATGCTGTGGAAAGATCGCACTCGCGATGTGGATATTGATTTTGAGATCCTGACGGGTGTCCGGGAGCACAAAAAGAAGAAGCCTACGAAGAAAGCAGCTGCACCGCCGCCCCCGCAAAACACTGGCGGTAGCTCGGATCCTGGTGGCGATCAACCACCCGCCGGAGATGGTGACGGCGGCGGCGATGCTGGGGGTGATGCAGGTGGCGCCGGTGGCGACGGTGATGGCGGCGATGGCGGTGATGACTGGGGCGATTGGGCCGTGAGTGGGAGCAAGAAAAAGAGCAAGAAGAAGGAACAGGAAGAAGAGGAGGAGAAGCGCGCCAAGGAAGAGGAAGAGCGAAAAGCTGCTGATGCTTCTGCTGCTAATAACCTCAGTTGGGCCGACGACGCAGACGACGGCGGCGGTGACGATAGTTGGGCTGGCTTTGCGACCGTAGGGAAAAAGAAGAAGAAAGACAAGGTATGCTTTTTACTTTTGATATATGATGCTACTGTTCGAGATTTGACCTGAATCGCAGGAAGATCCGGCACCGCCAGGAGGCTTTCAAGATGTGAGCCTCAACGATGGCGCGCCGCAGTTGGACTTGAATTTTGACAGCCCGGCTCCAAAGACCGGCGGGACCGGGTTCAGCTTTGGTGGCTGGGGTAAAGACTGGACTACTGGCAGCAAATGGGGTCTTGGTGGGCTGACGGGTGATTCAGCTCCTAAGGAAGAACCCAAGGACACCAATCCCTGGGCAACTTCTTCCAAGAAGAAATCAACTAAGACGACCGCTGGCGGTTTCGACTTTGGCGACTTGGGGTCCCCGCCTGAAGCGGAGCCTGCGCCAGAACCCAAAGAAGATGACTGGGGTGGCTGGAATGTAACAACCAAGGATACGAAGAAAAAGAAAGGCAAAGCCGAACCCGAGCCTGAGCCAGCGCCTGAACCTGAACCTGAACCTGAGCCCGCACCGGTGAAAGCCGAGCCAGCTTATGATGAAGCCTGGTTCCAAGGTCTCTCCAAGAAGGAGCAGCGAAAGGTCAAGAAGGAGATGGAGAAAAAGGCCAAGGAAGCAAAGGAGGCTCAGGAAGCAAAGGAAGCTCAAGAGGCACAGGAGGCAAAGGAGGCAGCTCCTGTGCCTGAGCCTGAAGAGCCGAAGAAGTCCCCAGAGCCTGAGAATGACTGGAGTTGGGGTGTGTCAACCAAATCCAAGGACAAAAAGAAGAAGATCGATCTCTTATCTGACCCAGACCCTCCGGCGCCTCCACCGGCGGAGGATGACTGGATGAACGGCTGGGGAACTGCAGGGAAGAAGAAAGACAAAAAGTCCAAGGAACCGGAGCCAGAGCCTGAAAAGCCCAAGGAAGCCGAGGATGATTGGGGCGGGTGGAATGTTACCACCAAGGAAAAGAAGAAAAAGAAGGGCAAAGCCGAGCCTGAACCTGAACCAGAGCCCGAACCCGAACCACCAGCAGAGCCTGAACCCGAACCCGAGCCGGAGCCGGAGCCTGAAGCACCGGCAGCACCAACATTGCCGGATGACCCCCTCTATGATAACTGGCGGAATTTGTCTTCGAAGGAACGCAAGAAACGCGAAAAGACTCTGAAGCGAAAAGGACTTCCCATCCCGGGCCAAGATATCGAACTTCCACCTGAAAACCCTCCAGAGCCAGACCCGGAAGCAGAAGCAGCTGCTGAACCTGCTGCGGAGCCCGAGCCCGAGCCCGCCCCGGAACCAGAACAGGAGAAACCGGCTGACGAAGATGACTGGGCTCTTTGGGACACCTCAAAAGACAAGAAGAAAAAGAAGAAGGGCAAGGATGTTGACGAGCCCCCTCCACCCGCGCCCACCCCCTGCCCAGGGCCTCACTCCAGAGCCGGAAGCTGCCAATGAAAACGATGATATATGGGCCGATCTGGCTCCCAAGACCAAGAGCACGAAGAAGAGTTCCAAGGCCATTGAACCCCCCAAGGAAGAGCCCAAGGCCGCCAAAGGTTTTTGGGCGGCGTTGACCGGGGGATCTACACCCAAAGCCAAAGCGACCAAAAAGACAGAGGAGAAGTCCAAGTCCAAGGAAGAGAAACCAGAGCCACCACCGGAAGAGGACCTCCTTATTGACGTTGGCGATGATCCAAAGGAGCCTGAACCCCCAGCAGAACCTGAGCCTGCACCAGAGCCAGAGCCCGAACCTGAGCCTGTTGAGGAGCCCCCTCCCCCGGAAAAAACATCGAAGACAAAGGGAACTGCCAAGCTCTCCGTTGCCGAGCGTATCAAGGCCCTCGAGCAAAACAAAAAGGACAAGGCAAAGGAAGAAAAGGCAAGCTCCAAGTCAAAGAGCAAGGAAAAGAAACCAGAGCCCGAGCCCGAGCCTGAGCCCGAGCCCGAGGCACCCGCAGAGGAACCGGTTTCGACCAAGAAAGGATCCAAAAAGAAGGTCACAAAGGACTCTGCCTCCAAGAAGGAAGTCCCGGAGCCGGAAGAAGACAAAGAAGTTTCCAAGGACTCTGTTCCTGGGAGCTTCCCTGATGAGCCCCCCGAGCCACCTGCTGAGCCCGAACCAGAGCCCGAATCCAAGGCTGAGCCCGAGCCGCCTGCTCCAGACCCTACCAAAATGTCCAAGAAAGAACTGAAGAAGGCCAAGAAGGCGGCCGAGAAGGCGGCGGCCGCCGCCGCTGCTGCCAAGGAGCCCACTCCCCCTCCGCCTCCAGAGGAACCACCTGTTGCGGAAGCGGAGGAGCCAAAAGAGGACACACAGGAAGATGATAAAGCCGACGAGGGTGCGCCTCCAACACCCCCGCCAGAGCCTACTGAACAGGACCCCCCGAAATCCAAGAAAGATCGTGCGCGTGTCGATCGCGCTAATACATCGTCCTGGGGCTTCTGGGGAGCGGCCCCGCCTCCAAAGAAGTCCGGCAAAAAGGAGAGCAAACCCCAAGAGGAAGGGGAGCCTCCCAAGAAAAAAGAATCGACTCGGGAGCGTTCTCCTGCGGCAGCGCGGTCCAAGTCGACAAAATCTCGACCCAAGGACTCCGATCATGAGGTCGAGAAGTCATCTGCATCAGATCGGGAGAAGCGACGCGAACGAGAACGAGAAGCGCGGTCCTCGAAGAACCAGCGTGGTACAGCCCTCTCCAACTTCATCATCGGAGCGCCCCCGCCCACGCGGACAAAAACGAAGAAAACAGGTGCTTCTGCATCCAGACCTTCCTCGAGACCCGTATCAAGGCGGCCGTCAATTGATGAAGAAGACGAAGCTGCAATGCCGTCACCGCCGCCGGACGAGAAACCTGAGGTTGCTGATAAGGCAGCCAAATTAATGGGCATCGATGCTGCCAAGTCGCGGCGTGAGCGGCCGCGCGCTGACAAGCGGAAATCAGGTACGTGGAACCCAGGTTTCTTTTTCCAGGTCACCATTGGACTAATCTGAGCTCATAGGCCCGAGAGATCCGTATGCGATTGATGATGATGATCTGGTCATGGTCGACATGGAAGACGCCGATGGTCAGTCACCAAAAGAGGGCTCTAAAGGATCGCGGCCATCGAAGCGCAAATCGAAGAAAGAGGTGAGTCTAGGTCCGGGTTTCTTTGCAAGAATTGGTATTAACTTTGCGATTCACCAGTCACGAGCCAAGCCTGACGAGGATGACGCTGTCTTGGTCGATGCCGACCAAGCACAACATGGGCCTGACGTGGTGTCAGGGCCCGACGACCTCGCCTTTGTTGATGCGCCACCCAGAGAGCGACGCCCAAAGCGTTCCAACACAGCCCCGAAGAAACAAGAAACCGGAGGATTGATGGGACTTTTCGGCTCTTTGAGAAAGACCACGCGCCCCGAGATGCCAGAGCGACGAAAGTCGCGCTCGCACCGTGACGACGAGATGGAGCGAGACGACCCTCGCCGGGTGCGACGTGATGATCGCCGCCGCCGATCTGTCAAACCCGATACCGATGGTGAAGGGTTCACGACCGACGCTGCTGGTGCTGCTGGAGGTGCCGAGACCGAGGCGGAAGACGCTGAAGCCAGAAAGGCTGCCCGCCGGGCTAAGCGTACCTCTCGACAGGCTCCTTCAGACGCTCGCGAAAACGAAGCCCGGGAAGCGGAGGAACGGCGGGCTCGCAGGAAGGAAAAGGAAAAGGCTCGTGAAGCCCGTGAACAGCGAGCGCGGGAGGCAGAAGAAGAGCGTCGCCGTGAAGAAAAACAGACCCGCCGCGCTGCACGCGAAGAGCGTCGTGCTCGAGAGGAACAGGCCGCGCGGGAAGCCGAAGCCGCCGCCGAAGCCAAGGCTGCTGAGCGCCGCGAGCGCCGCCGAATACGCGAAGAGGAACAGGCCGCCAAAGCCAAACGCCGACGTTCGCGCGTCGAAGAGCGACCCCCGGACGAGTTTTCACCCGAGGAACCAGACCCAAACCGCCGACGCGGATCTCGGGCCGCGCCCGAGGATCCGAAAGCTCGTCGTCGCAAATCCAGGGCTCCGCCAGAGCCAGCTCCTGCGCCGGTGATGCCTGGCAACAAGAAAGATAAGATCTCATCTTGGGTCTACTCCCAAGCCGACGAGCCCCCAGAGCCCCCTCCAATCGTCCCCACCGTCATTGATATGCCCCCTCCCGCCGCTGCGGCCGCTGAAGCCGCTGGCGCGCACTCCATCTCCTCGGACGAGGAAGCCCGGCGCGCGGTGCGTCGCAAGGCCCGCCGGAGAGCCAAGTACCCCGGGGTTGCGGAAGAGGAAGTTGAGGATCTTCGGGCGCGTCGTCGTGATGCACGCCGCGAAGGTGTCAAGAGCAGTTCCGGGAGCGGCGACTACGAGCGTGATCGTGGTATGAGGTCTCATGGGAGTCGGCATGGCGGACAGGCGCCTCCGAGCTCTGGACCCAAAAAGTCGAGCTGGTTCCGCAAGCTCACGAATCTCTAATCTCTAAACTGGGGGGGGATATATGATTCAGTGTGAGGCAATTGTGTTTATATGTTTCGTTTTTTTCTTCTTTTTCTTCTGTTTCTTCTCTCTGTTTCTATACCGATGGAGCGAGCGTCTCTTTGGTCCCTTTTTGTTCTTTTGAGTCTGATACAGACAGACACCTTTGACGACAGATATGAGTCTATGACCTATCATGTACCTTATGGACTGGGCTTTTGGATGCAATATGATTTCTATGACACTTTCGACTCCGAGGTTTCGCATTCTTAGTAGATACTCTAGATGGTAGAATAGACCTCGCAAGTGAACCGAGTGCAATCCCTACGATTGATTACAGTGGCTCATTGGTATCATCTTCAAGCTTCTTTCAAGTGCTCATCCCTCGCGACGTGCTCATCGAAGAGCACAGGGAGAATCAATTTCTACATTGTGTGCTCTATATACAACATGGTATTAATACAGGCCATGGATCCGAAAGAAGGTATTAAAAAAAAAGATGAACCCCCCAAAAATATAGAAGTGAAATGAAATGAAATGCAAATCGTCATTTGAAATGAACAGACAAATCGCTCGAAGAATCAACAAACTTAGGCCAAGTATTCGTAAACACAAGATTCTTAACCGACTTCTCAGCCTGATCAAACACGCCATTCCCAAACACCGGCGACACGGCCACGGTATTGGGGACCCGCGGCTCGATATGCATGATACTCTGATTCTCGTGCGGATAGTCATCCAAGCAAAGCGCATGGGTATCCTCGTCGACGACCACAATCGCAGACGATTTCTTGCGGTGCGACGACGGGTTCATCGTGTACGAGTCCGGCAGATTCCTATAAACGCGCGTATCGGCGCCCGCATTCGCCGCGCCGCGCGCAAGGATCGCGGCGCTGATATACTGGACGCCGTCGCCGAAGACGGCCTGCAGATCCGTGTAGATGCGCGACTCGATGTTGATGGGGAACTCGGCGGTCTTGAGATCCACGCACGCGGCGTAGATCTCCAGCGCGATCTTGAAGAAATGCAGCCGGTGGTACTGTGGATCTCGAACCCAGTCGTATGTCGGTTTTGTGGTTGTGATGCGCGCCCAGGCGGCTTTCCAATCGCGCACGTAGTTCAGGAAAATGATGTTCTCGCCGCTGAATTCTTTTGCTGCCGCGAACCGGAGCAACATGCTCGAGTCTTCGGCCAGACAGCGCTCCAGCGCTCGGCGCGAATATGCTTCTGGGATGGAGGTGGTGCTGGTTTCGCTTTTGGAGTGCGAGGCGCCGGAGTCCAGCTTTGTGACGCCGGATGAGCGCATCTCGTCCCAGGCTTGGAGTTCGCCGAGGATGCGGTTGCGCTGTCTTCGTGAGGTGATGAGCTCGTAGCAGGGTACGAAGACGGCCATTGCTTCCATGGTCATGATCCCGGGGGCGAACCTGTGGTTTGTTGGTCAGTTGAGTTTCTGTTAAATTTGGTTGTGAGGGGTGGTGTTTTATGTACCAGAGAGCCGGCACCCAGTACCGGTTGATTGCTGCCCAGGCGTCGGTTGTCGAGTACAGCGCGGCGAACCACATGGGCGAACCGGGTAGCCTGTACATCTATTATATTAGCACCATTGGGTGTTGGATGATGGCGAAAAATGTAGAATACTCACGCGGCAATGACGCAGCAAGTGATCTGAAACCGCCAATGGTGAATATCATGGATATTGCGAATCTTCCACAGAACGTAGGGCGCGAAGATCCACGACCAGAACAACTGCCAAAGAATCGACGGAATCCACTCCGGGCCTCGTCGACATTGCTCAGAGCTCACATGTTGGGAGAAGGTGCCGAATGACTGGAATTTGCGAGAGGTGAGGAAGATTGAGAGGGACAGCGCCAGCTAGAGTTGTTAGGACACAAGTTAGTATATAGATCACCGGCAAGGGGATTGAGCAGTGAAGATAACCCCAAACGAACCTGCACGATCATTCCAACCACAATGCCCCATTCCGTCCGTTGAACCAAATTCATTTGCTTCCACTGCGCCAGAAACCGACGAGGCGAGATAGCCCGACCCAGGAACGGAGGCCGGTACGGCTGCTGCGCGGTATAGAGCAGCTTCTCCTGGATGCCATACACACTCAGCAGCTGCATACTATTCGCCTGGAACAGCGCAATGCCCAGCGGCAGATAGATACTCATGATCCAGTACTCAGCGGCGCAGGGGTACTGCCCGCCCATGGAGTATGCGACCATACACAGAATCCAGTAGACATGGAGACAGGCCACGCCGCTGAGGGCGAGGAGTAGATTGCGGATGCGGATGCATTGCTCATGGCGATTCACGATCAGAAACGCGCTTCCTCCCAAGATCGCGGCTGTCCAGACAATGGCGACGCACACGTAAAATTGAGCCAGGGTGTCGAAGATGGGCCCGCCACCGTCGTTGCCACCAGGCTGGATATAGGCCATTTGTTAAGCGTTGTTGAGTCCTGCAACCGCCATTCAAGAACAACCGGGGTTTCTGGGGTTATTTTATTTTTATTTTATAATTTTATAATATTATATTTTATAATTTATAATTTATTATTCTTTTATAACGGCGCGGGAGACCGGGGTTGATGGGATGCCGGCCACTGTGGAGCCCACACCGGACTCATCCTTGTAAAACAGAGGGGGGGGAAATCAGACGAATTGGACAGGAGATATGTCGAATGATGCTCCACTATGAGTAGGTTGACCGGGATATCTCATTCTGGCAATGCGCCCACATATCGTTACACATCATATAAGTTGACTGGCACTTGGCCCAGAAAGCGGATGAACTTGGGATGGATCGGCATAGAAATCCTCAAAGAAAAGTAGCCAGACCATAAAGACTTTGTTCCGGCCCCCTCTATCAAAGTCTTTTCAACGGCCTCGGGATACCTCTGCCGCGTGGTTGAGGAGCTAGTGGCGACGCCAACGTCCGCACTAGTAACCGATCCCGCCCCCCTGAGGCCATCTCCACGACGCGCCTTCGAAGTGTGTCCAAGTGTGTTTCAGACAGGATTACAGGACCCCGTCGAGCGTGTGGAGAGAGTTGGACGGTATTATTTTGGTTTCTGCAGACATAAGTACCGTTCATGATTCATGCTCCCCCCTGGAAGTGTATATACTTCCCACACTATATGGTGTAAATAATAACTCATACAATCTGGATGGTGTGGCTGACACCCATGACAATACTGTCCCTGCAGGGATTTTCATCCCATGCCTATCCGATTGGCCTCTCTTTGCCAAGTCGCGTGTGGATCCCACGGCCCGGCAACTTACCATTGACAGCCGTGGGCTAATCGAATGGTGGAGAAAAGGGGACGAAGTGGATGTCAACTCTACAGTTAGTCTGGCCAAACCCAACCCGATTGCAGGGAGGAAAAAAAAAAAAAACATGTGTTCATACATTCTGCAGGGGAAATTGAGGTGGAGTTGGAAAAATCATGATTTTGGAATGTTTCTTTTGTGGTTTCGTCATTTTGCTTCGTTAGCCCTAATTCTATGAGTCGAAGATCGGCCCAAAGGCCGGCACCCCGCGGACTTCGAGCTCAAACACAATTCTTTTTGTAAGCCGAGGGTTGCTAATCACACACACCGCTTCAGCGTCGAATTCGCGGATAAGCTCCTGTACAATTGGCACCATATCCACTCGTCCCGTGGTGGTGGTGTCCAGAAGGAGGGGGTTGGGGTCGAGTTGCTGCACCAGCCCGACAACATCCGAGCCGTAGGTCTTATGAGGGTTCCGTGTTTGCCACACTACTCGCAGGGGAGGCCGATCTGGCTCACTGAGAAATGACAGACAGGGCCCGATGCCGGACCCAGTGGTTACCACGACCACTCGGCGGAATACCCGCATTACATGAATACAACCGTACATGAGCACGCCGCGCTTCCAGAGCTGCGTGGGCTTTTGATCGATGCATCGTGTAGTCCAGTCGCCTGCCTTGGAGACAAGACATGAGAAGCTCTTGCCGTCGGGATCCGGGAACGTGGCGAAGCTGTGCCAGTCTCGCAGCGGATGCTTGGACAGCCCGATGACTTTGCCAAATGCAGTGGGCGCGTGGCTGAGGTGGAGGCGGATAGCATGTGAGGAGAGAAACTCGGGCCACACCTGCACGCGACGGAGCAGCAGCCAGGGGTGGACAATCGAGGCGATGATCCCCAGCACAAACCAGAATGCGGGGAGCTCGACTAGGTAGAGGCCAAGAGACATGCCCTGGGCGTGGCTGGCTTGGCTTGAAAAGACCATCAACAGGGTCAGGAACAGAGCCACGGCGGCCCAAGCACAGAACCGGTGAGCGAACTCGAAATAGTCATGTCGTTTTGTGCGCAGGGCCGGATATGCCACGACAATGACAGCCACGAGATCGACCAGTAAAACATAGGCGAGGACAATCACGGGGATGGAAATCAGGGCCGAGTTATGCTTCACCCAATACTCGCGCGAGATCAGCGCCACCAGCCCCGTATACCATAAAAAGGAGGCCACGCCGCATCCGCTATGGACTCCGCCATAATGGTATGCTTTGGCAGCCCTCCTGCGCAGCACGAGGGGCGCCGATCGCGGGATACGGCAGATGGTCCAGAAAATGCAGTTCACCACCATTGGATGACGGGCCAGACCACAGATAAACAGATTGACACTGGCGGCATTGACAAAGGCCAGCAACTTTTGCCGGCTTTCAACCATGATAATCACAAAGGCCACGGCATTGGCGCAGTACACCAACGTAAAGAGCCGGCGGTAGATGGTGAGGATGGCATATCGGATCGACGCAAAGCTCATGCGCGGGTATTGTTGAGCCTCGACATCGACTTGACCGGCTGAAAACCGCTTCCAATCCCATGTGCTGCTGTCATTGCTCAGGTAGGTAGTGGTGGAAGGAGCCAGACTGGCCCTGTTGGAATATGTGGGACAAGGCAATTGGGGCGAGCATAGCATCCTGTGGCCCTCATAGGATTGGTAAGAGGATTTGCAATATTATTCTTTTGCGATGGAGGACCGGGAGAAAGACGGGATAGAACACGGGTAGATGTCTCTATTATTCTTAAAGATAAAACATTGATATTGCGCCTGGGAACAGGCGCATGCAGAGGATTTAAATGAGGGTCCCCAAGTGATTTCTTGAGGGATCCAGGCTGCGGGGAGTCTAGCACATCCAGTCTTTCTCTCTTGAATCCTGGTAATAAAACCACGTTATACTCGGTGGAGTGGAAGTGGGTCATCTAACCTCTTCCGGGACGACGTGCGCATATCCCGGGGGGACCTACGGGAACGTGGTGAGCTGCAGGATCCAGTTCGCAGGGCAAGGAAGTGCGGTGTCCTCGTCGATACACTTGGAGAGAGTTCATTAGCTGAACGGATGTTCGGACGAACAGGTTGATGGAGCACTCTCCGGCCTCATTGGCCGTCCCCGATGATGTGACATGAACTCGTGGACATATCCGTTGAACCTTGGAAGACGGCAAGCTTCCGATGGAGATAATGGGGGCCGGTTTGCCCGACAGGCTCTGGCGCTTAAACCCCAGCTTTGTTCTTTTGTTCTTCTTCTCGTCTATATACACCGTGGCGTTTGGTCGATCTGCCATTCTGACCATTTTAGAGTCTCTCAAGGACCATATCCATAGGTGTATCAATCTTTCCTCCCGAGCCATCCATGGATAGCACGAGGGAGCCACGCATAAGGAACTGTCAGATCCCACCTGCAGCTGCACAGCAACCTCCAAGGTTGGTTCGATCATGTAACAATTGTCACCTCACGCAGCGTTAGTGGCTTGGCGCGCGGACCATGATAAGGGGGCAGGATCGAACATCAGCGGCAGTCTCGCAAGTGAGAATCCTGCCAGCCTGCTAGTTTACCCACAGTTTAGCCTCGACTGTCAGCTGTCACTGTGAATTTTCAACCTTGGATCTGTGGAGGATGTAATGGGCAGACCAAACAATCAAACAAAAAGAGGGTTAAGCTCGACAGTGCAATAGAGTCTTATATTTAGATTTTCTTTCTTTTCCTTCTCTTCCCCCTTTCCAATCCTGAATTGTGCTTTGACTCCCGTGTCCGAAATGAAACCGAGTCCCCGTGCCCTGTTTGTTTCAAAAGTGGACTTTGTTTTTCTTGGTGTGGACATCTCCACAGGAAATAGGGGGTGGGTTAGGGTTATCAGTCAACGGCCGGATAGGGCTGACGAGTTGAGATATACTCACTTGCTAGTGCGGAGATCTCCGAGAAGAACCGGTGATAAATGACTCAACTGAGTCTGACTCGAGTGCAGTTAAGGTGGTAAAGAGAGAGAAGATCGCCGAAGTTGCCCAAATCCGTCCTCTTGAAGAAGTTGATCCGCTATGGCTTTGTTAAAAGAAGAAAGATGAAGAAAGAGACAAGAAAGAAACAACCCATGCAACTCTACATGACCGCCTCCCCATCCTCCGATCGAACCCCCGGCCGATCAACCCCATCGCGCTCTCTCCGCCGATTTTCCAAATAAAACCGACCCCCCTCATAGAGACTGAGATACATGCTCAACGACACAGCGGTCCAGCCCGCACGGATCGCCCCGCCCTTGAAGAGCCCACGGATGCCCTCATTGCAGAAGATGTCGCGGCCCACAGCGAACGTCCCTTTGCTGTGTATTTTGTCGGCATGGGAACTGCCATTTGTACCTAATTTAGCGTTCTCATTGCTGTTAGAGCTGCTGTAATTGTTGCTGGCCGAGAGCATGACCCGGGTCTTGATCACGTCGATGGGCGTCGTGACGATCGAGGCAAGGGTCCCCGAGATCGAGGCCGAGAGACCTGTTAGTCCGGCGCGCTCGATGAGCTGGTCTGTATTGTTTGGGGCAAATGGTATTTCACTACCATTGCCATTGCTATCGACATCACTGCTGCTGCTGTTGCCATTACTACTGCTATTACTCGTGAGATTGGGGTTAGTACTAGCAGTAGCTGTAGCAGCTTTGCATCTCCACCGCCAGTCGATCAGATGAGACCGCACACACTCAAAAATCGGAAATTGCAGCCCCGTAAACGGCAGATTGCGGCCCACGAGCGCCATGTACCCGCTCCACAGCCGTGATGGATGCCGGCGGAATCGAGCCAGTACCTGGCGCATGGCAGTGCGGCTGCCTGTACCATGATGGTTATCTGAAGATTTTCTACTGTTGCCACTGCCGCCGTTGATCATCTGTGCGTTCTGCTTGAGTACCTCGGCCGGTGTGAGCATGAGGCAGGCGACCATCTCTGCGGTCGAAGAGGCGATGGCATGGATGATGGGGCTGGGGAGTGAATGCGTGAAGGGCAGACGTGGTCCGTTAGGCGTTCCGTCAGTAGTGTAGGCGCTGTGGTTGGAGGAGTCGTGGAGGGTGCTTTTCACTGCTTCGTAGGTGGTGAAGAAGGCTCCCGCTAATGAACATTAATGTAGACTCTTTTGTTAGCACTCGCATACTTGGAAAATAAAGCAACTCGATATCTCTGCTGGATCCGGGGTAAATCATTGCATATCCCCAGAAAACAAAAACAGGCGTGCAAGCCATCAAAGCAAGTGTTAGGCCGAAAAGGTTGAAACATACACGACGGAATCGTCGCGAACACCACGCTCCAGACGCCCTGGTATACTCCCCGGAAGAGCACATTGCGTCGCACAGCGCCGGTCCGCGCATCCTTGTACACTTTCTCGTAGTCCGGAGATTGGATCCGGGTCTTGAGCGTGTCGACGGGGTAGACAATGAAGTCGACAATGACTGCCGCAAAGGCGCCGGCCTGTTTATTTCAGTGAATCTATCAGTCAATGGATATTGCTGCATCTGCAAGACCTGCTTTCTCTCTCTCTCCTCTCCCCCTCGTCTTGATTCAATTCGACCTGCACAACACCAAAAGAAAGTAACTCACGATCCAGATGTCAGTATGGCTGTTATACATCAAGAGCGATCTGGGGGGCCGGGCTCCGAGGGAAAGCCGACATGGAGACAATCGCGGCAGACATTGCCTTCCAAAAATCTCATCTCTTCTTTCCTATGGGGATACACCTTGAGTCTTATCGATAGCAGACTAGATGATGGGCGCATGAGGTCATGGAATGTCACCTGAGCCGCGATGCCCTAACCTCTTTAGGGTTGACAGCTACAAGAAGCTGCAAGTGAAGTGTAAACATATATTTTCTATGAGAAGCGAGTCCACGCCAAAGACACAGCTCGAATCATGGCACGCATAGAACAAAACAGGAAGTCGTATTAACATCCCACATAGAGAAACATTTTCCCTCCCTACGCCGAAACAAGGTCATGCAATCCCAAAAGCCCTTCCGGTTCCCCGGTTACTAACTCGCTCCCCGTCCCGAACTTATTTGGCAGTCTCGCCCGGCAGCAGGTTGCCCTTGACGGCAAACATCTTGCCCGTCGTGGACGACACAAAGCTGTCGACCTGGCGAGAGTACTGCTCCACCTGCCGGGTGTTGAGCATGCTCTCCAGCCGACTGGGCTCGGCGGGGAGCTTGAACAGGCGCTGCCACTCGTCCTCGGGGAGAAGCGGCTGCTTGAGCGTGGCGCGGGTGGCGTTCTCCTGGCTGCGCTTCTGCTTCCAGTTGTTGATCTTCTGCTGCTCGCGGCCCAGCACGCGCTGGTAGTACTGGTAGTTGTTGACCTCGGTGTTGTGAGTCTCGATACTGTCCAGCAAAAGATCGCAGTTCTTCTCCAGGAAGGGATCGATGCTGAGTGACAGGTTGTCAAAGTTGGGGTTGATCGTAGAGGACTTGAAGAACGGGCTAGACTCGAGCGCGCTCAGCGAGGGCGGAAGGTCCGTTGGGCCAGAGGGGTTGGGGTTCTGCAGCTGGTGGATATAGGAGGTGATCAGGTGCGAGTTGTGGATCTCCACCGGCAGCTCGTCGAAGATGTCTTGGTAGCGGAAGGTGGACTTTTGCAGTCTGCTAGGGGTTAGCATGAGTCAAACCCAGAAGACTTCCCTGCCAGAAAATGGCCAGACGGTACATACTCCTCCGAGGTGAACTTGTTCTCCTTGAATGCGGCCATGAACTTGGCCGAGAGACGGAAGGCCCGCAGGCTCAGACTGCCCTGGGCGCTACGGCTCACGTCGTGCACAAGCGCCACGGTACGCTCGTTCATCTCCTTCTGGTAGAAAAACTGGTTCTCGATCACGTTCATGTTGACAAAGTTGCCCATGTTGGCGCTGGTGTACCACCCTACGTTGTTCGCATCGATGTTGACCTCGCGCAGCATACGGATCATCTCCGCCTGGTAGACCGTGTTCGCCTTGGCGCGGGGTGCGGCAGCCGCAGGGTTCGGGGCGGCGTTGTCAAAGTGCGACTCGGCGGGCATCTCAACGACGGGGAAAGGGAACGAGTTGGTGATCTCGAGACCGCCTTCGACGTCCATCCCGACGATCGCGCCGGTTGCGGTGGTGGGGAAGGTCTGGGAGCAGTGCTTGATGATTTTCATCACCACCTAGAAAGTCGGGCATGAGTATTCGTCGCTGGCGAGAGCAGGGCAGATTTTCAATGGTTTCGGGGAAGAGATGACTGTACCAAGGCCTCGACCTTGACGGCCGCGAGGGGAACAGTGTTTCTAAAAAAGGCGTTAGCATAGTCTTCGACAACCTCAGGAACAGTACACATACTCGGCCATAGTGAACGGGGGGTGCACCGGGGTGTGATGAGACTTGGTGAACGAGATGAACGGTTTGTGTGAAAGGTGCGAATTGTGCCGATCGGGTTTAGCGTGGTATTGACGGTGTGAAATACAGTACCAAAGTCACAGCGAGGATGGAGGGGCAATACAGTATGGATACATCCAGACGCTCCTTTCTTTGTCTTCCTTTGTTGCGTCGCGTTGCTCAGGCAGAAAGTGTGAGGGATGAGTGTCAAGGAAGAAGACAAAACAGACTAACCTCGCTCCCTCAGTATTCTATTCGGCCTGATTCCAATGGCCAGGGCACTTAGTCATATATCGCCTGTCCCACTTTCCCCAGAGTAGAAGAGCCCACCGAGTCAGCAGGTCCCGAGGCACCTCTGAGCATCCGTCATGTCGACCCAGCCCACCCAAAGAACGGTGACCTACGGCCGGCACCATGTCCTCCAAACCATCTCCGTCACAACGCTGGATTCCAGCCGCGATGGCTACTGGGTGATGTATCGAGCCCTCCCCCAACTCCCCGCATAACCGAGCGACGATCGCAGACGCCAGAAGCTCAAGAAAGCAACTGACACCGAATTTGCTCGGGCTACTAGCTACATCCACGGCGGCGCCTGGCGTGATCCCACCATAACCGCGACCTCCTTCGACACAACAGAATCGATCCTCCGCGCCTCCCCAAAGACCCCGATCTCGGGCGTCGCGTCCATCTCCTACCGGCTCAGCGCACACCCCAATCACCCACAAGACCCCACAAGCACCGCCCCAGACGAGTTCCGTGCCGCCAAGCACCCAGACCACATCCGCGATGTCGAAGCCGCACTCGCTTTCCTACAGAATACGTTTGGGTTCGGGTCGCGCTACATCCTAGTCGGCCATAGCTGCGGCGCGACGCTCGCCTTCCAGGCCGTGATGGGCGCCATCGTGGGCCACCGCGAAAACGCATTCACAGATCACGGCAACGCGGCCCGCCCGAGCTTCACCATCGAGCCTGTCTCCACGTCGCCGGCGCCGCTGCCACCGCGGCTTACAGCACATCCCACGGCCATTGTCGGCGTGGCGGGCATCTACGATCTGCGGCGGCTGCGCGATGCGCACCCTGACATCGACGCGTATCGCGAGTTCATTGACGGGGCATTCGGCGCGGACGAGCTGCTCTGGGATGCGGTGTCGCCGGCACAGATGGTCGGATCGCGTGGTGTCGAGGGTGGCTGGAAAACGGGGCGGTTGGTCGTCCTGGCGCATTCCAAGGACGACGAACTCGTCGATGAGGGTCAGTTGGGCTCTATGCGGGAGGCGCTTCGTGGATGGGAGGCCGCTGAGGCTCAGGTTCCCGTGCAGGAGTTGACGCGGAGGGATCGCCGCGTCAGCGTACTCCCGATCAGTGGTGCCCATGACGAGTCGTGGCTCAGTGGGGAGGAGTTGGCTCGGGCCATTGAGTTTAGTTTTGAAGAGTTGCGGCAGATGGGACTGGCTCCTTAGTCCGGCTCTTTGGTAGTTGCAGCACTCGCATGGGCTGTTATTTGTTGCAGAGCCATTGATCTTCCATAGCGAGTTGTCGGTACATACCTTCATGATGTGCATATCTTGGTATCATACGAGAATCTGGAGCAGACTACATTTCGGGATACCACATTTGAAAGTTATATGCCTTCATTGAGCCGTTTCTCACAGGAAGCGGACTAGGAAAATGTAGATACAAACCAAGTTGAAGAGAAACCAACGGCTGATTAGCCATGGCCTTGCAACGCCATCAATCGTAAACGCATGTTGCAAAACAATTCGAGAAAAACAAAGTAGATAAGAAGAAAAATCCTCGTGACGCCGAATTTTTGCTTGTTATGAATGCTGCCCCCAAAACTCAACACATCATTTGCCGAGATCCATACGACCAGACGCCGTATCGCCGAGGACCTTCTCGGTTTTGGCGGGTTGCTCCGAATACTCCTCGCCGTACTCGAAACCCTCGTCTTCACTCTCGCTGTCCTCAATGAACTTTTGGGCCAAGCCGAAATCGCCAATTCGTGCCTTCATGTCCTCCCGACAGTTATCCTGCCAGCGGGCGAGGGCTGCGGCAGCGTGCACTTTGAAGCCGTAGATGCGGGGCTCGTACCGGCGCACGCTTTTCTCGGGGTTCAGGGCCGGGTACACTTGGAACAAAATCGAGTGGAACGAGGTGCCAAAATAGGCGCCGTCGATCGAGGCGTGTCGCGAGGACTTGGGGTTGTAGATGTCCTCGCATTTGGGGCAGTACAGCTTGACGGTGGTCATGTTGGGGAGGTCGGATTGGCCCACAGGGAGCAGAGGATGTCCATCGCACATGACGCGCGGGCACTTGCCAAATTCGCTCTTCTTGTATTTATCTAGCTGTAAGGCAGGTTAGCACCTGGTTGCTCGAGGCAGGCTCAGAGAGTTGTGGGGAGCATGTTTCTAAGGACGTACCATCTTTCCAAGACCCCGTGTTGTAACAATGTACCGTGCGTGAACCAAGCCATAAAGATGACGAGCGGACTTTTCGATCTGCTCTCGCAGGTCGTCGTCCGCATCCAGGTCGAAGACATCGGTCACGAGGTCGAGGGCATACTGATAGTAGGGAACTTCGGTATTGAGGCCGGTCAAGTTGAACCGATCCGTCAGGTAGTCCTCGTCGATTTCACAGAAGTATTCATTACCTCGGGAAGAGACGAACTGCGAGTCAAAGAAGTTAGAACCTGCTGATGAGGGCCTTGGTGGGCATCCGCCTAAGATCAGAGGGAAGAACCTACCCAGTCTCTCCAGTAGCTGGTGTAGTCGCTATCTGTTTCGCTGTTGAAGTCCTCCATGCTGATAATTGACGATCGTGCAGGATCCACTCCAGTTCCGCGCACTTCTGGGACGGTCGAGTCTGTGGCGCTGTGATCGGGTGGATCAACCCCAGGGGTGCTGGAACCCCTCAAACCGCACAGCTAGGCAAGCTAGGGCGCAGTTCTGAAGTCTGCCAGAAACCAAGAGATATCCAAGCAGAATGATGAGATGACGGGGGGTTGGGGATGAGGGAGTTGTGCCCGCACCTGTTATCAGCCGATAACGCGCTTCGGTTAGCGGGCGGTGTGGATCTGCCGGCTCACCCTCTACGCTTCTACGCATCTGGTGATTTACGTTTCCTTGTCAGTCACTCAGGTAATTCACATATTGCTCGACTATGACTCAAATATGGTGCTTTCATCCTATTCAAAGTATCTTGCTTGCCATTTAGAATGAGGGATTGGCATTCACAACAAGTTGCTCGAAGTATGCCTAAGAATCCGTCAATATATGGGGAAATGAGCTCCCAACATCAAGACTCTCTTACCTGGACCCAATTCCCGGCCTCTGGTGCAGGCTGAATCACATAGCTATATCCACAGTGGGCATCATACCGAGTGGCACTAGTATCCGAGGTCCCATCACTCTCACCACCGGGCTTGGCCCAGACAAATGCCTTCTGGAGGTCATCGCCAGTGTCGGTGGTAGGACGCACGCTGACTCCAGTACCCTTGACATTACACCAGTCACCCCAAGCATTTTGCTGGGTAGACTGAACACCATTTCGGCCTGATCTCAAGTCAGATTTGAGAGACGAAGAAAACAGAACGAGTCTTCTCAGGAGGCCATGACCAGCTCAACATCTAGTAGACACTTACCTGTGTCAGTAATGAAGTGCGCATCCCAGCCAGCGTTCCGCAACAAAGGAGCAAATGCGTTGACGAATCTCTTCTCGTCGCAATTGGAGTTACCCGAGGTGTACGACGGACAACTGCTTAGAGACCACCCGTTGTAGTTAGCGACGTTGGTCGCCAGACCTCGCAGGGAAGCCGGCTGCGAGGCGTTTTTGTAAACGTCAGCATAGAGCTGGGCTGCTGGGTCGAGATTGGCATGCCAACCCAGCAATCCTGCATGTCCTGTCGGAGAAATCAATGAATACCCTCGTTGCCGTTGAAGAGAAAGACCAGGAATGGCAGCAACCTCCCTGCGTCAAGATACATGGCGACATTCTCCAGGTTCAACTGTGTCACGGCATAGTTGGTGCACTCCAGGTAGGCATCATGCGCGTTGGCGCATTTCGAGACAGCCAGGTTGGTGACGAGGTTGGCCAGGCTGTCGGGCTCTACAAACAGTCAGAACGGGTTCATTTGTTCATTTGCTTGCAGCAGAAATCCAGCAACCCGGTAGTTTCATTGACCAACAACCAGGATTGTATGCACGTCAGAGTATTTGACAAGCGGGTCAGCACCGGCAGCGTTTTGCGCCTGGATATCACAAAGATAATCGCCCATCGTCGACACTTTGTAGGCGGTATCTCTGAGAAGACATGTTAGGCATATGTCTTCTCATCCAAAACTATCATCCCACACTGATATGAATGGAAACTCACAGCCAGTAGAAGGACGGCACTTCTGCGGCTTTGCTCGCTGTGCCCGTCATGGTTGGCAGGGCCGAGGCAGACACCTCTGAGGCATTGTATGGGTTGACGTAGAGTTGGTATCCGGAGAAAGGGTTGCCAGATGCCGCCGCTGTGACTGTTGCTTTGCCTGCGCTGGGAATTGCAACAGCTGCGACAGTAGAGGTCAGCAAAGGTATAATTGAGAAAATGGTCCGCATGTTGATGGAATATGCCTTCCAATAAGCGTTGGAAGCTACTTTGAATCTCAAAGATGTTACTATATTCCAGTCCTCAGGGCTGTCCTGGGGATAAATTCTCTCTTCATGCCCCCCAACCTTGTATAGATTTTCCATTCGTTTCTTGACTAGTCCAATGACGGCATTCTCCAGCCGAAGTCCGAAGGACCATTTCGAATCAAATGAAGTGAGGGAATGCAAGTTGCCTTCTAACGCCCGTAAATACAGTATGCATGCCATGAGGACTTGGCCAATTCAGCTGCATAGTGTTCCTACAATCAGTCGCGGGGCATGTACATAGATGAAACCGCAGTGAAAATTAAGAGAGGCATCCATACGGACTGATTCCTCTGTCACCGGAACGGACATCGATTGCAGATCTTGATACTTATTGAGAGGACCAACACAAAAGACAAGAAAGTAACTATAGACGGCTGAATTATCCATGATACATCTTTCCCGCCTTGCTGGTGGCATTTCCGCCCACACAGACGAGTTCACTACAGACGAGAGAAATGGCCATAGATAGGGCTCGGTCCATAGCGGGCAAGTGGCTGAACAGTCTCAAAGAGCCAAGCCGCGGAGAAGGGTAGTTTAATATAAGGTTAGACTCTATGTAGCACGGCGAACGGGCCGAGAATCCAGGACAGTTCAGGAACGGAATATCCACTGAGAATATGCGTAAGGCCATCAAAGAGTAAGATTGCCAAGGTGTGGGGAATATAGTAGGGAAGCCAATGCAGCTTTAAATAGGGTCTCTGCTTGCACTGAAATAGGATCATAACTCAATCTGCAATATCATTCATTGCTAAACACAAGGCATTGCTAAACACAAGGAAAAGTCAACGAGAGTGGGGTGGTATAGACGCTATCATGAGTGAAATCCGGCTTCAGCCAAGAATATATCCAAAATTTAAAAAGAAAAGAGGCCAGAAAAAAAAAGGCATAAACAGAAAGCAAAATAGAAGAGGGGCATGTCTAAGCAGACACCTCAATGCTGTGCTCGATCACACTCCGCCAGAAACTTGTAGATGCCCTCAACTCCCTCATACTCGGACGCACTAGCCGGCATACCAGGACTGGAGATTTCCGGGAAGTAAGCACGATCGCCAAGCTCGCTGATGTTGATGCTCGAGTAGCCTGATTGGGGAGACTTCCACGGGTTGGCACCGAAGAGCTCGCTATCCTCGAAGCTGATGGCGTGGCCGGAGTCACCAGGTGATGACGAGAAGACGCCATCCTCTGGAGACATCATACCTTGCCAATCAAGGCCTTCGGGAGATCGAGATTGTAGCTTCGGGGCCTGTTCGAAGAAGTAATCCGTGTCGGAGGACGCGGCCATGCTCGGAGCGAAGGGGAACAGGAGAGCTAGGTCGGCACCGGTGCGGAGTTCAAAGTCTTCATCCTGCACGATCCTGCCTCGTTGCACACCCGCTTCGTCGCACAGACGCTCAACGGTCTGCGCATCGCAGCCAGGGAACCGTACGCGAATGGTGGACCGGTCATGAAGAGCAATTGGAAGATCCCCAAGTGAAGACAAGCGTTTGAGATCGTTGAGAACGACGGCAAATTCCTTCAGGGCACGCGCAATGTCGGCAGACAGCAAGTCCATGAAACCGTCCGAGTTCAAAGTCTCCTCCGAAGCTGCGGTGGTCTCCTTGTTCATACCAGCGAGAGCGCCAAAAGCAGTGATGGTGGGAGAAAGCTGGAAGTCAATGTGCGATCCGGGAGCAGTGCGTGGGATAGTAGTCATCTTCCGCTCTGCCTGGTCCTGCAGGGCGCTCACGCCCTTGTAGCGCTTCTCACCCGTGCGAGGGTCAATGCCATCGAATCGAACTTTCTTCCCAGACAAGAAGAATGCACGGACCCCCTGCGACACATTTTGAATAACTTGGGCTGGTGCTGCAGGCCCGTGAGAGAAGTATCGGGCGCCGCCGATACGGCCGGCGCCAATAGCATACCCTCCTGCCGTGCGGCCTAGAGTGCCGCCCGTCAAGTTGGGGCGGAGAGTAGACGCAAATGGCGCACGGCTCGTAAGTCGACTAATATTAAAGGCCACGCTAGAAGTCTTCTGGGCAGCAGTTTCGGGTTGCAATCCAAATCGGATCGCCGAGACGAAGGCACCGGCTGCGCGGGTGGAGAAGTGGCGACTACGGGCCTGGCGGATGGCCGCGGCGCGATTGATGGGCTGGCGAGGAGTGACGCGGGCATAGGCCGGCTGATATCGTAAAGGCGTGGATTGTGTAGGTTCTGGTAGTTTGGCTTTGATGGCCTTGGAGGCCTTCTCGTAGGCAAACCTGGGACGACGTCAGCGATGACTCCGCATTGCATTGACTGGGGAGAGGGGTCAGATCACGTACCTTGCTGCTCTCCATATCTTGGGGAGCAGCAAGTGCCCACTCGGAGGCGGCATGCTGGCGTTTGGGAGATGGATGGCTCACAAAGTAGTGAGATGATGGAAGGAGAAAGGATGCCTGATGACGCCGGGGTATACATGCTTATCAGTCGGCTAGCCGCCTGAGGCACTAATTCCCCACTAGTGGCGGTGCAACGCCACGCACGTGATACAGCGCCACAATTTATGCCTGAGGCGTCAGGTCTACATCCGGGTTAGGATCCTGTCAACATGGCCTCGACAACTTTTCTTAACAGCAATAAAAATTGAATATCTATCAAAAACATTGGTTTTGGTATCTGAAGCCTATGTACTCATGAAGGTATCATCATCTCGCACTGAACTTTTTATTGTCCTCGCGCAATTGGTTTACTCGTCATCACCGAAGAATACCTTGATGGGCAGCCAGTCATCACCACAGACCTTGAAACGGTCCTTGAGGTTGTCGAGCTGGTTCACCTCATCGGCGGTCAAGTCCCAGCCATCCAGCTCAAAGTTGGCATCGATGCGCGACTTGCTGACGGACTTGGGGATGACACTCCAGCCCTTCTGCACACCCCAGACCAGCAGAACCTGCTGCGGGGTCTTGCCCTTCTTCTCGGCGATCTGCAGCAGCGTGGGGTCCTTATAGAGCGGCGAGTTGGTCGAGCCCAGGCATGAGTAGCCCGTGGAGTGGATACCCTTAGAGGTGTTGTAGGCGACCAGCTTGGGCGAGGGGTTGTTGGGGTGCAGCTCGATCTGGTTGACGGCGGGGACGATCTTGCAGCTCGGATCGTTGAGCAGCTTCTCCAGGTTGGTGATGCCAAAGTTCGACACGCCGATGTTGCGGACCTTGCCGGTGGCCGGCAGCTTCTGCATCTCTTGCCTGAATCACGCAAGATTGTCAGTGACTGGAGTGATGGCACACTTCAAAGGGGTTTTCCGCAAACTTACCAGGTCTTGATGAAGTCCCAGTCGGGGAGGTGCTTCGACTTGTCGTTGGGGTCAGTCGAGCTGGGCCAGTGGACCAAGTACAGGTCGACATAGTCCACACCAAGGTCCTTGAGCGAGGACTCAATACCCTTGGGGACGCAGTGGTGCCAGGTGTTGTCGAGCTTGGTGGTGATCCAGATCTGGTCGCGGGGCACGCCTGAGTCACGGATGCCAGCACCAACCTCGGCCTCGTTGCCGTAGGCCAGGGCCGTGTCAATGTGACGGTAGCCCTTCAGCAGGGCATTCTTGACAGCCTCACGAACCTCATTGGGCTTAGACTGCCAGGTCCCCAGACCGACGGCGGGGATCTTGTCGCCGGTGTTGAGGGTGTAGGTCTTTCTAAAGAGACGCGTTAGAGTCTGGGGATATTGCAGGTATGTTTTGCCGGAGACCTACTGGGTGTGGAGGTTCGACATGGTGTAGAATAATTGTATTGGAGTAGATGGCCCAATGAGAGAGGATAGAGAGGGAGAGAGAACGTTTGAAGATTTACAGAGCTAGAAATGGCTGGAGTGACGGGGAGTCTTTTATAAGCAGCGCAGCCTTAGAGTGGGCAGGTCCAAGCAGCGATGATGTCGAGGGGCACGCCCCTCCCATGTGGGGACTTTCATCCCTGGGTATTTCACTGCGATGGATCGCGGTAAAAAAAAAAAAAGCAAAGAAAACAGAGATGGCCCCATATGATACATGGCCAGCATTGGGTCGTTCATGCACATCCCTGCCGTGCGCACGGCAGTTCGCAACGCCCAGCAGGGGACTCTTACCAGGGGACACCCCAACATCTCCAGCACACTCACTGATGCGCATTCCGGCTAAATCCACCTGGCGCCATTCCTGAACAAGCATCTGGGGCTCACTGCGCCAATGAAATATCTTGGTGGAACTTGCGTCATCCAAGGGTTTCTTTCTTCACTTCTTAATTAGACGGCCATCACTTCCAGAATCTTCGTCTCCTGCTCGGTCCATTCTCTGCCACACTCCACTGTTGTCTCGGTGTCGTCATTGCCTTCCCCCCTCCCGAAACGCCGGATAAATTTCATTGCTCCACCGCATTCCCCGACTGCTGATTATACCCGAGAACTGGTCTTCCCGACTCTCGGGCCACTCTCTCCGGGAACTTTAGCCACAACTGCCCGATCTGCACCCACCATGTCGTCTGGATTTGTTTCGGCCGGCACCAACGAGGCCCCAGTGGAGCGGGATGATGAATGGCTCAAGGCTCAACAGGAATTGGAGGAGGAGCGGAGGCACAAGGCCGAGATAGGCAAGCAGGATGATGGAAAGAGTCTCTATGAGGTCTTGCAGCAGAACAAAAGTGAGCTCACCCGTTATCTGCACCGGGCCACCCGAGTGAGGCTACCAGTGTCCCATGGGTAGCACCCGGGCTGGACAGGTCAATGAATCCTGGCTGACATGTTAGGGTGATTTGTCTTTTTCTTGGAAACACAGTGGCCAAACAGGAAGCATTCGAGGAGAAAATCAAGCTGAAGAACCAGTTCCGCGCCCTGGACGAGGATGAGGTCGATTTTCTGGATTCGGTGCTCGAGTCGACGCGCGCCCAGGAGGCCGCCGTGAAGAAGGACACCGCCGACCAGCTCGAGGTCTTTCGCCGACAGCGCGAGGAAGCCGAGAAGGCTATGCTGGGGCCAACGTCCTCTGATGTTACACCTGCGGAGGAAGAGGAGTGGACAATACCGGCGCGCAAGCGACGACGCGACAAGAACAAGGATCTGTTGGTCCCGGGCAAAAAGCGCAAGCCGTCCTTGACGGAGACTACAGGTGCAAAGGCCGATCCCTCCAAAAAGGAAGAGTCGCGCAAACCCAGCCTGGACAGTGGATCGGCCAAAAAGCTTGACCAAGCGCCACGCGCGGCTGTCGCAGCTGCATCTGCACCTCCCGGGGCCTCATCCAAGCCATCGCAAGACACGTCTGCAGCTGAACCCGCTGCCAAACCGCCAAGTGCGAAGAAATCAAATATATCAGGGACTCAATCCGCAGAAACTAAACCGGCGAAGCCAGCGTCTGTTTCACTGGGGCTGGCAGCCTATGGCTCTGATTCTGACTCGGAATGAACTGCCATTTCTGATTGCCAGCGTATGGCTATTTATATTCCAACGGTGATTCGGGTTGAATTGTGTACGATTTCAAAAAGGGCATTGATTGCCTACCCAAAGCAAGTTTCATTTTTTTGGCGAGCGTTGACAGCGAACACTTTCAATTCAATTCTCATAACACACCAACCCAAACATGACCCAAAACAAGGGCCTGTAGAAGGGATTCCATCTCTTCCTTCCGCACATTCCGCTACTCAAAAGTGTGCCGTATCCTTCTTGACCTCTTGTGCCTCAACCTTGCGCTCCAAATCATGAGGCATGTAGTCCTCCCTCCGACTGCCAGGCACAATCCACGGCGCATTAGAGAATATATAGTTCATCTCCTCGAGAGGCACCTTCTTAGTCTCCGGCAAGAGCGCAAAGAAAAAAGAGCGCGTTGGTAAAGTTACAAACCACAAACAGAAAGTAGTACCGATACTGGATATTCTTCATGGCAATAGGCGTAACCTGGCCGATCATCGTGTTGAACGCGAACGAAGTCATCGTGGCAATCGACACGCCCTTGGACCGCGTGCGCATGTCGAACACCTCGGCGGGGATGATCCACGACAGTGGCCCGCACGTCGCCGAGAACGAGAAGTTGTACAGCCAGGTCATGATGATGAAGTCCCAGTGTGCGCCGTTGTTGCTGGTCGTTGGCGGGAACTTGGCTAGCGGCACCGTCGCAGCGATGAATGTTACTGTGTTCCCCAGGTTCCCGCTGATCAGTGTCCAGCGGCGGCCAAAGCGGTCGATGAAGAGGATGCAGAGGAACTGCGCTATCAGGGCGATGATCGAGTTGATGGCCTGGTAGCGCAGTGTGGCTTCGCCTGAAATGCCGATCTGCTCATAGATCGTCACCGAATAGTATCTGTACCAAGGATCTTTGTTAGATGCTGTATCTTTGCGAGTGCCTGGATCGTCTATGGATCAACTAGAGGGAACGGCTCTTACTGGATAGCCGACACGCCTGTCATCTGCACCGAAGCTTGCAATGCACAGCACAGGAAGAGTCGCCGGAAGGAGGACCGATTCTTGAACAGCTCGCCATACGACTTGGCTTCATTCTCGTGTTCATAGGTGATACTCTCGCAGAGCGTGAATGTCATCTCGCCGCTGATGACCTCGCCGGATGGTATCACCAAGCCGACTACCTGGTGGCCTCTTTGGCTGTTTTCGAGGTTTATGCGTGACTGGACTGTCGGTGCGCATGTTTCTTGTGGTGTTTGTGAGGGTGAGACGTCTCCTGTGTGGTTGCGCAGTGCGAAGGATACCCCTTGGTTGAATGTGAGTGCTACTCTCGGCGATGACGGGTATGCCAATGTCGCTGTGGTGAATGTCCATGATACCCAGGATCTGGAGAGCCGCGTTGAGGGTGTGTGCGGGGATGTGGCAGTTTTCACTGTCACTGCTGCCGATATCCTGGCTACAAATATGGAGGGTGCCGAGGAAGTGCGCGTCCAGGAATCGACCTGGGATGGAAGTGGGAACTATGCCTTCCCTAAACACTCCCTGACGCTGTTGCGATGGAAGGCCGAGTGATTTTAATATAAGGGTAACCCAGCATGATCGATAAATTCCACCAGTTATCAGTGATCTCGATGAAATTGTTCATGTTCTTGGATATAGATCATCAAATGACAAGATAGCTGCCCAACCCAGTCCATCTCAACCGGTGGAAGTCCATCTAGCCGTAGTTCACATCGCGAACGGTCCCGTCATCGTCAACATGGATGTTGAGTCTATTAAATCAGCCTGAGTCATCCCCTACTAGAAGGAAGAACCCTACCTCTCCGGTTTGTGGTCCATAGTCTTCATGTCGCCGGGCTTCAACACGCGGTGGGATTCCGGCAGGTCCTTTTTGGCGAACGACTGGTGGAATCAGTATAACCATCCTTTTGTCATGGTATAGACAGCTGTGTTCAAGACATACGGTTGCATCACTCGTCTCGCTGATCTTCTTGCCCATCAGCTTGTTGACCCACTCGGACTGGTCGCCCAGCGAGGAGGTGACTCCGGGTACGACGAGAGGCATATTGACAAATTGTTAAAAGAATAAAGTGTAGATTATAATGGAAAAAGTTCAGATGAGGAATAATTTCAGGATTTTCTGCAGGGCCGTCGAGAAGATGCAACGGAGAAAGTGCAGGGTCAAGCCGCAAATATATAAACCGTCGATGACGTAGTCCCCCAGGGCCGCCGTTTCGGTGATTGGCCCACCGCGACAACATTGAAACAGATCGAGTGTGTGTAAATAATAAATGAAATCAATTATTGGCCAGAGATACTGTGCTTGAAATACACGCAGGCATGAATGGTCATAGTCGACGCTTGTTCTTCTGGTTGAAATGCTGGCGTGTGGTAGCCCTAACTGGAGCATGTCATACTAGCACTCAAAACCGTCGTAGGTGTTCAAGGAGACGAGAGATCTACCTGACACTAGGATATACTTAAAATCAAAGCTAATACCCGGTAGAAGCCGGGGAAGAACTGAATTGAGTGTATAATTCGCACGGAAGGAAACCCGTTGCGAGGGCAGCCGCAGACACCATGGCGACTACCATCAGTACAGTCGCCCATCTCCGGGGCGACTATTGAAGAACTTACAGAAGTAGATACCCCTTATTATCATGAACTCATAATTTCCTGCATTTGGCATACCTCATGGTTCCTAACTCAACGAACTGCAGCAATAAACAACCCATTTACAGACCTTGCAAATGTCAAGCATCCCCAAGACACCGATGGAGAAGATCACAGCACCTATGGACAATAGATTCTGGAACTCGTCGGCAACAGCAGCAGCCGCCTCAAATACTTCGCTCGCAGACACCACCAACGTGACCTCAAGCAAGTCGCTAGTCCCGCACTGGAGCTACAAAAAAGCTCGATTGCCGCCGCAACGATCTTCACGACGATGTCACTGGCTGCAATCCTTTTTCTGGTGATATGGTACGTGCGACGGGCACGTCGGGCCCGTCGACTCCGCGAACAAGATGCCCGAGGCAAGGATCCATTCGGCCAGTCGTCTGTGTCCCTGAACGAAGACGCCAGCAAGGCGCTCGACGACTTCCTCATGAAAGACGTGCAGCCGGTACGGACCTCGCTGATGTTTAGTCGGAGCCGGTCGCCCTCGCTCACATTCGTCGTCGACGAGACGGACCGGCGCAACTCGTTCAGTCATATCGGCCGCACCAGCTACGATGCGTCTTCCAGCAGCATGGCCAAGATCGATACGCTGACCCGCGTCTCTGTAGACGGGACTGCGTCTGGTGGGACGGTCCCAATGATCCACGGACAAGAGTCGCAGGGCAGCTCGGCGCAGCTGAAGACCTCGTCAAGCTCGAACTCGAGCTCAACCCCCGAGCATCGCTGTTGTCGAACGTATCCCCGTCGAGCGGGTCGTCCCACGTGTGGACGACTACATCGGCCTCCTCGGAGATGACAAACCTTCGCAGTAATGAGACCGCCGGTCCTTACACCTTGCAGTCTGTACGTCGCAACCCCCATGCGCGACTCAGCTCTGCTGGTTCCCAGATGATGCCGCCGTCCTCGAATGTCTCGCGTGCGTCGAGTCGTCCGTCCAGTAGTGCCCCGATGCAGTTTGCGGCTCGCATGTTCGATGAGGCCGAGGGTTCCGTCGCTTTGCAGAGAATACAAAGAAATTTGAGTGGATCTGTGGCTCTTTCTCGTCCAACCTCGAGCTCAAATGACGATGACCAGTCGCCGCATCGGCACTCCATTCCACAGACCCCGGCACCATTGATCTGATTTCTTGGGAGTGAGGTGTGGCCATGACAAGTTGCTTTTTTGTTCTTTGATAGTTGGTGATGTCGAACGTTGGAAGAAGGGAGATGTTTTGAGGTTGGCGTTGGATAGGTGGCTGCTTATTCGTTGCGACATGACGGTTGTATATTCGTTGGCGAGTGTTTTGAATTGTTCCTCTGGTATAGGTTACTCAGGTAGTCCCTGTTGATAGCGTTAGGGGGTTGGCTCTCGCATCCTGTTGAATACACCGTCAAGCTCCATCTACCGTGTCCAAGACAGAATTGAACATGGAAATGTGTCCATTATCGGGACTGGTATATCGCCGAGCTATTGATCTGAGGAGCTTAGAGAAGAAAGTCAACGAGAAAAAGCCAATCGCTTCGCGCCCTCGCTAGGTTGTTAGAGAAATATTGCACCAACAAAGGCTGCCCGAGTCAACGATAAAACAGACCGGAAAGCAATTAGAAAGAAGTGGGCCGAACACATGTCCACGATGGAATGTACAAATTCAGAAGAGGAGAGAAAGGTAAAACAGGAAAGATGAGAAAAGAAAATGAAAAAGAAAAAAACCACAGAGTGATCCAGGGCAAATCTATTCGAAAATTAGGTATCAAGACAAGTAAGTCAAGTCTTCATCTCCCGCACACTGCGCAAACAGCGCTCAATGCGCTTGCCGCGCTCCCTTTCGCGGACAAGGGTATCTTTGACAAAAGCACGAATGGCATCGCGGCCGACCTTCTCGCGCCACTCGGTCCAGCCCGCAAGCTCGCCGACGACGACATCCTTGTTCCACGTCACCTCCTTTGCTAGACGGGCCGCCTGGGCCTCGTCATCGTGGATCTTCTGTTCAAGATCGCGCACGGATTTCTGGCGTGACTCTTCGAAGCCCGGGAGGTTGAGGTTGAATTTGCGTGGGAGGGATGAGGAAATGAGGGAGGAGCGCGAGCGGGCGATGCTCCGGTTTGTGGATGCCAAACTTGACATAAGGGACAGCGGACGTGAGAGAGAGGTCAGGATTGCGGCGGTGGTGTTGTCAACGGAGGTAAGAACGGAGAGGTACTGGAGGAGTGGAGAGGAGTCGGAGCGGGAGGTGGATAGGCAGGTGGCATAACGGGTGACGGCGTCTATATACGCCGCCGGGAGCGCATTGGTGGGCTCCTGGAAAGTAGAGAGAATTGAAGAGCAGAGAAGGACAGCGTCGGCGAGATCGGAGGCACCATTTTGTAGGGCGTATCCGCGACGGATCACACTTCGGGTGTTCGCGTGCACGCCGCGCACCATTTCCTGTGCGTGACTTATAAATTGTTCGGTATCGCGCATGCCCTCAATTGTGACGGGCGCGTATTCATCACCAATGCTCTCTGTCAGCGCCGCCGCCTTGGAGCGAGACCGGTCAGCCATCATGTCGGGCTGTAGCTCCGGGACAAGAAAGAATTCCCACAACATTTCGTGGGTCGAGAACGTCGGATGGGTCAAAAGAGTCTTGAGAAAACGGTCCAGCCGTTCCTGGAGATCATGGAGTACCGATCGCGATGGTTTCGAGTGAATTTGGAACGGGTTCCGAAAGTCTGAAAGAGACGGGACATAGGACGCGGGGTGTTCGACTGCAAGCCACTTGGCAAGGTTCTCAAAGTCAGAGAAGCTGCGCCGGCACGTTGTGACCGTGTAAGTGGTCGACCCCGGCCGAGATGCCACAGACTCCGATGGAGGATACGGTGCGCCAGACTTGAGAATAAAACGGACGGTTGCGTCCTCCACGAAAAACGAGCGCACGACAGTAGTGACACGACCCGAGGGGTCCCCACACACCGAAGCCGGATGGGACAGCAATATAAGGTCATCAATACGGTTTCGCACCTCATCATCCTTGGCCAGCTCTACCGCTGTCAATCCACGGGCCTCTTTGACATGAACGTCGACCCTCGCGTCCATGAAGAGGATGCGAACTTGATCAACTCGTCCATACTTACTGGCCATCATCAAAGGTGTAAACCTCTTATCATTGGTGGCATTTGGATCGCAATCGCTTTCTTGAAGAATTCGGGTGGTAATTTCAGGATCACCGACGATATGCAATAGTGTGTTCCCCTTGGCATCAACATGATCATCGAGTTGAAGTGCTTTCTCGTCTCTTTGGGCGCGTTGGGCCGCTGTCAAAGCGGTCTGCACCATAAATTTGTATTCGGGGTGGTCGTACGATCGACAGAGGGCAAAGAGTGGCGTCTGGCCATGCTTATCCTTCTGTCGCCATGGGAGAATACCCGGAAGTCTTTCTAATAGCGAAGGAGTGCTGAAAAGGTAGTGAGCAGCTGTACGCCCATGAACATCTGATTTGGTCAGATAGAGCGCAACCACGCTTTCATCGGTCTTGCTGAAAAGGAAGTCTAGGAGGATGTCGACAATTTCCTTATGTCCAAGCTGCACGGCAGCATTCAGCAATGTTGTCCCATCGGCATTAGTGTCGTGAAGAATATCTTCCAGGGGATAGTATTCCTCCAGGGTCAGGAGATACTTCAAAGCCTCTGACTGACGGCTCTCTACTGCCATCATAGGTATGGTATCTCCGGCAGGATCTTGCGTCTTGGTCAGAGTCTCAATCGAGCTATCGCCCTCAATTCCACTTGCCATAGACCCTATTGTTGTCGTTCTTGAGAGAAATGACACAGCCGATGATTCTGACAAGCTGCGGACGTCCATCGAAACCCTCTTCACTGGGCGATGAGATTCCCTTGACTCCTTCAAAGGCGAAGAAGCTCTCCAGGTCTGGAATGGGAACACATGCGACAAGGGCGGTGCCTCAGAGACAACTTCGTCCTGTAGCAGCTCGCCATTCGTGTCGACGGAATTGCTGTATAGCGAAGACGTCTCAAGCGGCGCTTCCTCGTAGTCGTCTGTTTGGAAGAAAACGGACTTCCGCTCAGGCTCATGGGGAGTGGTGTCGTCTATGGACTCATGATCTTCGTTCGGCTCAAGAATAGCTTTCATGTCGGATATTCTGCCCGCTTTGGTGGCCTGCCACAGACGCCGGTTCCGAGAACTGGCCCTGCGAAGGCCTGCCGAATCCGTCACCAGATACATGAGGACCGCCTCAAAGGTACTCAAGGCATAACCCATCTCGCCACTGTCCACGTCGTCAATATAGATGAAGTGCTGCATATACAACAGGCGAGCCTGAAGGTGCCGGATTTGGGATCTTATGACCACGACCAGCAGCAACGATACCAGAACATCGGCATTGATGGTCACAGAAGAGCCTCCTTTCTCAGATGCCGGGCCATCCACCCGATCGTAACTGCCCGGGTAGGAGATGACTTTGACAGTCCCCAAAAGGGTCTGGAGCATGTCATGGGGGCATCGTGCCTCGGCTGTTTTTCGAAACTCTTCTACGCCTCGCCCGAGTCGACGAATCAACTCACGCTTGCCTTCATGCCCGCCCTCAACGGCGATGCCCACCTGGGACACATCAATGCTTTCCATATGTCGAATTCGGGAATCCAGTTCCACATCTTCGGGCTGACGAAAGGAACATAGACGGGGAAAGAGAAGTGGTTCATGGACTTGCTCGGCGACATAACGTTCAATGAGTCGCTCGACCATAGGCCCGGTTAGCTCGGTGGTGGCTCCAAGTAAGGATAGTTGCTGCTTGTCCACCAGGCGAAAGAGGTCGATGGCAGCGGTAACTGCAGTCTCCAGGCTTCGGCGCATGAGATCTTCATCGTCTTCGAAATATTCCTCGGAATTGAACGGGAGCCGCCCTCTACCGCGGGATGACCGACTGCGGACAGACGTACTTTCATCCGTGAAGGACTGGGTGCGCAATAGCTTGTTCTCCCTCCCGCTCCCAGATAAAGAAGGCGACCTTGACGGTGGCGGAGGTAGTGGCTTTCCGAGCTCTTTTCCAAACTCACGGAACAGTCGCTCCAGGCCCGGCTGCATTTGTTTTGCGATCATGGGAAAGTTGGCCAGCAGCTCGCCGAAAGACTTGATCTCTTGCTTAGGGGGCGAGGCTCCCGATTCCTCGTTTCCATGTTTCTTGTCAGAAGGTGTTACATCAATCTTGTTCCGTTCGCTTCCAGGTACGGCGACTGGTATGATTCTCGCAGGATCGAAAGAGCCGATCAACGGTCGAGAGATATAGTAAATGAGCCAAGGTCGGGACTCGTTCGAGGGAGTGTAATAGAGGGCATCGAACAGCAGTTGTGCTTGGGTCAGGGATTTGAAGCCTGGTGTACGCAAGTCAGTACTCTGCCCATCAGTGCTCTGCCCAAACTTGAGCGCGTTGAGCTTATAACTGTGTCTCCGCACCTTTGTTACTGTATACCAAGTTCTCCTTGATTATCACCGTCCGTCCATTGAAAGTTGTCACCTGTTTCGCTTTCCCTCTACTGTCGCGAACATTTGAGTCCTCCTTCCCATTTGTAGTGCCGGGGTGGATCGGGATCCGCAGTACATGGCTTCCGAGAAACTCCTCTGACGCGACGAGGTCCGAGTATTGCAGATTCGATTCCCGGTCGCGCGAGCCCGTTAAACATTCCGTCGTGGGGACCAGTAAGACCTATGCCACACATATCGCACCGATCAGTCACTCCGGATGATCCGAGGGAAGGTCAAAAGGGAGCTCCACTTACATGATTCTCGACGGGTATACACTGCCCCGGAACAGTGCTTCGGAAGAAGGCACGGAGAAAGGGGTTTAGAGGGTGCATCCAAACGGTTTTGGACGGCCCAGCAAAATGTCTCGAGCAATCATCAAGTCGTCCTCAATGCCGAGAAGCAAGAAAATCTGGGCGCTGTGGGATTTCGCGGGGAAGAGGAGTTCTGGCGCATTCCACTGCAGGCAGCAATCCGGGGTTGAGGTCGGGGCGCGTTGGTCAGAACCGAGAACAAAGAACCAGGCGATAAAAACTGAGAATCAAGCACAAGGTACAAGCAAGAAGCCAACACGAGAAGAAAACAGGAGAGAATGTGAATCCAAAGCGAGAGTCGAGAACTTGCTGGGAGCTGGCGCTATACCGCCTTAGGTAATGCCCCGTCTATCGTGGATCAACTGAAGCAACTATTTAAAACTTTCAAGCTTGTCTTTCTCACGGGAGAATGCATTGGGGAGGATATTGTTGACAGAGAAATGGCTAGTATACAGACACAATAAAATTGGACAAGCGGGACTGACTTGAAAACTCCCAATGAGGTCCACACAATGTCCAGCACAACCAGACCTAGAGTAACAACTGGATACCAGGATTCCAGGTAAAACGGGCATATAATCACAGTCTGCGAACGTGCCTGCTGCGAGTACCGCCAAACTTGACCCGAGTCGCGTCGCACACACGGGTGATAAGCCCCCGAATGTTCCGTCCCTCATTCCCCAACAGCACTTTATTGAACCCATCCCGGCCCTTTGAAAACCCTCGGTAGACGATCTCTAGCCGCTTAATGTCGAGGATATAGCCTCTCTCGGTAATTTGAGAGATAACGTGGGATGTCAGTTGGTAAGCCGGGTCAAAGCCTCCGCGACCAGCGTGGCGGAACCCAATTTGGCCGCAGCTCGCTGTCATCATCGGTTCTCCATTTGGCCGCGTCAGAGTGATGACGGTATTGTGCTTGTGGCAGTAGACATGCAGGTGGTGAGGGGGCGATCGGTCGGAATAGGGGTCTTTGACCACGTCGGCCTCGAGACTTTCGGCCATTCGGGAGTAATTGGAGGCCTGCGAGGACGAACTGGCTGGGTTATCTCCCTGCATCATTTTGGTGATTGCGGAGAGCGGCGATGAGGACTCGGCGGACGATTCTGGTTCTCGATCGAGGATCTGCCTCTCGATATCCCGGGGCTTGTCCCGCTGGTTTAGAGAGGCCCTCGGGGACGATGAGAAAGGTCGGATAGTGCAGGAGGAGATTCGTGGGTGACATTGCCGGCCTACTGGCGGCAATGTCTTGAATAGCGCGTTTATCGAAAAGGAAGTCATCGTGACGGGGAGACTTCGAGGCTGGGTAGGAATGACGGATGAACGAGGCGAACAAGAGGGTAATTTCAAAGTCAATTGAATGTCTGAAGCACACACGGAATGAAATCCAAAGTCCGAGGAAGCAGGACCCGGCGTGTCGCAAGAGAACAGTGGTCGGACCGAGAGGAAACACTGGAAGTTTTTCGAAGGCTTGGCATCGCAACTTTTTCCCTTCCGCCTCGACCCAACCTTCGCCTCTTCCTCTCTTCACCTGACATCCGGGCCGGGCTGGTTTCTCCAGTGTTTTCTCGTCTGAATTTCTTGCTCTCCCCTACATTTTCATCTCTCTTGCCTCTTACTACCTCTACCAATCCCCCCCCCCCAGAGCATGATTCCGGCCAAGATGTCTGTCGCGCGAGCGGCTACCTTAAGGTCCCAGGCCCCGGCCCTCAGAGCAGTGTCACAACGAGTTTCTTCCCGAGCTTTATTGTATTCGACAGTTTCGGGCCAGACACTCAAACTCTCAACAAAGGGGCTGAGGGGTGCTCTTCAATCCCGTCATCTCCCCGTCTCCCAGCTCGTCTCGCCGTTCACCGTTCTCCCTCTGACCCGATCATTCCACGTCGCAACACCTCTGTGGCAGCAGCAGCATCAACAGCAGCAAAAAGAGGAGAAAAAGGGGGAAGATGCCAAGTCCGAGTCAGAAGGTGAAGGTTCCAAAGAAGATAAAAAGGAGAAGAAAGAGGACGCGCCGCCACCACCCCACGGAGACAAATCTCCCTGGCAGGTGTTCCGTGAGACGCTCCAGACTGAGTTCAAGGCATCCAAAGAATGGAACGAATCTACCAAGGCGCTTGCTTCCTCTGCCCACGAGTTTAGCGAGAGCGAGAACATCAAGCGTGCACGCGAGGCTTATCAGGCTGCCTCGGGCGCCGCGAGCTCCCGAACTTCGTCGGCTGTCAAGTCTACCGGTCAAGCAATTGGGAAGGGGGCTGCTTGGACGTGGAATACTCCTGTGGTTCAGGGTGTTCGGAAAGGTGTCAACGCCACCGGCTCAGGGATCGAAAGGGCCACGAGACCCGTTCGCCAGACCGAGGCCTACAAAAGTGTGAAGGATGCCATCGATGACGGTAGCAGCTCCCGCTACGGTGGATGGGTGGAGAAGGAAGAGCGTCGCAAGCAGCGACAGCTACGGGAAGAGATGGAGGCCAAGTCTGGCAAGTCTCGCAGGGTTGAACAAGCTGTCGAGGATCCCAAGTGAGTCTCATAGAGAATTGAGGGTTTTGATTGTCTATATCTGACTGATCTCTTTTAGCGCTGGTACGAATATCACCATTCACAAAGACGCTGCTTGGAAGGACTCGTGGCGCACCTTCAAGGATTCGAACCCGATGATGCAGAAACTCTTCTCCATGAAGGAAACCTACAACGAATCCGAGAACCCCCTGATCAGCACGGCGCGCAGCATCTCTGATCGGGTTGCCGGTTTTTTCGCCGAGAGCGAAACTGCCCAGGTGATCAAGAAGTTCCGCGAGATCGACCCCAATTTCCAAATGGAGGAATTTTTGCGGGAAATGCGTGAATACATGCTGCCGGAAGTTTTGGATGCCTACGTCAAGGGAGATGTTGAGACGCTCAAGCTGTGGTTGTCTGACGCCCAGTACCACGTCTATGCTGCTCTCGCTCAGCAATACACCACTGCCGGGTTGAAGTCGGACGGCCGTATTCTGGATATCCGTGGTGTGGACGTCACGCATGCCCGTATCTTGGATCCTGGCGATATTCCCGTGTTTGTCGTCACTTGCCGCACTCAGGAAGTCCACGTCTACCGCAATGTCAAAAGCGGCGAACTGGCTGCCGGCATGGAGGACAAGGTGCAGCTGGTCACCTACGCCATCGGTCTCACTCGGATACCGGATGAAGTCAACAACCCTGAGACCCGGGGCTGGAGACTGATCGAACTGCAGAAGGCTGCTCGCGACTATATCTAAGCCGGCCGACTGGGTCTCCCCTTTTCCTGGACCATCTCTCTTTCCTCAACGATATTTCTCTCTCGTGGATCTCACAAACCCTTACATTTTGTCTCATCATCCTCCCCAACTGTACAATACGGCTTGTTCGATATCATGCCAGTCGGACCTGGTGACTTTACGCTTATGTCTGTTTTAGTGGCCGCCGGAATTTGGTCTTCGCTGGTTAATCGGATATTCTCTTTTCATGTATTAATGCTTCTTGTGGTGTCGCCCTTCTTTTTTCTCTTCCTCTTGGTTTCTGTCATCCATGCGCCTGTTTCTTGTGTTTTTCCAAGACCCGAGGCGCTGGATCGACGAAAGGGAGATTGTCTCCTTCTTCATAGACTTCGCGGCTGGGCATTGGACTCAAAATGATCTGCTGGCACTTGTTCAGATTTTGTGAGGTGTTCCGTTGGCGTTGTGTTTTTTTTTTTTTGTTGCATTCCTCTCCCACTCTCCCCTCGTCACTAACTGGGTTGCATTTGAATTGTTTGAAGGGGATTCGATTGAGATACTTGCGGCAGGATGGGTTTCTATTGAGTGAATACTGATTGCGGCCATGTCGAGGTGTGAAGCAGTGTATATATATGAAAGTAGTTGTTCCGTACTCATCTGAGCTCATCTACTTGATTGCTACGTAAATCAGTGCTGGTGATACTCAACCGCCCTTGAATGATCTAGAGATTGATATGGAAGGCGTGGGTATGAGTAATTGAAAGACCAAGCTATAGAAAAAGATTTTCCAAGGAGTACTGCTGAAACTAGAATTCGCCACAGTAGAATATGATCGTGTCTTCTTCAACGTCGTCCGTCGTTCATTCCGTTGATCTTAGTTTTGGCCTCCTCGTCCAGCACCACCCATCATGTTGCGAGCCCTGTAAGCGGCAATGTTAGAAAAGTTGTATATAGCACGATGATGGATACTCGACTTACATGTCCGCAATGTTCGGGTCGCTCATCAGGCTGGACATGTCAGGCATGCCGCCACCCTGGCCAAAGTTCTCAGCCATCTGACGGAGCCGGGGGTTGCTCATGAGATTGCTGAGCATGTCCGGGTTGCTCATCAGGTTCTGCGCCATGTTGGCGAACATGGGGTTGTTCATCATCGAACCCAGGTCGGGCATGCCACCGCCGCCGCCACCCTGGCCGCCGCCAAGCATGCTAGCCAGGCCCGAAAGATCGGGCATACCACCGCCACCGCGGGATGCCCCGGGGGCAGTGTCCAGCTCCTCAGAAGGGGGCTCAGTGGCACGGCTGGCTTCTTCGAGCTTGCGTTTTGAAGTCTCGAGACCACGCTTCATCGCATCGCTGCCACCGTTGCCCTCTGCCTCAATACCCTTCTCATAAGCTTCCTTCGAGGCATTGTAGTCGCCCATGTCGAAACGAGCGAGGCCGAGGCGACTCCATGCCTTGGAGTACTTGGGGTCGACGGACACCGCAAGCTCCGCATCCTCGGCTGCCTTGTCGTGCTGGCTGGACGCCGAGTAGGCAGCAGCGCGGTTGGAAAGATAAATGGGGTTGGCGGGGGCAATCTCCAGGGCCTTGGTGTACTGATCGATGGCGCCGCTGTAGTCCTTGCGGGCCATAAGGGCGTTTCCTTCGGACTTCAGCTTATCGGATTCTGGCGAAGGTGCGCCTGCCTTGGGCTTGTCTTCTTGAGACTGCGCAGCGCCACCCGCTTGCGGCGACGACTTGCTCCGCAGCTTCTCGTAGACGCTGTAGATGCTGGCCAGAGATTGTCCACCCACGGCAACCTTCACGGCCGCCTCGTCGGTCGGATCCACCTTGAAGGTGTCGGCGATACAGGACTGGGCGATTTCAATCGACTCGGCATCGTCGGCAGTAAGGGTGCCATCTTTCGCGCTGGTGCCAAGGAAATCAATGATAGCCAGAGCGAGGCGCTTCTTGCTTTCTGTGGGAGCCTGAGAGGTCATGAGGTTAGTGGCCGGTGGTAATTGATCCAATCAGAGAGTCATACCATGATATCGAGATCCCAAAATAAGGCGAAACGAGAGAATCAAAGAATCAAAGAAGACTTGACGGGAAAGAAAAAAAACAGCGGAAAGCTGATCGGCCAATGCGGGGGACAGCTCCCGCACGTGATATTCCTTCAGCATCGGGCGCGTTGGATGATCGACTGTGACTCGCGTGGCTCGACTGTCTCTCCGGAGATGACTCCATATGAGATCTACGACCAGCTTTAATACATTCTCTGAGCTGAGCTGAGCCATGTACTGGCCTCATGGCGTCCCCCGGGTCTATGCGGTCAATGGCCCGGATATCGCCTATGTGTCCTCAGATGACCAGCATCCGCACCCCCACTCCGAAGATCGCAATTCAATAGACAAGGATGGCGAGGAAGATACAGCTTCTGAGAAAAATGAGCATCATGAGCCGGAGCCCAAACCTTCAGCCGAAGCGGAGGCACCGAAATGGGAAGATGAGGCCATCAAGGGCTTCTGCGTATCTCGCACGGGACATATGCTGGCTACAATGACTGATTCTTCGATCGCTTTGTGGCAGACCAGGGTATGTTTAGAGTGATGTGATGTTCCTGTTTCGAGGTGGCAGCTAACTATCGCGGTAGCCCACGGCAGTCGTCGCAGCCATAGCTCGGTCCCCATATTCGTTGAAGACATACGGTTCAAATGTTGCACTGCTTATGCACCCAGATTCGACAATATTGGTCGTGCAAACCCTCCATGGATATCTTCTCACATACTCGGTGGCATCAGACCCGACAACTCGCGTCTACCAGCAGCGCTTTGATCATTCCACGCAGCCACGGCGACACCAGCTAGCGCAGTTCGCAGCTGTCGAAGATGCTAATTTTGTTGGGGATATAAGCATCAGATTTCGCATGGCAATCAAGATCGAGTCTGGAATTCTCAAGGCATTGGCTTTGGACCAAGAACTTGTGGTTGCGACTCTGAAACCGCCAGCCATACAGTGTATCCGATGGACCCCCGAGGCAGGTGGAACGCAAACCACATCCGAGCTTTTGTCCCGCATATTAGGCACGCCCAAGAAGGTCTCGGTGGTTGACATGGTTTATGATCGTGCCATAAATCTTTTGATATGGCTCACCAGCAGTGGACAGGCGTACGCGGTACAGCGAGTTCCAGGGGTGCAACAAACCCCGGAAGAATCTCAGAAACTCTTCCGAGGACATTGTTTCCATGACCCGCAATATGACGGCGAGAAGGCCGTCAAGGTGGTAGTTAACGCGCGATTCTCGCTGTTGACTGTGAGTTGTGCCAATGGCGAAATCCTGGTTTACACGGCGAAGGATTACACGGGCAACGTGCCTCTATCTCAGAAACTACAACTCCCTGCAACACCCACTACAACTGGAAACTTGACTTTTATGAACTATTCGCCGGACGGATATTGTCTATTTGCAGGCTACGAGCGTGGTTGGACAACATGGAGTGTCTTTGGAAAACCCGGAGGGAACAGTTTCTCTGTGGATCTTGCTTTGGCAGAAGAAAATGCCGAGGGTTGGTTGACGGGCGTTTCGAACGGCTGCTGGATCGGCGGAGGATCCGACATTATTCTGTCCGGACAGAATGATCGGCGTCTCTGGATTTTGGAAACGGCCCGCAGCGCATTGACTGGCTGTTTTTCGTCGGCGAATTTGGCGCGAGGCTTGTTGCAGACCGGGACTGAATTCATCCTCTATCGAGGGCACGATCTCCCGGACCTGATGACCATCTCGGGTAAGGATTCGCTGTGGCATCATGCTCAGTATCCTCCCGCATACCTCCATTCACAGTGGCCGATCCGGTCCTGCGTCGTGTCTCAAGATGGACGGTATGTCGCAATTGCAGGCCGGCGGGGTCTTGCCCATTACAGTGTGAACAGTGGTCGATGGAAAGTCTTTGAGGACTCGAAGACCGAGAATTCATTCGCTGTCCGCGGTGGGATGTGCTGGTACGGACATATTTTGATTGCTGCCGTTGAGAGCGACGGGTCATATGAGGTATGTTTCTTCATTGCTTTGGTTCTGGCAGGAAGCTGACAGGTTTTCCAGCTGCGCCTTTACTCGCGTGAGGATTATCTCAATAGCAGTTCTGTCATGCACATCGAATATCTACCATCACCGGTGGTGTTCATCGGTCCTTCTGGAGAAGACTCTCTGCTGGTCTATACCTACGACAACGTTCTATATCACTATATCATCAACTCGATGCAGCCTCAGATTACACTTGTTCCTGTCGGCCAGATTGCCTTCAATGGAATTGTTCGGGCACCGACCCGGGTGCGGGCGATCAGCTGGGTTTTGCCCGAGGATCAGATGCGTGAGTCATGTAGTGTATGAAGGTGTATGGGGAGAATATTTTACTAATAGATCCATAGGAAGCGGTGATCCCTCGCAAGACGTGAAAGTCGCCTCTGTTCTGCTTCTTGTCGATGGAAATCTGGTCCTGTTGCAGCCGACAGTATCCGATATGGGCGCATTGAAGTATGATATGCGTGTCATCTCTCATGATGTCGAATATTATATTTTGATGCGCGACCAGCTTTCCTTCAACTTTGGTCCTCAAATTGATGAATCTCGCCCAGTCAGCCCTTCAGCGGAAACGGCATTAGGAGGGTCTCACAGCAGCCTCTCGTTGAGGGATTCTCTTTGGATGTTCCGTGGTCAAGATTTACTAGCGTGGAATGATGTTCAGGATGTTCTCCAGCAGGAGATGGTGCCGGCACCGCTCAACATTCCTTTGGACTTCTATCCACTGTCCGTGCTGCTGAACAAGGGTATCGTGCTGGGCGTCGAGTCGGAAATGATGCAACGGAGAGATGTGAACTTCACTGCCATGAAATTCGCCATCCGAGTAGGTTTTGCTTGCGATTAACCTGGATCAAGCGCTAACATTTTCTCTGAAGACACATCTTTTCCTGCCATATTTCCTTCAGTACAGCTTGATGAACAACGGAACCTCGGCTGCGATGTCTCTGTGCCGACATTTCTCGCATCTGTCATATTTTGCCCATGGTTTGGAGGTCCTTCTCCATCACGTCCTGGACGACGAAGTGGACAATGAGAGCCTAGCCAACAAGACCAACGAGCACATTTCAAGAGAGGGGCCGCTTCTTCCGACCGTCATCACTTTTCTCCAGGCATCGCTTCCGATCAGAGAGTATCTCGACATCGTGGTGCAGTGCACCCGCAAGACAGAACTCCGGTCTTGGCGCACACTCTTCACCTACCTTCCCCCACCCAAGGACCTATTCGAACAGGCTCTGAAACTCGATTCGCTCAAGACGGCAGTGGGGTACCTCCTCGTGTTGCAAGCTTTCGAAGACGAGGAGCACCACAATGACGGGCGCATCGAGGAATACGTGGTGCGCTTGATTGGCTTGGCCTCGCAGAAGGGCGACTGGGAACTCTGTGCGGAGCTGGCCCGCTTCCTCATTGCCCTCGATGCCTCGGGCGAGATGCTGCAGCGCGCAGTTGCCCGTGTGGGCTTGCGATCGCGGTCTCCTGTCAACGGTGGCCAACCCGGCTCCGCAACACGATCCGGGTCCGCCGGGGTGAAGGGTCTTGGGCTGAGTCTGCCCACCCGGTCCCCGTCCTGGTCATCTATGTCTCAGACGTCTTCCGTCTCGCAGCATTTGAATGGGCATGATGGCGACGTATCAGACGAGTATCCTTATTCAGTAGACAGCCACGATGGTTGAGAATTTGTATTCCCCAGGGTTTCGGGCGTTATGGTTATGTCTATAGCCTGCGGGCCTTTCTCAATGTATATAGACCGGGAGTCGGCGAAGATTTCTTGGTTTAGTGTGCTTTCATGGAAACGAAGACTTTCTTTCAATGGCATGGTCACCCATCCTTTAGTTCATCAATACATCTCACGCACAGATATTTTCCTAAGCTTCCTCTCCTTTGTCATGCTTTTCCCCGGCGCCTTCTGTCGCGATGTCTAATAGAGATCGTGTATACTCATCGGGGCCCCATGCCAGAACTCTGCCTTCATCTCTTCGAGCTTGCGAGCCACAAGCCGTTCCATCTCCTTCTCCTTGTCACCCAACAAATCAACGCGTGGTCTCCACACATCTTCAGGACTAGATGCAGTAGGACCAAAAAGTCGCGCATCGACTTGCCGCCAGTAGATAGCATCAAAAGCAAAACTGTTCCTCGCAGCATACGCCACCCAGAAATCCCCGCTCTCCCAACTGTGACGCATCGCGTCTGACAGCCGCTGGTCCTGTGTTAAACGACCTTGCTTGATAGCCGTGTTTTCGCGACCCACCATTGCCTTCAGGAAAGTCTGCAGCTGGCGTCCAAACAGGCTAGTCCGGTCCTCTAACCCGTTCAACCAGGACTCAGGCTTCCCAATGAAAAGCCACCAGGGCGGCGGATAGCTAAACTCAACCGGGGCTGCGTAGGTGAAATCCCAGTCGACGACGCTCACAATATGTAAGTCATCGTCTAGGAGAACATTCGCGGGCCGAGGATCATCGCACCAGATCTTGAATGGACCGTTGTTCAACGCCAGGTTTGTGAGTTTATGCTCTCGCGCAAGCTTGCAGAAGAGGCGTCGCGCGATGAACTTGCGGCGGCAATCGTCTGCCGAGTCTATCGCGTCGTTCCGCTAGTTTATCAAGTGCGTGAGATGCAACTCAGCGAGGGATTCGAAATCGAACATCGTTGATAGAGCTGGTAGCTTCGCTCGAGGTAGCGATCCCACCCTGATCAGGTCGTTCATATTCATTGACAAAGGCCGATAGCCACATCCCAGGTGAAGTCGTCAATCTGGCGAAGCGATCCGATCTGAGGAAAGAATGGCTTTGAGAGCTGAAGCAGAATATCTGCTAAATGCCCGTATAGCATCTCGAGCTTGTTCTCGCCAATGTTCGGGTCAATGATTCCACGCTCTTTGGGCGGGCATCCCGGTATGTTCAAAGCGTCGTACATCTTCGTGTGTGGTGCGGAACATATTCCATAAGAATAAAAGAACTGAGTCCTAGAGGACCATCTCTGCCGGAGTGAAAGATGAATGGGAGTGGCGTCTGTGTTTGGTCGTGTAGATACCGCATAATGGCCATCTCGTTCCGCACTTTTTCTTCAGGAAACATAGTAGCTCCGCGTTGCGGGAAGCGTATGATAGCGGAGCCGACTTTGTACTTCATCTGCAGGGAGATATTGTAAAATCCCTTCTTGAATATATCCAATTCAATTGCGTCGTCTGGGTTATGGTGTTTGATCACGAAGTTGCCTATGGGCCTCCAGATGTCAGGTTCGAGAAACCGAAGGACCCAGGTGTCGGTGATCTCCTCGCTTTTTTCCCACGCAAGATTGTCAAAGCGCATACACTGCATATTGCATTTGACATTTCAAAAGAGGCGCTGTTGAAAGATTGTCTTTTTGGGCCTAGGATACCTGCATGTTTCGTGAGATATCTCAAGCACAAGTGGTGGGGGAAATGGAGGATCAGAATCTGATTAGATGAAGATGAGATTTGTATTGGCATCCATTCGATATAGCTCCGACTTCTGTTGCTCGTTTTCTTTTTGCTCTTCTTCTCTATTTCCCTTTTCACTCCTGCAGCATGGCCAAATACCGCCATCTAGCTGAGGGCGATCCCCAATGGATCGACGTACGTCGTGACTATAACCCCAAACCTTCCAACAACGCCCACTTATATGCAACAAACTAACCATCATCACAACTACTCCAGCTCCCAATACCCGCCGAGTCCCCATGACCCGAAACCATCTGCCTATCACACCGCATCCAGGACCGTCCATCTATGAGTTCCACATTCCCGCCCGTGACGGCCATCCCATATGCGTGAGGGCGTACCGACAGTCGCACCAGACCGATCTTCTTCCACTGCCCATTTATCTGCATGGCGGGGGCTTTGTAACTAGTGGACTCGAAACCAACGATGCCTCGTGCCGCGCATTGGCTGTGCAGATTCCTTTGCTGGTGCTGAACGTCGAGTATCGTCTGGCGCCGGAGAACCTATTTCCGACTGGGCTTGAGGACTGTTTTGATGTTGTTCGTTGGATATAGATCAAGTTATAGATCTGGTTGGATCAGCACACTAAATATAGGCGGCTTCCAATGCACCGAGACTGACCCGCAAATTGATTGATTATTTCGCCGGTATGATTTGTACATCTTCCTCTCGATTTGATTCTCTGTTCTCTTCATCTGATTTTCCCCTGAATAATTGGGTTCGAATCTTACATCTTACATCTGATATTCCAGGAATATACGGCGCCCCGCCAGATGACAAGCGCCTCTCGCTGCTCCTCGTCCCCTCGCATGCGAATCTCGCTCGTAGGGCTGTTTCTTACGTGTATGGTTGGGATCCGCACCGGGACGAGGCGCTGCTCTTTGAACAGTTATTGCGAGAACAGGGTATTTCAACTCAGTGCTATCTGTACCCCGGGCTGCCGCATGGGTTCTGGACTACCTGGCCTGATCTGGAAGTGTCGAAGGGGTGGCAGCGAGATTTGATTGAAGGGGTATGCATTTTTTGTTGGAGTGAGTGCAACGGGTCTTTATAGCACACGGAAGACCAGTAGAAGACCCTATTAAAGCATTGGGGTTAACATCAAGTCCAATGCTACTTTATACCTCAAGGTCAATCGTATCATTTTCATTTCATCCAACATATCATCATGGGAAGCGTGGTATATGCAAACAACCCAGAAAGAAAGAAAAAGCAAACCATTTTTATCTCCTCAAGAGTTCAACCGACAACAACAGCAACCCCAAAGAATCGATTAATCCAACTGCATCCGCCACAGCCCATCCCCCAGATAATGGCCCTCATCCATAACAACCCCCTTCCCCTTATTCTTCATCTCCTCCGTGCCAACCTTGAGAGTGCCCACTAAACACGCCTCCTGCTTGCCCTCCGCCGTAACGGCAACCACCTGCCCAGCCTCCAGGCCATGCTCCGCATCCGGCAGTCGCCCACCAGGCGAGGTCAGTCCGGGGGCCATCAGTGCGGCGCCGGACAGCACGAAGCGGATGGCGCCGCGGTCGATCTGGATGGTTGGCAGGGCGGTGGGGAAGGCGTGGATGAGGCGGAGGTGCGGGATGGGCGGGCCGTCCATAGGCTGGAAGAAGAGGGGCGTTGTGTCTATTGTGTAGAGGGTTACGCGGTCGGGTCTATTGTCAAAATAAAAAAAAAAAATAATGTTAGTATGGTGGTTTATCAGAAATGATGATCCTCGAATAACTCGGGTACAGGTTGATTGGTTGCGGAGCAATGGAAGAGGGAGAGAGAGAGAGAGAGGAGAGAGAAACATACAGCTTCACGGCTTCCAATGAGGCCTTCTTCGGGAGAATCTCCTCAATGTACGGCTCAAAGCCCGGGTACGTCTCCAGCAGCTTCTGGCGCAGGCCGCGCTGCACGGAGGATTTGACCTTGGAGCGGTTGCTCGCGGGGATACTGAACAAGATCCTGATTAGCTGGGCTTTCAAATGATGAGTTAAACGAGCTGTCTATGCCAACAGCAGCTGGCTGGCGGGCTCATCGGCCAGATAGTTGCAGTGCGGGGAGGTGGAGGCACTGTCTGGCTTCCATTGCGGTGCAAGGAGCTGAAGCCAGAGTTTTCAAAGCCCACAGAGCTCATATATTGGTACAAAAGGCTTCGAAGGCAACTCACTCTTTCTTGAACATGGTGCCGGTGGTGGTTGCAATACAATGAACGCGAGCGGGCAAGTGGGATGATAACGTCACGTGATACAACTGGGCTTCTGCTGGCTTGATTCTTTCGGGTCATTCAAATGAAAAGCTGGTAATGGCGTATATTCTCCAGCTCTTACATTGTCTACTGTATAATTCATGGAACGAATGCAAGTCACGTCATTTATAGATTGGAAGCTATCTGCATTTAGCCCTTGGCGGCACCCGCCTTAATGAGCAGGATGTCTCCATCCTCGACGACGTAGTCCTTGCCCTTGGTCATGACCTTGCCGGCCGACTTGACAGCACCTTCATCGCCGTACTCGCGCAGAACATTGTAGTTGTACACAATGACCTGGATAAAGGTCTTTTCAAAGTCCGTGTGGATGACACCGGAAGCAGCGGGCGCCTTGATGCCCTTGCGGATGGTCCATTGGCGGACCTCGTCCGCGCCGGTAGTGAAGAAACTGGCCAAGTTCAGGGCCTGGCGCATGGTGGTGATCACCTTGGGCAGACCAGACTTGGTGTTCAGGTTCTTGCACTCCTCGGCGGCGGCGGCCTCGTCGCCCATCAGGGCCAGACGCTCCTCGAACTGGGCCGAGATGGGGAGTATAGGGTCACCGGGCGAGTTGGTCTTGATCCATTCGAACAGCTTGGGAAGGTACTTGTTCTTCTGGCGGATGTAGTCCCTCTCACTCAGGTTGACCAGGTACACAATGGGCTTGGCCGTCAGGAGGAACAGAGGGTTAATGACCTCGACCTATCAGACTGTTTGTCAGTATAACAGGCCTGGAAAATATCCGAGTGGTGTACGCAAGTAGAACCAAAACTCCAATCAGACAGGGACATGATCTCAATGTGACCTCGACGTGAGTATTTAAATGAGGCACTCGACGAGCTGGGATTATCGAGCAAAGCTCTTATTCATCATAAAAAAGGGAGTGTGGTGGGCAGAGGCAAGCAGCAAAGAAAAATTGTTCACGTACCTCCTTGGGGCCCCAGTTGCCCTTGCGGATGTCGTTACCCTCCTTCAGCCACTCCAGAATTTTGGCGGTAGTGGCCTCCTCTTCCTTCATCTTCTTCATCTCCAGCGACTGGCCACCACGTCGCGTCTGCTTCGACAGACTCTCGAGGGCCTTCTCGACGAACTCGATATCCTTGATACGGAGCTCCTCGTTGATGATGGTCAGATCCCGGCAGGGGTCAACATCACCCTCAACGTGGATAATCTCGGCATCGTCGAAGCAGCGCACGACCTGGAAGATGGCATCGACAGCGCGGATGTGCGACAAGAAAGAGTTGCCCAGACCGGCACCAGTGGAAGCACCACGGGTCAGACCGGCGATATCATACACGGTCAAGTTGGCCGGCACCTGCGACTTGGGCTTGTAATGCTCGCAGAGCCAGTCGAACCGCTCATCGGGGACGATGACGCGGGCCTCTTCGGGGTCAATGGTGGCATACGGGAAGTTGGCCGGGTTACCCAGGGAGGACTTGGTGATGGACTGGAAGAGTGTCGACTTGCCGACATTGGCAAGACCAACCTGAAGCCATTGTTAGTTGGATTGATTGGGGAGAAGAAAAAAAAAAGGAAAGAAAAAGGGGGCGGAAGAGGTTTAAATAGTTTTGTGTGGAATTAAAAAGTGGACTGTGCTGTGAAAAGAACACAGAAAAAAAAAAGGTGGGGACCATTGCTCACATACGATACCACTCTTCAAGTTGTTGCCAGGACGGCCCAGAAGGACCTTCTCTTGGACTTGAGCCTTCTTGGGAGGCATTTTATTGGATTTCTTCTTCTTGCTGGAGTAGAAGCGACAGAAGAGAGGTGGGAGGTGGGGGTAGCCCGAAAGGCGGAAGCGGCTGCAGGGATGGGGCCCGGAGGCAGAAAAGGCAGAACCAGCTGCGGATCGATCGACGATACGAAGGAAGAAAAGGGACGTAGGGCGAGACGTGATGGCGACGCCCACAATTGCTGTGGGCAAGATCAATGAACACAAAAAGGAGAGTAAGAGAGAGACCGAGGGAGTGTGATGGGGCAAGTCGTGAAGACAAGAGTGCCAGCGCTGAATGTCATCGAGTTTTCTGCCGGCCACAAGTCACCGCCCACGTGAATAACCAGCCCTCGGCTATGACGTAGAGCCAATTGCAGTATACAAAATAAACAAATGACATCCAGAACAAATGCATAATTCACATTGTCGAGATGTGTTTGAATAACTTCTTGATGAGATTCACCTGAGGTACCATAAGCTCTTGAGCGCGAATCATGGTTCCCAGCGAACCCAGCTCAGATCTAGTTTTGGCACCCGTCATCTGCGGGATTTTCGTGAGCGACAGCTTCGATTGGGGTGCCAAATGGGGCAGGTCCCACAAGCCCTAAAATCGAGGCATGTACGCGGTAGATCTGCGGCATATTCTTGCATCAATCTTGGAGGTTATCCGTCGATCTCGTAAATATCTCGCCAGGCATTGATGTATATAAGGCATACCCCACACGCGAACCGTTAGCCTCCCTTGCTTCTTCAGTAATGATTTTCCGGGCATGAAGAACTATCAACTTGCTCTGCAATAAACATGCTTCCTTTTCTTTTCTTTTTCGTGATCCTGTCGGCGGGACAACCGGTACAAGTTCCAAGAGTCCCTGTTGAATTAACTCGTTGTACAGATGCCACCCATAATACTTGAGAGGATCCAATTGCTGGGCTCTACAGCAGATGTAGGGTTTATTCCTTTTCGTCGATCTCTTTCTGCATCTCAACTATACTCTGCTTTCTTTTTCCCAAGCGTGGAGAACAGCCCTATTCGTCGCAGTCTAGATCAATAAATATTCTGTGATTAGCAAGGGTATAATATTATCCATCTTGTTGGAAGATGACATCTTATTTCACTTGTTGTCTAGTTAACTGGCGAAGATCACCTACTGAGGAAGTTTCAAAATACAATCCCTGCTGGACTCACGTAACTTCCGAATTAACAAGAATCATCTTTCTGGGCACTTTTGAGGGCTCGCAGAGTCGAAATAAGAAATATGGATTTGGCTATAGGTAGTAGAACCATCTAGTTGTAGATCAACAGCGAGGCATCCATGGAACAACCCAACACTGTACCCTTTACACTTCCCGCGTCCAGAACAAGAAGTGGATGGCAAGAGCGTCCTCGTGGTTTTCTTTTCTGTCACAATTTTTTCTCTCGCCAAGTCACACTTTTTCAATAACTCCACCAAATTTCACAACCCCAAAATCATCGACATGGCTAGCGCAGATACATCACCCCTCCAAGATCCGATCCACTACTTTGCAATCGTTTCAAGCCTCCTGCTCGGTTGGATGGAACCGCTCTCAACGACTACAGAAGGGCCACCAGTAGACTCTGAACAATCTCAAAACAGGAGCAAGCCGCCGCGGAAGCTATGACCCGAGGAGCGCTTCGAAGGTGTCGTGGTTGACAGAAATCGCGAAGAGGCCGCAGCCTTCGCTTTGGAAGTTTATGCTCATGGACTGGAAACTCCACCAAGTGAACGTTATTACATCTTCTGGGCGGATGCATCTGTATGCCAGAGTCTCGGGGCCGGGACAGTTGTGTGGAAGATGTCCATTGCGACCGAACGGTGGGCCCAAGAAGGCCACTTCTACCCGTACAAAACCAACAATGTCATCATTGTGGAGATCTTCGCGATCTGCGCTGCGTTGGAAACGGCGCTTTCACAGATCCGGGATCTGCAATCCACAGCAGAGCAGAGCGAGGACGAGATACATCAACCAACACAAAACAGAGGTAAAGTGACGGTCTTCTCCGACTCCATTGACGCTCTCCAGCTTATCGACAGCTACTACCCCTCGACTGGGTCTCGGAATCTCTCTCGAAAGGCCCGCGCGTTCTATTATCGGGGGGAAATACAGACGGTGTTTAAACACACCCATGAATTGCGTCGCCTTGTAGTTCAGGTGGAGTTGCACCTTGTCCCGGGACACAACTACATACCGGGGAATGTCCAGGCCCATCAATAAGCGAGGCAAACCTTGCATGCTCTCATGGCTTTGAGAGTCGAGGATGTGATCTTTGGATTCTGGGTGGGACTCGGATCTGACGGATGTTCGTCCTAAATCCCAGATATTCCCGCCAAATGCATGAAAGTTGCTTTATCGATCAGATCACAAAAATATCATGCGAAAAGAAAATCCACTATGATCGGCATGAGCAATAGCCCTTTTGGAATAGTAGGGCTCAAATGACCTGCAAGTCCAACAATCATATTATGCCTGTGTTTTCCATTGTGGGGGAGATCGACACTTTAAACTGTTGACAGATCCGAATCCCACCCTTGATCGACCTCACCAAGGAAGCACCGACAGGATCACCGGGTCAAGGCACATCGACTATTAATTTTTGCGTTCTGATCTGACAGTTCACGACAGATACTGTCTTCCCCAAACCCCCATATCCCACTAGTAAAAATATGCTTCGCATCCAACCCTCCCCGACCTTGGCATTTGCCGTGCTTCCCGTCGATGTGATGTATAGATGATCCATGTCACTTTTCAACAGAGCGAAAGGGATATGACATGTCTCGACTCTATTCAGGATTTCTTCTGGTCTGCCAGCCAGCCTTACTATATTACGATGGCCCTTCCCTCGCCACTTGAATTCCAAATCCTCAATTCCAAATCTGCCTTATCTCCCAAGTATTCTTTTTTTGGTGTCTGAGCTCTGCCTGCCATGTCGACTCACGCATCGGACTCGGGCGTCGCCGGAGACTTCTACCATCCCAATCAGAAGCTGCGCGTGTCTATCACGATCGCGCTGGTGTTTGCTTTTCTTTTGTCGACTGTCGCCGTGGCTCTCCGCATTCTGGCGCGGAAGATCAATGGCAGCAAGTTGTTTTTGGATGATTATCTGATTATCATTGCTTTGGTATAGCTACTCTTGAGTATATCCATGGCTCTTTCAAGTCATGCTAATGATGAATCTATAGCTTTTCAAATATGGATGTTCGATCGGAGTTACGATGCGTGAGTATCTTCACTTCTTACAATATATTCCCCAAACACAGCTAACAATTCAACACTAGTCCTCTGGAATGGACTGGGCTCGCACATCACCATGATCCCCAAGAAGAACCTCACAGTATTCTTTAAGGTTTGTGATGCATCCACATCGGAAATATCCACCTAGATACGATCGTGCTAACTTCCCTTTCAGATCGGATGGTCCAACCCCTTCGTCTACACCAGCTGCGTGGCCTTCATCAAGCTGTCCATCCTAGCCTTGTACAAGCGGCTCTTCTCCGTACGCCACATCGTCTGGGCCGTAAACTTCCTCGCGGGATTTGTCATTCTGTGGGCCGTCAGCATCATCGTCGCCAACTCTCTGATGTGCATCCCCGTCAACAAGTTCTGGGACCAGGAGATCGAGGGCGCATGCATTGACACGGCCAAGTTCTACTATGGCCAGCAGATCCCCAATATCTTGTCTGACATCTGCATCCTGATTCTGCCGCTGAAGGTGGTCTGGGATCTGCCGATTGCCAAAACCCAGAAGGGTCTTCTGTCGGGTGTCTTTCTTGTTGGTGGACTGTACGTTATACCCTCTTTCTCTTCTCATATCCCTCAGCGTGTTATTCATGCAGCCTGTTTCTGACATCATCTACAGAACCCTGATCTTCGATATCGTCCGCCTGGTCGAGATGATCAAACTCACCAAAGCCGGTCCGGACATCACCTACAACCAAGTCCCGACGGTCATGTGGACCTGTACCGAGGCCGCTGTGGGTATCGTCGCCGCCTGTCTGCCCAACCTCAGGCCGCTGTTCCGCGTCGGCGGCCGCGGCTTCTGGTCTCAGCTGCGATCCTCGAGCAACCGGTCCGGCAAGTCCCACCTCAACACTACTACCAACACCGATACCAGCACGTGCGTGAGCCATACAACTTCCAACAAGCGTGTTGAATCGCCCTCCGTCACGGAGGAGACTGTCGAGACCCACCGATACAGTGACTACATGCAGGGAGTCAAAGCTTAAACAACGAAAGAATAAGGGAAAAAAAAAAGAAAAGCTCGCTTGGGATTGATATTTCATTTTGTCTTCTCGTTTATGATTCATGGATTTGCTCCGACTTTTTTCTTCTTCTTCTCTCCTTCTCCTTTTTACTTCTTTTCAAGTATCTTTCTTCTCGGGGTGGCCCTTTGTGTCTTGCCATATCCCTACTTATATAGTCCGCGCTCGTTGCAAGGCGTCTATTTGTTTGAGCTATCCACTCGACCTTTTTGCACATTGACAATTCTCTCTCCACTAATTTCCTTACAAGCGTTTCTAATGTCTAATCTGATGTCAGAGAATGAGGTATGGAATAGGGGTTGCGCGGCGTACTCTTGATATCACCCCCTAACGATCCAGCAAGTTTTTTTGGAATGTAAAAGCCTTCCTTAGTGTAGAGTAGGACACGATTTGGTATATCTTCTCATCTCTAAATAAGTGTCTCTAAAAAAGTGAATTTGCAGTTGAGCTGGCTTGGTCACTCCCACTCTATACCCTTGGCAGAATCAACCCAATTGTACCAGTCCACGTCGCCGTCCAAATCCATGTTGAAATCAACATCAGCAGCTACATCGGCGGGCATACCGACAGACGGATCCTCATCGGCCCACAGCCACGGGACAAGGCCGGGGCCGGAAGCTTGGTCGTCTGGTTGATACCTCGGACCCGCGAAAGAGGAATTATTTGTTCTGGGAAGAGTGCGGTTAGGTACCAAAAGATTGGGAGAACACGTCGTTACTGCTGTGCCGAACTCTGTGGAGCTGGTTCTTGATGGATTGTGGCCCGGTTGCCTTCCACCAGCACCCACATAGGGAAGAGACGGCATCGAGTGAGGAATATTTGTGGCGGGTTGCTCGGACGTGCCAGCCAACCCCCCTGATCCAGATATCCTCCCAAGCAAATTGCACCAAAGCTCGGGAAAGTAGTAGGTCGCATCAGAAGCCGTTGCATATGGCCCCGAGCTCAATGGTTGCTGGATGTTGCGCTCCTCGGACACCAGCTCTTCGGCGACGAGTTGATCGCTTCTCAAGCCGCTCGATCTCGGTCTCACGGTGCTTGCGGGATTTGGCCATCAGCTTCCGCAGAGGAAACCAGATGCGCAGGTTCTTTTCCAAATTCGATTGATTCGGGATCAACCAGGCGCTGTGCAGGGCCACCCAGGCGCGCTCGACAAGAGGTGACCACGGCCGCCGAGAGATTTCAAGGTGGATGTACACGACCGCATACCAATGGGTGTAAGTCTGGAACAGCCAGCGCCAATGGCGACATGCGTTTTCGGCATTTAGGGCATGGTTGTATTCTGCGGCCTCGATGGCCGAGACTAGAAGTTTTGTTCGGAGCTCTTTTGAGAGCTGCTCGCTTGGCGACGAGAAGAGCACGGGCAAGTAGATCAGTAGCGACAGCTTGGCCATTACAAGCCGGGCAACCGTCACAGACACCCAGTATGCAATATTCCCTGACTCAGTCGAGTATTGAAGAAAGCCTTTCTCGAGGCCCTGGTAGATTTCATTCAGCAGACAGCTTTGCTCCTCCAGGCTCGGTGGCTGGTCTTGGATGTTGTGGGCGATCATCTGCTTCGTGACATCGCACACGCCCATCCAGACGCGCGAGAACGACATGTCAGTCAAGCCGCTGCGCTCTTGGGGCATTTGTTTCGAGTCGGGCGAAATATCAGCGTCGTTGATATTCAGCGGCATTTTTGTGTCAAAGCTGCCGCGGGTGATGGTAAATTCCGAGCCCTGGTCTTCTGCTGCTCTCACATCCAACATAAACAGAGCTCACCAAACCCTTCGTCGCATCTCGACCTCGAATGGGGTTAGATGCACAAAATTGGACCCGTTTCGGTGCAGCCCAAGAGCCTGTCCCATTCGAATGGCCAATCCTGTCATCATCCACACGAACCGAGGACTGTCGTGCCGGCGAACGAGGAGCAGGAAAATGATGAACCCCTGCAGCAGAACTAGGTTCGGCACGTTGAGGAAATCAGCCTTTGCAAGGGCATATTCCAGGCCCAGGCGATATTTGAGGTTAAGCTCGGTTTTGGTGGAGCCAAAATTGAGGAGGACCTGAAAAATAGAATAAGTATGAGCCCATGCTTGCTTGCCTGCGAATGTAAACCTACGTCATCTTCTTCCATAGAGGTGATGGCAACGTAGTAGATAGCAAACATCAAAGCCTCGATAGCCGGTGTCAGACTGGCCACATTGCTACACAAATCACGGACCATCTTCTTGACGGTGGGAAGATGGACAACCTGGGCGAAAACATTGACGTTCTCACCAAAGACATCTAATAAAAAGGGGATTTGAGAGGGCAATGGATGAAGGTCGCAGAGGTCGGGAGTGGCAGGACTCAGGTTGTGTCGAAATAAGAACGCATGGCGCGCTGAAGGCGTCCGCCCCAATTCCTGGGTGGATGGGGTCTTTGTAGACGGAGTCTCGTCGTCCGATGTATCAGAGTGCCCATGCGGGAGACTCTGAGCATTCATCTTCAGTCTATCCAGCTGGACATAGAAGATTAGCAAACTTTTCATGGGTATAAACCAGGTGGCAGCCCGCGCCTCGTCGCGTGCAGCACCACGGGCGTATCCAGCTTCGGGCGCGATATCCCCGTTGTGATGTTGCCGGTGTACGGAGCTCTGGCTCGGATCCCGCACGCGGATAAGAAAGCTATGGAGGAGTGCTTTGTTGGTGGGGGAGAGTCTTTCACTGTTGTTCGTCCCAGTATGCTGGGCGATGGCGAGTCGAAGAAGACTATTCGGGTTGGGGTTGAGGATCCTTGGTCTGGCCGGGAGTCGACTGCTATTGGGTATAACATCTCTAGAGAGGATGCTGGGAGGTGGGCTGCTGAGAACCTTGTCTTGCGGGCGGGTGAGAGGTTTCTCAACAAGATGGTGTCGATTACGAACTGATGCTGATGGCATCCTGGGTGAACCTGTGGTACGGCACTATGGTTTGGAGACTGCACAGACTGGGATCAATAGATGTGGACATTAATCGATATTTATGGATTCAATTGTAAATTGTTAGAATAGCTTTCTATGAGAATAATTTTTGTACCTGCCATGGTATCGTTGAATATCTAGAGCTCTAATCCATAAGATATCCAGTATACTAAGTAGCCCAACATACCGAATCACAACTACGCGCATGGAAACCCAAATAAATAAACAACAGTCCTATTATAGTACAAATACAACGAAGCAGATCAATCATGTCTCATCTCCACCTATCTCAGCAAAGACCGCAACAGAAATAAACCCCAGACCCGGCATGCTCCCGCACCATAAACGGTGCAAACGCCGAAACTAGACCTCAGTAGAACAAAACAATGAATAAACAGTTAAAATAGGAGGAAAGAAAAGCATCAATCGAAGATCTCGTTCAGGAGTCCATCGCATCGCCATGCTCCGAGGTGCTGTCGACCACATCCAGGAGCTTGGCATAGGGGACAGTAACACGCTGCAGATCCCGGTGTTTACCTGTACAAAAGAAAAAGGGTTAGAAATAGCACTTGAATAAGACATGGAATGTCAGTGACAGTGGCAGTAACATACCCAGTGCAAGGATGACCTCTTTCAATAACGTCTCCCGCGGCCAGCCACATAGCGTCTCAGAACCCTCGCGCCAGTTGCGGCCCTCGCGCTCGTTGGCCTGCAACCTGGCAACGGGATCGCTAGCATCGTCATCCTCGAACAGACCACCGATGAGGCCCTTCAACAACTCCTCAACCTTCAGCTTGAGACCCTCAGCGCCGATACGTTTCGCGTACATGGACAAATATAAGCGGAACTCTTCTTTAGCGCCCAACGACAGAGCCGCAGCCAGACGGTTCTCGAGATGGGCAATAGAAACGCTCGACTCAAAAGTCTCGTAGCCCTCGCGCGATAACAGGACCTTGATAAGGCGCTGAAGGAAGTATGCGCGGCCACGGAGCAACGTTTCGTTGGTGGTGTTGCGCTCCAGCCAGGGAATGATTCCTGCAGAGACGGCAGCCTTGGCGTCCTTGTTCTCTTGTTGAGCATCGCGGGCTTGTAGGTTGCCGATCGGCGCGTCGGTCGTGTTCCAGTACTGGCTGCCGACGGCCCACCAGGCCTCGGAGATGCGCTGCCAGGTGTACATAGACGGCGAGTAGGAGTAGCCTTCGCCGTTCGATAATGACACAACTACCCTCCCTTCGGAATTGATTCGTGCGTCTGTCACGGCCGGCGCAGCTGTAGGGTGCGCGCCTAGCGTGTGGATGGCAGCATCCAGCACAGGCTGGAGAGAGACCGGCGGGTGCGGCGATGAGAGGTGCTTCACGTTCCAGACATAGCACATACCCACGGCTGAGATACACAAGATCCATGGACCATTGCACTCCAGAATCACGGGCTGCGCTTCCAGGACCAGCGCGCTCACGAGCCGACGACCTGCTGGCGTCCAGATGTAGAGCGACCCATCCTCACAAGCCGCAGCCCACATGGCCTGGTTCCCTGTCACGAGAAGTACGTTACGCGGAAGGAAATCCTGCCATAACGGCTGCTCGCCACGGAACAATGTCAGACGCACCGGCTCCCGGTCCACGGCCCGACCAGTCAAACTAGCCGGCGAGGGATTGCGAGCTTCAAACACCACATCCACGCGGCCCTTGCTGCTCGACTCTCCGCTAGGAGCAGGTGGCTCAGTCGGTTTCCCATTGAGGTCCAGAGCGCGCACAATCTGGCTGCGAATCTTGGGAACAGCCAGACGAAGCTGGCTGACAGACATACAAGGATTTGTGACCGCAGGCCGAATAAACTCCGGGGTTGGTTGTTGACCAGTCGCGCCGGGCTGCACCTGAGCAGGAAGAAGCCCATCAAGGGTGTTGGCCATAATCGGAGTCGCGCCGTTTTGGCTAGCCTGCGCCACGCGCTTCTCCACCTGATTATCTTCATCGCCCTCGATTTGAGCCAACTTGCGCTTGTTGCCGAGAAGAAGCGCGGTCAAGCCCCCCCTTGGGGAGACCATCAAAGGGCTTTGAGAGATCAACGAGGGACGCCGGCGCATCTGACTTCACCTGGTTGCTGACTGAAGCCATCAGCCGAGCCTGCGGGAGGGACGACTCCCCGCCGCCTGCGCCTGACACCAGCAAGGGTGCGATACGCTTCTTGCCTTCTTTTGTGTATGTCGGGCGCTGCTTGAGCTTCTCCAGCTTGGCCTGGTAAGGATCAGGCTTCTCGGATTCGCCGGCAGCAGGAGTCGAAGGCGTGCCATTGGTCTGCGCTTTCGCAGGCTCGGGGGCTGGTGAAGGGCCTCGAGCAGGAGTCACGCCGTTTGAGGGCGCCGGAGCAGGCTTTCCGTTGGCAGCGGATTCCGTCACGTCGTGGCCGTCGCCCATCAACGCACCCATCCGGCCCTCAACGCCCTTGATCTCGCCGGCCTTGCTCTTTTCTTCCAGCAGCAAACCGTCGGTAGTCTCCGTAATGCCAGCACCTTTTCGATTCGTTCCGAACTTGGTAAGTGACTTCTCGTTTTCTTCCATCTCGGTAGCATATCCCAGCTCGCCATCCTCAAACTGGACTGCAACAATAGTGCCATCTAGTGCCGTGGCATACATGCAGGATCCATCGGGGCTCCAGGCGAGGTCCGAGATAGACTTGGCCGCCATCTCCTGGGCCACCACGATGGGCCACGCGTTGCTTGTGATCCAGATACTGAGGGACTTGTCTGCGCCAGCGCAGGCAATCACGGTTATGTGATGCTGGCCCGCACTATTGGGCTGCGATTTATTGATCGGTTCGGTAGAGTACAATCGCGGAGAGAAAGCGCAGACCTCGACTGGCGCTTCATGTCCGATGAGGTTGATGTCGCCATCCCACGAGCCACGGTTGATAATGGCAACGGAACTGACAGGACCATTCACGGCATTCGCAGCCGCAATATGCATACCGTCCGGCGACCATGAGCAACGACGGAAGTAAGCGGTCAAGGGCGAATTGGCGAACGGAGCAGAGATGGTATGCTCCAGAACGAAGTTGTTCATTTGGTCGTGCGCGGTCGAGTTCGGGGCGGGAGAAGTGAATCGAAAAACGCGAACGGTTCGATCGTCGCTTGCCGTAGCAAAGTACTTATTGGCCGGGTCAAAGGTAATGCCCTTGACATGGCTCTGGTGGACCGATATTGTCTTCAGCTTTTCAAAGGTATGTCCAGACCACACCACCACTTTCGAGTCCAGCCCGACAGAGACCAGGATCGACGAATCGAACGACCATCCCAGATCCTGGACATCATTATCATGGCCGATCAACCGCCGGATTGTGCGCCAGTTCTCAACGGGGGGTGCTTCATCCGTGCCTGCGCAGCGTTAAGATCGTCGTCAGTATTTGCTCAATAAGCACCTCTCCCTGTCTCTCTTTCTCTCTCTTCCTCTCAACATGCTCAAGACCTACCGAACGTGGACGAGTGTGTAGGAGGATTCGAATCAAGCATATAAACACAAACAATCTTATCATCCGCCCCGGACGCGAGATATCTGCCATTAGGCGAAAAGCGAACAGTATGAATCGTCCCGGAGTGGTTGCTCATCGACGCAAGCTGCTTCGGTTTGTTGGCGAACTCCGCATCGCCGGTATTGTAAATGGCCTCGGTCGACCAGATGCGCACGTATCCATCTGTTGGCGCATCGACCAAGGTGTCAGCGAGGAATTCCCTTCCCATCGCAGGTTTTGGCCTTTTCTTTTCTCATCCCGGATATCGAGCTCACCTCCAGCAGCCGTGACCAATCTCTTCCCATCTGGCGATACATCGCAACTATACACTTCGAAATCCTTGCGTTCGCCTATTGAAGAAAAAAGGCAATGCGGTCAGCCGAGGGATATAAAAGAAACCAAGACGGTTAAGAAGAAGATCAGGCATTCCGATTGCCTGCCAGAGAGAAGACACCAGCGCTTTCGTTCGGTCCTTCCCAGCGCCATAGAATAAACCACGAAAATCGTGCATCCAGATTCCATACCTCCATGCGTAAGCCAGACAGGCTTGATGATATGCATCGCAGACGCTGCGGGCAGACTCCGCTGCTCCCTTCTTCAACAAACTCTCGTATTTATAGCCGAAACAAATATAGCGTACAGATTGAGGGGGACTTGCTTGCTGAGATAGAAGCTTTAATCCGAGCGAAACAAGATCGGTGTCAGTGTGTGCACGGGTTCGGTAAGCTTGAGGGTAGCTAAGGAGGGAGGGATGGTGGTGGTGTCGGAGGTGGTGTTTTAGGTGTTGATGGTCCAGTACATCGCAGCCAGCAGCACATGCACAGGCCAGAGATATCTTGGCGCGAGACTGCAGGAGACAAAGGACAGAAGCGTGTAGCCGGTGGACGATGTCGGAGGGAGATGGGAGTGGGATGGGAAGCTCAGACCGGAGAGGAATTGATCCAGGGCGCGCCCATAGAAAAGTCGCGATCTCCAGATTCGAGTGGTCCGAGCTCAGGGTCGCGTTTCTGATAGCAATTGTCGAGGATTGCACTACATTGTATTGAATATATTGAATAGAAAATAATGGAGAAACAATGGGCAAATAGAGTAACAGGCTATGATACAGGATACTACTGAGTAGACTCGCTTTTCCCCCCTTTTCCCCTCCACTGTCGCCGCCATTCTTCCTATGTACACATACAGGATACCGGACCAATTCAGCTCGGCCAGGTAGCATGTCCCATTGATGACTCCCGAGGAAATGCTGGAAATAAACCCAATCAAGCAAAAGGACAAAGGGAAGAAGAAAAAGCAATTGGGACAAGAGGAGAGTGGTCCAGAAAAAATAGCCCGGGACGTTAGAGGATGCCGACGCAGATGCAACAACGGGAGATTAGTAGCACATCAAGGAGAGATCATCATTCGCATTTCAAAGGCGTCTTGCTTGGGTGCTTAGTTCTTTTTCTGGTTGGGTTCATCGAATCCAGCCAGCATACTTTGCGCAATGCGATCCTGCTCAGTCGATTCGGCCTGTTCTTCCAGGTTGGCCTCAGCCTTGCTCTCCGGCTCATGCGTTTCGGGTTTTTGGTCGCTGTGCGAAGTTTCTGTCGGCTGCGAGGCCCCTTCCACGCCGAGGGTCTTGGCCGCGATATTCTTGGCCTGAGATTCGCTGACCTTGCCGTAGACGGCCATGGCATTGGCAATCATGCCGCCCATATCGCCAACATTACCCGGCACCACGACAGCCGTGCCCTCGCGAGCCAGTTTGGAGAAGGCATCGACATACTTCTCTGCGACACTCAGGCTGACCGCGCTGTGAGCATTCTCGCGGCCATCCTCGATCGCCCGCGCAACGGCGTCGATCCCTTGAGCCGTAGCCTGAGCCCTGAGCTGAATGGCCTCGGCTTCACCCGACGCGCGGTTAATCTGCTCTGCGCGCAGCGCCTCCGACGCCAGAATCACAGACTGCTTGCGACCCTCGGCGATGTTGATCGCGCTCTGGCGCTGACCCTCCGAGTCCAGAATCTCGGCACGCTTCGACCGCTCGGCGGTCACCTGGCGGTGCATCGCAGCCACGACTGCGTCCGGAGCATGGATATCCCTGATCTCGTACCGCAGACAAACCACGCCCCAGTCCTGGGCAGCCTCGTTGATCGCCTGCGTGATGTTGGTGTTGAGGGTGGCGCGTTCCTTGAGAACGTGGTCCAGAGTCAACTGGCCGATTTCCGATCGCATGGTCGTTTGGGCCAGTTGTGAGATGGCATATTCTGCGTCCTCGACACCGTAGCTACAATTGACCGGGCATGTCAGTCCCATTTTCCATTCTCCGATCCACGCCACCAGAGAAGACGCAAAAAGCCAAAAGCACTTACCTTGCTTTGTATGCATCAAAAACCCGCGTGTACAACACACCATCCAGCTCCAGGGTAACATTATCCGCCGTAATAGCATTCTGACTAGGGATTTCAATAGCCGATTCCTTCAGACTCTTGACATAGGCGATGCGGTCCAGGAATGGAACAAGAATAGCCAGGCCAGGCTCCAGAATCCGGTCAAATTTCCCCATCCGCTCGACAATCCATGCTGTTTGCTGAGGCACGAACCGCACGACGGTGTTTGCGGGGAGAGTTTGTCGGTTGGTGAAGTAGGTGGGAGGGCCGCCACCGCCGGGTTGCGAGGAGTTAGCAGCAGCGAAGCCACTGAAGAGAGACTCGGGCGCGAAGCCCCGGGGGGTATTCGAGACGGTTCGGCGCTGGGGCTGGGTCAGGCCGGGGGCGACAGCTGCGGTGCCTGCGCGCGGGAGGCGGCGGTGCTGGTGAAGGAGACTCGAGCCACGAGACCGCAATAGCCTCGCTGACTGGCGGGATGCGCCCTCCATATTGCTGAAAACTGGAATGGAAGACACTCGATAATGATGCGGGGGAATATGCAAGAGGAGGGGAGCACAGAAGACAGTTGGAAAAGAGTGTCGGGGAAGCTGCTGAAACGAGGTTCGGGCGGATTACAAGGCGTCTAGTGCCTGAGGCAGATCTTCCTGGGTGGTAGCTTCCAGATTGACACCTCAGGCACCAGTTAGTATACACATAGGGCTTACATGGAGTAGAATAGATATTAAATGCTACAATAAAAAGAAATCTTATCCTTCACAGCTGGAGCAGCGGTCGAAATCAAGAACCCATGGTATACATTGCCGTATTACTCCAACAACTCTGACCAACCTGATGAATGCAAGAGAAGAAAAAAAAAGTGCACAAGCCAGCCTCATACAGGAGGATAACAGGCCATGCAATTCAGAAAAGACCGGACAAGACGGTCAAGCATCAAAAGACAGTCTGTAGCTCCAAGTTCATGGTAGGAGAAGAAAACACCCAGGAAGATGCACCCACTATAGGCGTCAACAGTACATCTTCAAGAACCAACTCACCTCGCTATGTACCTGGGTAAATAATGCTGGAATTGGTATCTTTTTTCGTTGTGTTTTTTTTGTTTTTGTTGCACTTTGACACAAGTGATGAATTTGAATCACACAAAACAACCTCATACAAGACTTTTGAAACCCCTGTTAGGCTTTTTTGACCCTCGCTGTGGCTCTGGGTCATTGCAACTGTTATGCCGATACTCGCTAACATCAGAGCAGAAGACCAGGGTCACAAACTGACTGGTGTGGTAAAAAAAAGAAAAGGAGAAAAGAAAAAGAACAAGAAAAAAGAGGAAAGGGAAAAGGAAACAAGAAAAGAAACAAAAAGGGTTCAAGAAGAGAAGAAAAGCAGACACAAAATCTCTATGGTCAGGGAAAAGCATTTTTTTGGTAGGCCCGGCACCCAGGCATCGTAACAGGAGGAAGAGAAATTGCCAGTAATATCATGCCCGGACTCCAGAACATTTTTTGTAAACCTCCCATGACAGAAGCAGAAGAAAATAACCGAATGAGAAAAAGAGAAAGGGAGGCGAGAACTCCGAGGCTTCACATGGAAATTCCAAGCCGCCTTGCTGCGAGAATGGCCAGTCGGTACTCTAGGGGGAAAGAAAAAGTTGAGAGGATGCATGCAAAACCTTCAACAGGAGAATGCTGATCATGATGGGTGAAAAGGGGAGAATGCGTCGCAGGAAGTTGAAACCAGAAACAAAAAATAATAAAAAAGCTCAAGATGATGACTTTCCCAGGGCTGTCGTGGCATATGGGGTTTCGAAGAATTGGCGGACTTTGGCATGTCTTTCTGGAGTCATGAGGCCACTCGACAGAGTCGAAGAGAGCATCTGATGCACAGTGTCATGATACTCCAGATGTGGGCCGCCCCGGGCAAGGCTGACCATATCTTGCAGCACCTCGTCAAAAAGTACGCAGCGACTCAGCAGACAAGCACGGTAATAGTCCAAGAGAGCATTGAACCCATAGTCGACGTGTCGCGTAAAAAGATCATCAAGGGCTAGACGCCTAAATTGATTGTACAGTAGCGAATCGAAAGTGCGAGTCAGGTACTGTGACCAGGATCGATAAGGAGGCCCTATGATAGAAGCCCAGTTGCCGATCACCGGTTTTTTTCGACCCATGAAAGTTGGATTGTGAACGGCTTCGGGAGATTCGTGGTAGACATAATCGGACATGGCTTGAGATGGGGATTTACTCTTCTTCGACGAGAACGGTGGGCGTTTTTGTTTCTTGAAACGCTTGGAACGCTTGAAATACTTGGAACGCTTGGAAGTCCGTCCAGTGGCATGTGGATCACCCGGAGGATGTGCCACCAGGGATCTAAACGGGCATCAGTCATAGTCCAGGAGCTGGAGGATCACCGTGGGAAGGGTTCTGCATACCCACTTGAGTGCGCCACCGTTTCGGAATGAGAAGAAAAGGGAGTCTCGGGGGAATATTTTAGTCCGCGCGCTGGATGAGAAGCGTCAACATATGAGTAGTGCAAGGGAGGCGCAATCACACAAATGCATAAAGGTGTCGAATCGTAGTCTTGAGAAAAAGAAAAATCGATGGGGTCTCCTACATTGGCAATTTCATTCTGAGCCGCTGGCGGAATGGACGGCATGAATTCGGGAGCTGCGGAGGAGAGTGGCGTGATTGGAACGCGGGAGAGGGTACCGTTGGGAATAAATTGGCGCGATCCACCGTGGAGGGTTCCGTTGGGAGCGCCATCGACATGGTTATTCAACGGTGCATTTTCATCGGTCTTGCCGGGGTGGTTGGAGGGAGGTGCGCCGTCGTGCTGGGCTGAGTGCTCGCGCTGGTCGACAGGGAGAATCCATTGCGCCCACTTCTCCCTCGGACGTAACCGATCCACGCCGTCCTCGCCAATCTGGTATTCGACGTTGCGAAGCTGGCGGGACACATGACGGAGGAGCTCATAATCTTCGGTCAGAGACTTGATCCGCTTGAAGCCGGCAATGACACCCAGCGGCACAAAGCCCTGTGAATCCATGTGTCGACGAAGGAACATGTCTTTGCACATGTTGTCAACCGAAAAGTAGTATTCCCTGATCTGCGGTTAATCTTTGCGACATGAAACGATTTGGTTGGGGGGGGGGGGGGGGGGGGGGGGAAGGCAACGTACAGTTGCATTGAGAGCATAGCCATAAGCGACAACGGCTCCATGTACTGTTGGTAAGGAATGGCGCTCATCGGCCCGGGGTTCACGGCCTGGTAGCCGTACATTGTGTTGATATCGGTCGGGAAGGGGTACATGCCATACATGCTACCGGAGGCGGGCAATGAGGGCGACCTCAAAGACATCCGGTTACCCTGCTGGGCGCCAATCGGAAGACCGTGCTGCTGTGACCGCTGGCGGTCGCCAAAACCAAATGATTTCTGGGGGACAAATGTGTTGTTGGACACGGGGGGTTCGGGAACTGAGAGTTCTGGTTGAAGCTCGAATAGGGACCGCGGCCACGGTTGGGCCCTCGGCCACCTCGCTCGGCACGGGGTTCACCACGCTCTCGGTTGAAATCTTTGTGGTCGGGGTAGCCGGCAGGATCACGGAGGAAGTCAGCAGACTTGGACCCGGGTTCAAAACGGCGGTCGTTGGCACGGGCTGCTGCCTGGGGGTCAACAGCCAGGTGAGCACCTCGGGAACCGCGGTCGCCAGCCCGAGCGTCGTGGTTTCGTGGGAAGGACTTGCCCTCACGTTGAGGGCGAGAGAGATTCTCGCCACCATTTGTCTGCTTGCCAGTCGGAGCGTTGCCATCCTCACCAGTCCGGGCTCCGCGGCTTCGATCCGCACCTTGCGACGCTTTGTGGGCGTCAGCCGTAGGACCGACATCGGTACTGGTAGAGCGTCTGGCTTGCGCAGGAAGAGAGGCTGCGCGGCCAGTGCCAGACTCGTGCCGCCCTCTATCTCCACCCTGCTTAGCGGCAGAGCCTTGGGAATTTTGCGGGGCACCCTTTTCACCGGCGCCATGTGCACCTCCACGGCCACCATCCCGACCACCTCGCGTGGCTCTTCGGCCTCCACGGCCAGAGGGCGGGAGCGGAGTGTTGAAAACAGCGGTAGGGACGTAAGGAACAGGTGTCCACTTTTCCTTGCCGTGCGGGCGCATAACAGGGCTCTTGTCGGTTCGCTCGGGCTTCTCAGTCTTCTCCTGGGCCTTCTTCTTCTCTTCACCCAGCGCAACCTGGGGCGTCGGCCATAATGAAGCGTCCGCTACTGGGGGAACTGCTCGTGCAACAATTTTGTCAGCTTGCTTGCAAAATAAAGCCCCGGTAGGGTTCCCATTCGGCCAACGAGTACGTTGGTCACTGTCAATAGAGGTGGGCACTGTACCATCGTCTCGGGATTTGCCGCCCTCGGTCTTCTTTCGGTCCTTAGCACCCTCGGACACGCCATCCGTCCCCTTCTTCTTCGAGATAGCTTTGGAGGAATCTTGCTGACTCTCGTCGGCTGCTGTGGCTGCAGGGCCTGCTTTCGGGGACGCAGTCTTGCCAGCGGCAGGGGCGGGCTTGAGTCCAGTACCAGCTTTGACCCTGGCGTCCTGGGCCTCTTTTCGCTGTTGCCAGATGTTCACTGAGGGCAAGGGAGCAGCCTTGAGCTCCTTTGGGGGTGCACTCTTCTCCTTCTCCGAATCCCCAGGTTTTTCTTTGGAGCCTTCCGCTCCACCTTCAGACTTCTCCCCTTGGCTCTCATTTTGGGGCTGTTTCTCCGTAGAATCAGAGGTACCATTCGGGGTACTCGAAGCCTGTTCCTCTTTTTGTTGAGATTTCGTGTTGCGAACGCTTGGGGACGAGGTCCGGGAGTGGGCAGCCTTCGATTTGGCGGTATGCTTGCTGGTGACGGTTGTGAATTCAGCATCCGTATTGCCATCTGCTGCCGCCTTCTCAGGTTCCTGTTTCTCGGGTTCAGAGGCCTTTGTCACAGCCTCGGTCGCCGGCGTATTTGTGCTCAGCTCCTCCAGCTTGGTCTCAGTCTTTTCGGGCTCTGTAGATGCTGGCTTGGATGGGGCTGGTGTCCCCGTAGTGCCCTTGGCGGCTTGCGCGTAGGAGAATGTAGGCATCTCGGATGTGGTGCTCATCGCAGTTTGTGTCGGATGAGATGGAATGGTGAAAAGGATGGGTGAATCCGTTCTCGGTTGCAGGTTATTCTGCCCAGGAACGGCTGCCTCTGTTGGCGACCCTGGAGATTTCAGTCTTCACCGACTGGGGCGAGAGGACAATGGTATTGGTGGGAATCAAAAGAGAAAAAGAAACACTTCCACCTTCTTGCAACCCCACCGAGATGCGACTTCCGATCAGTCAGGATCACTCCCACTGCTCTTCGTAAGCAAGGCAAAGGATCGCTGGAGTCGAAGGACTGTGGATGGGTATTCTGTCGAATCCGTTTAGATCACAGATCGCATCGGCAAGACAGTTTGTATCTTCCAGAGAACTGAACGGCTATGATCAGGCCGATCGAGAAAGAAAAGATGAGGCAAAGTGGGCGAAGAAGAAAAAAATTCCACGGAAGACAAGGCAAAAAGTCCGTGTCCGGGTTGGTGAACCAAGCTCCAAAAGAAAGAGCAATGAGCTCACACAATCAATCCACTGGGTGCACGTCGGATGCACAGAAACTCTTCCCTTGTGTAATTTCCGCCTTGGTGCGCTCTCACACGTTGGCTCTCTCGCGCTGGCGCTCACGTAAATCTCAACTGCCGAATATTTCGCTTCTGTGACAATGGTGATAGACGACAGGCGACGATATGAGACACTCTGAAATGTCAATCAAACCGCGTTCCTGGCGTGAGAAGATTGGCCCCTTGGAAAAATGTTGACCGAGAAGGCACAGGCGCAATTCGCAGACAGGTTTCGGAAGGAAAAAGTGAGGCGAGGAACGAGAGGGTCGGGGGAGGTCCTGGGGTCTCTGGAATTTAAAAAGTCAACAAGATGCACAAGAAAAGAAGACTGCGAGTCAAAGTAGGTCTTGCACGTGTGGGAAACAAGGCGCGCTCAACTTCAAAATACCCACAAAAAGAATAAAGGGCACACACGGACGATCGGGAATACGAACCTGAGTTGAGCAAGGCCCAGCAACAGATCACACACAGAGGGAATGGGGATTGGGGGAAAAGCGACACCCGATGAGGGGAGGAGAGGGGTGAGGATGGATGAAGGGTAAGAGAAGAGGGACAAGAAGCAAAATTATTATTTTGGTCAGGGCAGACTGTGGTAGCGGGGGAAATTACTTACACAAACAATTTCCTGACAGGCTCTTAAGGCGGAATTTTGGTTCCTGTGTATCCCAGGGAATTGTGGAATTTCGCATAAAAATTAATTGGAAAATCTTTTACTTTTTTTTTTTTTTTTTCCTTCTAATTTTTCTAGTATGGAGAAGGGTAACTATGGAGTCTGTGGAATTCCTTGCCGTACGCCCGAAAGACACGGATAAGAGAGAATTCCGGAAGTACCTCAAGGGCTGAGCATAGTCACACAAATAGGGTCTGCTGAGGACCTTGTCTAGATGTGTCTATAGTGTAGTGACCGAATTTCATACTTGATATTAAATGAGTACCTTAAGGCATGATGTGTATCCCTATTGTGTGAGTAATGAAATATGAAATGTTCCCCGTACTAGTGTCAAGGCATCCATGCCTTTTGGGGCTGAATATTAGTGTTACATAGACTGACTGACTCGAGAATACCAGATTCTGCTGTACGTAGAAATCAAATTCAACACCTGAAGCTTAAGAGTCAACCCCATCAAGGTGATAGTGTATGCACTCGCCCGAGACTGTTGACCTCGGCTGTCGTATCAAACCCTAAGCCCACCAAGGGATCAACATGAGCCTCATGGATGATACCAGGATAGAAAATACTTGTACCTTCATAAAGGTATTGAACAGATAATATGTGCTGAGGTAGTGTAGAAGGTAGCTATGCTCTGTCAAAATGGCGGAAAATACTACTTTTCAACATTCTATACTTCCCACGTCGACAGCTAGTTAGCCGGCAAAGTATCCGCTAAGACGCAAACACCAAATCTACTTATACATAAACCACCTATTGTATATTTCTCTCTAAAACACAAGAATTCCACCGTGTTCCAACCCATATATAGAGAACAAAGAAAGGGGGAAGAAATAAGAATAATATACAAAAAAAAAAAAAAAAAAGCCGTTGTCTTTTCTTTTTCTAAACCTCGTGGGGTCCACCGAAGCCCCTCCCGCATTGGCGTCGGGGCCACACATGGCCAAGCCGAATACTTGTATTTCATTTCTGTTTATATAGAACATTTAATTCTGCCAATAAATATTCAGTTATTTTGAGGGGTTTTACCCCAACTGATTAGCTATCTACTCAATACCCCTGTCATCTTCACAAGCAGACAGCCGTTGACGGCACTCGGATATACAAGCCGGTGACGAAATGCTCGGGGCACGGGTAATGCGTAATACGGGGCACAACCAAGCCTTGGAACATGGGCACCAACAGAGAGAGAGAAGTGAGGCTATGTAATTTTGTACAAGAATGTGAGATACCCATGTCCACATAACCACGCGCAGGAGTAAAATATCCAGCACGTGTGAAACTAGATATTTAACTGGCACGTTTATTTATTCTCTAAAAATATTCTAAATTGCTACATAAATGCCACCGGGGCAGAACTAAGGTGTTTCAGGTTCGGGTAGCGCCTAGTTAGGGTTGAGGGCAACGCGGAATCCATCGGAAGGGCGATGTGGGTATGTAATCGCAATACACGCCTGGGCAGCCCGCCTTGTCCAAGGAACAAAACGTCACTTGGTATTACAGTAGTCTTTCATGCCTCAGGTTTTATAAGTTGGGAGGTATTGAAGAGTCGCCGGAAAAACTTCGTACATTTTGGGATATCATAGTAAACATACACACTACCAATGCCGAACACTCACCAAAACCTGCTCCCGCGCATCCAGCTCGACGGAGCCAGGCGGCCCCGTTACAAGACCCAAGCGCATCAGAACCTGCCACACCTGCTTGCGCTTCAGATTCTCGCGCACGGGGATCTTCTCCAGGGCGTCGTAGCCATTAAAGTATTTGAGGAAGACCGGCCAGTATGTCTTGAGAAGGGTCTGAAGGTCATCCGGGACGATGTCCGGGCTGACGCCGGCCATGCTCGGGTCTTGCTCGGGTTTATCAGGGAACCGGGCCACGATCTCGTCGAGCCAGCGCGACTCGAGCGGGGACGCGCGGTGCGGTGATAGAATCAGGGAGGACAGACGCAGGGCCGTTGACCGATCCAGGAGTTTGTGCGAGTTGCGCAGCTGGGCGTGCGGGTCGTGGCGGCCGGGCATGGGCGTGTCGTCGCCGCTGCCGTGGCTTGCCAGCGAGGATGAGGACGAGGATTTCGCGTCGTCATCGTCACTATCGTGGCTATCTGAGCGGTTTCGTTCATCGGTCGACGACATCGATGTGGAGCTGCCTTTGGCCAGGTATCGGTCCACCTCTTCCTTCCGCAGGGCCGACTCCACGGCCACCTTGACCTCGGGTGGGATTTTGATCCGAGCAAAGGTTCGCAGCTGCGTCACCCAGCCGCCGCGGAGCAGCCAGGCCAGGATGGAGAAGTAGATCTCCTTGTGATCTTTGCTGGGGATGAAGCTGCCGTACGGGCGAGGGGTTCCGCTGAGTGCGGAGAGCATCTTGGGCAGGCTAGGGAGGGTGGGGAATGCGGTCTGATAGGCAATGGTTGCCACCTCCAGTTTACTCAAGTCACAATTAGGCGAGACAATGTATGTGTCTCGTTGGTGGATAGGGGGAATAGCGCGAGCCCGGCGCCAGTAGACGAGGTGACTCGCTAGCATCTGGATGGTGGCAAGCGAAATCCCAGAGACTGCAGATATCTGTGCGAACGACTTGGTAGGTTTGGAGCACCGAATGTAATGGGTGAGCGCAGGAGCGAGAGCACCACCAGACGCTTCCACGTCTTTGATGATCGCAGCTTCGCTGTCCAACAAGAGCAAAGCAAAGTGCTTTGCTAGTACCTGGTGGGGAGTACTGTTTTCGTCAGCACCCGGATCATCGACGGGAGTTGCACTGTCTGCGGTCGTCAACCAGAGTCCCGGATATGATTGATCCATAGGGCCCGCCAGGTACGGCGTAGAGGTCAGCGGAGGGATCTGCAGAGAGATGGACACGTCGGGGCTGAGCGAAACAGAGGCGATCTTGGACGCGGAAATACTGCTGTAGACAGTGTACATGGCTCTCGCCAACGATGACTGAGATATTAAGTCGGAGTAAAGCTTATGAACCGAGGTTTCTGGATCAATGTCAGCATCCAATATGAAGCAGGTAGACAAAAGACTGCTTACTTGTTTCTCGCGCCCGCCGTCTCACTTGCAAGATGTGTTGCGATTCCTTCCAGACATAATCCGTGCGAGCCTGCTCCCACTTCAAAGCCTTGGAGAATTTCTTGATGATATTATCATAGATCTCCTTGACCCGCATCGAGTACTCCAGCAACGGAGGATCCACGACAAATACCACATTGAACATGGTCATATGGTCATTGTCCTCCGGATCTGTGTCGTCGACGGGTTTCCCTGCCTTTCCGCTAGTTGACGCCGCACGCTTAGACTCGACCGGAGACTCGACAGTAGAAATGCCACTGGCCGCCAGATCGGGCGAGAGCACCATCTCGTCATCGCCAAATCCCTGCTCAGCATGTTCATTATGGCCCAGCTCTCCTCCATCCCACTCCGGGCGCGACTTCTTCTTCTTCCTCCGTCGTTGTTTGCGCCAGGTGCCATCCTCGCGCACGAAGACCGGCCACCCGATCAGCGCCAGGTCATTAATCCCCACCTCGAAGCGCCGCTTGTGCCACGAGCGCGACGGGCTCAACAATTTCTCCCACACGCTCCCTGGCAACCCCAAGAGCGACTCCCACGGCAGCCGCGCCGACCTGCCCGTCCCGTCCTCCGGCCGGTCCGACGCCGTGCCGGGATCATCTTCGTGATCCGAAGCTGCACCGGCGCGTTTGCGCAGCGAGGATGCTCTCCCAGACCCTAGAGACCCAGGTCGCTGCGACTCGGCCGCTGCCGCGGGCGATGCCGTCAGATGATCGTCGAGACCGAAGTTGCTCACCCGGCGCCCGAGCACGGTGCTGCCGCCCATGTGACTTTCTCGTTCCTCCTCATCCTCGTCCGAGCTGAGCCCGCTCTCATCGCTGGAGCTCGAGTCGGTGTTCTTGTGGCCTTGTCGGCTGCGGGTGCGGGAAATGCGCCGTCCGCCCTTGGTGGTGGTTTTCAGGCGGTTCTCGCTGAGCGGGTTGGGCGGGTAGTGGAAAACGAGGCGGGGGCCCGGTGCGCGAGCGCACGATGAGAATGATTGCCACCAGACATGGGTCTGGTGGCCGTGCGATCGAAGACATGGGGGGCAGTTGCGGCGAGAATGGGTGGAAGCCAGGGCCATGAGCGGAGATTCCCCGCGTGGAGCTTGAGCCAACGCCATATTCACCGCTTTGATAGAGCTATACAGAGTAGAGCTTAGAGTGAAACTCAAGCCAATATAACAGAATATTAGTTGCTTGGAGAGTACTTCATTTCGTTATGTTTATTTACAGCGCCGGGAAAATGCTAGCCATCGCTACCTAATCGTACAAAGCTCACCAAACTGTCAGCGTCTATCTCATCCTTTTTTCTCTGACTGCCCAGTTGGCGGGTGATTATTTTGTGCATCCTCTGTAAACTCCAATCCAAGGTTCTTAAAGTTATCGGGGGCCATAAGGTTCCTAATTTCGGCACGAGGCATGGGTCAGCATATGTCTTCAATGATCTACCCAGTTCCCTCTGCAAGTGTTCAACGTACTTGTCCATTCGACAGGCAAGGTATTCCTTGGCCAGCTTGCGACATGCCTCGTCATTGGTGCCTTTGTTGGATTTGATGCATTTCAGATAGCCCGAGATGATGTGTTTGCATTCTCCTAGTGGATGGAATAAGTGGTTAGCGGTCCGTCCTGTATGTCTGGGTAATTCGTTGACAGGCTAGTTCTATGGCTGGAGGATGATTTACCTTCATGGTCAAGAGGGAAGCTCCCGCGTTCAGGCCTGAAGCAGAAAAAAAATAAGTGATCAGCAACACCCCAGATTTGCGATGACCCAAATGCGCCGGGCTCGGTGATTCAAAATCAGAATTGCAGAGGCCAAAGACTCACGGGGTGGGCTTGTAATTAGTTGACCCGCCTCCGGGGGCTCCAAAACTCATTGTCAATAGAAAGTGAAATTGATCCACTCAGAGTGATCGAGCAGCTTGTCGAAGAGTATTGGAAAGCAGCGCTGGATTTCTGATCTGCGAAGAGCCCAAAGCAAACAAAGCAAACCAGACAAACAGCACCTCGACCAACCACAGCCGCAGGACGATGATGTATGCAGCGCTGCAACATGGAGACTGTTTGTCAGGATTGGCCTGCTTTGTCTGGCCACCCCCCACCATAGGTCGAAGTATATAAAGACCGAACGTTGTCCTTATCAGATAACCCCCTCAGCAACGCAATATTTCCATCTTATCCCACCGGAGCTAACACTTGTTTTTATCATGCCTATGTAGATCTCCCTACCTTGCCCCACTTGGATAACCCTGCAACTCTGTAGTTGCTAACCAGTCACACAACAGGAAACTCGAAGGAAGCTGCCAGTGCGGCAGCATCGAATTCACTGTTGACTCCCAGACCCCCGTGCCATACCAGCTCTGTGCCTGCAGTATCTGCCGCAAAGTCGGCGGATACGGCGGCAGCGTGAACCTGGGCGGTATCGCAGACAGCCTGAAAGTGATCAAAGGGAAAGAACTGATCAAGTATGCAAATATATCTTTTCTCTTTTGTTTTCTATTTCAATCTCTCAACCAATATATTCCAAGGTTGAATATAAATACTAATAAGTCATCAGACAATACTCTGCAATCAAAGACCGCGGCACCCCGAACGAGGAGCGCTGCTCCTCGCAGCGCAACTTCTGCTCGAACTGCAGTACCATGCTGTGGCTCTGGGATCACCACTGGCCGGAACTCATTCACCCCTTTGCCTCGGCGATTGATACCGAGTTGCCCGTGCCGGACGAGATGATGTGCATCATGTCCGGCTCGAAGCCGGCGTGGGCGCGGTGGCCGGAGGGGAAGAAGAGTGTGCATGAGACTTACAATGGGGATAGTCTGGAAGGATGGCATAAGAGACATGGGCTTTTTGTTGAGTGAATCTGAAAGGAAAAGTGGACCTAAGGCGTTGTGGCGACGAGGGGAAAAGGGGAGAAGAGGAGTTGGTTGAATACGAGGTTGACGAATGCTACGGAAAGAAAAAAAAAATTGAATATCAAAAATTGATTAGTATGCTACCTGAGTGATCTGATTCCCTGCAATGCATATTAGCAGCAATCCTTGCAATGATATGAATGACATAGTGTGCAAGGGTAAGAACAGGATCAGTTCTCCAAGGTGAATATTTGGTTTATCTTCAAGATGTATTCAGAAAGAACACAGCGAATTTATAGGTTCATCAGGCAGTCAAGGGTGCAGAGGATTGTCGAGGGCATCAACTCACAATCTAGGTCAGAATTTCTACTGGGTGTCGTTGAATCCTAAATACTGAATGGCATCGAGTCAGCGATGGCATTCCAACATAATGCATGCATGATTGCAAAATGAAGACATGGCAACTAAGTCAGGCTGTACCTTTGTCAGCATATATTCTCCATCTGATCAAGTCCAAGATAACATACCTCATTAAATCAGATTTTTGTGTAAAATGTTCATTCCCAAGATACAAGAGCATCCGGGTCAAACAGTGTGAATAACATGTTCATCATGATAGATTGGTCCATGGTGGGGTGGTATGGAACACAAAGCATAAAGTAATTTACCTAGAGAGCTTGTCAGCTACATGGCCTTGGACAGATCTCAACGACGTTGACAACGAGTGACAAGGGCAAAAGATCAGGTGACGAGTTCTCAACAAGTAATCCACCTCCCATGCACCCACAGAGTTTGTACGCTCTGTTTATGATGGATACAGGGACGTGGACACGTTATGTCCGCCCGTTCGTTCAAAGTTTCGTCATGCAAAGCAAAGGCTGCAACTGAGGGCAGAAGGGTGGGCATATCATTTTAATTTACCTAACCAGCAGTCTGTTAGCACAAACTCTGAAAAGAGTTGATCATAAAAACAATGATGAGAATAATGTGTAGTCAGACAAGGCTGAAACTTGATAGAATGACAGATTCCACATGGTGATTAAGTTTGAGGAATGCCTTTGCATGTCTTGGAGTCATCATACAAAAGGGGTGGGGTGTAAAAAAAAGGGTGGGGGGCAAAAGTAGTACCATACCTTTTACAATAATGGATCAGTCATGTCGAGGTCAAGCCATGAATGGTCTGTTCCTGATGGACGAGTCAGCGAGGTCCCAAAACCAAGTCCAAAGTGAACTTGAATGCAATAGCAACATTCAGTGTAATTCTAGAGCTTTTTTTGTAAATCCTTCATGTTTTGTCGGATATAGGATACAAAGAATATTCATCCTTGAAGCTCGGGGTGACGACTGGACTGGGAATGCGGCTTACCTCTGGTTGTATTACATCAAGTAGGTGGGATCATGAGGGCTGATAAAAGCATCTCAATGACCTCAATTCAAATAAAAGAAAGAAAAGAAAAGAAAAGACAAAATTGGGGAGCTAAGAGCTCCTGAGCTGAGAATCGCAAGCACGGTAAGAGAAGAAAAAAATTGTGGGTGGAGTGCGAAATATAAACGACGCTACGGTGACCGGGGAATTCGCTTGCGCAGTTTGTCTTGAGAGCAAACATGGCCACCTTCCTATTTAGGTAAGTGTCTGTTTAGTAGGTCTCTCGACCACGATGACTCTTTGATAAATTGTTTATTTGTGAATTCTTGAAATTGTCTTTTAATTTTTGATTCTCACTACAGATAAACCAGACAAAGAACAAGGTATAGATCCATCACCGTCACAAGTACACTGTCATTCTTGAGTTAAGATGCAGCAAGGACACACATTAGCCAGATATACAGCTTGAAGCTATGTCAATTATCATACATGAGAGCAAAACTTCAATTTTTGATTTCAGGATATCTTTGATTCTGACGACCTCACCTAGACGTCATCTCAGATGACTACTGCAAACAACAAAATCAGCTACGTCAAATTGACGTTAGATCCTGACTTAGAATCAACTTTTTACAAAGGAAAACTTATATTTTGATGACAATCAAGACAAGGAATACAAGGAATTACCAGCAGCACACGATCCAAATCCCCAGAACAACTTAGTCTCAAAATGTCCACCAGATGCAAGCTGAACACCGGAGCCGAAATCCCAGCCATTGGATTCGGCACCTGGCAGGATGAAAGCGCCCAAGAAGACGCCGTTGTCGAGGCGATCAAAGCAGGATATCGACACATCGATACTGCGCGAGTGTGAGTGGCTTTCCAACAATTCCCGAGAGATACCTTGAAGCATCTCTCAACACCAATAATGGAATATATAGCTACGGAACCGAGAAAGCCGTCGGACAAGGCGTCAGGAAAAGTGGCGTCCCACGCAAAGATATCTTCATCACGACCAAACTCTGGAGCAATAAGCACCATCCTGACGACGTGGCCCCGGCGCTGCAGCAATCCCTCGATGACCTGGGCATGGACTATGTGGATCTGTATCTCATGCACTGGCCCATGGCCTGGAAGCGAGGGGAGGATCCGTTCCCGAAACAGAATGGGAAGCCGGTGATGGAGGATATCGACTTTGTCGATGTATGTTCTACGTCTACTTCATACATCCCGCTTCTTCTTTTCCATGCATGACACATCTACTGGCACTGGCCGCTGATTACTTATTACTTATTACTGGAAAGACCTACAAAGCAATGGAAAAGCTGTTGCAGACAGGCAAGGTCAAGGCCATCGGCGTGTCAAATTTCTCCAAAGCAGAGATGGAGCGACTAGTCCAGAACACTTCTGTCGTACCGGCCGTCCATCAGCTGGAATGCCACCCATGGCTGCAACAACATGAATTTACAGCGTGGCACCGGGTCAAGGGGATCCATATCACGCACTACTCGCCATTTGGAAACCAAAATGCCATGTACAGCGGCAAGGGCGGGGCCACTAAGCTGATCGATGAGCCTCTGCTTGCGGAGATCGGCAAGAAATACACAAAAAGTGCTGCTCAGGTTGCTCTTGGTATGTGACTGATACACCCCTAAAATCTACCTAACCTTGATGTATGCATGCTAATTTGTCTTTCATGTGTGTTCGGTACCTATAGCTTGGGGCGTCACTCAAGGCCACTCAGTCCTTCCCAAGTCGAAGACTCCCTCGAGGATCAAGGGCAATTTTGGAGGGGATTTCAAGCTCATTCCGGATGATATGAAGAAGATCCAGACTATTAACAGGAAAATCCGGTTCAATGACAGCAGCGGGACGTTTGGGAGAGATTTCTTCATGGATCTGGAGGGAAAGTGATGACTGCAGAATTAGTGTGACTCAACTAAAATGACCAGAGTTAGAAACTGCAATCACCGTCGTTTCAAAACAGAAGTGTAAAATGTACAGGCTACAAGATTGGTGTTTACAGTTGGGCGAGCTAGGGCTCATGACGTCATCTCAAGGGAGCTCCAACGTCAATTTCCTTGCCAAACCCCCGAATAATTATTGATTATTCCCACCTAAGTGCATGGATATCAATTGGCTCAATGGGTTCAGCAGCTCATGGATTCGCCTTGGTGACCCCCGCATCGCGTGGGCTAGGCTTCGCCTTTGCCCAGCAACTCCTGGCACAAACCGAGCTCCCCGTCATCGCGACAGCGCGCAAGAACTGCAACGAAGTCCGAGAGCAACTCTTGTCCAGCAGTGGTGTGTCACGCGGAGAAGAGAAGAGACTGCGGCTACTGGAGGTGGACGTCACAGGTCGGCACTGCACTGAACTCCTCGAAACTCCACGCACAAAGCATACGAGTGCTCGTAACTAACATGAGATTTAGATGAATCCACAATATCCGCAATGACAGAAACAATCCGGCACGAGTACCCAAATACACCCCTCCGACTGGCCCTCACCCTGCCTGGAATTCTCAGCGTGGAAAAGTCACCCGCCCAAATCGACTCTGCAGCCGCGCTGGAGAGTTTCCAAGTCAACGCCCTCGGCCCGCTGTTACTCATGAAACACCTCTCATCATTTCTTCCAAAAAGATCTGCCCCCGCATTTCCGACAACAGACTCATCATCCTCAGAGGACAAACTAACCTTGCCATCGCATGCCATCTACGCTATGATGGCCGCCCGCGTAGGCTCTGTCTCTGACAACGCCTCTGGTGGCTGGTACTCCTATCGTGCGAGCAAAGCAGCCGTGTTTCAGCTTACAAAGACCTTTGATTTGCATCTGCGGACCCGCAGTGCGGAGAAGGCGCTTGCTGTTGCTCTGCATCCTGGGACGGTGCGGACAGATTTTACGAGGGAATTCTGGGGTGGGAGAGAGATGTTAGAGCCTGCAGATTCGGCGGGGCGGTTGCTTAAGTTCCTGGCGAGTTTACCACCAGATGTTCAAGGAGGTCGAGGGAGGTGTTGGGATTGGAAGGGTGAAGAGGTGTATCCATGATTTGTGCAGAAACGGAACAGTAATCCGCACCCAACAACCTCGGGATAGTTGACCACTACCGAGGCCATACACTCAAACAATTGGTATCCAGTCATCCAGTCGCTTGGGTAATCCCGAGCTCCCTCGGGCATTAAGGACTAGTCTGCGGAGGAAATAAAACTACCGTTAGAAGTGTCAAATCCCCGAATTGTTGTCTCCACGAAGGCGTAATGTTGAAGTTTGTTAGACCCGTGGTCTGGGAGGGGGGGGAAGGGATGGTGAAGTAAATCTTTCAATTGATCCTGCAAAGTAGGCATGCTGGGATTTGAACTGTGAACTGAATTCAAGGTTAGTTGAGGTTGGTAGAGTTGGTGGAGGTAGTCTGAGTAAATTATGGCACATATAGCAGGGTGGGACGAGGTAGAATATAAACGCGCATAGATGATTTCTTTTGTATCAATATTGCTTGTTTATTTCTCACGTGAGTATAAAACCGATTCGGTTCATAACAGATATATAAGGCAGTTATTCACTTCCACTATACTCTCATCATGTCGACAACATTAGCGATAAACAAGACCCTTCGACCGCAGACATGCTGCGTCGCATCCAAACGGCCGAGAGTGTCCAATTAACCATTCCACGCGATGCTTTTGAGAAGCTATACTTAAGCCCAAAACTACCAACAGCCGGCAATCTACGCCGCACATTCGGCAACCCGACTCCTATTTCGCCCATGGGGTTTTTGCTCGCAGCGACGCCAACGGCAATGCTTACGATGGGATGGAGAGGAGCAGGTGGGCAATGGCGGTGCCATCTTGTACGATTCTTCTTTTTCTCTTCCTCTTCCTCCTCTTCTTCTTTCTGTCATTTCCCACATTTCATCCAATACAAATCAGATAAGACCTGTGTACATCTTCGGAGGAATTGTACAGTTCTTAGGAGCAATTGGCGAGTGGATTTTTGGGAATACCTTTTTGTGTGCTCTTTTCTTCACGTATGGGATGTTATTCTATATATCCAATGCTGATGGTTTGTTTTGAAATCACCAACGTAACATTGCGCGTCGTGGGATCCTTAGGGTTAGGAAAACTGTGGCATGGCGTGGGATAGTTTGTATTGTACGTCTTATATTGGCGCAAGAAGGATAGTTGCTTGTGTATAATAAGCCATAAAATCTTGACAACCTAAAATTCAAGCTATTTTTGTCTGATCTTGGATACTTTTATCCGATTCTTTGTAAAGCAAATAAAAAAAAAATAAAAAATAGAAAAATATAAGCGGCTAGAAATTGCATACTTAATGCAAATCATGCTTTTCCTTATGTCCCATGTTGGTCCTATTTGATAATCCGCAAGGCCTTGTGGGTTCTTGTCTCCCTTGGCTGACCCGCGGGTTGATTGTATGGACTCGAAACCCGACCCGATGTGGGTTTCGGGTCGGGTTCTTGCGGTTCCCCGCGGGTCGTCTTGAGATCTACTGAGGGTAGAATTTGCAGGATGTCATAAAACGTATAAGTGTGCCAGTTCTGTATTGCTAAAAGATACGATGATATTACACCGCAATGGGCAGCTATTTCTGGATGCTTTTTTGATGCGATATTTCTGCGGCGGGTAGCGAGAGTCGAAATGTTTCTAAATCAAGGAATCTTGCCAAATTATTGCTGGCCGTGGATGTGCTCAGTTGAATTGAACCCATGCGGCAATAAGATCCAAGTATAGGAATGCCTAGCAAATTGAAACAACTCAGATTCTTGATAGAATTACGCACTAGCAGTGAAGCTCTCAGTGTAATTATCTTGACAAACACGTTTCAAAGCCCCCAGTTCATTGTGATTTGGCCGTGACCAACTGGATGGTGCGGCAGTCCTTTATCTCAAGGTTGTAGTGTTCCTTGAGCTGACTGGCCATTTCATCACCATATTGACCGTTCTCATTCCACACCGACTTGACATTCCCATCCTTCGTGATAACTTCGCGAGTTGCAATGAGTCTCAATCCTGAGCGTGTCTTGCACGCGGTGGGATAATACATGAGATTGCTAATTTGAGTGGTTCCAGGGTGAAAAAGGTTGGGTGACTCGAATACCAACGGTATGCCGTATCTTTTGCTCTCGTTGGGGTTGTTGGAGTCCAGCTGCTTGATTGCCCTTTTATTTTGCATTCGTCAGTTGCTTTATTTTATTCTCTGCCAGGTTGGATGACTTACGTTGACTTGTAAGCAAATGGAATCTGGTGTGGTTGTGATACCGCCAGATCGGCCAAAATAGGGTGCTGATCAGCCAACAAGCGCGATAAGCCATGCAATTCTCGCAGACTTTGGAAACTAGGCTTGAGCGGCAGGTATGACAGGATGCGTCCAAAAACATCCAATGTCAAAGGATTCTCTCCCTTATCGATCGTACCCCATGGGGCACTGATATCGTATCCTTGGTTCTTGCCGACCAGATAGAGACTTCCATCGTTGCCAGTGACCAGGATGGTGTCGCTTTTCCCGTCCATGAGAATCCGGAAACCCTGGGTGCCATTGTGCTTTGGGGTGCGGTCAGGAACTTTGGCAATATGTGGGTTTCCTGCAGTGACGTCTTCTCCCCATTCTGTAGTGATTGTTTTGACGAGGCCGGGCGCCTGAACACCACTTTGAATCCCGTTCGTGCTGTTGGAGAAAATTAGCCTGACCTGTTCATTCCAGGGGTAAAAAGAGGCACGTACGTGACACACGTAATCAACCGCTCAAAGATGGGGATGCTGGAAAGCTCATATTCCCAAATGTCAAATCCAGAAAGGTGAATCCGGTTCTTCGCGCCAACCTTCAGCGAGATGCCATTAGGACACAACACAGGGGTGTTTTGCGTCTTTTGTTCATCGATGCTGAGGCCGGTCTGGACATAAACAGACGGGGTGTTCACCAGCCCGGCTGTTTTCTTGAATTTTCCTGAAAGAACATTGATCCCTACCTCGATCGCCATAGGCACACCGATTTCACCAGTAAGAGTGGCTGCACCCTTGAACCGAAGCACAGGGTCGAACTTCGGCTCAAATCCAGTAGCCCCATTCCTGCCTCCTTTCAGACTGACTGAGGCAGTTCCCTTTCCGACAGATACACTGCCTCCCAAGAGGAGTTCGAACTTGCCTTCCGCCTCCACACTGACCGCAGCCCCGAAGCTGAGCTGCGGACCAAGTGTGAGGATTCCCGGAATGTACAGTGCAACACCCGCCGGGTAACTTTGTAGGTTCTTCTCCTGCTTGTTCAGACGCTTCTTCTTTTCCTTGCTCTTGTTTATTTTGACGTCACCACTCATGCCGAGCACGGCATCCAATGTAAGAGCGTCTTTATTTGTAAGCGTGAGAGTACCTTCGGTAATGCCGTCTTTGATGCTGAAAGCCAATCGGCCAGCGATGTCGATGTTCACATGAACGCCACACTTGGCACACTGTAAGGTCCAATCAACCGCCTTGCTGTTTTCTGCGAATGATTCAGCTAGCGTAAAGCCGTTCCCAAAGCCGAAGATCTTGGGGGGTTTGTTGGTGACCGCTGCCCCGTCAAGATGTTGGTCGAAATAGATATCATGGTGATAGGTATGGTCGAAGGGGACACCAAATGGTACCAAGAGGAGCTTTGCGGATATTATGGCTATTTCAACAAGGGCATCGCCGGCTTGTTTTATGAAGCCACCAACCGCTGTGAAAAAGCTCTCAATTTTCTTTAAAAAGGAAAATCACAAAGCGGTTAGTTGGGTCTCCTCGCTTTGATCTTTTGGTCCAGAAAAAACTCACCTGACCTAGCCACTGGAGTCCCCGTAACATGCCCTTGAAAATGTCTCGTCGAGCAAGCTCAGATGAGCTCCGCTCAGAGATTTCCGCCCTAGTTCTCTTGGTTCTCAAAGCTCGACTCCGAGCGGATAGCCGGCCAGTGTTATTCGTGGATTTCTCTGGGATCTCAGGATCCTCGGTCGACATAAAGTCGATACCAGGGGCCATTTGCCCCATATTCGACGTGTCCATATGAGAATTATTGAAGAAAGTCTTTAGCGCCGAGGGATCCGTGACGATATCCATGTTGCCACCACTGGGCATCGGTTTCGTTCCGTTTGTGTTGGGGTTGGCGACGCGTACATGGCCTTTGGTAGGTGATCTTCTTCTCTCGTTTGGATCGGTATATGTACCCCAAGACATAACCCCCGAGTGTAGAGCCTCCGATTCGTCGATAGGCGTGACAGGTATCACAACGCACATATCCTCTGAGTTGACTGACGGCTTTGACGCGTGGAAAAAGCTACGCTTTCCCGAGCTCTCATCGCCGCAGCCAACATGGTAGGTCGCAAGGTTGAAGTTTTCCTGGGACCCCCAGGAATGCTCGATGACATTGAACGCCTTTGGCGTTTTAAAACAGACGTGCATGTCGTTGTTATCGCAGGTAACGCTCTTGATATAATCAGAGTGATCTAACACGACTGTCCCGCGGACGAATTTTGCCTCGAGTGAGGCATGCTTGGAGCCATGAAGAGCGGCTATTCAATGTTAATTGGTTCCCAAATAGTTGGTTTTGTCACTATATGACTTACCACGATGCCCTTCCTGACTGTAGTGAAGAACCCTTTCCACTCCGGGAATAAGATGCTTTAGGTCACTAGAGTCATGATCAGGGTGCAACCCAGGATGCAATAATATTCCATCACTGCTGAAAGAAGGTGTGACTTGTAGTAGGCCATCGGTTGCCTTGTGCAGGCCTATTGCGGAAGTGGCGGTCGCGATGCCCAAGCAGGCTGTGAGGATGGTTTTGAACCACATTGCCCCCAAACTAAAGGTAATAGACAAAGGTGGGAGAGAAAAGTTGAAGAGAACAATTACTTGGGATATATGACCTTCTTATAAACCTTGTCATTCTAGCTCTCCTATAGCTTCATTTTTGCCTATGAGTATGTGTAGGAATAGCTCGCATGATCTCTTGTAACTATAGCACGAACAGTACCCACTGATAATCTACACTATTGAATAGTGAGGTGCAAATTCTGTTCATGAAATATTAAGATCTTCATGAAATATCGTTCGCACGATTATCTCCTGTAGCTAGTACACCCAGGCCCTACTGATTACCTATAATATTGAATAGTGACTATTGTAGATCCTATTAATAAGCTGATCAAAGCCTTTATAGAGTATAGTTGGCAAGATGATCTGTTGTGGCTTGTGTGGTTTAGGCTGAATAAAAAGTACATAGAACTCGCCGATCTCTTATAGTCACTATTGTGGATAGATTATAACTCCACCATTGTACTAACACTGACGAATCCTCTAAATCCCTCAATCTTGGAATTGTAGTTTGCTTTTTTCTTTCTCTTTCTTTCCCCCTCATTCTCCATATTTCAGCTCTCCTCAAGATCGGATAATTCCGTTGAACCAGGGAGGAAAGTTTTCGTGATGATAGTCCTATTTCGACGACTAACAATTTACGCTAGTCGTCCTCGGTCGGGGCGATCCGTTTCCTATCAAGGCTTATCTTCCCTTCCCTGCTTTTGATAACACTATGGTTTGGTTGTCCATACTTGTTAAAAGACTCGCCTGATTCAGGACGGTGGAAAGTCTGATCGACAACTTTCCAGGTCCCCGTATCCCTAGTTGGAAAAGCGATACAGATTGTCAATCGATGTTTTTTTTTCTCATGTTCAAGCTGGCCGTGTGTTTTCAGCGCACATGCACGGTCAACTGGACTAGTCGACATATTGTAAGTAGTCTGCGTTGTTCTCCAACCGAAGCCAATAAATAGTGGAGTTTTTCAACAGATCTCGAACCATACATCCATTAATCTAATCGTGATACTAGCCAGTACGCAGATTTCTTGATTTGACATGATCTATTCGCTAAACGATTGCCTTACGGCCTCTGTTTTGGGTTTAATTCGGAACTTCGGAAGTCGATCATAGATCAGCCGAGTGTTGAGCTGAGGTCAGGTCAGGTGTATTCGGGCCATCTATCGAGACCATACTTTGAAATGGCAGGGACCACAGTTGGACACGCTCCAGGATAGGAGTTCACGCGGTATCCCACAACGCCGTTTGACAGCCCCTGATCCGCTCATGGACATCAAGAGATCAGTCTGTAACAGAGAATAAGTCTCTAGCTACGTAGTTAGCCTATGGATTAATACGGAGCAGAGCGAGAGAGAAAGAACAGTTGGGTAGAAAATCCGCTCAGCTCAACTGATTCAACCGCGGGGCAAGTCAGAGACAGAACATTTCTAATGTGTGAAGGACCCGGTGATGATCTACGGGTCCGCAGCGCCCGTATGGTTCCATCGATCCTAATAGTTTGCATCTCGATTCTACCGCCGCTAGTCAGTAGTGTCGCCTACGAGGAGACCGAGAGAGATCACCTGTTCGGCCACTAAAAGCTCTCCACGTATATATCTCCATAAATATCTCCATAAATACTTCAGCCGTCCCCTATAGTCAGACCCACACCTCCGGTGTTGATCTTCCTCCCCTCAACACACAATTTCCGAAAATATCCACATTCTATCGATAATAACCAGGGTTTGGACCCAATCAAGCCGAGGGGGTTCTTCTGTTATAGGACTCGCCTCCGTTTGATGAGGTGGGGAGGCACCAAGTGGCTGCGAAAGCCATAGTTTCCTTCCTTTTCGCTCTGCCTGCTCCCTTAGTCGCTCGCTGCGGCCCGCAATTCGACGATTTGTATCCTTTACGTATAAAGGGCCCATTCTTGGTAACTGTCTGCATGATCTGTGGGTTTTTTGGGGTCGAATTTGGTGTAGATACTGCATCAAATCGGCTTTGGTTTGTGCGGCTAATTCGGTGGCTTCGATCATACACTCGAGGATTCGATTAATCCTGCGAACCTGGCTCTACCCTAACGGGCTGGGTATTCACGAAGATGGCTTTAATCTTATTCACGCTTGGAGGCTTGAAAAGGGGAGCTATCGAGAGGTTGGCCAAGATAGGTTTGTATATGGGATAAGATAGACGAGGATAATCGAATAGTTTTGATAGAATTCGATAGAATTCGGTAAAATCGTATGGTTGATACAAGCAATACCTATCTATCGAATATTAGGAACAAGCCAATTTACTAGGAGCGTCCCTTCGAAATTTTGAACGTGACGCGGTGGATAACTTCGTTGAAATGATTATTGAGGTGCTGCGGGACGATGGGCTACTTCGAGGCGAGTTTGAAATCTAGGGCCGAGTCACCTTCTAGGACCGCACGAAGCTATCGGAAGCGTTGCTAGAGAACAGCTTGGAGCAAATAAATCTCCAGGACGTGCGGACACCCCAGTAACTAGCGAACGCTAGGTATGGAAGAGGCAGAGAAAAAGAGGGGGGGGGGAGTTATGCAGAGATAGAAGAGGCCCGGCACCATACGAAGGCATAATCAAGGCGCCGACCAGTTCTGCGTGTATATAGTGGCCAACGAGCAACAAAACCCTGTATACGCGGTAGAGTTCAAAACGCCGCACAAAGTGACTATTCCTGAACTAGTAACCGGTCTACACGAGATAGATCTAGCCCGAGATATTATTGATTAGAAAGGCGACTCGTTTGATTGAGTATTATACCACCCGTCTTGTCACTGCTATGATTACTTAGATCTTATACATAATCGATAGTAGTGTTCGATACAGGTATATCTATATTAGGGAGGCCTTTGTTTCCGTGGCACCGGTAGTTCTCCAAATCCTGATTAGGAGATCGTGGAGCCAGTAAACAAAGTATTCCCGGAAGCAAGTAGGCTGAAATATACAATTCATTGGTTGGTCAAGTATGAGGCTCCATTGTGGCGCAATGAATCGCAGCAAGTTTACCAGGATGAAAGGTCACAGTGACGATGCCAGTGCTTTTTTGATGGGACAATAGCAGGCAATTTAGAGAGGGAGGGTGACACATGAATGGGACTAGCGTGTTGCATTTTATTAAGGTCGCTTTTGCTCGCCACTCACCCCTACGCTCAGGTTGTGCTCAGTGAGCAAATCAGGGCGCTCAGATGAGGATCAGGTGATGACGGAGGGAAGAGAAGTCGGGCACTAGACTGCGATCAGAAGAGAAGAGAAGAGAAGAGATAGATATCTGATGATAGTGAGAGAAGAAGCTATGAAGCTATCTACATAATAGGGCAAGGCGGTGAGCGAGGTGCTGGCTAAGTCCTCAGGCACCACTCTCAACATCAGTTCTACTTAGTGAGCAAAAAGCGGCAAGGGATGAGCACTAAAACGGAAAGGAAAAGCCCATGTGGGTATAAGCTTACTATCGATTTTGGCGCAGAGAACTTGCCGCGTTGGGACATAACCTTCGCTCGGTCTAAGCCACCGGGTGCGTCAGCCAAGCGGCTTATTTCTCTGCCTGGTCATTTTGGCTCTCTGAACTGCATTTATTTCTATATATATAACTGCCGATATTCGATATCAGAGTGATATACTGCACATACCAAGTGTACCAAGTGTACAAAGCATACAGCAAGGGTTGAAGTACAGTACCTCGACCTCGATCCCCCTTTTTCCTCGTTACTCCACATCCTCCCACAAACATGGATCTCAAGGATGCGGCGCTGCGCATCTCAAAGCTACTGGTGCTCTCATACATCATTGATTGGATCTTCATCATGTAAGTTGATCATCAGACTGCCACTATATCCAGGAAATCCATCTTAACCAAGGGACAAATCCACAGCGGAATCGCCCTGATCGGCTACGGTTTCTCCAAAGTCACTCCAAACCACCACGCCTTCTCCCTCACCGACCCCAGCATCTCGTACCCCTACACAGAAAACGAAACCGTCACCACCGAGACCCTCATCCTCGCGGGACTCTTCGCCCCCGCCGTGATCGTGCTACTCGGCGCGCTGCTGCTCATCCCCGGCACCGCAGCAGCAGCAGCCGTCGACGGCACCAAACCGTCCGTGGCGCAGATCCTGCGCCGCAAGATCTGGGAATGGAATGCCGGCTGGATGGGGCTGGCGGTCGCGCTGGCCGGCGTGTGGACCTCGACGCAGGGCTTGAAGGACTTGATTGGCAAACCGCGTCCGGATCTGTTGGCGCGCTGTGATCCCGATCTCAGTACCCTGGCGCAGCATACTGTCAGTGGGCTGGGCAAGAAGGTTGCTGGGGCACCGGTTCTGGTGTCGTGGGAGATTTGTCGCAATCAGGCTTCTTTTGTGAAGGTTGATGGGTTTTCTAGTTTTCCTAGTGGTCATTCGTCTTGTAGGTTGCGACTTGGATTGCTGGACAGAGACAGAAAGGAAAGAGAAGCTAACATTTTCCTTGTCTAGTCGCCTTTGCCGGTTTGACCTATCTGACCCTCTGGCTGTGCTCCAAGTTCTCCGTCGGCTTCCCCTATCTCCCGCCCTACCCGGTCGAGGACCAGACCCATTCGGATGACCGTGCGTCGGTCCGAAAGCGCGGCGCAGCTCCTCCCGTGCTGCTGATGCTTCTCGCGTTTGTGCCCTTCGCCACGGCCTGCTTCATCGCTGCCTCGCGGTGGTTCAACTATCGGCACCATGGATTCGACATTCTGTTCGGTTCCACCATGGGCGTGCTGTTCGGCTGGATCGGGTTCCGCATGTACCACCTTCCCATCCGCCGCGGCGCGGGCTGGGCCTGGGGTGCGCGAAGCCGCAAGAGGGCCTTCCTTCGCGGCATTGGGGTTCCCAGCTCCCTGGGTACTGATAACTGGGCTTACCCCCAGAACACTGATCTCGACAACCGGGGAAATACCGATGTTGAAAACGCGCCGTCGGCTCACTCGCAGCCGCCGAACAGCCACGTCAAGACGAGCGGAAGCTCGGCTAATGGTGCCAGACTTGAGGTGTGATCAAGCATTATCATGTTTCTTAATCCTGTCGCCACGCTGATCGTGGTCCAGCTTGGTATTGTGACCAAGAGTGCCAACGGAATCGTATAGTAGGTATAGTGTATAATGATCATTGTTCATGAACTCGGAGGCGGCATAACATCATAGTGACAAGTCAAAAAGAGTAGTATATGGTCGCAAGAATCTGTAGCAGACCCAATAGCAGCTGTCCAGATTAGCGCCACCCGCCAACTCGGCCCTCATCCCACCGTGCCTTGGCCTCCTTGCGCGCCGCCAGCTTGGACGCCTCCGCCCGCACGCGCCGCACCCAGTCCGCAATCTCCTTCTCGGTAGCGCGGCCGTGATGGTCCTCGTCGAGAAAGCTCTCTTCCACCGCCTGGCAAACCGCCTCCTGCTCTGCAATCGCCGCGCTCAGTCGCTGGTACAGCGCCTTGGGAGACCACGGCGCAAGGGCCGTGTCCATGTCTGTTTGCTTCTTGCGCCAGGTCACTTCCAGCGACTGGTGGGCGAGGAGCATGGTTTCGGTGGAGGCGCGGAGGTCGGCGAGACGGGTCTGCATTTCCAGTAGACGCGTCGCCAGGTCCTTGTTGACTTGGATGAGAGACTCGAGGTTCTGTTGACGCGCGGTGTGGGAGGGGTGTTGGCTTGACAGTGCAGTAATCAGGCTGGGGTCTTTGAGTATGGTTTGTAGATCGAGAGTCCTGTGTGTCACAAGGGTAAGAAGAGCTGCCTGGGCGTGATATGACTGCCACGGAGAGTCTTACGATTTCTCTTTCACAATCTCCGGCAGCCAGCCCTCTTCGCTTGTGGGCGGGTCGGGAAGCACAGGGGGCTGCGTATTGGTCGGGTATGATGTCTGTACACCCTCTGGCTGGCCGCTTATTTGTGTCTGCTGTTGCTGTGCGGAAGAGAACGATGTGTTCTGGGGTGTGCCGCCTCGACTGGCTTCATGGCTGCTGGGTTTCGGCGGCGGCGGGGGTGGCGTGTCGGGATTAATAGCTGAATTCATTTGGGCAGCTGAATAGAAGGGAGACTGGGGTGGGTATGGCGACGGTGGATGAGACATGGTCGGGGGAGAGTCGTGGGAGGGAAGTTGGAGTCGATGCGCCAGCTTAAGCTTGGCGATTACCCCACACTAACGGTGATCCTCCATGCACTACGCAGTCCTTGTTTACTGATTGTATGTAATGGTTGGGTTTATGCCTTCAGTCTAATTACATCGAAGCTCAGAGCCCCGGATTGCATGTCGGTCATCTCAGTCGTGCCAAATATGATCTATATACACTCCGCAGAATGCGGTGTCGGGCGAGCCGTCAGGGCTACTGCCACAACCTGTCGCATTCCAGCATGAAGGAAGGGGTTCGGATGTGCGATACGTGAGGACCATTGGAAGGTGCTTCTCAGCGATCGACCACTGCGTCAGTCCTCAACCCCGGTTGTCCGGCTCAGAGACAGCGGAATCAGACGTGCCCCAAGGTCAGGACCAAGGCCAAAATATGGAAACGTTCTCTCTCCCTCGTCTTACTCCACTCGCCTCCGCAGATCTGCGTCTTGTGTCTCGATATTGGAGCCGGTAATAGCATCCATCACCAGCTCGCGCAGCTGGTTTTGGGTCGCATCGCTATGGAAATCCTCCCGCGCCGCCAGCTCATCGATACGCCGCTTGAACTCGGGATCGACTTCAGTTTCCCCCGCGCTGGCCTCCTGTTCTGACATGGTACCAATATTGACTTTCATATTACCCGGGATGGGCGGCGGTGGGTTCAACGGTCCTGTAGACGAGCTGGCCGGATCGGAGGGGGCAGACCTCCCCAGAACTTCTCGCAGGTATTCGATTACTCGGGGAAACTCGTCGTCTACCTCCATTTTCTCCAGAGCGGTCAAGCCCTCGTCATTTTTCTTGTTGTAGTCTATCCCAAGTTCCTCGACCAGACACCGAGCGATCGCGGGGTATTCGGTCACGAACAAGCAGGTCTCGCCGTCTTCATCGAGAAGATGGACACCCACGTTGAATTCTTTCACAAGCGCACGGAGGAGGTCCAGATGGCCGTAGGATGCTGCGGCATGGAGGAGCGAGTAGCCATGCTTGTCTTGACATGAAGCGATCTCGGGATTGGAGCGCAGAAGGTCCAGGAGGGCGGAGGGGTTGTCGCAGGCCAGCAGGTACGGGTTGGGCTGTGCCATATTGAATGAGTCACGTTGAGTCAGAGCGAGGGTCAATAAATTCGACGTGTCGATGACTGGACTGGAGAGACTGGAGAGACTAGAGAGCGGACGTCAAGTAGCATTAAATCATCGGGAGAAAAAAATGGCCAAGGCCTCCGCCTTTCCTTTTTAGTTCCCCGCGGTGGCACATTCGTTTTCCTTGACTCACTCGCCCGGAATTCTTCTAAAGATCCTGTGGGAATTGCGGATATCTGTCTGCTACAAATTTGCCGAGGCGACAGAGGCAGAAGACCTGCAAAGAGAGCAAAGAAACCCGCTCTTTGGTCTTCTACCTTCCTTGTCCACCCCCCACTTCGCCATCCCCTCCATACCATTCCACGACCACGTACTCTTTACAGCAAATATCGAGAGGAAATTTGCAATCATGGCGACTCAGGATCCCTCGGTAAATGCACAACTGATCAGAAGCTTGGAGGATGCATGCAAAATGAACAAGGGCGATAAGAAGCGATCCTTCACTTGCAAGAAATCGACCTTTCCAGTTGAGGGGACCGACGGGGTGACCGTGGATTCCTGGAAATTCATGGACTGGGACTACAAACGCTCGGACCTTCCCACCTATGCCCGTGGCTTGTTTACCACGAGGAGGAAAGACCGCATTCCCGAGATCGCCGTGCGCGGATACGACAAGTTCTTCAACGTGGATGAGACCAACAATACCCGGTGGAGGAACATCGAGAACAACACGCGCGGTCCGTACGAGCTCAGCGTGAAGGAGAACGGGTGTATCATCTTCATCTCTGGTCTGGAGGATGATAAGTTGCTGGTGTGCAGCAAGCACTCAACCGGTGTCCGCCAGGATGTTTCTCTCAGTCATGCGCAGGCCGGAGAAAAGTGGGTGGAACGGCATGTGTCTACGGTGGGCCGCTCGTCCAAAGATCTGGCAAGGACCCTGCGCCAGATGAACGTCACTGCAGTCGGGGAGCTCTGCGACGACAGCTTCGAGGAGCACGTTCTGGCCTATGACCCGGAGTCGGCTGGAATCTATATTCACGGCCTTAACTACAACCTGCCCGAATTTGCCACAATGTCGGGCGAGAAAGTGCATGAGTTTGCCGATGCCTGGGGTTTCAAAAAAGCCAAGTTTGAGGTCTTTGATGATATTGTCAAGGTCCAGGGCTTCCTCGAGGGTTGTGCGGAAACGGGGACATGGGATGGACGCGAGACCGAAGGGTTCGTGATCCGATGCCAAATGAGCGAGGGCGGCAAAGGGTTGTACCGGGACTGGTTCTTCAAGTACAAGTTTGAGGAACCCTATCTGATGTACCGGCAATGGCGTGAATGCACCAAGGCCGTCATTTCGGGGAAGCTCCCTCGGATCAAGAAGCATGAGCAGATTACCGAAGAGTATCTCAAGTTCGCCCGGAGAAGATTCATCGAAAATCCCAAGCTCGCCAAGGAATATGTCAACAACCACGGCATCATTTCCTTACGAGAGGAGTTTTTGAAAGAGCGGGGTATGAAGGGATCTGAGGTTATTGCCATGGAAGCTCAAAAGCAGAGCCAGGGCCCGGGCCAGGATGTCAGCCGTAATGTCATCCTTGCCCCGATTGCCTCGTTGGGGTGTGGAAAGACGACGGTGGCGCTGGCCCTCGTGCGGCTATTCGGCTGGGCCCATGTCCAGAACGACAACATCCCCAAGCAAAAGGGCAAGCCGAAGAAGTTCGCCTTTATGATCGGCAATGCTTTGGCGGCAAGTCCTGTCGTGATTGCTGATCGGAACAATCACCAGAAGCGCGAAAGACAGCAGTTGATGGATGATATATACCCCGTGATTTCAGATGCGCAGTTTGTTGCTCTGCATTACGTCCACGAACCGAAGAGAGAGCTGCTACCCTCTATTAAGGAAATCACCCGGAAGCGGGTTCTTGACCGAGGCGACAACCATCAAACTATTCGAGCTGGTACCAACAGCCAGGGAGAGATCATCGGGATCATGGACGGATTCCTGAACCGCTTCGAGGGCATCGACACGAGCCGACAGCCCGACGAGAACTTCAACCATGTCATCGATCTAGATGTGAGCGCATCTTCTCGCGAGAACCTGGAGGTCGTCGTCACAGCCTTGCATGCCGCATACCCTCGATTGATACCAGAAATGCCCTCGGCTGCCCAGCTAGATGCTGCCATTGAAGCCTCCATGCACGATTACCACGTCCAGGAGGACCTGAGTGCCAGCTACGCCTCACACGACCGGAAGCAGAAGAACCAGCCCAAACATCCCAATGGCCCCGTCTCACCCCAACCTTCCCAACCCTTGGGCCCCTCTCCGGCAGCCCTAGCCAAGAAAATCGAATACTTCTCCATCGCCGTCCCCGCTCCCCAAATCACCTCGCTCCTCCATTCCCTCTTCCCACCCTCCACACCCCCCGAAACCGCGCGCCTCTACAACCAACTCATCAACTCGCGCCGCCTCCAGGCCGCCTTCCACGTCACCCTCATCCACCGCGCCTCGAAGAAGGACCACCCGGAACTCTGGGACCGCTACGCCGACCAGTACATCGACGCTCTGACCAAGCATGCGCACGACATCCCCGACCCCGTCAACCGCCCGCCGGCACTGGGTCCCGCTCGCGTCCGCCTCGAGCGTCTAATCTGGGATCACCGCATCATGGCCTTTGTCGTACGCATCCTCCCCGCTGACTCGGTACCGGCTGCTCAAGCTCCTGACTGGCCCTGTGCTAACTCCATCCCGCACATCACTGTCGGCACGGCCGGGCCCGAGATCAAGCCCAAGGAGAGCAACGATCTCCTGCGCCGGTGGCTGGATGTGGGGTCGGGTGGAGAGACGGGCATTTTCGAGGTTGAGGTCTCAGGTGTCAAGGTTGTGGATGGCTCGGCGGGGTTGGTCATGAGCCTGGGCAAGTATTGATGCTTGATATCTTTTACCTGGAGGAGTGGTCTATTTTTTGGATACCGGAAAGAATCATGAACACTTTCTATTCTGGTTAAGAAGAGAGAGAGTGTGTGTGTGAGAAAGTAAGAGAAGAAGAAATAGGCTACGCAAAGTGTTCTTGTAATCCTTGTATCGCAGGAATCAACCTCACATTGTTATCTAGGGCCTTACTAACCACAGATACTTAAATCCCATGAATGCGAGCGCAGAAAGGTGGCCTCGAATTTTGCATGTCTATTTATTTACACACTTATATACTGATACTGAAAGTCCATGATTCCCTGTAGAGCAGTAGTCAGTGTCCACGTTCAAAGGGTTATATAGAGTACCTCGACTGGACTGAAAGGGCTCAAGAATTCTGGCTTCTTTTTGAAGCTTCTCTCTCATCCCAGTCCAAAAATTAAATAGGTGATCTGCCATCGCAGACGGCGATGTCAAATCCAGACATCTAGTCCCGGCTAAGCCCGAGATATCTAGTCGACTCCTACGTGAAACAATAATCACCATAGAAAAAGACATACATTAAAAAGAACCCGATATTCACGCCATACTCTCTCGATCTATTTTCCGAGAGGAATCTCACTACATATACACGGAACAAGAAGCAAAAGAGGACATGTACTTCAACAGGGCCAAAGTATAGGCTAGGCCAAGATATAAAAGATAGCACTGAAGCAGCAGAGAGAAAGATCATCAACCAGATACCCAAGCCGAGACGCGCGAGGCCCCGAAGCGGCCCATGTACTGCAGCCCTGTGCTGCCCATGGGGAAGTAGCTGACCAGATACCAGACGAGGGAGGCGAGCTGGAAGATGGAGGAAATGAGGGTGAGCAAGAGGGATTGGAGCTAAATAAAAAAAGAAACAGGTTAGCACGTTGACGTTGGAAGTTGTGGAGGTCTTGGAACCGCAAAGACGCAAGATGACAAAACACGATGACAGAATACACAGGAGGCGCCAGGGACGGTGAGACGTCGATTTGGAAGAGACGGCTCTTGACTCTTGTGTTCCGTGATACCAGGCCATGCCCGTAGCCCACTTTTGTCATCCTGTCTTGGGTCTGTGGTCTGTCGCACACGAGCCGAAGAAGAGTACAGGGTGATATCGACAGTGCCGACCTGCTCTCTACCCGACAGCGTGACTGGTTATGTGACGTCGTACTGCAAGATAGAGCGAGCCAAGGCTGCAAGATTCGCCCTCTTCCCGGCGGTACCGTGCGACTAGACGTGCAACGATCAAGGAGGGTGGAGGGGGGAAAGGGGAGTGGGGAGAGGGAAGCTGAAGCCGATCGACAATCGAAAAACTTACCCCGATAGCAAAGTACAGCGTTAGTGCGATCGATCCGAAATACGCGGCCGTGAAGGGCAGCCGTGGTCCCGAGACCAGATGCTTCACATAAGTCCACGGTCCCATGAGGACGGCCCATGATAGCAAAAACAGGACGGAGCCGACAGACCATCTGGTAGGGCAAGACGAGAATTTGTTAGCCTGTCCATCCAAGAAACCAGACTGGCCCCAAGGCTCTTGGCATGAGGCGCAGATATAGTTCAAAGGGTGACGAATCGAAGCCGTCCAACGAGGACATGAACTCGCACATGGCTCGAGCCACAGCCATTGTATGACCGGGATTCATTCGCCCCCTTCGGGATTTGAGTGGTCGCCCGCAAGAGAGAGACCTGATCAACATGTGAAGGGAGGGCAGACCACAGCTGAGGTCGGTGGCGAGAGAGAGAGAGAAAAAAGGGCCAACTTACAAGACCGCGAATTTGCGGGGTTTGAGGGTCAAAACTGGGAACAAGAAAAAGCAGATCATAAAGCAAACTGCAGCGCCCAAATTGCAGGCGCCAAAAATGAGCATCCGATCCCATCGGCTCACTATACGTAGGCAGTTTCAGTTAGTGTATCTTATTCTCCTGTCGGAATGCTACCATATAGAAATGCATGGGAATCGTGGGCATCCTCCCGTCGCAGGAACTACACCGCTATCACTTGGACCGAGCGAGGAGGTCCTGGCCAGGACGATCGTGGATCGGAAGTCACAAGGCAACGGGTGTGTGAACTTACAAGCAAAGAAGCCCTCTTCTTCGTCCCGTCGATTGGACGCGGGCAGTGGAGCCCCAGGGCCTTCGTTGTGAGTGGGAAGTTGGACATACCCGCCTTGGCCAAAGGGATTCAACGACTGTAACCGCGACAAGATCGGGGTGTCGGAGGACGCGTTGGTGCGCACGGGGAAATCTGGGTCTCTACGCGACCAGCCCAGGGAGTTGACGGAGTCCCGAAAAGAGTTGTTGGCCATGGTGGATTTGTAGTCAAAGACTTCGTCATGCCCCAATTCAGTAGGAGTGGAGAAGGGGCGTGCACGACTGCGTCTGCAGACAAGGCCCGTAGTCCAGGAAGGCAAAGCCCGAGAAACGTCTGCAGGGACTATGCACGATGGAGTGCAGATGATCTGCGCCGGATGATGGCTGATCCCAGAGAAGATTGGCTGGGGGGGGGGGGGGGGGGATCCGATCAAGCCAAAGAAGCAGATGACGTCCTCGTCGAACGTGGATACGACTTCCGAGAAGCTCGGACACGCCGTACCTCGTGTCAAGCACAGGCACAATGCGATATGATATAGAAGAGCCTCTACGCCACAGGTAATACGCGGCGAGTGGATCGGGAAGTTTATGGGAGCGATGATACACTCGACCACTTGGGGGTGTTGCCTGGTGCTTGGAGAGAGAGACCCGGGCCACCGGATCTTCAGCTATCTCCGAGACTGAGTAATAACCGGATCGACCGTCCCGGAGCGGCCAGCCACACTAGCCAAGCAAACGAGCGAAGAGACGTTGGATTTTCGGGGACACGATGGGACCAAAGGTGGGAAGCGAATCCAGCGAAGGATCTGTGGCGGAGGTGATTGGACCAGGAAGCGCTGCGCTACTGTTGAAGAGGGGGGTAGAGTCGAGGATGAGGGACCAGGCAAATGACGAGATGGCGCGAAGCTACTGATGCTACCACAACCTGATCGGCGTTCTGGGGTGAAGCTGTCAGATGATGATAACAAGGTTGAGGGGGCCATCGCAGTGTCTCGGACCGAGCGAGCCCTAGGGATGTTTGACCCGGGGGGGGAGGGGGGTTTCTGACTTTCTTTTTCCTCCCCGAGAGAAAGAGAGACAGAGAGAGAGAGAGAGAGGAGACCAACGGGGGATGATTTTCACATACCTGCAACGTTCACTGGGGAAAGTCGGGGTGAAGTCGAAGGAGAGAAAGGGCGAAGTGGCCATAGCGCGGGACCCGGTGATCGGATCTTCGCGCCGTTTCCGCTACATCCCACTGTTATTCTTCAATATGTATTTGATTCGATTTTTATTTAATCCATAATATTTATTTCATACTTTGGAAGATATGATCAATATATGCACAGCATATTAAATGAAACGCAATATCTCAATAAAGGCTGATTTATATGGTATGGTGTGTGGCGTGGATGGAGCATCGATGATCTATGAATCGATCCATGGATGGTCAAGTGGAAACCCAACAAGTCAACAAGTATGTAGATTCCCAAAAAAATGAGAGCAGGCAGTGATATTTGATATTTGATATCTGATATTCGATACTCTATAATAATCTCCCAATCTGATGGGGTGGAAGCCCCTCCATGAATCCTGTCGATCTCTGGCCGGTGCGCACCCTGTGGCGATCGGAGGTGGAGTCAAAGTGCAATAGTGCAATAGTGCAATAGTGCAGAGGGGAAGGATTATTGTAGACCGGATCGGAAGAGCTCCAGATGGTTGCATCGCAAGTAGCTATCCGTGTACGACATGCCAAATTGCCCGAGACGTAATATGTTGCTAGTATGCGTTGCTTTTGATTCCCAGAAACTTAGAATAAAAAAATAAAAATAAAAATAAAAAAAACAAAGAACAAAAAAAAAATTCCTCCCGAGAGTGTATAATCTTCGTAATCTTCTCATCCCATAGATACTATCCGTAGATAATGAGGCAATGCCGACGGTCGTCATCGGGCCCTGTGGATGTTTCAGAGAAACAATACGCAACCCCCTTGCGTCAACCGTGGATAGTCTCTCACGCCGAACCTTGACGGGACGGGACGTCAGAAAGATCCCTTTCAAATCCCGGCACGGAGATCTCTCCCTATCCGTCGCCGACTGAGAACTGGTGTATGACCTAGTATACTAGCATACTACTAGCATAGAGTATACGACCATGTCTTGGACATTCCACATGGAAAGTATGGCGATGTGGCTTAGTCTCTCTTTTCTCTCTCTCTCCAAGAATCCCTCGTGAGTCAGGCAGTGCAGGATGAGTGTGTGTATGGCTTTTGCTTTCCATTGGTGGCTGGTCTCAGACACATTCTCCATCCTCCCCATGTCCTCCCTCCGCCACATTCTTGGGATCAACAAAAAAGATGTCATGGCAGAGATATCCGGCCTGCAAGCCCGCATCAGATTTCGGTACCACCGGGAGGCGACATGAAGAGGAATCTTAGTTCTGGAGGGTCACGGACCTCTCCCCCAAACACCCCAAGGCTGAGTCGCTCACCCGGAGGAATATCAAGGTCCAAGCTCCCTTGACGGGCGATCGGCCCTCAAGATGATCGCCACTTTTTTCTTTTTGGTATTTATTCATGACTATTAATTTATATTATTTTAAGCCCATCTCTGCACAACATCTCACACAAAAAAAGAGAACAGACCACCTTGAAACTCTGTCAGAGATAATCGGGGGGGGGGGAACTCGTGCATCCCGATCTATGAATAGGGCTAATGTTTGGGAAAGACAGATGATTGATTCTCTTCAGTCTGTCGATCACAGCCCTCTCCGGTATCTTCCGTTTTCTTGGACTGCATACCAAGAGATATCCATGGATCTTTCTCTCCCTCCCCTCCACTTCCCCCTCCATCCACATGGTTTTGTATATCGAAGGTATCTTCCCCCACCCCTCCACCTTTACTAAAGGGTTTTTTTTTCTTCTCTATCTATGGTATGTTAGTAACCTATGGCCATCTGATACATTCTTGTTGAGTCATGACTGTCTTACCGTCACAGGTGACAAACATTCAAGGCATCATGGGATGGGCGCCGTTACTTGATTCGGCTGTATCACCCTTCCCTCCTTGGGGCCCGTTTTTACCACTTTGGGGGGTATTCTTGATAAAAGAAATATATATATGAATATTATGTTATATTATATTCTTAAATATCGAATATCAATATTAAATATTCAATAAAATAAATCTACATCTCGGGGTTTTACCGTCGCCACCCCTCCTTCACACCCCAAATCCACACACACCCTTCGGATCCCCCCCCAAAAGGTAGTCATTTTATTATTTATTTATTATTTATTTATTACTAGATTACTAGATTATTATCATTTCAAGCAAGTAATCAACATATCCGAATATAATCCAGCCTCGATTCACGATCGACGGGCTGCATGACCGATGTTGTAATATATCAAATGAGAGGTGCAGGAGCGCGCCTCTTGAGTTCATAAAAGTCTTGCCCTCGCTCGTCTCGGATCCTGCAAGTGCTTTTTCTCTCTTGCAAACTCATCTTCGCGTGGTTGCTGAGTTGTCACTGCATCTCTGATTCCTCGAGCCTATTCCTCGAGCCTCATGATTCGTAAAGACCTTGATTGATCGACCTTTGCGTGGGCTTGACTTGATCCAGGTACGTTGCCTGATCCTGATTCTTCTTTTGGTTTTTGTTGTCCACAAAGCCCTTTTGTTCCTGCATGGATCTGGCCTGCAACAAGGTACGGGGCCACGTGTGGAGGGGCCATGTTATGTTGTGGTCGATATCCATGGCATCTTGTTGGATGAAGCTGACATGGCCAACCCCAGCATATTCCTTGACTGTCCCAAGCAGTTGAATTTGATATTGGTAAGTCAGAAACAACCCTGGGAAGTCCTTCAAAGGGTATCCTTTGGCATCCAAACAAGTTCATTCCTGGTCATTCCGTGTTTTCTTTTCTTTTCCTTATCTTCTTTTGTCACTGGACGAGAGAGAGAAAGAGAGTCGAGCACTTCGTATTATGACGCAAATTGCAATCCGAGCGACTCACTGAAACACCGAAACACCAAGGCCAAGAGAGGCTGAACGGTCAAGGCGCGCAGGGAGAACCTCAACGTCGCCACTCACCGCTCTCCACCGCTTCTTCCCCCACTCATCTCCCCTTCTCTCTCTCTCCCTCCACATCTTGGGCTTCATCTATCTGTATTGGAATTCTGTTCATTTGTTTGGTCTGAGGATCAGAATTGAGTGGAAGATAGGACTGGCTTCAACGGGCCTTGTCCTTGAACTCTGCTCGATTGCTGCCTTGTCCTTTTCTTGATCCCTTCGCCCCCTCCTTGTCTTCTCTGGCCACGTTTCGATATCGTCTACCGGCTATTTTCTGTCAGCCTGTGGTCGCTTACTCGAGTTGTCTCTAGACTGTCTCTTTGGCGCAATTCTTGGAGTTGATCTCGGCTCTTGTTCCGATCTGCACCCCGGACAGTTGCCCCCCCCCCTCCAGACGATCCATCCCACCTGGTTTTGATTCGCATTTTTTGTGACGACACGCGCCTATTCCCATTTCCGTCTCACACCTCACCATTCATCGAACAGATTAGAAAGGTATTTATGATCCAGCATTCTTTGCCTCGGATATTGCCTTACCCCAGTTGCCTTCTTGCCTGCAAGGCAAGGCTGACATAACCTCATCGGAGGGGGCCGATTCATTTAACCGACCAAATCCAAATTCGCTAACGCTTCTCGCGACTCAGATTACCAGATCTTCATACATCTGCTTCGATATACATTATTCTCTTCCAACCGGATATCTCGCGATTGACATTATCAGAGAAGTTCTGTAGAATCGACACTACGGACTTCTCTCCTACCGACAGTTGTGCTGACCCGCATTGCCCCACAATCCCCAACCCAACGCCCTCCTTTTACCGATGGCCGAAGCAAGTCTCTTCATCAAACACGAATCCGACAACCATCCATTCATGATGTCGCACTCGGGTTACTCGATGGGTAACCAGTTTGGGAATCCCAACGATGCGGTGGACCCTTCCGACTTGACTATGCAACAGAGTGGCTTCATGCCTTACTCCTACGGCTCTCAACAGAACATGTCATCCAGCTTCAACTTTGGAAACTCGGGAATTGACACCGACGAGTTGCTAGATCTCGAGATCAGTGGACAGAACGGTGTCCAGCGTGATAATAACATGAACTACCTCCAAGACCAGTCCGGCGGCATGGCTATGAGTCACCAGAGCCAAATGTCCCACATGTATTCGAACACCCCCGATGGCGCCCCGATGGCCAGCCCATTCACCCAGAACAGTTTCAACTATGATCAGTTCCGAATGAACCAGCAGAACCCACATCTCCAGAATGCTAGCTCCTTTGATCAAAACTACCTTCACACCAAGTCTCGGCCGAGCCTGCAGACAATGGACCGCACCTCATCGGATGCCCGCAGCCCCATGACCCCCAAGACGCCCGCCTTGGGATCTCTGACCCTGGGCACTCCCGAGTCGGGCAGCTTCCCCGGCCAACCCATCCGGACTAGTGGGTTGCAACACCGCCACCAGAAGACCTTGTCGAACCAATGGGACGGGACACCAGGCAGTGCACAATCTTACGTGGAATCGCCGATTTCCTCCCCGGGCCGCCCGTCGCAACATGCCGGGATCTCGGAGATCATCAAGTCGGGCAAGCATGCGTCGTTGCCTGCCAAAGTGGACAACCACCTACCCGGAGTGCCCCAGGATCTCGAGTCGCAAGAGGCCAAGCGCCGACGCCGCCGTGCCTCTCACAACCTGGTCGAGCGTCGACGCCGCGATAACATTAACGAGCGCATCCAGGACCTGTCGCATTTAGTGCCGCAGCACCGACTCGAGGATGACAAGGTTCGGAAGCAGCTTGTCAACAACAGCGCCCTCTCCATGGCTGGGGCGGCCCCCAATGCCGCCACGTCCCTGCTGGCTGGCGGGAACGGCCGCCGAGCGACCCCGGGTAACATCACCATGGGTCTGCCGATTGAAGAGAAAGAGAAGGGGCCCAACAAGGGCGACATTCTCAACGGCGCCGTCAGCTGGATGCGTGATCTGATGTGGGCCCTGCATGTCAAGTTCCAGCAGGAGGCCGAGCTGGCAGAGTTGATCGGCAGCCTCGGCGGGGCCTGGCCGTTCGAGCAGACCGAGGAAGAGAAGCGCATGCGGAGTGAGATCCTCGACGCCCTGGAGAAGAACGATCCCAGTTCCTTCAGCTACACCCGCGGGCCTGGGAGCGGGCTGCGCGTGCCCAAGCACACGAATATGGCTGGCGACCCGTCTCAGGGTGGCGAGGGCCTGACCCCGCCCAGCATGAGCCCGCCCTTCCACAATGGCGCCAACGGCGTGGGTCAGTCGCAGTACTGGAACAGCGCCGGCCATGCCGCTATGAGCTTCAAGGAGGAAGACGAGTACGGCATGGAGATGAGCTGAAGGCGGAGTCGCCTTGGTTACATTTGGGAGATGACTTGTTGCATACACGGCGTCCACTGGAGGATGCGAATAATCGGCGTACCGGGAGTGAGAGACCTCACAGGGCTGATGAGGTGTACTTTGTGTGTTTTGATTGCATCTACTGTCATTTCGAGTTTCATGTTTTGATGTATTGATGTATTGATGTTTTGATGTTTTCACGTCTGTCATTCATGTTGTCTTTCTTCTTCCCTGTGCAACTCCGGTGTTGGCTACTGGTCCAGATGCTTAACCAGACTTTTCTTCCATCTTCCTGAGAAGTCTTCTGGTGTCAAGCCTAGCCCGGTTGCCTTGCCTCCTTGTTTTGTCTGTTTATTCTTCTTATACTGGGATTTTGGTCTGTCTTTGGTTTTGTGTTGATTTCGACTTTCTATTTCCTATCTTACATCGATACCCTGTCTTTTCTTTCTTTCTTTCTTTTGTTTCTGTTTCCTGTTTCTGTTTCTCTTTTCTGGTTAGTGGTTTCGCCACATGTTTGAGATTCTGAATCCATCTTCTGCTTCGTGTCTTTGATTTTCTCTTTTTCCCTTGTCTTTTGGAACTGCCTTTTCCATCGTGCTCCGCTGGGGGATAACATGTCTCTGGTGGTGTACAGGCGCCTTCCCCCTAATTCATCACCCCATCACCCCTTCTTTCCCTCGCATCATTCTCTATTGGTGTGTTGTGCTTTATTCTTATTCTTATTCTTATTCTTATTCTTATTCTTATTCTTACTTCATTTTTTATATTTTATTTTCTTCGTCTGGCAGTTCCACAATGATTCGACAGTGCAGATAACAATGAATTTGGCCTCGTCACTTCTTGACATTCTCTCTGGCCCCATTTATATTGTGAAGTGTCTTTATAAACTTGGGTGAGAGGGGCCAAGGTTAATAATAAGCATCTCATACCCGTAACTAAAATGTCTATTTAGCCCGCACGATCTCCGCAGCTTATCGGATGCCGGATTGTTCTCATACATAAAATCAGATACTAAATAAAGTACATGCATGATTCAGGACTGCTATGCAACCTAGGTATTATCAGTAAATCTGTCTAGACCTAGAATGCTCACAAAATCTATCCAATCCTCCGCAACTCAAGAGTCGTCAACTCGTGATAGGTACATGACGCGGGTATGTACAGAGCACGGGCGGTGGTGAAGGGGGGAATATGCACACATATTATATGTGGACCGGAGGGGTGGTTCCCTGACTCGAGTTTTGTTTTGGGGTTTGTTTCCAGACACGGCACAGCCCCGGGAATGGATCATCTGTGCCGGTATAGGATGTTCTCTCTCTCTCTCTCTCTCTCTTTTTAAATCCGATCAAGGGCGCCATCCATTCTAAGAGTCGTCAATCGCCGTCAAGACATCAAGCGAGACAATGAAACCAAAGCTTTCCCAAAAATGGTTCCCAAAGACATAAAAAAAAAAACAAATAATTCCAACACGCTGATGATAGATGGTTCCAAAAAGGGGCATCATAAATGTCCAAAAGAAGAAGAGGGGAAAAGAAAATGTCACAATATATCACAGACTTGTGTCACCAACTGGTTTCAGTTGGTCGAGACGGCATGCGGTTCCGCCGGACCGTCCTCGGCATGACCATTGTGGCCACCGACAGGACTCTTCTCGTGCATGTTGATACCCTGGGCCTTGAGCTGCTTGCGAGCCTTGTGGCCACCGCAGCAAGAGGCGCAGCAGGACCCGAACTGCACAATAAACGCAATCAAGCTGAACCCAGAGCCGATCCACATCAGCGCCAGCATCTGCGTGCCAACATGGGCCTTGATGTTGATACTGGGGTCGGCATTGGTAAAGACACCGGCGAAGATCTCGAACATGACCGTCGCCACCGCGGACGCCACAATGGTCACGAGGGCCGTGAAGAAGGTCAGGATCAAGAACGGGACGGAGCGCAGCAGGATGAACGTGCGTCGTCGATGGGGCGGGCGACCCAGCGGAGGGTTATTGCTGTCGCTGGCGCTGTGGGCCTCGGCCCAGGACTTGACAGTTTGCGGCGGTCGCGAGGACACGGCCAATGGGCTGAGGAAAATCAGGATGAAATTGAGCACTGCTGCGGTGAGGAACAGCCCGAACATCCAGTGCGAGGCGATGCGAGCCAGATGGAGCGGCTCGGAGATATCGGCAGGGAGACCAACTATGAAAGAACGAAAAAAATTAGTATTTAATCACTCGCATTGATCTCTCAAAAAGCAAAATCATCGGGAAAACTTACTGCGTGCACCTGACAATAGCTCGCTCAGGATGATTTTCACTGGGTTGAACGAGTATAGCCTCTTGGGTTTGGAGCAATAGGTGATGCCAGAGCCATTGAAACCCTCACAGAAATTCCACAGGCCAACCTGGTAGAAATCATGCAGCCCGATCGACCGAGCAACCGAGTTGATCAGGACGGCATTGGGCACCGATAAGGGGACGATGTGGGAGAGGTCGAGGTAGAGGAAGTAGGTATTTCGGAGCACGGGTTTATCGGCGACGTTCCCAATCACCACCAACAGTATGAAAATCCATGCGAGCAGGTACAGCAGTGATCGGACCAGGCGGTGCCAAAGGATCGTGGACTGGCGCCTGCGAGCAATGGGACGGTCGGGAGTGGAGCGGCGGAAGAAGGGGAGTTTCCGCCTGGCGCCATTGACAGGGGCATCCGACCCGTCAGCCATGATGAGAGCGAGACAGGAGGGTTTTGGAGGTGGGAAAGAAAAGGGAGGGAAAAGGGAAACAGAAGAACAATCTCGGTTTTTTCCAGGGTCTCTGGAATGACGTTTAGGCACCCAGAAAAAGCACGGCGGTTGTGATCCTGCCCAGCCCAGCGAAATCCCAATGATCGGCCACAGCTCCGTGGGGATCGTCAGTGGCTGGGCGCTAGATTGTTTGAGTTTTGCTGACGATCGATGCTGATCGTGATGCTGATCTCGGGCTATTTTTTTTCTCACCACAATGTAAGGGGGGAAATGTTGGTTGAGGTAAGTAAGGAGAATTGCGAGAATTGTGGGAGTTGCTCTCCCTCCAATTCTCCCTGAAGAACGGGGACTGCGGTGTACAGAAGACAGCCAGGGATCGAGACTTCCATGGTACCCGCAGGGACTATGGCCACACTATGAGGATGCTAGGTACAACTGGGGTACCTGATTGGCTGATCATATCGCCGAGGCGGACGTCATTCGCTCGTGCCGATCGCTGACATAACCCAGGTAGCAAAACATCATCCGAGGTCAGGGTCCTTTCTCCCCGGATTGCATCCTGACTTGCATTGTCGCCCTCGCTTCCCACCATGCGGTGGCCAACACTAGTCTTTGCCCTCCTCGCAGGGGTCGTGGCTGAAGAAACCACCACTGAAAATGAGATTTCTCTCGGCAGCGGAACCGTGGTCACCACGCCCAAGACCGTCCCGCTCCCGTCGGGCAGCTACCAAACAGTCAGTACCACACTGAGCCTCGACGATGGTGACTCCTCCGTCACTGTGACGACAGAAACTCCTGTTTCTGGTCACCATTCCAACGACTCCACCACTACTTCCAGCAGTTCAGAATCTGTAACTGTGCTTGTGGGAGGGGGAGGCTCTACGACGATTGGGAACTCGAGCATGGCCAATGTCACAGCGACGCGGACGACTTCGTCGACGCCGTCTCCGATCAACACGCAGCCATGCAATAATTACCCGGAGTTTTGCACGCGCCGGTACTCCAATATTACCATGGTTGCCGCCCACAACAGCCCGTTCGTGCGGAGCAGCAATGTAGCCGCCAACCAGGCCCTGGATGTGATAGCACAGCTAAACGATGGGGTCCGTATGTGTAAGTCATCACGCTCATCTTTGAATTTCAGTGTAGTTCAGCAGGAACTAACGGCCAGACAGTACAATTCCAAACCCACTACGAGAATGATACCGTTCAGCTTTGCCATACCAGCTGCCAGCTGCTCAACGTAGGCACGCTCGAGTCATATCTCACCAAAGTCGCCGAATGGATGCGTGAGAATCCGTTCGAGGTGGTGACGTTGATGATTGGCAATTTTGATCTAGTGTCGGTCAGCAAATTCAAAGATCCAATCGAGAAGTCGGGCCTGAAGGATCTTGTTTACAAACCACCCAAGGCACCCATGGGACTGCATGATTGGCCCACCCTGTCAGAGATGATCATCTCTGGCAAGCGGGTGGTGGTGTTCATGGACTACCAGGCCGATCAAAAGAAGATTCCCTGGATCATAGACGAGTTCTCGCAGATGTGGGAGTCGCCCTTTTCGCCCACCAATCCCAATTTCCCTTGTGACGTGCAACGGCCGCCAGGGCTCTCGGACCAGGATGCCAAGAAGCGCATGTACCTGGTCAACCATAACCTCAACCTCGAGCTAAACCTTGGGGCATTGAGCCTGCTCATCCCCAACACCGCTCAGATCTCGCAAACCAATGCGGTGAATGGCACGGGTAGTCTGGGGTGGATGGCTGGAAACTGTTCGGGTACGTTTTATTTGTTGACTTTCGTTCTCTTCTCCCTCGATTACAGGTCTAACAACTCTACAGAAAGATTTGACCGCCCTCCCAACTTCCTGCTGGTCGACTACTACAATATGGGCAGTGCCGATGGCAAGGGCGTTTACAACGGTTCGGTCTTCGATGTCGCCGCCAAAATGAACAACGTCACCTACAACCGCGACTGCTGTGGAAAGGAGTCGGCAGCCTCGCACGGGGCATCGATGGTCAACCTGACGACGGTGCTCCTGCTGGTGATGGGAGTACAGTGGGTGATGTCAGTGTTTTAATTTTGGGTGCCATTTCTGTATTTCACGACGATCTTCGATGACAGTCATTTATGTGCTCTGGGGCATGGCCGGTTGGCCGTTGGCGCTTGTAACTTTTAGATGCTCATGCTTAGACTGGGATCTGGGAACAAAACATAGGAACATTACCATTAAATAGTCATACTTGATCATCTGTATAGCGTCTGGATAGTACAAAACCAATTACTGCCATGATTTTAGAATCCTCGAATCCTAGGCAATGATAGTAAATATCAAGTCTGCCTGAGGCACATCGAAAAACATAATCACATGACCCACCTGCCCAGCTGCCCGCAATTGAACGATTCGGACCGAATCACCATCAGCCCGAACAATTCAATTCATTTCAATTCTCAATTCCTCCCTTCCTTTCCTCTTAATTTCCTTCAAGAGGTCGAAGGTGACTCAGTCACATTCCTCCCTCTTCCCAAAATGGTCGACATTGTCCCCCTCTCGTCCTACCCCTCCTATATCGACCTCCTCCCCGCCATCCAAACCTGCAACATCACCAACCTGCCCGAGAACTACTTCCTGAAATACTACCTCTACCACGCCCTGACATGGCCACAGCTGAGCTTCGTCGCCGTCGTGCGCCCGCGCGCCGGCTATAAATCCGGGTCCATCGCCGGCGACTACCCCAAGGTCGTGGGGTATGTGCTGGCCAAGATGGAGGAGGAGCCGACGGACGGGTTGCAGCATGGGCATATCACGAGTATCAGTGTGATGCGGACGCATCGGCGGTTGGGGATTGCGGAGCGGTTGATGCGGATGAGTCGTGAGTATACATTACATACCTACACTTATGCACATATATATACACAACATAGTATATATATGCATTCCACATGCACTGGAATGTGTATATGTGTGTATTTTATGTTGTATTGTGAGCTAATCATTATTAGAACGCGCAATGGCCGAATCCCATCGCGCAAACTACGTCTCCCTCCACGTGCGTGTCTCCAACACTGCCGCCCTGCGCCTGTACCGCGACACGCTGGGCTTCGAGGTGCAGAAGGTCGAGGAAAAGTATTATGCCGACGGCGAAGATGCCTACGCCATGCGCCTGAACCTCGAAAACCAGTGGCTCGACTGGGCGGCCATCGAGAAGCGCGACCGCGAGATCGAGGCCGAGAAGGATGGGGCTGACGGCGACGACAACGCCAATCAGGATGATGGCGATGAGGCGGGCGAGCTGGGGACGAAGAAGGAGGAGGATAAGATGGTGCGGGTTAAGGTTGGGAGGGGGCTTGGGGTTGGCGATTTGGTTGAGAAAAATGAGTCGCAGACATAATTCCTCTCTCTCTCTCTTTCTCTCTCTCTCTCCTCATTTTGGAGGGGTTTGTCGTTGCATTCTAAGCTTCTATGGCTGTTTTGATAGGTATCTTGGTGTCTCGGTTTCTACTGGGCTTCTTCTGCCTACATACTTCAAGAGGTCTCATACTGGGGGTGATTGAAATATCTCCAGTACATCCAAAAGAACAAATGTCTTCATATATACCAATGTGTATGCATCCCAGTTACCAGCTCCTACTCCCTATTCTCCGACATGATCTCGTAGCATCATAACTTCAGCCTTACTCGAGTCCACGGGAGACTCACCAGAGCCAGCATGAACGCCTCGCAGTCAAATATCAAACCAACCCCGCAATCTTTTACGGAGCACCGGGCTCCTTTTTCGTGGTCGCCTTGTTATTTTGGGTCTCAGCGTCAGATGCCGGATCACTGGGTTGCTGCTGCTGCTGCTGCTTCTTAGCCTTGCGCTGCTTCAGCATCTCCCGGAACCGCCCCGGAGCGTCAAGCGGTTTGCCCTTTTTGTCAGCGGCGCTGCCTGCCTGTGGGTCATGCATGCTCGACTGTGACGCAGAACCAGAGGTACTCGGCGCGGCACTAAAGTCGGAACTGGCATCGGAAGGGCCAGAAGCCGCAGGCAATGCAGATGGACCCTGAGGATGCGACGTGCGGGAGGCCGGCTCTAATGTGGGGAGTGGACGCTGGGGATTTTCCAGTGCCAACTGGCCCATCCGCCGATCCAGTGGGGGTTCCTCGGCCGTGTTCTGTCTTTCTAGGCGCCGGCGATTGCGGCGTGCCCGGCGCTGCTCGCGCTGCTCCTCCCGTGCACGTCGGAGTACATCGCGGAAGGCCTTGCGGGTGGCGCGCATTTCTTCTTTCATGGCGCGCCGCTCTGTCGAGTTGCGCTGCTGCTGTTCGGGCGACTCCCACCGGCCCCAGTCATCGTGGTCCGGCCTTTGGTATTGTTGATGATGTTGGTTCTGTCGCCATGCGTTCCTCCAGTTCTGTCGCCCACCGAACCGGGACTCGCGGCGTGACTCTTGCAGCACGGATAACTGCCGGCGGAGATCTACTGCTGCGTCGTACAGGGTTCGGTCGTGCCGGTCGTCCAGCGACTGGAGCTGTGTGCGGACATTGGCTAGGTCAGAGGCGCTCAGGTCTGATGTTGTAGAGAGCGAGTCGATGGAACTGAGAGATGACTCGGACGACACAGAGCTGATAGATGCGCGGCGTGGGCGTTCGGCTGAACGCTCAACGGGGGGTTTATTATCACTGGGCTGGGGATTGGTTTGAGTGGTGGGTTGGGTTCTGCTTTCAGGGCGGTCGACAGGACTGGGATTCTGCTGCACAGGCGCTATTGGGGCGGCATACGGAACGCCGGCTGGAGCAGAGTACGGATCCCATGGAGGTCGCGGGTTGAAAAATCCAGCCTTCCTCCCGTGGAGCCCCGCTTGTTCTTCTAGCCACCGGCCATGCGCAAGAGCTCGTTCCTCTACCTGGCGCGAATAGTGGTTTGCGTGGGCACTGAGCTGATCGCCATAAATTTGGGCCTGCTCGCTAAATCGCTCCCCGTATTTTTGTGCCTGATTTGCCAGCTGCGAGATCCACCCAAATGTGCCTCCCTTGGATGTACCAGAGTTCGAGTACTGCGACTGTGCATAGGCCCAATTGTTCCATTGCCATGGGGGAACACCAGGCGGAGGCGGAGGCGGATAAGGATAATATTGCGGGGGATTCGTTGGAGACGCGCCGGGGACATGATAGGTAGGAGCTCTGAAAGGTGCGCCGAATGGCATCGGCGGTGCATGCGGGTTGGCAAACGGGTGCATAGGAGGTACAGACCAAGGGCTTGGAGATGGGGCAGGTTGCCCGAAAACTGGTGAAATTGTGCTCTGGGCGTGAGCTGGCTGGCTCTCCACAAACCCAGATATGCCGGGGCTCTGGGTCGCCTTGGTTGCAGCGGGATAACATCGAGGACAGAGGGCGGAGATAGGCGCCGTATCGAGTTCCGAAACGTACACGAAGACGATGCAAATCGCGCGCGGCTCGAAAAAGTCTTGGTTCCATTCAGAGATCACAGCCGCGATCCGAGCCCGACGCTCTTCGTCGGTTTCCTGGGGCCGATCCTTGCGGTCCCGCTGGATCTCTGCCCGCAATTGCCGGGGCAGATGCTGCGAAGACGCGGCAAGCCCCAGCTGGGCTGGAAACATATACTGCAAGAAGGCGTCCCAGTCCTGCTGGGCAATGACGTCCATGCGCGAGCCCCAGCACCGGGGACGCCGTGGAAAATCTTTCGCCTGACTTCGGGGGTAGATTGTCATATGGTGCGGAAGCAACGCTCGGCTCTCGTCCAGGGCCGGTAGCGGTCGTTCCTCGAAATAGGCTTCCGCGGACGAAAAATGGGTCGGCACCACCGTCGGCTGCTCGGCGATGCGCGAGCTGCTGGCATATTGCGATTCAGGCACGTTCCCGCGCAGAGGACGCGGGACGGGATGGGAGTTACCATTTCGATTGCTGGCCTCGGCGAGCAACGGGTCGACGGCCGAGTATGGCGGCGGAGCCTCCTCCTGGTCCATTTCTTTCTGGAAGGCGGCGATGCACTCGAACGAACAAGGGATAGCAGGACGATCTGCAGATTGTCGGGCAGCCTGTCACGGCCAACTACCCATGCTGTGATAAGATAACGGGGTGCGATGGTCGGCAGAAGGCAGCAAGATTCCCGCTGACGAACAACCGGTGCACAGGACTTGGCGCGAGAATCTGTGTTGAGGGATGCTGATCAGCGTATATGATGTCTGTCGGCCGCACGCCAATGGAAAAACCCCAGAGTGTATTGGGCGAGATGAAGAGGTGTTGGAGAGGAAGACAGCGAAGAGTCGGAGCGGAGCGGAGTCGATAAGATAAGCCCCGGCATTTCCAAGGTTGTTGATTAGTTGATCAGTGGATATCTTGATGTGCTGCAGGCATTCTTTATATTGACCTGGATCAATATGAAGAACTGCATTTACTGACAGTCAGCTTGCAAACAAGTGGATTCGCCGCTAAAATTCTCGCTTGTTTCCAGCGGGACTGTCGTGCCAAGAGCATCGACCCCAATTCCCCCACGCAGCATCAGGTTTTGCTGCCACTACACCAGGTCCAAATGCCGCCATATATCATCACAGACGGGTCACCAGAACCTCCGCCTGAACTGCCCGCATGGGGAAGTCTCCCGCTGGATATATACATGCTGGTAGGCAGGGAACGACAAGATCCTGTGAGAATTCCGACTGACCACCACCCAGGAGGAATGGGATACACCTTATCCCGAAGCACCAGATGAGCACCCCGACCAACGACGCCGTCGGCTAGTGCATCAATGGCTGGAAATGAGCGCCAAGGGTAGAGAGGTGAGGATATCTAACCAGAAGGATATATATACATATATATATATCTCTCTCTCTCGGGCTATCACACCCAACAACAGAAGATAACCAGCTTTGCCATACAAATAGCCGTATGATAGGCGCACCACAGACTACCGACCCGAATATGCGCCATTGCACCCAACAGAAGAGCAGATCGAGACGATCCTGCGCCCTCTACGCCCAGACTTGATGCGCTGCTTCTCCGAGTACGGGGGCACCAACGCCGGAGTCTGGCTGCGCACATGCTACGACGCCGACAAAGAAGAAAAGCACGCCGCGCTTTTCAAGGAATTCGTGACGGAGTGCGAAGTTGTCGGCCCAGACGGGCTGGTGCTAGATGACCACGAGCTCTTTGCAACGGACCTGGCCGGTATGCTCGAGCTGTTACCAGAGCGGGTGACGTCCAGCGCGGGGGCGTACCATGTTACATGGCGCGAGGAGAACCTGCGCGAGATCGAAGAAGAAGAAGAAGAGGAGGAGGAGGAGGAGAGGGAAATGGAAGATGATACGCAGACGGCCGGGGACAAGAAGCGGCGCGAGATGCTCGGCCCCAAGAAGTCGGAGCAGAAGCTTGTTCGGAATCGTTATAGTATCTATCATGCGGCTTGCATTGTCACTCATGTGTTTGTGGAGGATGAGGAGGCGCTGGAGACGGGGCTCGTGCTGCATATTTACTTGGATGATTGTGGTAATGTTGTTCGCCAGGAGCGCGTTGATGCCACATCGGTTAGTAACTTCGATGGGCTCTGGTTTGATGGTGCTTGGAAGGAGTCCATTATTCCGGGCGATGGCCAGGTCGTTGGGCCGGCGTACCTGCCGGGGGGTGTTCGGGGTCCGCCGTATCGATGACGGCTGCGTTGGCTTCCAGGCCAGAGAGGAGGCTGAAGAGGTGGTACGCGGGCATGAACTCAAGAACTCAGTAGATGTCAAGGTTTGGAGTGCTATTGACGACAGATGGATCCATCACACAGGTCTGTTGAGACATATAGCTAGAACCAGAGAACTATAGAAATGAATGAAAGAAAAGTCCCGGCCCAAATCTATTAGACTGTGTACATTCGCCAGGTATCATCAGAGCATACGAGTTGACGCCGTAACTCCCATCAATGCCGAAAGAAACCCACATGGGGCGCAAGAAGAAAGATCGCAGAGAGATATAGACACAAAATCAATGACAAGAAGAAAGGAGGCCTATCTGCTCAATCCCACGCATCACCCCAGTCATCATCGATTTCTTCATCCTTGGGCTTAGTATCAATAGGCTTCTTCACGGGTGCCACCGTCCGCGGCTTGGCCGTGTTCACAGTGGCTCGTGTGGCGACGGTATTAGTAGAGGATGCCTTGGCCAACCCCTTTGGCAAGGGATTCTTCTTGGCCTGAGATTTGGCGGCGAGCCACCCAGCAAAGTCGGGTTCACCGCCGTCATCAAATGGAACAGCGGATGCTTTGCCCGCAGGATCGGGTGAGGAGATCTTGGGGGAGGCCACGGCGGCGGTAAAGGGGTCGACATCTGGATCGTTGTCGTCCATGGCACCCCAGGCATCGAAGACCTCGTCTTCGTCTTCCATTGGCTCTGGCTCCTTTTGGCGCACTACCGGCACGGGTCGATCCGACATGGACCTGTTCAATGGCTGCGCGGAGGGCCGTTTAGGGTCCTTTGGAAGCTCGAGTTGAGTGGAGGGAGAGGACTTGGTGGGACGGGGCACTGATGCAGAGCGAGCAGCGTCTCCCTCGGGAGGTTTACTGCCATCAGCTGCTGTCTGGATCTCCCCATTGGCGGTAGTAATCTTGTTGGTGAACGAGGAAATGGCCCATCCGGCCCAGGACTTGTCATTCGAGGTACCAATGCGAGCCTCGGACTTGGCAGATTCTGTTGGTGCGGTGGGCGGAAACGTCGAATCCGCCATCGTGTTGGCGAACTTCCGGACACGCTGAAGATACACCTCCAGCGTTTTATTGGCTTGGTCGCGGATGAGTCTGAACCGTGTTAGAACCCAGACTATGATTCTCGGATAACAGATACGGCACTCACTTTTCTTTATCCAAGAGAGAAGGGCAAATAGCGGGCAGGATCTTGGAAGCACAGTCGTCCTCGGTGTAAACATCGACCGTGGCGGACAAGGCTAGCAATCCAGCGACTCGAGCATGCGAGAAGGGGTCTCTCATGGACCTCGTGAACGCGGCAATAAGCACCTTGGAACGGGTCTAAGATCCAATATTATTAGTTACGTAGCTTTCAGTCCCGGAAGGTCTCAGCTTACACCCGGTCCCAAGTTCCTGGCAATGCGCCCAAGACAAATCGTGGTATTAGTACGAATCCCGGGTTGCTCGTCATTTGCAGTACGCGCCAGGAACTTCAGCAACTCCCCGTTAACAATTCGATCACTGAGTTTATTAATGATCGACAAGACGGCCTTGACGGTCTGCTCCCGAACAACAGGCGCAATATCGGTGAAACCTGAAGTCTGGAAAGATATCAGAAGATGAACAAATATCCAGTCAAAAGAGTAGACCAACCATCTGCGGAAAGATCTTGTCGTTGACAACCTTCTGAGGAAGATTATCAATCATCAATGGTAGGTTGTCCAACAGACAGACGCGCAGCGCTCGATCAGGGTTGCCGAACAAGCGTACAACAACAGGCGTTAGTTTCGAGTTAAATTCGTCGGCCGATAGTTTGGCGCCAATCTTCAGGGTGGCTCCGAGTACTTTGGACCCGCCACCGCCAAACTCGACAGACTTGAGCAGCTCCGGAAGCACCTTCATTTTAAAGAAGTCTTCAGGGAAGTCCTCCGAAAGATTATCAAGTTCGCTGCCATTTGGAAATGTCACGTTAGCTTGGATATTTATTTCACATAGGTGTTTGAAGGGAGGAGACGACTCATACTTAATGAATTCTTCTCGCTCGGCGTCACTTTTGAGCCCTAAGCTCTCTATGTCTTCGGATAATCGAATCAACGGCGTCTGGAAGAAACCACCATGTTTCTTTCCCTGTTCAACAAAATGCGCAGGGCTCAGCCGTAACTTTGGGTTGGCCGTGGAGAGACGCTTGTAGCTTTGTTGCATGCTGGGAGGGATGTTGGTTGTCTTGCCCACCTGGTCAGCACCGGCAAAGAAACCATTAAAGACTTCAAAGATCAATATCCCAAGCCCATAGGCGTCGACTGCTGCCAACGGGTGCCGCTTGATAATGTCCCAGCCCCCTTTGAGGACCTCTGGGGGTGTGTATCGAGCTGCATCAGGGACGATACTTCCGTAAGTCTAGTACGCTCAGAGTCAGTATCTTTGATCTGTAGCATCGTTGGCCATGGCCACCGACATATATAATCGCATCATCTTCCTTCATGGAGCTCAAGACTTCGAATCCTCCGAGTTTCCATTCGCCACTTTCACTCGTATAGACAGATGATGCGCGCACGGCGCCGTGGACGGAGGATGCATCCTCATTGATAAACTTGAGGGTGGACTGATCGTGGCCGTCATTGTTAGTACGAAAAACAAACAATAACTCGTCAAAGCCGCCTTACCGCCACGGAATATAAACCCCATTTCGCGGTCTCCTCATTCAGACTTCTCCGCTTCACCGGCCATGTAAGAGGAGTGACCCGTTCGGTCACAATGTAGAGATTGGTTTCGGTCTGTGGAAGTATCAGCTACCATGTCTTTCTTCCAAACGTTCTCCAGTCCTAAGCCCCGGCCCAAAGAGGCTACATACCTCGATCGTGTCCAGAACCTTGATCACTCCGGGGTGCCGTAAAGTTCGCGACTTGCGGACCGCATTTTTGGCGAGAGGGAGGCGGGATTTATTCGCGGCGATATCGAAAGCAAAGACACTGCAAGCCGAACTGTCATCCTGTATTGCGCGCCAGCTGTCAGCTTGTCGGGTCCGGTCTCGCAACAACAAACAGCACCAAGGAATGACCACCGTACCCGTTTCGTACCGTTGTGAAGGGTCCAGATAGAGTCGCCGATATCGACTCGATCGCCAAGAGAAACTGGGAATGAGCTGCCCTTGGCGATCGCAGCCGTGACGGCGGATTTCAAGAAATCCATAACGATGAGCTGGGACCGGAGAGTGTGTTCGGGGGAAGGTTGATGCCCGCGACGCGGCCAATGGCCCGGCGAGAATTGGGAAGTAGAGGATCAGAAAAGCTGACCGATCAAAGGACGCTGGGTCCCTCAGGAATTGCGAGCTGCCACGGTGGATGTCGGAGGCAACGTAGAGTGAGTTTCGCACTCCTTTTGTGCCCCGCCTTATCGGGTTTAGGGACGATCACCGCCCGCGTCAGGGCCAAGTCAAGCATTCTGGACCGCCCAACTTCTCCCTCCTTTGATGCATCTCCCTTGTTCGAGGGATTCAACCAGGTGAGTACTGCATCTTCTTTTACTTTACTCTCAAGATCTCCGAACAGCGACACATGTCGCCTCTCCAATGATGTGATCCTGGTAAAAGGTCAGACCGCGCATAGCCCCGACACGCGCAGCGTCCATCTCTACAACACCCCGAAGGTACTCCTCGCCCAGCACCCTGCAAACCGGCTCTCCGAGCACGATGACGAGTACCATACCTGCGCAACGCCTTTCCAGTCGATGGTTATCCCACTACTGGGACCTCTTTTCGAAGAGGCACCCGCAACCTTCTCCCAATCTCATTTCAGTTTCCGGCTTGCACTTTTCTTTTTCTCTCTACTCTTCGCATGACGCAGACACATGGCTCTATCATAAAGGAAAACAGAGGGTCATGGCCGCAAGACCTACGGCTTCCCCCTTTAGAGGGGTTGCAACGCTTTATCGAGGCGTTGCGATATGACCTTGGGAGACATTTTCCATGTGTACATCGACCCGCCAACCCTCTCAGGGGTGGTGGGTTCGGCCGCTATCTGGGGTTCCTGAGTCCGCTTTGCATCTATGAGGACGATTAGGAACTAATGGCTGCGGCGTACAGAGGGTGCGGGACAGTTAGAAAACCGACTGCTCTCCGGTTGGTCAACTGCGCGAAGAGTGGTGAGAGGAAGGGGGGCAAGAGTTGGAGACTGAGAAGGGAGTAGGTATGGGTCAAGGTGGGAATTGCGTGGGTGTGAACTCGTCTATGGTTCTGGAGTTGGTGGCGCAGGATGCTGGGTTTGAGGGCTCAAAGCACCGCGGTGGGTGAGGTGGTCCTCGTCGTGTCTGGGGCTGGAATGACGACCAAAAAGAAACTGAAAAGACCTGAGGAGATTCTTACTACCCCCTTATATCTTGGACATTTGGCTATTTGGCTATTTGCAAGATTGGCAACTGACGTTGGCTATAGTGCTCTCACGATATCCGATTGCTGGAAGGGTTTGGGTTGGGAGTGTCTGGTCTGGTCTGATACTCGATAGTTTTCATGTCTTTTGTACGAGAGGATTCCGGTTAAATATAATCAATCATTCCATTGGCATCCCGCAGGACAGCTAGCAAACCCCATTCACCGTTTCTCGTGCCCCTGCTATCATTGCTCGCTGTCATCTCTTTTCTCTGAACTTCATCCTCGACGAAATCACCCTCGGCTTCACACATTGCACTTCACCGCGACTAAAGATCTCACTTCCCGTAAGTCCTCACTTCCACTCCGTAGCAGGTTTCGAAAATGAACCCAGGAAATTCACGCAAGCCCTCGCGGTATCAACAATAAAAAAGGGCGAAAAAAAAAAAAGTGAGCCCGGAAACAAGTCCCAGAAGTTGACACAGCCATGCCGTACTTGGGAACTGCATTCTGGAAAACACGGAAGGAGAGTGCATAATGAACCTGACTCCAAATCCCTGTGGATAACACTTCGTAGCTGGCAACCAAGGGATTGGAACACGCATGTACACCACCAACCCCCCACATGTGGGAAATAGATAGGCACGACAAATGGGAACACTCTGACTCTAAAGACCCAGTCAGCATATCGGTACTCAGACCACGAAACACCGCATCTTACCTACCAAGTCTTGTGTCGACATGTAGTTAGTTCACCGCAGACAGAATGCAGCCTGGCGGGTGCGCCGAAGCTGGCGAAGAAGGCAGATAGAGATGCAGACATATATCCGAAATCCGGGAGCTTGACAATTGCCATCGGTCCGAGAAAATTGATATCAAGTCACAGCGGAGCAAGGTGACAGGGTAGAGTATCCACCGTCAAAAGGGGCAAGCGCCCCACGATTCCATGATCACCCGTGTTCTTCATTTGCCTTCATCAGTGGCATCAGCAGAGTGAGAGCCCGCTCCAGAGGTGGCCGGAGTGTGGGATACCGGAGGAGGAATTTGAGGCACTTGGTTAAAGCCATTGCTGGGTGTACGATGCTGGTTAGGAGGGTAATGATGCGACTGGTGCGGGCTGGACGAAAAGTGGGGTTGCTGTTGCGGATAACCGCCACGACCCGGAGGCACTATATATATTAGTCACAATGGGAGTTGCGAAGGGGCGGCATGACTCACCGTATCCTGGCTGCCCAGGAGACATGAACATCATCGGCTGCGGAGCCTGGCCAGACTGCGAACCCTGATGCATCATCATCGGCGCACCGCGGCTTGGGCTTGGATATCCACTGTGTGGCTGAGGGGGTGCATGCTGGGGATAGGCATGGCCTGGCGAAGGCGAGTACATTTGCATTTGGGGCGTGTATGGCGACATTCCCTGCGGAACGCCCATGTAGGGTCCATTGGAAGGCTGCTGCATCATCATGGGAGCCCCCATTTGTGGGTTCACAAACTGAGGCCCACCGGGGTAATGTCTCATGTGACCCGGCTGAGGCGCTCCGTAGAAGTGCGGCATCGGTTGGCCAAAAGCGAGTTGAGCAGGAGGCCCCATGGGGGAAGGGTATCCCAGGTGGTTCTGTTGCATTCGCGGAGACGGGAAAGCTTGAGAGCTCGAATTGGACAGCTGCATCCTTTGATCCTCCATGTGAGAGGGCCCTGGACCGTGAGGGCCTTGGGAATGAAGATGATGAGGGCCATTGGGAGGCATTGAAGGAGGCATGCCGGGGTTGGGTTGCTGGAACGGGAACGGCATCTGCTGATGCGGTGGCATGTGGGGGTTGTTGGATGCGGACCGGCCCTGGGGAGAGATTGACGGCACAGCAACAGGCTGCTTGAACATCTGGTCATAGGTCTTTTCTTCGGTACCTTCAGGGAGATCCCAGGTCGGCAGAGTCTTGTAAGGGTAAGGGATACCTCCGTTGGAAGTGTAAGGCTTCTCAGCTTGCTCTGCGTTCTCCTTCTTCATGCGTTTAATGGGGTTGAACTGATCGTTGAGGGAAGGTCGCTCAGAGATAGGCCGTGGTTTCCTGGCACCGAAGAATGCCGAGGGGGTCGTAGCACGAGACACTGAGTGGTTTCGCGAAAAAGGTCGAGGGCTCGCAGTGGAGCCAGAGGCCCCGCCAGAGGGAGCTCCTCCGGGGGTGAAAGTGCTTGCAGCAGGGTTTGGCTTGAACTCCATGGCTCGGACATTGAACTTTGTCGACGCAGCGGAGGTGGGAGTTTGGGTTTTGACCGGGCTAGTGACCCTGTTCTGGTCGCCAGCAGGCCCGGTTGGGGGCACACGAGCATCCTGAATAGGAAGAGGAGCGGGCACAGGGCCCATGTTCGCCCCCTTCCGCTGCTGGAGGTTGTCTGCTAGCCGGTGGCTAAGCATACCGGTGCCGGGACGACCTTGCTGCATCGGCTGCTGAGAGAATCGGCCACCCGGTCCAGCAAGAGGGCCGGTGGGAGGGTAGCCCTGACGACGAGAATAATTCTGGCGATCAGAGGGAGCAGCAGGAGCTACAGCCCCAGTGGGTCCAGGACCACGGTTTGCGGGCTTGGGTTCAGTGGAGGGAGGCGTGAGTTTCTGGATAGTCTTGTCCTCTGCAGGTTGCTGGAATTGCTGAACGATCGCTTCCTGTTTGGTCCGGTCTTTCGCCAGGATGGGCACCAAGTCTTTCGGCACAGGAGTTGAAAGCTTGAAGTTTTGAGAGAATTTCATCAGCTCATTGAGCTTGATTGTCCGGTCGTATGTTGCTTGGTTGCGACGACGCTCTTGCATCTTCAATTTTTCACTATTGGCGAATTGACGGAAATGATCCAGCACCTCAGTCTCCACATTTGCCGTGGCATTCTCAGGACCAGAGCGCTTGGCCGCCGTCTGCGAACCCGGGGATGGGGCCTTGGCCGTGCCAGTCTTCTCCTCGGCATCTGCAGGAGTTTTGGCTGCGGCGGGTGGTTGTGCTGCTTGCGCCGACTCCTTTGCCGGTGCTTGTGAGGGCACTGTGGCAGCAGCGGGAGCAGGCTGTTTCGCCGACGGGCCCGTGGGCACTGCAGGTTGAGGACCAGCCTGTCGGCGAGCAGGCGGTGTATATTTGTTCGGCTGTCCGGAGACAAGAGGTGGGAAGGCCTTCTCGTCTCGACGAACACCGCTGTACTTGTCTTCTTCGTCTTGATCACCGGTATCCGGCGCGACCAGGCCACGCTCTTCACGCACATGAACATTGTCCACGTCGGTGCCTTCAATCTCACGAGCGATTCGGGCGGCTTCGACCTGCTTCTGCTTGTATGTAGGATCGGAGCGGTCGATCCGAGTCGTGTAGAGGTTTTCATCATAGTTGGTCTTGGCACCAAAAAGCCTTTCATTCGTCTCAAATTGGTCCCATCCGGCTGTGCTCGTCGTTTCAAGCGACATGTCCACATCATCCTCGGCTGGCTCCCAACGTTTGAGGGTGCGCTCCCGCATCGCTAGGTTTCCCGAGATATCGCTGTCAGTCTTGAACGCAGATGAGGCGCCTGCAAGTGGATCCAGTCAGTACAGCATTCAATAGCAAGTGAGAAAGCTGAGCGTTCCATACCGTTTGACTCCTTGACTGAAACCTCGGCGGTAGAAACATTGGGAACCGAGATGTCCGCGACATCCTTGACATCGAATGCCATACTGTGCTCGGGTGCGGCCCCAAGATACGGACTTGTCACATCACTCACGCCATTGGCCTTGGGCTGGTTCTCCTGCGAGGCACGCTGGACCATTTTGAGTAGGAACGTAGAATCGCTCGGCTCAAGCGTCGAGGACGAGAAGATGCCGGTGAAGTTCTCGCCGGTTTTTGTGGTGATGGTAGTGCTCAAGCCCTAGAAAGATGATCAGCCTTGACTCCACTAGTCATTGGCGGCATGGCACACATACAATGAAACTGGCAAATAGGAAGACCAGTCGGTCATGGGCATGGTGATCGGCAGTATTCGACTCCTTCTGGTTCGGCCTGGGGGAGCCAGAGTGTCTCTGATGTGCCATATTGCCATTCGAAGAAGCGTACGAAGAACGTTGGGTAATGGGATTGGTCCCTTGGGTCCAGGCCTTTTGGGAGTTTGTGCGCCTATGCGGTAAAACATGGTCAGTGGCTGTAGGTCACGATAGCGGGAAAGAGCACAAGACGGTCGAAATCGGACCCGGCTCTCTCAATTGGCTGTCTTTGGCACATCATTCCATACTGGCCTGCAACGAAGCTCGCCAACGAAGAAGCACGTGCACCGAATCCAATCATATGGAGGGCGAGTGAGAGGCCGGACGAGGTCCATCGTCTCGAAGCCACAACATGGGGGAAATCGAAAATACAAGATGTGGGGGGGAAGGTAAATGGGTGTGGTGGAAGCTTTCACATACCGCTGTGCACCATCAGCAGGGCTGCCTGACTGTCGTCGACTGTCGGACCCCTTGGTGCTGGCGGATCTCAGCGAGGGTCGACCGGAGTTCTGCGCAGACATATTGGCATTGCCAGATGAGCTGTTCGCAGCCGGGGTAGAGTTAATTGTAGAAGCCATTGATTGACTCAGGTGTCAGCCAGGGCAGGCTTGCGTCGTGGAACTTCGCACGGCCGAAAGCCGCGAGGGTGAGGCACGCAGCCACGAACACACCGCCTGCACAAACAGGACAGGTGGGTACGAGAGAGGGGGGGATCGACCACACAGAGCCACACGTCAATGAGAGAAAGGGGTAGGGAAGGGGAAAGGGAGCAAGGAAAGAAGATGGGAAAGATGGGGGGTCCTCAAAGAATTCGAAGGGAGAGGAGACGGACTTGACGTGGGTTGGATTTGTTTGGGGAAAGTGAAAGTCACGGGGCTTGGCACACTGTGCGACATCATCGTGTCGGATGCTATTAGCATGGAATTCATATTTTACTAAATTTACTCAATTTACGAGATTGTGTATTCTTCTATGCTTTTCTGGCTATTTCAAAAAAATCATGGATGCTTTCTTATTTTCGACCTTTTTGTGCCTTGCTCCTGCCGGGTTGTCAATGTTACCCAGTCTAGGAACTGATCTTTCTACCTCGGAAATACATCGGTATACTTGAAGAAGCTATGGCAATCCCTGTGTTGCAATGATAAAATAGACTGGATTGCTTGGGGCGAAATCCTACCTGCAGGAGCTCAATTGACGAGACAATCTAGAACTAGATTTCTGCTCAGTAAGGAAGTATTCCAATACCATAGACAGCAAAGCTTGTATTTATTGGATGAAAGAAATTTGTTTCAGTAAAATAATATACCCAGTCTCATTCTTGATGCTATTCCTATTTCTAACACTACTTTCTTGCGAACAGTAGTAACCAAGTATACATAGTAGGTATCCAGGGAGTTCCAGTAGAACCGGAAGTGGAAGCTGACCATCCACGAGAACTGTCTAGACTCCGGTTGGTAATTTTCAAGATGCCATGAATCGACCAAATCATGGATATGGAAATATATGTAAATATCTGTAAAACTTGAAGATCCAACAAAGTTCTTACAAGGAGCCCCTACACAAGGCTCCAATCCAAGGACGGGAAAGTGGATAAGCGCGGGTGCTGCCGAGAGCTGGGACTAGTCCTCTTGGGAGCAATCCATCGTCCATGACGAATGCGACTGCTCTCAGCTGAAGAGATAATCCATAATACACAGATCCATTGCCCTCATGTACCATCTACCTAGTGTCAAGTGCCCGGGGAACGACGTGTACCGGTCGTGGGTACCTCATTACAATTACTTACAATAATACATAACTTACATTACCATCAATGCTGCTAATCGCGACGGGACATTGTTTCAAACGGTAATCCATCAACACCGGAGGCTGGGTGTCATCCACTTCATGCTTGCTTGGCACACCGAGACCTATTTTCTCACGCTCTCCCATCTTCTCTCCCCATCTCCCTGCATCCTGCCAGCATTCTGTCCCTCTCTCACATGCAGTCCAGCAGTATATCAAGGTCACAGCGACCCTACCCAGGAGATTCTGGCCAGCAAAGCCCACCACCCCAGCACCGACCCTCGGTGTCTGAGAGCAGTGTCGACGGCTCCATGGCTTCGCATACATCCGGTCGCAGTTCTTCCGCGTCCAGTCGATCCCAAGCAAGCAAAAATGTGAGTGTCTTTTATTCGATTCTCTTTGCCCTTGGGAATCCGCAGTTTCTAATCCAGTGTGCGCTTGACTCCCCACACAGCCTGATAAGCAAATCTCCCAAATCGAAAAAAGCGTGACGCATCTGTTGGTGGCGACGAAACAGCTCCTTGAGACTCTGACGCAATGGTCCCGGAAACAAGCCTCGGAAAACGACGTGTCGGATGTGTATGTGCGCTTGGGATATGAATTCAATTTGGCATGCCGTGCCTTCAATGCCATCGGTGTCGACACCTCAGACCTCGGACCAGTGCCGGATCTTCTTCGTACAATCCTTGAGGACACCCTCAGCCAAGACGCTTCGCCGCCCAGCCTTGACCGATATCTTCCCCGGATTCGCGATATTATCATCAACCTGCTGCATGGACTGAAGAGGAAACAAGCTCGTCTACGGTCACGCCAGCAACGCGAGGATGGTCGGTCCTTGCCTGCACGCCAGGCGAGTGCCGGAAGTCTCTCTAGTGGGCAGTCGACAATTGGCCAGCTGTACGATGAAGCGGCTGCTTCCACCATACCATCTTCCACCGGGCATTCACCGAAACGGCCGCCCCGTCGTTACGGCAGTAATGGCTCTCTGGAGGACCAACCTTCCATGCCTCGAACTTCTTCGGCACCATCAGCAAGCGAAACCCGGGGCACGAGCTATTCGGAGCGGGAGGCATCAAGGCGGGAGGCGCAGCAGATGCTCAGCGAAACCTCACCCTTGGACAATGATTCAACACCTCGAGCTGGGGCGTCCACATCTACAACTCCCTCCGCCTATCCCGCGCCGCCGCCGCCACCTACTCCCAAGCAGGATGATGCGCTCGGAGCCCTGCAGAGAAGTGGCGAGCTTGAGCGTCGGGCGTCTCGTCGTTTCTCTGCCTATCAAATCCAGAAACACTTGGGTACGTCGACCAACGGCGTGCCCGTTCTTCCCAGCCAAAATTCCCCGATTCCCAATCGCGGGCGGGATGTCCGTGAATCCCTCCATGCCGTTAATTTGCGAGGGTCGTATGTCCATTCAAGACAGCGGTCCACAAATCGGCTGCGGGAAGCCCCTCGGGGTGGACAGAATCAGGTCGCCACACATGTTCCGGATGCAGTGGAAGAGGAACGGACAAAGCCCTATGTGGAATTGCCCGCGGACCCCCAGCATTTTGAAACAGGGCCTGCTGAGCTTCCAAATGACCAGCTGCCTCCAGTAGAACAGCACAACCTTCAGGGTCCCACAAAGGAGGAGGCCCCACCAATCTTCCCGCAACCTCCAAAACAGCCTGCCCTCGGGGAGGCTTTTGATGAAAAGACCTCTGCTCCTACCGCAGAAGCGGCCCCAATAACGCCAAAGCGAGATAGCTTTTCACCAATTGCGGATATTTCGACACTGACGCCTCCAATCCCCCATTATACGACCGAGCAGCCCTCTCCCGGGAAGGAGCTTACCTTATTCTTGCAATACAAAAGCAAGATTAAGAAGTACGTTCTCCCAGAAGGTATTACAGGTCTGACCCTTGGGCGACTGCAATTGGCTTTCATCGAAAAGTTCGCCTGGAATACACAGAATAATGGCGTGGATCTGCCGGAGATATACATCCAAGACTCAATCTCGGGGATTCGGCATGAACTGGAAGACTTGGCTGATGTCAAGGACCGATCGGTACTGGTGCTGAATGTTGACAACTTGGACGAGGTCAAGAAGCATTTCGACGACAGTTTTGGAAACGTGCGTACCCTGGTCGAGGGCGTGAAAGAAGCCATCGCTGGCCAGGGAACCGCCATTCAACGTGTCTCAGACCATCAACTCGAGGCGGCAAAGGAAATGGCCCGCTTGGCTGTTGTCCCCCCAGCTTCTGTATCCAATGCAGCTGTTTCCGACCAGAGTCAAAAAGGCCCGGTGTCCGCAAATAGGAGCCAGATTGCAGAACTCCAAAGCTTACGCCGTGATCTGGCTATTCTCCGGCAGACCTATTCCAACTTCTCATCGGACATTGCTAGTTCGATGGGTGCAATCCGCAGCAAAGCTAGCCAAGTGAAGACTGCTGCGGATGATGTTACTGTCCCCACCTATGAGGGTGATGCCGGCCGTGCCCGCGTCAACACTGGGAAGAAGGAGCTTGCCGGTGAGTCCGAGCGACTCGTTTCTCGCGTTGATGACCTCCAAGACTTGGTTGAGGATCTTCGAAAGGATGTTGTTACTCGTGGAGTTCGCCCACTCCCGCGGCAGTTGGAAGGTGTCAGCCGTGACATCAGCAATGTCACGAAGGAGATCAAGAAGATGCAGGACTTCTTGGGTCGCGAGAAGCCTATCTGGACCAAGATCTGGGAGAAAGAACTGCAGCTGGTTTGCGAAGAGCGAGACCAGCTTACAATGCAGGAGGACCTTGCTGCCGACCTGCAAGACGATCTCGAGAAGGCTGCCCAGACGTTCGCACTTGTCGAGCAGGCCACCAAAGAGCAGGCCATGGGCAACGCCAACCCTGGCGGTGTCACTCTGCGATCTACCTCGCGGACTCTGGGGATCGACCCCTCTGTGGACCCCATGAAAGCCAAGGATGGTGTTTTGGGCGAGGTTCGCGCACTGCAACCCAACCACGAAAGCCGCCTCGAGGCTATTGAACGGGCCGAGAAGGCGCGCAAGAAGGAGCTCGAGACTCGACGGATAGGGCTGTTCCAAAAGGAACTCGGTGCATTTGTCGAAGAAGGCAAACTCAAGAAGAGCGGTGGTGTGGAAGAAACCGAGCGCCTTCGCACTGCCAAAGATGATCGCATTCGCAAGGAAGTTTGGGACCGGCAACAGGCCCGCAATGCCGAGATGGAAAAGGCCGAAGCCGAAGCTGCCGCGGCTCAGTCCCAGTCAAAGGCCGAGGATGAAGACGAACAAGAAACTCCGGGCGAGACCCAAGAAATCACCGAGGATGACGGTGGAGCAGAGCAGGAGGAGCCGGCGGACAATTCGCAGCCATCTGCTGAAGAGCCCGAGAAGAAGGATGCTGGCTCCCAGGAGCATTCGCCCGAGCCTGGGGTTATTTAAACCCTGACTGTCTTTTTGCTGGCTGTGCACGAATTTCTTTCCTTTCTTATTGCATATTGCTGTTTCTGGTCGGTCTTTGCATTGGATGCTTATGTCGGGGGTCTGGATTTTGCATGGAATTCCCCATTTATACCGTTGACGTGTCTTCTATACCGGTCCCCCCTTTATACCTTGGATTTCTCATCCTGATTGACGATACCCTGCCACTCATGTGGCGTGCTTGCCACGGATGGCCCTGTTGAATTTCGCAGCGTATAGTTTGTTGGGTAGTTTATTGGAGTTGATTCTCTATATAATGGCGATGTGAGACTATGTCAGAGCATTGATGTTATCCCTCATTTACTTCCTTGACTGGGTTATCTTGAGTAAAAGAGGCCTGTAAATACATGATGAGCCTTGACCCTGACCTGTAGACATATATACAAGTTTCCCAAGTTTCCCATCTGGGCCGGACAAGTTGGACATTGATGAGTCAGCCTCTTCCGGGTTTCAGGCAACTCCGGCGCTGATCCACGGTCCACCAGGACCCAGTATGCGGCTCTCATCAATCGTCGCCTTGGTTCTACCCGTGAATTCCCTCGAGACACGTACACAGAGAAGCAACTCGTCTTTCTCCCAGCTCTTTGACAATAATGTCGCTTCACCACTTCCGGCAGAGAATATCTTGTGCCGCAATGCCGAGATCGCCTCCCGGCTCGCGGCGAAGCCAGTCCACGGCGTGAGGAAGATGAGCGACGACGAGGGCGAGAAGTTTTTCCTCGACTACTGGCGATTCTCCAATGACACACCCGGGAATCTACTTGAGCGGAAAGTAGACGAGGATATGAACACAACCACCACGGCAATCGATGCTAGCCCAGGCACCATCGAGTGTATATCTCCGGATCACGCCAATATGGCAGATGAGGACTCCCCAGCTGCCATCTTTCTTGCCAGGTCTTACCCATTCCAGCCGCCTGCTTTGGTGGATTCAGGAACTGGCCCACAGAGACGTTCATTCACCGGCATATTGCCAAATCTGCTGGAATCCAGGGACTTCAAGTGCCCAACGGGCACGCACGAATGCAAAGCTATCAACCGACCCAGTCGCTGCTGTGGTTCGGGGGAGTCATGCGAGCTGATTAAGGATATCGGGTCCGGGGACGTGGGATGCTGTCCAAACTGGCAGACATGTTCCGGGCAAATTGGATCATGCCAGCGGGGATACACAGCATGCTCACAAGCTCTGGGAGGCGGATGCTGTATCCCCGGGTACGAGTGTGTCCCTGGAGGCTGTAAGTCTTGTTTTACCGTTTGTTCTGTATTCATCTCCAGGAACACGACTGACTTGAATCATACAGGTGCCTACATCTCGGTGGTCACTATAACAGCGCACTCCACCGTGATCGTCTCTACAAAGACGTATTCGACATCTCCCCAAACCAGTCCCTCTTCACCATCCTCTCCGAGCAGCATCGGGACCGAAATTACCGAGAATCTAGTCCCGCCAGCCCGCCCGACAAGTCCCTCCACAACCACCAGCAACGACGATGCCTGCCCAACCGGCTTCTACGCCTGCTCGGCTGTCTACCACGGCGGCTGTTGCCGCACAGGCCGAGACTGCGATACCACGTCGTGCCCCACGACATCTTCGACAACGTTCACGTCAAATGGCGAGACAATTGCTGTGCCGGTTCTGACGACAGGCCACTCAGCTGAGACAGGGCGCTGTGCCAAGGGCTGGTTTAGTTGTGCAGATACCGTGGGAGGGGGTTGCTGTCCTATGGGCTTTGCGTGTGGCTCTAGCTGTGTTGCTACTGCTACCGAGACCACCACTGTCGCCAAGGAAAAGCCAACGCATAACAGTGGAGAAAAACTGAGGAGCTCGGGGTTGGTGCTGGGGTTGGGTCTTCTGGGGATGTGGTGGTTGTGATGAGTGCTTCAACGGCCTCGAAAATACCTAGCAAGTAGACATTTTCAGCGACATTATATGCTGTACTTTGGAAACCTGAAGCTGCAGCCTACTCCGATATAGATTTCGCTAGGGCTGGTCAGTGTAATGGCAGGGGAAGAGGCCGTAGACTTGAACTCAATGTCTGCTAAGAAATCCATGGCAACTACAGGTAATAACGGAATATATCACCGGTAACATGACGACTCGAAATATCAGTCGAGTCTCAAAGAAAAATGACCGAGACTTCTTTTAAAGTGATCGGGAAATAACATGGAGGATTGTTATTCTGTCAGTTAAAATAACAAGTCAAGAGCCACTGTACAACCGGGAAAAGCGTTGAAGCGGGATTGCAGCCCTAATGTCCATGGATGAGATGCGATGGTTTGCTCAGACCGAAGACTCAGCACTTTGTAAATGACATTGAAGATCACCCACAGATAACATTCTGCTTCTACCTGATTGCTTGATTATTTATTTTATTTTTGTTTATTTTTATTTTCTTCACGGACCCCATGGGGGGCTTTACTAATAGCCGGAAGTACCACCAGGTACCGCGGTCAGCCCCAATGCGGCAGTGTGACCGCCGGGTACTTGGATCTCTTGCCGACACCGGCAACCCCATCTCGTCCTCCACTTTTCTCTCTTCTTCCCATCCCTCGTTCTTGTCATCTTGCGGCATTGCGGTTCGTTCTCCCTGGTTTCTCCATTTCTTGCTCTTCTTCTTTTTTGAACTCGTCGCATTCATTCCTGCAATTCCCAGAAACTAACAACTGCCCCCCTCCGCGGTCGCAGGTCCTCGGTTGCCCACCATGTCTTCCAACCAGCAGCAACCCCTCCCCTTCGTCTACCAATTCGCCGCTGGCGCGGTGGCTGGTGTGTCAGAGGTATGCATATCTTGACTCGGAGTCAATTCCCGACTGCATTTGCCCCGATCCTCCCCCCACGAGCTTGGCCCGTGACTAATGCGTGTCTCCCCGCACGAACAGATTCTTGTAATGTACGCTCTCTCATTTCCTGGCCGGGTCGTGTAGCCGAGTCCTCAGCGCCATTCTCTCTATGATATAAAAATAGGGCCCAATTAACATACGCGACTTGCAGGTACCCGTTGGATGTGGTCAAGACACGAGTGTAAGGAATCTCCCGATCGCACGCATGCAACTCGGGCTGTTCGCTAATCCAATCTCCGCATATGCAGTCAGCTTCAGACGGGTACCCCGACGGCGGGTGCTGACCACTACAATGGCATGTTTGACTGCCTCCGCAAGATTGTCAAGAACGAGGGGTACGTCGTGTTTTACGAAGTCCTTAATCTGATCCTCTAACCGCCGATACTAGTTTCTCCCGCCTTTACCGTGGTATCTCTGCGCCCATCCTGATGGAGGCTCCCAAGCGTGCGACCAAGTTCGCGGCCAACGACAGCTGGGGCAACTTCTACCGCGGGCTGTTCGGCGTGCAGAAGCAGACGCAGGGGCTGGCGACGCTGACCGGCGCCACGGCCGGCGCCACGGAAGCTTTCGTGGTGGTTCCGTTTGAGCTGGTCAAGATCCGTCTGCAGGACAAGGCATCGGCCGGTAAGTATAACGGCATGCTGGACGTGGTCAAGAAGGTCGTGCAGACCGAGGGCCCGCTCGGTCTGTACAAGGGCCTGGAGTCTACGTTGTGGCGCCACATCCTGTGGAACGCGGGTTACTTCGGCTGCATTTTCCAGGTGCGCGCCCAGCTTCCTGCGCCTGAGCCCGGCAACAAGAGCCAGCAGACCCGCAACGACCTCATCGCTGGTACCGTCGGTGGTATCGCCGGTACCGTGCTCAACACGCCGATGGACGTCGTCAAATCCCGCATCCAGAACGCCACCAAGGTGCCCGGCCAGACCCCCAAGTACAACTGGGCCTGGCCTGCCATTGGCACCGTCATGAAGGAGGAGGGCTTCGGTGCCCTGTACAAGGGCTTCATCCCTAAGGTCCTGCGTCTGGGCCCCGGTGGCGGTATCCTGCTCGTGGTGTTCACCGGCGTTATGGACTTCTTCCGCAAGATGCGCGGCGAGTAAGAAACCATCAACGACTTGCCTTGAGTTATTCTGCATCAATTATCACAACCACACAAAAATTCCGATAGCGAAGATGTTTCCATGTCCCAACGGATCCGTGTTCCATGTGTCGATGTCTCAATCCCGAAATCCTCGTCTGGCCCTTGCCCCGATACCCTCTTTTATATCTGCCATTTCTTCTGTCCTTTTTTTTTTGGTCAATTTTGATAGAACCTGTTGCGCATGTATCACTTACTGCTTGTCTGTCTTGTTGTCCCATCATCACCTTTTTCTTTCTTCCAAGATTGGTCTGTGTGTATCCAACTATCAGATTAGAGAGAGAGAGAGAAGGGGGAAACAGAAGGGGGACTGTTAGAAGGATAGAGAAATTTGAATGTTTGTAGCATCCTCTGGATCTGCCATGTAAAAAATGGATCGAGGCTTCTTCGTTTTCGGCGTCTCCCTGCAGTAAATCATGATCATGATGTTAATAGAGGCTACTCACCACCCACTACGAGATTGAACGAATGGGGTTTTTTTTGTTTTCGTGGGTGACTTCGATTCTCTGTTGTGGAAATTAGAATATTAAGGCAATGAGCCCTCCCTGGCTCATGCGCGCAACTCTTCTCCTTCTCTTCCTCTCGCATCTCTCTCTCACCATTCTCACAACACTCTCAATCGCACCTCACCTGGCGCACCCCCAACGCCAGGCACCACAAAAAAAACACACAAAAAAAGAAAGAAAACTTTTCTCAAACCTCAAGATGTTCTCACCAGGGACCCCTTCCAACCCACACACACAAACCACCACACACCACCACCACAACACAAACCACCCCATTCCTCCCCATCTTCCCTTCTCCTTCCCTCTCAGACATCGCCGCGCACCGCATCTTCCAGCATCTGCGCCAGCTGTGCCTCCGTCACCTGGTAAGAACCGTCCTCAGTCTCGAAGACAGGCTCGGCAACAGGCTGGAGGGCGGGCACGGCGACAGCCTCCACAGCACGCTCGACAGCAGCCTCGACAACAGGCGGGGGGACATTGGAGGGGGCCACCTTGGGCACAGAGTTAGCGGGGACGGGGACGGGGACGGGGACGGCCTGTTTGGCCTTGGGGGAGGCGGCCTTCTTGGGGGGAGACTTCTTCACACACCGGGAAGGGACAGCAACGCTCTCAGCGGAGCTTTTCGAGCTGGAAGGGGAGGCGTTGGTGCTCGCGACGGGGGGAGAAGAAGAGGAAGAGGGAGAGGACGAGGGGTTGGCGGCGTTAGCTGGAGCAAAATCATCGTCCAGCTCGAATTCGCAGTCGTCTTCGGTCTCGTCGGGGTCGAAGGCGTCGTAGGGTTTTCCAAGGCAACGGCGGATAGCTTTCTGTCGCTCGACGAATTCATAGCACTGGCCTGGGATGGCGAGGTCCCCGGATTTCTTGGATTTCTTAGACTTCTTGGAAGTCGTCTCGGCCGTGGGGGCGGTGGTTTCATCCGGTTGGGCCTGCCGTTTGACTGCGGTCATGATGCGGTTGATCTGATCCAGCGTGGTCTCGTTGCTGCGGAGCCAGTTGAACTCCTTCTTCCTGAAATCGCGGTGAAATTCTGTGAGCTGGGCGTCTTCTACCGCTGGCGCAAGCTGGGCTGTCTGAACACTCACGGCGGGGTCGTTGGTCAGGTCGATCAGGGGGACAGCAGCTGAATTAGGCAGGATGGAAGTGCGAGGTGCCATCGTCGTTTGAGCAGCCTGCATGGGTTTCACCTGAGAGGAGACCGTGGAGGACGGAAGGTGAGCAGATGACGACGATGATCGACGGGACGTGGACTGTTGGCGATTAGCGGAACTTGGAGCCTGGCCTGCAAGGAAAGTTGTAATAGTGCGTCCTGCTGGTGTCGCATTCTTGGGACTGGTACGGTTTCCAGATGAAACCTGGGGAGGGGAGACCGAAGTGGCGTTCACCGGGGACGACCTGGCAGGGCGTGAAGCCCGGGAGGGAGTGCATACCGTATTCGTTGCGCTAGCAGGAGTCGCAGTTCGAGGAGCTTTGTTCGAAGATCGCGGAAGAGAGACCTTCGTAGGCGTGGTCTTGGCTGAACCTCGAGCATTGGGAGAGGTGCGGGTTGTGTTGCTCGCAACGGGATTGGAAGTCGAAGGAGAGTTTCTCGAACTTGACGTATAGAACACTCCAAGAGGAGGAGTCTTGGTTGGCGTACAGGTCATTCCAGCAGAAGGGGTGTTGTTCGGCGCATAGAACACACCAGCAGGAGGGGCGTTAGAAGGCTTGGGAAGGATCTTGATAGGGCCCGGGTGCTGCATCGAAGGCAGTGGCATGCACGGATTGAAAGAGGCCGCAGGGACTGACTGGTTGATTGGGGCCTGGGAAAGACTCGGTGCACCATAATATTCGAAGGCTGCGAGGTTCTCCGTGGATTGACTATGCAATTGGCCATACATTTGAGCAAATCCGTAAATCCGGGTTCGTAATTCAGCCAGGAGCGGCGTCGGCCCATAGACATTCTTCATCATGTCGTTGTGTTCGAGACTCTTCATGATCATGGCGTCAAAGCAGTTCTTCAACTCTTGGAGTTGGTGCTTGTGCTTGGCAAGCTTCGTCTTGTTAGTGCTGTTCACACGGCGGAGAGTGGCATTGGCCTCCTCGGCAAGCTCCAGGTTCGATTTGCCAGTCCCCGGATCAATGGTGGTGGCCTCGAGCCAAGCTTGCCGATACCTGTCGCGCTCCACAACAAGTTTGTTGTTGCGAGATTCGGCGTAATTGACGCGGAAATTCATGGCCTTGTCTGGGACTTCGACCACTCGAGCATGCTGGTTCGGGGTCGAGGGTTGATACCCGATGGGCTTGTAGGGAGTGACACCCTTGGCGATCGCATTGGCTCGAGTCACGGCGTCGAGGGTGGCTTGTTCATTGATTTCTTGGCTTCCAATCGCAAACTTTCGTCCTGCCTTGCCGCTCGCGGGCGAGACGTCGACGGAAGGAGCCGCATGAGACGGAACGAAAATTGGTTCTTCATCGACCAAATCAAGAGGGGGGACTGAGTAGGAGCAGAGGACGGGTGTTCCGAGTTGGGAATCAGGTTGTCATTACTGAGATCAATTGCCTTCTCCGTGGCAACAGAAGTGGTGTTTTGTTCCGAGGGAATGACAGAAAAGGTCGAGGTCGAAGTTGCATCACTGCTGGGAGACTCGTGCAGAGAGACACCCGAGTCATCCTGGTTGGTTTCAAGTGCCTTGTCCGTCGCGGCAATGGGAGTGGTGTTTTCATGGGATGGAAGGGCAACGGCGGGGTTGAGAGTCGAGGTGGGTTCGTGATGCAGGCTCTTGAGGAAAACTTCCGAGTTGCGCAGAAAGCTATCGATGTCATCGTCGAAGAGAGAGTCCACAGAGTGAGATCTTTGGGTATCAAGGTGTTGTTTCTTGGGGGAAGAGGTATCGCATGCATCCGGGAAAGCTTCGTCGCTGGCACGCTTGTTCGAGGTTTCAAGCTCCTGGATAATTTGATCAACGCCCATGTTCATGAACTCAGTCATGTCAATGTCCAAACTGAGTCCATTTGCTTCCAGGAAATTCTGGGGAAAAGAGCCCAAGAGCTTGGCCATAGACTCGGGCGAAAGTGCAAGCTCCGGATCGGTGCCTGGGATGTTGTCAAGGTTCATATCGAGTCCCTCAAAGGGCTGAGTTCCATCCATGGTGGCAGAATACCAGAGGCAGGATCAGGTTAAGACATAAGAGACATAGAAAAGTCGCAAAGAAGAAAAGTACAGGGTGGTAAGAAGAGATGAAAAGGTGCAGAAAGGGCGAAGAAAGTCCTGGGGGGAGAGGCGGTATTTAAACAAAAGAATTGGGGGGACTGGGGACTTCATTGTTTCCAAAATGGGAAATCCTCAATAGGACGAGTAAATAGAGCGGCTGGTGTGTTCATTTTGCCTATATGGGACGGTGACTGCGACGATGACTTGTTTACCTTCATCTTTTTTCTGCCAGACAATTACGGCATTATCCAACCGCCTCTCTGCCATATCATCCACCGCTTTCCATTTATGATTCCACCGCCCTCTCTACCGCCTTCTCTTTCTCATCCAACATCACGTGTTGCTCTTGACCGCTTCCTCGTCACGTGCCCATCATGGCAGAAAGACGGCTCTCCTCCAGTGCTCCGACTCCCCTCATTGAGGAGCTTGAGCTGACCAGTTTCTCCCCTGATGGTGACACCCTCGCCTCTTCCTCTGATCGTGAAACCCTTAATCCCTCTGACAATTCTGGCCTCCTACCCAACGACGTTTTCTTGCGTCGTCCAATTCCATCGCTCCCTCCTGCGTCCAGGATGAGTGTCATCCTTTGCACTGGTAAGTGGGACCTGCACCACTCCCCGCATTCCTCCTTGATAAGAGTTAATTGTTACTTTTACCTACTTCAGCGGGGTATGATCATACCATCCGGTAAGTCAGCCTGAGAAGAGCATTGGTATGGCCATCAACATTCAGGACTTATGCTAACTGGTTCCTTGACTAGCTTTTGGGAGGCTCTTTCGGGCATTTGCTCCCGTACCATTCAGCACCCTGACTCCCAGGTCAACCGCCTCTGCATCACTCCAGACAAGCGCTTCCTGGCAGCGGCAGGCCATAACAATGTCAAGCTCTTTGATATCCGGTCCACCAATCCCAACCCTGTGATGACCTTTGAGGGTCACACCAACAACATCACTGGAGTTGCGTTCCACTGTGAGGGCAAGTGGATGGTCACTAGCTCTGAGGATGGAACTGTAAAGGTGTGGGATACCCGCACGGGCAGTCTCCAACGCAACTACGCCCACCGAGCTGCAGTCAATGATGTGGTCATCCATCCTAACCAGGGTGAGCTCATCAGTGGTGATCGCGCTGGCATGGTCCGAGTCTGGGACCTCGGTGAGAGTGTGTGCACCCACCAATTGATTCCGGAGGATGAAGCTCCCGTCCTCAGCGTGAGCGTTGCTAGCGATGGGTCTCTGCTCTGTGCCGGAAACAAGAATGTATATTATCACCCTGTTGACAACAAGCCAATGCTGGAGGGATCTCGGTAAGCTAATGATACGCTTACAGGGAAATGTTTACATCTGGCGTATGGCGCAGACTGAGGACACCACTCGCATCATTCCGATCTGCACTTTCCAGGCCCACAAGGACTACCTCAACCGGGTTCTTCTCTCCCCCGATGTCAAGCATCTCGCAACCTGCTCCGCCGACCATAGCGCCAAGGTCTGGAATCTTGACCCTGAGTATGAGCCTGCCAAGACGGCCATCAAGGAGTGGAAGGAGCGACAGCAGAATGCCGCGACGGACAAGACGAATGAGCCTGCCCCAACTCCTACCGAGTCGCTGAACCAGTCTCGCGATCTGCTTCGCATCTTTGACACTCCGGTGCAGGACCGGGACCTGCTGCGCATTACCGACACCACCCCTCGGGATGAGACGCCGCAGCAGACCTTCACGGCGCAGCCGGATGGGCCGCCCATGAACCCGGCCACCAACACCCTCTTTCTGGAGACGACCCTGCCCACCCACCAGCGCTGGGTGTGGGATTGCGCATTCTCGGCGGACTCCGCCTACCTGGTCACCGTTTCCAGTGACCACTACGCTCGCCTGTGGGAGCTTAGCACGGGCAACATCATCCGCCAGTACAGCGGTCATCACCGTGGCGCGGTGTGTGTTGCGCTGAACGACTACTCCGAGCCCCGCTAGGCGGCGCGTAGTGGTTGTCTGGTGGCGTTGGTTTTCCGGGAGGCTTGAGGGGGGGTCGCTGGATGGAATGGGATGGCGTTCTGTGTTTCCTGGGTCCGTTCACATAGCATGGCGCGCAAAGGAGTGGTTGATCATAGCAGGCTCCTCTGCTGATCCGGTGTTCTGTTCTTGTTTTGATTGTTTTCTTCGGGTTTGTTTTTATCGGGAGATACCAATTCAGAGGAGACTTAGGCCATGTCGCCTTATGTGGCATGGCAGTGTCCCTCTGACCAGCATCATAAAGATTTCACATTAAACTCACCTTTGTATTTTCGTAGCCTGGGCCGTTGAGGCGAGTGCAAGGGTAATATACCGGTCTACCAAGTAGCATAGCACATATTGATTTTCGAGGGATGCGATAGATTGATCTGGAGTATGTGGAGTACTGGCTGGACCATATAAATATACACAACACGCTCAATTGACCATAAATTGAAGCAGATAATAACATAAAAGGTAGACAAAGTAGACATCCAAGAAATCAGGCATGAAAGCCGTTGGTCAAAAAAACAAGTACAAGAAAAGATAAAAAGAAAACAGGAGCCCAGCTGTAGATTGCCCCGGTTCTAGTATGTCTCTCCGTCTTTCTCTTGCAATTCTTCTCCTCCTCCATTCCCCTTTCCCTTCTTTATTTCTTCGCCATTTCCCTTCATTTATGGAGTGACAGCGAACCACGTCACGCTCACCACAATATCCAGACCCTTCTCCTCGGCCCCGGGGTACTTGAACGTCCACATGCCGTCCCGGTTGACATCCCAGAAGGCGCCCGAGGCAGAGTGCATTCCACGCTTGCCAGCGTTGCCCTGGGTTCCTTCAGCAGCGGCATCCTTGTCGATATGGCCCTGTTGCACAATGGTGCTGTTCACGGTGAAGCGGTAGGGGGCCGGGGTGGAGGAGTCGGACGGGGCGGTGGCGGTGATGAGGGCTTGGAGGATGGTGTTCTAATAAAACCAACAAAAAATATGTAATTAGTACTGTGGTCAAGGTAGTGGAGGAGCTGGTCGACGGCTTACGATGATCTGCGAGTTCCACTGTCCCACCTTGTCGTGTTCGTAGCCCTCGGCGGTCTTCAGGGCATCTTCGCAGGCCTGGATTGGTGTCAACTGGGCTGTAGCCAAAATTGGAAGGCACAAGAGAGAAAGGAGAAGGGCTCTGTGTCTGTTCGGTGGAGGGAACAGCCCAAGGAAAGGAAGAACGTACCGAGGTGGTGATCTTAGTGAGGTCCTCGATGGGAACGGGCTATGGCAACAGTGTTAGCACCGAGACTATCAATGCTATCCAACAACAACAAATGGCTCTGGCCATGGCCACAAAGGAAGCCTGGAAGTCCAAATCACACGCGATTGACGTACCGACGCAGGAGTGGTGCCCTCGACAGCCATTGTAGTAATATGTAGCGATAGCGGTACTAGCCCTTTTCAGATCGCGGAAACTGTATCGCAAGACACATCCCGTTAGCATTACCCACCAACTAAGACTGCCATTGGCACAGTAAAACCACCGATTGTGGTTGACATCATGTCGGGAACAGCGAGGCGCGTCCCCGGAGTAATGCGTGGGGAGAAAGCGACGTCGCGGGACAGCCCAGAAACTGGAATCCAGTTCAAACTCGGGGACAGAGAGCATACCTCGGAGTGATATGAATTGCAAGGGAAAATCTGTGCAGAGGCAATCCCAAAAGTACTTGAAGTCTGTGGAGCCGATGTTTTGGTGTTTGGGTGGCATCATGGCGAGCAGATACCTTAGTCAGCCGTGTTGTGGGTGTGCTATAAACGGGCTCGATCTATGTCGTGGGATGATATAGAAGATGAGCATGGCCACTGTGGAGAGGAGGGACCACATGGGAATATTGATTATTAAAGAAGATAATATGTCAAAGATATCCATTGGCGAACATCCTTACTCGCCCTCTACATGATCAACCTCATGCTCCTTGAATACAAACAAAGCGACTGGCATAGCCAATGAGTAAAGCAGGCTGGGGCCATTATTAGGTTAGACTATCGGACTATCTGGATACCCAGGAGATACTGAATAGCGATGAAGCTAGAGAAAATAAATTGCCAGCCATTGCTCTGTACAAAGACTTCCAGCCTCTAGGTATAGTCTTCCTTCCACAAGTCAGAACCAACATTCTCTGGACAGAGAAAACCTTTGTCAGATCATGTAGTCGTGAAAGACATTGTGTTTTCTATTACTTTCCTGTGTGCTACCCACAAAGGCTATGCTCTACAAGATCATATTATTTTCTAGATTAGAGCTTATACTATGACTAGGTTAAGGAGCTAACCATAGACATCTGACATGAGAATCGGTGAGGTATAGCCTCACGCCATATCTGGTGGTGTATCTCAGGCGGAAGGCTTGAGAAGTGAGGGAATGTGGAGGCTGGAGCCTCTGCCATGGTGGTTGGGATTTGATTTGATGGAGGTGTAGGTCAAGTGAGAGGAGGGTAAGAGTCAAGGGGCAGTTGAGCTTTGAGATGGCTTTTAAATCAAAGCAAGTTTGTTGTTGCTCTTTGTCGCTTTGGTTTTCTTTGTCACCTCACTCAGTACCAAAAAAAAAAAAAAAAAAAAAAAAAAAAAAAAAAAAAAAAGAAAACTTGATGTCTCAGAATATATATCTTCATATCTTCACTAAACACAAAGGTAAGCATAGATAGAGCACGAAACCTATGCCTAGTATTTATTATATATATACCTATAGATCCTTATGTTTCAATTCAAACGGCACCATGAAAAATAAAAGGCAGAAAGATTTACAATAAAAAAAGTATCGTGGTTATCTGCACGCTTCATGTGGCAGAGTAAGCGTGCATCGATCTTCTGCCCCACCTCACTCACACGTTGAATACTCTCTTCTTGACTTCTTCTTAGCTTTCTAAGCCTTCAAATGCTTGAAATTTACACAAAGCACAAGAATGAGTGGAGTCGAGCTCGGTCTTGCTATCGTGGGCACATTGGACCTCTGTTTGAAGTACGGCACGCTCGTTGTGTCAAAATACAAGGCGTTCCAGGAAGCAGAGAGCGAAATCCAGGAACGCGTCACTACAATTGAAGCAACCTGGATCAAGATCTCCCAGCAACTGGAATATCTTCAGCGCGTGTGGGAGGCTTTAGACGAGGACTACCGGGACTTGCAGGGGCGCATCCTCCAAATACTCCAGCGAAAACTTCAGGCTGCGGTGTTGGAGACCAGCAAACTCGAGAGGCACTCACCACCAAACACAGATAGACTGGGCAAACGAAAAGCAGGGCGGTATGTCTTGTCGGTAAAGAAATCCCTCGACAACGCCATCCAGGACCTCCAGAGCTGGCAGAAGGAGTTCGACACAACATGGTTCCTAGTCCTGCGGATTGCCAATGCAACCATCGATACGGAGTTGGCCAAGCGCCCGGGCACCGAAAAACTGTCCGTTGCAAGGCACCTTCGAGATGCGCTACAGCCGAAGCCACAACGCAAATCCTCGGTTTCCCTGCCCGAGGCAGAGTTGAAGTCGGCCAGCCGCTCTGATATTCCGTTCTCGACTTCCCAGCTCGTTGAAATTCCGCGTTTTGGCACCTTTATCCTGGATTCGGTTGATTTCTCGTCGAGAAAAGATGCCTCGATGTTCAAAAGGAACGTCCGGGACCTTGCCGTGAAGTTGCAACAAGTTGAGCCATATGTGTTTCACATTCTGAGATGCTTTGGGATAGTGCGCACCACAGACCCCACCACGCACCAGATCCTCTCCTATGACTTCATCTTCTGCTTGCCCGAGAACTGCAGCCAGCCTCAAAGTCTCCGCAGTCACCTCCTCGCCGGGGCGAGCCATTCTCTCGGGGCGCGGATCAGGATCGCCAAACAGCTTGCGACCTCGATCAGTTACATCCATGTGTTGGAGTTTGTGCACAAGAACATTCGACCGGAAACAGTGTTGATTTTCCAAGACGGGGATTCTCAACTGGGTCCACTCTTCCTGCTAGGATTCAAAACCTTTCGCTCGGCCGATGGTAAGACGCTGCGCCTGGGAAACTCAGAGTGGGCCGAAAATATCTACCAGCACCCCGATCGACAGGGGACGAATCCTGATGCGGATTATATCATACAGCATGACATCTACAGTCTCGGGGTCTGCCTGCTGGAAATCGGGCTGTGGGGATCTTTCGTCACACCCACGGGCGATGCAAATCTTTTCTTGCGCACTTCCACCCCAAACTTAACTGTTCTGGGCAGGAATGAATCCTTCAAGAACCACTTTACGCAATTGGCAATGGATCGGCTGCCAGCGCGCATGGGGGAGAAATATACTCAGGTTGTTGTGAATTGTCTGACATGCATGGATGAAACCAATCCGGATTTTGGGGATGAGAGTGAATTCGAGGACGAGGATGGGGTCTTGATTGGAGTCAAGTATATTGAGAAGGTATGGAGAATGGAGACCCGTCGAGTCGGTTATTATTTCCTTGAGCTAGCCGACGCTGACTCGACCAGATACTTTTCCAATTGAGTGAAATCTCTGTCTGACAATCATGAAGGATTCATGAGCGCTTTTTTTTTTCCCCCTCGTCTGTCATTCTTGGTCGACCCAGATATTGGCGATGCACATAGAAATATTCTATTTGATCTTGAGAGTACATTGGCATGTTAGTTAGAATATGCCAATGCATAGCAACTACACTCATCCTCCTGTCTCGTGGCCCCAGCGGCCGAGATGATAGCGAGGTTTCACGATGACACGAAGTAAATTACTAACAAAAACCCCACACGTACTTAATAATTCCTTATTTTATTTTATCTTTTTGCTCCATCCGGTCAAGTGCGCCAAAACTAGCGTGGGCCTGACTTGAGTGTCGCCCCGTGGAGAATCGGCCCCGAGCCTTGTGTTGTTAATACGCGATTAGACCGGAGTGTGGAGATGTGGAGTTGGCGTACTCCACAAACCGGGCACCAGCCCAGAGCGAGACCCCGGTATATTCTCTGGTATTCTCTGACCGGGGTGCCCCAGGATTCGCCCCAGAATCCAAGTCACTTTAGTGGTGGATCATACAGACCACGGGGCACTGCAAAACCGGGGGCCGGTTTCCTCCCCGCTTCACCAGGTTGGGTAAAATGGAGCCCAGCGACGATGGAAGGACTGTGGAGCTCCACGGGGAGAAATCCGACGCATAAGACTCTGTCTGGGGGAAGGTTGTCGTGTGCTATAGTTGTCATCGGATATCCCCGGACAGCTCACAAAATCTTACTACAATTCGACTCTATACTTCATTCCAACACAAGCAGAACACACGAGTAATGCTTCTTGTTCATTCTTTTGTAATTCGTTATTGCCTGCATCGAAAGGAACAAATAGTCGTGGGAACTATATGGATGATTAGACTGTCGGGGCCCCGGTGAGTTGGATCTGTAGGAGCCCTAAGAAGATCCTTTCGAAGCCTAACCGTGTTCACAACCGGTCACAGCCGTGCGTTGCGTTTCCCTGCTCCGTAAAGGAAGAAAGCCTTCTTGTCTATATATAGGACAGACTGATCACTGCTCCAATAAAATGCCTTGGTTTACCCAAGGCGCTTGTTGGTCGTTTCGCTTCTCTTTCCACACAGTAAGCAATGCAACCTCGATTGTCAACTAGTGGGCCTCGGCCACAGTCCATACCAATAGTTAGGCTCCTTGGATCATTAATGTAGTTCCTTCCAGAGAGTATGACACTCGGGAATCCTCTTTTCCTCTGTTGGTTAGTGACATACCGCCCCCAAGGACCTTTCGACGCTTCACAGAGCGACATGGTGCTCCACTTTTTTTTCATACTGTAATAATATAGGTCTGATTAATGCGGCCCACAGTTGATTTCATTTCCCAACTGCACTGTTACGCCGTACCTGAGAGCGGACCTGATTTCCGAGCCGGCTCGTTCCGCCATCATAAACTATATAGAGGCATGGAGAGTCCGGGGAATGGGGCCATCCCGTCCCACACCCAGATCTTCTTTCTTTTTTTAAATCCTGTTCTCATTTTGATTCTCTGTTAAGTTCCACTGGTTCCTAACTCTTGGATCCAAGTCTCTCGCACAAGATGTATATCTCCAAACACCACCTCATCTTTGGGTGTCTTTTGGCTTTCTATGGCATTGCCTCCGCCATGCCAGGCCGTCCCATGGACGCCGACAGTCTCAGTCTTCGACCCAGCGGGGATATGGAGCCCTACAAAAACCCACATGATTCCAGAGACCTCGCCAAACGGAGTAAAGCGGTGGCGATTTTCGGCTTGGGCATGTTCTTAGCCAGTTCCTCGGTGACAGCATCCTGCGGAAAGTCCAATACATTGGCAGAGTGGACAAACGCGTGCATCGCTGCACTCAGCGCTGCACTTACAGGCTTTCTTGGAAGCGTCATCTGGGGGTTCATCGAGCACGCGAGGGAAAAGAAAAAGGAAAAGGATAAGTCGATAGAGGACCTGCTCGAACAACAAACAAGCGCCATACAGACCTCGAACGAACTTCGGGAACAGAATCTCCATGCTCAACAAAATAATCAACGGATGATGGAGCAAATACTTTATCAGTTGATGCTGCAAAACCGGGGGGGCGGCAGCGGCGACAACGGCAACAACGGCAACAACGGCAACAACGGCAACAACGGTAACAACGGCGATAACGGCGACAATGTCGCGCGAAGCTTCCGTGCTCATGTCGATGATGGCCTCCCACGCTTGCTGGCTCATCGGTCCTGTGAAGATGACGACAATGACGACTGTTTGCCCCATCGCGTGTGGTACTCCAACAACGCACCCAAGAAGGGGTCCAAATCGAGGAAGAGGCGTGGCTCCTCTTCCTCCGTCGCCACTATGCACACCATTCATGTCACATCGGCTGATTTTGATTATCGCGATGAGAACCGCCTCCAACGACGCCGCTATGAGGAAAACTGGCAAAAGCCCCTGGATAGCTTCGGGTGCGAAGAGACTGTTACTGTGGAGACCAAGGACGGCAGGGAACTCCACGGTGGCTATACCTGGGAATTCGGCAGCTGGGATGTGATGCTGGCCATGGAGGATATCGAATGGCAGACATACCACGCGGAACTCATGGATAAGATGAGGGAAGCACACAACAAAAAGGGCTGGTTTAGCAAAATCGGCCAGTATTGTATGGACTTGGGCACTGTCAACACTCAACATAACGCTACTGCCACGTACAACGGGACGAACAACGCTGGAATCTATGGCTACCTCTGGGCAGACGAAGACGAGGAAAGCAAACTTGCTAATGACGGGAAATTCTTGAAGAGATGTAGGAATGCCGCTTGATTTTATGACATATCTTTTGTATGACATTGTGTCCATGTATTATTGGAATTATGTGTGATGAGAAATTACAATCCTCTATTGAGCAACGGTATCTCTGTTTAACCCTCGATGTTGTAATCCAAGGTCTTGCCTTGGGGTATATTCACGAAGGTTTTACACTCTCTAGGGCTTACAAACAAAGAGTCTTATGTTGTTACTCTTGCTATACCTAATTTGCGCTGTCTGTAGCGTACGATAACAGCTTCAAGTCAGACATCCAAAACGATCCATATGTTCACAGAGTACCGGCAGTCTCATTTCTCGGTTGATATGGTGCTCTACACGTCATATCAGATCAAACACCTTAATTCTCCACGACATCAGGTTTCCTGGGAATCCATGGATGTCTTACGCCCGCTAAACTTCTTCAGGTATATCTGACGCAACAAAGCAGGGCTTTGCCTGAGCAGGTTTAGATCAGGATCGATAGTGGAGAGGGTCAATCGACGTACTGTCGATCGCTCGCGATCTCCGCTTGAACCGGTGTTTCCCTAAAGGGTAAGTGGAGGTGTTTGAAGGAAGATGTAAATCTTGAAGGCTCGACACTCCATTAAGCTGGAGGTCTATTTAAGAGTCAAAGATATAAAGTGAAACCCATAGCAAGTTGATTTCCCTACACTATCAAAGCAATGTACAAGCCAATCTCTGCTCATGTTTATCCACATCCATGTTGTACATCTCCCAAGATATTCCTGCCCTTCCATTCTACATTCTCCCTCAAGGCAGACGACAATTCCATCCTCCACGGTGGAAAAACTCGACGGGTTTTCTCTGGCTCATAAAATGGAGCCGATTGGTTTTCGCTTCCTCTAAATCTATTCCGAAATCGGTGTGCTGGGCACTAATCATGTCTGCCAGTTCAACCGGCAGCCTCCCATACAGCAGCTGTACGACCAACTGCTCACGCTCTTCCCACCAGTCCTTTCTCTGCGGAGGAACATTGGCCGAGGAAATGATGCGGATATGCGGATCCACAAGAGAAAAAACGAGGGTCTTGCAATGTCCAGGCCTGGATCTGTCTGCCAGTAAAAAACCGGAGTGCTGGTTCTCGAAGATGTTTGGATAAACGGTAAGTCGTCCTGGTGAGTTGAGGACCCGTCCGAGGTACCGGGTTATATTGCTGCTGTAGAAGTTATCATAGACTTTTGAGCAGCGCTCCTCGTCGAACGGAAAGCCAAATGTTTTGTCGATGCCATCGCACCACGGCCAATAACGGTCATATGTATCTATCGGGCTGTAATACCATCCCCGATATTCCTTGTTGTAGCAGCAGTCCAAAAAACATGGTTGAATATGTCGAAAGTCAAGGCCACTCGGTGTGATGTTGTCCATGTCGTAGCAGTACACCGCGGTCGCGCAAATGTACTCATTCTATTGATCGATCTCTGTTAGATCTGTTGTGTTATATGATAAAAAGCACAGAGGACTTACGGGCTGTCCTTCCAAATGCCACAATTCTCCCATGCGCACTGGGTTGTCGGGGGTCAGCTCAACGTTGACCATCTTCACGATGACCTGCAGGCCTGTATCATGGAAGTTTTCGCGTAATTTGACCTGGTGCTTGTATGACTCAAACGTATCTTGCCCTTGCCCTTTGAGGGCCTTGCGGATATGGTCCTCGTCCCAGAAAGAGTCACTGCCAAACTCAGGTCGATCTTGATGGAAATGAGGATTACCGAATCCTCGATATTGAACTCTTTTAAAATCAGGCCCCAGCTGAGAAAGAACCGCGTCCCAGAGAGGAATCGTGCATGTGAGTATCTTCTCGATGGCTTTGTACAGGTCTTTGTGCTGCTGCGGGTGTATGTTGTTGATATAGGACTCGATGTGGCACCCATCGTCAGAAAATGAAACATCGCATGGAAGACACTGGAACTTAGGTGTGGGCATGTCGCGGAACTTGAAGGGGGCTCTGTTTTCCCTGGTGTATTGGACCGAAGTGTCGAACTGGTACCCGAAGGGAAGAGTATGCCCAATATTGTCTGCAAATTCCCACCATCTTCGCATATGGTCCGAATATTTTTCGATTCCCTTGAGCATCTCTCCTGCGCCAACATAATCGAGGCAGTTCTCGACTCCTACCACCCCGTCCGGCAAATAGGCGCTTCGGCCGTAGATGAATGGAAACATGGCTGGATCCACAATATCAACCACCGTGTTGCCAGTGCCAGGACGGTAGTTCTTATCATATCCTGCAGCATCCTCAAGTGCGCGAGTAGCTTGCATCAACGAACGCCGAAGATTTTCAGGAATGGCCGTGTCGGATTTCACGATGCCGTCAAAAGCATCGACCATTCCGCTCTCTCTGTGCTGGCCGGCTCGCCACTGTAGTTCCTCTATGATCCAGTTCTTTGCCTTGAAGTTGATATGCGGGGTGAGCTGGTCAAATTTCGCACACCATCCTGAAATGAAACTTGGGTGGAAGATCTGCTGATGATCAGTAAAAGGGTTGAAAATAGTAGTCTGGTGGTACTAACCTTTCGACGCCAGTTAGGCTGATCTGTGACGCTGTTCATAAGCCGCATCATCAAGATGTCTCGCTTGGTGTGATACCGACTAACAATAGTGATTAGAAGGATACCAGCAACTATGTGTGGAATACTAACTCAAGATGCCAGTATCTAACATGATTCGCATCCAGTCCGTTAGGAAATCCAACAAGGTCCTGGTATTTCTAGAGACACATGGTACCTTTAGTCTTTGGGAGTCAGTTGGGTCGGGAAGATGACAAGGCTGACCTCGCCGCCAGCCCATTCCAAGGGCAAGATAAAGCCGAAGCGCGCAGAGCCCTCCACCTGAGTCATTATTTTGTAGTAAAAAGAGGGTTTGAAAAGAAAAGGTGTTCAAAGATCGAAGTTGGGGGTTGGAAATAGAGAAATGTGAAGTAGGGTGGTGATACGAAGGAGATGGAGAGAAGAGAAGAGAAAATGGGCAGAGAATACAGATTAAAATGTCCTCCGCTCCTGTTTGAGAAGGGTTGGAAGGCTATTCTGATACAAATCCATGGGTGTTGCCGTGGATTCCAGGGAATGGCAGTAGATGGAGGATGAAGGAAAGCAATGAAAATGAAAGTCAAATATAGTCAAAAGTCGTCGTTAATGGCTGTTTCTTATCACTGAAAATTCTTATGAATATCTTGTCGTATTCTCTATGTTCTTGTAGTATAGCTGTAGCCTCGCTATCGACTAGCTCATAGTATCCAAAACCACCTAACCACCTCCGACGCCAATATAAGGTCCGTCGCGCAGCATCCATGGATCTTGGCTTTGACAGCACGCACTAAACTAAAAACAGCAAACAAAATGAACTTTTTTTTTCGGAAACAACATTGATCCATCTTGAAGCACCCGATCACGATTTAGGGCAAGGCGATCACCATGTGGGGCAGTGCAAGGCTGTAGCCGAGTCATTCAAGAATGAACACATCGCCGTTCACAACTCAAGCTTTGGTTCTTCATACGGTTGGAGCTCTTGCTCTCATAGAGGAACACAGCCATAATGTCAGAGAAGCGACCGGACAACACACCCGCCAGCTTCCATTTATTCCAGAGCCTCCCGACAGAGCTCCAAGACCACATCTGGGATCTCGCGGTCCGGCCACTGCCTGGCGATCGACACCTGCACACCTTCATTGTCGTCGACCACTACTTCAAAAAGATCGAGTGGGAGCCAGACATCCACGCGGACTTTCTGCGATTCGCCTCTGACCCCTCGCTGAAAGGCTGCAACTTCGGGCTGGCAGTGCCCCACGACGACGCAACCAAAGGCCCCAACCAGTCGGCCTACAGGTTAGACAGCGGGCTGTGGACAGCGTGCCAGCAGTCACGCAAGGCCCTGGAGCGCCGTTTCACCAAGAATGAGTGGTGGTCAGAGCTGCCTTCCCCAGCATCTCCGCCTCGCCTGGCAACGAGCGGCGACTACGCAGGCCAGCCAGGCGTCTCGCACACGGCGTCGTATCCCGACAAGAACGGCGAGCCTAATCACATCACCATCCGCCCGGATCGAGACCTGTTCCATCTAGTGGACGCCACAGTCGGCTGGATAGACTGGTTTTACCACTATGCTGGAGATCACGTCCCGCTTGTTGATTGTAGGGCACAGAGACCCAACGATCCCCCGGTCAGCTTTTTGGGGATGGATATTGCAATCGAATTTGAGGCGAAATGGGTTGGCTGGCTACCATCTTCCCTTGTGGACACGCTTTCGGTGCTTCATGACGATGCGGGCAGAACGGTGTGGTTCATTGATCGCCGTCTGCGACGTGCACTCCGTTCAGGCGAGCTTGACTTGAAAGAGGGTTCAAGGCCCACAACTGCCACCACTGGGGACACATCAGATATCTCTGAATTATCGTCGGATCCAGAGGGCATTCAGACCTTCTACTCATGGGGCTACGTCTTCACCGAGGTTCGACAAAAGGATCAGCATTTATGGGAAGTAGATGACGAAGAGACCAAGATGCAAACTGTGTTCGACATCTTCCCTCTTCTTCAAGAAGCGCATAATGGTCGTTTGGAAATAGAAGGGACAAATCGACTTCGGGTTTTGGCATGCGAACCTGATCCCTCGGCTCTTTAACAGCAACTTTCCAGAACCCTCTCACCCCACCGCATGTTGAGCTTTGAGCCTACTCAGTCAGTCAATCTTGATTGTGTAATATGAAAAGGGTATATAAATTGTGGGGTTGTCAATCCACACCGGTGATGCCCAGCGACAGGGGGGCTCTAGTCGGGATTTGATATTGGGTTGGCTTGGTTTCGGCCAATCCTATCGCCACCAAAAACACTCTTTGAGGTGAACGGGTGCATTAATGACCCAGTTTTGCCAATTCCGATGTGTGGCGAGCTGCAAACCCAAGCCCTAAGCGCGAGGTGTTCGCGCTATAGCCCCCCTGCAGCATATCCTCTCTGAAGTTTTTGAGTACATGTAACGAAAGCATCTCTTTCAATCGAGTCATTAGAATCGAGGACTGTTTTATAATTTCCTCATGTTTATATCGGGCCTGAGACCCACATAGCAAGGACTAACATCCTGGCTTCTCTCTCTCTCTCTTCCTCTTTTATTTCCTTTTCACTTGAGTCTTGCAAGCATCATGAGTAGCCATATGTCACTTTCTTGGATACGGTCCGGCCTGAAATGGAGATCCATCCCTTGTGATCCAAACCCTAGACATCGTATGTGGAGGCCCACCTTATCCACCGTTACCACTGCCTTGAGAAGATTTGCTCTCAGACCCCTTGTCCTCCGCCTCTATACATGATCTGTATGGTTCCCAGCACTGTGGTGCCCTTGGTGTTGGCAAGGGATACATCAAAGGATCCATTTCCGTAGCCAACAACGGCACTAGATCCGTATGTCTGTATGGTGAACAGCTATATAGTGATGGCCCCCGACAGGACGCACAGTCCCAGCTACTTGCCTGTAATCCCAGATAGTTATACATAAGCGAATTCTCTCAGTATCCAAAGCTCCTCTAATCAATTTATGAGATCTGGTAAAGAGCTACCAGTACCTCCACTATGAAGCTCTGTCCGAATTTCATCGCACTCTTCAGTGTGTCGAACCAGATCTGCCCTGTCACAAACTCGCCCTGCCTATGTTTTCCCTCATAATTTATTAGTTATGTAGTTACTACTGACCAAACTAGTGCACCGCACACTACAACTCGCCGCTCTCACCCCGCCTCGTTTTCCCCTCTAATCCACTATACCAAGAATTAGTGCACTCTCACTACGCCGTCAATGCCAGACTATACCCCGCCTGTATTCTGCAGCCGCAGTCTGCACACGACATATCTGTGGCTATCATCACCCTAGTGGACGCCGATGACAGCTCACCACAGTGCAAATTCGCTGTTCACAGTGGCGGACACACGACCTGGGCTGGGGCCGCGGGCGTGCAAGACGGAGTGACGATCGATATGTCGATGATGAATTCTACAATCTATCATGTTGAGAACTCGACCGCGTCGATTATGGCTGGGGCACGCTGGGCATCTGTGTATACCACGCTTAAGAAGTATGGCGTCGCAGTGACGGGGGGCCGGTATGACACTCTTGGGGTAGGAGGACTAGTGACTGGGGGTGAGTGATTCTTCGATGAACGAGAGAAAGGACAGATATAATAACGGACAATGAAGACAATCCTCATAGTATTTTATTCAAGAAGATATTTAAAGCATTTACCTAGCTAAGTGCTCTATACTATGACATTATCTAATGTCTCACGTGACCCAACGAGCTGCTGCAAATCAACGGCACACGTGCAGCTGCGTGCAGCGCGCTAGACCGCATTAGGCCAAGGTGCATCGGTCTCGAAGTCCCTCGTCATCGGGGGACTTTGGCGGACAGCTTCGCCCACTCTCGAGCTCCGGCAACTCTTGAATTTTTCACTCTTCAATCGATTCATCGCTCTCTTGTTTTCTCCCTTTCTTTCGAGTTTGAGCTCCGCCTCTTCCACGCCAGGTGCATCCTGGTGCCTCCGTCGACATCGCAATCTCCGCGTAACCTGCCGCTTTCATTCATCATGTCGAGCCAACCTCTTCTCCAGACCGCACCGGGTTCGTTCCTCTCTTTTATGATGCGTGGCCATGTTCCTGGAGCAACCTTGATTATTCTTTGGAATCATGGAGCTATTGGATCATACCAACCTCTCCCCCGACCGTAGCCAGCTAACCATCCACAGGCAAACGCATCGCCCTCCCCACCCGGGTCGAGCCCAAGGTCTTCTTCGCCAATGAGCGCACCTTTCTCTCCTGGCTCAACTTCACCGTTCTTCTCGGGGGTTTGGCGGTCGGCCTACTGAACTTTGGCGATCGCATCGGTCGCATCTCTGCCGCCCTTTTCACCGTCATCGCCATGGCGGCCATGATCTACGCCCTCGTCACCTTTCACTGGCGGGCGCAGACAATCCGGCAGCGTGGGCAGAGTGGCATCGACGATCGCTTTGGACCGACCATCCTTGCTCTGGCGCTGTTGGCGGCCGTGGTGGTGAACTTTATCCTGCGGATTCGAGATGGCGAGACCAACTGATCTTTTTTTTTCTCTCTCTTTCTCTCTTTTCTTCTTCTCTCCGTTATCAGAACGTTGAGCATTGGGCTGCATCTTCGACTTCTGATTTATTGGGCCTCCAGGTCAGTGCTCGACGCTGCCCGAGGATTCAGCACGATTGGAGTTTGGTGCTCGGCGCCATAGGGTCATTCCAACTTTTTATGCATCAGTTTGTGAAGGATATTCGGTCTTTGAAATGTCTACAGGGAATAGGGTATTTATCTATTATTGACTAGTAGCATCCTCGTATCTATAGTGTTATGATTTGCTACAGCCCAGACCACACCTTACCCATCCTTGGCGATACCCGCAGGCATCCGGATACAAAATACAAGATATATTCATACATTATATATGAATTATATATGATATATTATATGTAAATATGTAAATATGTAAATAAATATGAAGATAGATTATCCCATTCTATATGCTCTCATTACTCTTATCAAGCCTGGAGTTCTCCCATCAGAGTAAACGCATGACGTGTCGCGGCTCTGGTTTGAGACCTGTAAATCCACGTCAGTAGCGTAGGGGGAATCACATCATCTCCACTGTTGTTTTGTTCTGGATGCTTCCCCCTTTCTTTCTTTCTCTCTTTCTTCTTCTCATCTTTCTGACCTTCTGGTCTGCCCTGTTCTGCTCGGTTGATTTTCTTCCCCTTTTCTCTCCCCCATCTCCCCCTTCTTATTAATAGATTACGCCACCTCCGTAATCTCTTTTTCTTGGGGTTCCCCCTAGCCGCTCTCTCTCTCTCTCCCTTGTCTTTCTGCCACTCTCTCTCTTCACGGTCGCGCGACCGCCAAGTCGATATCCATTCCTTCCCTTCTTTCTATCTACCCTTGATATTCTTCCAACCCGCGCGAGCGCATGGACTCCTTTGATTAAATTAATTTCACCTTTTTTTCTTTTTTTCTCCCACCCTGGCTTCGGATCTCCCCGGCACCCATCACACCTCGCATGGCATGTTTCGCCTGCTACCCTGGCCCTCTGCGATCGGAGGGGACAAGGTCATGGAGGAAGTCAAGATGCTGGCGCCGTCAAACTGCGCGCCCGGGGTCAACAGCCTGCCTCTGCCCCGGTTAAAGCGCAAACGTTCCGATTCCGATGCGACCGACACTCCCGCCGCGACTCGCATGTGCACGGAAAAGACGAATTCGCTCTCGCCGACCGTACCGACCGTGCCAAATCCGCCGCAGCAATCCGCTACATCGCCCGCCGCGTCGTCCCCGACGGTCGCGACCGTGCATTCACCGGCGCAGGTCGCCACCGGTGGGCCCGACGTGACCCGGCTTCGTGAAACGATCACGGCCCAGCTCAGCCTCGAGGTGCTGCTGAAGCACAACGAACTCCGCCTGATCGACCAGGAGATCGCCAAATGTCAGGTCGCACTGGAACAGGTGCGACGCTGTGCTGAAATCCCGTACCCGGGATCCATCGCCACTGGCATCTCCTCGGCCGTCAGCATGGGGTCGGGTGCAGCGCTGCTGCCTGGAAATGGACCAGCACCGCTGTCTCCCGCGCCCTGGGGTGTCACTGAGGGTCCGTATTCGCGCCACTATGCACGGTGGCTGCTCCCGGATCCTCGGTTTGACGGAGGCGAAGTCGATCCTGCGCTGGCTGCGACCGCTGGCACCGGCGCTCCGCTGGTCGAGGGTCGATCCACGCGTGGCAATCCTGTCGATCTGGGTTCGCTGGCCGGCAAGACACGTCCCTCACGCGGGTCAACCGGTGCGAAACTGCAGGCGCTGCCAAATGGCTACCCGATGATCAAGGAGAAGGCTGGCCCGATGCTGATTCGACGCAAGTCGGATCAAGTGCTGGTCAAGCTGGTTTGCCTGGATTGTCGACGAGACAACTTCTCCAGCACCCAGGGATTCATCAACCACTGTCGCATCGCCCACAACCGCAACTTCGCCAGTCATGATGCCGCTGCGATGGCCTCCGGAGAGCCTGTCGAGGTGGACGAAGCCGGCGCCGTGGTTGGGGGTCAAAGTGAATCCAACAGCAGCACGCCCGGTCCGGCCTACGTTCACCCGCTTATTCGCTCCGCTCATCTCCCGACGCCATCCAAGGATACAACCACTCCTCGCAAGTCTTCCATGAATTCGTCCGCCAAACCGCCTATTGCCATCCCCACTCCTCCTGCTACCGCAGCCTGTGAACCGCGCCGACAGTCGGAACCGGTCAAGCTTCCCACGAACCCATCATTCCTGGCCTCGCCCGCAACCCCTCATCTATCAGCTCTGATGCGGCAGCGCGGCGCGGGATTGGACATGGGCAAGCTGGTCCAGGAAGCCAAGACGCCTGTTGATCTGAGTGCTCTGTCGGACGAAGAGGATGTGGATATGGACGAGTCGGGGCCGCTGACGGAGTCTAGTCAAGAACCTCAACTTGGCGTTCGTGCTAGTCGCCAGCCGATGCGTATGCCTGTCGCTCCAGCCACGTCTGAGCGGCCTGAGAGCCGAAAAGGTCTTGAGCGAGCAGCCGAACCCCTGTCCCTCGAGGCAATCACACCTTCTCGACCGCCATCTCACCCCCAGCCTCTCCTCTCCGGGATCTCTTTCCCTGGCCCATCCACTGGAGTGGCGGAGACGCCCCGCGAGGATGGTATGGAACATCCCAACCTCAGTCCCCACACAATCGAGTCCAACCAAGCGCCCAGCTTGGTTAGTGACGACGAGGATGACTATGAAGCGGCTTCTGAATCAGACAGCCCCAGTTCATCAGAGGCGGATGATCAGGATGAGGAGTTCAGACATATCCAAGTTGAAGACGACGAGCGCACTGCCGCCCCGTCGACCGCGACCACCGAGGCTAAGTCTGGTCCGTCCTTGGCCGCCCCTGCACCGCAGTCGGCGCCCACGCTTTCCCAGCCGCTGAAGCGCAGCCGGTCCAACAAGATGTCGTCCATGGTGCCCCCATTCAGCGATCACGGCAACGAGGACACACGCGTTAACTTCGGCCATCCAGCGGAAAACCCGGCCAAGTCCCAGCGGGCTCCCGGGCGTAAGCCGGCACCGTCCAATCCGTGAAACCAGATGTTCAGCGTCGTTGTCCCGAGGGATCCTGGTTGTGGTTCTGATTTTTTGATTTCAACACCCATCTCTTCTCTGACCATGTGGTCTGCATTTCTACCTGTTCACTTTCTTGCCTCTGGCCTTGTGTTTTTCTAATCTGATTTCGTGAGTCTGGGCCATCTTGATGATGGCCGATGAGATGGATGATGACTATTCATTATGAAGCTATATCTGATATTTCGTTTAATGGAGCCTTCCTGTACATAGCTCGATCAAAATGCAACTGGCTTGAGGCATGAATAGTGTAATACAATACCGTAATATAACTAGATTTGCGTGTGAATGTCGCGGTTATTACCACGGATGACCACACCCGTCTTGTCTTATCGCGATAACGTCGACCTCATTTTTTCTGCTTTTATTCCCTCGGTTTTCTTGAGGTCCTTTGTAACCTCAGCCCTCCAGTTCTTACGGACCGACGCATTGGTGGGTCAGGGTATTCACTCAATTCCATTTCGCATCTCACCTAAGAAAGAAAGACTGCGGTTGATCCTGTCTTCCTGTTCGCTCTTTGCGATCCGGCATTGGGACTTGAATATCTTTCCACGGCAACGACCGACCATCTTTCGCTCCGGCAACCCGCCCATTCTCCCGAAATGGCCATCGACACGGACGCTGCATCCCGGCCGGAGGCAAAGGAAGAGACAAAACCCAACGGACAAGAAGGCGACGACTTCATCCCCCTAGGCGGCGACTCCGACGCCTCAGACGATGACGACGACAACAGCGACAACAACGACGCCGAAGCCCCCGACGACGACTCGGCCTCCTTCCACCCCTACCGCATCACCCTGGAAACCTTCCGCCGCCTGCTCGAATGCTACCCCACCACGGTCGAGCAGGTGCATCGGCGCAAGATGATGCTGAAGCTGCAGCCCAAGCCCGAAAAAGGATCGAAGCGTTCGGCGGAGAAGCGCGCCGGCTCGGCCTCGACCAATGCGCGTGGCGCGGCGCTTATTCGGAAAACGGATTTCAATCCCTCGGAGCAGAGGCATATACGTACGGAGACGGATCGGTTTCTGCTGTTGGATCAGTGGCGGTATGATGGTATGCCGCAGGCGCTGGCGCAGCGGAAAGAGAGCGAGAAGAAAGAGTCGTGGTCTTTGAATAAGGAGGATTTGATCACGGCCATGGACTGGAAGACGTATGTTACTCCTCATACCTCTGAATTTGCTCTGTTACGCTCTGTTCTTTGTTTAGCTGTGCTCTGCTAACATCTCTCAGGAAACACGGCCTTCCCCGTCCCACGCTAATGGGCATGATCAAAACCAACCAAAACAAAGCCATCCTCAAATCCACCGCCGCCGCCTTCGCCACCCTCCCCACCGCAGACCCCATGCTCGACCCCAACGCAGCCTTCCCCAAGCCCAGTCTCGACGCGCTCACCACGCCGCTTCGCGGTATCGGCGTGGCTACCGCATCCCTGATCCTGTCGATTGCCACCGCCAACGGCGACCCGGCCCACCAGATCCCCTTCTACAGCGACGACCTGTATCTGTGGCTCTGTTTGAAGGATTTCCCCGAAACAGAGTCAGTCCCCGAGAATGGCCCCGAGCAGCCACTGATCAGCAGCGGTGGCACCACCGAAGACGCTGCCGCCAAGCCTAAGAAGAAGCTGTCCAAGTTCAAGCGGCCGAACGGCGAGCTGAACGTCAAGTACAATCTCCATGAATACCGGCAGCTGTGGAATGCCAGCTGGGAGCTGCGCCAGCGGCTGAACCGCGCTGTCGAAGCTGAGGCTGAGGCTGAGGGAGGTAGTGACAGCAAAGATGCTGATGAGAGTAAAGGCTCTTCTCATTTATCGGACCGTCTTGTCTCCCATCTCGATATCGAAAAGGTCGCCTACGTGCTACGCAATATCGCCGTTTCGGGCTTTTACCCCGACCAGGACCCCGAGGCTATTCTGCAGGCCAAGGCGGCCGACGAGGCGGAGGTAGTTGCTGCGGCGAAGAACGACCAGCCGGGGGAAAAGACGGAGAAGAAGCGCAAGCGCAAGGACAAGGATGAGGGAAAGAAGAGTGGGTCGAGGAATGCGAAGAGGAAGAAGGCTTGAGGGGAGAGTTGGCTGTACAAGATCAGAGTATTTATGATTCTTGTTGTTTTTTGAGCATTGCATTTCTTGTTGGGGGGTGTCTGTTCGACTCCATTGTCAATACTCCATTAGGTTAAAAAAAGATATATACTAAATATTCATCTTGTAAAAAGCGTAAATATCAGTCCCGTACCGGATTCAGACCTTAACCCTACCTTAACCCTATTTGCTAAGAACAATGCCCTTGCAAGCAATCAAACCCTCCTAATTATTTCAATATCCATTCTAATAAGCAAGAAAGCTCCTAACCAGACCTTAAAAAACTTTTCCGCTGCATCCTCGGAAGATCTCCCCGAAATCCATTGCCAACTCCCCCACTCCGGAGGGACTGTGTCGGCTCACCTCCCGAAGACCCGCTCTCTTCGGAGATGCTGCCGCTGTTTTTCTGAGACATCATCTGCGATGTCGGAGTGTTGCGTTGTTGTGTGTCTGCTGTTCTCGGTATTCTCCTGTGAAGCGTGGCTATTGGGTGATTAGAGTGCTATCTTCTGGAACTATAGAATATTTACCTATTTTGGTAAAGCTGGTTACCTTGGAACTGTCAGTCTCGTAGTCGATGAATATATAATCCTCTTCTATGCTTCTGTTAACATTTTGTATGTATTTCATCCGTGAGAAATTTTTTTCTCTTTTTCTATTAGCTTCCGAGGGCACGTTCATTCTGCTAGTTGTTCTTTTAGAGCTCGTCTATTATCAATTCAAAAGTTTTGATTCCAACTCGCCAAATCACCTTATTTGCAAGGGTGTATCATGCCTGTTGGGTATCAAAGATCAAATAGTCTTCTCTTGGCTACCCATCTTATGTGCCTTTTGCATCTCTCTCTCTCTCTCTCTCTCTCTCTCTCTCTCTACCTAGTGTTTCCCCGATTGTCAATCATTCCTCCGGGGGTCTGCTCCATTCAACCCATTCTCAATACCCCACTATCCCACATCATGAACGAACAACGCCTACGCTCGTGTCCCCAAGACCTCTCCCCAACCAATACCTAGGTCATCGGCGCAGCAATCTTCCACGAGCCCGAGTCAGACAACAGCAGGATCCTCCCTACTCAAATGTGCCAGCTATAAGACGACTCTCCCTTACGCCTGGGAACTGCCAGGGGGCCACGTCGAAGAAAGCGACGAGACTATTGCCCAAGCGGTGAGACGAGAGGTCTTTGAAGAAACGTCTCTCACCGTTGTTGAAATTATCGGTGAGATAGATCCCATGGCTTGGGAGTCTAAAACAAAGTCGAATCTGCAACTTAATTATGTGGTCACTGTCCAGCCTGGGGATATGGTCACGGTCAAGTTGAATCCTGAGGAGCACGGGGATTGGCGGTGGGGGAGGGTAGAGGAGCCTGGACTGCTTAATATGGTTGTGGAAATTAAGAGGGTTGTGCCGGATGCTTTTGCTTTTGTTGTTGCTAGTACTTAGGTTATACTTCTATCAGAGGTGTGTGGGGTATATAAGCATCTATTGATTGTGGAGGGCATGTTAAAACATAGTATGTCTAGATGACACCAACAACCTAAATATTGCCAATTATTCAATTGTTGCATGTTCAATAGGAATTTTTTACGAGACGAGGATTGATTATCAACAATTCCCATGCAAAACTCGAGTCTCTTTCTCTCCCTTTCTCCATCATCCGCACCTCTGGTAACCCCATCTCTGCATCTATTCGTACACAGTTCGCTCTGCGGCTTCGGCGGTGGAAACCTTGAGAGTGACAAGTCGATTCCAGCGCTTGTCCTCTGTCAGCCATGGACAATCACGTATTGGCCATTGTGGAATTTGTCGCCAATTTGGACTGGGTGATAGCCGCCTGGAGTGCAGTAGTTCAGGCGCTCGACTTCGTCAGGGTCATTATATATTCGTATTTGGGCTCCATGGGCCTCCCAATGTTTCTGGTGACTGAAGTCAGTCGTATATTTGGGGATGGAGAGGTTTTCGAAAAGCTCTGGATCTAGGCAGGTGTCTAAATGCAGACGTCATTATGGTTTGGGGGTATCAGTAGAAGTCGATATGGAGAAAAGAATGGGCAGATATCACATTACTATTTTAAGCTTATTTGTATACGAAAGAGATGGTTGAAAATATGTAAAATGAATCATGACATCTAGTATATATACATCACGCCAGCCTCGTTAATCCTTAAAGCACTTTTTTTTTTAGAAACAAGTAGATCTCATCGAAGCCTCCATCAACTCTCATCAGCAGTTCACGTAAGAACCGAAGAAGTGCTGAACTTGACTTGTTACGCCATTGCATAAAACCCTATTCCCATTCCGATTGCACGTCATATAAGTTTGCATCCAGCGGACTAGATGAGTCACCATGTTGCCGGGAGTCATATGCTGTGTGTTCGCTTGCCAATCGGGCCTTGACATGACAATAGCCATTTGTCCAGCCCAAATAGGGGCAGCTATCATTGAAGACTGTATGAGCTTTTGGCAGATCCTTCCCAGAATATGAAGATGGGGAGAGGGGCTTACCAACAGAGGTTCCAGATGGATGAAAAAGGCGACCATGTTTGTTATACGTTTCAACCCGATGACCCATGGTGCAGGCCGTGAGTAGATGCCCACCCTGACTAGCCGGCATCATGTTTCCAAGGTAATCCACACTTCCTATCACCGAGACAGGGATCCCTCTTTGTGCGACAATGGCTGGGAGGATATCAATGTCAGTTCGTCGGTGGCCATGCCAGACCTCTTGAGCATAGTTCCCGGAAGCCAGGACAACAGGAACTCCCATGTCTTGAAGGTTGGTAAACCTTTCAGCGAACACGCCCGCCTCTGGATCACTATTTGACTTTGGATCCTTACTGCCCATCGCAGCAACGACAATAGACTTTCTCCAGCGACGATCTCGCTGGCCCATGATATCACGCCCGGCTGCATTTACCCCTGTTTGAAGATCATAGTCGGTCCTTCCCGCGATCTTCACTGGTATAAGAATTGCTTTTTTCGCCACTCCGAATTTAGTTCCCAGAGCTTTGATGGCCACTGCTGTTCCATGGGATTGAGGGTCGTCATCAACTTCAGGGTGCTCTCCTTTATCGATAGAAGCCTGTGTCTGGATAGCCTTCCTCCGTCGGTGTACTGGAAGTTCCTAGCAGAGAAGAATATTTCTTTAGTTTGTTTTGATAAAATAATTGGACGTTGGTATAGTACTCTTGCGATAATAGCCCGACCGTGGGCATCCCTTTTGTTCATATCCCGGCGAGCATTCCCTTGACCCATATAGTCCGGATGGGCAACACCCTATAGAAATAGATGGGGTATAATTAGCATCTAGTTGTATTCCTTCTCTCTCTCTCTCTCTCTCTGATCCTTTTGAAAAGAACTTACTCGGTCGATGACATAGATATAGATATTTTGGCCCGCAAACTTCTCATAGATATAGTAAGCCCAGTTGTACGGGCTGAGTGAATCTCGTGGCTCGCTGATCTGAAGTAGCTCTTGAGGCGCGTCATATTGAACCTCAAACCGTGTCCGAGGATCCGCTCTTTTTTCTAGGGAGGATTGCACGTCATCATCGGACCGGGTGACATTTCCCTCAAATGCTTCAGCTTCTGAGGGTTTCTTGTTGCTATTGGGGCCAACAACTGGTTCGTCGGTTGATGTGGCTCGCTCATGCAGGTTAAGATGTGGAAGCTTTGTATCTGGGTCACTGTACAGCCTTGGATCGGCAGCGTAGCATGTTGCGAAAAGAAGAAGCGAATATAATATCGATCGCATGTTGCACTGCACTTGAGGTCTGACAGAGAGAGAGAGAGAGAGAATGAATAAAACAGATCAATTTCTTACAAAAAGGAAGAAAAAATCAATAAGAAAGGCGGCATCTTACGGAGACAAATGACAAAGGTTGTTTCAGCCTGTGCGTTTTTTATGTTTTCTCTTGCTTACCTTCGGGCCGTATGAAGAATGAAGGAATGGAGGATTCAGAGTTGGTTGTAATAATCCTCAGAATAATAACCCTTGAGCCTGAAATTTTGCCACTCTCCAGACTAACAATCTTGCTGAATTATTAACAGTTTTCTAAGCTTGTTTGCGTAATGCTCAATGTATATGCTCGTTGAGTGTGAGTGTTGTGAGGAAAGACGTAAGGAATAGCGGCCCCTTATGGGTCGCCGAAGGATGTGGCTAGACTTCAAGTACGCTCTCAATTCAACCTCAATAGTAAGATTTAATAAAATTTAATAAGGAATCAGCAGATATGCCAGGCATTATAGATTATAGTGGGGCCAAGAGGACGGGGCGCAGGGGGCAGGGGGCGGCGGCAGGGCACATTAGGAAGCATGAAAATTCTGTATTTATTGCAATATTTTTACTCCGCACTTCTAGTGTGGTTTGTTTTTAGGCTTGATGGTGATATTTGGGTGTTTTGGCACCCTCTCTTCTATAGGGCTAAATAGGGATTATCTTGAACATTACTAGAATTGAGGCATGGATATCTAAGTGTCTTCGTTCAACAAGACATCATTTATATAACTTCTGTTTATTTAAAGGATCACTCACCCTAAAATATTACTTACTTCTAGCGCGGTTTTTTTTTAAAAATAGTATTTAATAGATATACGAAAGTCTATTAATTATAAATAAAAGATTATTCTATATAAAATATCTTAAGTATGGATAATTAATTCTTCATGGATTATATTAGTGAAGTTTGTTTGCGTCTCCAGAACCCTATCTTTTTCAGCGTGATAACTAGGCGCTTGAGATGATGTAAAGAATATACTTGTCAGGGTATAAGGCCTGTCGATCAGGTAAAGAAACAAGGGGAAGGAGTAAGGGAAAACAGTATATCCTTATTACTGTCAAGACTGAATCTTGTCTTGCCAGCTGGATGCGGGAGTGTCAATTTATCATACAGCATCTTCGTAACTCCACGCATCATCGATGATGTAAACGACTGGGTCTCTGTTATGTATCGTGATCATTCCTCTGTAGGGTGGATCAAGCAACAAGTTCCGACTTCCTTTAGGATCATGTGATGTCACCTGATTCACCCCTTCCGTCAGTTGGGAATAACTTCATGCCTTGCCATCTTGGTAGACCCTTTACAGATGATGATGCTTTCTCACCACTGGGTCCAGCCAACACCAGGGGCCTAGATTGCACGATAGCGAAGGGGATCGCCTTGAATTATAAACGCTGTGCTAGATAAATGGCTGTCCGCCAGCGCTCTCCTCATCATCAAGCAGTTCATCTCACTCATCATCTTCTGTCGTGATTCAAGATTTACCTCTCTTCTCTCCTTTCCGTCCAGCGGCCAGAGAGTGACGGTCCCCAAGAAAGGCCTCAGGGAAAAATCCGTGAGTGATATAGGGAAATATGTTTAACTCTAACTTTATTCTATCGGTTATCAAGAATGAAACTTGTCTAGTCTCATCCTAATAACGGACCTCGAGTACGTGGAGATGCTCCTGTAGATTGCCGTTGCCATCCTATCCCCGAGCCTGTGGACTCCCAACTTCAATTTCTTTTCTTTCATTCCTTTTTTTTTTTGATCACTTCCAGACCTTTCTATCAATCCAGTACCACAGCAACAGACGAGTGTATATGTAAAGCGCTATATTTTCAGCTGGTGGTTACGGTGGTAATAGATCTGTCTCTTGTCAGGGGAGGAGTCGAAAACGCAGTTACGGAGTACCAAAGGCAGAGAGAGAAAAAAAGAAAAGGATATGTGGTTTACTCAAAAATACCCGAGACCTTGTTATCCAGGAATATGGCCCCAGTTGGCTAGAAGCTGAAAAAGGGTGCCAAAAGTCAGGAGACCCCATGCCTAAATGTATATGCTACGGTAGCAAAGAGCCTCTGCTTATTGTAATTGACGTCAACGATTTAAGGAAATTGTCGGTTGGTCGTCTTCTCGCGGTGCCGATGTTACCGTTTTCGGAAACGTCGCCCTATCACATACTGCCATAGTTGATAGAGAACAACAGCACTTTCGTTGATCTATGATGCGGTGATATAGCACTACGCTTCAATGATTAACTGAGGGGGGAGGGGGGGAGGGGGAGAAACTGCTCATTTCAATGGTTTGTATACGATCTCAAGAATATATAAACAGTGACTGGGGCCTTGCGAAGATATTCATCCCACTCAGCATCTCCAATCATCCAGAAAGTAAGGACAATATTTGCTATCACTCATTAAGCTTGAACCTTGTCGGCTAATTATTTCCGTCAGCCACTCACTATTCACACCTTCGTTTACCACTACCACTACTCGCTAAAATGAAGTACACTCTCGCTCTCTCCGCCCTGTTCGCCACTGCCCTGGCCATGCCCACTGTCCAGGGTGGCAGTAAGAAGAAGGATGGCAAAACATGCGACAGCCATGAAACCGTCGTCTGCAGCGGCATGGGAAATGGTGGTCTCTTGTCCTTGGGCAACATTCTTCCAGGTCTTGCTGGTGAGAACTGCTCCGGTGGTGACGTCTACTGTTGCTCCGAGGAGGATGTGAAGCAGGTATGTCGCGATCCAGTTTTTGGGGGATATTCAAAAGCTAATCAGGATGTTTTAGGTTGGTTTGATCAACTTGGACCTCAACCTGCAGTGCAGCTTCAACCACTTTCTGTAGAGACATGCTCTTTACTGGGTTTCAAGAAAAGCTATCTTTTGTAATAGAAGATTATTCTCCGATGGATATTTATTCTTGGAAGGAAATTCAGATTGAATAGAGCTCTGACATTTTTCTTTAAATTTTGCCGATTTCGCAGCCCCCGATGAGGATAGGACCTCCATCCTCAGTCTCCAAATGAAAAATTTCGAGCCATTGCCTAGTCCTAAGACTTTTGTATTCTGGCTTTGGTATAAAAGCAATACATTTCCGGAAGCTTGGCTTTTCCTGGTAGCCATCGAATCTAGCTCCGTGAATAAGCCGATGTATCTTGTGCACATGCTCTATTTCTTACTGTTGTGGTGCATAGAGAAATAAAAAAAATGGCAATGAGTCTTTGGTATGCATTCACAAGTCATAGACGTGAGGCCTACTACGGTAGTATTCAGGGGTTGTCCAATAAATTGGTTTTGAATTATCCAAAACCTTGTCGACGCTATTACTAACTCTTTACATGACAGAGTTGATATTCAATTCCTAACAACTTGCCGACCAACTGGATGATGCCTATTTAGAGGACGTGGTTGAGACTGCACTGAGCCTTGACGTCGAGATTGACAAGGCCGTTCTGCGATTTGATCATTAGCTTCGGGAACAAGGAAAACTGTGTGATTGCGCCGGTGTCTTACGTTAACGTCATTCGAGGAGCAGCAGTAGACATCGCCGCCGGAGCAGTTGTCACCGAGAGCACCGGGAGCAATGTTGCCCAGGCTCAGGAGGCCGGCATTGCCCTGGCCCTTGCAAACGACAGTCTCGTCGTTTTTGCAAGTCTTGTCTTCACCTCCACCGTTGGAGGTGGCAAGGGCAGTGGCCACAAGGGCAAGGGTAGCGAAGATGAACTTCATTTTGACTTGGCAAAGAAGGCTCTGTTAGAAATTTGGGTTCCACATGTAAGAGTCGAAAGGGATGGGCCGACCATACATTTGTTTCTAGGTGGGAGTTTTGCAACGAGATGTGAAGGCAGTAGATACTGAGACAAGCAAGGAGCAGGGTGTCTACGGTTATATAACCCCCAGCACCAAGGAAGGTTGCAATGCCAAATACTTCCTAGCTACTCACCCGAGTCAACTCTTACTTTCTATTGGGGAGTCAGAAATGAAGCCAAAAGCCAGCAAGAATGCATGCGTTTCGCATACCACGCCAGCTAATTCTCCACTATGCTGCTCTGGTCGAGAATGATTGAATTACTAGATGTGGAAAGGACCGACACAGAAAGAATGTAAGCTACTAAACTATCAGTGGCTGGCGAAACTCTTGTTCCTAATTATATTCTTGGTCTACAAGGCTCCCTATAGACATATTTGTGATGAGAAATACTGATCCCTTAAAGGGGAGCGTGATTCAACTACTGGGTATCAATTATTGATCCAATATACTCTGATGGATATTATATCTAAGCCTTGCTTAATCTTCATCCCCACTCAAAGCCACGGCCCTTCTAGACTTGTTTGAACATACGTTTTCGGACAAGGACGATCAAGCATCCACGCGTCTCAGTGTAGCTGTTGCAGCATTAACGTTGCATCCCCCGGGTAGCTTCCTCGCTTTCTGAATCAACTTGACACAGGCTACGGTTAACTCTTTGCGGCATATTTATTCCATAGTGTATTGGGTCGACTTAGTTAGGTAAAGCCGGCCCGGTATTCCTACTCATAATTAAGCCTAATCCTAAGTCTCCCATGGTCTTGGTCCCTTGATTTACATCCTGGCTAAGAAAAAAAAAGACTCACCGGCTGAGGGAACAAAACGATCCATTCTATATCTCGCAGTAAACCCTGTAGTTGGAAGCGTTGCAGCTCATCATATCTATGCTCTGGAAAACTGCGTCACCCGTACTATATACATGACTATAATTCTGCTCAAATTCAACGCAACGTTTGATGCTTCAAAAATGAAATAAAACCAAGATCTCAACGAATGCTATTCATTTCTTATTCCTCGACTCATCGTTATGAAAATGATTTTCGGTTGAAGAATGATTCCTACCGCATTCTCAATCCCCATCAAACTCCGCATAAAGCCATGGGTCCTGAAGTAATTCTTTTGCAGTGCTTCTCTCTTCTGGGAGCCATTTGATCATCCTTTGTACAAACTCGATAAACATCCTCTTGTCCTCGCTGTATATGTTGCAGATTGAATTTTCAAAGTTAAACTCCGCTGGCGCAACAGTTACACTTTGAAATTCCCCTATCGAAGTCAATCAGTAAATGGCTTAGACGGACAAGAAAATAATATTTTTACCATCAAATTTGTAAAAGAGGTCAGTCCGTGTTCCCCTGTCTAGAAGCTCACGCGGAGGCGGCCCTAGCAATGTAGGGATGTGGGCTAGATGGTCTGGTTCATCATATTCTTGGTCCTGGAGGGGATCAACATCCTTGAATAGCTTTTTGCCTGCGAGGAAACCCCATAGCTAATAAACTAAGATTTGATTCGATGCGATAACAACAAATAGCTCTAAACATACCATGACACCTAAGTTCCAGATATTAGCGCTGTACGAATAGCCCGCATCCAGGGTAACTTCTGGAGCTCGATATATTTCGGCCTGGATACACCCACTGTTTGGCCTGTCCCCGTGGACAGACAAATCGAAGTCGGGTGATTTGAATAATGCCCGTGGTTTTCTCGGAGATGCCAAAGTTGTTCCGAGAGAGGTATGTTGTGCGGCCATCTGAGCAAGCTTTCTGTGGAAGAGGATGCTCGTGTTCATCGCTAGCGGATACTTCCAAAAAAAGAGGGATCCTCAACTTTGATCATTATGTTGTCTGGTTTCAGATCCGTGATCGATCAGTTTGGCGTTTATATCATATGGTAGATTCAAAGCAAGCCAGTGTGGTACGGAAGGAAGTGGTCCGTACTAATCTCATATTGGTCGGTCACCTGACGCTCACCGGGGGTATAGGGCACTCATCTTGAGCCTGGCAATGGAGATCCTCCGAAGCACAGACAATCATGCCGGGCCCTCGGCTCTCCTGGGCTTAGCCACGCGCTTGGCCATGCATAGTGAGTACCATCGCGACTCCAAGCACTACCGTGAAATCTCCGTCTTTGACGGGGAGGTGCGCCGTCGGGTCTGGATGTGTCTTTCATTGCTCGACCACGACATCTCGCTGCAAGCTGGACTTCCACCCTCCGCCATAGTTCCACCCCTTAAGAATCCAACCGTACCACTAATTTATTAGTGCCTATCTCGGATGAACTATTGCCAGAGCTTTTCATGTGAGTAAGAGGGGCGTAATCAGATAATTCATTGCATTGTGGTCTAGTTGCACCCAAAGGAAACAAACAACTGTCTAAATGGCTACTGGTATATACAGCCACAGGACAGGTCCTTTACAGCCCCTTGGCCTGCTTCGCCTCGGCGAGGGCCTCTTTGAGCGCCGCCAGGGCGTTCTCAATGTCCTTGCGGTTGGAGTCCGTAACACTAACTCCCATGTGACCGAAACGGATGTACTTAGTCGCGATCTCCTTGTGCAGACCAGCAGCGAAAATCACACCGCGCTTCAGGAGACCGGGCAGCACGTCCGGCGGGGCCAGGCCCTGCGGCAGGTACATGGCGGTCATGCCGTGGGCCTGGCACTCGGGGCGGGAGGCCAGCTGCGACAGGCCGATCTCGGCAACGGCGGCCTTGACGCGGTCCGAAGCCTGCGTGTGGACGGCGAAGCGCTCGGCCATGGGCCGGGCGGTGATCTGGGTCAGGGTGGTGTGCAGGGCGTGCACGAGCTGGGTGGGCGGGGTGGCAAAGTAGGAGGGCTTGTGGTTCTCGTAGTTTTGCATAATGGGCAGCCAGTTGGCAATCGACGCGTAGTACGACCCCGGCGGCGTCTGGCGGGACTGTGCCCGCTGGATCGCCCGTCCCGAGCACATCACAATGCTCAGCCCCGGCGGGCAGCCGATGGCCTTCTGGCTGGCCGTCACGACGGCGTCCAGGTCCCACTCGTCAAAGGCGATCTCCTCCGATCCGACACTGCACACGCCGTCGACAATGACCAGAGTCTCGGGACTGACTCGGCGCACCAGCTGTGCCACTCCCTTGACGTCACTGAGCACCCCGGTCGAGGTGTCGACGTGCGTGAGAGTGACCACCTTGTACGGCTTCTGCTTCAGTGCCTGTTCCACCTCCTCCAGCGATGGCCGCTCGCCAATCGGCGCCCGCAGCTGCGTCACCTGGGCACCGTATGTCTCCAGACACGCGCCGAAGGAGTCTCCGAAGTAGCCGGTGTTGAGCACCAGAGCGTTCTCGCCCCTCTCAATCAGGTTCGCCGAAACCAGATCCCAGCCCAGGGTCCCGCTACCCGAGATCACGAACGGCTGCGCGGAGGGGTTGGTCGACTGGAAGAGCTTCCGCACGAGAGCCAGAGTCTCGCCGAAGACCTTGACAAAACCAGGAGCCACATGGCTCTCGCTAGAGAAGCAATGAATGGTTAGTTCGAATGATAAGCCAGTGTTTTTGGGGGGGGGGGGGGGGGGGGGGGCAACAGGCACACTCACGCGTAGTGGGACATGGACTGCAACACGGCATCGTCGAACTCGATGGGGCCCGGGATCAACAGAGTATTGTGAGGCGTTTGGGTCGACATGGTGGATGGAGGGGTAGTTGGGGAAGGAGAAACAGAGCGATCGATGGGTTTATATTCGACGTCGTCGGGAGCCAGCGAGTTTCTCTCGGTCGAGTAGGGGGTGTTAAGCTCCGGCAACGGCAGGCGCTGATCCAGGTGTCTGGAGATCAGGCTCAGGCGTTGCGTCGTCGACTTGGGCGCCAGCTTTTCCGATTCGCGGGGGCAGCCGCGGGGGTCTTCGGGTCGAAGGGGGATGGCCTGTGAAATTCCCGAGGGAAACTGCTGGTCTCGGGGATCGCCGCCGAAGGGTGGTTGAGCGTTGCAATTGGCGTGGGCGAGATGTGGGAATTGTCAAGGCCAAGAAGTCCAGAAGGTCAAGAATATCAAGTTATTTATGAAGCTTCAATTCCTTTGATTCCTTCGATCCCCCAACATTTTTTTCTTCCCGCGCGGAGACTCAGGGCGGCCGGGCCCTACCGACTGCGCGACTCCATAGACCCACGATGCTCCCTCAAGTAGATGTTAGTTCTATAATTGAATCTGGGGTGTTTCATTTTGTGATCAATGGGATTCATGTAATCAAATTGATCTGTATATTCTCTGCCTAAAGATCAAGTGCCATCACGGGAACTAGATTCGTTCCAAGGTGATTTTGGCTTGGTGTAAAGCCATCTACTATGCCGATTCCCTAACCAAATTGTGTGTCTCTCCAGCTTGCCCTTGCAAATGTAGCTTCTTGCTCAACCCCAAGTATATCCCAACCATTGCCCCGATTCAGTCTGGAGTTGGCGCTATATTCGTCGTGGTGATCCACAGCCTCCCCGGCACGGCGACCTCCGCATGGAAAGCTTCGATGGCTTTGGAGTCTCTCCAGACTGGATTATCCCAACCGACGGACATTCGGACGAGAACTTCGGTCTGGTGAGCCAATGTCCATGAATGACGAAGATCGAGGGATGCAACGCCTGAGGATACCAGGAATGTACTAACCAGATTCAGACAGAACCTAGGGCTTAGGGCAAAGCGGTGAGCTTCCCCGCGAAGCTCCAGTCTGTCGTTGCCAGGCTGAAGCCAATCGTCGCGATTCTTCTCTGCTGTTTGACCTCTCTGGAATGGGCCATTGAACTGCTGCTGCCCCACCCCCACATTCAGGATGACCGCTCGTCTGGTCCTGGTCATCGGTGACCTGTTCATCCCCGACCGCGCTCCAGTGAGTCGTTCCATCAGCTCGCCGCGATAGCCGCTAACCTCTCGTCTGTAGGACCTTCCCGCCAAGGTACATCGCTCCTTGCTTCGTCAGTTGCTTTTGGTGGTGTTCGGCAGGCTGACCCGTGTGATCTCGAATAGTTCCGGAAACTCCTGACCCCCGGCAAGATTGGCCAGATTCTTTGTCTTGGAAACCTGACAGATCGTGAAACCTATGAATTTCTCCGCCAGATCGCCCCTGACCTACAAATGGTCAAGGGTGACTACGATGTCGACTCCCCCAATCTACCCTTGTCCAAGATCGTGAACCATGGCAGCCTGCGCATTGGCTTCACCCACGGCCACACTATTATCCCACCTGGCGATGCTGATTCTCTGTTGATCGCTGCCCGTCAAATGGATGTTGATATCCTGCTCTGGGGTGGTACCCATCGCTTCGAGGCCTTTGAGATGGAAGGCCGCTTCTTTATCAACCCAGGCAGTGCAACGGGGGCCATGAGCTCAGGATACTCAGCAGAAGGTGAAGAGCCCATCCCGAGCTTTTGCCTAATGGATGTGAGTGGGCGCTTAATTGTCGCTGGTCTATCGAGTGTGAGCTAACTGGTCCGAAAACAGATCCAAGGCGATGTGCTGGTGCTTTATGTCTATCAACTCAAGACCGATTCCAATGGGGTTGAGAATGTGGCGGTTGAGAAGGTTTCCTTCCGCAAGAACCATGCTCCAGCCGCGTAACTTTGATTTGCTGATCTCTTTCTGCCATACCTGCTTCACTCCGTGTATATAGTTTCCTCCGACACCCGCATGATCCTGCTTGTTTTCCATTGCTTTCTTTCCTCTCATGTTTTTGAGCTTGGATTTTCTGCTTTCTCAATTTGATCCCCGATACCTTAAGCTCTTGTTCGGCGCCAGTTCCATAGATCATCCAATCGAACTATTCTGTGCATGTCTTTTTTTTTGGGTCCAATACCACTGTTTAATACTTTATTCATAGCTATCCCAAGCCATTTGTCTCTATATCCATTATATCCTTCTACTGTGGGCAGGGCAACGTTGGCCTCTTGTACATTCGTCCTCCAATTGTTGCATACTGCCCACGCTAGTCCCGAAATGGCAAGCCAGGCGGTACCCATTTGCGATGATCGCACCTCGTCTCTTCTCCACCCAAAAAAGGTCCTGACTGCCTGGATCTTTCCGTTTGATTTTTAATTCTCTGTTGGATACAATTTCGGGTTCTCTGTCGTCTTCATTCTGGTATATTTTATCTCCTGGCCGGCAGCTCCAACCCTTGTGCGTGCGTTTAACCGGGCCCGTCGAGAGCTTGAGCTCCTTCCCCTCATCGCTTTGTACGCCATTTGTGACATTGGAACACTTGAACGACCCCCATATCTCTCTGTCTCTTCATCATGGCGACTGAAGAGCATCAGATCAAAGATGAGCAACTTCCCCCTCAGGAAGAGGGCGGGGATGACGAGGTACGTGACTGGTGACGCGCTGCTGGAAATCCATGCAGGACAACACCCTCTCAGTCGCTTTTCTGGTCATACGGCATTGCTAACATGCCCCTTCTTAATATAGGAGGAAATTGCAGCAATGAAGCGACGAGTGGCCGAGATGGAATCCGAGGCGGCCAAGCTGCGCGAGATGCAGGCCACCCTCGACCAGCAGTCAGACAGCCTCCAAGAGAACAAAGAAGACATCGATGCCCGCAGCATATTTGTGGGCAATGTAGACTATGGTGCATCACCTGAGGAGATCCAAGCACACTTCCAAAGCTGCGGGTCTATCAACCGTGTCACAATTCTGTTGGACAAGTTTTCTGGCCAGCCCAAGGGGTGGGTTTTTCAGAGACCAAAAGTGATAGTTCTTGTTTTGCTAACTTTGTTGTTATAGCTATGCTTATGTCGAATTTGCCGAGCCCAGCCTCGTGGCCCAGGCATTAGTGCTGAATGAGAGTGTGTTCCGCGGTCGCAACCTCAAGGTTTGTTGCGCTTTATATCCAAATATTCCGGGGACCTCGATACTGACACTGGCTTTTCTAGGTTGTCCCGAAGCGCACCAACCTGCCTGGAATGACCCGTGGCCGGGGACGGGGTGGCTTCCGTGGCCGCGGCCGGGGCTTCCCTCCACGCGGCTACCGTGGTGGCTACCGAGGCCGGGGACGTGGCTATGCACCGTACTAAACGCCTGGACCGGAGCTCACTCACCATGCGCCGGAGCTCTCATCTCCGCATTTCTTCTAATGTGCTGCCTTTCCAATTTTCAAACCAATTTCTCTACGTATGGCTTCTGGAGTTGGGGCGGGTATAGGATGTACAATAACCAGCCCAGAGAGCAAAATTGAGGATGTAATCATCTTGTCAACCTAGGTAATGAGTCAGGCGCCCCAGTTGCGCCCAGTCTTTTTTTTTTTTTTTTTTTTCCAATTCAGACATACAAAATACACTTGATATCGAATCTGGTTGCCTAATCGGGGCATGGATAAGAACTACACTAGAGAGAGAAAAAAGAGGACCATTCAAGGTCAATTACCGTACAATTTCTTACTTAGGTACTTATAGTACTATGATTACTATAATTATCCTCCCGATCTCACGCCCTCGCCACCCGTCCACACCCGGTGAAATCACCAAGACAAAATAAAATAAAATAAGATAAAAATTAGAAAAACGTCTTACAAAGTGGAAAAGTGTGGCTTGAGCCAATTTACCTGCGAGAATGACATGTCGCATTTTCATGAACCAAATCCATGGTGAGGCGATTGTGCTCAGCCCCGGAGGTATCGGCAGGTACCTCGTACATAGTCAATACATAGTCAGAGTACATCCATACAACCTGAATTACCTGAATCAGCCTAACCCTTCCCTTCCTCTTCCTTCTCCTCCCCCAAGCCAATCTTCGATCCATCGTCCTTCTCCGCCTCCCTTTGTCACTTCTTCAGTGACTTTTTCTTTTTCTTTTCTTTTTCCTTTCTTTTTTTTTCCCTTCACGGGTTTATTTGGTTTGGGACTCCCATACTTCCCCCGCCCTCGACAGTGGATGTGCGCGCGCTTTTCGGTCTAGGCTTGATTGATCGGCCTTTCGCACTTTCAAGGTGTGCTGTGAAGCAATCCGAGCATCATGGCATCGAACCTGCCAGGGTAAGTGCCGGTGACTCCGACCGCAACCATGCCCTCCATTCCAACGGATTTCAACGGCTAACATGCCACCGCCGACTTGCAGCCAGCCAAATCTTCGGGTCACGAGTGAGAATCCCTCGAATCGTCTACAATTCAGCGAAAGACTGCGGGGTCTTCTTCTTGGACACGAGACTAACCTCAATAAATAGTTATCGCGGCAGACGGCCTCTACAAACGCGATGTCTTCCGTACGTGGTTCCATGCTGGGAGGGATGTCATTTCGGGGCCGAGCGGGGTCGACTAACGTCTGTCCTAGGATTCCCCGATCCATTCGCGGTGGCCACCGTCGGAGGCGAGCAGACACATACGACCTCGGTGATCAAAAAGACTCTCAATCCCTATTGGAATGAACCGTTTGATTTGTACGTGATGGTTTGGGTTTTCCTCGAGGTGGTGATTGTGTTAACCGGTTTGGGGGCTACAGGAAAGTCAACGAAGACAGCATTCTCGCGATCCAAATTTTCGACCAGAAGAAATTCAAGAAGAAGGATCAAGGCTTTCTCGGGGTCATCAATGTGCGAATCGGAGATGTGGTTGATCTTCAGATGGGTGGTGATGGTACGTTTGCCTTGCGGGAGAGATGGTTAGACGTCTACTGACCGCAACGGGTGTCCAACAGAAATGCTCACCCGTGACCTAAAAAAATCGAACGACAACCTCGTCGTGCATGGCAAATTGATTATCAACCTCTGCACGAATCTCAGCGCCCCACATCCGAATCACCAGAACGGTCTACACCGCCAACACGCCCAGTCATCGACTTCCAGCGGACTCGTCCCACAAGTCCAAGTCCCTACGTCGCAGCCGCAGTCTGGCCCCGGGCAGGTTGATATGTCCCCCGCCGCCGCATCAAGTTCGTCTCTCACCCAGCGCAATTCAGCCGTCCCGGCCGCCGCCCAGCCGGTCGCGAATGGTGCTGTCGCTCCTGGGGCTGCTGCCGCTGCCGCTCGTGCCAACCTGAGCTCGTTTGAAGATAACCAGGGTCGACTGCCTGCTGGCTGGGAGCGACGAGAGGATAATCTGGGGCGGACATACTATGTGGACCATAATACACGAACCACCACGTGGTCACGACCGTCCGCCAACTACAACGAACAAACTCAGCGTTCTCAGCGTGAAGCCAACATGCAGCTGGAGCGTCGAGCTCATCAGAGCCGAATGCTTCCTGAAGACCGGACGGGGACAAGTTCCCCGAACCCCCCAGATGCCCAGCAGCCAAGTACACCGCCGTCCGGCTCCGGAACTGGGACCCAGCCAAATGCCAATGCCAATGCCAATGCTGTCTCTATGATGGCGACGGGAGCCACCACTGCAGGCACTGGGGAGCTTCCACCTGGATGGGAACAACGAACGACACCCGAAGGACGGCCGTATTTTGTCGACCACAACACGCGGACGACAACCTGGGTCGACCCTCGTCGACAGCAGTACATCCGGATGTATGGACAGGGTCAAAATGCCGGCGCGAACAACACCACGATCCAACAGCAACCTGTTTCCCAACTGGGTCCATTGCCAAGCGGCTGGGAGATGCGTCTGACCAACACTGCTCGAGTGTATTTCGTGGACCACAACACGAAGACGACCACATGGGATGATCCGCGATTGCCGTCATCTCTGGACCAGGGTGTACCGCAATACAAGCGTGACTTCCGCCGCAAGTTGATCTACTTCCGATCGCAGCCCGCTCTGCGGATCATGTCCGGGCAGTGCCATGTCAAGGTTCGCCGCAATAACATCTTTGAGGACTCGTACGCCGAGATCATGCGGCAGAGCGCGTCCGATCTCAAGAAGCGCTTGATGATCAAGTTTGATGGCGAAGACGGTCTTGATTACGGTGGTCTTTCGCGGTATGCTTTCCCCTCGCCTACCAACATTCAACGTTCTCCATGCTAATGATGCTCAGTGAATTCTTCTTCCTCCTTTCCCACGAAATGTTCAATCCCTTCTATTGTCTCTTCGAATACTCCGCCCACGATAATTATACCTTGCAGATTAATCCCCACTCTGGGGTCAACCCGGAGCATCTCAATTACTTCAAGTTCATTGGCCGTGTCGTTGGTCTGGCCATCTTCCATCGTCGTTTCCTGGACTCGTTCTTCATCGGGGCCTTCTACAAGATGATGTTGCGCAAGAAGGTCACTCTCCAAGATATGGAGGGTGTGGATGAAGACTTGCATCGAAACCTGGCGTGGACCTTGTAAGTTATGTCTTTAGCTTTTCTGACTGTATCTCACTGACATTACCTCCAGGGATAATGATATTGAGGGGATTGTGGAACTCACCTTTTCTGTTGACGATGAGAAGTTTGGCGAGCGTCGCACTATTGATTTGATACCCGGTGGCCGGGATATGCCCGTCACCAACGAGAACAAGGCACAATATATTGAGTAAGCGCACAAAGTCTCGAATTTACTGGTTAACCCGCTGACTTTGAATTAGGTTGGTCACGGAGTGGAAGATTGTCAAGCGGGTCGAGGAGCAGTTCAACGCGTTCATGTCTGGGTTCAACGAGCTGATTCCACCGGATCTCGTCAATGTCTTTGACGAGCGGGAGCTCGAATTACTTATTGGCGGTATTGCCGACATCGACGTGGACGACTGGAAGAAGCACACCGATTACCGCGGCTACCAGGAGCAGGACGAGGTCATCCAGAACTTCTGGAAGATTGTTCGCAGCTGGGACGCAGAACAAAAATCGCGTCTGCTTCAGTTCACTACCGGAACATCACGTATTCCTGTTAATGGATTCAAGGATCTGCAAGGATCTGATGGGCCGAGACGCTTTACCATTGAAAAGTCAGGTGATCCGGCTGCGCTGCCCAAGTCGCATACTTGGTATGTTCCTACCCTCTTTTAGTCGTTTGACTTTTCTAACCATCTTGCAGTTTCAATCGCCTTGATCTTCCTCCGTACAAGACGCATGATGCCCTGGAACACAAAATGTCCATTGCAGTGGAGGAAACTCTTGGATTCGGACAGGAATAGAGATGCCACCGCTGCAGCAATGCAATGCAATGCAATGCGGGATCTTTCAGCCCCGAATTTTCTTGTTTCTCCTACCTGTATGGTCCGGCACTCGTCTGTCGACTCATTTCGAATGGACATGACGATCATTCTCGGTCCATGTTTCTTTTTTGGGCTTCTTTACCCTCGCTCTCTTCAACCGAACCCTTCCTGCACTCGGTGTTTTGTACCGTGTTTCATAAACCCGGTTTTGATGTGCGAAATTCTCATACCCAGAACCTTCCCTTCTTTCCCCCCCCCCCCCATCCTTTTCACCCTCCTTTTCTTAACTCGCGAGCAAACCCTCGCATGAAATCCGGTGACATGACACGCCCCTGATCCAGTCTCTTTTATTTGCCCATGTTTTGTGTTGCTCAGTGTCATTGTTTTTGTTCCCCTGATGGCGCTGTTCATTCTGTATATAGGTATTGTCTCTGTATCATCGTGGCTGGGAACCGGTCCAGTCCAATTTTATCTTCGTTCCAGGTGGGATTCTTTCGCTTTTCAGTCGAACGCCAAGAGGAGAAAAAAAAAGGCTGGCAAACTGGATTCAGCCTAACTTTCCGTCTAACTGTAAGAGGGCAACGCTATGGGCGCGGGATACTGTTTTGAGCGGGAATTGCCTTAAGGCGCCAACATGGCTGTATACGCGGCTCGGCGATCCTTCGGATAGAGAGTCTTGCGAGAATAAGCACCTAAGCTCTAAGCCTAAGGGTAAGAAGGTGTCAATGCGAATAACAGACTCACATACTCACAAGCTAACAAGCTAACAGGCTAATAATGCCATTTCAGCCAGGTTCTATCGGATAGCATCTTGCCCCATTCGTATCCCTGACTCGGGAATATAATTTGGATCCACAACGTCCGGCGTATATACGCTAAACAATACCCACTAACCTAGGTTTACTTCTCTGGAAGTTCCCTACCTCCACAATATCTCTTTTCTGGACGTGTGCGTCCGAATAATAATGACACTGGTGCGTTGCTAACGGCCCCAGGGGCTGATCCTCAAGGGTTGTATTTGCAAGGATTAGGAGAGCGTGCTCAACACGAACTAGGCAATTGGTGGATCCTGGTCTATATTCCTGCAGGTTTTGTTAGGAACCAACACAGTCAATTACGTAGATGCTAGATAGAGAGGGTAGAGAGGAATGGGCACCAGTTAACTAAGAAGTCGAGCCGGTTCTATCTCAGCATCGAGAGCTATCTAGACTGATGGTCTACCAACCTGCCACGAATTATGCCTGTTCAAATCAGGAAGATCTTCGTGGGCCATATAACTCCTTATGTAGCTCTTACATGTAGTCCCCGAAGGATCGTATTGGCATAGAGCGATCACGAGTACATACGTAAAATCCAACACCTAACTGCCAAGGTGGCTTCCTATTTGGCTTTTTGCAAGCTATTATTCCTGCGAGCCTTGCCAAGAACCAATGCTATGAAACATATTCCAGATGGGACAGAAATGATGGGCACCAGTGAACCAAAAAAAGAAAAACAAAAGAGGATCCGACCCCTATCGCAGTATCGCGAGTCATGCAGACGGAAAGGGAAAGTCCCGCTACCTGCCATGAGTCGTTCCGGTTCCAACAATAAGAAGACCCTCCTTAGTGATAGAACGCCCTGACTCTTACTCCGAAAAAAGGGCATTTGAATGACTTTGGGGATGGGATGGGGCTGTTTTCCTTTTTTGATCCACTTGATCTACAAGGACTGCTCTGGCTGGCTTGCCAGATCCTGTGTCTGGTCTCTTTCGCGACTTCTTGAGTTCTTTTTTTCTTTCTTTCTTTTCAGCCCCCGGGGCACCGGTTGCCTGGTGTCCATTTGCCTGTCTACTTCATCTCATTTCCTCCCAGAATCAATGATCCTAGCACGATAACGAGACCATGAAACTCTTCCACCTCCTTCTCCTCCTCTCTTCAACCCTATGGCTATTATTGTTTCTCTCCATACCGATTTCGGCCTCACCTGCGCTTGAAAAACGACTGGATTTCAAAGGCAATTCCTGCAATGCGCATCGTGACCATTTAACTGATGGATATACTACATCCCGGGAAATGGGCAAAATTTCCGCCGCCGCCGTGAAAAAATATATGACCAAGCCCGATAAGGCTAAAAAGGATAGAAAGGTCAAGGCCACTAAGGATGGTCTTGAAGCATTGTTCAAAATCCATACCTATCCCGCAAACAAGGTGCAGGAGAATTTAAAGAAAATCAGAGGTGTGTTTTGTCTTTCCCGCTTTCTAGCAAGCAACCATACAAGCATACTAATTGTCTTTTTTCTTTTTTCTTTCTTACGCAGAGTACCTTCAACGAAACGCAAAAATTAATAAAGCCAATATCCAACTTTATTGCGACCCGAAAGATTGGCTCACGAAAACAGATACCAAGGGGAAAACCTGGGGCGGCAATGCTCCCCCACAAGTACGTGGATCATCTATAAACTCGCTCCCCCTATTATTATTATATTCTGTTCTACTCTAATGCATTCCGTTGTTCACAAAAAACAGGGCAAAACATACTGGTACGATAGGGTGTTCAAAGAATGGGTCAAACTCGACGACGGCTTCTGCACGGGTAAACGAGCTTTCAACACCGCCGCCCCCAGCCATGCCACCCGCGGCCAGCCGCGCGACGTTGTCACTGTCTGTAGTCTTGCGTGGCGCGATGCCGACATTCTCCCTATACTCAGCAGGCTGAAGACGAGTCTTAGGCCGGGAAAGGTATACCGTATATATGATTTGGTCAGAGGTATTGCCGGAACGCTTTTCCATGAGTTTACGCATACTTCGCCTAATTCTGGTGATGAGTATAGTACGTGGTTGCCTTTTTGAAGGTGGGGGGCGGATGGAGTGTGCCGTGGTAGTGTGCGCTAACGTTAGGGTTTTTACAGCCCTCGATCTTCCGGCCAAAGACTCCCAGGGGGGAGTTCGCCAACCAACACTTGGGCAAAGCTGTTGCTGCTTAGTGCAAATGATGCCATCAGAAATGCTGAAAGTTACGCTGCTCTTGCGGTTGGTGAGTTGGGCCTCTACTCTATGCTATTCATTATCCTATGGAAAGACTTGCCAGACTAACCTATGCTTGTGCTTTTTAGGGCTTTATCTGGTAGAATATGGATACGAAGTTAACTGGCAAACTGGTGAAGCTTGGATACCTTGTTGAGCTGGATATTTCATACTGACACTTCGCTATGGAATGTATAGTCCGTAAATGTCATGTATGTACATATTTCTAACTTTGCAGATACCAGACATCTATATTAATTTAAGCATATATCTTTTCATAGATTTAGTTAGTGTTGGATGCTATTCATTATCTTTTAAATATAAATCTAGATCCTCTAAGTAAATCTATATTCTAGTTATATGCGATTCTCCTAAAGAGTCTGAATCGCCTATAAATAAACCGTAGGTATAGAGGGCGGTACTAGACAAGATGTCTAATAGCATATTCTTTTCTTTTCTATTCCATGCCGAGTATGACTTCCGAGTGACCTATACTAGGCCTGATTAAGGTATCATTAGCTTGTTCCTTTGGGGCATTGCCCTAGTATTGACACCTAAACGGGGCTTAATATACATGGCAAGTTCTCATGCAGCTTGATACTCAATAAATGATAAAGCTCAGAACATTGGTAATTTAATTCGGTGGGATTTCTTGAACAGCATTCTTAATAGATTCGCAAATCGCTTAGGGGTTTGATACCTAAGTAAAATTAGGACTCAGAAGCCACCACTCTGCCGGCATAGCTATAGACGAGACAAGGATCAAAATTTCCGTCAAATCTGAATATACATCAATAGACCTAAAAATTTTGTATAGCGTCGGTCAACAAAAACCATTGGAAATAAGCTACCGAAATAGAGTGAGGGAGGAACGCGAGATGTCTAAATAAAATAAGAATATGATAATCTTATCCACTTTAAGAGGTGTTCGTGAGCGCGTCCCCCGGAATTATGAAAGAACCTATTTTAAACATATTCCTAATATAACGTGCTATTTATTGGTCCGCTCACATGGTAGTCTTCTACGCCCGGGCCACTTGGGCTTGCGAGACAAGGCGCAAGTGGGTCTTTCCATCGGTGCCGGTGGTGGTGAGTGGCCCGGGGACTTGCTGTAGGATCTACTGATTTGCGCGATTCATGCAAGTCTCCAGTTCAAAGACCCTACAATTTAGCTCGAAAACCCCTGTCGCGTATCCTACCTGGGCCATTCATCCCCTCTCCTCCACCATGGTTAGTATCCACGCCTGCAAGTAAAAGAATCCAGGCCTCGTTCATGGACTGAGCCTGTATACCAAGACTGTGAAGTATGATTCTTGGGCTTGGCGACTCTGGATTTTTGTGCTTGCTGTCGCGCTGGTAGACGCCATGCAGCCACAACTTGTTTCTCGAGGTGAGAATACCTACACGGACAACCAATGCGGCTGAAAAGGGAATAGAAGAGAAGAGAAGAGAAAGCTTATCTTGGCCCAGATGTGTCTCCAAGCCTGCTGTCCAGCCTGACCAACAATATCAATTCCACTGGCTCCCTGCTATCCTGTCCTGATCACTCCTGTCCATTGATGGAGTCAGCACATGCTATCTCATTGGACAAGTTCAACGAGTACGTCTCCTAGCTATATCTATCTCTATGGCCCCCAAGACAAGAAGAACACATATTGATCTACGTACCAGATCCGACAAACTCGGCGATGTCGCAAGATACCTAGCTGCAGACCACACACGCAAGCTCCTGGTGCTCGGCTTCCGCGGCAGCCGTGCCCTCATCACCTATATTGCCGACTTCGAGTGGCTCCTCACGGATTCGTCCTTCTGCAAGGAATGTAAAGTACAATCTGGATTTTGGCTATCATGGAAGGCCATTGCCAAGGGGCTGGAAGGGAAGATCGACGCCGCCCAGAAGAAGTACCCAGCTATAGACTCGTGGTGACGGGCCATAGCTTCGGCGCATCTATGGCAACCATAGGTGGCACGGCACTGCGCCATGCGGGATATAAGCTGGATATAATAGGTGTCCTTTTTATCTTTTTGTCTTTGTTTTCATGACTGAATCACGGCTCACACAAGCTGTAGTACACGTATGGTTGGCAGTAGGCAATGAGGCCTTCGCCTCATACATGGCCAAGCAAGGCTGTATCTGGTGCGTCACGCATACAAACGACCCGTTTCCCAAGGTGCCGGGGCCGGTCCTGGGATACAAACAGTCCAGCCCGGAGTATTGGATCACTAGCTGGAACAACAAGACAGTGACCGAGGCCGATATCAAGGTAATCTATGGGGTAGCTCCAAGGACGGCAATGCAGGGACCTCGAAATCGGATGGCACGGCGCATCAATGGTATCTAGGTGATATTGACTCTTGCCAATAGCGGGCCACTATACTTGGATGCAAATGAAATATTGAATCGTGGATTGCTTGGCTTCAAGGACAATGAATCTTTGAAATTTTTTTATCACACGAGACTGAAATAGAGCCCGTGCCTTGGGTTATCATTGAAGGCACTGGTTATTAGAGGAAGTTTCACTGGCATTAGCCACAGTGATCGTATCTATACTTTTTGCAATTCTTCATCGATTGTATCCCAGGCCCGGGGTAGCAAAGTCCCCATGAACCAATAGTTTTCGGCGTAGTCTTTTCCGAGCATCACAAAAACATCCTAATCGCTAAAGGATTGATCAAGCCTTTCGTTGTAGTAGGTGACCATTATCCCCAGTGGATTTTTTCTCGTTTCCGTCGCCTCGCCTTGGCATATAACGGTCTCGCTAAAGTGGACGGTCTTCAACTCGGCCTTGATCAAGTTGTTGAAAACAATGGGCAAAGCATTCGACTCGCCAAACAGCAATCTCGGAGTTCCCGTAGTATCGAGATCTCGGAAGACACTTTGTAAAAACCCAAGGGTCTGTTTCTCCGTGGCTTGTTCCGCAACATGGTTCCAATGATTGACGGCAATCGATCCTACTGGTCCATTGGCGAGTTGTGCAGATAGAGATGTGTAGGTCCCAAGTACCATATTCTGAATAAAGATGCCGCTCGATTTAAGTATTTTCGGGACTCAGAATCGTGACTAGACGAGGTTTCGGTTCAGACGATGCGATTTGTGTAATCCACGCTAAGAGCACGTCGCTGTCACTGACGAAGGGAGTATAATCAGGACTTGGGGCATTGTCGGCAATTTTTCGTTGCACTTGGTCTTTCAACACATGGGGCCACACCAGCGCGATGAGCGTGGCATCATGAAAGGAAGTGATGTGCAGAGATATCAGAGGATCATTGTTTTGGGTCAGTTCAGCAAAAGTTGGAAAGTTGGGTCGAGCAATTCACGGGCGGAAATCATCCGAAATCGGTTGAACGGATGGGCCGTCGGTCTCATGGGGGAGACGACTGGCCACCGGATGGTTTTGAATTTTCATGTCCAAAGCATCATGAGTGAAAAACACGTTCTATTGCTCAGTCGACGACTTCTGAGTATGAATCTCCAGCTTCCAGTTTTCCTGGTTCATGCTAGTTTTGCTCGCATGTTGCCATCCATGGATGTATCGAGTTTCTCTACCTTGAAGCGTAGCCACCCACCGAGCTTCTTCCAGTCCCCAATATCCAGTAGCCGTGATAGAGCTTGGTTCAATTTGTTGGCATCCAGCACATCATTAAACCGCATCATTCAGTTCACAGAACAGCGATCAGCTTTGATATCGTCCAGCGCATGGACAGGATATACGTCCTCGAGGACGACAAGAGACTGATTACCCGGACTCATTGTTGCGAAGATCAAAATGTTAAAGAGTCAAGCCATGCAGATTGTAGAGAAATCAGGGGCTTTTGTGTCTTTGGATTTAGGGTTTGGTGAGTTTCCACATCGGTGCCATTTTTCAGATCCAGGTGGACCACTGAAGCCCTCAAAGATCGGGTACGAGGGAGATCTACATTCTCAGTATGCAGATCGGCACATTCACTGTGTTTTTCCTAAGTCTGCTCAGAATCAGTTCATTAGGCATTTGTATTCGCCATACACAGCTAACGACCGCAATGGATGATGTCGTGACTAGCATCGAGATTTTCGCCATCAACATTAGATTATGCCAAGCAGAAAGAAAAGAATGAAATCTAATGAAATCTAATGAGGAAAATCATCGTAAATCAGACGAAATGCCGAGGAAAAGGATATGGTCAACTTAATTTTGTACTATATAAACTATTCATGTGCGGTATCAAGTACATACGACCACAGGGTGTGGAGAACAGGGCTTCCCGTCCGCTCAGCCGTACTTAAGCCACACGCCGGCCAGTTAGTAGTTGGGTGGGTGACCACCAGCGAATCCTGGCTGTTGTATGTTTTTTTTTTCCTCCTTTTTTTTTCTTTTCTATCATCTAGATTCGAAGAAGCTCCTCAGCTAAACATCATCTGCGACTCGCGAGAGGTTTCTTTGGGTCGCGGGCGCCTCCGTCGCAGCCTATATGCTTCATAACATGACGACGAATCTCTGTTCGTACCTCTTTCTGTCGGTGCAAGTCATCTGGATGAGATAAGTTTATGAACCTCAGATCTTGAGTTGCCGATATTGGTGATCCATATAGGGGGCCAGTGGGGATATCCTATCCATGCCGAGTCGGTATCTCGACATTCCTACCTGCCAGTCTAAACTATCCATTGTTTTCTCGAGTGATAGAGTCAACTTTTTTTTCTTCCCAACATCGTTTGGCTTCACTTGATGTTCCAGTGCGCAGGTGGATGTCGACCAGGCATTGTTCAGCTTGCTGTGTGAGTCGCTTTGTAATCCACTTGGGAGTTCCGAGGTTATGACCGGAGATGCTGGGTTCGCGAGCAGCCAAATTGGACAGATATGAGGGTCAGTATGGGAGATTTAAATTAAATATTGCTAATATCCAAAGGCCGATAGCCCAAAACCCCTTAGCTTTAGTGAGAACACCCTACTCGGAAATAGATTTCTATAATTAGATACTTGAACTATAAGCCTGCTGTAGTATAGATTGATATTTTGAGAGCATTGCGCTACGCCGTAGCTTAGTTAGCTGGGCCCGTGTGTCTACTGCTGGGTCATGAGTCGCAATAATATAAGACATTATGTCTAAGGAACGCCTATACGAAGTTAATAGATCCCTATACTAATCTTATATAGATCTAGTTGAGCTGTTTGTTATTACTAGAAATTGTTGAATGAACCATGATTGATACAACAGCTTATTCAATGAATAAACGAAATATTTTCTCTCTGAACGAAGATTGAAGTAAAATTACAGTCAGCATTAAACAAAGCTGGGCGAGTTAAAAAGGCTTAAGATGTAGTATTGTAAACATAGACATGACCTCAGTAAGAAAGTATCCATGGATATCATTGATCTCTCGTAAAACATTCATCGTAAATTGATAGCCAACATGCTCTTGAAGGGCATCAACACGTAAAACCGCAGTCGCAATCCATCGCCCCAGAATCATAAGCACCACAATTCCCACAATTCTTCTTATCTCCAGTATGGAAAGAGGCCCCAGCATACTTGAAGTACACATGGTCATCGTCATCTTTGGGTGGAGTAGCAATTAACTCATAAGGAAGTGGGCCCTGGATATTGACACTCTTTTCGGCAAAGGTCTGAGACTGGTAGGCGATAATCTTGGCATCATTGTCGTCGTCGCCTGCGTCGTAGAGAGCGATCTCCATGGCATAGAAAGAGCTAGGGTTGAGGTCCTCATTATCCTCATTCCTCTGATAGACACGGAGGTGAAACGTGCACCATCCCTTGCGGTAGTCATCCGCAAAGTGCATGTTCGGATTGCCGCCGTTGCCATCATAAGCTTTTTGAATGGGCGTCACTTGCAGATCCTTGGAGTCCAAATCATCCGGGACGCTCTCCGGGGGGCTCTCGCAGTGATAGATGCAAGAGCCGCTCTTGGTTTCTGTGTCTCCGTCCCACTTGGCCTTCGGAAACGAACACTGATGGTCTTTGCTGTCTTCCGTCCAATGCTGGTTTCCGTGAAAAAAGTGGATTGTATCATCGTCCACGGTGACATTTAGGGGTCCGAGTGATGTATGCGCACTGAGTGTCCCCATCACGGGCTGCTTAGGCGCAAACATCATCTGCTTGTTCGTGCCATCCTTAATCATGATTCCCAGCTGGTGTTTGTCAAGCTGATTGTTATTGCCGTGTTTTGTCCCGTCGCCGAGTGGCCTCCAGTGCGTAACGTGTACGGCACAGTTGCCCGGTGTGAAACCATCCGAATTTTTATCCCCAGAGACGTCGTCCAGCGATTGGGGATCTTCACAAGGAATACTATCCCACTTCGTGGTGAGACCAGCATCACCTCTCATTCGCCCTAGCATAATGCACATAGTCAAATTGAAAAAGCCTAGCAGGGGTAAGTTAGTCTCCCTTTTCTTCTCTTGACCTGTTCAACGAAGATCTAATTTCAATTCTTACCAGGCACTCGAACTCCCCCCTGCCATGGAAATTGCGTCAAAGCCAATGTGCCATTTTCCAAGATTGTCACTGATTCCAGAGATTGTGGAAACTATAAAAAAAATCAGTCTATGTCGATGGGAAAATCTTGTCGAAGAGTACCCACATATCCATTTTTATTATCATTAACCACAAAGCCAGCCCAAGTCGCAAGAACAATATCCCTTAACAAGAGTTAGACCGCAATCCCCAGGAATCTGTATATCTCAACGGAACTTACTTGATTGACAAGCCGTACTTCTTGAGCACATCATCTGTTCCACCTATCAAGGGTTGAAGCGGGTAGCACTTCTTCGGTTTGCCATCGCTGCCTTTTTGAGAAGTGCACGAATCTTGAGTTAAATCAACATAACTGAGCAGGAAGAAAGAATTGCCCCTACACAGACTCTTGTTAGCTTGAGTGACACTTTTGAGTCTCGAGCCTCAGGTCTACAGGAATACTTACTGTCCATCACACCAGATGGTCTTGTCCTTCGTGTCGTCATTCATATATTGAAGCCCGGATGCTTCATCAGCTGTGCTCACAGGATCTTTGCATTTATAAAATTTTCGGTCCACTCGACTGTTCTTGTGGGTTAGTTTCTCCTCCATGATTCTCGAGGGAGAGGGTGATTTTTTCTTACAAGACAAAAGGAGTCTGTGACTTCCCATCCTTATAGGGGCCCTTCCATAAGAAGGGGAGCACCGATCCAGCGAGCTGAGTGGCCAATTTTGTTTGGGCAGCATTGGCGAGTCCTTTGAACGCATCGCTTTCAATTTTGTATGTATTCTGCTGCCAAGCTGCATCCAGTTCTCCAGTCACGATCATGTTAGTCAACACATCTCGGTATTCCTTGTTGCCATGGGTGATGTTGCTTAAAAAGTGGTCGAGTCCTAGTTTGGTCACGTTGAGATAGTTGCTTAGTTGCGAATCGAGGGCCAAGGCTGCATCGGCTTGTGTGGCTCTGTCAATATGAATCATTCAGCTGATTTGATCCCTGCAGTGTAAAAGGGTAATACCCACGCGGGAAGTGCATTCTCTATAAAGTTGTGGGCGCCTACTGCAGCGCCAATCAAGCCGCTTTCAGCGAAGGTTGTACCCAGTTTGGCTGGAATTAACCTGTTAGAAAGGAAGAGAAAGAGAATGCTTGATTGAGTGGAGTAAACACTCACAAGTTACAGACTGCCCAGGAAGGGGTTCCTCTCCCTTCGGTATAGGAACGTCGTTCCCATTTTGTCGTGCCCCAGACACCACGACTTGGTTTGCTGCATCTTGCGGTGCCATCTTTGCTGTTTTTGCTTTCGCTGCTGCCTTTGCAGCCGCGGTTCCTGCTACCGTAGCGGCTCCCTCGCCTACCAAACCGACTACAAGGATCTTAGCACGTTGAGCACAATGGCTGAGAGATTTGAGGGGCTGGTAGGAAAAGGTTCAACACACGTGCACTAAAACCAACGGGCACCAGGGCCAGGGTCAGCATGAGAAAGATATCCAGGTTGTCTTTGGTCATTTTGAATGAGTCGATGCTGGTGGTATCGGTAATGAGTCCCTGCATGTCAAGAAGGTCTCTGGCCTGTTGCAGACCATACCATACAGCTGTGATAAACTATATTGAATTTGTCAGTCGAGTTGTCGGAATGAATGAGACTCAAAACCAAGATTATATCGGTGGGCGAGTCTCACGCTGTTCAGAATTGCAAGGCTATTCCAGGCCAGCATTGGACCACCCACTCCAATATCGCTGCATTTGATCAGTTCGCAGCCCGGTGATCCTGGTTCATTCATGACCGCGCAGTTGCCAGTTTGTGATAATTGATTCGTTAAGTACGTGGTAAAAGTTCGTGGGGGGCTGAATTGACTCTGGTCAATGTGATCCCAGTCATATTGATAGTCGGTCCAAAATTCTGACATTGATCAATTCCATTGTTCGAATGCCAAATGAAAAGAAAATAAATAGATAAACAAATGGAGAGAGGGGGAGAACCACTTACCCCTGACTTGAGCATCGACATATCTTTGAGACATGTTTTTCGGAGCTTGATTGGACACATCGTCTCGGTTGCAAGAGATATTGAGCCAATTCCCGGTCCTATTCTTGGTTTTAATTCTTGCCTTTTCTTCCTGAGTAGGTGTTTTGACCCCAGGGGCTGAATTGTGGTCCTTCGCGCTAGTGGTTGGATGAGGTTGTTTCACGCTGGTGGTTTGACGGAGTTGCTTCACCCCAGTGGTTTGGTGGGCCCTGTTCTGGTTTGCCTTGGCCGAAGCGAAAGCTTGCCTTATGGGATCAAGCCCTCTTGGAGATGGGGCGCCCAGACTGGCAGAGATAAACAGCCATGTGAGCCATACAGAGGTAATCATGATGGGGAAGTGCTGCAAGCTCGAATGATCTTCAAAGTCAAATTGTTCGGGCGATGAGCATCGTTCTTTATACCCACCCCCGCCAGGGTATATTAGACTTTGAATAAACTCTCAACCCGACTAATAAAAGTGGCTTTGGCCATAGACCAGTCCGAGTGACGCACTTTCTCCCGGGGTTGGGCATATAATACCCCTGAACCGGAAGACTACTTTGATCCTATTGGAGATCAAATCTGGAGAGAATCCAGAAGGATTGAACCCGCACTAGCTCCACGTAACGCGAGAGGCAGATAGCCAATTGCGGTGCGTCACAGCGTGTCCAGTGTCCACTATGTCACTCTGTTGTGTTTTGACTGCAGCTTGTCGGATTCTCGGGTGCCCCGGGTACTACCTCAAGTTCCCCACGGGGCAAATGGATTCCAATTTTTGAAGGGCATCAAAGGTTAGATTGGCTCTAGACCCCGGGTCAAAGAGATCAGTGCTCTAATGAGAGATATTCTTAGAACGCAGATGGATCAGGCTTTTATACATCAACCGTGAGCCTTGCTTCGGGGTTGATATATATAACGGCCAATTCAATAATAGCACTTCGGCAGAGAAGACCTTCGAGTATGTGGGGCGATTATCAGGGCTCGTCTGACATCGATCTGGGGAATCGAGACTATCTCACTCCGGGTAACCGCCAGGGGGCCGCCCCATTCCACGCCACGAATACAGTCGTTTGGGGGCTTATTGGGCGCTTACGCCTTCATAAATAATCTGCCAGGAAGTCCTCGGGGAGGGAGAAAGGTTTCCTAGGCAATCATTGCCATAACTGGGAACAGAACGGTGCTAAACCTAAGATAGTCAACCGAGTCTCCGGTTTCTTGATATTCTTGGTATTTCCCTACTCGGGAGGACAACAAAAGGATAAAAGGATAGCATGGAGTTGTTTTTATGTCCTACCAAATACCAAGTGAGGCAAGTCAATCCTTTCTTGCAAGCTATCCATGTTCTATTTTCCTTATCATGAATCATAGTAGAAGAGCCTTCGAGCCGGAACACTGGAATCCTGCGATCCTGCGATCCTGTGACCCTGTGACTCTGCAATCCTGTGACCCTGTGACTCTGCAGTCCTGGAGACCGCTAGTTAGGATCATGTGGTTGATACGTGTAGCTGCATGTAAGATCCGGGGTCTGGGGTTGGGATGAAACCGCGCAACGCAATCCCTGCATTCCAAGGTAGTTCGGGTCACAAATAGATTCCGGCTTAACATCTGTTTCATAAACTAGCCTATGATCGCTGTTAGTTTCTCCTAAATCCAAGCACTTGCATAGAATCAGGGAACAATCTCCACCTGCTGGTCCCCTGGCCAGACTTGAGGTTTCATCAATGGATCTGAATCCCAAACTGAGCAAATAAGCAAATGATTGGCCGCTGGCTGGTTTAATACATCGCTTATAGATCTACTATGTTAGAAAGGGAATTGATACTACTATCAGTTCAAATATGAAAATAATCGAGCCATTCAGAGGGATACACTCTATCCCATAGGAAAGCGCTGCAGACTAGTGGACAGGAGGTAGAGTCCTGCGCTTCACTGCGAGGGCCTTGCGACATCTAGGTTATAATATGACTGTAACACGAGTATATATGTGCTTCCCCGCTTGGGTTTTGAACTAGATTAAAAGTGAAAAACGGTATCCGCCCCTGTACCGTTGAATCTTTTCTCCCGTAAAATGCAAGAAAAGGTCCTTCTGGCTTGGGGCTTCACCCCTTGAAGTAAAGAATATTTAAGTGGGTGGACTGCTGCCTGAAGGCTAACTGAATAGGGCAGCGAGCCACCCACGGCCGAACTGTTCGCGCTAGGTGACCAACATCGAAATCCTAGCCTTTCCATTATGTACAACATCGAAGTGGTAGACCCGTCAGCATTCGACTTCAATTTGATTGAGCTATAATACATGTTAAGAATCCGGGTCCTAACAATTAGCTCGCATGGCTTAGTTGGTAAAGCGCATGACTAGTAATCATGAGACCCTCGGTTCGAATCCGAGTGCGAGCACTTCTTTTTGATTTTTTCAATATTCTCTTTAACCAACCTCGAAACCCACTATTATTGATTCTTTCTGTAAAACATAAAAAAAACCCCTCGTTGTTGCAACCATAACCTTAGTCGATGAAATTCGCTTGGGCTATATTTAATTATATTTTTTCTCGCTCTTTTTAATCGTGTGATACATGATATTATTATGTATATACAGTAGTATATACCTATATAATGTAGTGGGTTTGGTGCCTTTAGTTTCATATATATCTTATAGTAAAGGATGCTATTATTAATTTACTCCTACTATAAATATTAATTTATCTACACCCCTAATTAAATAGGAAGTATTTCGAAGCTAAGCTGAGATATATTATCACATGCTCATGATACATTTGGTAGTTTTTAGCTAAGTACAATACATCATCATTCATCCTCCCAGTTTACAATCTGGTAGCATGTGTGCCGACAATGCTAGTGTAGGAGTAGTACTAATACCACTCCCAGATCGTGGAGCAGACGCTGGCCAAATAAGGAGCCTTCGTGTAGCGCTCGGACACCGTGATAGGCAATGATCTAGGATACCACCTCGTATAGGGCCAAGACAAGTCCGACGCTTAAGGTCTGTTTGCCCCCCTTCTACGACTTTCCGAGGAACTAGGCAGCGTACACGTATTAACGGCCGTATAGTACATAGCTGTTCTTGGGAACGAAGAAATACGGGAGGCGGTGCTATATAGCGATAGACGGATCACCCCTAAATATACGATCCAGGCGGATGTTACTTCTAGTATCGAGAGGCTTTTACGAAGCACTTCGCGGATAGCAGGTAGAAAGCAAGAAAGATATCGGTATCGTCAAGGCGGACGCCCTTTAGCTACCAGTTATAGGTATTTTTATTCTCCTTGTTAGGAACGAGGTTATCGAGGTTAAGTTCGTAAACAGTGAGTAGCTTCTAACTTTTTAGGGCAGTAAGATCAAAATGGCCCGCACAGTGCTTATTATACCCGACGCCGGGTTCGTCGCTGGGTGCCTATTCTTCGGGGTTATCAGCTCCCCATATGACCTTAAGGCGTTTGGCGTGGTGATATTATACGCGCCAGGCCGAGATTTTGGCGGTAAAACCAGCCAGGGAACAGCAAATGGTCGCCATTTTGGACGGGGAACAAGACGGTATTATGGATAACACGTATGAGCACTACACGGACGCCGAATCGGGCGCGCTTTGAGCTCTCACTTCGGATCATACACTGAGCCCCCACATCAGACCGCACTGCATCATCCCCCTGGAGGACACGATAGGTAGCGAGGGTGCAGGAAAAGGAACCCTCGTGCGCCATGGTCGATATTCTGATTTCCGGCGTTAGGTTTGACGCCTACGAGGACATGCTGTCTTAGACCGCGGCAGATGTCATGCGTCTGGAACCTAGAATTTGAAGGGCTTGGCCACTAGATAAAAACCAACCCTGGTTAGTGGTGGACAGCTAGTTACACACTATGTCATCATGGATCCTCCCAGATTATATATATCTACACAAAACACAAACAACCTCATGATTCTATATATATTTATTTCGAAACATAACTATTTAAATTATCTAACAAGCATTTAGTTACCTCGTAGAGTTATATAAACCTAGCCTTCCCTTAAAATTACCTACTAAGGAGAGAAACAAATCCACTATCCTATCTACCGTTAGGCCGAGGTATGAATATGATGAAAAGAGTTCAAAGGTAAGGTCTGTCTGATGTTTCAAACTATGTCCCGCTGTTCCATCAAGTAGCTCGCATGGCTTAGTTGGTAAAGCGCATGACTAGTAATCATGAGATCCTCGGTTCGAATCCGAGTGCGAGCATTTCTTTTTAGTTTTTTTTTTAACTATCTTTATTTAGTTAAAAACTTTCAATATTTTCCTCCGTTATATTTTGTGGCTCAATATCCATGATAAGGCACTCTCCACCAATCAGCTCGCATGGCTTAGTTGGTAAAGCGCATGACTAGTAATCATGAGATCCTCGGTTCGAATCCGAGTGCGAGCACTTCTTTTTTTCTTTTTTTTTTTTCCTACGCAAGTATATAAATACGAATAAATAATTATCTTGTTCAGTTTAACATGCTCTGCAGACTATTTCCCAAACCGGATATAACGGGCACTTATATCCAAACTCCTATCTGGAAACATAAATTTTTCCCCCGGTATCCACAGAAACGGGGATTTACACTGTTTCGTTTGACAGACAACCAGAATCATTCCATAGAATGCCAATGCCTCCCGAAGAATCTGCTTTTCCTCCAAGTCAAATGTGTAGTCGTCCATGGTAGACGGGATTTGCTGGACCCCGGTGTCCCATAGAATCATCCACTGCGTGGGAATTGCCTTGCGTGTCTGCATGACTTGGTCAAAGAAGGAATCCATTCGGAGTGGTTTCGAGGCTGCCAGCGACTGCGAATATAGATACTGCACAGACTCGTCGTCCCGTAGCATCTGCTGAATATAGGGCCCTTTCAGACTGCAACCACCGCGGAAGTACCACACCCTAAAGACGGCGAGATCAAGAACAGGCGGTTGTTGAACTAGCATGCGGCGCCAGCTGGCGTTCTTGTACATGAACGAGGCAATTGTGTCGGGTTGAGCCAGGGGCAATTTTTCGAAGTCGGATTTCTCCAGCAGAGTACCACCTCCTTCTATATGGCAATTGTCCTCATTCGCCTGGGATTCCGTGTGGGTTGGTGGGAACCAGTGTGGGAAGCGGGCGGATAACAGAGGATTCCAGGTTTTGTGCCTTTTCTGCCAGTCAGGCTGCAGAAATAGGTGCTTTTGAAGAGACGGCGAGGTAGAAACCAGATTATGCCAAGAGTGGCACACGCGTTGGGCGGAGGTCAAGAGGGATGTTAAATCGAGGCCGAGAAGAATGTTTTCGAGGACCTCCGCTGTCGCAAGGGCTGTATCCTGAGCACTCTCCATGCTGGCAAAATGAATTCAATCTGTAGGAGGTCCCATCTGCTGAAAAGAAAGTAGAAAAAGTAAGTTTTAAGTAAATGACTTGCGAGTCAAGTTAACCCCATCACCGAGCACCCCCACACTGAGTCAGTCGCCTCAGACCCAGTTTTATTCTACTAGTAAATTAGAAGACCATCTGGCGATCTCGTATTGTGATTATGATCCACTATGATGTGTCTATTCCATCGAATGTTGCAATAACTTAAACCCATACTAACGATTGCAAAAAAATGTATGTTATACTACTAGAATACTTCTCGTATCGCGAGACACATGAAATATACAACCAAAAAGCCAACGCCTACATCCCGCCATCCTTGTTTCTTTTTTTCCTCCATCAACCACCGTTTACATGCCCTCACACCGACACTCGACGTAGGCGGAGCACAAGTCCACCACTCCCTCACCCAGGGAAGCCCATGTGTGTTCGGCATCCAGGATGGCATCCGGATGCGGTCCTTCGGTAATGGTGCAGACAGTAGTCTGCTGGAACGCCGTGAGCATAGCGTTCGACGCAAAGACTAGGCCGTTCTGTGCAATTGAGGTTTCGCCCCAGAGTTTTTGAACAGCGTGCTTCTGGCCGTCAAGGGGCACAGCGACGTTGGCATTGGCGCCAGATTCGTCGTTGACCAGTTGAATAGTGGCAGTCGTAGCCCAAGTGGGAGAACCAGGAGGGCCACTAGAACCACCAGGAGGGCCGGGAGGGCCGGGAGGAGAAAGGGGACCAGCGGGAGTGGCGAGGCCCGAGGAGAAGAGGGTAAAGGCAAGCGCAGCGATGTTGGTGAACTGCATTTTGAAAAGAAGATAAATGACGTATTTTTGGAACTTGTGGTCTTTTGTGTGGACTGGTCCTTAAACGATTGAGGCAGAGATATCTGATGAGAGGATCTTTTCTTGTTCCAGAGTGAAGTAGACACAGGGGTGCATGGTGTTAATATATAGATTCCGAGTGTTACTGATTGCAAATGAATACATTCTACCCAAGCAGGCTGTTTAGTTAGAAGAATAGTGGTTTTCCGTCTTCGTCGAGTTCTGCCAAGGGTTCATGATCTAGATTGTTGTTCTTTTGCCGCATCCGGAAGTCCTTATATCCGAATAAGAAAAACCAAAACAATACGCATCGATATCATCATATCATATTTGATTTTAAATAAACCTCTCTTGTTCAAGGACATTCATCGTTAAGACAAAATAACAGATACTATATAGGTTGCTGACAACCTTGTTAGAAACTTTTCTTGACGGGTGTCACTTTTTGTATGGGAGATTGAGATAGGTTCAATTCTAGAAAAAGGTTCGACGATCGGCAGACATTAGTAAAGCAAAATGCGCCTCTGAATAGTCAAACGAATCTTGCTATAGACAAATCGTGGCTCCGGATACGGAATTCTCCGTTGTAGAAGCCTAATCAAGGGGGTCTCTATTAATGGTACTCATTCCCTAGTCACCAAATAAACGAGTGTCAAGCATATTTGCCATGGAAAAGTGCATGGCGACATGTGGCTGGCAAGGGATGTTATGCAGACGAATCAGGTAATTGATATTGACTGGAATCTAGGCACTAGGGCATGATCGCCGATCTTTTGCAGTTCCCAGTGGATCTTTCTAATGCCAAGTTTCTTGACATTCTTGTACTTTTTATCCGAGAAGATGCTGATCTATTTTTGTTTCGCCCAATTCTGACTAGATGCGGAAGACGTATACTAAACCGATGGCTACATCTACGGAGGTACACATGCTTGTAGGTTATGATTACTTCGGTGTCATATCGTGGCTGTGTTTTCTCTCCTTGATGCAAAGCAAAACTGCTTCGAACCCATCTGGAAAAATGAAGGTAAGATCAGCCTCGTAGTGTAGACAGTTCTGGCAATCTTGAATGCCCAGAATCAAAAGAAGACCGCTGGTTGGCCGCTTGGTCGTGTCCCTGACTCGCGACAAGAAACCAAAATCAAATAATGCAACATCAGAATCGAATGAGTAGGTTTATATTACATCAATTCTTCCCTTGATATATCACATGGCATGGGTATACGTGGTCCCCGGGGGCCGTTATTTTAACTACCTAATGTAGTTAGGTTAGGGGCCAACACAACACCAATAATACCAACACCAACGCCTATTATGATTAAATGAGACATGGGGCTATAACGGGGCGCGGGTAGAGTTCCATAGCTACATTACAAAATGTGTAATTCTCATATCTTTGGCAATTTTTGGGCTAGTAACTACCATCAGCCGCCTAACTTGTAGATTTGTATACGTAACTCTCGAGGTAGTTTGTTATATCCTAATGGCGGCTATTATGGACTTTTCTAAATATAGCGTCGCGGCCAGTGTGGCTTAAAGGCGGGTCTTGTAGTGCCCCCGGGTCCAGGTCCCTTAGGTAGTCTTGTTCGTACATAGTGAACGCTAGCTGTGCCATGCAGTTACCCGACCCCTTGAATACTATTTGTCTCCTGCTAGAAAAAGGTGTGGATCATTAAGTCACACATGACTGTGGACTTTTTATTTAATTCTGATTTTCAAAATTAACATGGGAAAGGTTGTGATGGTATCAAGACCCCCCAAGTTCTGGACCCACCAAGGCAAAACTGTATTTATATAACTTGACCAAAAAGGGCAAAAGGGGGCAAAAATCAGACTTGAAGGATTCCATAGCAATGCACAAGAGAAGACGAATATAATAGCATCGAGGTTCTTTTAGCCTCCCCCATTGCACCCTGCAGCGGTGTCTACCAGCCTACCATGAGGCTTCCATCCGTGCTGGTCTTGGTCCAGTGCCTAATACCGCTGCTCGTATGGGCAGACCCCGATCTTGTCAAACTTGGCAGGCTCTTCTTGAGCATCCCATCCGGCGAAAAGGGAAGCTGTATGAACCGCGATGTGCAAGGGGTATATACAGACGCCAAGACCCACCTCACCGACGCAATCAAGGCCCTGAGTGTCTTGATTAGAGGGAGAGTCGACGACGACGACTATGGGCGAAATATGATGAATCTTGCGTCAGCCTATTTCGGCATCAGTTACAACTCGAATGATAAGTGCACATTGAAAATCACGGAGAAGAAGAGTTCCTTGAAAATCTTGAAACAAGCTCTCGGTAAAATCACACATTCCCCTTTATATCTCTCTGGGTGGGAACAACGGCACTGACTTCTCCTCTTTCTTTCTTCGCGGTCACCAGATAATTACAAAAAAGCTGGAAGACTTTTAGTCGGGGGCACGAGCGAGATGAGCAAGAAATGGAAACTGGAGTGCACGGATGACGACCTGGAATGGGCGACCACCCTCGGCGATCTGGGGAACAAGACACACCCGCAAGACTCTCTTATCGACGCACTCAAAAAGGCCGGAAAGAAAGATTACAGTAAAAAAAAGGGGCTCTATATCGCCAAGAATCTTTCGCCAAAGACATCGGACGGAGTATACGAATACCAGAACGCGGTGTATGCGACCGGCGGGGACCAAGCAGGCCCTAACGTGGAATACTGTGCCAGCACGGGTCGCAGCCCCAACGGCCAAGGGAAAAAGGTGGCAACCGCCTATCGACCGTCAAAACTTCTGGTTCTATGCGAGAAGTTCTTTACGTGGCGTACCATTGCCAAAGCAGAAGAGTTGGCTGAGTAGGAACCGGATGATAAACCAGACCTAGACAATTGCCGAACTAAGGGCTCTATACTACTGCACGAGGTCATGCATATGATATCTGAGAAAAGTAAGTTTGGTTTTATCCTTGGAACACAATCGCAATATTTACTGATACCACAGCTCGTAGTCACCGACCTGTCGATGGACGTGGACGGTAAGAGACAAAAGATATACGGCCCCGAGCTGTGTATGAGGTTGGCCCGACACGACGGTAGGAAGTACGCAGAATTGTCGCTTGAAAATGCGGACAACTACCGGCTCTTCGCATTGGGAGCTACCCTAGCGGAGGTCAACTGGTGGCCGAATGGGTACCAGGTCAATGTCGAGGGGCAGAAAGAATCATATTAAAAAGCTGTATTTGAATGAACGTGACGAATGAGAAATGCCGTACGGGAATGATTCGAACTATATAATTAGTCTTAGGGTCTCGATTGCCCTAGCTCTCTCCAGGCAATAAGAAATGACAGTAGAAAGACCCATCGGAAACCACTACTAGAAAAGACGGTATCATATTCTATTATCTTCAAGTTCAAGCCGATGCCTCGTGCTTGTTACTTTGTGACCACAATCGTTGATTACAGGGGAACAATCCAAGAGTAATTTCAGGATTCCCATCGGTCTTGTCTCTCTCTTCCCTCATGCTTCTTCGCTTTTACTCGACTGCAAATCCGAGTTCTCCGAATGTTGATTCGGTTCACCCCGAGGACCGCTTTCCTCGTCTGGTTCTCTTTGGGCACGATTCCCTGCGGTCGGCGCAAACCTGCTTCGGATCCTGATTTGCTTTCCATATTTGTAAAATAGGAAAGGGATCACGGCCAGCAAAGCAGCCACGCCACCGATCAAACTCCCTCCGCCTCCCACGCCCATTGCAGTGAACATCTGGTTGGTGAAAAGTGGTGCAGCTGCACCACAGGCAGAGCGGACAATGGTGTTGGCTGCAATTGCAGAGGCAGCATACATCAGGTAGCAATCCACGAGGTAGTTGAGGTATGAAACGAAGATCAGCAGCAATGCGCTGGAGAGAAAACACCCCGCAAGAGTGGGGACGATCCAATGGACATCGCTAGGCGAAAGAGTCAGTATGAATCTCTTTTAATATGAATGGATTTTTAAGTGGAACTCACTTGTATTCGGCTGACCATGCAAACCAAAACATGGTCGCGGAAAACCCTATACCTCCGATCATCGCGAGCGGCAACCGGTCTTCGGGCACGGAATCTTCCATTTTCTTCTCGCCCCGTTCAATCTTTCCCTGACGGAGGCGAGTGTCGACCAGAACGATCATGCCGCCGATCAATGCACCGACCACCGTGCCAATCAAAGGCAGCTCGCCCACGCCTGAATTCCACCCACGCTTCTCTTGGAACACAATCGGATAAATACTGAAGAGCATGTAGAGCAACGTGTAGACGACCGCCATGTAAATGGCACAGAGGAAAGAAATTGGGTCGAAAAGGATAATCCAAGGCCGTGTCAGGGCCACCTTGTAGATCCCCACTAATGTCCGATCGGTAGCCTCGGCAGGAGCCTTGACATCCTCATAACCGGGAATCTTGGCCTCTCGAATGCGTTTGGCTTTATGGTACAAGATCGTTGGTGCGTATGTCTCGGGAATGGTCAACATCACGATAGCTGTTGCTCCTCCGAGCCAGAGAAGCACATAGAAGCTCCACCGCCAATCCTCCTTGAGTTCGAGGAAGCCTGCAACGACAGGCCCGAGAGCTGGCCCCGTGTACACCATGGCGGAGAAGCCGGCCATGGCGTTGGCGCGCTGGAGCGGATCCCATAGATCGGCCAGAACCCCCGGAGCGTTGCTTAATGGTGCAGAAACAAAAGTTCCTGTGAGGAACCGACCCACAAGCAGGGCTCCCAAATTCGGAGCGAAGGCGCAGAGGAAGTTGAAGGCGAGATAAAGCAGAAAGGAGATGTAGAAAATCCACCGACGGCCGTAGAACTCGCTCAGCGGCGCGAATATCAGCGGACCGGCGCAGTAGCCCAGCAGAAAAAGCGTGATGGTCAAACCTGCGACCTCGGTCGAGACTTCGAAGTGCTCGGAGATGGACTGGAAACAGCCGCTCGGCGAGCTTGAAGCGAATGTCGCATTCACGACGAGAAGAATGGAGGTTACAGTGATGGCCACCCGACGACTCATCGACCAGTTTCGTGGGTTCTCGATGTCGTCGGGGCCAAACTCGACGAAGCCATCTTCATTGAGGTAAATGGCGGTTTCATCGTGGAGATGCTTTGAACGATAGGGTTTGTTGGCTGCGTGGGACAAGAGGCGCACGATAGTTTCCATCACGGAGAGTTGAAGAAACTTATCTTGCTTGACATGATTTTTTGTGCCATTCGCAATCGAAGATTCGGTGTGCTAATGGCCGAGTCCGAGGATTATCTCCGCATCCTTTCGGTTGGACGGGAGATGCCGCTCGTGCCCCACCTGGTCTTAGCTATAGCTGCGAGGCCGAGGTGATCGAGAGGTTGAATATCCAAGATTCGTGATTTTAGAGAGAAAGCGCGCTGTCCATGATCTTGTAGAGAAATGTCGAATAGAGGGCTTGAAGTAGAGGGATCACTCAGAAATCCATCAATGGTCATCAAACAAAAAACTTGAAGATTATCCACGGAGGATTATGCAGTGGAGCATGATGCATTGAATCCAACAAAGACCTGCAAGTTGATGCCGATTAGCCGAGTTGGAGGATCTTGGGATGGACCATCTACCTAATCTTGTGGCTGAGGTACTATTCCGCCCGTGTGGCCTAATCGGTTAAGGCACTCGCCTTCGTGAGTCACCTGATTACCTCACCGCCCATCAACTTTCACTGACCCAATTTCCAGTATTAAATCCTCCGATTTGAATGATAGCGAGGGATTGCGAGTTCGAGTCTCGCCATGGGCTTCCTTTTTCTTTTTTCCTTCACTTCACGTGATCTTTTTCTATATAGTATTTGTAGCTGGTTCTTTCTTTACTTGCTATTTAAAATAGATTAACTAGCCCACAATTGTTTAGGAAATTAGAAAGAACCCTTTCGCATGCCAATACAGGAACTAATATTCGTTCGCATGACAGTATCGACATACGAGTAATCTCGAGAACAGACCTCGTCACTATCGACCCCAGAAAGATGAGCGAATTTTGCCTTTGACCTCTTCTAATTTCCGGTTTTACTCTCTAGCTTCTAGTACTAGTTGGCTATGGCACAGCCTTAGACCAGCCTTACCTGCTCTAACCGACCCTAAATTGGTTTACAGCCCGAATTCCATGCATCCTGGCCCCAAAGGAACAAAAAATTGACGGAATCAGTGACGACTGCGTCAAGGGGCCAAAGTATTATGGACATGGATATTGGAGTCTTGGCATTCGTATTCTCTTCATCAGGTAAAGCGTCTTGTATAGTTCCACTCGATATCTCCACTCCAGCCACTTTTTGCCCAATCCTTCATTTGAGCAGTGCCAGAAGCGATTATCATATCCCAATTTGGAGAAACCCATTGCCAAGGCCCTCAGTTCTGGTTGTTCGCCCACAGCGCCACGACTAAATAGCTTGTCAAAAGCTTGGGATGTTCTATATTTGTACCCATTCACGGCGTAGCAAGCCCAGCTGCAAACCTATTTAGTTCGCGTTTTTACCCTCGCTGTGGTTCCTTTCTCCATTCTTAAACGATTTCTACTTCATTCAGATCCACTCCATCCTCTTGATCTCTATCGCATTCCAGTTTATCTTGAATCTATTTCCATCATGTCCAACTACAGTGGTGAATCTTACGGTCAGCCCCAGGGCTACTACCCGCCCGAGGTAAGTCACTTGAAGAAGTCACTTGGAGTTTTTTCATAGACAAGACAAGACACCATACTGATCCTACATTACCACAGCAGCAATATCCTTATGCTCAGCCGCAGTACAACCAACAAGCCTATCCTCCCATGAACGAGCAGCATGTCCAGCAAACTTCGCCGCCTCCCCAATACTACGCCCAATCGCAGTCCCCGCCTCAGCAGGAGTACCAGCTGAAGTACCAGCAAACTGGCGAGAACGCCTCCTACTACCACAAAGACCCCGAACACAACCCCGAAGGACCCGACGGTGAAAGGGGCCTCGGGTCCACAGTGGTAGGCGGCGCCGCTGGAGGATACATGGGCCATAAGATGGGTGGCGGCAAGCTGGCAACTGCTGGTGCTGCGGTTGCTGGTGCAGTCGGCGCGAACATGATCAACCATCACTTGTACGTTAGGAATTTCTCCCCGCCTTCCTCTCTCTGTTGATCCGCATGGATTTGGCAAGTTGTGGGCTGTTGAGTGAAGAGAAGCTAACAACTACTAGTAACAAACCTCAACCTCAACCTCAACCCGCCCCTGCGCAATACGCTGCTGCGTCATATGGTGCTGCTCCAGCTGCCGCTGTCCCTGTTGCTACCGTCCCTGTTGCCACTGTCCCTGTTGCTCAGGCCGGCCCACTTGGAGGAGGAATGAGCGGCATGGGAGGCATGGGCATGGGTGGCATGGGTAGACTCGGTGCCCTTCAGGCCCGCCGAACTATGATGCTCCAACGACGGGGCTTTTACTGATCGATGCCTTGATGATGCGTGCACGCCATGACGATCAGGCTGGGGTTTTATATTGGGCTGTTTTTCTATAGACGGTGGTTTCATTTGTTTTCCTGTTTCCGATTGTTGCTTTCCTGGAATGAACCGGGGTGTTTCAAGTGTATAGCATAGCATTAGCGGTGTTCATGTCATTTCATCATTTCTCATCATTTATTTATTGATTCATTTAATTTATGTTTTCATTTGTGCGGGGACTTGACTATTTATAATATAGGGAAATATCTAACGAAACGATTTCTCAATTGGAGTTTCTGAGTGCTGGCCTTGGTTCAGCTAATTAGGATAAATATCAAGGAGGAAAGGAACAGAAATTTAAATGATTAGCAAATAGTTAACAAAAGAGAGATAAAAAAGTAATAATGAAAGAATGATTGTAGTAGTAGTAAAATAGCCATCTCTAAGGAGATAATGAAACCTCTTAAATAAGACAAATTTAGTCTATAAGGCTTTAAAGTATAAGTTTTGCACTCTACTGTATCTCCTACAGCCGCCTGGGCGAAGAGGGGGTCAGCGGCATATGATATATATGGATTTGATCAAACTGACACTACGTTTTATTCTATTCCAGGGTCGATCCCTGGGTATGGTTGAGGTACAATTTCACCGTCAGATTTCTACGTCATGGGGGGCCTTATGGGTTTACAAGCTTAACTAGAAGTCCCCACGTCAATGCCAAATATAGCTCGCATAGTCCCCCAGATCCTGGGCCTCTGATTAGGGCTACACTCACCGCTGCCATGGCCTCAGGCTGCCAATGGCATTTCAGTTTTCCAAGCCAGCGCCGCATGCTCCCCAAATCGGTTTAGCGGCTTTCTATCTTGGCAATCCCATTCAGTTAGAGATCGCCTCATGAAGTGTCTCTTCAACACAACCCCCTGAGCACTGCCTGGTCTATGACAGCACCAAATATGGGTTGGACATGCACCCCTCACATCATGGCCCAGCTGCGGGATATAAGTAGTCCTGGATATCCCGAGACGGGACTCAAGAAGAATCTCCATACTTCCAAACATCATGCGAGTCCTCACTCTTCTTCTCTATACTACCACCGTACTCGCTGGCCTCCAAGGTCCAGTCTACCCAGCACCTAGAGATCTCAGCAGTCGGTCCAGTCTGGTGGCAGCCACCTGGAAAAATGTCACAACGGCTCTAGAGCAAACCTTCAAAGGTGGTGGACTCGGCGAAGAAACAGCCGTCCTGCTCAAACACACCACCTTCTCTGCGGGCATGTTCTCGCTGCATGATCGAGGCGCCCAGTCCTTGCAGTATCACCACACAGCTGCGTCCAGCCTCAATGGCTCGGTGGGCGTTAAGAAGGTCGACGCAGACAGCATCTACCGCATTGCGAGCGTCTCCAAGCTCTTCACTGTCTATGCGGGCATGATAGAGCTGGACGAAAAGGACTGGGATAGGCCCCTGACCGATATCTTCCCGCCCTTCAAGCAGTTCGTCGAAAAGGCGGCCAAGGGATTCGACCCCGTGCACGATGTGCAGTGGGACAAAATCACTGTTGGCGATATCGCGGCTCACATTGGTGGTCTCCCCCGCGGTGGTATTCCATTTGACGGGGACTTACTAGTCCAAGCCGTCCAATCTCACTCTATACCGAAGCGCTGGGGTCTGCCATCACTCAACCTGACCAAGGAATTGGCACGGTATCCCTGTGCCGAGTACGAAGACATGGAGAAATGCACGGCGCTCCAATATGCCCAGGGTACGGCTGCCAACCCGCCTGTCTATGCCCCCGGAACTAGCCCCATCTACTCCAACAACGGCTTCATCCTTCTCGGCCACACCTTATCCAAACTTAGCGGGAAATCCCTAGACGACTTGTACCACGACACCATCTTCAAGCCTCTGGGCTTGAAGGACACCCTATCCAATGCGCCAACCGACCCCGCGGTTCTCAAACGCTCCGTGGTCGCCGGCGATCCCGCCGCAAGTTTTGCCATCAAATCAGGCATCACCAAGTCCTCGGGCGGCCTCTTCTCGACCATCAACGACCTAGCCAAGGTTGGCACCAGCATCCTCAATTCCACCCTCCTCCCTGCCGACAAGACCCGCCGCTGGATGAAACCTGTTTCCTTTACCTCAGACCTGCGCTATGCTGCCGGCCGCCCGTGGGAAATCTACCGCCACGTACACCCCTCGGGCGTGGTAACAGACATCTACACAAAACTAGGAGACTCGGGCTACTACACCGGCTTGCTAGCACTGCTACCAGACTTCGGAGTGGGATTTTCCATCCTCGGCGCCAGTCCCCACGCAACCCGCTCAGCCGCCGTGCAGCTAGTCGCCGATCTCATCGCCGACACCGTGATACCCGCGCTGATGGATCAAGCCAAGAACGAGGCCCTCGATAACTTCGCGGGTACCTACGCCCCCAAGGACAAGCGCTTCAACACTACTCTGACGCTGTCTGTCCCCACATCCGCCAAGTCGCCGCCCGGCCTCGTCGTCTCGCAGTGGATCAGTGACGGCGCCGACCTGACTGCCCTGCTCCCCAAGGGACTAATGGAAACTTCTGGGATCCGGCTCGTGCCGACGATCCAGGACGGTGCGGGCTCGGGCCAGGTTGCGTTCCGCGCGGCGACACTCAACAAACCTGGGCCTATTTCGGGTCACTTGTTTTCTAAGCTGTATGATGTCGAGGACTGGACGAGTACTTTGGATATGTTGACGTATGGCGGGTTGGATCTCGCGGAATTTGTGTTCCATGTTGATAGGAAGACGGGTAAGGCGGATGCTGTGACGCCGAGTGCGTACAGAGCTAAGCTAGGGCGCAGGAAGTGAGGTTGATAGTGCACGAGACATGTGGTCACGCTTTTCTCTGTCTTGAAGTATCTAACGGTAAATGGGTAAGCTGTAAAATGTAAGTTGATGTAGATGCACATCAAATCTTCGAGAATAAAAAGGAGAAATTGGAAGATTGCTTTCATTATTTCGTGATGGCCATATGGTCTAAAGATGCAAACAAGACGCTATGCCGCGGCAGAAATGAAAAAAAAGCCGCTTCCAGTATGTGAATTCGATGCCCTCCCCATGAATTGTTTCCACCACCCATCGTGACTGGTCCCAGTGCAGGTTGGGACGGGATGCAAGGACCTTGATTTTTTTTTTTTTTTTTTTTGCCCTTGTCTGCCAGTGTGCCCAGGTATGAAGCAGCCATACAGCTGCATCGCGTGTATCGTGGGCGAGACTTAATATGCTTTCGAGCAGTCCCTATTGGAGTGTCATCGCCTTGAAGCTTGAACCATGCCCGAGTTGGGCATCGATGACAGATAGAACAGGGTCTGCATGTCATCTGGTACCGTGGTAGCACGCCTCTGGCGGTAGAATGATGCACACCGAAAAGAGTATGGTAGTGCTTCAGTGGTGCAAAAACATGATGGCATACCAAAATGCAATGAGATGTGATGTCACCTGCTCACGCGAGATTCTCAACGATGCCCAAAAATGTCGATAGCATCATCGTCGTCACCATCGTCTTCGTCAGCTTCGTCCTCCTCATCATTGCTGCCATCTGTTCCTGCAGTGCCACACGAGTCCGCATCGTCCTCCCCGTCGGCCTCTGAGATTGCATCCGCGGACTCGGTCTCCCCGCCAAGTAACCCAGTCCCATACCCGAATTTTCTGCTCAGAAAATTCAAAGCGCCACTGTCGGCATCATTGTCAGCTCGTGATAAGCTCCCGAAGAATGGCAAGGATGACGGTTTCTCGGATTCTCGCTCGGGCGGTAGACCGAAGTAGTTGCTGACTACAGGCGAAATCGCCCGACCGCGAGTAATGCTGTAAGAGGAAAATTGGCTATCAGTTCCGGCAGATGTCGGCACATTTAGACGTGAGGGTGGCACCGAGTTCGTATCGGTGCGCAGAGCCCCCAACGTGGGCGACATCGGTGCTCCATTCACACTCAAGGACGATGATCGAGGCCGAGGTAGACTTGAGACTCCACCTTCCTCCTCAAGCGGGTCCGACGTATCACCATGCAAGAGTCGGATCTGGGCTGTGTTGTATGACTCGCACCTAGGGGTCGTCAGCTCGCTTCCCCCAGTGTTATGACAATGAATCTTACATATCGCATTTCAAGCCCAGCCAATGATATCGAACAACTGATTTCACACCACAATCATTGCAATAAATCAGGCCCCTTGTATCCTTGAACTCAGCTGGCATGGGCTGACTCTCAATAGTCCGGTCAAGGTTCCGAAAAGTCGATTCCATGTTGGTGATGGTTTTGCTGCAAATGGGACAACGGAAAGAGCTCTTGGAATACTCCGAGAGACATTTGTGGTGAATGCTATGGCCACATCGCACCACAACCACAGTCTCCGGAGAAGTAAACATGTATTCCCCACATATAGGACAGTCACATTGAGTAGACCGTTCGATACAGCGATGAGTGATCTCGATTGAGATGGGCAAACAAACACAGCATGTCTAAACTAGTCAGCATCCCTGAAGATGTACACTTGATAAACCTCAGTGTTCTTTCTTACCTTGCAATGGAAAAAGTCCTTTCCAAGGCCTTGCCCAATCCGGCATATTCCACAGTCATTGCAATGGTAAATGCTCTTCTTGCCATCATTGTCCCACAGTTTGCAAATTTCACAATAGTATTGAGCACTTTGTTCGTTGCATTGCCGACAGACTTGTGCTGCAGGCTGAGCATGACCACATAGCATGCATAACATATTCTCCGTGTCGCGGCGAATGAGATGGTGATCTTCGACGTCGTCGTGACAGAATCGGCACGTATACCATCTCTTGCAAGTGTAGCACTGAAGCTTGACGTTTCGTTTGTAGTGTTGACAGCCCAAAGTTTCCTCTTCTAATTCCTCCGTGTCCGGGTCTTCATCTCCAGTCTCGCCCACCGGAGATTCAGGCTCGGCCTTTGGGACAAAGGTCGGCTGCAAATCTTCGGCGGTAAGGGAAAAGTGACTTTCGGTATGGGAATGCGACGCCGAAGTTGTGAGTGGATGTAGCGTTGGAATTTGGTTAGGCGATTGTGGACTGTCATCTGCCTTGGGGCTGAGGGGCTGCTCCAGAGGACTCAAAGGTGTTGGCGACAATGCCAGGGAGGGGCTCAACGGTGGTTCTCGGGAGGAGTTGTAGCTTTCTGTCATCAGATCATGAATCATGCGTGCTTTCTCGGCATTGTCGAGGCCCAGATCTCTGATTGCATGGATTTTCCTCCTGAGAACCCCCATTCCATCATCTGCCGGGAGCGAGAATTGGCCCGGATCCACTGTTTCTGCAACATTATTGACATTTCGCCTTGTTCCTTCACTCTCCACATCTGATCTCGTATCTTGTGAATTATTCGGTAAATTCGGCGACAGGCGGCCATGCGCATCTCGAGGACCCTCTGAGTTTGTAGATCCCGACAAACCATCATTTCGGCCAGGCATTGAGCGGATAGGAAGCACCGGCGTGCCTTCAGGCTCTAGATGTCGACCATCCATATCTTTGGGCAAAGTATTGAAGAAGGGAGGGCCGTGCAAGGACCCCGCATCTCCGCTATGCAGTTCCTGCCTACCACCACGCTCTCGGTCGTGTTCGCAAACCGTCCGATGTTCGGCGTCGCCGCTTGGAGAAAGCTTGGGTTGGACGCTCTGCACACTCGCTGAATCGGGATCATGCGGGGGATCGGGGCGGGGAAGACGGGCTCGGATTCCAAGGTCAACTAATAGTGAGGAGATGAAGTTGCTCATGAAGGGCTGTATTCAGCATCCAAGTAAAAAGAGCGACACACAGCACCGGATGTTATGGGAAACCCACAAAGGGAGATCTGCCCAACCCCATGTTGACATGTGACGTGCCCTCTGAGCTGATTCATCACTTCCTATTTGGGACAAGCGTCTCAGCGCCACGAGCGAACTATACAACGTTGATTGCCATACAATTGACTATTAGAGGTAGATAGATTGACTGGATGAAGAAGAAATTTTAGGCATAACTGTCAGCAGATAATCTCTCTAAAAACCCCGGTCGACAGTAGTCATGCTCGGCATGTTCTACCGTAGGGTCGTCGGGCTTTGCAACTGCCCAGGTGGGAGTTCGCTGAAGACGAGAAGACCCTGCATCAAAGCTTGAGAGTACAACTCCCTGCCCAAATTCATGATTTCACCGTTGGCCATCTCAAGCAAAAAAAAAAAAAAAAAAAAAAAACATAATTGAACCGGAGACAACCTTGAGAAAACAACGATATCCGCTATCTAATCGGCTCCCCCACAGCACCCGAGACTCACCAAAATTTCTCCTCCCTCCCACCACACGCCAGACAGAGACAGACAGAGAGAGGGAGAGAGCACATCCATCATGGCCAAACCACAAATATCTCTGCTCTCCGACCTAACGCCGCCCTCCCTCGAACGAACCTGGCTCACAGCGCCACACCCCACGCTCCCGATCGTCGCAACCTGCAGCTCCGACAAGACGGTGCGGGTGTATTCCCTGACGAACTTCAAGCTTCTCTCCACCATCTCGGGTGGCCATAAACGCAGCGTACGCACATGCGCCTGGAAACCGCATATCCAGGGCGAGAGCGTGCTGGCAACTGGCAGCTTCGATGCCACGGTAGGTGTGTGGCGCCGGTGGGACAGCTACGGCGGTGCTGCGGGGTGGGGGGCCGCTGCTGGAGGGAATGCGACAGAGTCCAATGTTTCTCGGGATTCCTCTGAAGAAGATGGCAATGATGATGATGCAGGAGAGGATGACGAGGAATGGCGGTTTGCGGTGCTGCTGGATGGCCACGATAGCGAGGTCAAATCCGTGTCGTGGTCGCCGTCGGGGATGCTGCTAGCGACGTGTTCCAGGGACAAGTCGATTTGGATCTGGGAGGACCTGGATGATGGCGATAACAACTTCGAAACGGTGGCGGTCATGCAGGAGCACGGCGGCGATGTCAAATGCGTGGCGTGGCACCCGGTCGAAGAGTGTCTGGCCAGCGGGAGCTACGACGATACGATTCGGCTGTGGCGCGAGGATCTGGACGACTGGGGCCAGGTCGCGTGTCTCAAGGGCCACGAGGGCACGGTGTGGTTTCTGGACTGGGAGTCCACGGACAATGTGCCAAGGGGATCATCCGATTCGACCCAATGGCGCGAGCAGCGCGCGCTCTCTGGTCCGCGCCTGGTTTCCTGCTCGGATGACCGCACGGTGCGGGTCTGGGGCCGCCTCCCGAAAGACAACCAGCCACCGGCTATGTCCTCGTCTGCGGCCACCGGTATCCCGAGTATCATCCGGCCGACAGGGACCGACGAGACCTGGGAGGAAGACGCCGTGCTGCCGCACGCGCACGAGCTACCCATCTACGCTGTGGCCTGGAGTCGCCGATCAGGGCTCATTGCCTCTGTGGGCGCGGATGGGCGCATCGTGCTGTACGAGGAGCGCCTTGCTACAGAAACCGACCCAGACGCCATGGACACGGACTCTACCGCCAAACTCTCATTACGGACGGAGTGGTCGATTCTCGCTGTATTGGACGGTGCCCATGGCATCTACGAGATGAACCATGTTGCCTGGGCCAAACGAGCAGATCGCGGGTCGGACAGCTCGGAGGAAGTCCTGGTGACAACGGCAGACGACGGCAGTGTCAAGGTGTGGACGTTGCAGCGGTGACTTGCCTATATGAGGGAGAAAATAGCAGATGCAAGAATATACAATCCAAATATACAATTCACCGTCTATCAAATAGTCCAAACAATCCAATTTCATATAATGATCTATCAGATGACCAAAGCAAACCCCATTGACACCGTCCTCGTTATAGAGATGCACAAGAAGCGAAAAAGAGAAACCCATCAAGGGCCGCGGTTTGAGGCCGAGGGATGAGTAGGGTGAGTACCATAATCCTCGTCATCACTGGCGTCGCCGACCGTGTAATGCTCGCTCTCGGCTTCGGGCAAATGAAGTTGGTCCAACTCAGACTCATCAAAATCACCGGCTTCAACATCGGAACTAGAGTGCTTGTTATGGAACCGGTCTAGCACCGAGCCGGTGCCCGGCTCTTTGTTCAAGACACCACGGTAGCCTTGGTGAGAGCGGCGACTGCGCCAGATGAAGAATCCCCAAACGATAACGCCGATAATCACAATCACCAGAATCGCCTCACCAGACTTGGTGTAGGCGTGCAACTCGGTTTGTTTCATCTTTTCCTTTTCATGTTGCTCAGCGGTGGTGCTATTGGCCTGACCACCAACCGAGGTTTGGGGCAACTTCTCGCCGTCGATGCGGGAGTCGGCCGGCCGGCCGCCAATGCTGGCGATATCGACTCTCAGGAAACGATCCAGCATATCCCGGCTTTGGCGGGGCATATCAAAGGGAACCATGTGGCTGGCGTTGTAAAAGAGCACGTAGGTCAAGTTGCGCGCGTGTTGGTAGATGCCGGCCGGCTCGCCTTCGAACGACCAGTCATGGCGCCGAGCCCAAACCCCAGGCGAGGTCTCGAAGCCGGTGCCACCCTTCCATTTCATATTGTGGATCAATTGCTCCGTACCGAGATGATTGCAGATCAGGTCCTGGTCGCCGCTGAACAGAAGTACTTTAACGTTGGATTCCAGCAGACCAGGAAGTAGGTCGATGGCAGGGACAGAGTTGCTGGCTTTAAAGGCGTCGCTGACCATGTTGGTGCATTCTTGCCAGCCCGTCTTCTTGGCGGGGTTGATGTTCAAGGCCTCGATGACATCGTCCCGCCGAAGGTATGGCTCCATGTATTCCAGGTCCGGCGGCCAGTTCATTCCACACGACGCAAATGTGTCCTTCAAACGGATGTCGTACATGTTGTAACACTGACCGTCTTGGACGGTGAGCTGGAGGAATTCTCTCAAGACCACCTCACATTCTGGGGTATGCAGCTTATTACCCCCGGCGTCCTCGAGTTTCGCAAGACAGACAGACTGCAGGGCTTCCAGCTGTCGGTAGGTCTGAGTTCCCTCTTGAAGGAGACCTTGCCTCCGAGCAAAATCAAAGTTGGCAGGGTATTGATCCTTGGGCGAGATCCAGCCATTCCCGATCAACAGACCTTTGATCGGCCATTGTGTTTTGCCCTCCTTTGCAGCAACTTTGTTCCGCTCCTGGATGGCTTTCGCGATATGGGGGATATGTTGACCAGCATAAGATTCGCCCGAGAGGTAGATCTGTTATTTCATCAGAAACAAATTCTCCACGGAGTTCAGGGCAAGGGAGACAGACATCATCGCGTTCGTACTCGGGGAACAGCTCAAAGAACTTCTCCAAGAAGACCATAAAATGCGCAGACATTTCATTCAGCTCGGACAGATATTTGTTCGTGCTGACGTAGCTGAAGCCCGTGCCCACGGGCTGGTCGACGAAGAGCAAATTGGCAAACTCGGCCCAGGAGCCATTGTTGTATTCCAACGTATGATCATTCTTGAGTCGGTAGGGCCCAACCTCCATCAGCGCGCCATCCATTGAGCTGCATCCAGGCCCGCCGTTCAACCAGATGACGGTTCGCTGTCGGTTCGCAATGTGGCGGTTTTGGTAATGCCAGAAGAACAGGTTACCGTTGGTCTCAGGGTCGACCTCGATATGTCTGGAGGAGAGTTCAGGATGAGCGAGTGTCCAAGAAGTGACATCTAGAGAGACAAAGACCTACCCAGCATGCATCTTCAAGAGAGGCCCAGCCGGAGCGCCTGGAAGCGAGCGCACGTAGTAATCGGCGGCCGAACTGGCCGTCGCCAGCGGACTCAGCACCAGGGTCCATAGCAGCGCGAAGGCACAAGCCCCCTGGAGACCGAGGGAAGATAATGAGAGCATCTCAACAGCTCGAGGAAACCATCCGATCTCAAGGACACACGAAAGGGGTGAATCGACTCAGACCGGTCCGTCGCGGACTTGCTCCAAGCGAAAGACCATCGAAGACGAGACGCAAGAAGCAGGGGCGAAGTAAGGGAGGCGAACACGCGATGGAGAAGAGCGGGTCCCTTTGCTTTTATTGAGAGAGTCGAGTCCTATTGACGACCGCTTTTAAACTCGGGTGACATGGCGTTGGGTCCAGGTGGCGTACGGTATGGTCGATCCTCCATACAAAGTTGGAATTTTGGTGGTAAGAAACGTGTATGGTATTGTATTGTTCCGAGAGGCCGCGTTGCTGGCTCGTCACCACACTAATTGTTCTCTTTGACGCCTATTTCAACTTCCAATATACATCCTCCAGCAATGAATATTTATTTCTTCAATATACACTATCTGGTTGCCCATCTCAGAACAAGTCATCGACACCCTTGTCGGCATCTTGCTTGATGAGATCCGCCATCCCCTGGAATCAAATCAGCATTTTTACGCTCAACTACTTGCGCTCTGGGCAAGACCATGATCACTTACATCGGGCATGATCGGTTTCCCCGTAGAATCAGTGACGTAGCGGAAAGGCATTTCGGTCCGTTCATGCTCGTTGATCAGCAACTCCGGGTAGTCGACATAGGGAATTTGCTCCAACGGCACTAAATCAAGCTCGTCAGCCAAGCCTCGTCAAGACCAGCATCGGTCCTCACCTTTCTCCTGGACCACCATGCGAGTGACCCGCACGGCAGTGTCGGTCGTCATCTGCTTAGGCCCCAGCCGTCGGCCGGTGTAGCCCTTTTTCCTCAATTCTGAAGTGCGATCTACACGGAATTGTTAGTCAGGCCACACATACATCGGTCAGAAAACGACGTAGTGTATCGCCAGACATACCTCGAGGCGGATCATCACCTGGTGCAATTCCCAATTAGCCCACTGTCTCTTTCTCTCTCTTTCTTGCTTTTTCTTGCTTCTTATCTCGCAGGGTTCAATTCATACCGAGAATGCCGCCGAACAAGAAAACCTCAAAGTGATCGCCATCCGCGGGGCTCAATTCAACCTCTGCGGCGGGGTCCAGTAGACACACCTTGTCCTTGCGGTCTGCAAAGATTTCCTCGACACTGCGCTGCTCGACCTCGAGGCCTTGGGTCGCAGCCAAGTCGGCGGGCATCTGCAGCGAAGCGGGCACCGAACTGAGCAGGAAGCGAACCCCGCGCGCATGCGATTCGCGAGAAATGCAGGCATATTCCAGCGCTGACCAGGGACCTAGCTCGGGGTCCAGGTGCTCGACCACGAAGGCCGTCTTGTGGTCAGTCATGATGATTGGGGGGGGTGGATGAACGGAACCACTCGAGAAAAGGCGGGCCAAAAAAAAAAAAAGAGGAGGTAGTTCGGGCAGCCCACTGAATACCAGCCGAAGGGGATGACGGCGAATTGAAGGATTAATTATTGTCTAAGTATAGATTTATTTAATATTGATCTTAGTAGTGTATATTTGATATTTGATATTTGATGTATTATATATTGTCTTCTCCTATAGTAAGAATCATACTAAGACGAGGTCAGGCAATCCCGTGGATTGCCCAAGTGCATCATCGCCTCTGCACGTCCCCGCGCGTTATCGACCAATTTTCGGCTCCACTTCATTCTTCTCTTTACGCTTTACTCTCTCTCTCCCCCCGCCTTCTACCGTTATCTTCTTGATCTCAACGTCTCTCTCTCTCTCTCTCTCTCTCTCTCTCTCCTCATCCACATCACCTTCGACACCTCCCACCGCCACCATGAACCCGCATCAGCAGAACAAGGTGGACATCAACGTGCGTGGAATATCGCCCCTCGATACTCATGAACCTCTCTGACATTCTGATCTAGTCCTTGAGCCCGGAGGAACAGCGTCTGCTGCGTCTCTATGGCAAGATGCCCACCAAGAAAGATGTGTTGCAGAACAAGCTCAAGGTATGTCCCCCGCCTTGCTCTCCCCCCCCTCTTCAGACTGTGGACTTCACCCTCTACTCCTCTCCTTCGCTTTTCTTTCATTTTCTTCTCTGACACATGTGTGAAATTACAGGAGCGGAAATACTTCGATTCGGGTGACTACGCCCTCAGCAAAGCCGGCAAGGCCTCAGACGTCGGCGTCACCAACATCGGCTCCCGCCACCCCGTCCCCGAGAACATCCCCCACCTGACCGCGACCTCCCCAGGTGCCAACAACCCCGCCGCCGCCACGGGCAACGGTGGCGCCGCCAATCACCAGGGCCAGCAGATGCCCGGCAGCTTCAGTGGCCACCCGGGCTCGGTCGGCTTCCAGAGTCGCAGCCCCGCCAAGGAGGGCAGCTACCTGCACCGGGGCACCAGCATCAGTGAGGGCAGCGATGCCATCCCCCAGGACAAGGAGGACAAGGATCTCAGTGTTAGTCCTCCACAGACTCGTGAAGGTGTGCCCATCCATCGGTGAACGGGCATTCTTTTTGTTTGGGTTGTTTATCCCGGGATGGGGGTTTGCTTCTCGTTCTTTTTTTTGTTCAAAAGCCTGGCGCTATGGGAATGTTTTTCTCTTTTGAGGAGGGGAATTATGAAGTGCACTGCGGGTCAGAGCCAGTGAGAACAAGGGTGGAAGTGTGATGGATATGGAAGTGGAGGCCGGTGTCATAAGCCGGTGGGAACGAACGGAACCATCACATCTCTCGAGGTCAACCAGGGGAGAACATCCTACCAGTATAACCTCACCGTCGAGTCCGGTCAAGTCTAGAGGGATGTGGTTCTGCTTCTTGAATCTTTTCTCGGGCTACCATCTTATTTGCATTTTGTGGCATCGAGTTCTCTGTTTCTTCCCCCATTTCTTCTTCTTCTCCTTGTTCTTCCTCTTCCTCTTCTACATGTTCATATCGAGTTGATGCAATCTTCATCTTCATGTGTTACCTCCACTTATGTTTCTTTTTTGTCTTCACTGACATTCGGGCGTTTCCCCCTACAGAATGTCTGTCCTATTTGCATCTGTTCATCTTTCTCTATCATTCTCAGTGATCTTCAATGCATATGGTTATGGCTTTCCTTGGTTTTTGTTCTTGAATTTGGTTCTACTTCCAATTGTCATGTCTTATGAGTTGTCACCTTGATCGCAGTCTATTATAGTCATCAATCCGAAACAATTTGACACATCAAGTCTTGGCCCGAGTTGATTTTGAAGAAAGATTTCTCTAATTAAAATCCTGTTCCAGATCGCTCTGGGGGGAAAGAATAGCATCAAGATATCCTATGTACAAGAAATGGTGAAGACATTCACGGCATGAACGGTCAACCGAGCAAGATTCAAGAGGAAAGAAAAAAAAGAGTTCACAGCAAGGGTGGGCATCCAACAGAGGGTATAAAGTGCCGAAAACCCCGTTGAGAGAGGCAGACAGGAAATATTAAGGAAATTGATTCGGTGGGATCGTGGTGTCGTGAAAAAAAGGGGGAGGCCTGCTCATCTCGAAAACTTTTTCAAGCTTCAAGATGAAGACTAGGGTTGGGGAGCTGGGACAGGAGAAAGGTCTCACTGGAAACAGTAGATCATGCCCCTCGGCAATGCAGATGGGTGATACATGTGAGGCCAGCTGATCAAATCAAGTGCTACCAGGACAGGGAGCACAAAGTGGCCCAATATGCCCGCACATAGCACTGAAAAAGGGGAAGTTTAGGGAAGGAAGTGCAATGCAGAGCGGGGGGAAGGGGGTGACTGAAGGATTCCGGGCGCACGAAGGGCTGGCAATGCTTTTGGGAGTCCTTTTTGAGGTAGCCCTGGTTCTCGGGTGGACTCGAGAGTAAGCTGATCCTGGCCCTGGAACAACTCACCATTCAAGAAATGGTGATGGTTCGTGTTGAACATGGAGGTTCGAAAGATCTCTCTTTTTGAGAGTGGCTAATTCAGCTTATGGATAATGCGGGAATAATGCGGGACTGCGGAGGGGTTCGATGGCGTGTGCTTCGTTTCAGCGACGTGTCGTAACGTTCCAGACACTCGAGATGACCCCTTCGGATCGGCAGAAGCAAATCAGTCAGTTTTCCAGTGGCCTGCCAATCCGTTGTCAAGATCATTGTGCTCTCCCAGCCATAATTCGACCGCATAAAGCGCCATGGTGCAAGCCAGGTTGATCCACCTCCAGAGATTACCTCCGCCGCCGCCTTGACTGCTCCACCACTCGCCGCTACCGCCCATTGCTTGCGATGTCGACGCGAAATGTTGCATCAAGAGACTGGTATACACCGCAATGAGGATAGTGGGAGCGAAGTAACTCAAGAAACCCAGGACCTGACCGGCTGCATCCGAATCATCCATGGAGGCTTCCTGCGAGAGTGCGCGAGCCCCCGACTCGCGAACCGCAGGGATGATGCGTGTCGACGCATACAATACGAGGAGGCGATATGCGAGTGAGATAAGGACCGACGGTGTGACGGCACTGAAGACGGCAGTGATCACGTTGAAGGCGGCGTGGATAATCGATGGAAGCAGAGACAGCGCATGCATGAGAGTAGTGTACGATGCCATGATTATCGGCGGAAGCGGCGGAAAATCTCCTGCCTGCGAGGGCGAGGGGATCTGCTCAACAGGGTGCGATGGCTGATAGTCCGTGAAGATCTGGTAAATGCAGAGGACAATGTAGGCGAAAAGCAGTGAGCTCTCCACCGGATTTCCGCGCCCACTGCCAATGCCCCACGCGCATAGGATCACAGCGCATGTAATGGAGACACCGATTAGAGCGGCATCGACGTTGGAGATTTCGGGGAACTGTAGGACCCGCCAGAGGAAATAGACCGAGCTCGAAATGATCGTGGCCGACAAAACCAAGAGACCGATCTAAACCAAAGTAAGCTTGTATTACGGCCAAAGGGAGAGGAGCCTGGCAATCAAAACAAAAGAGTCAAAAAACATACCATCCAGCTATCACTTCGCCCGCCTCGATTCACGAGCCACCGGGTGATTTGCCCGGCCGCTTGAATCACCAGTAAGCTGCAGAACCCTTCCGCCAGCTGAAAGACAGGGGTCGACCATCGCAGCAATTTGTCCCAGTTGCCCAGAGTCACCGTTTCAACTAGGCCGTCGCGACCAAAGAGCCATTCCTGAATCGAGCCATCTTGCGCTTTCTTCCCATTAAATGTGCGCTCCACCCAGCCACCGTTGTTGTCCGCATCCACCGAGAATCGATTCAGCGCCCAGATGAGAAGGATCGGGATAAGAATCCATTGCGTGGAACGAACCACGACAATCACCGAGGAACGGAACCAGGAGCGCTCAGGGGTGGTGACCTTCAACAGCGAGAACAGAAAGTAGAAGGTCGCCAGAGATAGCGAAAAGGCCAGGCCGCAAGTCTTCCCGCCGACATCGAAGGCTAGTGGGATGGATGCGACGGTGACGGCGAGGAAGAAGGCCGACGAACAGACTCGAAAGAGCCACATCGGACCGCGGACGCGCGATGACACGCGAGAGGGATAGGGTGACGCGACAGTACAACCACACACGGACACTCGGAATCGAACACGATTTGGGATCTGACTTGACGGGCGTTTGTTGGCGAAAGGTATTGGATCTGGAGGGGGAGAGTTGCGAGGAGAAAAGAGGGAGGGGAGGCACACGACTATTTTTCTTTTTCTCTTCTAGAGCTTATCACCCTTTCACGTGGCCGCGGCAAACAATGAAGCGCCAAATTGAAGAACCCAAAAAGGACTCAGGGATCGTGCAGTGGAATAGAAAGAAAAAAAAAAAGAAAGAAAAAGAGCACGATTCAGCGAGTCCACTTCTCTTCACCACTAACAGAGCTTTGCTTATTTTGGTCTGACTGGCGGTCAGCACCTTCGTGATTGCGCCACCATAGACCCCCAGACCAGCTTGTTTAAAAGAGATGAATATTCTTAGGCCCAACCGAGTGGAAATACGCAAGTCACCCATAACGCCATCGGGTCTGGGGATCAATGCCTGATCGCCTGATCACCTATTAGGACTTCCCCTCCGTGGAAGTACCATGTACCCGATCGCCCTTCAAGGTGGTACTGACCGACAAAGTACCCGAGACTTTCCGCAAACGGCCAATCCCAGTCGATCGCGAGAGCTTAAGCTCCCAGTCACATGTAAGCCCCAAGCCCTAGCCTTGAGCCCTGATGTCCTGATACGGCGGGGCCGATAAGAATGCGCAGCCAGCCAGATCGAAGCAAATCATAAGCCTCAAATTCCTTCCTGAATGCTGCGCTTCCGTCAGTACTTCAAAATGGCCGAAACAGCTTCAAAGAAGATCAAGACCTCGTCTCCCTTGATTGGGACGCACAAGTAAGCACAATAATCCCATCCGCTGCTCATTGATCTTTACTAATGGATGGCAGTGGGCATTTCCATGCCGATGAGGCGTTGGCCGTCTATCTCCTCCGACTCCTCCCTAATTATGCCTCCTCCCCACTAGTCCGGACTCGGGACCCGGCCAAGCTGGAGACATGCCATACTGTGGTCGATGTCGGTGGGGTATACGACGCCGCCATCAACCGGTATGATCACCACCAGCGGACTTTCTCGACAACTTTCCCGCAGCGCCTCACCAAGCTTTCATCCGCGGGGCTGGTGTACATGCATTTTGGCCGAGCCATTATCGCCCAGCACATGTCGTTGCCGGAGGACCATGCCGACGTCAACCTGCTGTACGAGAAGCTCTACACCGATTTTATTGAGGCCATTGATGCCAATGACAACGGCATTTCTGCCTATGACCCCGCGGCGGTGGCCGCCGCCAACCTGGAGAAGCGGTTCAAGGACGGGGGCATCACCCTCGCCTCCTTGGTGGGAGACATGAACAACCCAGACCCGACGAGCCCGCCGGGCGAGCCACAAGACGAGGATAGTCTGTTTGGCCGGGCAAGCACACTCATCGGCAATGCATTCACTCGGAAGATGCATCATGCCAGCACCTCATGGCTGCCGGCCCGCACCACTGTCGGCTCCGCGTACCGCACGCGCACCGAGGTTCACCCGTCGGGCCGCATCATTGTGCTGCCGCAGGGTGGTGTTCCCTGGAAGGAACATCTGTACAACTTTGAGGCGGAGGCATCGGGCGACAAGGGGACCGACCCGGCGGCACAGGTATTCTACGTGCTTTACCCCGAGAATGCGATGGAGGGTGCCAAGTGGCGCGTACAATGTGTCTCGGTGGCCGAGAGCAGCTTTGAATCTCGAAAGCCCCTCCCGGAGGCCTGGCGCGGTGTCCGTGATGAGGATCTGGACGGGGTCATGGCCGCTGAGGCTGAAAAATCCGGACAGCCCAAGACCCCCGAAGGCGCGGTCTTTGTCCACGCTAGCGGATTCATCGGTGGTCACAAGACAAGGGAGGGCGCGATGGCTATGGCTGTGCGAAGCCTCGAACAGTAATGCGTAGGCGCTCGGATATGACACGAAAAATATTTTACTGAATCAAAACCAAAAGCTCTGGCTAATTTAACGTGGCAATGCAATCATTTCACTTCAATTATCCCTCTTGTTTTGTGCTTTAAAGGCGTCCAACTGTGATCGCACATCTGTGAAAAGATCTCGAGTTCTAGGCGATCTTTGGTTGCAAGTATGATACTTGTCTCCTCTTGCAGAGAAACTTCCGGGGGTTGTTTGTACTTGGGCCAAAGAGCACCTGGCGCACAATGTCTTGGAAATACCTGAGTCGGCCAACAGGGGAGGCCCAGCCGTCCAGACTCGTTCTAAGTCGGTGTAAAACCAAGCGCGTCAAGTCCGCTGGAGAATGATCGTCGAGTGATTGACCAGGAGACTCTGGAAGCCTTTTGCATGGTCCATTTTCAGGACCAAAGGCGAGAGCGTAAGGATCGAGGGGGGCTTTCAAGTAGTAATGCACCAAGCACGAGACTTCCATCGAGGTATGCATAGAAGCTTCGGTAAGGCATTGGCGTATGTCGACAGGAAGATATATCATGCAAATCAGACACGTCAATGGCGGACTTTGAGTGAGCTGATATCTTCAATACTGCCAGTTCCATCACCCAATACTGGTGTTTCCCTAGTGTCCATTTCCTCGCGTTCGCCCATCGCTCGTTGAATGAGCTTCGCCTTGACGACAGCACCTTTGAGGCGCTCGTCCGCATCATTGACAGCTTCTTCGGTGTTGGACATGTCTAGGGAGGCCGGGTCAACCAGCTCCAGCAGCGTGTGGAGGTTCCTGGTCAACCGGGTGCTGTGCGGAGGCAGGCTTGCCATGTCTTTGCAGATCGATGGATCGAGGGGAAGGGCATCGCTGGGTTCTGCAGGCTCTGGTGGCTCTGAGTCGGCGAGTCGTTGCGCCCAAACCAGGGCTTTGCCATACAAGCGGCCCATCTCAACGAATTTCTCGAAACCTTTCTCCACGGCGAAGACGCTGCCCTCGGTGTAACCGGCTTCGGCGCCATCCGCCGCCCCGAGACCATAGCCCTCATTATAGAACTGCTCCTCCAAGCCAAGGAGGCTGTCCAGGAGATTAGACTCCATGACTCGAATGCAAGGTGCAAGGGGGGAGAAAGGCCAAGAACAGAAAACGCGAAAGGCGCGGGAGTCCGAGTAAAAAAAGAGTGAGTATGCGGGGCGAATGTCACGAGATGCCCGCTTAATTGATTTTCGCTGCCCCTCCACCACTTCTTCCTCTTCACCTCCAACAATGGCTTCACATCCCATCCTGCCCAAAAAGGGCGAGCGCAATATTTTGATCACCAGCGCCTTGCCCTACGTGAACAATGTACCTCACTTGGGCAATGTCGTCGGCTCTGTGTTGAGTGCCGATGTCTTTGCGAGGTATGACTCAATCCCCCACCTGTGTGGCACTGCGCCTCGAAGCTTACATTTTCCTGCGTTAAAGATACCACAAAGCATGTGGTCGCCAGACGCTGTACATCTGTGGAACCGACGAGTACGGAACAGCAACCGAGACTAAGGCGTTGGAGGAGAAGGTGACGCCGCAGGAGCTTTGCGCCAAGTACAACAAGATCCATCAGGAAGTGTACGAGTGGTTCGAGATCGGCTTTGACCATTTCGGTCGCACGCCGACCCCACAACACACGGAAATTTCGCAAGCGATCTTCAAGCGACTGTACGACAACGGTTTTCTCGGTGAGAGGACGGCCGAGCAGCCGTTCTGTGAGCAGCACGGCTCCTTCTTGGCGGACCGTTACGTGGAGGGTGAATGCCCACGATGCCATTACGATGATGCACGAGGCGATCAATGCGATAAGTGCGGCCATCTCTTAGATCCCTTTGATCTTATCAAACCGCGCTGCAAGCTCGATGGTGCGACCCCGGTCCGCCGCCCGACAAAACATGTCCACCTCCTCCTTGACAAGCTGCAGCCTGAGATTGAGAAGTGGGTGCACCCGACTATCGAGGAGGGTGACTGGCCGAAGAACTCGCGCGTTATCACGGAGTCTTGGTTGAAGGAAGGCTTGAAGGACCGTGGTATTACGCGAGACCTTAAGTGGGGTGTGCCTGTACCGCTAGAGGGCTACGACGATAAGGTGCTTTATGTCTGGTTTGAGGCCTGTATCGGCTATCCGTCTATCACGGCCAACTATACGCCGGATTGGGAGCTCTGGTGGCGCAACCCGGAGGAAGTGCAGCTGTACCAGTTCCTGGGTAAGGACAACGTGCCGTTCCATAGCGTCATCTTCCCAGGCACTCAGATCGGAACCAGAGACAAGTGGACTATGCTCCACCACCTGAGCACAACCGAGTATCTGAACTACGAGGGAGGCAAGTTTAGCAAGTCCCGCGGAGTGGGTGTCTTCGGTACCAATGCCAAGGAGACTGGGGTACCGCCGGACGTGTGGCGCTACTTCCTGCTGAAGAACCGACCCGAGACCGGCGACACGCAGTTCGAGTGGCGGCCGTTTGTGGAGAGCAACAACAGCGAGCTGCTGGCGAAGCTGGGTAACCTCGTCAACCGAGTGATCAAGCTCGTTGCCGCCTCCTACGGCTCGGTTATTCCCGAGTTTACGGTGCCGGAGAGTTTCAACCCCTTCTTGGAGGAAGTGAGTGGCCTGCTGCAGCAGTACATTCAAGAGATGGAGAGCTCTCATCTGCGTGCCGGTGTCCAGACCGCGATGCGGATCGCCGAGGCCGGCAACGGACTGATCCAGGCCAACCGACTGGACAACACGCTGATCGCCAACGAGCCCGAGCGCGCCGCTGCCGTCGTCGGATCCGTTTTGAACCTAATTTACCTGCTGTCCAGCGTGTTCGCGCCATACATGCCAGCCACCTCAAAGTCGATTCTGGAGCAGCTGGAAGCGCCGTTCCTGCTGATACCGTCTCTGGAGGAGGCCAAGCAAGGCTGGAAGCCTACGGCTCTCAAGCCGGGACACAAGCTCGGCAAGGCCAAGTACCTGTTCTCCCGCATCGACCCCAAGAAGGCCGACGAGTGGCGTGACATGTTCGGCGGCTCGCAGGCCGATCGTCAGAAGAAGGAGGAGGAAGCTGCCAAAATCGCGGCTAAGAAAGCCGCCAACAAAGCCAAGAAGAAGGAAAAGAAGGACAAGGGCAAGCCCGCCGGTGGCGTTGAGGCCTCGGCTAAGGGCGGTGCCGAGAAGCCGTCTGTTACGACGGAGGGCCGCAATGACGAGTCGGTCGAGAAGATCGCCGACGGTGTTTCTCAGGTTACCCTTCCGACTTCGTAGAAAGCCGGACGAGCTAGGGGGTGAGGCGTGTGGGTTTTCATGGCTGGGGGCGTATGGAAAGACGTGGATTTCGGGTCCTGGTCATGATCGGATTTCGAAATGACGGTTGTTCTCTTTTGATCTACTGTTGGGCATTTTTATACGGTAGTTGCATGGTCCATACACATGAATCTACGTTTTTTTTTCCCCTTGGAGCTAGATATATCCATTTTTGATCTGGTACTATATTTTCTGCGTACAAAACAGAAGATGGGATGGATTCATGGATATCGCAAAAGAGACTAGTAGGTAGGCTCGAGGAATCACATTGCACTCTCTTTAATCAATACACGCCGATATGATAGGAATTTCATTACATGCTCATGGCGCCGCTCCATGAAAATCTCGACGGACACGATCTATTCATCGCTTCCACAACCTGTATTCCCCAATCACCGCTTCCTGGGGCCGGGTCTCGGCTTGGTTTCTTCAGGCCCGACCGGATGCAGCATGACCTTGTTGGGCATCTGCTGATTATTGGCGGAGTAACCCTTGCTCCAGTCGTAGCAGACGGAGTAGGCAAAGATGTTTCCGTTGCGGCTGAAGGCGGTGCTGGTGATGGGACCACCGACGGCTGGGTAGCCCTTGAGGCGGTGCTTGGCGTCCTTGTCCCAGAAGTGGAAAGTCCCGTCACTACCGGAGGTACTGAAGGTGCCGTGGATAGGGTGGAAACTGATGGCGTTGACGGAGTAGATGTTGCAAAGTTCGCGGTTATTGGGCGGATTCTCGCGGTGGCACTTGAATGAGAAATTCGAGGGAGAGTCTCGCTCTTCGACGTACTGGATAGCGCAACGGCCCTCGATACTGCCAACAGCGAAGCCCGAGGCGTCGGCAAAGCAGCTGACGACCCGTGTTTGCCACTTGAGCGGAGATTGCATAGTCTTGTAGAATTTGGTCGGGTTGTCAAGGTTGACGATGTTAATGTACCGGTCCGCCGTCCCGATGACCAGCAGCTTGTCCTTGACGTCCATTGTGTACACGCGCTCCTGGCACTCAATCTGCGCGATCGGGTTCGATTGTCGCAGATCCCAGTATTTGACTGTCTTGTCCCACGAGCCCGTCACCAGCAACGGGGACCCGCCTGCCGACGGGTTAGGGATCATGTGGCAGCTCCGAATCGGAGCATCGTGGGCAGCGACTTGCACGGCGGTTGTCGAGTTCGATCCGAGGTCCAACATACGTGCCGCTTTGTCGGCACCCGCTCCAACTACTTTGGTTCCATCCTAGAAAAAATAAATAAGTTTATGACACAAGGGAATACAAATGTGCAATCACACAAAAACACCAAGGGAAGCTTACCGGAGACCAACAACAGTTCAAGACTGGTGCTTCATGTTCAAAGATTGCCTTTCCTTCACTTTGCCCCTGGTCGTTGATTTCGTAGATGCGGACCTTTTTATCCCACGAGGCCACAGCCAAATGTTCGCTTGCGGGCGAAAACCGAAGATCCGAGATACTATCCTCCGGCGGCTGGTTGAGCGCGACGTCCTTGGAGATGTCACCGGTGGTGTTGGTTTGACCCGCCGTCGTCGACGCGCCGACGGAGCCGAAGAGGGACATCTGAAAGGGTCGCGAGAGAGCTGTTTCGATGCAGGTGCGGAAAGGGTTAAAAAAGACTCAAGTGAGACAAGGATGGCCGAAGCGAGAATGAACAGTCCTGGGCCAATAATCAGATAGGACAGGCCAAAAAACAAGAGGTATGAGGATTGGTAATGGAAGAAGCAGAGTTTCCAACAGAGGGCGATGCGCTTCCAGAAAGAGTCGATGCGCGCTTTCCTCGGCCTCAGGCAAACACAACCCTCACCGCCTTCCTCGACCCAATGCTTTCCTATTTGGGTCATCAGCTATACCTCGGGGATTTATGTACTTTGCTTGGAATTTGACTTATTTTTAACCATCGCTGTAGGGATGTATGCAATAAAACAACAATTTTATTTAGACCTATCTACCTTGTCTTTTTTCTTATTGGCTCTGGCTTATTCAACAAGATTATTTGGTCAGTAACATATATCAGAAACATAATCAAGAGAGATAGTTTGAAAGGACCTTTATGATAGCCACATCCTACATTACTTACAAGTATATATAACAATTCGCTTAGCTTGCTGCCCGTGTATTCCGTAAGAAAATCGCTGTCAGACCCTACCTAGGTAGGCGGGAATGGCATGATTATGACATCAGACCAATGCACTCGAAGTGTCCCAAGAAACAACCATAATCTCACGGAGGTATAGACTTTCTTAAATACCTTAAAATATAATCACAACAATCACCACCTACTCCCATTAATTAGTTCGAGGAACTACATCAACGGAATTATCTGTCGATCCCCAAATAAAGCCAAGTGGAGCCGAATGCGGGGTGCAGCCCCCAGATTGGCCCAAACATCGCACCCTTGTGTGGTCCGGGGACACCGGGATATCGTCGGTGGTCGTCATCGTATGTTTTAGTGGCAGAGAGAAGAACAACGAGAGTCAGAATAGTCTTGGATGGAAGCTATCTATAGTCAGCCAGAACGACTGTTCTCATTGAACATAGGCATTGTCTATAGTTCCATCCCAACAACAGAGGTACCTGCCGGTCCATAGTACAGTTTACGGCCCGGCAAGTACCAGATGACATCCATGACTCTCCACCCCCGCCTCAGGTCACCTGCCTCTCTGTCTCTCCCCCTCTTCCTTCCCTTTCGTCCTCTTCATCTTCTTCATCTCCATCTGAGGTACCCAACCTTGCTATCTGGTCCGTCCATCCTCCTTCCATCCTCCTTCCATCCTCCTTCCATCCTCTTTTCATCTCTCTGCTCTCTAACCATTGGTCCAGAATTATCTTCATCTACTGTTCATCATGACTGCTCCTCTGACCAAGGTCGACTCGGCCATCGCAGGTCTGTCCATATCGGACGAGAAACCCCCAGCCTCCACCGAGAAGGAAGTCAAGAGGACGCACAAGCGTACCTCGTCTAAGAGTGAAGAAGTCTGGAACATCAAGGACCTTGGTGAGTCATCCTTTTGATCTCTTTCGTGTCACCATTCTCATCTCCCGGCTCCAGAGGAACAAAAGATCGAGCTGGTGCTGCCCATCGAAACGCAGAAAACCGGATGGTACGTTTATTTCAGAAAGCTCAGGGCAAGTATCATCGTTCCTGACACCTCGACAGGAAACTCAACACCTCCCCATCCACGATTGAGGACAGGGACATTCTCAAGCTTCATCTCATCAAGCCTCCGGTCAAGAAGATTGACCTGCACTTCCCCCTTGGGCCTGGAGGTCACTGCACGGAATATGAAGGGCGTCACAATCAAGGACGCACTAGATGCCATCTACAAGCAGTTCAAGAAGAAGGTAAGAATCCTTTTCTCGGAAAGACAAAACAACATGTTGACATGATGGCAGGCGGACGATGAGCTGGACAAGCCCTACCTCGCTGGTTTCGAGTGGGACAAGGAAGAGTGCTGGACGCGCTTGATCGTGCACCAGAAAAAAAAAAACACGGCCCAACAGCCCAGCAAGAAGTCCAAAAAGAAGAACAAGGAAGAGGCTTAAGTCGGGGCCGTCCTCGCGCCGAGTGCGGTGCTACCGCACCGCCCCCTATCCTGTTCTCTCATGTGCTTGCAACGATTATTATGGCCGTTCCGACCGGGGATTGACTCCTCCTCTGTAATGTTCTCTTCTCTTCTCTTTCCATCCCACAGGGAATCCCGTTCGGCTGCTCTGCATTCATTGCGTCTCTCCTCTGAATTTCGGGATGTAGAAACAAGAATTAAGAGGGCGCGGGTGATTTCGTCATGTATTTTGTTTTTTTCTTCTCTCCTATCTTCTCTCTTATCTTATTTTCTTTTTCTCTTTTCGGTCTTCCATCGTTTCAGTACCTCTCCCACCATGGGGCGTTGAGAATGTATGTATCGGGCCCCGAGCTGGATCTGCGCAGCTGTTCACTCCTTTGCCACTTGAGGACCCGATCAATCTAAATCCACTAATTTCCGCAGGGAATCTGGACTCAGAGCATGTAGGTCTCGGTTTTGTAGATGGGGGAGACAGTGGAGACGTTGAAATGGGATGTACGCGCCAAGCACTGTGCCGTATCCACCAGGCCCACTACCCGCCATTTAGCCTGCAACCCATCGCGCGAACTCCACGAGGCCCAAACTCATAAACCTCGAAAACCAGAATCTGGGAAATACCATGTTCGAATAGGAAATATGTATATCGCGCATATCCATACCATTAAAAGTCCCAGAAACCCCCTGATGCAGGACAAACCGAAAACGGGAGGATATAATTTGGTGGAAGCCAAAATTTACATGAGCGCCCAGCATACCTTTACTATATTAACGATCAAGGACGAACGGCGATGGAAGACAACGCTCAAATAACGAGACGGGAAAACAAGAGGGGAAAAAAGATTCAGTGCAAGCGGCTGGGGTCCCGACCGCCGAAGAGAACCAGGAAGATCTCATCGAGGACGGTAAACACAAGATGCGTGTTGAGGGGTTGGTTATTCAGTGTGGCAAAAATACGCCGCGCCGCCGCTTGGGCATTGGCGCGGCCGACGACGTTGCCGGCTAAATCTGGGATGAGAGTCGCCAGGACGACGGTGGCCTCAGCGCGGCTCTTGAGACGGTCGGCGCTGGAGCGAGGGGGCACTTTGCGCATGACGCCTCCGGGCCACAGCGTATCGCGGGCGAGAGTGACGTAGCGCAAGAGCGAGTCGTCTTGGATGAGGGAGCGGGCGCCGTCGCGGACCTTGCGCTCAATGGTACCGCCCAAGAGCTGATGCAGGACGACGACGACGGCACGGCCGCGCAGCCAGTTGTTGCCGCGATTCAGCTCAAAGGTTTCAAGGAACAGGTCGCAGATGGGTTTGATAAAGGGCTCAAGTTCCCGATCTTCGAAGGCGCTGAGTTCAGCCTCGGCCTCAGCAGTTGTGACAGCGTCCTCGGTAGCGAGCACAGGATCCGAGGCCGTGCTGCCGGTGGTTTGGTGCGTGGCAGCTGAAATCAAGTTTTGGCCTGCGGTGGACAGCTGGTCCAGAACACCGAAGTTGCCTAGAAAATCGTCCATGCCGTCTGCAACCGAGTTGTAGATCCGCGTCACAAGATCCTTGGTCTCGCCCTCGCTGTCCCGGGCAGCAGCTTCGTCGCGGGGCAGAATGGCGCTTTGAGATAGGAACGCACGTAAGTCACGGCTGCGGCAGACCTCGGGCAATAGCAAGAGATTCTGCAAGTACGCTTCAAGGGCTAGGCGACGCTTTTGGAGAAACTCCCTCTGCAATTTCATGACAACCCGCCGTCGAGGGAATTCCAGGTGTCGGACAGAAGGGTACCCCAGGCGCAGCTTCTGATGAAGCTCATGAAATTCACTATATCGGCGTGCCACGGCCCATGATGCGGTGGGCATTTGCTCACCGGCATTGCGCTGGACTTCGACAACATCTGGACATCATGTTAGTCAACAAAAAAGAACGACAATAGGGAAGCGAGGCATCTAACACGTTGCAAACTCATGGCCATCTTCTTCCTTGCCAACCACGATGGACTTGATCCGGACAGTTGACCGGCCATACAGACTATTATCACTTTCTTGAATGATGTACTGCTGTCGCTGCATCTCCTTACGGTGAATTTCACGTTGGATGCTGGCCTTGGACTTTTGCAAGATTCTCAATTCGGCTATGTTGTTCGTCAGCTCGGCCTTGCGTGTCAGGGCTTCAACCACGGAATCCTGCGCGGCGAGCTTGTCGATATCAGCCGTGAGCACTCCGATGGCTTCCGTAAGGCCAAGATCCCCGGGTGCAGCTTCGTGGACTTCATCTGCCGGGTCCTTGTCTTCTGTGCCTACTGGCTCCTCGTATTCATCCTCGATGAACTTCTGTTGGTCCGGGAACAGGTCGTCGTCAAATACTCCAAGCCGCGACGAGTGGTCAACTAGACCGAGAGATGCAATGCTTTTTTTGGCCTTCTCATTCAACCGACTATCGACCTGTGGAATCTCGGATGAGTTTTGGGGCGAGATCTTAGGGCGGTCTGGACCAAACAATCCAGACGAAGCGGCATTGCCACCTTTCGAGTCTTCAGCTTTGCCATTTTTCGGCTCATTCGTGATGATATCGTTAAGCGCCGCTTCCATTGTCTCCAGGACCTGGCTCTGCGTTGCATCGTTGTCACCATTTTGAGATCCCTTGCCTAAACTGTGCGTAGATAAGGCAAGATGGTCTGTATCGTAGTCATCGTCAAACAGAGGCGCCGATCGTTCGGAGTCAATGGATCGTCGTGGAGAATCATCATCGTCAAATAATTTACCCATAGCTCGCACGTCACTCGACGAAACAGCGGCTCTTCGGAGATCTTTCTTTGGCTTGCTTCCTGGCTGGGAACTTGTCCGCACTAGAAGAGGAGGCAGAGGTCGCCGCTCAGGCGCCTCGAAAGCGACTGATTGTGAAACCGTTTGTTCAGCCGGTGCAGAGCCAGCCACGGAGGCTTCATCCGAGGCGAGATATTTCCAGTACAAATCAGAATCCTTGAACTTAGGATAGTAGGTACTCTCCAACTCTTCTAGGACTGCTGACTGCGTGGTCAACACCACTGTCCGCGCTTTGCGGTACTGTTCTAAAGTCGCACGCTTCCCGGCGTTCAAGAACGTTTTGACCGCTTGGCGAGATTCTTCAGGGACCTTGAATTCTCGCTTTGACAGATATGTTTCACTGATGAGCGCCAGATCATTCCTGTCCGTGGTATTCCACGCCAGAGAGGTAGAAGTCCCCTCCCCGAAGTCGTCTTCTAGAGGGTTTCGGATCCCGTCGACCACAACCCAGAACTGGACAAGGGACATGAGACGCTGACGGTCCATAAACTCCATGAAATATGATAGGCCAGACGCGTTATGCATCACATCGACCAGGGATGACTCGTGCGCGGTGGGGGAATTATCTTGACGAACATCCGCGGTGGCAGGAGGCAAACGAGAGGTCTCACTAGGCATAGAAAGCTTGGCAACTTTTTGATCCAAGACCCTTTTGCCGGTTTCTAGGCGTCTCAGGTAAACCTGATCCTGGTCCTCGACGATGCTCTCCCGTTTTAGTTGACTAGTAACGAGAGCGCGAAATCGACGCGCATCAGACAAATTGTTGCAGTGTCTGATAGCTCGAACAAAGCGTTCAAAAACCCGCTCTGAATCATTTGCTGCAAGTCGTGGGAAAGGCTGCCCCCGTTTTGACTTGGGGGCAGGAGAAGCATGCTCGTCTAAGGCGGCCCGCAGCTTTCGTACAGTCTTCCGATCCTGCAGCGCCGTACGCCCATATGCCTCCATCAATTGGTTCCATGTATCTGGATCTGACAAGACTGTCACAATCGGGAGAAGCACTGCGCATGAAATGATTTCGCGAATCAATACCGACACAATCCGGCTATTGAGCACACTCTCCGGGAACAGCTGAGGCAGGAGCGCAACGGCCATTTTTCGGAGATATTCCTGTTGGACCAACTTCTGGTCGGACAGAGAGAGCGCCACTGCGGGATGCAAGCGACCTTCACGGTACTTGTTGGCGATGGCCAGATCCAGCTCCTCGGATTCAGTCACATTTCGGTTCAAATTTCGACCCCGAACCGAACGTTCAGCGACATCAAACTCTTTGAGATGGGAAGTCAGAATTGGAAAAATACGCGAGACAACCAACGAGACCAAATCCTCTGCGACCAACCGGTCCCGAAGATTCTCGAGCGCAATGCGGATCACCCGATCAATCTCATTGATGAACGTCGGGTTTGGGCTGATGTTGCGGTACCATGAATATACGAAGTCCCGAGTGATAAAGGATAACAGTTCATCGATCCCCTCCGACACGACGAAAGACTGTGGGTAGAGGGGCTTGGGCCGATACCGAGCGGTCCTGCGGACGTTGAGCACTTCTTTCCGCCAGTGATTAGATGTGATAAACGCCACTGAAACGTCTTTGGGGTTGTTGCCATTTTGTTTTCGGGCCGTAAAGATAACCAAACCGAAGATCGAGGTGGACAGCACGGCGCCCAGCGTCAGGGCATATCCAAGGTATCGTAAGACTGGCAACCAGCGTACCACAAGACCCCATGCAATAAACCCAGCGACGCCGGCTAGAGCAATATCGCGACGATGAAGGGCCATTCTCCGCGAACACGGATGAAAGCTCCGCGACTCATGATCCGCCGAGAGCTCAAGAGTGGAGAGCTCGATATCGCATCGCGATCAATAACACATGGCGGTGAGGAACAGCGGTTGCTCCGAGCACCGAAAGCATTCAAGGACGATTATTGCCTGACTGTCGTCTCCAGAGCTCAAACAGATCATCCCGTGACCTGCGCGGAGAAACGTCATTTTTGTTTACTTAAGCGGGTTTCTCCCCTCTTCTGCACTCTTTGCTTTTCTCCTTCTCTTTTCCTGCCTGATCCTCTCTCTCTCTCTCTCTCTCAACCGAGTGTCCCTACAACCCCGAAACCATGGCCAGTCTTACGGATTTTGTTGATTTGTCCTCGCAGTCTCTGCTTTGTAGGTCGACTCTCTCCCCGCATAGGATTCTCCAATTAACATGTGATTGACTCCAGGGTCCGCGGCGAGTATTACTTTCAACCCCATTTTCTGGAAGTACGTGTTGACTTTTTCCTTGAGCCGTGTGGATATGACATTTGATTCTTGAGAGAAGCTGAGCTAACCACCCATCCATTTTAGCATTGTCGCCCGTACAGGTTGGTCGACTCCACCCCATGACAGCATCGCTGTTGGGATCTCCACTAACCATTTGCCTACTCCTCCACAGAGTACCGCAACCACTTCCTGACGCGCATTTTCGGAGGCGCCTACAATGGATGCTACTTTCTTGCCTTCGCGATTTTCTCCCTTGGGATTCTGCGAGACCATTTGTACCAAGTCGCCTTAGATGAGCAACCCTTCTATGCTCCCGTTCATCAGCCAATCCTTGGTGGAGCTTTGTTCGCCATTGGCTCCGTTTTGGTTCTTTCCAGCATGTGGGCTCTTGGAGTGACGGGGACCTACCTGGGTGACTACTTTGGGATCCTTATGGATGCTCCGGTCACCGGCTTCCCCTTCAATGTGACCGGCTCGCCGATGTACTGGGGAAGCACGCTGAACTTCCTGGGTGTTGCCTTGTACAAGGGCAAGGTCGCCGGTCTTCTCTTGACTGCCCAGGTCTTCGTCCTGTATTGGTTCGCTCTCAAGTGGGAAGAGTGAGTTTCTTTTCTTGGGGACTTTCCGTTCTGCATAAAGATGACACCAGCTGACCATACACCTTCAGCCCATTCACTTCCGAGATCTACGCCAAGCGCGAGCGTGAGCGTTCTAAGAAGCAGGGCAGCAAGAAGCAGTAAATGACATGCGCATATCGCAGGGTTGACTGGGACTTTCAACATCCCACAATCCGTGCATGACGATCTCACGAGAGCCCGACATATTCGAGAGCAACTAGCGAGACCAGGGAATCTGGAACTCCGATGCTCTCGGGCCGGCCATGACAAATTTTCCAGCACAAGGACGCATCCGATTCCTCAACGATGCTGGGACTGTAGACGATAGACATTGCTTTTCCCGGGTTCCACGATTTTGCTCCAGGAGCCGAGTAAGGATGCAGGGCGCGCAGGCCCATATGTTATTTCCCGTACGCGACTATAAAAAGGATTATCTTTTTATCCCAATCAACCCATAGCGACATGGTCGGTGAATCCTGTGTGTAGGAAGTGGTATAAACTGAGTACTAGAAGTATACCACGTATGTATGTTGTCGTGTTGTCGGCATTCATGACAGTCATTCAAAAATCACCTTGAGTGTTGCCCTGGTTCATGATATAAGGATATATGACTGCGGCGAAACAATTCCCTAAATGGAGTTGTTAGCGCTGACCTTGGTCCTGCCAATCAGGATAGTAAAAGATACTAGTTAAAAGGTAATAATAAATAATAGTAAAATTAAAGAAGAGTAAAGGGTATAGGATTGAAGTATCAAGGCCATTTGAAAGGCTATGCATCAAGATAGTTTTATATAATTTAACCCATCTCTATTCCTCGAAAAAAAGGGTATATGGACGCCATAATCGATCAACATGTCAACCAGGTCACAGTAGACAAAGCACAGGATGGAGATAAACTCCCCCTTTTTTTCCGTCTTTCCGGACCAAACACCACCAACACCACGCTAGGATGCACCAAAAGAGGGGCATAAGAAGCAGACGCCAAAGAGGGGGGGGGGAGAAGAAAAGAGAACAAGAGAAAAAGTAGAGACACGCATTCAGCGTCGGGCACGACCCCTCTTCGCCGTGGTGCGGCTGTCATCAACTGTCTCGACTTCATCTTCGTCGGTGCCCTTCTTCAGATCCTCGCCCTCGGCGAGCCCCCATTTCTCGCGGTCGTACCAATCCTCGCCGTCGCTCATTTCACCAACGTGGCCCTCGGCTTTGCACCATTCCAGTACGTCCGATTTCATGTGGCACGCTCGGAGCAGCGTATCGAGCATGTGTTCAAAGCCCCGTACTGTCTCCTCTTGTTTCTGGATGTAAGACCAGAGAAGTCGCCGAGTTTCCTCGGCCTCGGGGGCGGGGAGGCCGAAGTTAGCGTCGGGCCGGACGTGGTCTGGGATGAGGAAGAGCGGGTGCGGGGGAGGAAGAGAGCTCGCGGTGTCGGCAGAAGAGGTGGGAGACTGGTTGCCCGCGTTGGCTTGGGCACGGGTAGTCATGCGACGTGGGGGCTCGGGCGAAGACCCGTCGTGCATCTCGGCGTCTTCTTCATTTTCGTCCTCGTGCGCCTCATTCGGCTCGGTGTGCGTGGTCTCGGTGCCTGCGTTGTCCCCGTCTTTGATGGTATCCATTCCCTCTTGTCGTTCACCGGAGCCCGCAATCGTGTGATGACCAAATTGGTACCCATGGTCTTTCTCATTGATCTCGTAGGTAGAGCCGTCTGTAGTCTTAGGGTGTGGCGGAAGATCTTTGACCATGGCATCGGACTCCTCTGATTTGGGCTCTTTGATCTGTTCCTGACGATCATCCTTCAAATTTTCTCCCTCTGAAGGTGCCGGAGGCTCTGCCATATCCACATCGTTTTCAGTGGACTGGGGCGTGGGTTCAACCCCATTCTGTGTTTGCTGTGCCTCCCTGACAGATGCCGCAGTTGACGGTACGTCTTGTGGCACACTCAAGTTCCCGGTCACCGATAGGGCCTCGACTCCACCCGATTCTTGTTGGCTAATGGTCGCGCTTTGTGTATCGTCGACAATCCTAGGCTCAAAAATCCAGCGGTCTTCGGGGGTTTCCACCGCGCCGCATGGCATCCAGCCGCTGTCGCCCAGGAATTGCCGATGAAGATTCCGAGCACGCCAGAGCAAAGCCCGCTCTTGACGAAGCTTGGTTTCGACCGCTTTTGTCATGTGCTCCAGGGCCTGTGAAGTGTAGGGTTGGGACATCGAAGGATGAGACGGGAGCTCCGAAGGGTGCTTCAAGGGACATAATAGCGCTGAAAGAAAAGAAAAGCCAAGATTTTAGTACAAGAAACAACTACATGGCCTTGATGAAATGCAAAACAACCCACTTTCGAGCGCGATTCCCGAGAACGGGTTTTCTTCTGCAGCCGCGGCATCGGCCTCGGAATCTTCATCGTCCTCGTCAAGTTCATCGCCTTCTGAATCGTACCGGACTGGGTTCGGCCGGAGAATATGACGGGTATAGCCAGCATGGTCGACCTTCTATTCGCACACAAAGAACACCGCATTAGTTTCATCACCCTCAACCAGACCACGATGAAAGTCCCCCCGCAGCTCCAATACAAGACCACGCACCTGTCGGTAAAAATCTTCGGAATTGATATACCCCATAGCCCCCTCGCGAACATATTCCGCGTTGGCTTTCATTTTGTTTCCTCGGTTCGTCGGCTGGGCGATGGGATCATCGGGGCCAGAGTCTAGCAGAGAAGGACATCAGGCGAAGAGCAATACAGCAACCCATATGGATAGATTCCACTTACCATCACGTTCTCTGCGCATGGCCCGCTTCATGCCGACAATTGTGTCGGCAATCAACGCCGCTTGGGCCGCCATGGCTACGGGTCGGCGGTTCAGACACGTAGGTGAGCGCGTGGAAGAAGGACTCTCGAAGGAATTTGCAAGGCCGTGAAGATGGATTCGAAAAGGTGAAAAGAAGACGACGCGGCGGGATTCGAGTCGCAAATTCCCCGAGGGCGTGTCGAATGCAAAGACAACAGGAGTCGTCGGTGACGAAGCTCTCAAGCTGCGGGCGGATCGCCGCTTGGGGTGATAAGGACTGAACACGTGACAAACCCTCTAAATGTCTACTACGAAGATTCTCTACTGCGACATCACGCCCATGCATCTTTGCAATATGTCTACATATTCAAGCCTGGGACCAGTAACTGGCGACAATATACATTCCTAGTCATCTGCATCCACCCACACTAAAACACCTTTCTTATCCGACCGCATCTCCCCCGTGGGAAGCACCCGCAGAGTCTTGTTGAAGTAGGTATCGACGACCACGAGCTGCGGCTGGATCCACAAGCCTCGCTTAGCTGCCAGTAGATTGTACTGCACTGTGTGGCGGCTCAATGGCACCAGCTGAATGACAGTTGTCTTGGGTCCACTGAATGCAAAGTGTTCGCTCGCTTCCATCATCAAGTTGAAGGTGAGAAAGTGTGTGGATGGGTTTTCCAGAGTATATTCCAGATGAATCAGCCCTGACATGGCAGTGGAGGCAGACGCCGAAGCCAGCACCCGAGGTTCACCCATTGGCACAACAAACCGAGGGATCTCCAGAATGGACGTGGTGATGGCATTTTCAACATCAGAAGAGGGTAAAGTCGTTGATGCGCGCCGGCACCAATTGATTTCCAGTACAAGGTTAAGCGTGGAGGGTCGACGGTCTCCCAAGTTGGTCTTTTGGAGATCAAGGAAGAAATTGGATTCCCGCAGTTCTTCCGGCGTGATCTGTGACGTCTCAGGACTGACAGCCACTTCTGATTCGATGTTGCACACAGTACCGCCGTTCAATCCGACAAGAACCAAAGACATCTTTTCGATGACAAGAGGCTCCAAGGCAAAGGAAACCACCTTGGAATTGAGACACCACCTCTGCGATAAGCCTCCTGGGGTCGATGAAGCTTGGTCTCCAACCAAGTCGTCATTGACTGAGAAGAAATCCGGCCATGGCAGGGTGTGGATGTGAGGCAGAAATTCGTAGTTGGCTTCAAATGGCCGAACAAATGATACGTCAACTGTGATGGTCTTCATGATAGGCGTTTGAACATCCGACACGAGATGATAAACAGCTGAGATCTCCAATGTGTACTTGGCGGCATCCTGAGTGTCGGCCAGCATAATCATCAAATCTTTGTCTGAGGATCGATCCATGACTCCGACGGTCCGTTTGAGGAAATGCGACGGGCCCTCGGTTGGGGAGCTGTCTCCCGATCCCTGAGTCCCTGAATCTTTTGCATCGAACCACAAAAGTGCGGCCGTAGAGTCTGGGTTTCCAAAAAGTCGAATCTCCGCTGATACATCGGCAGCCTCTTCTTCCTCGTTGTGGACGCCAATCCGCAAGACCACTCGCTCATTGGTGTAATACGACTCTCTGAGATTGGGAGTTGTGATGCGAATTTTGGGAGGCTTGGGCATGACCTTGCACTTGCCCGTATCCCGGTCCTTACCCACTCTTCTGCGAGTCACGCCCTTTTTGGTTTCTTGCCACCAGAAGCCATCGTGGTCGTCTTGGTTGGTGATTGCATAGGCAAGGTCAAAATTTTCTTCCTCAACCAGCAAGGTTATTGACGCGACCCTAGCTTCCCCTGCTTCACGGGGAATACAAGTGAGGTTGAAGATTTTCGTCTGAGAAGGCCCGATTGTCAAGTCTGCTATGCCAGTCAAAGTAGCTAAGCCGCTGGTTGGAGATTGTATCGTTGAATCCGCTGGATTACTCGGCTCGCGCAGCGGTACAGATGCGATGCAGCTCGAAGTCGTAGTGTCGGCATTTTGATCCTGATTAGATTGGATCCTCACTGACCGGAGGCAGCCCTCGAAAACAACCTTCACTTCTGAAAGCCTGATGGGGCCCGAGCCTGGTTGGGCGCAGGATGTGATCATCAGCTGAGTCTGTAGAGGCTCGCCCACATTGCCTTCGGATTTCTCAAGGACCAATGACGCGGTCACTAGAACGCAAGGAGTATTAGCAATATGAATGGTCATTCCACGCACGCTAACTTACAGCTAGTCATGACATCCTCTGCTCGAAGGACTACAGAGGGCTTGGGCTTTTCTGAAGGAAGCCCCTCAAGACTCCTGTGAATGTCGTAATTCCATGTAGACTTTGGTTGAAATACTATTAAGTGAAACCAATCAGTACCCAACAATACTCACAAGACGAAGAAAACTATCTACGGGAGCACAGGAGTAACAACTGACCTTTATTGAGAAGCTCCCAGTCCACTCGCAAAACCGTCTCGCTGTCTTGCACTCTGAAAGCACATTCCCGCAAAGCCCATCCAAACTTTTCCATCAGCGGCCACCAGCCGGAGCGGCGCCAGCTGAGCGTTGACCACAGCGGCTGAAGAACGCTCCATGCTTCAGACCATGAGCTAATTCTCATATACTCCTCTGCGATCTCAAGGCTGAGGCTCTCGACTTTCCGTGTCTGATGACGCTTTGAGAATTTCTCAAGTGCCGCTTTCAACGTGCTCAAAATCAGGTGTGAGTGGTCGAAGCCGGTTCGTCCTGGCTGCGGAGCTTCGATGTGAGTTTCTGGGACAAGATAGGTATCATAGAGATAGGCTTTGTTGGCCATCTGTGAAGCAGGCGACTGTCCAGGGGGATCCGATCCTCGTCAGGAATCTGTTGGGCCAGCGTTCGTCGAATAATCGAGTGCTTTGCAGATCGGGATAGCCAATATCCTTCATGATGCATCTGCTCCCAGGGATTGACTCGCTCCCCCGTGGGGATTGATTTCTCGGAAGCAACGTATAGCGAAGGGAAATTCCCAGGTTGGTCAACAGTAGCCGTAGGTGAGACGAAAGAAATTTCCGCTCGACGAATGAGTTGGGCCATCACCATCGACCATCGCGCCTCCCAAGCCTGCCATCCATAATTCTTGCTGCCTTTCCCTCTTCGGTCGATAATATCCTTTGTGCGAATTCGGTGATCAACCCAGAACCGCGTCGCAGATGTTGTTTGGCTCGTCCAGAGGAGACAGCGGATGATCCGAATTGCAAGAGCATCAGCCAAGAGACGCGCGTCACTAAAACGAAGATTCCAGCCGGCAATGTTCTCAAAAACCTCCTGTCCAAACAAAGTGTCGTATGCGCTTTCGTAGTTCCGACAAGCTGCATCCATTTCCTGGCGAAACTCGGCAAAGATTCCAAGTTTAAACTCATAACGCACATTCCAACCTTGAAAAGACAGCGTTTGGGAGGTGCCGCTCGTCGGCGGTGCAGTCGGAGGAGGGATGCTACTCCTGTTCCGCTTGCGCCTGGCATGCTTGGATAGATCTCGATAATATTCAACGACCGATGGCTGTAAAAGAGAAAACAACGAGTCCACAAATTCCTTCAGATCCGGTGTCGTCGCGTCCGATGTTATCACGAATAGGGACTTGGGGTCGAGGTTGGTTGCTCGCCGAATGCCCGCAACACGATCATCAACTTCGCCAACGTATCCGCTATTACCCTCTTCTGCTATCAAGACCACGAGAAATCGCGTCTTGAACCCAGATGATGCCCACTCCCTTTTCAACCCATTGATCTCAATTTTTAGCTGATTGTCCCGCAGCGAGTCCATGTTTGGGTCCTGGGAAAGTGGGAAGAAGTTGATCACCGTGGCGGGAACTAGGTCTTGGTGCTTGGTTACCCACAGTGGAGTGAGCAGGCCATCTGGAAAGGTTGGGGAGTTTGGTGACAGGGGAGAGATCGGGGAGTGCAAGGCAAAGGACGTGCTGGATTCCGAGTCATCTTGGTTCGGGTTTGTAGTAGGACTTGTAGGAGGCGAGCGAAGTGGAGGATTGGATTTTCTAGGAGGGAGCCTATAGGACTAAATTGCAATCAGCATGAGGTTTTTGAGCTAGATGTCCTGGTCCTGGCAAGATTAAAGGAGAGGAAAAGCGATCGGGCGACGACAGATGTGGGCTTACCCGACCAATGCTTTTGATCTTGAACCTTATATTCGAGGCAGATGGATTTCCGTTTATATTCACGCGAGACTTCCATGGCATCTGTGAACCATCTTGCTCCAGGAGCGCTCTCCGCAAGTCCTCCGCAACAGCCCCGCCTAGAGGGGGGAAATCCGAGAAGATCTTAGGCCCCTTCTCTTGAATCAGGGGGTAGTTAATAGAAACCTCAGGGTTGCCTTCATCTTCAGCCTCCAGTCCTGAAAGGAGGACAAGAGGGAGGTTGTGGTTGACGTAGTCTTCGGGGTAGGCGTCCATTGCGGACAATGGCTGTTTCACAGCTTGGTCATTGCATGTCTAGTCGAAATGGTCAGGTCCCCACCAGGGACAATCAATCATAGCAGACCAGGTCAAATGCCTCAGCCAGTCTCAGGGAATCAATCGAGGATGTCGAGATGATAAAGTCACTGCGGATGCGAATAGGACCAGGTAGCTCCGGGCGAGCGCGGTGTGAGATACTGCCGCGGGCGGTCAGCCGTGTATACTTCCAGGTTGGGGTGTTTACGTGCGAGTTTGGCCCGACCAATTCGAGCTTGTTAAATGATCATTAAATACAATCAAATCTTCCAATTCTTTTAAACCCCCTTAGGGGAGTTTATCACTCGTTGAAATGCAGAGGAATTATGTTTAGGCTGGTAATCAACAACGGACTCACTCTATTCATGGATACCGACTGGTCAATCTACGGTCGCCTGCATATATAGTGCCGACCATACAAAATCAGAGCCTCGGTCCATATATCAAATTGAACCAACACTTCCCTTGCGCCATAAGTCATAGTCCATGCTGCCCTAGATAGCTCGAATCTTCCGGTATACCGAAGTATACTATCTATACTATCTAGGTAGATAGGTAGATAGGTAGATGGTATACTTCGGATATAGTTTACTTTAATGCCCTATGGATATACTCGAAAATCCCTCGGAATAGACCGAGTCGGATGTTTCATTCCACGTGGATTCTCCTCGAAGAATCCAAGTGGAGCCGTGCAACTGGCGAGAGTAAAGAGGACCCATGGATCGCGGTACAAACCACCGGGAAATTAGGTGGAGCTGAAGCGCAAACGCTAAGCATCCCCCCATCTCCAACGAACGAGAGAATCGCAGTTTTTTTTCTTCTTCTCCTTGATCCGGGATCATCGTGCCTCTCCAATCACTTCATCACTTCACTCCTTTTTTTTTCATTCGTTTAAGTGGAAGTCCCTGATCTTGGGGCTCATTTCTTCTTTCTTAATTCCCTCCTTTCTTTTTCCTTTCTTCTTTCAATCCCCCTTGAACCTCTTATCTACTCAGACGTCAATCCTGTAAGGGGGGTCTTTTCAAGGACTGGGGACTCCATCCACCATTGCAGTGCCCTGCGCCTGCTGCGGATCATGCGTGCTTCGATCACTCCACCCTGCATATCTCGATCCTTTCCTTGTGGATTCTGACTCGACGTTACATTGAACCATCTGCAAACTATCGAACGCCATGCATCTCAACGAGGTTGCTCCGGCGCCCGTGCAAGCAGAGTCGGCCCTGTTGACCCGCAGGCGTCGACGCAAATCACTGCCTCTGCGCGGTCATGGTGCAAACTCAACTGATCCAACGTCGCCGGAGGTGATCTCATCCCTCATCTCGTCCCTGTCGACCATCTCAGTGCCCCTGAACTCACACTTTGACAACGTACCGCGAATCGACTCCGATTCTGATCCGGGCTTACCGGAAGTCCCGCACACTGCGCCCGTGTACTCCAGTCCCCCTTCGGAGCAGCATGGCTTTGGCATGAGCTACGGTGCCTACAAGACGGCTGAGGAGCCCCCAAACAGCCCCTTCTTACATCCTGATGATGCTGCCCTGTCGCCCGTCATTCGCATGGCCAGGGCGCCTCCTTCCCCCAAGTCACCTAAATCCCCTCGATCACCCCGGTCTCCGAAATTCAAACCCTTCAAAACTGCCGATTCCTCCCAAGCTCGCCCGGTATCGAGGGAATCTCATACGTCCCTCAAGGCAGCAGAGGATTCGGTGTTTGGGACCATCAGTACGGAACCTGGTCCGCGAGTCTCTACAGCTGTCAGCATTGCTTCCAACAGCTCTGCTGGGCGGAAGAGTCTCAAGGGCCAGTTTGGCCTTTTGAAGAAACCTTCGCGGGAGTTTATTGGGGACAAGGAATCGCACGCGGACCGGCTGCGCAAGACGAGCAGCCACAACGACAGTTTGCGACACAACCCTCCACGTAGCCGGGCGAGCCTGCGTTCGATGCATTCCATGGCAGATGTGGCCGAGGAGGGTCGTCCGAATGGTGTCATGGAAAAGACGCAGGAAAAGATGGTCGCCAGTACACCTCCACCCCCGGAGCGCCAATCCGTCCAAAGCACCCCGGATACCAGCCATAACCCGGGAGGGATTGGGAGCGGCAGGATTATCCCGACGCGCGACTCGTCCATGCGGAATCAGCATAGCCAGTCCCCCGGCTCTAAAAACCGGAAATCCGCTCGCCACAGTCGATATTCGTCCACCGCCAGCAAGGAGACCGGCACGGAAAATGGTTTGCCTGGTTCGGGGAATGACGCGGAGCAGGTGACACGGAGAATCCAGGAATTGAAGGATCAACAACAGAAGATCAAAACCGAGCTGGAGGCAGACAACAGTCCTGGGAAGTCCGCCAAAGCGACACCCGCGAAACAGGCGAAATCCTCCCGCCGTCCTAGTCAGCTCGATTACGGCCGTGCAACCCAAAATGGGTCCAAGGAAGAGAAGTCGGGTCTTAATGACAGTGCTCCGTCGCCCTCGGTCATGACGGGGAAGAGCCGATCCGGGAGTCGGCCCGGGGCCCCTCTGGCATCCAAGCCGACCAATTTCCCTCCTCAGGCGTCAAAAGCGTCACTCGAGAAACTCGAGCATAATAAACCTCGGTACCGGCGCTCATTGGAACCAGCAACACCCACCAAGCTTCATCGGCGTTCACCGTCCGGTACATTGTCGCTTGGCCGTCCCTCTTTGAGTAATGAACGACCCTCGAGTGCGGACTCTATTGATCTCGCCGTGGATGATTATATCTACTCCCCGAAACTGACCCAAAGGGTGGCTCATCCAACGACTGGCCGTACCATTGCATTTTCCGAAGTCGGAGACCCCAAGGGCCATGTCGTGTTGTGCTGTCTTGGCATGGGCCTCACCCGATACCTGATGGCGTTCTATGATGAGCTGGCCCGGACCCTTAATCTACGACTGGTGACTCTGGATCGTCCTGGTGTTGGCGAGAGTGGACCACATCAAGTGGACGAGCCGAGCACCCCTCTCAGCTGGCCAGGTAAGAGAATTGCCAACATCGCCCGAGATTCCTGCAGCTAACCGGTGCTAGATGACGTTGCAATTGTATGCAACTACCTCCGAGTGACCAAATTCTCGATCCTGGCCCACTCCGCGGGTGCAATCTACGCTCTTGCCACGGCTCTTCGGATCCCACAACACATCCGAGGCCGCATTCATCTCTTGGCTCCATGGATTCCTCCCTCTCAGCTCTCCAGTATTGGCTCGCAGAAAGATCCTGCGCCAAACAACGCAGTGCCATACTCGCAGAGGATTCTCCGTGCCCTTCCGACATCTATCCTCAAAGTCGCCAATTCCAGTTTTATGAGTGCCACCAGCGCGAGTCTTACCACCAGTCTCCCTAAATCCCCGCGACGAAGCAAGCGCAAGGCCGCTGCCAAGGAATCCCAGAATGCAGATGCCCGACTTGCCGCATCAGAAGAACCTCTGGATGATGACACTGCTTCGTTGCAGTCCAAGTCTGATTTCCCTGTATCCGGAACGAGCAAGTCATCTGTTGTCCCAAAAGCTTCATACAGGAGGAGTGACACAACCCTCGGATCTCGTGCCAAGTCCCCGGAGGACGAGCGCGAACGTCAGCGGGACTACGACACCCGCCTCACACACAAGATCTGGGAGCTGGCCACCGCGAACGCGAATCCAGCAGTGGATCTCTTGATCTGCCTGGAACGTCGCCAGACAATTGGCTTCCGCTACGTTGATATCACACGGTCTGTGGTGATTCACCATGGCAGCAAAGACACTCGCGTGCCAGTGGACAATGTCCAGTGGCTGGGGAAGACGATGCGGCGCTGCGAAGTACGGGTCCTCGAAGGAGAAGGCCACGGACTCATGGCATCTGCCGGAGTCATGGGCAGTGTCTTGACTGAGATTGCCAAGGAATGGGAAGACTGGACAATCATTGTCCAAGGCAAGCGCCGGGCGACTACCCACGCTACGCGACCCGGGCTTTCAGTCCACACTTGACCGGGTATCTACGCGACATGTTCTACGTCAAACTCGTTGAGCCCCGGTGGTTCAATCTTCCTCCCCTTCGTTTGGAGCATCGCAGCTGGCTCTGCGTGTTTGCTCTACTGATGTTCTCCCCTACTTGCTCTACCTACACTCTTCCCCCCCCCTACATAATAGACCTAATGGTGCGAGGCCGATGAATGTCCTGTCAATGGTGCCTCATCTGAACAAAAAAGACCACATATCCCCTGTGATTTAGCATAAATACCCCAGTCATGTCATAATCCATCAATTATTTCTGTGATAGATTGTATAAATAGTACCATTCTCCTTTCAAGTATGGCAATCCCCTCGTGGATGCCCCCTTGGAGAATTCCACATCTCCTGGGTTCTTTTTCTGAAACACGATTGTCAAATCACAGCACCCAGATCATGTCCACTCGGCCCTTCCTCCGCTGAAGCTAAAGACGGGCGGCCCCGAGGATTTCTTGGCATCGGGGCAACCACGTTGCTTTTCGAGACTTCAGACAGCCTCACTCGCCCACACTTTTTTTTCCAGCGCCACTTCCCCCCTGGCGAAGACAATTCAAGATGCTTTCGCAGCGGCGCATCAAGATCATTGTGATCGCGGTCATCGCGATGGTCTTCCTGACCTCGTACTACTCGGTATTGTTCTCTAGTTTTTATCGTGTTATCGGCGCACGTGTGCTAATTGTCTGTGAACGCGCGATCTCCAGAGCGAGTCTAGCAGTGTTCAAAACCAGAAATTTTACCGATCTACCACTGCTGCCATGGCTGCTAGGGATGATGCAAAGCACGCGAAGACGAGGGAAAAGATCCAAAATGCTATGCACGAGGCGGACCAGTACGTTGTCGGTGGTCGGGCCCGCGACCAGGTCGAAAGGCCCGCGGTGCCTAAGGCTCCTGTGAAAGAGGAAACGGAGGAGATTTCCATTGCTGGGAGGACGAAGATGACGGTGCCGAAGAGAAAGGATCAAGACACGCTTTCCAAGCCGGAGTCGCGGCGAAAGGATGAGGATGAGGATGAGGATGAGGATGAGGATGAGGATGAAGATGAAGAGGAGGAGGATGATGATGACAAGGTCGCAGAGAGAGATCGAAAGAGGAAGGGGTATTATGATGAGGATGAAGAGGACAACGACGACGAAGAGGAGGATGAGGATGAAGACGAGGATACAAAGAGATATCGAAAGAAGAAGGGGTCTTATGATGAGGAGGAGGACGATGACGACGACGCAGAGGAAGAAGAGGAAGAAGAGAGATATCGAAAGAAGAAGGGAAGTTATGATGAGGAGGAGGACGACGACGAGGAAGAGGAAGAAAAGACATATCGAAGAAATAGGGGACGTTATGATGATGAAGATGAGGACAAGGACAAGGACGAGGACGAGGACGAGGACGAGGACGAGCATGCAAAGACATATCGAAGAAAGAAGGGAGCCTATGAGGGTAAGGATGAGCTGGAACTGGAAGATGAAGACCAAGAAGAACTTGGAGAAGATGATGATTGGGGAGAAGAACGAAAGACCAAGCCGAGCAACCTCGAGGCCAAGCGCGAGCTCAATACGCTACTCAAGCGGTATCCAGGTATGTATATCAACGTGCTCTACGCCATGGCGATTCCGCATGCTGACCAGCCCCCAGTCGTTATCTTTTCCAAGTCTTACTGCCCCTACAGCAAGAAGGCCAAGTCAATCCTGCTCGACCAATACACCATTGTGCCGAAGCCGCATGTGGTCGAACTGGACCAAAACCCCATCGGGCCGGAGCTTCAGAATGTCTTGAAAGGAAGGACGGGCCGGCGCACTGTGCCCAACATACTGGTAAATGGGAAGAGCATTGGAGGTGGGGACGATATTTCTGAACTGGACGAGAACCGCGAGCTGGCCTCGACGCTGCGGCGATTGGGAGGGAAGCGGGTTGCGAAGGCCCGGCGTCAGTCTGGCTGAGTAGGCATGATGGAGCGTTCTTGTATATTATTCCAGCCTGCAAAGCAGGTTGAATTGAGTGCAAATATTAAAGATCATGATAGATCGAGTGGCTATCGACGTACATACAGGGTAGTAGACAGTTCTCTAGGGCTGTCTCAACTGTAGACCTCGATGGTATGCTATATTGATGCCTCAGGCCAAATAAACTACGTAAGCACAAAATTTATGCCTCAGGCCATAATTGATAAGAACCCTACGCTAAACCCAAACGGAGCCCTAAGCGACGCACAATCCCGTGATCAAATTCATTCGCTCCACCACGTCCAACCCGAATTTTGATCCTCACCATCGACAATTCACCCCCCTCGGCCAACTCCAACAGTCACGCAGTCAAGATGCGGTACATTCACTCCGAGGAACGGCTGCCCATCCCGGACAATGGTGAGCCTGCACCATTTTGATTTTTTTTTGTTGTTTCTGTGGGGGAATGGACAATCGCACTCAATGAAATGATTATTGTGTGGTGTTCCTCGACTGCGCCAGGGACTTTCGACACCACCGCGAAAGGGAATAGAGGGAGGAATTGTGTGGATTGGGCGGACAGAAGCAACAAGCGGGACAAAAAAAAAAAAAAAAAAAAAGGAGTCGTCGGCTGATTTGGTATTTTCTCTTTTTACAGTGAAGGTTCACATTCGTTCGCGGATCGTGACCGTCGAGGGCCCCCGCGGCAAGCTGGTCAAGGACCTCTCCCACATCGCCGTCACCTTCGGTCGCCCCGAGAAGAACGTCATCTCGATCGAGCTGCACCACGGTGCCCGTAAGGGTGTCGCTACCCTCCGCACCGTCCGCACCATCATCAACAACCTGGTCATCGGTGTCACCCGCGGCTTCAAGTACAAAATGCGCTACGTGTACGCTCACTTTCCCATCAACGTCAACATCGAGAAGAACGCCGAGACCGGCCAGGCCGAGCTTGAGATCCGTAACTTCCTGGGCGAGAAGTACGTGCGCCGCGTGACTGCCCAGCCCGGCGTCGAGGTCGTCCCCTCCCCCAACGTCAAGGACGAGCTCCAGCTCTCCGGTAACTCCCTGGAGGGTGTCTCCCAGAGCGCCGCCGACATCCAGCAAATCTGCCGTGTCCGGAACAAGGATATCCGTAAGGTGAGTGAAGTTGGTTCCTATATGGGTTCCGTTTGGCATCTATCGCAAGTCTCCGGAGAACCTATATCTAACTTTTGTTTCCTACTAGTTCCTTGACGGTCTGTACGTGTCGGAGCGGGGCAACATTATCGAAGAGTAAAGAGTGACGCTTGATGGGTCTTCGGGTGTCTGGGAGAGCTTCTTTTTTTTAATTTCGCCAACTTGCATATAGGGAAGCAAAAGCGAAATGTCCAAAAAATCAAACGACCTTGGAAATTCACGATACCCGAAAGTAGGGTGCATTCGTTGTAGATCACGTTCGAGGGACCGTAGGGTTGGAATGGGCAGTCATCTTCTCTTCAACTTCCCCCAACCGTTCTTCACATCTCCACATCTCCACGAATTCCTTTCAACGGTCGATATATTCCCATACATGAGAGACATTTCTGGCTGCCTTTCGAGTCGAGCTGTATTGAGTGTGACGCCATAGCATGTGAAAGCCCCCCGGCATGCTTCTTTCTCCACCAGCCTCAAGTCAGACCTGTCTCGACAGCAATGGAGTCCTGGTGGCTGGGGCCGTGGAATATCCTGGTCGCGGTGCTTGGGATGATCTGGGATGTCGCGCAGTTCTGGCAAGATGTAAGTTCCGCTGGAGAGCGCGTTCCGACGTGGGAGTGCCCGAGGATCTTTGCAGCGGCACCCGACAGGTCAGGTCGACATGAGCCCATTCTAACCTGCTCACGCACACATAGAAACTACGCTCCTGGTGGCGGTCCAAGTCTCCCCGGGATCGGCTCTTTCACACGCTCGAGACCGCACAGACCTACGTGGAGTGGGAGGAGGCCGCGTTCGAGCTCGACGAGCTCCTGAGTAAAGACTTATGGTAAGACACATCCTACAAAATTCGAGACGAGCTTATACATATCTCCTTTTATTTTCCAGGCGCCAAAACCCTGTCAGCCGACACTATGATTATCGGCTCATTCTCGGGCGGCTGGAGGCGCTGATGAGCGCGCGCGAACACGAGGACATTCTGACGCTTGTGAATCTGCTTCGCTCGGGACTCGTCCGTAACCTGGGCAACATTACCTCCACCAAACTCTTTACGCATGCCTATGCTGGGACGAAGCTTTTGATCGATGACTACATCACCCAGGTCGCGCTGTCTATCCAGCATGTGACTGCGCTGCAGCCGGATCCCGTGCACGCGAGCGGGTTCACGTCGCAGGCCAAACTTGAGCTACTACACGATACCCGCCAGGCCTTTGGGCGAACGACGCTGCTCTTGCAGGGCGGGTCGGCCTTTGGCTGGTGCCATTGGGGCGTCGTGAAAGCACTGCATCTCCAAGGGCTGCTCCCGCGTATTATCACGGGCACCGCGACCGGGGCTATGATTGCAGCGCTAGTGGGCATTCATCCAGAAGATGAGCTGCTGGTGTTACTCGATAGTGACGGCATTGACCTCTCCGCAATTGATCGTCGGCACAAAAGCCTTGCAGATGACGGCACAGAGAGCTGGATTCGGACGTTTTTCCAGCGTATGAAGCGGCTTTTCCAGAAGGGACATCTCTTCGACGTGGAAGTGCTGGAGGAGTGTGTGCGCGCCAATGTCGGCGACCTGACATTCGAAGAGGCGTATGCCCGGTCGAAACGTATCTTGAACATCACGGTTGCGACGACCGGGAGAAACGGCACCCCGAATCTTCTGAATTACCTGACTGCTCCGAACGTGGTATGTTTGACCTTGTCCATAGCTTCTTTGACTTGGACTGGAGTGCTAAAAACGAACCTAGTTGATCTGGTCCGCGGCCGTGGCCTCAAATGCCACATCTGCTGCCGTGTCTACCCCAGTGACGATCTACTGCAAAGACGAGACAGGATCAATTATCCCATGGCCGCACATGCAAGATGTCATCTTCCAACCGTGGCAGCAAGTCCGCTACATTGAAGGCGAATCACCACTAGCCCGAATCGCCGAGCTATTCAACGTCAACCACTTCATCGTATCTCAAGCACGGCCGTACCTAGTTCCCTTTCTACGATCCGAGCTCAATATGCTGGAACGCCGCCAGGCCGGATGTAACAACCTGTCGCGGCCTGCGATGCGACTGATCCTCGTCGAGCTACGGCACCGACTCCGTCAACTCGACTTCCTTGGCCTCCTCCCCGCACCTCTCAGCCGACTCCTGATCGACGAAACCATCCCCGGCCCAAACCTGACTCTCGTGCCGGACTTGTCGCTCCGCGATCTAGGAAGGCTCTTCCAGGTGCCGACGCGCGAGCGCGTGGCCGAGTGGACCCTGAAGGGCGAGCGCGGCGTCTGGCCAGCGATCAGCGCACTGAAAGTCCGCGAAGCTGTCGAGATCGAGCTGGATCGCGGATATCAACTTGTGCGTCGTCGTCGACCTAGCGATCCCGCGCCTGTGGTTCCGGCACGTCGCTCGCCGAACGAGGGCGTGGCGAGGCGACGTCGCGGGGGTACTGGGCACAGTGAGCATGATGAAGAATGACGGTGGTTGCTGCGATGGGGAGTTATACACGAGTGAGGCTTGCTATGGATACTCCAGGCATATGACTTATCGTCCTGGTAAATTATATCTGTTATTATTTATGGATGTGGTACTCTGTCAATGTATCAACACAATGGCCTATAGCTAGATCCATAGAGGTAAAATTGAACTCTTTGTAGTCAAATCGCCAACTGCGTCGTATAGATTGCTATATAGCATGGTTCTATTGGCGTAGCTACGGGGCCACTCAATGCAGCATTCAAGACGATTCAATGAATCAAATAGCTAGCACATTTGAATATAGAGAACAACAGAGAATTGAAGAATATATCTCAGACTCAATCTGCCACGCAGTTTAGTGCATCGGACTCGGGGGGGGCGGCTTGTATGTGCTGCAAGCAATTAGCGACATTCATCCAGATTTAGCATCAGTAAAGAAGAAGAAGAAACTCACACTTCCGCGTATTCACCAGATACCAGCCCTCCGAAATAGTCATGAAGCCCACAAAAACAACAGACGCATAATTCATCGAGACCCGCGTAACAGGTAGCGCAGTTGGCATACTAAACAAGACCAGCTCAAAGGCAATCCAAGCGAGAGCGATTCCATTAACCACAGGCCCATAATTTCAGGGCGCACGCGCGACCTCAGCTCGACAGTGCCAAAGACTCAGCGAGATGGGTATAGCGTAAGCAGCCGCCAGAGCAATCACCCCGACAGATACAAACGCCGTGAACGCGCTAGAGCTACCCAGGTTGATGAGGCCCAGCAGCATCTGGATGAGGGTGAGGAGGGCAAGCGACCAGACGGAGAGGCCGAGACGCAGGTGCACGCGGGTCCAGAAGCGGGCGAGCGGGAGGGCGCCGTCGCGGGCTACAGCCCAGGTCGAGCGCAATGCCGCGACTGTGATACTGATGGAGCAGAAGAGTGTGATCACTCGCACGAGGAACATCAGCCCCAGGCCGTCGCCTGCGCTGCCCATTACCCAGTGCAGGATGTAGGGGAGGGCTTGGCCGCTGGGTGCGTTGATGATGTCTGCTTGTGCTGGCAGAGTGACGCAGAGCGGGATGATGAAGAATAGGCCCGCTGTGCCGTTGACGGGCACACTCAGTGCAATGGCGCGCGGCACTTTGATGGCTGAGTGGGCGCATTCCTCGACCATGGACATGGCGATGGCTGAGAAGGTGTATGCGGCGGGGAGCAGGCCTATGAAAAAGCTGAAGGTGCCCCAGCCGGCGAAGCTCTTGTCGTAGTGTGCCAGCACGTAGCTGGCATCGTGTCGGCTGGCGGCGGCTTGGACTGAGACTGCGATTAGGATCACGACGATTATAACGGCGGTCCAGGTGGCGCAGGCAATATCGACCTGGGGCAGGTAGCGGTTGGCAAAGGTGCAGATGAGGAACGAGCCGAGGCAGGCTCCATAGAAGATCAGCAGGAGCTGCCAGCTGTTGGCGCTCCAGTTGGGATGGTAGATAGAAATCGTCGCCGAGACCATCGATGCGAACTCGAAGTTGACGAAGGGCGTGATGGTCCAGTTGCCGCAATGGCCAACGTCTGGAAAAGCAGCGTGATCACTGACCGGTTGCGTCGCAGTTCCTGCTTGTATCCCAAGCGGTCGAGCTCTTCTCGCTCATGAACACTGGCAATCTCGTCCACTTCCGGGTCCGAGCCGGGAACTGCACTCGATCGGCTGTAGATATTCTCCCCGGGTGTATAGAGTGCCATTTTGTTCGAGTGTCAGAAATTCAAACCAATTCACCTGGCAGGAAGCAATATAATAAGTAACGATCATCAGCCTGGTTAGCTAGAGGAGTGTGTCAAATGCGATCCCAAGTAGACCTGCAGGGGTCCTTCCAAGGCTGTGGCCGCGATGTCCTGCTGGTTATATCAACCCGAGACTCCTGCGGAGAAGGTCAAAACAAACTACTGGTCGCACAGGCGACGCCGCCAAGAGACCTACGGAGCATATCCGGACGAGGCGTGTTATCGCGACTATGCGATAGGCATGAGCTTAACAAGGGGTTCTCCCATGCCTCAGCGGGGAGGGACGGATCGGGTGACCTGGACGTGCCCTAATTTCCGAGTGCCTGTAGTTCTTATCAGCAAACGTCAGCTGGCAGTTTTCCCTACAGTAGGCAGCATGGAGCATGGTAAGAGCGCGACTATACTGCAACGAGTAATGAATTCCAGGTCTCCGCATCGGATCGGCGAGCTTGATTGCATTGGCTTGCGTATCTCACAGTTTTGGTCGCGATCTGGAATAAGAAAAACAAGAATCAAATGACGTTGATGAAGACAAGAAAAAAGAGGTATCAAAATATAGCCAAGTAGATCATCCACAAATTAAAAGAGTTATACAAGAATTAGATTAGTGCGCCGTGGACGGGCGGCCCTGGTGCGACTTGCGCGAGTGAAGACTCAGTCGAGAAGACAGCGGCGGTTCCGTGGCAATCAGGGGAGGAACTGTGCGGCGGGTCAGACAGATTTTATGAGGAATATCAAGGGTTTTCTTAATACTTACTGCTGAATCCATAGCCCTCGGTGGGGGCGCCTCGGTCCTGCGGATCGATCTCCACGCGAATAGCAACATCTAAGCCGCCGTGCATGCCACTCTCGCTGCTAATACCATCTGCTGCGCGATGCTGTGTGCCGGCTTCCACTTCGCCCTTGTGGAGTGGCGCATGGCCGTCCTTGGGCAGACGCTCGAGCTTGGCAGTCTCTGGGCCGGTGCCGTTCGTCGCCGGAGGAACCACCTCGGTCAAGCATGCGTAGTTGCGCGACGGCATAGTCACCTTGTTCCACCCGGCTCCCTTCTCAATGCCACCAGGCTGCTTGTCAAAGAATGGCATGAGCGTCTCGTCCGTGTTGCGGTCCAGGTGGTGAATCTTGTTTCGCCGCGCCAGCAGATTGGCAACGGCCTTGGGGGGCGGCTTGTTGGTGATGGCGCTGCTAACAACATTGACAATGAAGCGGTGGTCGTTCTCACCGGCCACTTTGAGCTTGGGGTTGGAGTAGAAGCGTCCCACCGCCGCAAGATGCACATCACCACCAAGGATGGTCACACGAACGGAATGGGCGCGACCCAGTTCCTGCAGGCGCTGGATGAGGATCTTGCGCTCGCGCTTGTGCTGGCGGGCGGTGTAGTGGTCATCCAAGTCATCCAACAGATCCACCTGGCCGTCAAACTCGTTGAACAGCCCACCGGCCACACCAAAGCGCTTGTTCAGAAGACGGATCGGGGCAATGACGGGAGAGGTAATAATGTTCTCCAGCCACGCCAGACGCGGGTAGGCGATCGGAACGCCTAGCAAAACCACCAAATGTTTGATGTCGCCATCGGCGGCGGTGATCTCGCTTTCCAGTCGAGAGAAAATAGCATCGTATGTGTCCGGATAGTTGACCTGGTGGCGGGTGCGCTCTGTGCGAGCATCCAAGCCCACAAAGGCAATCCGCTTACCAAAACGCATGTACAGACTTCGGCTGCGCTCCTCGACGTAGGGGCCAGGTCGCTTGCCCATAATCCAGCTGTCATCCTCCACCTGGTTGTCCAAAACGAAGGTGTTCTCCAACTGCCGAGAATCCTCGCCGGCGGTTCCATTGACCGCGTGCATAGTCTGCGGAGAATCGGTGGTAAAGGTCGACTTGGGCGGCGCAATATGGTGTTGGAACAGGCAGTAGTACTTGAACGCAACACCACCAATGCCGCGGAAGACAGCACACTTCATGAAATGATCGGTGTAGGAACCAAAGCCATCAATGATGTCGTGGTCATCCCAAATGTTGACCTGCGGAATGCGAGCATTGGAAGCCCGGAAGGGCTCCGTGTTATACCACCTCACATAATTGGCGTAGTAGTATTCATCGCATTCAGCGCGCATCTGGTTATTGAAGTCGTGGTTGCGTCGCTTATGCGGGTTCCCAATAGCCGTCCACGGCTTCAGTGGACCATCCACACGGATGCCGTCGTTGTAGATCTGGTCACCACCTCCGACCATCACATGGAAGGGCTTCTCGCCGTGGACGCGCAGCACGTCATTCCACAGGTTCGGTCCCACCCAGGCGTCCATATCAGTGCCCACGGAGAACCCATTGCATGAGTGAAACATGATGCGCATCGACTGGTCTTCCGCAGGGACCACAAAATCCCAGGGTGCCTTGACCCCTTGACCAGGCTCGTGCAGACCGGGGATGTCGTACTCCCAGCGAGCTTCGTAGGACTCCACAGGCACCGCCAGGGTAAATCGCCAGAACGCTTTCTCGAGATCTTCGTAGAGTTTGAGGCCTTCGACCGTCTGGCTGGCGAGAGTTGCGGTGCCGGAGCTCTGCGCCTCGGATGTGACGGGGCCCAGCTGGCGCAGCAGCAGCTGGGGCTGCTCCTGGGTTGGCTTCGTGACAATCAACACACTGCCGTGCCACACGGGGGAGGTTTCGAGGTGCATGTTCTTCAGGTTGATCAGAGGACCGGAGATGAGCTCGAAGCGGTCATTGGCGCCGCGCGCAATCTGGGCGCCGGCATCGCCATTGGGAACGGCCCCTGTCCATGAAATATAAAGTCAGTATGCGCGTCAAAGAAAAGAGCTGCAATGCGTGACGCACCATTGACTTGAGGCTGAGCAGCAGTTTCGGCCATGGTATTGGCACAATTTCACAGGAGACGCCGAGGAAATTTGTGAAGACAACGAGAGTCCGTGGACAGGAGTCGCACGGCGGGATAAATAAACAACAATCAAGTTGGGGAAGGCCAACAGAAGAGAGAAGTCCAGCGATTAGGCAGAACCGAATTGCCCGAAGAAAAGAAAGAAAACGACAACGGTAGGGCTGCAGGGCTGAAAAGACCAAGCGAAACGAGTGAGCAGATCAGATCCCGTACCCAGTACCTTGGCAAGCCCACTGCGAGGGCAGCCGAGGCGGGTACTCGCTACTTCGCCTGCAGTGATGACGCCGCCAAGACTCTCTGTGCAAGCTACGGGCCAATCAGCGGCGAGACCAATCATGCCAGCCACTTAGCGCCACACTAAGCCTCTTTGTGGCGCCGGTGATTGGGCCCGTGATGTGGCGGTGCAGATCTAAATCTGTCTCCGTCCACTCCCTGCCTCCTTGAGCTTCTCTCATCTGGCGTGTTCTCTCGTCATTGATCGAGTCCATTTTTGTTGGGGGAAAATCATACGCGAGAGCCACTATTTACACTCTGGATCGGCAGGCCCACTTTTGATACAGGCCTATCAGTCGGCGTGCATTTCTACATCGGGTCAAGAAAAAAGAAAAACAACAATCATGCACGGCTTGGCAGGCTTCAGATCATATTACGTATGTATTCCTTTTCTATTTCCAAAGTTACCACAGACCGCAATTCTACTCAAGGGGCCGTTGGCTGTACATCATCAACTGCCGGTAAAGCACAGAAAACAAACACAAAATAACCACCACGATGTAGAACTTGTGGAATCGAGCCCTCAGGATGGCCTTCAAGTGACGAGACGCAGGGCAGACAGGATGCTCGGATTTAGTGGGGAGCTGTGGGCAATCAATGGTGGGCACAGGCACAGGCTGCTGGTCATAAAGCAGACCCGACGAAACAAAATCATGCAGCTTTTGGCGGCGATACTGCTGCACGCTCAATCCCTTGCGGGACCCAAACCAGGCCTCGTAGGATGCCCGCTGGAGAAGGCGGCGGAGTTCCTCCTCGTGGTGTCGGTACTCGGTGCGGAATTCATCGCCGTCCTGCCACACCAGATCAGCGAAGTCGTCCAGAAACTGGATAAATTGGATGATGATGGTCATGTCCATGCCGGCCTGGAACTGGCGGCTCGTCTCACGGAAATACCGCAGAATCCCGATCTGGAGGATCTCAGGGCGTTCGAGCATGGTGTAAGCCAGAATCTCCAAGAATCGGCTGGTGGGCATGTCGATAATGAGCTGGCCGTCGTCCCATACATCCCAGAGGGCATCGTCGGTATCAGGAGCGGACTCGAACAGGAAGCCTAGGAGGTGAAATGTCTTGAAGTCGAACCCCAGCACAAGCTGTCGGTTGGAGAAGGTATGTGAGAAATTGGGGACAGGCAGACTGACAAAGATCACATGGGGCTCGGTGCCTGAGGGGGTTTGTTGTGAGGCGGCATCGCGCAGGTCATTGAAATTAACCCGACGGAGGTCATCCTCGATTATCCGGCATTCATTGATCCGTTTATCCAAGCCTCGACCCTTTTCCGCTGCAGCGAGATACAGATAGAAGTCAATAAAGCCCCATGGGTGGCGCACAAAGCGACTCAGATCTGCGGCATGGGTTTGATCCTTGGGATTCTGAGCTTGGGTCAGATGGCTAGCTGTAGTAGCAGGTGGATCGATTAAGCTGACCTCCTTCTCCCAGTTAATGGAAGGCTCATTGGGTTGGCTTGGGATCTGTGTGGTTTTAGTGTTAGCCCGTTCATGCTCTTGAAGATCAGAAGCTGCACTTGAAAAAGGACTTACAGTATCGACTTGTTTCTCCATGGCGACTGGTCTGTGGACTCAGAATCCGGTGATACTGTGTATCAGGCTCTGACAATGGGGCAGTAGATCCAACAATGAGATCTCACAAGGCAAAATTGTTGTGAAAAGCAAAAGCAACAAGAAAAGATGTGATGGTTGGTATCTTCGGGAACAGTTGAATCGAGCACACCGGAGAGAAGGAGATCGGACTGAGAGGGAAGAGCGAGGCTATTTAAGCCCTTGAGCAGAGTCGGCGGTGCAGATATTCATTGTCGGACAATGCCTTCAAAAAGCCGTTGAGAATCGAAGTCTGGCAGTCTTGGAGGAGAATGCCGTCAAAGATCAGTTTATACAATGTCTTTGACGTCGAGGTGCTGAAACGCGTCTATTTCCAGCCACTCAATGCGCGATGAAACTTCTTTAAGGAACACAAAGAAACTCGGCAGTCTCTGAATAGCTCGAAACGAGGACAATGGCCTTGATGGACCCGACCAGGGGATGCCTTGTCTCATGGACACAAAGAACAAAGAACCATTGTTTAGTTCAGAGGTTTTGCCTCGACAAACACTTCTGGCTGCTATACACATTCGCGTCTTCAAGTCCTACTGATTCGGGAAATTGACACCAACCGTAGAAACAAATGGTGAACTGCCTGAACACAAGCTGGATGCAACCTATCAACGCCCTATATAATACAGACTGGGAATCACAGGCTGGACTTGTTGAACCCCCCATGATGTTGTCACCGCACCAGATTATCTAACCAATTGGACTCCCGAGCTTTCCTCTCGCGCTCTCTGGCCTGCTTCTGCGTTAACAAGGCATACCCACATCCTGCACCGGTCAAGTATCCTCCCAGATGCGCGATATGATCCATCTTGCTGAGTCGGGACAAGGGCCAGAACCGTAGAAAACGAGCGGAGGCCAGCATGCCAAAGACCTCGGTGGTGATCAGGCACGCGAAGAAGATCCAGCCTTGGGTCCAGATGGTTTCGCGCAGTTCATGGGGAAGAATCCACATCGTGATTTTGTCACTTTGGGTCAGAGGGTCAGTCATGCTGTCTTGGTCGATGAACAAGTAGGGTAAATAGACGACATACTTGAAGTGATACATGCACCATGCAGCCACGATGCCACTGGTTGCGGCACTGGCTCCGCAAGAGGACATCCCGAGATAGCCCAAAACAACACTGCGGCTCAATGAAAACATAGAGCCAATGGCACCAGAAGCCAGATAGATGGCAAGGAAATTGCCACGGCCAATTTCATCATGAACTGTTGAAAAGGAGCAGATAACAGTTAGTGCCAGCCTCTTTGGGGTCATGTTGACCCGTCATCATCAGTTGCTTACCTCTAGTCCCCATCAGTGCTAAAACCATCATATTCGTACTCAGATGCCTCCATGTCTGGTGGCTAAAGACGCCCCCGAGTATACTAAGCGAGCTGGGGTAGAACGGAACAATCACGAAGAAGCGATTGAGCAATCTCCACGCGGGCGGGATGTACTTCCACATCAGAGTAACGGCCAAGTTAGCTCCCACGATGGCTCCAACTGTCGCCACAGCTGGAGGCACATCGGGCCATAGACGATCCTGTCTCGCAGGGGGGTCGTATTTTTGAGCGAAAGAGTAGCAGAGGCCGAGAGTAGCCAAAGTGAAGAGAAGAGGCGCGAGCAGGCGCTGAGACTGTCATCGTATAGTAAGATTAACAATCTGAGCCCTTCCGCAGATTCATGATATACATACAGTGGTAAGATGCACGGCATCAGGCTGGTTATGAGTACCGGCGAGGTGATGCTTCTGGTGCCAGGCAAGAACCGGCCGCTCGTTAGGATCCGCGCGAGGACGGGCTGCAGGGGTCAGTGATCATCACTGTCAAGAAACAAAATGGCACATACCCTCGGTAAGAGCTGCCTCTTCGTACTGCTGCAATTCCGTATTTCCTTGCACTTGGCGCAGCAGTCGTTCGCGCTCCACGTTTTCTCCATCCAGCCACAAGCGGCGCTTGCGTTCTTTTTCTTCCAGCAGCCGTTTTTCGTTTTGCAGCCGAGCCTCTTCAAGGACACTCTTCCCGTATACGGATTTGTTCTTGCCGAGCTCGGCCCCATAGGAACCGCTCTGGGGTTTGTATAAGCCCATCTTTTCGGCTTGCCGCGCGCGTTCCTCTTCTTCCTGCTCCTCTTTCTCGATCCGTGCGAGAATCGCTGCGTCCTCGTCTACCGGATGGTTTGCGCGAAGCCATTGCAGAGCCGCATCGAGCTGGGTCTGGGTGACGGTACGGGTGATGTCAACCGGAAGGTCCAGGTCGAGAGTACCGGCCAGACGACGGGCGTGCAGGATCGCTATGGTTCGATTCCCCAGATTTGTAGATATCCTTGCGCGACCGAATATGCCAGCTATCTCGCCATGGGAGAAGGGTTGTTCCTGGGGGAGGATCTCTGCCGAATTTGGGTCGCGCTTGCGAGAGGTTGCGGTCTTTTTACCTCGGCGGATAACAGCGGCCACGGAACATTTCTGGGAAATTGGAGGTACAGTTGGACGAGATTCTGTTCGAAATAGAGAGTTCAGTGACCCGAATGGAGGCTTGGATATGCTACCGGACAAGCACTGCGGAGGTATGCGGAGGTCACGGCACACAGGACGACATGTCGCGGGCAGCCCACTCGAGGCCCGGAGCCCCGTGCATGAGATTCGCCAGGCGGCCCCGATAACACTGCTCATCTCCAGAGACTGGAAGAGGTAAGCCTCAGAGCAAGCAGACAGCCGAAACGGGGAAAGGAAGAGAGTCTGGTCAAGTCATGGCCTGACGGAGCGGCCGCTGGGTTGTTCCGATGCCGCGGTTCAGGTTGAATGCGAAATCGGACATCCAGTTTCTTTTCCCAATTGCTGACTAGTAGATATTCGAGTTTATGAATAAAGACTGAAAAGGAATATTCAGTGCGCATCGATGGTATGAAAGAAATCCTAAAAGAAATCGAGGTTCATATCAGCCTGGCCGTTTATATATCGAGGTGGGATGAACTGGGAGAACATCAACAAATACACATCAATAGTTATTCAAGGCCTGGATAGTTTTCAATGTAATCCAAGACCATGATTTGATTGCCTATCTGAATAAATACAAGCACTTACGTCGAAATATTTGTCAAATGACATACTGTTTCCAGGAACTACAACCCACGTGACGATAGAATTATCCATCACAGACCAAAGCGAGCTCTTGCTCTTCGTCCACAGCCAAGATCATCAACCTCCAGGAATCATCAAAATGGCCACTGAAACCACCTCCATAAACGCCGCCGCCTTCGCCGAAGCTATCCAAGAGCTCCCCCTCTCTGCTGTCTACGGCAAAGTCACCGAGCTGCGCAACTCCATCGCACACCTGTACCGCTCTAATTCGGAGCTGCGCGTATTCCTGACTGAGTCCAGCGACCCAGAAGAAGAGAAGAAGGAACTGGAAAGCTATGTCACAGAGAACGAGGGCGTGATAGCCTCCATGAATGAGCGGATTAAGCTGCTGAGGACGGAGGTTGAAAATCGCGGGCAGCCATGGCTTGAAGTGGAGGACGAAAGGGAGGAGGAACGGCAGAAGCTTTCAAGTGATGCGGTGGCAACAAATGGGAATTCTTCTGCTCCGGAGGCGCAACAGGATTCGACTGCGCGGAATGAAGGGGAGGACGGGGTGCATCTTTGATGCTTGAGAGCTTGATGCGATGAATCACCTCGTTGATTCCACCTCTACAAAACTATAAATGGATAATGACTGAAGATATGCCCACTGATGATACCAAAACTGCCGGAACCATGGAGGCTCGACCATGGAGGCTCGCCGCGGCTGCCATCTACACTACACGTGGGACATCTCATGGTTAGTGGTATTCTACCAACCATGATTGCAATGTGCATGCCACCAACAGTCGATGTCATGGCTGAGCAACCATCAGAATTGAATGGAATTCCAGGTCCGAGAGTCCAAGCGCCATCCATGGATGTAGGCATCTACTCGACTAAGCCAAAAATGCAGCCCAAATAAATTGCATCTGGGGTAAGAGTTGAAGAGGGCAACATATGCAACCATAACCAGCTCAAGTTGAACCAGGGAGAAATATGCAATGCTCAAGATAGAATATTCACACCGCATGCTAAATGCTCAAAGCCCCGGATCTGGGTCATATCGGCAGATTCAGCCATTTTTTTCCCCAAAAGGCTGAAGAAAAAGCAGAAACAGAAACAAGAACATAAGACATTGCGGCCCAACGCCAGGTGAGAGAACATGTAGTCGTCAAGATAGGGAAAGAAGAAATTGCACTCCAGGCCGGCGGAGCTTTAAGTGGAAACCTGCTGAGACCAGTGGCCACCATTGAGGGCCTCAGGGGGAACCCGCTGCTGCTTAATGAACAGGTCAATCAGCGGCTGCATAGGCTCCATTTCCTTGTCAGAGACCAGCTGGTAGTATTTGGCAACAGTCACAAAGTGCACAAAGCACATGTTCAAGATGTCGTGCTTGTTGATGTGCCAGAAGGGATTCAACCAATGGGCATGATACAGGTGCGCGTAGCAACGGAACATCTGCTTCATAATACCCTGGCAGTCTTTGTAGAAAGTCTGGGGAAAGCCACTTGACTGGCCAATCCACTCATCCGAAGATGCAGGGCCATTTGTGCCAGCACTGGCATTGTCCGGGGTATTCGGGGCCGCCCCTCCACCTGTGGATTTGGCCTCCTTGATGGCAAAGGTCTCGGGGGTGCCAGTCAATTTATCGGTGGGAAACATGACCGGATCATGGATCTTGCTGACAATCCATTTCTCCACCCGGTTGATGAACTTGGGAGCTGAGATTTTGGCAGCACGACCCTCAACAAGCCAGGTGTAGGTCAATCTACAGAATTCATTAGCTTGCTGCCCCAGTCTTGAAGATTACCCCGCCATGGTTCCACATACCGCCCAGCAGACATGGTCGGACAAGTGTTTTCATTACAGATGGGGAGACCAGTGACCGAGTTCACTTCCTGAATGACCTGGAGCATGCCATGGAGTAGACGGTATTGTTCAACAACTAAAAAGAAGTGTTATCAGCAACCCCGCACTGCTGAAGTGCCGCACCGACTTCCACTTACTCTGGTGAGCCAGCCACTCGCCCAGCTCCACATTCTTCGGACAGGCACACAGAGTCAAGAAATTGCCTCTCACATTCAGTGGGGCATACTTCTCCTGGAAGAAGTACTTGGGTCCATCCGGGTCATTGGCGGCAAGGTTGTCAAGGGTCAGGCTGTTGGACAGCGAGGGAGAGTTAGACATGGCGCCACCCTGGTGAGCGTGAGGAGCAGGGGAATGCACAGGGCTTTTCGGGGGGTTGTTCTTATTGTTGCCTCCCCTGCCAAAGCCTTGGCGACTGTAGTTTAGATAATGGAGTTAGCAACAGCTGCAAGAGACAGTGGAAAGCAGGTGACAGAGATAGTGGGATTCAGGAGAAGAGGAAGGGTGAAGAAGGTCTGAAAGGGGAAGAAACGAGACTCCTCGAGGGTGGAATGCTGGCGTTTGCGCCGAGTGTTCTGCTTCGACGCAGTATGAGGTGGGGGGTAGAAGGCAAAAGGGTATTCCAGATGAGACAGCAAACAGTGTGCTAGTCTGCAGTCAAGCACCACTTACACACTCTGGAAAAAGGTCGCCATATTGAAGCTGATGTGAAATCCAATTCCAACAAACGAAGACGAGGAGACGGTGAGAGACGTTTGGATCCCCTTTTGGTCTGGCCCATCGACGCGCTAAACTGCTTTCATTCGGCTCGGATTAACCTATTTCACCGAGGTTGATTGCAGCTCAATCATTGCATGGTCCACAGGGCCTCGGAGTCGCCTTTTCTTCTATTCCTTTAATTCATAATTCCACTCTATCAATTGCCCCACCTTTCACCCATATCCACAATGTCCTCCGACGAGGAAGCAGTTCGACCCTCCGGTCGCAATGACAGACAGAGTCCCGCTCTCAGTGACACAGGCAATGGTTCAGGCGCCGAGAACAACTTTGGTGACCGAATGGATGAGGACGATGATGCCGATCTTTTTGGCTCAGAGGGATCTGAGGGTGGACTGGATAACATTGAGTATGTCGCCCCCCAGTCACAGAGGATGCAAAGTACTGATCATCTCGCCAGCCGAGCCCACCGCAACTTAGACGATGAGCAACTTGACTCGGGCGATGATGAGGGCCGCTATGATCGACGTGAAGACCGGATGGATGACGCGGTGGATGAGGAGGGTTACGGCGAGACCGTCAACATCATGGACGTGGGCCTTGCGCGAGCGCCGGTACCAGCGACCAACGACGGAGAGGTACGAAAAACGTCGGCCGTGGAGATTTTCTTGTTCTGATCGCAGTCTTTTTTTTTGCTAGGTTTACACGATGCGCGTGCCGGATTTCCTCTCAGTCGAAGCCGAAGAATTCAACCCGGAAACCTATGTTGCGCCGCCTTATTCTACTGCCGCCACCTCCCTGTGCTGGCGCAAAGACCCCGAAGATGAGTCTCTCTTGGAGTCAAATGCGCGTATGATTAGATGGGAGGATGGTTCTTTGACGCTTCAGCTCGCATCCGCCCCTCTGGAGCAATACCGCATCTCATCTAAATCCCTTGCACCTCTCACCAAGTCCGGCGAATACGATACAAAGCTGGATTCCCATGTCTATCTCGGCGCCGCGGTGGAAACGGCATCGGTTTTCCGATTGACATCGCACGTCACACATGGTCTTACGGTCCTCCCCACTACCTTAGAGACGGACGATGCCGTTCAGCGACTACAAGAATCACTGGCCGCAGCGGCTCGCGGCAGCAAACAGACGGCAGACGGCACAGCACCGGTCATCGATGTGAAGGAGGATCCTGAACTGGCCCAGCGCAGAGCCGAGGTGATGGAGAAGGATGCCCTGAAGGCTGAACGCCGCCGGCAGCAGCTCGCAGATCGTGAAGCAGACCGGGGTCGCCGTACTAACGCTCCACGCACCCTCACGACGGGTCTCAGCGTTGGCGGCTTGGAGGATGATGGCTTGCGAACAACTCGCCCTCGCGCCAAGCCTCGCCGCACCAACCGCCGGGGCGAGATCAACACCGACGATGAGGAAGACTTCAGCCGTGGCCGCACCCGAGAAGACGAATACGACGAAGACGATGGATTCTTGGTTGGCAGCGACGAGGATATCGAGGAAGAAGCCGATGGGGACGAAGATGAATTGGAGGACGAGGACATGGATGCGGAGGGTGAAGCAGACGAGGAGATCGAAGTACCTTCTAAGGCTGTCCGAAGCAAACCCAGTGCTAAAGAGTCGGATGATGAACCTGCCAGAGCGGGCACGCCTCCTACCCGGAAGAAGCATCGTTATGTCGTGGATGACGATGATGACGAGTGATTTACTGAAAATGCTACTTTTTGTCAATATCCATGGACGGATCATGATGGGATTTCCTTTGATTTTATCTTTTACATGGTTTAGGCGTCACTATACATGGAATGGCATTTACTGGATGGCGTACTTCGTTTGCTCCAGCTGGGTGCTTGCGGATCGAAATGTGCGCCCCTCAACTTAATGACACGATCGATGATCTTGAGATATCCGGGATGTGTGTACATTAGAAATACTTGGGTCGATAGGTGCCTGAGTTTCAAAAAAACAGGCCTGTCACCAACTCTGAATCTATGAAAATTTATAGATATAGTAGAAATCATAGCTAATTATATGCTCAAAAGTTAATGCTATAAAACATGATGATTACTCTCTCCTGCGCCTCCTAACGCCACCTGAGCGAAGCGAGGGTCGCCGGCTTGATTATATATAGGATTGCATGCAGTTTGGAAACGCACCATGGGGATAGTCCTGGGGTTCAAAATCGAATTTCGCAATGATGTCCCTGGAGCTTCCCACGATACGGACACAGAGATGCTCCTTTTCATCGAGGGAGCCACGTTGTTCATGCGCACCAGCACTATTTGTTGTGCAGTTGTCCCCTTTGGTTGGCCAGAGTGGGTGCTGCCCGGGCTCGTGCCAGCGGCGTTGTCGGTTCTCGATTTCTGCAATGAGAGACAACAGGTCAGGTTGGTCGGAGCAGTGGCCCAGGGCAGCGCATTCCGCAGGACCACCAATGACGGCACGGCGCACAATCTGACGGAGCCAGTCCTCCCAGCCTTGCGTCGGGTCGGCACTTTGCATTACGCGCGTGACGTAGTCTGCCGGAGCGGTCTGTATACCTAGTTCGACGGCGTTGCTCTTGTATACGCGCAGCCAGGCGTCCGCAACGACAGTCAAGAGAGTCCCGGTAAACATGATATTTTGGACACCCGTGGCAAAGACCTTGGGGCATGATTGGCAGCGAATAACGTCCTGGATAGTTCGTGCGGCGATATAGAGGGAACAGACGGTGTGCGAGTCGACAGGAAAGGAGGCGAGAGATGAAATGTGACTGAGGCATAGATATAGATACGACAAGCATGTACACTTGGGGGTAGCGGGGTCTGAAGAAATGGGTTCTGGGGAGAGAGGTAAGGTGCCCATAGTGGGGAAGCTCGTCGGCATTGGGAGTGGTATGGCTGTCGCCTCGGACACAGTCGAGAAGTCGGGCCAAGGACTCGAAGATGGGAAGACAGGAAGGTTCATGTTCTTGAGACGATCCGGTCGCCAAGTGTGATTGTGATCATCTTCTCCAGCGAGCAAATCCGGCACGGGCTGCGACTGTGGCGAGCTGGATACCCTGCCCGGCTGCCAAAAAAACTGCGGGCAAAGATGATCGGCATCAGCTACGGTATTTTGATCGGGATGTATGGTCAAGGAATACGGCGATGTCTCGTCGGGACTGGGCCATGGCTCAGAGAGTGGCGCAGGGAATTTGGCTTCCTCATCATCTGTACGTGCCCTTTTCTTGGGGGGTCTGCCCATTTGCTTTTGTATAGAGTACTGGCAGATAATGGACTGCTTGATGCAGCGCGAGCAGCCTGTCGGTTCTCCCGAGCATTTGAGCTTCCGTTTCCCTGGGCAGAGGAAAGAGATCAGCCATAGTCGAGATCGTCGGAGCAATTGGCCACCTACTGCATTCGTCGCACGCTGCATGCCGTTTGGGTTCTGATCCCAGGGCTGATACATCGTAAGAAAGAGATATCCCTGTCTCCACGCGGGCCATGGCTGTCATCTCTCTACTGGCAAGAAATCATATAGAAATTCAGAGGCACAAAGCGATAGATACGCGATAAGAGGGGGGCGGTGGGTCATGTGGGCGGTGAGGGCGGAGAGGCAGAAGAAAAAAAAATCCCCATCAACACGGGCCGACTACGCAACAAGGACTCTTTCTCAGCACCATGGATAAGGCCTCGAAAAAGCGAAAGGCAGTTACCCGGGATGTGGAGGAAGAGGCGGGTGTTTTTTCAGGTGACGAGCTAGGCCAGGAAAACCTGGACGGAGCTCTGTCGGACAACGCCAACGAGCTGTCGGAGAGCGAGGACGATAACAGCGACTCGGAAGTCGAGCTGGTTGACGACTTCAGTGACGATGAGGAGGAAGATGAAGAGGAATTGAACAGCGACGAGATTTCATCTGACGGAGAGGACGACAAAAAGCCCGCTACGGCCAACGAGACTGACGAGTCCAACTATCGCATTGTGAAGGATGCCAATGGGAACGACCGCTATCTTTGGGATGAGATCAACCCGGACGATAATTCGGAGTACTCCGAGGCTGACGAGAATGCCAACACCATTGGCGATATTCCGCTGTCATTCTACGATCAATATCCCCACATTGGTTACAATATCAATGGCAAGAAAATCATGCGCCCTGCCAAGGGTGAGGCTTTGGATGCATTGCTGGACAGCATTGAAATCCCCAAGGGATGGACTGGTCTTACCGACCCCTCCACTGGCAAGCCGCTGGAGCTGAGCCAGGATGAATTGGAACTCCTTCGCAAGGTACAGATGAATGAAGTTCCCGGCGAGGGCTACGATCAATATGAGCCTACGGTGGAATGGTTCACTAGCCAGCAGGAGATCATGCCCCTTAGCGCAGCCCCGGAGCCGAAGCGTCGGTTCGTGCCGTCCAAGCATGAGGCCAAGCGGGTGATGAAGATCGCGAAGGCCATCCGCGACGGCCGCATTCTGCCCTACCAGCCGCCTGAGGAACAGGAACAGAAGGATGATGACCTCATCAACTACGACCTATGGGCTGACGAAGCCGAAAGACCCGATCACCCGATGCACGTTCCGGCTCCCAAATTGCCACCTCCTGGCTACGAGGAGAGCTATCATCCACCCCCCGAGTACTTGCCCAGTCAGAAGGAACGCAAGGAATGGGATCAAACCGACCCCGAGGACCGCGAGCAAGATTATTTGGCTAATGACTTTGGCTCACTCCGCAAAGTTCCTGGTTACGAGAACTTTGTCAAGGAAAAGTTCGAGCGTTGCCTGGATCTTTACCTTGCTCCCAGAGTTCGGCGGAGCAAGCTGAACATTGACCCCGAAAGTCTTCTTCCCAAGTTGCCCAGCCCTGATGAGCTGAAGCCATTCCCCACTGCCTGTGCAACGATATTCCGCGGTCACAAGGGTCGTGTGCGCTCTGTCGCTGTGGACCCGTCTGGTATTTGGCTGGCAACTGGTGGTGATGACGGAACGGTGCGTGTTTGGGAGCTTCTCACAGGTCGCCAGCTCTGGAGTGCGACGTTGAGCGAGGAAGATGCAGTTAATGTGGTTCGATGGCGACCGGGCAAGGATGCGGTCATTCTTGCCGCTGCCGCGGGTGATGAGATCTTCCTTTCAGTGCCCTCCATTGTCGAGCCGGACGTTGAGAAGACCAGTTTGGAGATCCTCGACGCCGGTTGGGGATATGCGGCATCTAATCCTGCCCCCAGCACGGCCGAGGCGAACAAGAAGAGCACACCCCCACAATGGATTCGGCCTTCGTCCGCTCTCGTGGACGCCGGTGTGTGCGCAGTCATTCCTCTTCGCTACGTGCCTAAGTCTATTTCGTGGCATCGCCGCGGTGACTACTTCGTCACCGTTTGTTCCGGGGCCTCAACGCCGGCATCCGTTGCCATTTCCATCCACACGCTCTCCAAACACCTGACGCAATTCCCCTTCCGTCGACGTCTTAAGGGTGGTGGCCCGCCGCAGACGGCGCACTTCCACCCCTCCAAGCCGATCCTCTTCGTCGCCAATCAGCGGTCCGTCCGCGCGTACGACCTGTCGCGCCAGCTGCTGGTCAAGATCCTGCAGCCCGGTGCGCGATGGATCTCCTCCTTCGACATCCACCCGACCTCGTCCAGTGCCTCGGGCGGCGACAACATCATTGTTGGCTCGTACGACCGCCGTCTGCTCTGGCACGATCTCGACCTCTCGCAGCGCCCCTACAAGACACTGCGCTACCATCGCAAGGCTATCCGCGCTGTCAAGTTCCACCCCGGTGGCCGCTACCCGCTCTTCGCCGATGCCAGTGACGATGGCTCGCTGCAGATCTTCCATGGCAGTGTCACAGGCGACATGCTCAGCAACGCCAGCATTGTCCCGCTCAAGGTCCTCAAGGGCCACAAGATCACCGGCGAGCTCGGTGTCTTGGATGTCGACTGGCACCCACGCGAGGCCTGGTGTGTTAGTGCCGGTGCCGATGGTACGTGTCGGTTGTGGATGTGATGTAATCCTGGTCTTTTGGCTGCATGATATACTTTGCCTGGGCGTTTTCCTTATGTGCATAAGTTCCTTTGTATAGTGATACTACAAAAGTTGTTTTGAAAAAGAAAGAGAGAGAGAGAGAGAGAGAGAGATAAGAAGAAGAAGAATAGCGTTAATTATTCCGTGACACCAGATTATCCCAGATGCTGTGCAGAGACGCCAAGGTATCATCTATGTCCAGTAGAAACAAGAAAGAAATCTCAAATGGTATATAAAGCTTGCCCACTCATACCACACCACCGCTCCAATCCCGTCTCAACTTCTCATATTTCTTCATGTCAGTAACACTCGGACGGATAAATGACTTGGCAGTAACGAAATCCTCGAGCTTGATGGTATCGCGGCGCTTAATGGCTGAGTACCCGGCACGACGGAGCAAACTGCCCAAGTCGGCACCACTGAAACCCTCGCATTCCTCGGCGACCCTCCTCAGATCTTCGGAGAAATCAAGCTGGATCTTGCGGGTAAGAGTGTGGAGGATCTCGACGCGCTCGAGCGGCGACGGCAGGTTGACAAACAACAAGGTCTCCAGGCGGCCGGGACGAAGCATCGCCGGGTCGATGATGTCCGGGCGGTTGGTGGCCGCGATGACATAGATGCCTTGACGACTACTGCCCAAGCCGTCGAGCTCGGTGAGGAGGGTGTTGACGACACGAGCGGAGGCCTCGGAGAGGGTATCGTCGCGACGAGGCACGAGGGCATCCAGCTCGTCAAAGAAGATAACACACGGAACAGATGAGCGAGCGCGGACGAAGACCTGGCGCACGGCACGCTCGGACTCGCCGACAAACTTGTTGAGGAGCTCGGGGCCTTTGACGCTGATGAAGTTGGCGCGCGATTCGTTGGCCACGGCCTTGGCCAGTAGCGTTTTTCCGCAACCCGGCGGGCCCCAGAGGAGAACGCCCGTCGGCGCGGTGATACCGACATTGGCGTAGATGTCGGGGTTCTTGATGGGTTCGACGATGGCGGTGGACAGCTCGTCGCGAATACCGCCCAGAGCGCCAATGTCGGCCCAGGTGGTGTCTGGGATGGTGGCAAAGCCCTCACGCTTGGAGGACGGTTGGATCTTGGGCAACGCGACAAAAAAGTCTGCGTTGGAGACGAGTACAGTTTGTGTTTCCTCGCCGATGGGAGTCTCTTTGGCGTGTGTTATGAGACGACGCAGTTCCCGCACCTTCGAGCTGAGATCATCCAGCCCTTCGATCTCCATTTCTTCACCACTGTTTGATTTGAGGATCTCGAGGTACCGCTTGATGGCGGCCGAGCCTGCCGTTGAGACAAGGTCATTAAGATCGGCTCCGACGAACCCAGGAGTTCGCTTGGCCAGGGTCTTGAAATCGATGTCGTCTGCGAGACGCATCTTCCGGGTAAGTGCTCGCAGGATCTTCTCTCTGACCGGCTCTGAAGGCACGGTCATGTTGATTTCCTTGTCAAAGCGGCCACCCCGACGCAGTGCAGCATCCAAGCTGTCTGGGCGGTTGGTGGCCGCCAGTACAATGACCGGCTTGCCATCTGTCTTTTCGAGAGCGATTTCGTCCATGCAGGTCAGCAGCTGGGCAACAATTCTCTTCTCCATCTCCCTCTGCGCGCTCTCTCGTTTAGGTGTGATTGCGTCGATTTCGTCGATAAAGATCAGACAGGGAGCGATCCGCTTTGCCTCATCGAAGTGCTCACGCAGCGCTTTCTCGGACTCGCCCGACATCCCAGATACAATGGAAGGGGCCGAGATGGAAATGAACGGCACGCCCAGTTCCGCCGCAAACGCATTGGCGATCATGGTTTTACCGCATCCTGGCGGACCATGCAGCAATACTCCGCGTGGTGGTTGCACGTTCGAAGACAAGTATACCTGCGGCCGAGTCATGGGCAATATAACCAAATCTCCCAGCTCCTGGACCACGTCGTCCAGCCCACCCAGGTCCGCGAGACTGACGTGCGTTGGCGGTGATCGATCGATCGCGGCGTCGCCTTTGCGCCGCTTGGACGCAGATTCCCCCCCATGCTGTCTTCTCTTGGAGGATGTGGTTGCGGCTGCTGGTGTATTGCCATTCGATTCGCCGGTCTTTTGTGACGGAGCCGATTTCGACCCTGTCGACCACATGCCGACGATGCTCCGGTTCAAACCATTGGCCTCCTATGCCCCCCAATTCCCGTCAGTATGCCCCGAGTGGTGGTGATGTAATATAGCGCATCGCATACCGTCTGTGGTGGCTCTTCGAGTCCTTCGAAGTCTCCCTCTACCGAGTCCTCTTCGTCGCCGAGCACATCGCTCTTCACCACCTCCAACACGCGCTCCACACTGTCTTCCAGTAACTTCTTGGGTTTGCGGTTCAGACTGGAATTGGACTTCTTGATCGTCTCGTAGATTGCCGGCGCCGAGAGACGAATGCGACCTTCGTCAGGCTGGTCGTCAATAATTTTGCGTACCACTTGGTAGACCTGTTGCGAGTAAGTGGGATGAGACTGTGCATAGCATAACTGGCGCTTACCTCGCGGTCCAAGCCTTGACTTAGACTGGGTCTGCCGCGATTCCTCGGCATTATTAATTTTTCTTTCTTTTCTGCAGTTTTCTCGCTGCAATTGAGGGTTCAAATGGCGAGTATTCGACCAAAAAAAAATCGGGCGGACAACCGATCGGCGAAAAATACGCGTAACGTCAGCCGTTACCAACGTCATCTCTGGGGATCGCTGGATCCTCATCAACACTCCGCGACATGGGGAACACCAGCAGCTCTCAGAAGATTTCTGCACAAGATCGGTGAGTTGGAGCTCTTGAGACAGGACCTGTCTTTTTTCTCTCCTCGGAAGCCCTTGCGCTCGTATCCCGCACGCCGAGTACTCCCCGAGACTCGACTGTATCTCCCCCCGCTAACGTGCTCCCAGGGCGATACTCGATCTGAAGAACCAGCGCGATAAAGTCCACCAGTACCAGAAACGCATTACGGTGCTCACAGAGCGCGAGACGAATATTGCAAAAGAATGTCTAGCTCGCAATGACCGGCGCCGGGCCCTGCTGGCACTGCGGCGCAAGAAATACCAGGAATCGCTACTCGTCAAAACCGACGGTCAATTAGCGCAGTTGGAGCAGTTGACCGGCCAGGTGGAGTTTGCGCTAGTGCAGAAGGACGTTGTATTTGGATTGCAGCAGGGTACGCGGGTGCTGCAAGCGATCAACCAGGAAATGGGCGGGATCGAGGGCGTGGAGCGTCTCATGGGAGAGACAGAAGATGCAAGTGCTTATCAAGAGGTAAGGAGGGGGGTTCTTCTACTTTCTTGGAAGTTTTCGGTCCGCTGATATATTTTTGTACAGGAGGTGAGCCGGATGCTGTCTGGACATCTGTCGAATCAGGATGAGGAGGAGGTCGAGGATGAGCTGGAGGCGTTGCACCGCGACATGGCACCTCAGGTGCCTCTGCCCGAAGTTCCCAAAGCCGACCTGGTCGAGCATGTCCCAGAACCAGAGACGCCTGGTGAGAGAGTCAAACCGCAGGCCGAGACTCGAACACCGTTGGCTGCGTGATGGAAAACTACACCTTCCTCTGGTTCCTCAGGGGATGCATTGTCCAGAAGCATTGTTACGGCGTTGGCATTTCTCTATATTTCCCTATTGGAGACTTTTCTCATCATTCATCACTATCGTTGCATGCAGATCTCATTAATACATTGGAATATCTCTCGTCCCTAGCCTCGTCTCTTCATCTCCAGTGTGTCCCAGAAGACCCGCAAGTTTACTGACCAGGCATGATCCTGCCCCCAACACCGCTGACACCGGGTATGGACACATGGTCACTGGGGTTAGCCGCAGACTCATACAAGAAGCTGACAGGCTCGCGATTCAACGCCATGAATTGACCCTTGAAGCCAATGTAGCCAACTTTGGTGACATCCTCCTCCCCATCGCTCCAATTGTCTTCAAAGAACAAGGTGACGGAGGTGGTTGTGTTCCAGTGAGCACGATTCAAGGGTAATTCAAAGACATCGGCGCCGGCCACTGGCTGCGGGATTTCAACGGTTTGCGTCGGGGAGAACTCGGAGGCGGTTGAGAAGTCAAGGTCGTCGCGGTTTTTGAAGAGTTTCAAGGTCTTAGGAGCGGAGGAAGTCGGCGCGGTGTAAATGAGGAGAGAGTGTACTTTAACCTGGCCGGTGAACCTGACAGACATCGAATGGTGTTAATGAATGTTGCTTCTTTGACGATCCCAACGAGGGGCACATGGCGGGGAGGAAATCTGCCATGCACAGCTAATTCAAAAATCAAGAAGACACCAAAAGAAGAATCAAAAAGCAAGTATAAAGGTAAAGATTTAGAGAGTACGAACGGAATGTACATGAGCAACTGCTCGTCGGCGTCACTCTCGAGCTCCGGCGCATCATTCAACCTCTCTGCCCAAGTTTTCTGGACAATGGCAGCTCCGGCCTTGGGTGTAGCCTCTGTGCATTGCGCTGCGGATCAGCGATGAGTACGCAACTTGGGACAGGAAATTTGCGTCTGTACAAACCGTTGAGGGTTGTGATTGAATCGAAATCGATCTGCGAATACAAAAGGGACTGGATCGCGGGGGTGATATCGTTGGAATGATCGTGGCCGTCTTCCCCGTGGCAGTGGCCACCATGGCCATGATGGTGGTGTCCTGACATTGTAGCTGAAGGGGCGAGAGTTGTGAAGTATCACGTAGAACCAGCTTGGTCGAGGGGATTCATGTGTTCTCCGCTTCCCGTGACGTCGGTCCCATCAACAATACTTTGATGGGAGTTTTTGAATTCCTTTCTACCAAGTTCTCAGGAGCGACTACTTGAAAATTAAAAGCGTGAATGACACAATAGAATTGTAGATCTGCAAGCGTTGTTTTATTTTACATTACTATCAACCGTTATAGAAATCGCATTTCTTCTCTCGTCTATCTCTCAGAGCCTGGGTATCTTAGGAAAAGACTACATTTTGGCCTGGCAAAAAGGATAAAAACGAAGAGATACATCATGAAACTCGGTAATATTCGGGGGCATACTCCAAGAGGTAGCTCTTGTCGATCTTGGTGATATCGCGGATGTACGTCTTCTCGCCCGTTTGCATGATCTCGTGAAAGATGACCCAGTCAGCTTTCCGGTTCTATGGACAAGGAGTTAGCAAATCCAATGAGCTTTACCCAAAGTCGCGAGGGTTACTCACAAACATTAATGAGCTCGGGTGAGCATGGAGGGTGAGACCGCCGCTAACGGTCTTAAAAGTACCATCCGGTTGCATCTTCGCCGCATGAGCAAAATAGCCGGCAGTGAGACAGCGGCGGATCTGCTCGGGCTGCTTGCTTAAATCCAACTCGTGATGCCTGGAGGAAAGAGTCTCGTCGACAGGAATCCCAAAGCGTTCCAAATACCGCTTCAGCTGACCTCGGATGCTCACAGCTCGCAAGAGAGACCGGTAGTTCAAGAGGTTGTCGCGACACCACTTCGAGTCCTTTTTGCCTTTGGTGACAAAAGTCTGGTATACATTGAGATATGTAAGGTGGTCACCCTCCTCGACGGCGAACTTCCGCCGGTTACTCTCGGCGGATCGTTTGTCTCCTTCGTGTTGCACCCACACGGTTCCTTGAAGACTCACCATGGCTGCAATGGAGAGAATTTCGCTCAGGCAATGAAAAGACGGAGCAGCGAGCAGAACTTTCGCCATCATCGGTTCAACAGCCAGCTCTGCCATCCTCGTCCCAAGCGGTTTCGTGAGCTTAGCATAGTCATCAACCGCGCCAAGCGAGAAAAGCAGCTCCAGCGCACGAATGACAAGCTCTGCCGGAGGTGGTGTCAAAAAGTCAAACCGGACGATGTTGTCAATGCCCAAGGCCTTGAGCTGCATGATGACGGGCGCCAGGTTGGACCGCTGTATTTCAGGGACCGTGGCCTCGGGAAGCTGTTCGTAGGCCGGTTGAGTAAAGAGACGGAAGCATTTACCAGGTCTGGTTCGCCCGGCTCGTCCAGTTCGCTGGGTAGCGGATGCTTTTGAGATAGGCACCGCAGTTAAAGTCTCGATACCAGACACGGGGTTATAGGCCCTGAGCTTCGCAAAGCCACAATCGATCACATATACAATCCCGTCGATTGTGACCGATGCCTCGGCAATGTTTGTCGAAACGATTATTTTTCGAGTGTTCTCCGGCGCCGGCTCAAAGACATACATCTGTTGGTCGGTAGAAAGACCGGCATAGAGAGGCAATGGGAGCACTGAAGGAGCTTTGGGATGAAGATCTGCCGCTTGTTCAGATATCAACTGAATTGCAGTGTCAATCTCCTCTCGCCCTGTCAAAAAGACAAGCACATCACCCTCTGCCTCTTGGGTGTGAATGTCGAAGACCGTCTTGACTGCTCGTTCAACGTAGTCCTCTGCCGGTGACTCAAGAAACAACGTGTCAACCGGATACATTCGGCCTTCCAAACTGATGATTCGCCCGACATTTCCACCTAAATCGGCCGGATTTGCACCTGGTTCATAGTCTTCGCCGGCGAAAAAGCGCAGAAAGGCCTCTGCTTGCAAAGTCGCGCTGCTAACTACAATACGAAGATCTGGGCGTTTCTTTCGGATCTTCTTGAGAATGCCCAGAAGAACATCGGTGCTGAGTGACCTCTCATGAGCCTCGTCGACCATAATCACCGAATACCGCGATAACAAAGGATCCACAAGGGCTTCTCGGAGCAGCAGACCATCTGTCAAGAATTTGATTCTTGTGGCAGCAGATGTCGCATCTTCAAATCGGATTGAGTAGCCCACTTCTTCACCGACCTTGCAGCGCATCTCCTCTGCAACTCGAGTGGCTACCGTCGTGGCAGCTACTCGCCGAGGCTAGAGTCATTGCAAGTTAGCCAATTGCCTCCGGGGATTTTTGCTTTTTAAGGCAGTTAACATACCTGAGTAACGGCAATGACTTTCCCATCCTCGCACCATCCTGCCTGGTCGAGATATTGAGGAAGCTGGGTTGTTTTGCCGCTTCCTGTCTGGCCCACCACTATTGTCACAGGGTAGGTCTCAATCAAGTAGAGCAAGCTTTGCTTGTGGCGTGCAATTGGCAGTAAAGCTGCTGGTTTGTACAATGCTGGAATGAAAGAGGTCGACAGTTCCAACTCGGAAGCCATTTGGACAGAGATTCTCGGTCTCCGGCTCTCTCTTGCCCTCTTTCAAAGATAGACCTCCTAGACCATAAATTCAAAGGTCAAGAGATGCCACTGAAACATGCTGAGCACTCAGGGGGGTTTTTCCGCCAGCAATCTGCAGCTTAGTAGGGAATCGCAACGCCATCAGCAAAAATGCCTGTATAAAGCTGCCCGCAATCACGTGCCCCCACGTCACTATTTGGAGCTTCCCCAATGAGTTTCTGCCTGCTTCCTCATCGTTTTTCCCCGTTGTCAGGCAACTCTTTTTTCTCCAGACATCCTTTACTACCGCCCCCTGTGTGTACTGTTTTGCAAATAACCCAACATGTCTGAGGAGGCTAAACCTGTATGTTGGGATCCCTACCCCAAGTCTGCTGGCGAGGCTCACAGTAGGCCCGCAGCCCACTCCCAGCAAGCCCTCGCTTGCACCCAACAGCCCTCGTGCTGAGTCTCCAACCACTGCACGCCCCCTGGATTTTGACGATGAACCCCAGGATAGCGGAACAGCCTCTGCCTCTCCAGCGGCTGCGCAACCACCCTCTACCGAAGCTGCCCCGCCAAAGCCGCCCCGGCCCTTGGGCCCCAGAGAACAATCAGAGCTCACTCTGAAGGAAGTGTTCCCTACTGTTGATTCCTCAGTAGTCAAGGCAGTGTTGGTGGCGAGCAATTGGAATGTTGAAAGAGCATTCAATGCCCTTCTCGGTGCGTCAGGAAATCTCTCGAGGGAAGCGATCAGCACCCCCGGGCTAACTGTCCATTGTAGGCATGACCGATCCCACTGCGCAAGAGGACATGGTTCCTCCTCCAAAACCGCCTCGCCCCGCCCAGTCCGCGACTTCCACTACTCAGCGTCAATTAGAATCTGATGAGATGTACGCGCGCCAACTAGCCGAACACTACAATGCATCAGGGCGCCGTGGGCCACCTGCAGGCTGGGAAAATGACCCGCGGTATCGGCGGCCGAGGGGAAGCGAGGAATCAGACGAGAGGGAATATAACTTCTTTGATGGTATGGGGGGCATTGCAGCCTTTTGCTGAAGCTGATGCTAACCGTTTGGTCATGGTAGATGACCTACCTGTCATTCGTGAGAACCTCCGAAAAGGTTTCTTGGATACGCAGACCAAGGTCAACTCGTGGGTACAAAATTTGAAGAAGAGAATTGATGGGGAGGATGTGGACGAGGAACCCAGTCAGACCCATCGAGAAGCTTCGCCGTATGGCCGACCCCGCCCCAGCGGTGAATTAGGCCGTCGCAGCGGGGATCGTGAGCGCTATGATGCTGATCCTCAGGTCCTGGGTGATGACTTCTCTGCACTTGAGCTGAGGGATTCTGAAGGTAAGCATGAAACTTCCCCTTCGCGTTCTCATCTAACCCGTTCTTAGCCCCGCCACCTCAACCGCCCCGTCCGGGGAATTCCCAAAGGCCATCGCCCTCGCCTGATCGACGTAAGGTGTCATTCCAGGAAGGCCCGCCCACTGAGATTGATAGTCTCTACGATGCCTCCACGCCCGCCAAGCGTCCTTCTACGGGAGGCAGGCCAAGCAAATGGCAACCTCTGGCTACCGTGGAGCCTTCTCCGGTGGCTGAAAATGATCCGTTCAGCCTTGGTGATAGCGATGACGAGAAAGACACTAAGCCCAAAGAACAACCCACAGGGGACAGTGAGCAGATCAAGAAAGCTACTGCAGAGGCGATGGCTGGTGACATGGGTTCCTCCAAGGAGACAGAATCCAAGGACACCAGGCCTGAGGATTCAAAGTGATCATGGGCTCTAGTGGATATTTCCTGTTATGCTGTGTGTTGCAACTTGTTTTGAAACTACCCTAGCCTTCCCATATTCTCTGTCTATCCCTCTATTCTGGCTTCTTCAATGCCTAGGGTGGCCCCAATTGCGCTGCCCTCTGTTCTCTTTGTCCTTTCTGAGTTTACCCACCGAGGGGAGATAGCTCTCTCTAGGTTGAAACTGACCTAACATTCGTGACTCCTAGATAACCCCCATTTTTTTTTTCAGCAATGCATGGCTAGTACAAAAACATCCAGGGGATGGGTATCTTTCAACCAATGACTCTATCCTTCGAACGTCATAGACAACCAGAGCAATTGACATGCATATCGCAGATGCAAATCAGACCGGACTTGAGATCAAAGCCATCATGAATCGGCCAGTGGCTGCGCATTTGACGGACCTCGCTTCGAAGCAGACTCCTTACGTAGGTCAGTAATTACGGTCTAGACACCGCAAATGGTAAATTGTTAGTTTCTATTGCTGTAGGTATATGGAAAACACCTAGGAGACTGGGGTAGAAGAGGGCGTACGGCCAGAGCATCAGGGTTGACCCCATTTTCAATCAGAGACACGCAGAGTGAAAGTTCGGTCCGGTCCAGGTTGGTATTCTGGAGTAGCATGTTAGTTTCCTTTGATTTTATAGAAATTGTATACCCGATCAGGGCGTACTCAGGCAAGAGGGAAAAGACGACGCACCAGGAGAGTGGAGATTTCGTGAAGAATGTCAATGACCTCACGCGCGGCCTGACGCTTGTCATCGGTTTGAGAAGGCATGAGAAGCTTTGAAGAGAATAGAGAAATATGGAGACACTGCAAGGCCTGGGAAATCCGAGAGAGTCGAGAGTGGACGTGGTCGTGAAGGGGAAGATCAACTGTGGGGCTCCGCCCTGCAAGCCAAGTACTTTGCAGCTTCGCCCTACCACGATGTCTGCAATACCTCACCTCGTGAAATCGCTTGGACTTTTTTATGTTGCGATGAGACAGTATGGTTCTTTTGATGATGCAAGATACCCATCTCGACCTGCCATATCTACGGTTCTACGGTAAATGCTTCGAATTGTATCTTATTTATGGCATAGGAAAAAGATACATGTAGAAGAAGGAGGAAAAGAAAGAAAGAAAGAAAGAAACCATCTACATTATTCTAATAGATATAGAAAAAAAAAAAAAAAACAGTATTTAGTTAATTCTATTGACATGTAAACACGCCCTTGCCCCGTGGATCATTGGCCAACAGCCCGTGGGGCAAAAAGATCCATTTCTATCGCAACTCCCAAATTGGCCAAACTGCACATCTGCAAATACCATTGACAGGTATCAAAGATCCTCGCATTGAAATAGGCTCTGCGGACTTGGAATGATGCCGGGGACTCGGAATGTCTCCCACATTGACTATCACAGACATTCATTCCAAGAAGCGGAACGAAGCCCTGGAGATTCTTGCCCAGATTTCACGCGTCGAGAAGAAGACCTTTCCCACCAATGAGGCCTTTGGCTTCGGTGAGGACTTGTGGAGAAAAAAGCCCAACACGCGGGTTCTCTACGCGACCCAAACCGAGGGGGCGCGATCGGATCTGATCGCCTACGCCGTCTATGTGCGCCAGAAGGGAGTCGCCCTCCTGCACAAAGTCTGTGTATCCCCGAGTCATCGCCGTCAAGGTGTCGGGCAGCAGCTCATGTCCTACATTCAGCAGCGCCTGCGAAAGGAGGGCTGCCAGTCCATCCAACTATGGGTGGACCAGGCCAGGGAGCCTGCTCGAGCCCTGTATCTCCGATGTGGATTCGAGGAGCGAGAGCAGATCCCTGATTACTATGCCCCTGGCCGCACTGGCATTAGAATGGTGCTGGATTTGGAACGTGATGGTTGAGCTACTCTCGGTTATCTATGTGGCCCGACGGGGATTTTTTTTTTTCTCTCTCTTTCTTTTCTCCTCGCTAGCAGTGTTCCTTGCCTTGACAGTCCCTGAATGGGTCCGAGGGGCAAGGAAAAGCGTGGTGGTGGTTGGGCATGTCTGCGCTCCTTGGCTGGAGGAGCATCCCTTGCAGGGACCACCTTTCGAAACGTGAGCTCGGCCGGACCTAACGCGCCCCATGCCCATTCTCGGCCCTCACTTTGCTACATACTTCGGTGATGTCGGACATATCTAGGTATGGCTTTTCTTCAAAGGGCACACGCCCTGAATGCCTCCCTGCCCAGTCCCTTCGGCGCGAGTGCCAGGGAACGCGGTCCTTTCGGGAGAATATGGAGAGTCTACCTTCATCTTGGTTCCTGATCTCCTTCAACTCACTTTGCTTGTTCTTTCTCCCCTCTGGTTGAGGTTTTTGGACGTGTATCGGGTGATCTTCGCGCATCATCCTGGGCCCTCTACTTTGTGCTTTCTCAACAATACACAGTCCACCGGACGTGCTCCGGACCTTCGTCGCCGGGCATGGCGCTTTTCCTCATCGTCGTCCTGGCACTTTTTGCCCTCAACGCAGCAGCTTTGTCGGCCAACTATCCCATCAATGCGCAGTTGCCGCCTGTCGCCCGAATTTCGCAGCCATTTCGATTTGTCTTTGACCAAAGCACATTCGCACAAAGCGACTCGGACACAAAATATTCGCTATCCGACGCACCGTCATGGCTCTCGGTGGATAGCAAGAGTCGCACACTATCAGGCACGCCCAAGTCTGACGACAAGGGCTCCAAGAAATTCAAGCTCGTGGCGTCGCAGGGATCAGAATCCGACAGCATGGAGGTTACCTTGATCGTGACGCCCGACGAAGGGCCCACAGTGGGCAAACCAATTGCTTCGCAACTTCCATCATTGGGCCCGGTCTCCTACCCAGCGACACTTTTCATGCACCCCGGGAGTTCATTCTCAATTTCCTTTGATCAGGAAACCTTCCGCCGTACACATCCTTCCACGATCTACTATGGTACTTCACCGAACAACGCACCGCTGCCGTCGTGGATCAGTTTTGATCCTGTGGGGCTCAAATTCTCCGGCAACAGCCCATCCTTTCCAGGCTCAGCGTCTCAGTCTTTTACCTTTCAGCTCGTTGCATCGGATGTCACTGGCTACAGCGCGGCCAACCAAACTTTTGACCTCGTGATTGGCCCGCATATCATGGCGTTTAATGAGACGGTTCAGACGTTCAACCTCACGAGGGGCCAGAAATTTAGTAGCCCGGAGTTTCACAGTCTCCTGCAATTGGATGGCTCGCCAGCTTCGGACAAGGATGTGAAGAAGGTGGATGCTGAATTACCGCACTGGTTATCCCTGGACAAGGATTCTATTTCTCTAAGTGGCACACCCTCTGGGGGCTCTGCGAATGAGAACATCACCATTACCGTGACAGATACCTACAATGATGAGGCAAAACTCATGGTTCGCCTGAGGTTTTTCGAGCTGTTTCTTGACACAATCGACGGCTGCAAAGCCGGCATTGGCCAGGATTTCAAATTTGTATTCAACCAATCTATTGTCACGGACGACGCTGTGGAGCTTGATGTCGATTTGGACCAGCAACTCTCATGGCTCACCTACAACTCTGACAATAAAACTCTCTATGGACACGTTCCCGCGGACATGCAGCCGCAAAAATTCACTCTTTCCCTAACGGCTCACCAAGGACCCAACAAAGATACCCGAGACTTTGAGCTGGATGTTGTCAAGGCATCGGACACGAACTCGGGCTCTTCGGAGCCGTTTTCGAAATCGGACAAATCTTCACATAAAAAGGCGGGGATCATCGCCATTGCCGTGGTGATTCCTATTGTGGCAATCATAAGCTTGGCGATCCTCTTCTGCTGCTGGCGCCGCAGAAGAAACGCTTCTACACTTGAAGAGGAGGGTCAATCGAATGCGAAGCCGCCGCCGCCGCCGCGACCTGCCCGGCCTGACATGCCGAACTGCCAGCCAAGTCCTACCAACGACGGGCATTCTCATGACGCCTCCGATGACTGGATGAGCCCAATGTCTCCTACCTCGGATCTTCCCAAGCTTGAACTGGGGCCGGCGTGGAACGTGGCCTCCTTCGAAAAACAAGAACACCCAGTGATTGCAGCCCCTCAACCTAGCCCGCCGCCTCGCTCTCCCGCCCGCGGCAAGCTCGTTCCCTTCAGAGATTCGATTATCGAAGAGAAGTCTGCCGATTCTCCCACAAGAAAGCAAAACAAGCGTCTTTCCTTCACCAGCAGCCCGCCTGTGCGCCGTCGAACCACCAATCGCTCCAGACGCGAGCCCTTGAAAACGATCCAGCCCAGAGCGATGAAGCGTGAATCCATCCAATCGTCCCGGTCCAAGAGGTACTCAAAACGCTCGAGTGGAATTTCGTCTGTCGCCTCCGGGTTACCCGTTCGACTGAGCGGCGCTGGGCATGGTGCTGGAGGGTTTGGTCCTCCTGGGCACGGAGCTGTGCAGATGTCCTGGCAAAACACCAAAGCATCGTTGCTGAGTGACGAGAACAGCCTGACCAATATTGCCCCTCTGTTTCCTCGGCCCCCTGCTGCCGCGCGCATGAGGCATAGCATGGCCTCCAGCATTCCCGAGAACAGTAAGCGGGTGACGTTACGGACAGTAGAGCCCGATGAATCGACCATTTCTGAAGCCGACTCGCTGGAAGCATTTGTCCACAGCCGGGCAAAGAACCGCAACTCTGCCAACCCGTTGTTCTCTGCCCAGATCAGCCGGCGCACCTCGTCCGGTCTGCGCGCTCTGGAGCGTGCCCGCAGTCTGCGCAGTCGGGCGGACACCGTGTCTGTGTCGACCTTCACTGACGAGTACCGCCAGTCCATCCAAGAGCGACCCCACTCCACGGCGCTGTCCGTCTCTGAATACGGGGATGAGAACCGCCTCTCCCAGTACCACACCCTGCAGCCCCCACCAAACCTGCTCCCCCTGGCGGAGAGCACCAAGGGCCAGAGCCAGCTGAGTCTGGCACAGGACTACCGGGGTGTCATCTCACCACTGCCCCGGTTCTGGAGTGAAAACAGCTTGAGCAGTACTCGGCGATTGGAGTCAGGAACCCATGCCAAATCCCAAGCTGCTGACGGCGAATCAGCCATCCCCCAGAGTTCATCCATGGTCTCCGATCTTGAGGAGCATTTGATGCGTAAGACCAGCCCTCACAAGGCCAAGGTCCATCGGCAATCATGGAGGATTTCCCTTGATCCACCACCTCCGGTCAAGAGTGGGAGCAACCGAGGTCTTCCTGTTGCCAGCAGTGGGGAGCTTGCCTTTGTTTGATTTCTTTATGTTTTGTGATATTTTTGGTGATATTTCTTGTGGCATTTGGAGTTCCGGGCATTGCGAACATGATATCCATTGGCATTTAGCTGATTGATCTTTCCCCCCCTTTTTGAGTGCTGCAAAATAATCATATTCTATTCTGCCCTAATTGTGTAGATACCACCGAGGTTTCTACCTACACAAAAGAGTCAGCTTTACATGGAAGAAGAAATCAATTAAGTCACTCAGAATAGAAGAGCACACAACAACTCCAGGGATGTAGATCCAGGCAAATGCCACTATTAACCCTGAGGGCTTATTCCGATAGGTTTCCAATCCATGGCACACATACTATGTAGGGACCCATGTTCTGCTGCTCATTGAGGACCACCACCAACCGATCTGAATTTCTAAAGAAGCGAGAGAGTATTTTTCAAGCTTCTAGTCCTATAGATTAATAGATCTACTTCATATCTCAGCTCAATCATGCCGGAGTCAACCCCCGCCGAAACCGCCTGCAAATGGCATCTCCACGTGACACCGAGCACACGAGCGTAACAAACGCGGTAACCTAATTACCAGGAAATCTCTGCGAGACTCACCCACCAGACTCACGTCCTCTTGATCTCTCACTTCTTCTTATTCTCTTCTCTGTCGGTTGTTCTCTCTCCTGCTCCCTTCTCTTGTCTGCTGCCCTCATCTGCTTCCTGTGATAGACATCGGGTGGGAGAAACCCTCAATCGTCATCCATTGTTCCCCACTTATCGCGGGACCCGGACGCGCTGAAAGTCCTTGCGCCCTCATCTGACCCTTTCTCTTCCCCAGCACCTCTCCCACCCCATTCATCCGGTGCTTCTTTTCGATCCCACTTCTCCCCAGAATCTCTAAATCCTTGTCAGTATGGGTCAGACCTTGTCGGAGCCCGTGGTCGAGAAGGTAAGTAGGCTGGATTTTTCCAATTTGTTCCATAAATTCCTTTCCCCACCACCGTGCCTGTGCCGCCAGCCTTTTTTCCCTTTCGGTGCTTCGTCACCACCCATTTCTCCCCAGGTGCTCTTTTGAAACCCGTTAGTGGGGGCAGGGAGTGAGATGGTCCGTCATCGGTCCTTTTGTGGAAAGAAAAATGCCCCTGGTCGGCTATGCGGGGTCTTCTGTTGGCCCGGAGGGGCCGATATGATCTGTGGTGGGGAGGGCTTTTTTTTGACATCGCAATCCCTGTCCTTCTTTTTTTCTTCTGGTCTGATCGGATCTTTTGTCCAAGTCAATACTGACATGTGTTTGTGTTTGTGAAACTCCCAGACGTCGTCCGAGGGCGAAGATGAGTGCTGCTTGTATGGTGTGTCGGCCATGCAGGGCTGGCGCATCAGCATGGAGGATGCCCACGCCGCTGTGTTGGATCTTCACGCAAAGTACTCCAGCAATGCTGATGGCAAACCGACGGATCCGAGCCAGCGACTAGCCTTCTTTGGTGTGTATGATGGTCATGGTGGAGACAAAGTGGCACTCTTTGCGGGGGAGAAGCTTCACCAGATTGTGGCCAAACAGGAATCATTCGCCAAGGGAGACATTGAGCAGGCACTGAAGGATGGTTTCTTGGCTACCGACCGGGCAATCTTGGAAGGTATGTGGATATTGTGGTGTGCCCTGGGTAGAAAGTGCGGGACCCCCCTGCTGACTCGGCGCTCGCAGACCCTAAGTATGAAGAGGAGGTCTCTGGTTGCACCGCATCAACAAGTATTATTTCCAAGCACAAGATCTGGGTGGTATGTAATCAGAGACTTTTGCAGCATGAAGTGACCAGGAGTGGCTGACCTGCTCTAGGCGAACGCGGGTGATTCCCGCTCCGTGCTGGGTGTCAAGGGCCGCGCAAAGCCGCTCTCCTTTGACCACAAGCCGCAGAATGAAGGTTGGTGCTGAGAGATCATGACCGAGCATGACAGATACAAGGAGGGCTCTTACTAACTGTGTCACAGGCGAGAAGGCCCGTATTAGTGCTGCCGGTGGTTTCGTCGACTTCGGCCGTGTCAACGGTAACCTGGCCCTGTCCCGAGCCATTGGCGACTTTGAGTTCAAGAAAAGCGCCGAACTGTCTCCCGAGCAACAGATTGTGACTGCCTACCCTGATGTGACGGTCCATGAGCTGACCGATGACGATGAATTCCTCGTCATTGCCTGTGATGGTATGTGACTCTTTCTTTCCATTGTTAAAACTCGAACTAAACAACCTATCAGGTATCTGGGACTGCCAATCCTCCCAGGCCGTGGTCGAGTTCGTCCGAAGGGGCATCGCCGCGAAGCAGGACCTCTACCGGATCTGTGAGAACATGATGGACAACTGCCTCGCTTCCAACAGCGAAACTGGTGGCGTGGGTTGTGACAACATGACCATGACTGTGATCGGCCTGCTGAATGGCAAGACCAAGGAGGAATGGTACAATCAAATCGCAGAGCGGGTCGCCAAGGGAGACGGGCCCTGTGCGCCTCCTGAGTACGGCAAGTCTCACGAGGACCCTGAAGGGCCTCTCGCTTCGTGCTGACGGTCAAGTTGTGCAGCCGAATTCCGCGGCCCCGGGATCCAGAATCAGTTTGAGGATAACCCCGATGACTACGACTTGGAGATGGAGCGATCGCGCGGGTTCGGTGTCCGTTCTGGTCGGATCATCCTGTTGGGTGACGGCACCGAAATCATTCCCGACCAACACGAAGAGGAGCTGTTCGACCAGACCGAAGAGAACCAGGATTTGGCCAACCAGGTACCCCAACAGGCGACAGACTCGACCCGGGTAGAACGAGAGGGCACCCCCGGTCCGCAGGGGAAGGAGGGGGGCAGCATCACGGAACAAATATCCGAATCCCCTTCTTCAACCACCGATGCTGAGAAAGAGAAGCCCACCTCGTAGCCACCTGGCTTGAGATTTTGACCTCTGGGTTTGGTTTTGAATTCTTTGCCCTGTGATCCTTCACCCCCTGATTCTCCGATCTATGCCCACCCCCCTTTCTCCCCCCCCCCCCTCCCTCTGGGAATGTCTGTTAGTCGTTGGGCCCTGTCTTCGAACCCGTTTGTTCTTTGTTACTTTTCCCTTCATCTTACAATTGAATCCTGTCAGTGCGACGGAAATAGGGAGAAGGTTGAGGTGCGGTCGAGGTGACGAATTTTTCCATGGGTTTCCAGAGCCCTCGCCAGGAGCAGTGGGCTTTGATGAGCACGGTTGTTTTCTATTTTCTTTTTCTTTTTCTTTTTCTGTTCTCTACTTCATTTTCTTCCCTGTTATGCCTTGACACCACACGAGATACCGCAGAAAATGCCCGCTATTGACGAACCATTACACTTGCACGCTACCGTCCCGCAATTCTGGCATACATTCTTGCCATCTGAGCTTTGCTCACCACTTTTACCGGTGTGATCTGGGGAAACAAGAAAGACTGAGACGGAGAGAGAGGGAGAGTTTTCGGCAAGACCTTAGACCTGAAGCCGATGGATCGAGAGACGCGAATCCTCACGGAACACGGCGTATCCGGTACATTTTGCAGCATTCCCCCGTCAATCTGGACCGGAATGGTAGATGTCTCTTTGGGTCTTTGTTCTTTTTATTGTGTTTTCAGCAGTGGAGTTTCGGCAGATGAGCCCGTCATTGCCTGTGCACGCTCTCGGTACGGATACAGTCATCGAATGGATTTTTCCATTTGCAGTAGTTCTTGTATTGCTGTAGAATCATTTAGGCTCTTGAGATATCGTTGCACAAAAAAAAAAAAAAAAAGTGCAACTCGAGTCCCAACAAGATGTATGCACTGCATGTAATGCATAACCCCCACGAGCGCATTCCAAGAATTCAACCAAACTCGGCTGCTTGGGATTCTGTCCTGAATGTAGAAATTCTTGCAATTTATCCTAAATATAATTAAGCATAATATACAAGTTACAACAAAGAGCCACGTACAAAGCCATCCGCTAGGCGCGAAAGCAGCGTCACGACGATCTCCACTTGGCCCAAAACCTGAAAATTACTAAACCCACCGCTTTGGTCTCTCTGCCATCTCGACTCTCCTATTCCCATCCTCCCCAGGTCGTCACTCTTGCCAATTCGACATTCCTCTCCCCCTTACCACCAGGGTCGTGACGAGAATCTCACCATGCCGTCGCCCTCCTCCCCCCGGGCAAGCGCAAGCGCAGCGCCTCCCATCTACCCGCTCATCCCCCCCAGTCCGCCTCGGCCGATCTCCAACCGTCATCGCGCGATGCGTCCGGCGAAGAAGGCGGCGAGGACTCGGCGGACCTCGCCAATGTGTCCGCGGCCAAGCACAAGAAGCAGCAACCTGCCGGGGATGCCGTTCCGCCGTCGAAACGCGCGCGCAAGAGCTCCGGAGACGCCAGCCACCACTCCGGGGAAACTGTCGCCCCCAACGGCGCCGCCAAGGAGGACCCCGGCGAACCATCTGAGACTACCGTCGCCAGCAGTGACATTGAGAATCGGCCTAGAAGCCGCCATGGCTTGCATCTTCAGCTGCCTGATGAGGAGTCGATGCCGCCGCCGGGTCGTGGGGGGTTACAGGACCCCGTGGGCTATCATACCAACCCGCCGCCGACTGGCCGGGCTGTTCGAGTGTATGCCGACGGAGTGTTTGACTTGTTCCATCTCGGGTACGTTTTTCCTTTTGTTTCTTCTTGGTTCGGCTAGTCTCAGCCATTCCTTTGATTTTTTTTTCTCTCCTTTGTACATTTTAATCCCCATCATTCCCACTTTCATTGCTGACCTTCCCAGTCATATGAGACAGCTTGAACAGGCCAAAAAGGCTTTCCCTGATGTGTACCTCATCGTTGGGGTGACCGGTGACGAGGAGACGCATCTGCGGAAAGGGTTGACGGTCCTGAGCGGCGCCGAGCGAGCGGAGACGATTCGACACTGCAAGTGGGTGGACGAGGTGATTCCCAACTGTCCGTGGGTGGTGACACCCGATTTCTTGGCCGAGCACCAGATCGACTACGTCGCCCACGACGATCTGCCGTACCAGGCGGCTGAGGGTGATGATATCTATGCTCCCATCAAGTCTGAGGGCAAGTTTTTGGTTACTCAGCGGACAGAAGGTGTCAGCACTACAGGGGTCATTACTCGGTATGTATCTCAATTTTCTTGGGTGGTGCGTGCACTGGCTAACTCTTGGGGATTCGGGTAGGATTGTTCGCGATTACGACCAGTACATTTCTCGTCAGTTCAAGCGAGGCGCATCTCGGCAAGAACTGAACGTGTCGTGGCTAAAGAAGAACGAGCTGGAGATCAAGCGCCATGTGACGGAAATCCGGGATAACATTCGCAACAACTGGACGATGACCGGGCAGGAGCTGGGTCGGGAATTGCGACAGATCTGGCAGAACAGCCGGCCGGGCAGCCCGGCACCCAGCACGCGGAACAGCATGGACTTTGGTAATGGTCGTGGACCCCTGGCAAGCCCAACCGGAGGCAGCAAGTCGCATCTGTCGCGCGTGGAGGCATTGAACCGACCCGACAGCCCGATGGGCTCACCCCGGAACGAAGATTTTGCGACCGGGTACAGTCTGGGCTTGATTGGAGGAGTGCGAGCATGGGTAAGTTCTAGGGATAACGAAAACAATACTATTGAGCAGCCGCTGACTTTTCACTTCAGATGATGCGCAGCCGCCAGTCCCTCCAAGAGCCCCCGAGCCACCCGCACTCGCCATCCGACGAGGACCCCGAGTCGGAGCAGGCCAATGGTTACGACGAAGAGTTCCGCGGGAGAGCAGAAAAGAAGGTACCTGCTTCGCAGTAGATAGGGTTTCGCAGCGGCATCGTCCAATTCACTTGCATTGGGTTCATGTCTTATATGTTGGGCTTGCTTCTTTTGTTTCCAAATTGCAGGCGATTTTCTTTGATCGGGTGTATTGGCGTGTCTTTTTCTTTTCTTTCTCCTTGTTGCCCCTAATATTCTGGCTCCGAATAAACCCATTCTCCCTCCTCTGCCCGGACTCTGTGTCTGTTTCTTCTTTTGCCAATTCTTTCCGGGGGTGTGTTTCTTGCTGTCGATCGTTGTGATCTCGGGAATAAGAGGCGAGCTCTCAATGGGCTCTCCAAATTGTGGTGGCTCCTACCGATATGCACCGGGTGGGATCTACGGATGGGGTATATATAGAGATGGCGTGTGGTTTCGGGTGTGTCGCTAGTGCCTGTGGTCACAGAATCCAAAATAGGCGGTCTATGCACGAGATGTAGTAGACGTAGTAGATGTAGATGTAGCAGAGTATAGTAAGTATAAATTTGTGGTCTTGCTTTTTCTAGCTCTAGGCTAATGCAAAGGAATAATGGGGTATCACAATATAAAGGGAATAGAAGAAGAAATGGAAGAAAGACCAAGATCAAGCCGCCGTAATGGCAAGCCGAGGACCTTTCCGAGGCGGCGCAGACTGGGACCGCAGATCCTCCAGCACACACAACTCGGGCAGCACCAGACCCTTGAGCTCCGGGACAGGGGAACCTCGCGGGGTGCACATGACAGCACGAAGATGGTCACGAAGCAGGGCAGCATCGCGACACAGATCAGGCTCGATGACATCCTTAGCAGGAAGATCACAGCGGGCAGTCACAGCAAGATCAAAGTGGCGCAGACCACGAACATTGAGAAGCGGGAAAAGCCAGGGGTCCTGTAGATGCAGCGGCAAGCGCTGGCCAGCAACCACGACGGCGCCGCCGCCCGCAACAGTGCCCGTAAAGCGGCCGAGATCCAGGCTCAGCCGCAGCTCCTGCAGAGCCGGCAGGGCAGCGAGACAGGCCCAGAAGCGGGCCCAGAGGGCATCGCTGTGCGTGTGGGCGTAGATCGAGCCCTTGTGGTCCTGTCCCGCCATCGGCTGCCACACGGGCATCCACTGGACGGTCAGGCGGCGTAGGGCGCGGCGGCCGCGCGGGCCGATGGCAGCGGCGAACGCCAGGAACGTGTGCAGGTCGTCGACGTCGAATACAGAGCTGCGGTACGGCAGTTCGGCCGTCTCGGCGTAGATGGCGCGGCAGGTGCGCAGCAGGCTGGCGCCGCTGTCGCTCAGCTGCTGTGGGAGATGTTCATGCGTGTGCGGGTACAGTAGTCGGTCCGAGTGGCCCGGCACCCGGCCGTCGTACACGCGCCAACGGGCCGGCGTCAGCGGGCAACAGTGTCGGTGTTGGGTTAGTGATAGTGTGGGTTGTGTGCAGCGCACATGCCGGATTTTGCCCTTGAGCTGCACTAGATGTACTGTGTCGTTCCCGAATACATATCCCCAGATCATCTGCCGGATCTCGGGTGGTAGGCGCTGCAGTAACCCGCATTCGGCCTGGTCGGCCATCGTTTCGGTGTAGGAGTCGACTGGAGGGTGGTCGGTGTCGAGGTCATTGTGTGGTGCGCAGATCTGTCGCTCTTGGATGAGGTCACGCACGGTATCTTGCCACCGTCGGCCAGTGGCATAGTAGTGCCAGATGGAGTAGGGGTCGCGGAGGACCCAAGCATCGAAGTGACGCATGTTTTCGAGGTGATCAATTGTCAATGAGTGTTCAGGCAATGCGAATTGCAATGTTAGATTGAATCAATGCATCAATGGGATGCATACAAGAACGATATCTGGGGAAGAGAGAAAAAATGGGGCGAGTGGGCTTTTTATGGAGCCCATCTGGAGAAGGGCGCTCCACTCCAACAATAAAATAACTTCAACTCGGGAATTTCCGGTCGGCAGCGTTCGGGTTGCGACGTTATGACGTCGCTTGCGATGGACGAAATCGTAGGAAAAGCGAGTGGCGCTGGAGCAGAGTCCTCCGGTGCATGTCTTGGGCACAGACCACTGTCTATACTGTTACTAGTTACTAGCTACTAGTTACCCATCTACTTACTGCCTTCTACTAGTCCTCCAGGTCTTAGTAGACTTGGCACATTCCAATTACACTCTTAAACTCAATGCACCCCGCATTCCCCCTCGTCGTCCTTGTAAGCCTCGCGATCGTCATGATCCTGCGCGGGCCGCCCCTCCTGCGCCACCGCCACATACATGGCACATCCCAGGATCAGCGCCGACCCCGCCCAGCTCACTGGCGACAGCGTGCTACCCCAGACCACCTTGTCGTAGAAGAACGCAAACAGCATCTGCGTGTATACCATCGCCGTCGCCCGGGACCCCTGGCCTGCCTTGCGAGACCCCTCGACGGGCGGCTCATACGCCAGGCCCGCGGTCAAGAGGTACTGCAATAAAAACCCACACACACCCAGCCCCGTCAGCAGCGCCCACTCGGTGCTGGTACTCGGCAGCCGGAACGGGATCGATGGCACGGCCGCCATCGCGATCAGCGAAATCACTGTCGTCGCGCTGGAGAAGTACGTCACCGACACGAGTGGGTGTGCACACCTCCCGATCATGCGAATGCACGTGTAGGCACCTGCGGCTCCGAACACACCCATAAAGGCTACTATTGTCGCCATGATGTGGTGGTACGAGTCCACGGCACCGGGGCTGTCCTCGGCATTAGCGGTCAGCGACAATGGCAATGACGGTGGTGGCACCACCCCCAGTACCGTGGCTGCAGTGGGCGACGGCCGCTTCTGGAATGGACGTGCGATCAGCACCACGCCCACGAGTGACACCACGCCGGCCAGCTGCTGGCGCCGCGAGAACGTCTCGCCGGGGATCAGGAACGAGCACGCGTAGCAGGTCAAGATCGGGGCGAGGAAGGTGATCACCGTTGCCTCGGACAGCGGCAGGTACTGAACCGAGTAGTACAGCCCGTAGACGCCCAGGAACCCGCTGACCGCGCGTGCCAGGAGAAGCCCGAGCACCGGCCGCGTCCCGAATGGCGCGGGGACGTGCGCGTACCACATGTAGAAGTAGCTGGCCACAGCCGTGATGGACATGCGGGCGAAAAGAACCTCGATCGAGAGTCAGTATTCACACACGCATAATATAGAAAATACCGGGTAGTTGATAAGAGGAATAGTAGCCTGCCTGGAACGGGTGCATAGAGCTATGGATCTCCAGCACTTGGGTCATGACATTCATCGATGCCGCAAATGCCTGCGCCAGCGTCACCAGCACCAGACCCTTGTACTGGACCCAGATGCCCCGCCAGCGGGCCTGCCAAGCATGGCGGGGTCGTGAAGCCTCCAGGTCCTCTTCGTCTGCGATATGCCGTGGCTCCGACTCATCGAGGTCGTTGCCGAGCCCAGCAGACTCCTCGATCGGCAGGGGCGCATCCGGGTCCTTATGGCGAGGATCTGGGATCCGAGTCTCGCGATTGGAGGGTAGATCCCCTGCAGTGGGCGAGGTCATTTATTCGTGACTCGAGAAACTCGAGGTGAAGTGTACTTTATAGGGGAAATGAAAAGAATTTAAGGGGAAAAAAAGTCGAAAGTATAAAAGTATAAAAGTATAAAAGAAACACAAAACGATCTGATATGCTTGAGAGAAGAAAGAAGAAAAAAAATCATCAGGTGGAGCCACGCTGACTAGGCACATCGCATGACCCAGCGTGACTCGTCTTCATGTTTTCTTTTCTTTTCTTTTCTTTTTTTTTTTTGCCTACAGCAAGAGAGCCAACGATGCGGGCTGGTTGCCTTGCTACGGCGGGGGTTCGGCTATGCAAGATAAACCCGAGGGACGCGATGACCCAGTTCCTTGAGATAAATACAGTGGAAATGCTAAAGAGCGCAAGGGCTACGCAAGTTCGTAGATCTATACAAAAACAAGAACGAAGGCTACTCTTCGCGTAGCCTTCTTCTTGTCCCTTTAGGGTCTAGAGAGTATAAATTAGATATAAAGAAAGAAAGAAAGATACGCTACTTTTATATATACTACTATAGAGCGTTAGTATCGTTTCCCTCTATCATATAATAGAGTATACTCTATGAGGCTAATATATACCATCAAAATAAAAGAATAGAAATAAGTTACTAGAAAATTAATTAAAAAAAATGTTTCAAAAGATGGGTTAAAGATAATATTTAAGAATAAAATTAGCATAAGAAAATATATGAAAGAAAAAGGGAGAGAACTCCATGTTTTGATACAGAAAGATTGCAGGTGGAATGTGGATGTATCTATACAAATGTAAAGGTATCACCGCCCTTCTCGCGCATCATATTCCCGATCCGCGATGTCCCCACCACTCGCTCGAGCTTCAATGCATCCCACTTGGAAAACAGCGCCCGCACGCCGCCTTCGGCTGCCTCCACCACGGCTGCCGGATCCAGGCCGAGGAATCCCACGAGCTCTCGGTAAAACACCGGGTTCTCCGGGAGGCCATACATCACAACGCGTCGCACGCCTCGGATCGGATAGCGTCGGAAATGGTGCGCACGCTCGGTGTACAGCAGCACCGAATGACGGCCTGTCATGAAATGGCTGCGGGCACGCGCCACATCCCGTGCCTCGGTGTATTCCGAGACGGCTCCAAACGAGACGTTGGTGGTCTGCGCCGACGTGGCAAAGTGGTTGCGCACGCGCACAAAGTCCAGATAGGATGGGATGAAGATCAGTGTGCCGCCACCGTCTTTGCCGCGGCCGGCGATGTTGCGCACCAAAGTCGAGAGAATGGTGGTCGTGAAGTGTTTGAACCGCGCGTCTGGGTCCTTGGCAGGCGACAGGCTGTCGATCCGGGAGAATGTCTGCTTGACCGAGACCGGCAACGGTAGCTCTGTGATTGCACCCGCATACGGCGGCGTCATCTTCACTCGTCCGGAGATGTTCTGCATGTGTGACGAGAACAGCGAGTTGATCTCGGGCGTGAGATAGGATGCCAGAACGATGGTCTGCCGGATTTGTCGCGCCTGATTGTCCAAGTACCAGTTGCGCACACGGCTGAAATCGCACCCGTGTGCTTCCTTAGGCTGTAAGTTCAGATGCTGGAAGATGTAGTCGACGTGGTCCCAGTTCTGCATGAGAAGCGCGTCTGCGTGGTCTACGACCACGACCTCGATTGAAGACAGGAAGTCATAGTCTCGCTTTTTGGCACTGTTTGCACATGTTAGCTTCTGCCAGGATTTCGGGCACATCGCATAAAGATGCAGGAAAAGAACCTACTCGGCTTGGTCCATGATTGTCCGCAGACCGAGAGGACTCGCTAGAATGATATCGGAATTGTAGAACTGCGAGAAGTACTTGACCGTCTTGCGGGTAAACTTCAGCCCCAACCGGAACATGTCATCGTCGTTGCCGCCAAACAGCTCCCGGAAGTCTTCGGTTTTATTCTCCCATGCGTCCTTGGGCCCCGAGAATGCATCGACAAAGCGCTTTTTGTTTTCTTGTTGTTCAGGCTGGTAGAATCGAGTGATGGCATCGACAGCGCGCACACATGCCTGCCGCGTGGGTAGAATGTAAAGCACCTTGGGCCGGGTGAACCCTTGATCGCGGCATTCGATATCGGTGTCTGGGTCCTTGGCCAGACGAGCGTTGTTTTTGAGCACTTGGTCTCGGGTTTTCACCACATGGTTGACAGTGTGCAGGGCCAGAAGATCGCGCATGGTGTCGGCGGTGGAGGGCGTTCGGGATCCATAAAGAACATCTTGATAGTCAAACACATATGATGCTAGATGCTGGGCCTGGCCGGTAATGGTGGGCAGGAGCTCGGTGGCACGAGGCTTCAACTTGTTTTTGATCTGTAGAAATACCCATGGTTAGTCACGACCGGTGCACCATGGGATAAACAAACTGACTTTGAGAGGGACAGTGCTCTTCATCGCGGGCAGGAAAGATGCACTCCCGGTTTCTGTCCCGTCGGGGGTTGTATGCACTAGTCGAAGTCCATCTTGCTCCTTTTTTGCAGAGGCCCATTTTTTTGATCGGGCCGACTCTACCTTAATGACCAGATCGGCCAATCCCTCGGAGATATTGAAGTGCTTTTCGAAAGGACCGACCGCGTCATCGTCGTCAACATCCTGGGCATCCTCTTCGTCATCCGAAGGTGTCTGGGCTTGCAGATCGTTATCGTGTTCCAAATCATCCGACGGGTCAACCGTAGACTGGATTTCTTCCGAGTTCCCTTCGTTAGCGACCTTTCTCCTCTTCCGGGCTGGTCCTTTGGAGTCTGAGTTGGCGTGGAGTAGTTCGAGTAGTTCATTGTAAGGACGCCCGGTACTTTGGTCTTCCTCGTCACTGCTGGAAGATCCCTCATCCAACGGGATGTCTTCGCCCATGTTCTCGTCCAATTGATTGCTGGCCGCATCTTCTTCGGCAGACGACGGGTCTGATCTGCATGGATGTTAGCTTGTGGCTCTGAGCCAGGCCGGTGTACTCACTCAATTTCCTGCAGGCGCGAGGTGGCAAAGGCATTGCGACCAGGAGGACGTCGGCCGCGACCTCTGGGGGCTCTCCCTCGTGGAGGCATAGTGATTGGGATAATTTGAAGAGGTACGAGAACGAAAAGAAGAAAAGGGCAGCTTATCTTATCTTAGCGCGAAAAATCCCACACAAAGAGAGAATCGGAACAATCAGAGCGGCTCCGCTTTTTAAAGGAAAAATTGTCCCTCCGAGTGAGTCTCCGTCTGAGTTTGGAGAGCGTCTCTTCCCTTACTGCACCTCATCCCACCATGGCCGAAGACTCCTTCCTACACCTCGCTCGCCCGCTGGGCCCCGTCAGCGTGGCGACCGCCCCGACCACTGCCCCTCTGAATGTGGTCATCCAGCCCCAGGTATGTCCCCCAGGGCTAGAAATCCTGGAGGGGCACCTGCTGATTTTCTCTCTAGGCTATCTTCTCGGTCCTGGACCACTCGCTCCGCCGCAACGCCGACCAGGAACGCGTGATCGGTACGCTGCTTGGAACCCGAACCGAAGATGGAAGTGAGGTCGAAGTGCGATCGGCTTTTGCCGTGGGCCATTCCGAGGCCGAGGACCAGGTCGAGGTCGACATGGAGTACCACAAGCAGATGTTGGCCCTGCATCTGAAGGCCAACCCCCGTGAAGTGCTGGTTGGTTGGTATGCTACCGCGTCCGAACTCAACACCTTCTCCGCCTTGATCCAGAACTTCTACAGCGGCCAGGGCGATGGGACATGGCCCTACCCGGCAGTGCACCTGACGGTGTCTACTGAGGCCGGCAAGGACCTGGAGACCCGCGCCTACATCTCGTCCCCCGTCGGTGTGACGGCCGAGCGTGCTGCGGACAGCGCTGCCTTCATCCCTGTTCCGTATGAGCTTCGATACGGCGAGGCCGACAAGAGCGGTCTTGAGACCATTGCCAATGCCAAGGACACCGAACACCGGTCTAGCAGCGTCATTACGGATGTCGAGGCTCTGGAGCGTGCTATTGAGGAGGTTCTGGCTATGATTGACCGCGTCTCGCGGTACGTCGAGTCCGTCATCGACGAGGAGGCCCCCGCCTCCACGGCAATGGGCCAGTTCCTGTTGAACGCTTTGGCTCTGGCCCCTAAGGTGGAGCCGGCTGACATTGAGCGGGACTTGTATGTTTGCCTTTCCCACCCCCCTTCTTTCCATGGATTTGGCTCCTTTTTATCTCTTTCTCTCACTGACCCTTTTCGCAGCAACAACCACATCCAGGATGTCCTGGTGGTGTCTTACTTGGCCAACACCATTCGCACACAGATGGAGCTGTCTAACCGACTAGCAACCGCCCAGCTCACTTTGGGTGGTGGTGAGTCTGGTGCCGCGGCAGGCGAGGGCGGCCAGCGTGGCCAGCGCGGCGGCAAGGGTGGTCGTCAGCGCCCTCAGGAGCGCGGTGCTACTGAGGAAGCCCGTGCATAGAAGGATTCCTCTACGATGATGCGTTAATGTGACCTGTTCTCGTGGCAATACACCTTGACCGTTGATGTTTCTCATGTCTCGTTTCCCTGTACCGACATCCTTTGGGCTTTTTCTTCTTTTTTGTTTTGCTCCCACCCTTTCTTTATTTCCTCTTTTTATTATTCTCTTGCGAGACAAGAAACCTACGGCCTTTCACCGCCTTGTGTCTTCCATGGGTTCGGTCTGTCTTGACACTCCGAGCACAGCACCAGGGGCGTATCGGGAATTATCTGGCTTCACGCAGGAGGGGTGGAGAGGAGGTGGACCGCAGTATAGCAGGCTTGGGAGTGAAAGAGTGTCTGCAAAAGACCCGAGTCCCAGAACACTCGGGCCCCGGTTTCACGAAGTCGCATCTTATATGTGCGCGGCGTTTTCAGTCATGATGAAATGGACATAAAAAGTTCTAGAACTATGAGGTTTCGTACGAGCTTAGGGACTTCGAGGTGTAGTATGAGAAGGGGGTTTTAAAATAACTCCATGTATTTCCTTGTATGATCAACGGGTATTTAGTGTCCTTGAGAAATGCAACTTGAAATGATCTGATGTCCTTGCCATAGCCCTGCTATGCCTGACCAGACCAGAAAGAATCCACCCAACGCCAATAACCATGATTTTGAACCCGCCCAGCGCCAGAAGAAAAAAGAAAATTGAAAAAAAAATAAGAGAAAGAAAACGAAAGGCCCCTTTCCATGCAAGTACCAGAAGCAAAGGAAAAGATTCACCCAATGGTCTTTCTCTTCTTCGGAACCGACTCCTCAGTAGCATCGGAACCCCTTCTCGGAGCAGCACTTCTCTTCCCTTTGCCCTTGCCCTTCTTCCCCGAGACAGAGCCAGCAGCAGGGTCCACACTTTCTGCCAGCTCTCCCAACGCAGCAGCACCCTTTTTGCCTGCTTCCTTGGCCACTTGATCATCATTCTGGTCAAAGGCCTTGCGTGCCTCCTTCAGCTCGCGCTCCATGCGCAATAACTCTTGCACACGGCCGAGCTTGTTCGGGTCGCGTCGCAGCGCAAACCGGAAATCGTCGACCTTGATCTTCTGTCGTCGGGCATGATGCGCGACCTGTGCCGCGCCATGGCAAAGTTCCAAGATGAAGTCGGTGACGATCTCGTCGAGGACGCGCACGGTTTCGGGGAGGGGCTCTGAGGGGAAAGAGGGATGAGGACTGGGGTCACCATAGGCGAGGAGGAGGAGGCGGACTTGTTGGGGGATAGAATGTCAGCTTCTTCTTGTATATCAGTAGGAAAGCTTAGATCCTCCTTTTTACGTACGCTCAGAAGAAAAGTTCATCTGGCCCTTGTGCCTAGCGGCACGGGCTCGTGGCTCCGCCATCTTGGACTTGGGTTGGGCTTTTTTGACTTGAGAAGTCGAGTCGGATGGAGATGGCGCGGACGCAGTCTGTAGAGTTGTTTGCGGAGTTGTTTGCGGAGTGGTTTTCGGAGTGGTCTGCGGAATGTACGCGGGTTCGTAGCCCACGCGGACCAGCTCTGTTTCTTTGGGACTAAAGGGCCACAGAGGAGCGAGACCGGGGGGAAGATGTCCCGTGGGTTGACGTGACGAAGAAGCTGGGTTGGCAGAGCAGAACGAAGACGAGAACGATCGAGTTGACTGGCGATGGGCCAGCTGGCCCGTGCGTTTGGTGCGTTTGGCGGACATCGTGGGCAGAACCCTCCCCTCGACAGTGGCAACCGCGGAGCTTCGCTGTCTTCTGTTGCCCCGTTGTTTCTTGGATTCTTGCGACGGGCAAGGTCGGGTTCAAGATGGTAAGTGCGAAATTGACTGGCGCAGTGATGCGAGGAGATACCTTGGCTTCTCAGCAGTGTACTCGACAAGTGGACGCGACAGATCAACGTCACTGACAAGACATACCTAGTCGGCCCTGTTCAACTTCCAATCGCTGCTGCTGGTGTTCCTTCTCATAATATGCACCAGCGCCTATGCACACTCAATTATGCCCGGAATCATGGATCGCAATCAACATGGGTATGCACTCCTTCCTTGATCCGGTCACAGTGAGGAACAAAGTGCGGCGGGGATGACTGGACTGACTGGCCCAGGTTCTTCGGGATCTTCTGGAAATGCGCTCGGGTGGGAGAACGACTAAGCCCATATGTGAGCATATGCTGTGTCCTGATGGCGGTAAGGCTTCTCGACAGTCCTAGTGAGAAAGATGAGACTCACTGTTTGCCAGGGTTCGATCTTCTTCGGTGGTTAAGCGCTTAGGCTTGACTCTCTCCGGTACTCTGAGTGATTGAAGGAGAAAAGAAAGATGGGGGCCGATACTCTGAGATCTAAGGGATCGTGGGGGTGCGGACAACCACGCCCTTCGTCCTCATGCGCGATGAGTTATTCAAGGGAACAGTTCATGATTGTATGTATAGTACACGAGAGCCAACTTCACAGACATCAAGGATCAAAAGAAATGCAAAACTCGGTTTTAGATTATACATGCGCGCTCTATCAAAACAGGGGTATCGTATCTCACAGCTTGGGTTTGATGTTCTTCTCCATTCGTTGCAAACCAAGGTCCACCAGCTGATCACGGTTCTTTTGATCGTTGCGGACAACGGACTCGGGTGCAGACTGTGGTAGAGAAGTAGCTTGCTGCCGCGCGGTCTCGGGGTGTTTCTGGTCCATCTCATCAATGGCCACCCAGAGACGCTCCGGATCGCGGAGGTAGCGCAGGCTCTTCATTGTGTACGGGTCGATGGCGAAGCCGTGCTGTTCCATGGCCTTGATTGCGGAGGCGGTCTCGGGGATGTTCTGCGCGTTGGCGTACCCGTTGACGATGATGTTCCAAGTCACGTCGTTGTACTCCATGTTGTACTTGGCCATCATCTGCTTGATTTTCTCGGCAGCAAGAGGATGCTTGTGGAAAGTAAACGCACTTAGAAGGATGGTCCAAGTGCGGACGGTGGGCTTAGCATGCACCACAGACGACCCAGACGGGATATTTGCTGAGCTGGACAACATGTCTTCGACCAAGCGCACGCTAGACCGCATCCCACGAGGATTGCTGCGGAAGGCGATGAGAAATTCATTATAGGTATGGTCGGTTTCGGCGAGAGGGGCTATGGACGGGTGTCCTTGCAACACGAGCTCACGAAATTTGATGTAGATGCGCTGCACGTTCGAGAAGTTTTTCTGGCAGCGGAAGTAGGTCGCGATCATAATATACAATGCAACAGGTGATGGAGGCGTGTTGTTTTTGCTCACAGGAGGGGTATAGTTGGAGGGGACAATGAGAAGCTCTTTGAGGGGGGTGAGGTCGTGGAATCGGTTGTACATGTCGAGCATCGAGTAGAAAACGCCTCGAGCATCGGCATCGGTATCCATGTGCTTGGCAGTGAAAACGTAATGGGCGTGGAAGATCTTGCTGGCGATGTATGGGTTTTCTCGTAGCTCCGCCTGTGAGTCAACCTCTTGGACCAAAGAGTCGACTCGCCCCCGGTCTCCGCGCGACACTGCATCGGTGAGAAGGGTCAGGTAGGTGTAGGAGTCAAGGACGTGGCCATGGCGTTTCATAAACTGAAGCATATCCGCCCCCAGTTGGGGGTCCCCGGTTTTGAAAGAGTTGGAGAGCACGACGTTCATCATGTCCCTATCCGGCCGAACACCCATCGTGAGCAGTCGAGGCAAGATCCGAAAATTGCGTCCACCGGCAGTATCCTGTACGGTATCCAGGGTCAAGAGCTTGCAACAATGTCGCAGCACTCCTTCGGACTGCATAGTGAACCCGGGTTCCTTGAGCCTGGGAATATACTCGAGGGCCTTCAATGCTCGTTCCACATCTCGAAGTTCCGTAAACCGGTACATGAAACAGAGTGCCGTTTCTGCTGACAATTCCGTAGACCTTTCCATCGCTATTCGGAGGGCCAGGGAGATGCCTTCATGGCTTGACCTGCGAATATAGAGTCGCACACCCTTTTGGGGAAGGGACAATATGGGCCAGTCTTTCGGATGCAAGCAGGATTCAATGGCCGATTGATAGGTGTGGGTGCCACTCTGCCAATTCTGAAGCCGGTCTTCGTAGTGGAACCTATCCAGGTAGAGAAGACATTCCGCAACCATGGAGAAGTCCGGCTTTTCTTGGCCAGAAGTTGTCACAAGTAAAAACTCGAGGGTCAGCTCCGGTTCGTTTTGCAATAGCCAAATAGCCAGACGCTGCCAGATCGATGCTCTCATGGGCCGGGCCATCTTCTCCCATGATTCTCGAAATCTCCCTTGACAGTCGGCACGTATTTCTTCCAGCAAAGCAAGCCCTTTATCCTTCAATGCCGGCAGCGCTGCCTTATTCTGCACTTCGCGTTGATACGCTTTTGCCTTGTAAATCGACGCGTAGGCGGCTTTCCATTGGCGGAGTCCCAGTTCACGCGAGTATATTGAATTCAACCGAATCACGGTCGCCAAGTATACCGATCTGCGGTTGAAATACCGGTTTTGAGATCGAATCTCCCCGTTGATCCGACGGCTCGCGTAGTGGGCAAGATTGGGCGCAAGACCTTGAGATAGGATGATTTTCCTCACTTTCGTCTTGGACAGCAGCGGCGTGTTCGGTTTTCGAGGGCGACCAGAGCGCGACCGTAACGGAGTGTATGAGATGGATTTTTCGCCATTGCCCTGACTGGCTTGAGACCGATTTGATTGTTGGCGGGTGTCTGCGTTCTGTGGCCTCCTGCGTGATGTTTGTTGGGTTGCGACTGGACTTTCAAACGAACTGCGGTTGAATCCCTGTCGAGAGGGAGATGTAGGACCATGATCTACCATCCCAGGCTCTCTAATCACTGGTGCATCATAAGTCGACACATGTCGCACTGCGTATCCAGACCTCGGTGTCGAGCCCCCATACCGATTTGGATTTCGGCATTGCGACGACAGCGCATTGAGGCGAAGCCGGAGGAGCTGGTGTGGGCACAGAAACATTCAGGATTCTGTAATTGCACACATTGAACGAGAAAAGAGAGAAAAGAATGCCAGGGATTCTCAGCACTGGAAGGATGCAAACGCAAGTATGGTCGATCGCATGAAATTCACCCGATTTTGCTGTGGCTGGTGGGTGTGGCGCAACCCCATCTGCTTTTCTCGATTCAACATCATCGCTCTCTTTCTCCAATCTTTTTCTACTACTTGGAGCGGAGGAGCTTGGGGCTTCATCAAAACCACTTTCCTTCTGCTGTGAAGGCTTCGGCTTTATATTTCTTCTTATCTCGGCCACCCTCCAAGCCATGTCGTCAAACCACGCCTCTCTCGATGCGGCATCCACCGACCGCAAAGCCCGCCTGGCCAAGCTGGCTGCGCTGAAGCGCAAACAACCCGAACCAGAGCCATTAACCGAGGCCCGCGCAGATAATGAGGAGTTAGGCGACGCCGCCCCCGACGTGACAACCTCCTACCTTTCCGGCCGGAATTATGATGCCGAGACTCGCGGACCAAAACTGGGCTTTGAGCAAGGCCCGCAAGAAGGCCAAGTGACGGTGGAAACTCAGGCGGCAGATATCGCACAGAAAATTGCGGAACAGGCCAAGAAGGACGAAGAGGCCGATCAACCGATTGATTTATTCAAGCTACAACCAAAAAAACCAAACTGGGACTTGCGGCGCGATCTGGACGAAAAGCTCAAGACTCTCAATGTGCGGACCGAGAATGCAATTGCCCGGCTGGTGCGACAGCGGATAGAGAATGCGCAGCGAGCGGCGAAGGAACGAGGGTCAAAATCCAATGGACAGGGAGAGGAAGTGGGAATCGAGGGTGAGATGCTGGTGGAGGGCATCCATATGCGCGAACGCGAAGAAAACGAGGAAACGATTTGAAATGATACCCCTAATTGCAGGATCATGGGGGGACTACCTGTTTGTTTCTCGCCGTTTGTAATTTCTATTTCTGTCCCCATTCGATTTTTGTCATTTCTTGTCTCTTGCGAGGTGAGGCATCTCATGAGGTTAGAAACACTGCGCAAACACCACAGGCGGCGTTCGGAAAGACGTGCACATTGGGATTGTACGAAAATGATATTAATACACTTGGTTCCAACACGATCACTGCAACATGAACTAGACGATCAATGCCGCCCGATAACCAAATTAGCGCCCGAAGCGCTGAAATCCCTGGAAACATCCTTCGACATTTGCTTATCGCAGATTCATGGCCTGAGTCAAGGCAAGCCGCTTGCTGAAGGGGCTCAGGCTTCGTTCTCTAGGTGGTTCGGGCCATGTCCGGGGCCCCTGTCTCGACCGCTGGGGTTGAGCCGGTGGACTTGCTCGATCGCGATAAGACCGCCGTTCGGAGCGGTCATGCGCCGCATTTGGGGTCAAGGAATGTCTTCCCTTCGCTACTCGGCTCTGGTCCACACTGTGACTATGTCGGTCTTGCTGAGACCCATGCCGTTCAGAACCCCGATGTCGACCGCGTTCCTCAGGACTCGTTTCTCGTCGTCGTCGCCGGGTATTTCGATCCTCGGCCCACTCTCTCGACCCTGAGCGTTGCCTTGCCCCCGAGTATGATGAGGCAGAATAGCCCTCCGAATAATCGCTGTATCTTCTCTTCCGGGATTTCGCCGGTGGTGATACTGAGTCCCGATGACCATCGCCATGAGAGTTCCCTCTATCATGGCGGGCGGGAGATGCCGAATAAGATCGACTTGTGGATATTGTCGAGACTGAGTTCATCGAATCCGATGACATAGACCTGGCTGGCTTTGGAGACTGACCATTTCGACCTGTCGTATCTTCTCCATCCAGATCTCTCTTCCGCCCGCGCTCCTCGTCCCGTTTGGCAAGTATTTCATCCGCCACGCCCTTCCTATTTTCGGGTCAGTCTCAGTGCCGTAGATCGAAGAGACAAAAATTGAAGAATTCACACAAAGACATACGATCGCAGGAGCTCATTGGGGACTTCAGTGGAGAGCTTAGGCATTAACTTAGGGTTTTGCAACTGCTGAGTCCGCGAAGGTCGTGACTGATATGGGCGCTCTTGCGCTGTTGCCTTGCACTCATAACTGTAGTGTCGTGGTTTGAAGTCAGCAGAGGACCAAAAACAAGCCAAGCATCTAGTGTCACTTATCTCGTTTGAGGCATTTTTGACACAGAGTGCTGGCAGTAGCTTTGCTGGGGCCTCGTAGCCCGGGGGCGTTTCTATATCGGTTCATCGGATCATATATTGCGGACAATCGATAGGAAATATGACGATGGAGAATGTTGTATCTTGCGAGATTTGGGTACAAAGCGGTTTCGGCAATCAGCAGGAAAAAAGAAAAAAGAACGTCTTGTCCCCGCGGCTGCCCTGCTTTGCCGTTGAAACCAAAAGGGAATTGTTAGGCGCGCGGCAAAGGCGGTCTGTCGCGGCAAAATGTGCCCACGAATCTTCAGGTCGTCAAGAATCACCACAATTCCACCTTCCCTCTCGACACTCTGGTTGCTGCCAGCGCTTCCTCCGGACGCTTTGGTCTCTATTTTGAACTACTAGCAAGGACTAGTAGTGCAGCCCTCTACCTTTCTCCTCGCCTCGTCTGTCGTGGCCCTCTCCTCCATCTCAATACGAGGTCTTTATCTCCTTGACCATGAGCCAGCTTTGACATCGTGTAAGATTGCCTACAAAACTAATCTCCTTCCTGTCGCAAACCCCGTGTTCTTTGTGGACTCCAATTAAAAACTGGACATCTTTTGCCTGTCTCCATTCTAACGTCAGCCGCCCCCAGCTTTCCCTATGGCGAATGCCCTTTTCCAAAGATATGTCTTTCTTTTTGGGCTTGTGTGAAGCGGGATTCTTCAGCGACCTATCTTCGATTCAATCATTGGACTCGGCAAGTCTTAAGTTGGAAACGTGTTGAGTGCAGCTACGTTTGGGCTGAACTTGCGCTTTGTAAACTCTTGACGCATTTCCGACCACCATACCGCGGGGTATAGTTTGCTATGGCATCACAAAACAGCGTAACAGGGGACAGTCGCCTCTCCTTTGCAAAAGTATGATCTGATCCAAGATCTTGAACGATGTGCATTGCTAATTGCGGTTAGATTGCTGCTATGGCCGCACCTCCGAACCCCCAATCTTCCTCGGTATCTGACGATAACGAAAGCCCCCGGCTGGCAAAACCATCACCTTGCTCAGAAGTCCATGACTCTGGTGCTGCTTTGACAGATTTGAATCATTTGAACACTAAGCCAGAGAGTAATTCTGTTGCCCCGACAGTCGATGATTTAGGGAAGGCTGTGCAGGACATTGACATTGCGTTGAAGAAGGACAGCGAATGCTCCGGTTCATCACTTGATAAACAAGAAAATGGCTTGCTCAAGCGGGAGAATTCGTTTGAAGACGATCGTACCCACCTCTCCAGCTCGTCCACGAAGATGACCAATTTCGATTCCAAAAGCCTCGCGTCGGTGACCACTTTTGCAATGGATGAAAAGGACTCAGTGCGGCCTGATGATAGTGCCAGCGTTCAAGCCATTGATGAGGAAGAATCACTCTCAGGGCCTGCCTCTGGCGCGCCAAATTCAGTCACTGGGTCTGAGGCTGGGGGTCGTGCAGTGCGCGACCAATTCCGAGATGGGAGCATCTTACGACCGCGTGGGATTCTTCCCGTTCCTGGCCCTATTTTTAACGGCGGCGCTCAACGGAGCAATGGGACAATTCCTCCAGATTCCGTTTCGAACAACTTCGTTCTCCCTTCCAACACCGGCAATTTGCCAGATGGTCAGAACCTCCACGGCTTTCCTCTTGAGCCGGATGAAAAGCTTTTGGAGGCAATGAACTCTCCCAAAGATCGACTTCTGATTCTTCAGCTGGAGGAAAAGATCCGTTATTTCATCAAGGACTCCGAGTAAGTATCCTCGGTTTTTTTTTTTTTTTTTTTTTTTTTTTTTTTTTTCTTTTTTTTCTTGTACATGACATGAGAGCTAATTCTTTTGTCTCATAGTGAGCAATCATTGGAGTTACCACCTTCAAATGCTTTTGGGAGACTCCTCGCGCATAAATTGGGGGATTATTACCATCTGACCCATTTCGTGGACAACAATGTGACATCAGTTCGACTCCATCGAACACCGTTCTGTCGACTGTAAGCCCACTGCCAGTTCCCTCGGCGATGAGCCCAAGCTAACTCAATTAGGCCCACGCCGTTGTCTGCGGTGCATGCTTCTAACAATAGTACACCGCCGCCAACTGTTCCAGCCATGAAAATCATGCGCCGAACCGACGGGGAGCGCCCGTCCACCGAAGGCAGTATAGCAGCCAGCTCATCTGTTCCCTCAAAGGCCCCATCAGAAGCTGGAGACAGCGGCCAGGATGGTGACCGCTCTGGTTCAGCGAATGCTACGCCCGCCAAAGATCGATTGACCTTGACTAGGGAGGAACGTGAGGCGAAATACCATGAGGTGCGCGAACGCATCTTCCGTGATTTCCCAGAGAGCGCCAAGTCAGACACTGCCAGCGATTCGAATAATATATCTCGCTCCAGCTCCACCAATGGGCGCAAGAAAGCCCATCGGCAGCGAACCCCTCATGATGACAGCTTCGAGGTCCGTTCGCAGTTCAATGCCTACTACCCAGGAATGCAATTTTCCAACGGCCCAGCTTCATACAATGTTCCCTCGAATGACAGCTCATACTCCAATCAAGTTCCTTACTTGGTTGGGCCTGGCGTGTCCCCGCCTGGCGGTGGCTATGTCCCTTCGAGTCACAACGGGGCGATATACCCGGGCCAGATGAACATAAACACCATGTCCCAATATCCGATGACTATGTCACCGCAGATGGCATCCAGTGGCTCTTGGCAAGGAGGGAGTATGACGCCGCAATCGCCATATTCCGGATATGCGTCAATGAATCACTCGGGGATGATGGGCCAGCAACCATCGTCCAAGTCTTCGCCAGCGATGAACAATTACGCCATCCCTCACACCGGGCAGTATCAACAGGCTCCGGCATGGAACTCTCCGCCATACCCGGGGAATTATCAACAACCCCCAAACCAGCGTAATCCGCCTTCTGCCTCCTGGTCTAATTACCCATCACAGTCGATGATGTCAAACATGGGAGCGTATCCTTATGCCCAGTACCCCGGGCAACATCTCAATCCTGGTCTCCAGAATTCTGGGTTTGCCCGGTCTCACTTCAACCCTCAGACACGATCATTCGTTCCTGGCGGAGCTCCTACCCGTCATCCGAGCAAAGGGGCTCCGCATCCAATGCAGCCTTACCCTGCCATGCCCCCCAGCATCGCGGCCCAGTGGAATGGATATCCAGAGGCCGCTCCCAACCGGGGATTGGACCCGTCCCCGGCCGTACACATGGGCCGAACGTCGACCACAGGTCCTCGAGACTCGATTGCCAAATGGGGCACGCCATCTCATTTACCTCCTAAGCCTCCGCCATCCGAAGTCCCCTCGGAATTTGACATCAAGCACCGAACTGGTCCCGCACCGGGTCCTGCGTATGCCGGTAATGGTATCCCCAATACCAAAAATGGGCCCCTTGTGGTCTCTGGAGGAACCAGCTTTCCCAAGCCAAACTGAGATCTAGCCGAATTGTCTTTGGGGTGTGTCACATCATTGCTTATCATGTACATTGAGTCTGGGTTTGGTTTAGCCCCGAGTTGTTGGTAGTGCGAGGCCAGACAGTGGGCCTTGTGGGCATTTCTGTGTACAGTCAGGACAAGTGCATGGTGACCTGCACGCTCGACAGCGTAACTTGTCTCTTAGCTATGGATTCATATTCTTCCACCTGGTCTTTGTAGCTATCTTGGAGAACTACTTAAACCAATAAAAATGCATTCACTTCTCAAGGTTCATCTTAGCAAACAAGCATTCTCGTCGACTACATTTCGACTCTTAGCTAATACTACAAAACATACTCCCAGCCTGACTTCGGTGAGTTCTTATATCCCCAGGGCAAAATAGAGTGATCAAGAGGTATCGGAATCTTTTATACAGAAGCTATGTCACGCAAGTACAAAGACAGAATGCCATGGTCAGCAGAGGCAAGGAACTCCAGGAAATAGAAACACAAGCACAGAAAAAAAAGAGCCTCAAATAGTTGGGCGATATGGTCGAACAATTACCCCCGAAACGGTGGAAGACGGGTAGAATATCCGACCCACAAGATCCCGAGTCGTATAGAGATCAAAAGCCATGGGCTTTTTACACTCCGGAAAGACCAAGGAATGTGGATTCCTGCAACCCCGAGTCCCGAGTTTATGGCTTCTGGGGTCGGGCGTGCACTTCATCCGCCTCAGCGACCTTGTTCTTCTCGGCCGCTTTGCTCTCCTTTGCAGATTTCTTCGCTTTTTCAATCTCCAATTTCGAGATCGCACTCTCAAGTTCTTCCACTCCGTCTTTGCGGAAGCGCGTTACCTTGCGCACATTCATCGCAGCCAACCCCCATATGTCCTGCTCGCCCCGCGAGCGCTGGCGGGCGACCGCGCGCGCAGTCATGGCAAACCGCATATCCCTTGGCCCGTCAACAAGCTCCAAGATAGCGCTCGGGGCCTGGTCGTTCGGCTTGCGGACAGGGGCTTTCTTGTCGCCTTTCGCGACGGAGTAGTATTCGAATTTTTCCTTGGGTTCGCACCGGAGCACACGCGTGTAGCCGCCCGGTCGGTCGGCATAGCGTTCACGGATAGGACCAAAGAGTTTAGGGATGATTTCGTGGGGTTTCTGGAGCGGAGAATTGGTAGGTTAGATGCTGGGTTGGATTGTTTGGGTACAAGGTAGATTATGACTGGAATGGGTATGGCGGGAGAAGTCGGAAGATCCGTGAGGATGGTGGAAAGAAAAACATTGGATATTTCCCATCTTCGCCCTGTCATGAAGTGGTGGATGACTTTTTTAAGGGATCACATACATAGAAGATCTCTAAGGCCCGTCTTCGACTCTGTTCCGTGTTCTTTTTGCCCAGCGTAATCAATTTTTCGGCAAGCCGCTGGGCTTCCTTGGCCTTGGGCCATGTCGTTGTGATAGTCTCATGCTCGAAGAGCGAGGTCACTAGATTCCGCAGCAGGGCCTGTCGGTGGGCAGAGTTGCGACTCAAGTGCCGGTATCTGCTTCCGCCGCCGGCCATGGTGAAAGTAGGAAAGAAGGCGGAGGAAACCGAGGCAAAAGACTAAGAAAGACGGCGAATTGGTTAGGAGCAAAGCAAAGAGAAGCTCGCGGAAGTCGGAGAGCAGAGCGTGGAGGTTGAAGGCGCAAAAGATTCGAGCGGAGAGGGTCCACCGCCTCGAGAAAATCAACCCGCGCCTCTACAAAACAACCGCCTTGCTGCTGCTTGATATTTGTTCTTGACTCTTTGGATAGCACGGAATCGTGCTTGGGGTTGTTTTAATTCCCACAGGCTTTTTTGACCCTTGCCATTTAATCCTAAAACGTCGGAGCGTCCGGCAATCGCAATGGGCTTCTTCGCCGGCTTTGTATGTGATCCTCTTCCTTTGGGTGCTAGGTCGGAGTCCCGATGCTGATTACTTTTTTTTCACCTGCTGAATAGTCCAGTGGCTTTGCTCTTACCACTTCCCTACTCTACGTCACCGTCCAAGTCCACCGCGCCACGCGTTTAGAACAACGTCGAGTCATCCGCGAACAAGTCGATCAACTCAACTGGCTGTCCTCTTCCGCAGGTGCATATGATCGCCGCTTTGCTCCCAAAGATCTGCCCAAGCAGCGCGAGGAAGTGCAAAAACCCACCATGAAAGAGATTTTGAAGCATCGGTGGAACCAGGAGGTTGAGATACTAGCCCGGAAAGCGCACGAGACACGATGGGAGGATGCAAGAGACACAGCAGTCGATGGATGGAATGCTGCCATGAAGCTGGTCAAGAAAGAATAAACGGGTACGAGCCCTTTGGAGTTGTTTCTTTCTCGTCGAGGCTGGCTTCTGATGAGGTATATGTGTGTCTAGTGTCTATTGTTTTCGTCTATGCGCGCTAGAGTTTTGATACCCTTGTACTCTTGGTTAAACGAATTTATAATACAGGAATATGTGACAATGGGACTATTGCGCCCAAAAACCACACTCTTTGTTTGTCGAGTTTCTTAGTGTTTATCTAGCAATTAGCTTGGGTTTCCTTACAAGCAACTATTCTTTTCTAGGCAGCGCCCCTTCTATAAAACAAATAACACTGATCCGGATCTTTAACAAGACTTTTAGAAAAATACTAAGAAAAATGGCAAGAAAGATGGAAGAAGAACAGAGGAAGAAAACAAATAAAAACCAGTAAAGAAGGAAAGAAAAAACATCAAAAATCATGAACGTGGAATAGTGATAAGTGTAATTGAAGTTCTCATGGGGTTGCCTATGATAATATACAGGTATTAGTAGAGCTGTCCCATAAAACTGCGGGATGATTATTGGGTGTCATAGAAGCGTCCAGCGTTCTTCATAACCGTATTATGCAAGTCTCGAGCACAGTGCCTTATCCTGTATTGGTCGATGGAGCTGTGGTAGTGACGCTGTCTGAGTCACTCCAGATATCCTTGCTTTCCCGCTCCACAGTGCGCATAGCCTGGGCGACTTCCTCCAGCTTGGCAACAACGTCCAAGACACCATGATTGACGCGGTCAAAATAACGGTCATTCGCCTCGCGGCGCTTGCGCGCAAAGATGATATCTTTCTCGGTCTCTTCATCCAGCACGCGATATGAAACACCGTCCCTGTTGGCGCTTTGCTCAGTCGTAGCATCTGCAGTATTGGTATCCACGGAGCCTTGCCGCTTCGCAGCGGTGGCAGCGGCGCCCTCTTTATCTTGAGGGTTGTGACTCGAGTCAACGATCTCGTCCGCCTCACTGCGCGCCCATGCCTGGGCAAGTTTTAGTTGTTTCATGCGCAGATCCTCTAGGGCCTCCGAATGCTTCTCGCCAAAGACATGCTCGCTCGTTACCGCGCTCAATTCCACCTCCGAGAGGGCACTCTGCATCTCCTCCCAGATGGCATCGGATCCATCTACATCATTCTTGGAGGGATGCCGTGAGACGAATGGGGATAGAAGACTGCGATTGTCGGCGCTAGCAGCTTCGTTGCCGGGCGAGATATTCCGGTGAAGCGGCGGAGGCTGGCTGCCCGAGGGAGTTGCAAGAGACGATGCAGCGGGCGGTGCGGATAAAGAAATGTTGGATGCATTGTGAGATGGGGGACCTTGGAACAGAGCGGGTGGTGGGAGCCGCTGTGAGCTCGTTGGTTTTCGAGTGTCCATATTGACGAAGGAGTCGATAGCTCTGTAGAGCGTAGATAGAGTGCCAGGCGTGAGCGATAAGAATTCGGCCTTATCGGTGATTACCTCAGCGGGTGGGGGTTTGGCTAGTCCCGTGACTCGCTTAGGGCACCACACAAAGTCACCTGAGACGCGGTCCAAGAGTGCGGCCGTTCGAGGGAAATCCGGCACACTTCGACTTTCCGACACCCCACGACCACCAGCCCTTTTGGCGACAACACCTTTTTCCCAGTCGGTACGTATTCGATCGCTCGTCTTTCCGTGCTTTATTGTGGCCCGAAATTTTCTTTCTGTGTGTGCGCTACGAGATTGCCGGGTCATCCTTCCCATCTGCACTCAACAGAAAAAATCAGACCACATCGAACATCATCTACATCTAACCATATTCGAACCAGCCATTGTTTCAAACAACCGACTAATTACTTTTTTTTTCTTCATATCAGTTGACCGTCGAATACATCATCCGCCAACATGGGTAAAGGAAAGCCCCGTGGTCTGAACGCCGCGCGCAAGCTCCAGAACAACCGCAAGGAGCAGCGCTGGGCCGATCTGCACTTCAAGAAGCGTCTCCTCGGTACCGCCTACAAGTCGTCTCCCTTCGGTGGTGCTTCCCACGCCAAGGGCATCGTTCTCGAGAAGGTTGGTGTTGAGGCCAAGCAGCCCAACTCCGCCATTCGGAAGTGTGTCAAGGTCCAGTTGATCAAGAACGGCAAGAAGGTCGCCGCTTTCGGTTGGTAGTCCCGCATCCCGATGATGGTGATTGATGGTGGCTTGACAGACGGGACATGGCCACGCCCAATTGAGATTCTAGTCGCTAACCAGCATTCTCACAACAGTCCCCAACGACGGTTGTCTGAACTTCATCGACGAGAACGACGAGGTCCTGCTGGCCGGTTTCGGTCGTAAGGGTAAGGCCAAGGGTGATATTCCTGGTGTCCGTTTCAAGGTCGTCAAGGTCTCCGGTGTTGGTCTGCTCGCTCTGTGGAAGGAGAAGAAGGAGAAGCCCCGCTCTTAAACGCAACCAAACGAAAAATGCATTGAACGGGGAGCAGAGTGTGATTGGTGCCAGACAGAAAGCCCGTCTCGTCAGCGCCTTGATCTGGGAATGTTCTATGGGGAAATACCAACCGGGCGGGCTTTCGTCGGGAACGTGATGAATACGCTTGTGCGAATTACCACGATTTGATACAATTCCAATAAAAAGATGGGCGCTATGATGTTTCTTTCCGGGTTTCTCATTTGGGCCCTGAAGTATTACATTCTTGATCTGCGTAGGATACCTGGAGTTGATCTCATGGGAATATCACCATTGATATTGGGGGTAGATGTGAACTCTTACATAGAGACTACCAAGCCGATTTGAGGATGATATATTGAAGCAAAGCTTCACGCATCCGGTGCTTTTTGATCTATGTCTATCTCCGACATTCCATGTAGAAAACCATGTCCTCCCATAACCAAGACTCCCACATATCGATCGTCGCTCGTCATTCCTCGGGTATCGTTCCTATGCTTCTCACCCTCGAAAGCTTTTTCTGTGTTATTCCGGGTCCGCAGCAGCTAATGCCCGACAATCCTGGTGTTTAAAAGCTGATATCTTCCTTTCGGTAGTGATCCGACACAATACGGTAGAGATAAGACGGGGCATGACCACCTCTGTGATGAAGAAAGAAAAGAATTGGTTAGCGACAATACCAGAAACATGGGCAGAGAAAGGTTGGCATACAAGTTGGTAATGTAAAGGTCGACCAGCTCCGCAGGAACATAGTCATACAAAGGATTCTGGACATCGATCTGGTCCACAAGGTCGCCATCCTCATAGGGAAGGACTTTGCCCGCGTCACCGTATTCAATGAGTGAATCAAAGTCAAAAGGATAGACAGGACTGAGCTTGTAGACGCCACTGACCACCACCATGGGTGTTTGGTGGACCTTGGCGGCGCGAGCAATGACCCGAGTACCGGCCGCGGCGACCAGGCCTCCATTGGCGAGCACGGAATGAGTGCCCAGGATGACCTTGTTGACGCGAGACATGAGAGCAAAGACGGCAGAGTCCGGGATGAGAATGACAGTGATGCCGAGGTCAATCAACGGCTTTTGGAAAGACTCGGTGCTTAGTATTTCGTCATCTTTCGAGGCATTGCCGCTGACAGTGATGTGGGTGGTTTCATGGTTGTTCGGGTACGATTCGGCATGGATGACAGTGAACTTGCGCTTGGCCGCAGCTTTGAGCAGGAATTTTTGAACTGTTGTCGAGGAGGTGTGGGTGAGGATGATCTCGTTGGAATGGATGTGATCCAGTGCATAAGCGGCAATCTGGTCATCTACCTGACCCAGCTCATCAATAATTTCCCCGATTCCCTCCAACACCTCGGCGCGCACATCCTTGGCGGGGCCATGCCCAGGGAGCCGGCCGCTTGGGGATAGAGATCCTGGTGTACTTGGGAGTGAGGCCTCTGGCTCTGGGTGTGAGAGGAGGCTGAACATGGATGTCAAAGGGCTTCTCGCAGCCCGTTCCGAGCCCTCGGGTCGGACCGATAGCGCATCACGATCCAGAGGCAGCGACGGATCTATATATACCGAGTTAAACTTTTTTTGCTCGCACACCTCAGCAACGGATAACCGGAAAACTGACCATCAAATGCCCGAGGTGTATGGGGCTGGCTCTCGGAGCCGGCTTCGCTGAGTGCATATTCTGCTTCACGGTCGTCCTCTGCCTCGTCACGAATGAGGCCCAGCACTCGTCGTACAATATTCCCCACCACCATCTCCCGTGGCTGCGCCGCCACTAGGCGCCGCCCCACGCTCTGCACCCGCTCAATGAGCTTTGCAGAGTCGGATGTGCGGCATGCCGAGATGACCCGCAAAAGCAAATAGGCAGTTGCTGTGGCGCATGATCGCGAGTGACGGATCTGACGTCGCTTGAGCAAGCTGGAGACAAGTAGGTTAGTGGGATAGCCCACAAAAGGACAGGGAGGTACCTCGGAAGCCGGAGAAAGCGCACGAAATCAGATTCTCGATAGAAGTATCAATGGCATTGGTCTTGAGAGACTTAAGAAACGACGCCAGGCCCGGCGTCAGGGCCGAAGACGTGGACGGCATCTGGAAGTGGGATGGGTCGTGGCACGTCTGTATCTTGCGTTAGTATGCTCAAGTTGAATCTAAATGCAAATTGGAGCCACAATACCCCTTTCTGGCAGAGAAACCGGTGATATAAGAGAAAGAAGAAGAAGAAAAATAGCGAGGCCGATGTCCCGGTGAATCCACTCATAGAAGTGGGAGCCAAAGCCGATTGATTTTCTGCCGTTCGTCTGTCCGCTTCCCCACACTTTGATCCTCGCGCGCGCGGCCTTTCTCCTTTTCGCCTTGTTTCTCTCTCATGTTCCGATAAAGACCCGCGGCATCGGTATCATCCTGTTTTGAAGTCGCCTTCAAACCTCCAGGAATCGGACTGGAGTCGCGGTTAGCTCCGAGGCACGGGTAACTGGCGCATCGAGGTCGGTAGTATTCGGCTTACGCCTCCTTGCGATCCCCCTTTCTTTTCAGACTTTATAGACCCACGATTGCCCCGATGGACCATTTTATGTGGCTTTGACGATTTGCTCACGACTCTGTTCATCATTAGATACCTGCGCCGCCCCGTCTCCAGTGGGCCTCGTGGGAAGATGAACTCGCTGAACATTCTGTCCTCGCGAGTCATTGGCCAGTCTCCCGGTTCTACGCGTCCACGATCACAGTCGCAAGACGAAAACCGGCCTGCGACATCGCCGGGGGACCTGGGGAAGCTACGGTCATACAGCGAGGATAACTTCCGGTCAAGCGGCCCCCAAACGAGCTACGACGGTACGGTGTCGGTTGCAGATGAAGATCCAGAGGAGGATACATCACATGCGTTCAACGAAAAAACGCCGCTACTGCTGCATGAAGTCCAGAAAGATGGCGCACTTGCAACCAGAAGTACCTGGTGTCTGATTACCCGGCGAATCTTCGACGCGATTACGGAAACCGTCCAATTTATTTTGTCTACGCTCGCCGCCCCTGGAGTATACCTGGCCCGCTGCTTTCGAGAAGAAAGTGGACGGTACTCGCTTCTGGCTCCGATCAAAAAGTTGTGGCCATCTACAGACTCAACAGTCCGGTCGGATAAAGGGAACCCGCGGGTCGATGGCCGGCATCGCAGTGGCTCCACCCGCAAACTAAGACACCAAGCATCCCACGACTCGATTGTATCCACGTCAGAATCCGAAACAGATCGTCAGAGCATCAAGAGCTTTACGAGTGGGAAGAGCCGGCCAGCCAAAACAAAGAGCCATGATCCACATCCGATCCCAGACGAGCACACCCCGCGTCGGTCCATACGGATCAAGCTCCATAATGAAGAATCTCTCAAACGCCAACGGCAGCGACGCACTCAGAGTGCAGACCTCGGTCCCCCGATGCCCGAGGGGGTATCCCGAGTCCAAGGGGCCGTTAATTTGGATAGCCTGAAATCTCCCACTTCTCCTTCCGTCCACCGCATCACCAAATACCCGCACTCTCCAACTCCACCGCGCCCGCTCCTTCCGCCCCGAATTCCTTCGTACACCGCGGCTCCACGAAATGCCCAGCTCCCACAGAAGACCTTGGTGCTGGACCTGGACGAGACTCTGATCCACTCGCTCGCCAAGGGCGGCCGCATGTCCAGTGGTCATATGGTCGAGGTTAAATTGTCCATGCCCATGACCACGGCTTTGACACCTGGCGGGCCACAGACCACGCTGGGACCTCAGCATCCCATTCTGTATTATGTTCATAAGCGACCGCATTGTGACGACTTTCTGCGCAAGATCTGCAAATGGTACAAGCTCGTTGTTTTCACTGCGAGCGTCCAGGAGTACGCCGACCCCGTGATCGACTGGCTCGAGCAGGAGCGCAAGTACTTCCAGGCCCGTTATTATCGACAGCATTGCACGCTCCGCAACGGCGCGTACATTAAAGACCTGAGCGCCGTGGAGCCGGATCTGAGCAAGGTGATGATTTTGGATAATAGCCCGATGAGTTATATCTTTCACGAGGGTGTGTATCTCTCGTGCATGATTGATTGATATCATCGCTGATTCTCTGCCAGACAACGCTATCCCCATTGAAGGCTGGATCAATGACCCTACCGACAACGGTCTCCTCCACCTGGTCCCTATGCTCGAAGCTCTGCAATATGTGACCGATGTTCGAGCTCTGCTAGGGCTTCGCCGGGGTGAAATCGAGACGTAGCTGTTCTTTTTGCATCCGCAACTATGGTTGCGCCTTGTAGCTGTAAAGGAATTTGTGTTTTAGAAGCGAAATCCCATTTTTACCAAGGAACTCAGTCTGAAAAAAGTAGATGTGGACATGAAGTAATTATTATTCCCGATATCCTTATAAGAAGAGTCCCGCAATATGGTATATTGATTCGGCCACTATCAAGGCAAGGGGAATTCGAAGTGCAAGAGTGATTGTGAATGCTTACTTGTTGATGAACTCCCACTTACAAGGTTGAAGATTGGGGAATTCTGAACTGATTCTGTACTCCATGACTTGAACTTCGATTCCACTCTTACCAACCTCGCCGATCAACTTCTCAACTCTCTTGGCTTCCCAACTGATCTTGTATCCGCTCTGACTGGCGTAACAATGGATAATTGGGAGACGATCGTGATCCAGCAGACTCCCTTGCTCCAGTCGAAGTCCACCTCGTCGCATGGGACGTCGAGCAACGTAGAGTTGCCGAATATCAAATGCCTCTGTCCGTCTGGCGTCTGAATATTTTTGATTGATCATCTAAGGGCAGAGCGTCGAGACTCTCTGGGGCATTTGAGTGACTCATTTCCAACCCTGAGACCGGAAGACGATGAATGCATGTTGGATAACTCAAATTGAAAATATTCATGGATTTTATGAAAGGGCTCGTTGTCTTCGGTGATTTTGCAAGCTAGGGAAGAATTCCCCTGTGCCAAAAGATCTGTTTTGCTGGCGAAGCTCCAAGGTGATCCGCCCTCTTCCACGCCAATGCCGATATCATTCATCTGAATGGGGACGTTGCCTCCATCAAATGGCTGAGCGGATATATCTCCAATGATTCGATTTCGATCATAGCCTCCCAGATGTAAAGACCCGGGAATGCCCAACGAGGCGGATCCGATGTGCATGCCGTAGGAGTATGATGGTATACCCTTGGAACCTTGACGCTCGTAGAGATAGCTGGTGACAAAGGTCATGTTGATCTTAATCTGGGCACCAAAGGTCTGGTTGATATCAGGAGCCCCGAGCGAAAGCGTTCCAACCTCCAGAGGGTACGCTTGTCCACCCGGATAGGTCCGCCAGCCCGCGGAAATGGAGACCAAGTCAACATCAGGAATCGAAGTACCACCAATAGTAATCCAGTCTCTGGCTCGTTTGGCGTTGGCACGAACGGGAATGGCATCGGCAGCTCCCCATGAAAGGTCTCCACATGGACCGTTTCCAGGAAATGGAAGCATCGAAACGGTTTTGTTGTCAAAGGACACAGACGCGTCGCCATCAAAACGCCCAGCTTTGTCTGCGTAGCAAACAGAGGATAAGGTCTTGTTATCGCAGATCTGGGTCAACAGAATCTTACTATCCCAACTCCCACCGGGATATAGCGCGATTCGACTATTGTTCTCCGAAGGAATCACAAAATCCGAGCTGTTGCTTCCGATATCCACAATCACAGCCTGCCAAGGACCATCCGGCCCAAACTTCTTGTCGGACCAGGTCACCGCTTGAGGGCTGGAACAGAGACCATAGTTGAGGCCCAGGGTCCATAGAGCGAGAACACAATATCGAAGTGGTTTCATTCCTGAGAAAACCAAGAACCATTAGTTCTATGTTATGTTTACAATTAACTCGAACAGCATAAGAACAATTGAGCTGGTTCAAATACAAACGACGATAAGAGCGACCTACCGGCGCAGATGAGGGTCTGGATGATTAGGGCAAATCAAGGCTGCGCAGCCAGGCTTCAGGAAGACAAGAACAATATGGGTATTTGAGTGGCTTTTGGAAGAATGCCTGAATGAGAAAGATATCTTTATCAGGGAGGCTCCGAATATTTACAGGTCCAACCTCGATAGCCGCCGAGGACTCGGAAAATGGGGCCTATGGCTCCAAGGAGGGTCTCCACGTGGGCATCTAAGCGCAGCTCAGTGTATCAAATGCTGGAAATAGCCAGATGAAGTCTATCATGAGGATATGAGACTTTGTGGGAACTAAAGAACTAATTATGGACAAGACCTACAGTCACGTATTGCATGACTGTAGGTATTCCCTCAGGGGCTTAGAAGCAGAAATTAGACCTAAAAACATCTTTAAAATGAGAAATGCCACATAAAAAGTATTAAAGTTAGAAATACCAAAGGATTGGACAATTGGAAGGGCTAGAATGGAGGTCAAGATTGCGAGTGGTGTGGCGGTAAATATACGGGGGTATATTAGTATAGGGACAATCCCTGACAAGAAGAAGAAGAATAGAGGTATTTCACTAACCAGCGCTTAAGCTAATGAGGTGGATGTGATTCAAGAAACTCCACTATGCACTTGGTAGTCCAATCACCAAGTGCTAACGGGCGTTGATGCGATAGATCACACTTGGGCGCTTAACTGCTTATTTATAGCCATCCCCGCTGTGACTCTGCTTATAGCATTGATATTTCCCTATTCCCTCATCTTTCCTTCGATTTATCTCTGGAGACATGGGAGAAACTTGGAGACCATGTTGAGCATGCTCTCAATATCCCCAAAGATCTATCGCGCCACTGTCGTGGTTGCATCCATTCTTTTTGGCGTTGCGACTTTATTCCAACTTACAAGTTCATCAGCTCCTACTTCTCGCTTCACTTCTTATTTCACGCTATTTCCTGGGGAGCAAATCGACTGGTCTCGGTTTGCTTATACTCAATATGTCACCGATAGATCTTATCTGTGCAACTCCCTCATGCTTTTCGAGGCCTTGCACCGTCTTGGAAGCAAGCCCGATCGTTTAATGATGTATCCATCGGAGTTCCTTCGCTCTGAGAGTGATGATTCACCCGAGAGTCGTCTGCTTCGTTTTGCCCGGGACAGATATGGGGTCAAGCTCATGCCAGTCGAAGTGCAGATGAAGGGTGGCAGTGGTGCCCCGTGGTCTGAGAGCTATACAAAGCTCCTTGCATTTAACCAAACACAATATGATCGGGTTCTGAATTTGGATTCGGATGCGACTATTCTGCAGGTTTGTCTACGACTAATGCATTCTTTTGGCTATACACTAAAACACCCTTTTTTCTTTAGAGCATGGACGAGCTATTTCTACTCCCTCGCAGCACAGTCGCCATGCCCCGAGCCTACTGGATCAATCCTGGCCAGACCCTGAGCTCTCAGCTTCTTCTAATCGAGCCGTCTGATGTCGAGTTTATTCGCGTAATGGATGCATTCTCCACCGCTGGACCGGGCGAATACGACATGGACATTGTCAACCACCTGTACGGAGGCGATGCGCTGGTGATACCGCACCGTCCCTACAATCTTTTAACGGGGGAGTTTCGTTCCAAGAACCACGATGCATACCTTGGAAATTCGAAGGAAGACTGGGATTCGGAGAGGATGTTTAAAGAGGCCAAGTATCTGCATTTTTCGGACTGGCCTCTTCCCAAGGTATGTCCCAACATCGAGTTTGCACCTCCATCCCATTCATACTCACTGTGCTCGATAGCCATGGATTACCGCCCTCCCCCAGGTGGTTGAAGAGGCGAAGCCTAGTTGCGAATTTAATCCAAAAACACATCAGCAGGATGATTGCCGTACTAGGGATATCTGGCTGGGGATCTATAAGGACTTTTTGATAAGAAGAAAGGTGAGTTCTGTACCTCTTTCGTGCCTGCATCTATCAAATCTGGTGTTTTAATTATAAGTAGGGTATATGCCATACTGCGCAACAGATAGGATCTCTACAGAGCAAGATGGATCCTAGGTCAACACGACTTAACAATGACAACATCTATATTGGGTGATACCAATGTCTTGAAAATTCAATCTCCAGAAATCTGGTAGAATCCTGTAGAACACAATTAACTGACTCGGTGATGGATGCAGTCTCGGGAGACTTGCCGGGACTAGGAAATATACCAGTCAGTCAGAGCAAGAGATGGGGCTCAATAAGAAAAAAAAAAAAAAAAAAAAAAAAAAAAAAAAGGGTAGCTAAATCAATGAAAATGCGGAGATATTTAGATCTTCCTAGGGACAATTGTAAGTCTACATCCAACGATTTCGAGCAGCAATCAAGATAACCCATCCCTTTGCACCTCCCAGAACCCATCTTATTCTGGTGATATGTCCTGCGATTCTTCTTCAGTGTTGAGGTACCTCTCGATCAGTGGCAGTATAGCACGCAGCCACACCATCATCACAACAACGCAATACCAAATGCATACCCATGAGTTCTGTGAAAACGAGGTGCCTCCGAGGTAGGAAACATGAATTGCTGAGATACCGTCTCAACCGCACTGGCCAATCCTTTAGAACATGACCTGGATCATGGTGAAAGGAAGAGAACTTACTATCCAACCGAAATCATGAGAGACGTAGTAAGAGCACGCAATTGTTTGTCGCCGCCACAGCTCGAATTCAGCCAGATACTTATCAAAGGCCCGATTGCACCGTATGCGCCGCAAAGATAGTAGACGGCCATCATGAACCTGTCGTTGTTGGGCCAGACGAAAAACACGCTGTAGGCGAATAACTGGACCAGACCGAGACCGAGAAGCACGAGAGGAGCGAGCCATCAGTATCTAAATTGGTGACCGAAGTAGTCGCATTGCTCGTAGGCAAAGCCATGATTGATGTGTAAAAAGAGAAAGACTGCAAAACGTAGCGTTTTATCTCAACGAATCTCTAAGAGTCAGATTTATAGGGACCAAGCACCAGGGTTTCTGAGGACCTCAAGGGACATAAGCTGTAGGGATTGTCGCGGTATAGCTCCTAAGTAAAACATTCACCCACTTGCCAGGAAAGAACAACAGACGTAGTTCCAATTAGACCCAATAAAAAACTGATATACTTACATTAAAAGAAAGCGCTGGGCTGCAATTCGTTGAAGACTGTGCTCTCTTCGTGGGTAGATCATGGCGGCCGACAGGCTCCCAGGGTCCTCGCAGCCCTACCGCCGATCCCGTCATAAACCCAGCGCCTCAATCTTTCAACTCCCTTGGATCAGCACAGCGTCGGCCGCCAGTGCTAACCTCGTGGTTGTGGCCTTCATCAGAAACAATCACAACATGGAACGTGCCCCCAGGGTTTGTCTCGCCTGCAAATTTCGCAAAAAAGGCTGCGATAAAGCCCTACCTCGCTGTGGATCATGCGCCCGACGAGATCTACATTGTTCATATGACGCCCCTGGTTTCTCAATTGAGAATGAATATACCGGAGAGGCTATTGACACCTGTCACCAAAGCGGACTCTCAAGCTGGCTTTTTGACCCGCGACTGGTATTGCCTGTGACAAATCTCGACAGCATGCTGCATCTTTAACTATGCCGGGTGCTCAAACTTACTACTCTATCTCTGGAGGAGGTGGCAGAGCGATATTTCCGAGGCCCCCACCGGTGGCTGCCGGTGATGTGTCCGGTACTTTTTCGCAAGACCGTTACAAGATACAAGTGCAACCCCCCACCGGGAGACTTTTCGATGCTGTTACTCTCCTTATGCTTGATTGCATGGCATCCGTCAACTACCGAACCATCACAAGCGGCACCAGTATCTCGCTCAGCCCTATACGTCACTGTTCGAATGCTCTTTGCCCATGTGCAATCTGCTATCTGTGTCTCAACACGTCTGGTCCAGGCCAGTCTTCTTATTACCGCGTACGAGTACGCCTGTGCCCGGCCTCAAGCTGCAAACATTTCAATAGGGGTGTGTGCGAGAATGGCCTCGACGATTGGTCTCAGCGAGAACCAGAAACAGGCGCTAGAGGCACTTCCCAGTAGCCATGAAAAGAGACTCAGGGCCAGAGAGCATGTAAGCGTATGGTGGGGAATAGTAGTCTTGGAACGGTCAGTTTCATTGTTAAAATCCCAACTAGAAAGTCATGTGGCTAATATCGAGGAAAACAGGCTTATACTGTGTGAGATTCCACACTCCAAGCAGCAAGTTCTTCTTATGTATCCAAGTCAAGACACTCGGCACCCATCCAATCTCCAACCGGACCCTCACGAGGACTTCCATCTCTCCCAGGAGGGTCCCACACTAACAACAATCCAATCCCGGGGCGTGGGTGGATTTGGGCGTCAGGTCCAAGTGACTTATCTACTTAATGGCGTGCTTCATGCTATTCTGAATTTCCCCCAGGAGAAGTAGATCAACCCTCAAATTACCAGAACTTAGACCAAAAACTCCAACATTTATTAGCTATTCTCGTGCATGACTGTAGCCACGAGTGGGGATACTATTGCGGTGCAATTGGGACTGCTGTTAGGTGAGGAAATACCCAGCCCTAATCGAACCAAATAAGACATCCATAGATATGGTGTCAAAGCCAAGTCGCTCGACTTTAACTCAATACATAGATCACTTTTCCTGCTGCATCGACATATTCGGTCATTTCAAATACACACAGCCCATACACCATGGCTGCAGCAAAGCTCCCAGGCTGCGTTAGACTTCGTGACCAAAATCATCGGTTGACGTGGCCCAAGACCATTTGGAGCGTGTCACACTCCACAATGCTGATATGCTGCCTCTGTCATGTGCCTATAACCTCCAGGGTGCTGTAGAGCATATCCATCAGGTGCAATGCAATGAGGCTGTTGGCCATGGGAGAATTTCTACAGGGGATATTGAGTCACTAGAAGCATTAAATAGGATTTGCTGCGAGAGATGGAGAAGTACTGGCACAGGGGTAGGATCATTTCTAGGCCAGGTCTTAACTTGAAAGAAGCTCGTCTGTCACATACAGCATACAACGGATTCCAAGGCCATAGGCTCACCTGGACGAGTAAGTGACCATCGCTGAGAACGGTCACAGGCATATCGCCGAGGAATGTCACCAACGGAAGCAGCCAAGCCAGATAGTTCGGAACTGTTGGGTGGGAGTAGATTGGGTCTAGCACCCAAAGGTCGTAATAGATCGTGTCCACAGGCCCATAAGTATACATCAGCAGCTCTATCACATTTCCTATGTATGGAGCGCGCCAACGCTCTATACCAGTTCGCGCAAAACTGGCATATCTTGTATCTTTTTACTATCTTTTAATCATAATTTTCTCATGATGATTTTCATGATGTTTTTTTGTGACCTCAGGATATTATTCATCGGATCATCGACTTTAAGTCTCCTTGGAGGTCTTGTATGTGAGCGAAACGCTTCATGGTCTCGGCTTACTAAGCGCTGACGTCCTTCTGCTTGCGGCGATGTGATTCCATGGCGATTTTGTCATCCGCATGTCGCCATGCGGCTGCTTTCGATGTTGTTATATTCGGCCCATTCTCTTGTTATCCCAAAATCCACTAACTCCCCTTCGATCTTATTCTGAAACGAAGCACGGATCTCTTTGCAACCCCCCGGTTTGATGAGCATGTCCCTCCGTGTTCGATTCTACCTTCTTTCTCTTTACTCCTTTCTCTTTCTCTCAAGAAGCTCGAATCAACCTTCGGAAGGGAGTAGGCTCCTGTGACAAGCCTAGCTCGAAGCTCAACCCCCCCCCCTGAATACCTTCCAACACTCCCTTCGGCCTCTTATCAGTCGCTTTCTGCCCCGCCGGGTATCTCCCCCTGGAGTGTCGGCACAACACAAATTATTCCCACCCATATAACACCCAAACAATGATCCGTCGCAATTCCGACATCGAGATTTAACTGCCTGATACTGGGCCAAACCCTCTTTCTCCTGATGCCTTGAACGAGCCCGACGTTGAGATGTTATCTGAGGAGCCAGCACCGCCGTTGACTCTGCCACCACACATCGCCGCCCGGTTCTACCGCAAAAGTAGCAAAGCGCGACGCTCATCTGCCGCCTCATCACGAAGAAGCTCGATTTCGTCCCTAAACTCGCATCGTTCGAACGCCTCATCGAATGGCGCGCCCAGCGCGGATCATATTGCTCAACATCTTCGACGCACATCCATTCTCGAGAGCCGAAAGGCAAGACTAGCCGACCGCGCATTACATGCGGAGAGGGTAAGAGTTCGGGCTGCTCTGGCGAAAGCAGCCACTCGGAATCTGCAAATCGAGGAGAGAGCACTGGCTGCCCAGCAGGCTCGGGAGCGTCTGCTGGCCGAAATCACCGCCAAGTGCGAGGATCAGGTCAAGCGAGCTAAAAAAAAGGCCGAGGATCAACGAGAGAAACAGGCTGCAGAGCACGCTCGCTTGCGTTTGGAAATGGTGGAGAAATTCGCCGAGGCAGAGAAACGGCGAACGCTGTACCAACAAACTCATCGGCGCCAACGCACGAGCAGTTTGCCGGCTGCAGAGGAAAATAAGATGGCCCGAACGGTTACCAAATCGCTCACCCAGGATGCAGCCGCCCGAAAGATTCAAAGGGTGTGGAAAACCCACCATGCTAAGAGGGTCATGCAGCAGTTCCAAGGGCTAGGTCTCTCGGTTGACCGCATTCGAGAAATGGACTTTGAACAGGTGGGAGCTCTTCTCTCCAACCGGGGAGTACTCGATACCATGACCCAAGTCCTTCGGCTCTGCGGACTGCAGGATATGGAAGGCGGCGCGATGGGCGAGCGGGGCGCGGTGCGCACGTTCCTCAGCAGCTATCTCATCGTCACGCATCCGACCGAGGTCTTGAGTAGCAATGGTGAGCAGGAGCAAGATCTCATCGCCAAGGCACAAGAGTTGTTGGTGGCCTTTAACCAGGTCACTGCTCTGCTGTCGTCTGGTTGTTGCTCGCCAGTCGTAATCACTGCGGACCTCCAGGTGTTGTGTGAATCGCATAATGTCTTTTTCTCGGCTTTCCATGCGTGGAAGTCGCATGACTCTAGTGTTTTGATCGAAATTATGCTGGCGCAGTTTGTGGAACTAGAGATGATCTGGCAGACGGTCAAAGATGATCAAGCTGGCGGTGTTGCAGAGGACTACCGACAAGGTATCCGGCAAAACCAGATTCTCCTTTTGGCCCGCTTGAAACGACTTGCGGGCTCTGATCGGGCAATGCAGATGGTCAGGGATTCACTGAAGAAGGCCAAGCGAGAGAAAAAGCGCGCCGCCTCCAAACAGGCCATCCCACGGTCTGCCGAAGTTGCGCCGTCTTCTACAGATGTCCTGACAGAGGGTGTCACATCACCTATCAGTGAGACATTCAACAACGTTGATTCTGCAGTCCTGAAGGAACTGGACAAGCAGCGAGCGTCTCCGCATGAGCGGTTTACCAAAATCCTCACTGCTCTCCCCGAAAATCGAGTCTTGGTACACGAGCTTCTCATCAACAAAGAATTCAAGGTTGAGGAGGTGCCATATACCGAGCCACGAAGGCAGGTCATGAAGCACATGTGCGAAATGATGAGGAGAGATGTTGATGCTGGGTTCGGCACTGACTGGACCGTCGCCATGGCTACCGTCATCCAAGACCGTCTTTTGCGCTCTCTGCGGCCTGGAAATTCCCTTCATGTGTTGATCAGCGAGGTTTTGGATCCAAAACTGATCGAGGGCCAATGCAAAGCTGGCACGTTCTCCTACGAGAATTTCTTCGAATTTATGAACAACATTCTACCCCGTCTTTGTGCCCCAGTCCGCGATTCTGCGGCCAAGGCATTCGCCGAAGACACTTCAGGGGATGCCATCGATCGACTGGCACGGTTAATGGGTATTATTGATCTACTCTCGCTGGATCACACGAATTTCATGATTCAAGTTGCCGCACCCCAGCTAATTCAAGAAGCCCCGGGCTACGAGCAGCGTACGTTTGATCGGGAGGTTGTCGACGGGTCTATCAGCCTGGGCAAAACCCGGCGATTCTGGCGGACCAACCGAAAAGTCATCGTCGACGAAATGAAGAAACGGGATCCGGAGCGTATCCACGGAGAACCTCGCCCGCCGCCTGCTCGAGTCTATGCCCAAGGGCTCACGGATCTGGCATTGAGCAACGCCGCTGTCTCGGAGGAATTAACACCAGAAACTTTGGCTCTGGACCATCAGCGACTGGAGCGACTGCACGCAAAGGCGTTTCAAATTGTAGCGACGGCTTCTATTCTGCTGACTGCGAAGAACCTGCTCAAACGGGATGCGCGATCGCAATGGAAGCCTGATGCAGACAGAATCTTATCGCTGGACTTTAATGAGATCAGTGCGGAACGGGTGCAGTCGATCCTTGAATCGACCCATCCCATGCCAGCCGCTGCGAGTGCCCAGCTTGCCGCTACCATCCGGAGAGTTCTTGCGCCTGTTGCTACGGCATGTAGGGCAGCGGCACCGTCAATCGCAGTAGAGGTTACTCCAGATCACACTTCCTCGGAAAATCCCTCATCATCCCTTGATTCCCATGGGTTCTCTGCACCCAGCTTTTCCGATCCGGTTGCACGACTCATGCTTTCGCGTCTCCGGAGTCACATTCTCTCTCGTCTCAGCGCATCGAGCGCCTCGGAGCGGGTGCGGGCAACCACCACTGCCAGTCAGAGTCTGGCAGGGGCTGGAATGCCCGAGTTTGTCAGTGAGGTGGGACAGTTAGTCGATGAGCTAGAGAAAGTCCGGGAGGTGGACTGGCTCTGCCATAGTGCAGTATACGAACGCCTATATGAAGAAGGCGTTTCTACCCAATGAAGGCGTTCTTGAGATGGGCATAACATCATGTCATTGGTTTTGCATTTTCTTTTGGATTTGATTGAGCTTTTTGTTTATGGATGGTTTAGGCAGACTGGCAGGACAGGGCGAGGCGATGTATATTTATGTTATATACTCTGATTTCTGGCAAGGCGTCGAATGCAACCGCACAGGGATAATACTCGAACTGCCGTTCTTTCATGCCCTATATTGCGTCTGGTCTGATTGCACCGCCCATCCTCATTCCAGTCCCCACCCCCCATCGTTCACATAGGTGTTGTGTTCGTGAGGTTTCGATCTCGAAATGAGAGAGGATCGGCAGGAATGGGGACATGTCGCAGGCCCCATGCATTTGCAATCTCTAGGCCTGTCTCGCTAGTCTAATCGACATGGAGAAAGAATCGGTGTCCCTTGATTGAGCATGAATCATCGGAACCAACACAGTCTTGATGCAAGTGCAATGCGTGAGGCCATTCGGCCATGCACTTCACTATACCCTGTGTGGACGAACGCTGAGCCGTTGCGCCCCATTTGGGATTCATGCCCAAGAGAAGCGCTGACGCCTAACGGATGCAGGACTCGGTGCTGCGAATCGGATTGGTCTCGGAGGTCAAGATCGAGGTCGACGAGTCCCTATTCTGTTACCTTAGACAGATCCCTAGACTCTCATTCAACCGTGTGAGTGTCGAGTTAAAATGCTCGTAGGCGCCTTTCCGTAGCTGGTGCTCTTCCTTGCCAAGTCCCAGACTCCGTAAACTACGAACAAGTCAGACAGATCTCCTCCACCATCGTGTTTTCTTTCTGACGAAAGACATAACTCACATGCGGGATTCTTTCGCAATCTGTGGTCGTTCCCAGAACCGAGCTAGCATCAGATTCCGCACAATCTTGTGTTCCATGCCTGTCGTTTCGGCGGCTCGTTCGAGAAAGCGTAGAGTATTCGAAATTTTGGAGGGATTCAGCTCCTCTTGGGGAGAAGAGCGAAATGAGGCCCGTAAGGAATTCACCAGTACATGGCGGGCCGGGGTCGAATACCTGATCGCCTTCAATCCCTGTCGGTAGAGATGACGATATGCGTGGATCACCGCCAGCCGGTCCGCCTGCTGGATAGCCTGAGCTGAGGCACCCATGTTCGATGTGCTGGGCGATGCGGTGGATTTGATAGTTTGCCCGAACGACTGACTGGTTGAAGCATCCAAGACGCGGAGGCGGAGAATTTGAGGGCCTCAGGCAGAATTAGCCCCATCCAACTTTGGGCCGCAACGATCTTATCAACCGCTCCTCGCCCCTCCTCGTTCCTCCTCTCTTGCTCTCTCTTTCTCTCTCACTCGAACCCTGCCTCTTGAACTGGTTGTTCTGCCCAGGCCGACCACATCGGTCAGCTGGGACCTGTACAGGACATAAGGAAGGCGTGGCCTTGCTATTCCCAGATTCCATTTTGCGTCGATTTCTCCGCATTCCCACCGTGGTTTGATTGACTGACCATATTCTCGATGACTGGGGCTATTTAAGCAGATCTCATACATCTACCCGGCTCCATTTACGAAAACACCAGAAAATGCGTGCCAACTTCATTATCGGCGAGGTTCTGTGAGCCAATCTGAGAAACATGGCCCGAGTGGTGAGGAGAGCTGCGTCGGCTTCGGCCAGGCGCGCCCCCAGTCGGGCAGTTCACAGGAGAGCTCGAAGGCACAAAGTGATCATGGAGTCTGTCACTCAGGAAAAGAAGAAGCTTCGGAGTATTGTACGTGTCATTCAATCACGATGTGTCTCGATGATGCCTGACAGCCAGAGCAGATCTCTTTCGAGGCACAAGCACCAAGTGGTTATACATTCATTCCGGCCGGTAATCCACATATCACCACGGCTTGTAAAGAACGATGTCGAAAGGAAGGCCTCGATATTTTTGCCGTCTCGGTAAGATGATGTCCTTCCGGTCCTCTCTGCCTACCGGGCGCTGCTCATCTTTCTCCAGACCACCCCACATATGCATATACACAATCTTTCTCAGCATGTACACCGGATAGGTTACCATTTCCCCAGCACCGTGGTCGCTGTCGCCTGCTCGGAGTTGGGTCTGTATCTTACTAACACGGGGAAGGCGGTTCCCATTCATGGGATTGGGACGACGGAAAACCTCGCACGGGCTAACTCAGAGTCTCAAATCACAATCAACACCGAGGCGAGGGACGCTATTAGGGACCTCTTCCCTAACATTCCCGACAAGGATCTGAACCAAATCATCAAGACAGCGTTTCAAAAGGTGCGTCCATCAAACCCCTGTGCGGGAGATCTTTTGGGCCCAGGAATCCTGATCTCTGCGGTACTAGGGTCAACGGAAAGTTGGGACCGCTTCTGAGTTGCCTCTGGCTCGCAGAGCTCAGCTCGCTGTAGTGGCACACATCCGTCATCTCTATACCGACTACGATCGTCTTCTCAAGACGACGTCATTCCATGAGGCTAGGACCGCAGTCGAACAAACCACCCTAGCCAAGGTAATTGAATGGCGAGGAGACGATGAGAATGGCCAAACGGTTCTCGAGGACGTCTTCCGCGAGGTGATTGTCATATCCGATGATGAGGACAGTGAAACAGAAGAAGACATGGCCCCGGCAATATGTAATCGGGAACTCAGCGTGGAGGTCCTTTCAAGAAATGCCCGCGGAGATGAGATACAGACTCAGCCGGTGACCAACCTGAAATCCTTCATCCAGGATCCTTCACGAGAATTATCCGAGGAGGCACCGCCTGGGTTTCGGTTCGTGCCAAGGATGCCAGCCAAAAACACCATCGATCGCCGAGGATTTAGCAGATACCAAGCGTGGAACCGCGCTCTCCATCGGTATAGAGCTGGAGCACACGGCGCAGAGCAGTCCAGGTTTGGTAGTACCCTGGCGGAAGACTGCAGTCCGCGGCACGCCACACGACATGTCGCTGTTCCCAAATCAACGGATTCTACTAGGCGTCCACATGCCGAGGTTTCTCCACGAGTCATTCCGGGCCCAGCCAATATTGACAACCAGGTACATCGAGTGCTCCCAGTTCCAGTCATGGATCGACGGCCCAGCGAGAGGCCTGTAGGTGTCCCGGAGATCCATATTGCTTCGACCGGGCAGCGGAAACTTCCAAATCATGGGTTCAATGCAAGGCCCGGACTAACCACTATGGATCCACGTGAGGTACATTCCGCAGAGGGGGGTCGTACGAAGAACGGAAATGTCGTTTACTCGCAGGGTCTTCCTTCCACAGAAAAAGGCTTCGATCCTCGGACTGAAAGACCCCCAGTTTCATCAGATGTCATTGCGAACGCACCTGTGTTCGTGAGCGGACCCAAGGAGCAGTACCGCAGTAATGAAGGCTCATGTGGGCACCGACCAGAACCTGTCATTCCCCATGCCTCCAGATCAGGACTGAACCCCCAGGAATATGTGTTACCATCAATTGAAAATCCCTGGCCCTCAGATAACCGGCACGTGGATGGCCGCTTGGAACATTTGACCAAGAGAATGACACTCCGTTCGGTCACTCCAGGCTGTTCCCAAAGAAATGCCATCGAGCTAGACAGCCCCAGCGACCAGACTTCCAAAAGAAGACGCTTGGCATATCATGGCGTAGCTCGTCGCGATACTGGTCCAGATCCCCGGAGTGCGAGGCCTATTGGGCTTTCTGTTTCCGAAGGATTGGAACCACGAGGGCAATATCGCCGTGTCCAGTTCGTGCCAGAGCATCGCCCGCAGGATGAGGTTGCTTTCCATCAAGACTATCCCCCGCCAGGGGAACAGCCTCCTCTCGTAGGATACCGAGAGAGGAACCCTGAGTTTTGTGCCCTTCCTCCCCTCATCAATCTAGATACCAGGCCAACACTGGAGCGGAAGCGCACCTGCGATATACTTGAACATGTTCCTCATCCTCACCCCGGGCTTCCTGGAGCCAGCTTCATGGGCTTGGAAGGTGACCGCGCCTTCAGGGCTGCACCGGATGTCTCCAATCCAGGAGGCCGACATGTTTATCATGGTAATCGTAGTCCCCGTTTGAACGGTGCCTGGCTCGGGAGAGAAGAACCACGAGCCTCTACGTGGCGCAACCACATTGATGGTGGCCGCCTGGCAGATGACCTTCCTCCAAGCAGAAAACTCTATGCCGATGGCTTCGTTCGTGCTGTTGGCGCCCGCGAGTCCCGTCCAATCGAGTACGCTCGACCTTCAAGGCCCGAAGGCCTCCGTGCTGGGGAAAGTCGCGGTCAACCCCGGACTAGGGCCCCTGATGAACTTCCTTTGGTCCAGCCTTTGTCGGCCCAGCAGGGCCTACTTCCTTTGGGTATGCGAGGCACTCGCGCCCCTCTGGATCATATCCCCAGTCACCTCGAGGCAGTTCCCGGGAATCCCCAGCCTGTATCCACGGCCCCAGTCCATCGTGATAGACGTATGGGCGGGCTCGAACCTCCGTGGTAAGCCCTCGACATGAGATCAATGAATCCACCAGCTCATTGCATTTGTGCACTCGAGAGATTCAACTGACATGACCACAGGCACTTTCACGATCCTCACCCCCGGCCCGTGGAGCCAAACCGTCCAGTCTACGTGAAACGAGTTGAGCCCCATCCGCCCTACTCTGTTGCCGACGGAAGGCCTGTCATTGTTGTCGATTGAAGCGATTCTTTCTTCTTTCCTTTTCTTTTCATTTGATTCCAAGGCGTTCGGATAGTTATTTTAGGGCTTTCATTTGTACCTGCCCTCATGGACCATGATACCCAGCTGCATATTCTTAGAACGTCTGCATTTATGGGGTTTTCGATCTCAAATTCAATCCAAGCCATGGTGGAACTCGGAAAATCTCTTGCAATGTGATTTAGAAAAAGTTCAGTGGTATATTTCAGCCTATCGTGTGCTCCAAGTGTTCATTTCAAATCAACGCGGATCTGCCCGTAAGGTCCCTCTCAGACGCCCATCGCTTGCCCATTCGCCTCTCCAGTGTTGACCGTTTTCCCGGTCTTCTTGATTGTCGTGAGGACAGTATCGTAGGATACACTGGGCTCGGTCGTGACAGTCGCGGTCTGGGATTCCAGGTTGACATCGAACGACTTGACACCTACGGAAGCCATCATTAGTAACCCGCTGCCATCGCGGGAGGGATGGATCACATACCTTCCAGGCGTTTCAGGACGCGCTCCACGGCACCGGAGCAACCGCCACAGCTCATAGACACGTTGAACTTGTACTGGTGGTCGGACATGGCGGGATATGAGGGGGGAAATCGCGGGGCAGAGAGGCGGAGAGGGAAAACACCGAGACACCAGCCGGGAAAAACGTGATTGACGGGGGACCTTAAATACATGCGGATTTTTCGTGCGCTTTTGAGCCATTTATGCTATTGATTGCCTTAGCTATGAATTCTGGAATTCGGGGTATCTTCTATGGTATCTTTATCTTCTAGTGCTAGAAACCCGCCGCTCGTTTCTTCTTCTTGGCCTTGGTCTTCTTCGCAGCTTCGCGCCCCCCAAATAGCCCTCGCTCTGTCTGGGTCATCGGGACATCCAGAGTGGGCTGACTACTGGGAAGCTGTAATGCACTATCTGGCTGGCTGCCCCAAGCCCGGACCGTTGGCACCGAGATGGTCGGAACCGACGGGGTATCTGGCACAACGGTTTGCGACCGCTTCTTGTGCAGTCGGCGTTTGGGCGTGGCCCTTGACGTCCGCTGCGCCTCCTCATCCAACATCTGTGTGGTGCGCTGCCATTGGTAAGCGGCAGGGTCGGCACCCAGTTGCCAGTGCGAGAGCAAGTTCGTCACATTCCGTGGAGTCGACCGTGGAGCCTTGAAGCTGGCAAATGAGGCGAGGCTGCTATACAGGGGAGTTGAGCCATCTGTCGCTCGGTCATCGGACGTCTCGGGTCGATGTTCTGCTAAAAAGGTTGCCTGGCTTGCGGAAATTTGCGATGACGGCTGGTCAGCCGTTGTTTTCTGGCCCACAACCGGCTCTTCGAGGGGCCGGTCCTCGTTCGCCTGCACAACGGCACGAGGTGATTCGTCCCCAGATATGGTGGAAATTCGTATGAGACGCGATAAAATGAGATCCGTAGCAATCCCCCGGACAGCCTTGGCTTTCATAGTCCGCGAGCGCGCGGGCATATCGTGTGAGAGACTTGCTACCCATTCGTTGACCAGTCTGTCGTAGACTTCTAGAAGATCCAGCTCCGAGTCTTTTTCTGGCGAGATAGCCGGCATGCCATGGAACAGACTAGAAAATTGGAATGGCAGAATCGTGACTCGGTATTGGGCCTGCGCATCTGAGCGTCGAGACAAGACGGCCGAGGCAAGACTCTTGAGATCGTGCGCATCTTGATCAATATCATCCAGCAAAGGACGACCACCGCTCAGCTCAAACCTAGGGCTACTTAGCATCATGAGCCAATGGGATTGTTACGGGAAACTTACACTGTTTGACTTGTGTGTCGATCATCCCATGGCTGAGCTAGATGAGTCTCCAAATGTTCGAGTAACTGGCCGACAGGTCTGCCGAGGGTTTCCAGATTACCATCGGCGTTCGCTGTCGGATTCCCCACTGCCATATCATAGACCGACATGAAATTCAAGGTCCACTGAAGATCTGTAAGGGGCGCATCAGGGGCAGTCCGGCGAGACACAACACTAGTTGAGGGAGCTGCAGATTCATCCCAGTCATCAACGATGAAATCATCCTCATCAAGCTCCTCATTTTTTCTGGCACCAGGATGGCGCTTTTTTAGCCGCAGGACGTTGCGCTCGATATGTATATCATTCTCATCATCATCACGACTTCCCTGGGGACCCGTGAAAACCGATTCGTGAATGGCGCGACGCGAATCGGCCCAGAAAAGCTTGATGAGGGTCAGATCAGGATTATAATTCAACCTGCCCACCGGCGCAGAAGAATGGGCAACTTCTCGAAACACAAATGTTGAGAAGTGCACCGGGAAGTCTGTCTGGCTCGAGGCATCTGCTGCTGGTACATCGAGCAGAAATGGGTCGGGGACGGGTGCAGACTCCGTCGGTTCATCGGTCTGGAAAGGGCAGAGAAAGGCTTGAACGAGTTCAGTGAGCCGGGAGTATACAATGAGATACAAATCTAGGGAAACAGGGGTTAGCACTCGGCTCCACCAGTCTGACTGCGGAAGCACATACTGTCCTTCAACAGTAAATCCCCGAGGAATAGTGTTGTATCCTCTGGGTCGCGGAAATGACGCCAGGCGAGACGAGGACGGAGAGGTGGCTTGGGATCCTCCTCTAGTGACGCCGCTGCGACATCGAACCAAAGTAACCGAGACGTTGTCAAGACAAAGAAGTGTGACGCATGGTGGGAGCTTCTGCGTACGTCCAAAACCCACTCAGATGGCCTAGCCATCCGCAGCTCAACCGTGTTTGATCGAACTGGGTCGTCTGCCATTTGGAAAAGCATCACAGATCGACGGTCAGAGACAATCAACGTCCAGACATCGCCGATCCACTCAATGGACCCCCAACCATCATGCCGAGGATGTCTGGAACTCGGCTTGTATTCAGCTTCTGGCAGCGAACCATTTTTAACACACGCAGCAGCCCAATTAGCCCCTTTTCGCCGTTGTCGGCCAGAGATTTCCCAGACACTCCAGTTACCGTTGGTATCCACGATGGCGAATTGTCTCTGATACCAGGGATTGAAGGTCACGTCGGCGTGCGGAAAACCGCCTGTGTGCGAAGCAGAAATCTCCACCACGGGATTTGAATCCAGTCGAGAGTTTCGCAAGTGTATTGAAGAGGCCACTGCATCATCGCCTTGGATATGCAGCGGCACAGGCTCCCGCTGGTATAGAGGTCGGAAAACAGTAGTTGACTCAGCAAGCCGCGCAGCCATCCAGGTTGCTTTTTCCTCGACCGGCCGCGCAAAGCAAACTTGACGAACAGGAGCACCGCGCTTTGACCACTCCGTTGTTTCCGAGTCACCGATCGATGCAATCCGCACCGCGGACCCCTCGCGCGGCAATTCGGTGATATCATCCACTAGCATGCGAAACGAAACCGCATTGCCACACTCTCCAGTCACGGCAACTGCAATTGGGATGGACCGGGAGCTCGATTCATCATTTCCATAGTCCACCGCATGACCGAGATCAAGGAGCGACGAAACTTGAGGGTCGTAGTATTCGGTTGTTGTCGCAACAACTTTGGAAAAGGTCTCGTCGCGAATGGAAGACCAGCACACGGCAAGATCAGGGTGCGCATTCAGGATCAATCTCTGGTGAGGCGCCCGAGCTGCATTGGAAGCTGAGGGGGGTTGATTCACTGGAAGCGGTACCGTTGTCTTCGTAACTCCAGTGTATGCGATCGCAGCAGCTTGAAACGTCCGAGTCAGTTTATGTACCTGAAGATATAAGATAAGAGCACCTACATCGGGCCAGAGTACGAGCAAAAGTCCAAGACTTGGCTTCAGGGAGATAGACAGCTCTTCCCACGTGCCCATAGTGTAGAGCACCATCCGGGTGTTCATCCATTAGATCTCTCTTTGCGCTTCGCGATATGCGTCGGCCACACCATGTCGAGAGCTGGCGACTCTGATATTGATAAAGAGAAGACCAGAGAAGTCAGTAGATCAGGCGTGAAGAGAGGCCGCAAAAATCTTTTTTTTTTCTGGACGTTATCGATAAGCCAAGCTTTCGGTTGCGCCGCAACCCAAACAACGCCGGTTTCCCCCCGCGTGCATCTTTCCAACCCGCAATTTCCTTCTTGAACCTCCCAAACTCGAAAAAGAAAAGGAAAAGAAAAGAAATCCACGTCTCTGTCATGGCGTCCTTTGACCCGTCACTCTCAACGAGTGGCATGCGCCCTCCTCTCGCCTCGGCGGATGCTCCGTCCATGGCAGACTCGCTGCCCAGCATCAACTTTGGATTCGAGGACTTACGCAACCGTATGGCTCAATTCACTGCCAAGTTCGACGCGTTTATCGAGCGAGGCCGAAAACAGGTTTTGGAGGAAAGGAATCAATTTCATATCAATCTCGCCGAACATCAAGGTAATCGCGACGGACCCCCATGGGCGACCCCCTTCTTCTTACTCACGTCTGGCCTAAACAGAGGATGAACGGATGCGACAACGAGATATTGAAATCATCGCGCTGAAATCTCAAACCCATGAACAAATGCTGCAAAAAGAGGCGGCCGAGGCAGCCGAAATGCATGCCGCCATTTCTTCCATCACCATGGAACGCGACACCCGTCTTTCCAAGCGTGATCGCCTCAAGCAGCAGATCGCGGAGACGCAGAAAGCCATCAATCAGAAACGCGAGGCGCAAAAGACCCACGCGCAGCATCTAGATGCCCAGTCTCGTCTCAACTGGCCCGAACTTGAGTTCTGGCAGGACTATCTTTGTTTACGCATTGAAGGAGCCGGCCGGGAAGACCGCTTGAAGTTTGTGTACAGCCATCTCTTGGAGAAGGATTGGGAGGCGGAAGCTTGGTTTGAATTAGGCACCGCTAGCCGCGATTACGAGGTTTTTCACACGCGGCCCAAGGTCGACCGCGAGGCGTTGGAGCGCGAAGTGGATCTCGTCAACGACGACCGAGACTTTGGTGCATTCCTCAAGCGCATGCGCAAATTGTTCCTAGAGGCAATGAGTTGAAGGTCAGAGATGGGGGAGTCGATTCGAGTGTTTTGATATGAATTTCATGAGTTCAATGCACGAGGATTCTTAGGTCATGTCCAGTGGCGTCGTAAACAGCATGTAGGCATTTACTCAGCACCATTTGCCAGGCTCTCTCTGTCTCTCTTCTTCAGCCCCCAGTGGCTTCTCGATAAAATGCAACGCTGCGATTTGCGCCTGCAGTCGCGAATCCTTCAGTCCGGCCGATCTTTGGGAGCCATTTTACGCTCCATACTGCCTTCTCCGTCTCGGAGTGTGTAGCGACGCAGGTCTTGGTATCGATCGACCACACCTTGACTTTGCCATCAAACGAACTGTGTACGGTGTTAGTCCCACGGGCCCAACTAGCCACGCTGGTAACGATTATGGACTCACCCGCTGAGAAGGTATTCACCCGTGTGGCTCCAGGAAAGAGACAGGATCCATGCCGAGTGCCCCGAGAGGTTGGCGATCTGTTCCCCGGACGCGGTGTCATACAGCACAATTACCTTCGAGTCACCAGCTGCAGCCAGAATCCTGCCACCCGGCGAGAAGGCCAGGGTTCGAACCGGCTTCACCAATCCTGTAACTAGTGAGACCTTGTGATTCCTCCAACGAAGACACCCCACGCACCTGATAGAGAGAATGGCATACGGCCCGTTTCGGCACTAAAGATGTAGACAGCACCATTTTCGTGCCCACTGGCGATAAAGCGACCATCGGCAGACTACATGGCAAGTCAGTAAATCCATTTGCGGACCTCAAGGGGTCTAGCGTACCAAGTCGATGCAAGTGCCAAAGCTGCCCTTAGTCTCGTGATCCCGTATGAGAGCGCCATTTGCACCTAAGTCCCACACCTTGATATGCCCATTTTGAGTGACCCCAGCAAGATATCGTCCATCGAGAGACAAGGACACAGCCCAGGCGTCCGCACCCGCGAGATTGGCTGTAGCATCGGTTAGCAGGCGTGTGGATAGACAACCAGAGGACAGGACTCACCCGAAGTCGCATTGTCTGCGAACCAGTATCCGTCCTCGCAAGACCAGGCCTTTAAATCCCCTGCAAAGCCGGCGCTCACCGCGCGTGAGCCGTTGGCTCCTGTGACGAGGTGGTGGCAGCCGACTTTGTGGGCATTGTCGATGGACTGCACCAGGCGAAAGTCCGTGTCCGTAGTCGAATGAACTTTGATTGATGAGGCGCCCGATGCAGACAAGATCTGAGTGTCTGTCACGGCCAGCGAGAAGATATCGACCGGGTGCGCTGGGAGTCAACCGTTAGCTCATGTCCGTATCCAAGAGCATCGTTTCCCCCCACCATTGTCCGCCGAGCCCCACGAGAGATATTGTTTCGACTGGAATGGTTAGCTGCGAGAGTTGCTTGAGCTCACGAGAATCTCACCATCTTCCGTCGCCCCTAATTCCGATCTGGACGCGTTTCCAATGGGTTGGCAAAGAACAATGACGTTGGGGCGACGAAAAGCTTCCGTTCCGCCTTCACATCCGCCAATACTCCCAATGCCTCGCTTGGTATACGGTGATTTTCGTGGACTCAAACTACAGAATTCAAAAATCAAGATTCAAGAGAAACCTTGAAGAAAATAATAAACTTGGATTTGAGTCCATTGGACTTGAAACATAGACAATCGTCAAACCGGGATTCTTTGTCCCACAGAACCAGACGCCAGGTGCCATGCAGCAAACTTGTATACACATCCCATTCTCCCTTCTCTAGAAGTACACGGTGATCCCAGCTATTGAGGAAGACTTCGCGGCCGCGGTTATTCGACCCGGTTCATGCCGTTTGTGCCGATTTCCACGATTCCTTGATTTCTGTCAAACCGTCAGCTTCTGTCCCACCAGGATCCGATATACATCTCTTTCTATTTGATCCATATGCCCAAATATATGTATGCACGGTACATCCGTGGATAGGGAGAGACGTATAGCTGTTTACATATACCCAGGTATGTAGTCGAATCCACGTACCTTTCACACAGTGGGGGCACAACACATGGGAGCGTTTAATCTGCCCGCATGCGGGGCACTTGCTAAGACCGTGCACGTCCTTCAATGCCTTGCCAGCGAGTTGCCGATGACGCCTTTTCATGTGGGAGGTTTTTTTCTTAGGAGCTGCGCGGAGAACCGAGTCCCAAAGATCGGAGAGGAGGGACGGGACGGGGAGGGAGATGGCCCAAAGAGAGGACCCGATAGATCGCGGAATGGAATCGAGGAAGACCCCGGAAACCGACAGTCGCAAAGCCATGGTGTGGAAGAACAAGAGAGAGGTGGATATGTCGAGGAAAGAACAGCCGCAACTGCCCAACTTTTCCCAAATCCACGCTAGGCCAAATGAGGAATAGCCCGTCCCCCCTGAGTTCGCGACTTGTCGGGAACAAACACGCCGTTAAGGGGTTCACCTCTCTATCTCCCTCACCCCGTACCCTCGAAACCATGGCTACCACCACTTCCGCTCAACACCCGACTGTGTTCCCTCACAGTCATGTCGGTTTCGACAGCATCACCTCCCAGATTGAGCGGAAGCTGTTGAAGCGCGGTTTCCAGTTCAATGTGATGTGTGTTGGTATGTAATCCCCTCCCATCTGCACTTTTTTTTTCACTGACCATTGCTTCCAGGACAAACCGGTCTGGGCAAGTCGACTCTCGTCAACACCATCTTCGCATCCCACCTGATCGACTCCAAGGGTCGTCTGACCCCCAACGAGCCTGTTCGCTCCACGACCGAGATCCAAACCGTGTCGCATAGTATGTGTTGCTCTGAGCAGGATGGGACAATCGCTGACCGGGTGACTAGTCATTGAGGAGAATGGGGTGCGTCTCCGTCTGAACATCGTCGATACGCCTGGTTACGGGGACCAGGTCAACAATGACCGATGGTATGCGCTAGCTCTTGCCTCTTCGAATATTCTCGAGCTCGAGCTAATTATAGACTAGCTGGGACCCGATCGTCAAGTACATCAAGGATCAGCACTCGGCATACCTTCGCAAGGAGCTTACGGCGCAGCGTGAGCGCTACATCCAAGATACCCGTATCCACTGCTGCTTGTTCTTTATCCAGCCGTCGGGCCATGCGTGAGCTTTCCTCTTCACCCCCACTGCCATCTTGACAGGTCCTGACCGTTGGTTCTCTTTATACAGCCTGAAGCCAATCGATATCGTGGTTCTGAAGAAGTTGTCCGATGTGGTCAACGTGGTTCCCGTCATCGCCAAGTCCGACTCCCTCACCCTCGAAGAGCGCCAGGCATTCAAGGAACGGATCAAGGAGGAATTCGCTTTCCACAACCTGAAGATGTACCCTTACGATAATGACGAGCTCGATGACGAGGAGCGTGCCATCAATGTCCAGATCAAGGTATTTGATTGCTTGTTCTAGCTCCCTAGCTGGTCTCTGGCACTAACATGGAGCGCAGGACATCATTCCCTTCTCCGTGGTCGGTAGTGAGAAGACCATCGTGGTCAATGGCAAGCAGGTCCGCGGTCGTCAGAACCGTTGGGGTGTGATTAACGTCGAGGATGAGAACCACTGCGAATTCGTCTACCTGCGCAACTTCTTGACCCGCACCCACCTCCAGGACCTGGTCGAAACCACGAGCCAGATCCACTACGAGACCTTCCGTGCCAAGCAGCTTCTGGCCTTGAAGGAGAGTAGCGCCGCTGGTGGTCACTCGGGTGGGAGCCGGCCCATCAGCCCGTCGGCGGAGCGGGAACTCAGCCGCAACTCGCAGCGCGCAGCCATGAACGGCTACTGATTTCCCTGTTCTGTCTCCTCTCTTTCTCCCCTCCCCACGGGCGGTGGTGGTCCATGGTGTGAAGTGGGCACTTTGGCTGTAGTGCAGTCGATGGGCAAGACTGTCCCTTTTTTCTCCGAAAATCTCCTGTTCCCTTTTGTGACCCCAGCAGGCCCTTGCAGATATCCCTTTTTCTTTACTTTTTTCCCTAGTGTTTCCGTGTTATTTTCACCAAGTCTGTATCCTCCTATCCTTTTCTTCGGAGAATGATTGAGCTTTCCTTATTGACTGGGATCTGCGTTGCCGGGAAATAAAAAGGAGCCACTGGCATCCGCGCTCATGCCACGTGTTATTTTCCATGTACTTAGTTTCCTTAATTATCCCTCATGAGAAGCATTTGATTGTTGGATTGCTCGTGTCTATTTGATTTTGGTGTATACAACTATACAAATCCCCCGAGGTTTCGGGGAGGCTGTTAGCTCCGCGAAGGCCCCGGATGGCTGTCCCGTCTCATGGTGTTCAGATGATCGGTTTCGGATTCCTGCTCGAGGAAATTCGACCATAGCTCCGCCAGCGTCTCCTTGCCGGAGGCCCCGTTGTCCATGAATTCCGTGGCGAGATTTGGAGTGCTGGGTGTGCGCAGAGGAGTACCAGGCACGCGAAGCTTCCCGGTCCCAGTCGAGGTCCCGGGCCGGGCAAGACCTGCCTGTTCACGTTGTTCTGTGTCTATGAGTTAGAGAAATAAAAGCAGCGGCGCCAATTGCGCGGGAACTCACCATCTGTCCAACCCAGCAGTGCTGCGATGAGCTGGAGAACCTGAAATTTCTTCGGGTCGGATCGATCCAGGGCAACGAAGTGGAGCAGATGGTTGGTGACAATATGACTAGATGAAGAGTCAACGAAAGCTGAGGCAGGCTCCAGCAACGGAGAACTCACCGGTCGACATTGTCCTCGGGCTTCCCCTTCTTGAGGAAACGTAAAGCTTTAGTGAGATGGTCATTCAACGTGACGGCTTCATGCCGCAGTTTGCCGATGAGCAGATTTTTCTCCTTCACCTCTTTCTCAAATGGCCGGACTCTCTCCAGCTCCTCTTGAGAGGTTTGGAGGCTTTTGTCAGCATCGGTGGCTTGCCTCTGCGCCTCCCGCAGGGAACGTCTCAGCTCCTCCAGCTGAGCATCGGAGCTCTCCACCAGCTCCCGAAGTTCTTGCTTCCGTGCTGATTGAATCTCCTGTAGGGCTCGTTGCAAGCCATCCACAGTGGAGTGTTGGCTGTCGCGTTCGCCGGCGGCTCTTTCGTAGACCTCTCTCAAGTTGCTGAGCTGGTCCTCTAGATCAACGACTTTCTCACCCAGATTCTCCCTAATGGATCGCTCTTCCATCGCAAGAACTTCCCAATTATGCATTGCCTCCTTGGCTTGTTCAAACTCGGATTGAAGGTACGACTCCTGCTCAAGGAGCTCTTCTTTCTCCTGGATCCAATTCTGCTGGGACAAGCTTGTTCGATCCCGGAGAGAGGAAAGCTCCTTTGATTTCTGGGCCGATTCCCCCGAGAGGACTGCCAGCTGGGAGGACTTGGTGTCGAGCTGCGCCTTCAAGTTGCTATTCTCGTCCTCGAGATCTTCGATTTGCGATCGAGCCTGGGCCAATTCCTCCTGTAAACCCTATATTAGCCTGGTTTCTCCTACGCCTGCAAGGATTCGACTTACGGCGTCTTCTTTGAGTCGCTCCCCGAGCTGCGATTTTATCGTGTTGATTCGTTCCAAGAGGTTTTGGTACTGTGTCTCCGCATGTTCCTTCTTGCTCTCTGCGTCATCCAGCCTCTGCTGCAGGGCTTCCATGTCTGCTCGGTGTTTGGACTGTATCCCCTCCAGTGACTTCCGCATGTCGGTCACTTCGGCCCGTAAGGAATCTCGATCTCGGACAAGCGCGTCAAACCGGTCTTTCGGCTCAGGGTCGGCTGCTGCGGGGTCTTGCTGGTCATTGGGACTTTGCGTGTCGCCAGTCACAGCAAGCTCGTGGTTCTCATTCGGCTTATCCATGCTGTCTGTTGTATCCGGTTTGGCGCCAGCGTCTTGCGGGTTTTCTATTGTATCGTCGCTCGGTGCATGGGGGTTCTCCTGGGAGGTCTCAGCAACAGTCGCAAGGACAAACACGGTCATCCATGACACACATTGATAGGATGATCATGGTTTGTCGAAGTCTCTTCGTGGTGCTCGTTCTCTGCTTTTTCCTCGTTGGCCTTCGCCTTGGCGGCCTTCTTCTTGTTCTTCTTGGATTTTGCGCCTGATGTGGGCGGGGTCAGTGGGCTTCGACCGGGCATTGGGCATCGTGCGTACCTTGAGCGGACGAGGGAATGTCTGTCGCCATGCTGGTGGGTTGGTCGGGGTTGGTGGGAGAAGAGCGGCAGTCGAGGCAAGGTAAGATGTCAACACCCACACTAGTGCGGCTGGGACCCTTTCCGCCTGAGATGGCGATGATTAATCGCGCTCGCATTTCTTTTTTTTCTTTTTTTTAAATATATATATACATTTATTTATTTATATCTCTCTATACTTCTATAGATAAATTAACAGATCGGTGAATAAATTATTTCTTTTTGCGAGACGCATAGAGTAGACCTGCAAAGGTGGTCTATTTTCAGAATGTAAACATCGAATGGCGAGAGCTCTGGATTACTAGGACTTCTGCCATTTCAAATGCCATTCATCACAAATACACCAATTGGTGACCAAAGTAGAGGGAGCTCTGGACATTTCCATCCGTCCAATCTAGTGGTTTCCGGGGGGCGCAAGAACAAGATATCTTGATCACATAAAGTCGTCGAGGAAATCCGGATCACGATCCTGGTTGTTGCTGGCCTCCATGTTTTCCTGGCTGAACATGTCGTCATAAGCGTGGTTCTTTTGCCATTTCAACTGTTCACGGTCTCTCTTCTCTTGCTTCTCGCGGGCGCGCTGCTCTTCTCGGACCTTTCGTTCATCGTGTCGCTTCTTCTTCAAAAACTCTTCCTTCTCGGCCCGTAGATCGGGGAATTTTTCAACGCGAGTCTTATTGAGCCGGTTGACAATCGGATTCTCTCTTTGTGGCACAAAGACTTTGCGGACCAGCTTGTGATTATGGAATGTGACTTGGCCGGTGGCCATCGACCCATCTTTAAGGAGGTTCGACCATGGTGTGTAGATGACAGTGATGTTATCCTTCTTGTTTCCTACGCCACAGATGAGTTCGCGCTCGGGTTTTGACGGGGAGGTTGGGCCGATAGCTGACCCTCAATGGAATTCGCTTTCGTGAGCTGTGCACAATCGTCTAGAAGTGGCTGGGGGATCTGATCCCATGTCTCGCCCTCCCGGAGACGGAGGTATGCATGTGCACTCGACAAGTTATCGACGTGGAACTGTGGGATCGATTAATGACGACCAACAAACGAGAGGTAGGGAGACCGACCCTGCAATTGGAAAAGATCAGTCACAATACCCGGCAATCGAAAGGAGACAAAGCGCACCAGACATCGTGGTCCAATCCAAATTTAATGAGGTCCTCATCTGGCACCGTTAGAAAGCATTGTTTCCCTGGGCGACGGAGGCGTACTTTCAAACTTGTCCTTGCCGACGTAAATAAAGGCCGATGGGCTGACCACATTCGAAGTGAAGTAGTAGACCATGGTGGCGGGTGGGGTTTTCTGGAAGCAGTCACAGCGAGAGAGCTGGAGACATTTCTTCGCCGAGGTGGGACCCGTGGACGATCTATGGCTTAGTCATCGGTATAGTGCTGGGCAGATCTATGATGCATTCCATCCAGGTCAAATGTGAGGAATTAACTTATTTAATAGGAAACATAAACTCTTCGTAGGTAGCTCATGGGTCTCAAAGGACCTACTGAGGGAAGTAGCCGAGGTAGAAGTATTGGTAGTCCCCGCTGCTTGAAGGATAATCCTCGGTCTCTGATGGCTATATGGCGTAATCTAGAGTATAACAGGGAATGAATGTTCCCCTAGACATGAAGAGTCATGTATCAAGGACTACTGTGGTCCATGTATAGTGACACTGAGCAGTTAGATCCCGTGAGGCCATTCGACAACGAAGTAGAAGAGTCTCTACAGGCGGTTAGTGTAACCAGACTCTCGACAAAATATCTTCTTCGAAATTCGAGGTTTCCTCCACTCCATACAACGCAGATATCTTGGTGATATCTAGAAATCATCCAAAGCAGACGCGGCAAGATGGGTGTGTTTTCGCCCACGGGCTATTTAGAGTTGCGGTGGGGATCTCCAGGCACACCTTCATTCCACCACGGAATCGCACGATCTGTCCCGCCTTGCACCGAGTGACTTTGGCACCTAGACTGACATTTCCAAGATGACAGCAATTTCTCCCTCGGCCTATTCATGTCGCTCTCTCGATGCCTAAGCCCGTCATTTTGACCCTTCGTCGTCTGGGGAGATTGAGTTGACGGAGTTCGTATCACCAACACATGGAATCCAATGACCTTGCAAAGGCAAGGGAAACAATTCAATCCAAGGACAAAATCGGTGACTCCGAAGAGCAGCTCGGGTGACCGCATCTACACCAAGTAACAATCGATTCCCGAGTCGAGAGCCAGACACAGGTGACGCCGTTCGGAACTTGATTGGAGTCACCCAGATACCTTGAAACGCTGGAGCGAGAGATTCTGGTCATCCACTTGGGATGTTTGTGAACGAACGTTTAATCAAGTGCGGTGATTCTGCGGAACGAAAAGATGGTCTGGCACCACAGTTGGCATCCTACAACGCCGAGAAAAGGAGAAGAACCGACACCGACTCCTTAAATTGTGTCTCGTCATTTTTCCCACATTGCTGGACCGTGGCCGAGACCATATCTGCCGGTGTTGCATCAAGAATGCCAGAAAGATAGAGAGAGGGAGAGAGAGCCTCATCGACGAGTCAGACGTTCTCCACTCAACTGATGCACCGGACTCGCCTTGCGAGGCACGCTACTCCGCCGGGCCGGAATCCTCCAGTCTCGTTCCCAAGCGACACTGCCCGACCCTTGAACCCTCTTGGGGTCGCTCAACGAATCATGAGGCCAAGTGGACGGATTCGCTTGGATCCCAGCTAGCTCGATCCTAGTCGGAATATGTCATTAATTGTCCGACAAAACCGTTACGCCAAGGGAACGCATGCCCACCACGGGCAAGCCCGTCCATAGCACAAACTACACCCCCACCCTCGGCCTTACAATTCAATTCGGGGTTGTCTCTCCCAATCATGGCCCGCTTGGGACACGCTGTGGCCTCTGGGTGGGGGAAAGGGACCCTCGATGTCCTTCGTTCCCACCCATCTCTCAGGCGATTCCTTTCGTCCACGCAAAAGTCCGGTCCGGCATAAAGCCCGATCTGTCCCTGAACCTTGTGCAACCGCGCACGGGTGAGCCAGATCAACGGCACTTGGTCTCTTCCGGATGTCATCCTTAGGGTTTCGGACCACTGGCCCGTTTCTCACCCCCTCTCCCCCTACTCCACTCCGGCACCATTTAATTATTTGAAAAGAGTCGGATTTTCCGTCTGGCCTCGCGCAGGATTTCGCCCTTCCCGCGCCTGTAATCTCATCTGAAACCTCTCTCCACTCTGTCGTGCCTCCTCTTCCGCCCTCGCCGTCCGCGGCAATCTCTTCACGGCCACGGATACTTGTTGAACCTCGCGCGCCGCTCATGTCTCATTCTGCGTCAACAAGTCCGGCCGGAGTACGGCAAGCCTTGGAACGGGCCCGGAACTGCGAGGATGGTTCAGTTGATTCCCATACCACCGCCGTTCTCGAAACCGCCATCACCGAGCTGTGGACTCGAATTCAAGCCCAACCAGACAGCTACGTTCTCAGTCGCGACGAGTTTGCCCTCTTCAACTACTTCCTTGGGCGCTTTCGCGGCTCACCCATTGCCCAACGCGCTGTTGCAAGGTACTGGAACAACTGCCAGGGCTCTCCGGCCAATACCGATGGCGACAAGATATAGTCATCGCGGATATCATGATGTACAGACTGGATAAATGAGTGGGTTGTTCGTCCTCGATCTCGATCAACACGCCTCAACCTCTGCACATTCTCCTCGGGGTCAGCCCGCCCACATTTTCAATTCCTTCGCTGTCTATCCTGCAACTTGGAACCAGCGGTGTGGCTCCTTTCGGATAATTCGCCCACGTTGCAGTCCACACCTCAGCCACCCGTCCCCGCGAGTCTTCCTGGAAAGGAAGTAGGAAACATCAAGAGATGAGATAGACCTGGATACAACGGGCCAAGACGGTTTCTCGGGTGATGGCCAGTGCAACATGGGGTGGGATGTCGCCTTGTGTGGATAGGGCAGACGCATTCCATGTCTCCACCAGAGCGAATGCTTGCATTATTGGAGGGGCATCATACCATCTGCACAGCACGTTCGGAGGATCAGGCGGAGGCGTTGGAGGGCGCAGCTGAACTGGGGGCCACCGAATCGCCCCCTTTCTATCTGATTGCCTGCCTCATTTTCTCGCAATGTAATAGGGCCGGTTTGAAATACATGTATAAGTATATTAATAGATCAAAATGTATATTAATATATCCATGGATGTACTTGTGCTCAGGTATATACATGCACAATGTGCAACAAGTGACCCTTCACTATGTAAATTCTCCGAAGGGTCGCATGATTCAGGTGGGCCGGAGGGTACACGGGGAATACTTCCACCTGCGAGTCATCCCGCCTTATTACGCCGGTACAGCCGGGGTACCTCAGTGGCCCGTTATCCGCCATTGCCGAGAGAGTGGATCCTGCTCTACGAACAGAGAGAAGGTGAGAAAGAGAGAGACCATTCTGTAACAGCTAGTCAAGCTAATGAATACGTATCATCAGCGTGGTACACCAACCCAACCGTCCCCTCGAGCCTTTCCATGTAATGTACGCTGTCCCACCTGCTATGGCCAACACAATCCTAACGACAGCCCTGATGAATACCGACTACATCTTGGAGATGCTTAGTAGAGCGAGTTGTCGGCACACGAAAAACTGCCACCTCCAACGCCCTCCCGCAGATTTTGCACGATGGACCGAATCGAGGAATACAACCCAATGGTGCACTGTGGGATAGCATCAGCTCCATCCAACACCCACACCATATCACACAGAACTTACAATGATAAACCCCATGAAAACAAACAGGGTATTGATGCCGAATAAAACGGTTTGCCTCCAGGTCAAGAACCAACAGTGCCGGTTCAAATAGAGCCAAAAGAGCCCCGGCAGGCTGAATGAGAACCAGCTAGCGAACAGAGAACTCTACGAAATTCATCAGATGTTGTCAAGAACCAGATAGAAGGGAAGAGAGATAAGCACGTACTGCAAGACCGAGAACATCATTGAAGATGGGAACGCCTTCGGCGATGATCCATGACAAGATCCAAAGACCAGCACAGATGATGACCCACACAGCCCGTGCCATGAATGACCGGGCATGCATCGAGTTGGTGCCTCGGAAAATGCGAACATAGATGAATTTCACAGCCACGTGGGCATTGACAACGCCTCCGATGACGATCTGGATCTAGTTGTTAACGGAATGCTATCACCGCCAGTGCAACAAGACATACTGTTGGGATTGCGATTCCGTAGGAGATCCTGCGGAATAGTCGTCCTGCAGAGTTGAGGGCGGGCGAGGTGATGGCTGGTCCAACAAAAGCATAAATCACAATGGCAGTCACCGTGTACAAAATCATTTCACTCATTTGCAGAAGCGCCAGAGCTTTCGGGAAGTCCTTGATCTCCCTGAGCTCCGAGAACAAAGTAAAAAAAGCCACATGGCCCGCATAGGCGAAGACGACATTGGCGATAGCCAGGAATGCATCATGAACGGTGGGAGTAGGGGAGAAGGTCGGTAGATGTATGGGGGCTTTGTCGAGAGAAACACCGATCATGCTGGCCAGGACGGCGCCGATGATGCTGATGAAACTCACAGAGGAGAGATGAGACAACTTCTCGAGTCGTCGGGGGAGAGTTAACAGGAACGAGACAAGCATCCCAGTGACGGAGAAGACGATCGTGCAGGTCGAATGCTCAGTGAGGACATTCATCATGATGGAAAAGGTGAGAACGTGACTTCCCATCACAAAGACGAAGAAAAGAAGCTGTGCAGCTCCTAGAGTTCGCCGTCCGAGTCTTCCCAGGAGGAGATCTCCAGCGTCTGCCATGCTGTGGATCTGCATATAGCGGCATTTCAACTGTCCGATGGTATACCCGGTATACGTTGAGATAATCCCGATGCCCAGGATGGTCAGAATACCTCTGGGGATGGCATGTTAGTTGGAATGACAGGAACGTAAGGAAAAGGACATGAGCGATGCATACGGGATGAGGCCGAGGGTCGATAGTGCTTTTGGTAGCGCGAGAATCCCCAGCGAAATGGTCTCGGCGATCATGACTGACCGGAGAGAGTCAGCTCTTGCTGTCACTCACATGAGGGCCGCAGTTGACTTACTCATACCGGCTTGCCTACTGAATGGCTCAGTTTCGACAAACCCAGTATCCAAGGAGAGAAACTCACCACCACGCCATAGTCTTGTATTTGACCCCAGCCTGGGTTTCGTCTCCAAACGGGTCTTGCTTCTCCAGTGATTCGACCATCCGCGAAACAGTGGACTTCGCATCGGGCGACGCCTTCATCTCTCCCGCCAGGACAGACGCGGTGGACGAAAGTCCCGAGTCAGACTTGATCTTGCGTCGCTCCATGGTCAATGAGGGTGTGTTAGGGAAGAAACATCGGGGGAGGGGAGAGAAGAGGTAGATCACAGCGCAATCCCCATGGTTGCGCTTTCCTTACGCTGACCAGGCAAGAACAGACTGGGGGGAAATAACAACAATTCTATTTATACAAGGACGGTATTCTATATACCACACATCTATTTCTTGGCGGGAGGAGCCGGGGTGGTAACACGGGCATCACTCTCGAGGATGTCCGCAGGGGGGTCTAAAATTGTTCATCGTCAGCAGCAATTCCAAGGGGGAGAGCAATCATGGCACATACCAGTTCGGGAGAAAGCCTTACGCTCCTCAGCATCGACTTCCTTTACCCGACCACCTTTGACTTCCTGGCGGGACAGGTCGAGAAGGCTCTTGGGGAGACCCATGCCGGAGAGGTAAGACAGCCCGTCCTTCCACTCCAAGTCCTTTCGCGCAGTGCTCCATTTCAACTCCTCACCCATCAGCTCAATTACGCCAGGGAGAGCCTCAAGTGCCGCTTCAGCGTTCAGGAACGCAAGTCGAGTTCGGCGAGCAATGACATCGACAGCAGTCTGGGCGTACTCGTGGCGGATGGCGTAACGGACTTCACCATCGATGAAGGGGTACAGGGCCGAGAGGCGGCAGCCTCGCACGGGGAAACGAGCGTTGGTGGGAGAGGACAAAGCGGCCACCTGCCATGCACGGTCACCGTACGACTGAGTTAGGTGCTGTGCCACGTCGGTCTCCAGTCCAAAGTGCTGGATAAGGTTGATGAAGAGAGTCTTGGAGTAGCCGTGGGCACCGATCAGGCGCACCTGGTGGGTTTGACAGCTGCCGTCAAGAGAGGCCCCATCGGCCACCAAGCCGCTACCACCAACGCCGCTAATGTCGGGAACGGAGGACACATCGCGGGGCTGCAGCTTGAACACATCGATGGCCTCGTCCACCGCCTCCTCAGCCATTTGGCGGTACGTGGTCCATTTTCCACCGGCACAGGTCAGCAGCCCCGAGGGAGACACGCTGATCAGGTGGTTGCGAACCAGAGCCTCCGAGCTCTTCACCTTGGGGTCGCGCACCAAGGGTCGGATGCCCGACCAAGCAGCCAGGACGTCACTTCGGTCCACGGTGATATCCGGGGCCAGGTAACCGCGAATCTCTGACAGAATCCAGTTGATATCGTTCTCCGAAGGCTCCGGGTGGGGGGTAATCTCAGTAGGTTGGTCCGTGGTTCCGGCGATGGTGTTGCCCTGCCAGGGAAGGAAGAAGACCACGCGGCCATCCGAGGTCGATGGATCAATCAGTCCCATGTTGGACGGGCTGTAATAACCAGGCAGGATGACGTGAACGCCGGAGCTGGGCGCCACAATCTCCTTGATGTCGGGCTCATCCATCTTGCGAATCGAATCTGTGAACGGACCCGTGGCATTGACAATACCCTTGGCGCGGATGGTGATCTCCTCGGCGGCCTCGCCGTTCTTGCCCGGAATTACGTCCTTCATGCGCGCACCACACAGCTTTCCTGACGCATCCTTGTCCAAACCAGTGACTTCCATGTGGTTGACCACGGTACTCCCGTACAGCGCAGCCGTCATGGCCAGAGAAACGTTCATGCGGGAGTCGTTGTGGGCACCATCTGTCGCACATTAGCCCATCAATTGCAGGCCAAAAACCCGGGGGAATCCACTTACCATAGTACACCATGGCTCCGATGACATTGTCCCGCTTCAGCATGGGGAAGGCATCAATGGCCTTACTCTTGGTCAAGAAGTAGGAGCTTTCGATACCCTCGGAACCAGCCAGGAAGTCGTAAGCCTTGGTACCAGCCCAGAAGTAGGGAGCCTGCCACCATTTCTGCACGGGGACCATAATGGGCAGCCATTGTGAGAGATGGGGGGCAGTGTTCAAAAAATACTTGCGCTCGCGGAGAGCCTCTTTCACCAGCTTATATCTGATGGAATTGTCAGTCTGCCGTCGAAGGGGATTACCATCACAAGGTCAAACTAACTGGTTGTAGTCCAACTCCCACACAGCTTTTTCCAGGTAGCGGACACCACCGTGGACCAGTTTTGTACTTTTGCTGCTGGTCCCGGAGCTGAAATCATCGCGTTCGACCACGGCCACCTTCAAGCCACGAGTGGCGGCATCCAGGGCAATTCCTGAGCCAGTCGCACCAGCCCCAATCACCAACAGATCATAGGGCTCCTCCTCCTTGCTGCGCTTTAAATCCTGGATCTGCTCAAGACGAGATTTGATGGTGGGAAAGCTCGGGGGTACGAGCTTGCCCTCATGGTAACCGGGGGGAGGGACGGCAGGCGCTTCCAAGCCGGGGATGTTGCGCGGACGGTAAGAGATGTACAGGACTCCCGCACCTGCGGCCGCGGCCGCCGAGGTGTAGAGAAGCGGTCGCAAAAGCTTTCGTGAATGACGAGCGGCCATTATACGAGTGCGTGGAATTTATCCTGGATGATTCTTTTCCAGAACACGGTTAGAAATATTTTTCCCCTGTCCAATTCGTTCACAATAATTCCCGCGACCAGAAGGAAAATGGCGGCTCCAAGGAACGAAGGGAGCTTTGTATAGGTGAGAGGATGGGGAGAGTTGGTAGGGAGGAAGGGGAAGATGGGACAGAAGACACGAAAGATGGGGGGTCCCAGCTCACATAGGCCAGCACGTAGTAATAATATAATAAATCATAAATCATTAAATCATTAAATAATTAAATAATTAAATAATTAAATCCATACAAAGAGAAACAGTACAAGAATCAGGGTTTCTTTGGAATAACAGCTTGGCAGTCGAATCAAGCAAGGGTACCAGATACCTGGTCGCTACACCTTCCACCGCAGGATTGACGAGTCCCAGAAGTACCACCGGGGTCACGAGTACCGAAAGGGGGATGCGTCATGGAGCACATTTGCTCCAGTGGATCAGCATGACGGGCTCTCTAATATTCTCCCACCAATCCGGATTAACGCCCCGATCCATGTGACGCGCAGAGATTTCCCTGGAAGACAATCTCTGCCTGGCCAGCTGACGAGAAAAGCTCCAGTTTTCAGGGGCGAACGCCTTGTTTAGGGCTCCACTAGAGAGACATAAAATCGGTCCAAAAAAAAAAAAAACCCGGATAGAGTCTCCACTCGGGATTCCGACCTCCCTTGCATTGGGGCCGAGAAAATCTTCGCAGATCATGCTATGCAGAATTGTAAAGTGGAGATTTATCTTCAAGTGGGATCTTAGTTGAACCAACTGTTCTGGAAGGTCGAGTTTTGGAGATCAGGCACATGGGGCTGCATGGAAGATTCTAAGCTGATATATACTATATCCATGGATCCATGTATAATATTGAATGTGGATAAAATGGATGTCTAGCCCTGGTTCTATTTATATTTTATTTATAGTGATAACAGCGAAAATGGTGTTATTCGAGTTTTCTTATCTGGGAAAAAGCAATAATTCCGGAATTTATAAAAAGGGATCACTTGGTTCTGCGGTACTTGAAATGTCTGAAACTTGATTGTTCGCCATCTTTGCTTCTTTTTTTTTTTTTCTTTATCTTGCTCTGTTGGTTTCGCCCTTGTACTTTTTCACTGGAATCTCGACATAGCCTTCGGGAGGTAATGAGCTTTTTCATGAGCTTTATTATCTTTCTTCTTTTCTTTTAATTTCATTAAATATATATTGAAATGACAAAATAAAAAATGATATACAACACTAATTGATCCCTCAGAGCGCTCGATTTCCGATGGCGGGAACAATTCCGCTGCTCGGAATTGGCCCGGGACTCTCTCATCGGTCTCACAGCAAAGCCGGGGAAAAGTGTGGGGTAAAAGGCCTCAATGATACCGGGGACTCGGAAATGTTCCATTCACTGAGAGATCCGCAGAGGCAATGTATATCTATTACAGTCGCTGGCCAGGATGGGGTGAAACAAGCACAGCATAGCCGGAAAGCACCATGACCATCGCACTCGCACTATCTACGCTACAAGGCAAAATCTTGGGATCTCCCTGGCATCTCTTAGCCGTAGTGGCCCTCGTCCCATGCCTCTATGTCCTTCTCAATGAATTCACCCGCGCGTCCACCCGTGTCCCAGGCATGAAAGGCCCTCGTGGGTTGCCGCTCATTGGGAACCTCGCGCAGATCCGAACCAATGCTGCAGAACAGTACCGGTTATGGTCCAAGACGTATGGCCCCGTCTATCAAATCCAGTTGGGCAATGTTCCGGTCGTTGTCGTGAATTCTGCCGCGGCGGCCAAGGTGCTTTTTGGTCAAAATGCACAAGCGTTGAGCTCCCGGCCCGAGTTCTATACATTTCACAAGGTGGACCAAACCTCCCTTCCCCTACCCCGAGGGATTTATCTCTGATCGTGGTATTATAGATTGTGTCTAATACTGCCGGTACGACCATTGGTACGTCTCCGTACAGTGACTCGTTGAAGAGACGTAGAAAAGGCGCTGCGTCGGCTCTCAACCGTCCATCGGTGGAAACGTATGTCTCTCACTTGGATGTTGAGTCCAAAGCCTTTGTTGAGGAGCTGTATAAGTACGGGAATGGGGGAAAACTCCGGTGGACCCGATGCCCATGATCCAGCGCCTCAGTCTCAGTCTGGCCTTGACGCTAAACTGGGGCGTGCGAGTCGTGTCGCAAGAGGAGACATTGTTCGATGAAATCACCCACGTCGAGGAGGAGATTAGCAAGTTTCGAAGTACCACGGGCAACCTGCAGGACTATATTCCCCTACTGCGACTCAACCCATTCAACACAAACTCGAAAAAGGCTGCGGAAATGCGAATGCGCCGGGATAGGTACCTGGGCTCCCTCAACCGTGATCTGGATGACCGCCTGAAACGAGGGGTTCATAAGCCATGCATTCAGGCCAATGTGATTCTCGATCAGGATGCCAAGCTAAACACCGAGGAGCTCACGTCGATCAGTTTGACCATGCTCTCCGGTGGACTTGACACGGTCACGACGTTGGTCGCTTGGAGTGTTGGGCTGCTCTCCGAACGCCCTGATGTCCAAGACAAAGCGGCCACGGCCATCCAGGAATTATATAGTGAGAAGGAACCAATGTGTTCGGCTGATGATGACCAGAGGTGTGCATATGTTGCAGCCTTGGTCAAAGAGTGCCTCCGGTCGGTTCTCGCGGCTCCGAGAGACTGGGATTTGGGTGTCGAAACTGACTCGAGCGCTAGGTTCTTCACGGTTCTCCGGCTGGCACTCCCCCGTACGTCGATTAGGGACATTAATTACAAGGGCACGGTGATTCCCAAAGACACTGTCTTTTTCTTGAACGCTTGGGCGTGTAATATGGGTAAGTGATCGGCCTCGAAGGCCCTGCACAGGCTAACGGTGCCCTGCATAGATCCCGATGTGTGGTCTGACCCCGACGTGTTTCGCCCCGAGCGGTGGCTTGAGCAACCCGACGCCCCCCTATTCACCTATGGGGTGGGGTATCGGACGTGTGCAGGCTCGCTGCTCGCCAACCGGGAGTTGTACTTGGTCTTTATGCGGACGCTGAACAGTTTTCGCATCGAGCCCCACGACACCATGGACTGGCATCCCGTTCGGGGCAACTCAGATCCCACCAGTTTAGTGGCTATCCCGCAGAAGTACAAGGTCCGATTCGTGCCACGGGATGAAATGGCTTTGCAGAAGATTCTGGCCGTCTCCTGATGGGGTGATTTGCCAAATCTTGCGGGATTTTCCCGATTGGAACACGTATGAGAGAGGGGGGAAAGAAAGAAAGAAAAGAGAGTAGGTCGCCCATTGAGTTTGATAGGCAATTGCAGTGTCCTCTCTACTTGATACGTCTTGCCGAGTGGGCACGAAGCATCGGGCGCATGTGCTGATGTGTTTATGTTGAACTCGAGTCAATGGAGAAATCCAGATTGATTCCAAAGTAATCTACAATTAGCCGCACCACAGGCAGTCTGATCATCCCCAGTATTATCCAACATGAACCCAGCCCGAATGTACCAAGCCCAAACCAAAAAGACAGGAAGAATATCATGCTCGGAACTCCTCCCAATGATTGTTGATGATGGTGATAGGGTATGAGGTCGTTATATCGATCAAAAGAAACAAAGAAATAAAACACGGGGCAAATCTTAAACATCCACAAAAAACATCTGTTTTCCTGCACTGACGCCTAGTTCCATTCCGAGGTATGCAAAATCGATTTTCAGAGCAGTCGGGAGGCTGCTCAAGAGGTCATGCGCCGTTTCAGGTCGCGGACCGGATCGAAGGAACTGGCATAATCACGTAGCTCATCCTGGAGCCGGTCCGACAGCGAGGAGGAGTGGGATGCCTGGCTCTTCAGAGATGACAGCGAGGTTTGTGATGCCGAAGAAGACAGGATGAGGGATGAGGGAGGATTCGAAGTCGAGTCAATGGGATCCGACGATGGAGAGATCCTGGTTCGTGTAGAGGATTCTCGTGGAATAGGGGATTGGGCCATGGCATCCTCCGATGAGACCACATCCAGCTCAGCCAGGCGACAAGATTGGGAACAGTATGGACCTCCCGAGGTTTGGCGATCACAGACCAGACAGAAATCCAGGGACCAGTCAGTGGACATGGCGACGTGGACTTTCTAGAAGAGGCCTCTTGAGAAATTTGTGGAAATCCGAGAGAAGGGAAAGATATGAAAGAAAAAGAAAGAGAGAGGGAATGTTTAAGAAGAGACTGCGATCAAAGGTAACAAAGTATCAAGGTACAAAGCGCCCATGATCACCTCATACGTCTCCACTTGATTTTCATCCAGTGTCCCAACGATCATACCACAGTGGGGACCCTGGGAGAGAAGAGAAAATACACAAAATCAAAGAATTTAAAGGAAAATAAATAAAATACAAATACAAATAAAAGAGAGAGAGAGAGAGAAATATCGGAAGAGAAATCCATTAAAGAACTGGGATTGTAGGGCACGGATGATGCGCTAAGCCCCTGACACCCAGACGAAGTGCGGGGGTGTCTGAGGGTGAGGCAGTTTTGGATGTTGGATACCTCCAGGCTACATAGGTGGGTCATGACATGTCGACCAAGGTACCTCTCAACCCTAACAATGAGAAGGTACCCAAGAAGTAGTGGTAAGTACCATGAAGTATCCAGAAGTACTATACAATTGCAACCCCCCTGTGATGATTATGGCGTGGCTCGGGCGCTTACTTTGAAAAAAATGAAAAATCAAAATCAAAATCAAAAAGGCAAAAAGAGGCAAGCTGAGAGGCTGCATTCTGCTGGGCCCCTGCAACGCTCTCAAATTGGCAGGCATCGTCATTGCCCCACTTCTCTTGTCATTCGGCTTGGTATGTGTGTATGTGCGCGCGTGTTCATGGAGTGATTGGCAGATATCGCCCTCGACTCGTGACTTGCTCCTTCTCTTTCGCTATCAATCATGTACCGTTTTGCCTTTTGGGTAATCAGGCTTGCAAGGTACCTCTGGCTGTGTGCTACCAAGGGTCCATGCAGAGTCGAAGATCATCATATGAACTTCAAGTCATTCTGCCAAGTGATCTACAAGGTCAGGTTCATTCCCCCTCAAGGTCACTCCCCAGCAGTCCAGTGGAAGTTCTCCAACTTATCCATGAAGAGGGAAATGGGTCAAGGTGGAAGGAGATTGTGGGAGGTTAGTGTCTCCACATCGAGCGACCGGAGGGTGAGCCCACTGGGCAATGATAAGGATAAGAAGAGATACCAGTCTCCCTGGACTCACTCATTGGTCTTCTCACGTTGCTCAGCAGGTATCCGGACCAGAGTTGCAGGGAGACGAGACTCGTTCGAAGTATCCTCCCCGGATTTTGTTTCGGAACTGGCAAGATCGGGCAGACTGCCTGCTTTTTCTATACAAGAGCAGCACAATCAGCAAAGCCAACGCTCCCTAGTTGGGGGAGAGGGAACTCACTGGAGGCGAGACTGATGGCCCGGAGAACATTATCCCAATTGGACAAAACACATGCCACCGCTATCAGTATGGGATCAGCACGCTGCCCAGCCACCCAAAAGAAAAAGCTATGAATCACCTTCGGTGCCATCTTTCAGCGTGGAGACCTTGGTCTCCAGTGCTTGCATCTGCATAGCCAGTGTCCCACTTAAATCGCGTAGCTGTTGCAAGTTTTCGAGTTCGTCTTTTTTGGCGGCAATGCGTGCGGAGAGGGCCGAAGACTGTTGGGAGGTTGGCTGGGAAGCTCCTCGAAGAGATGCTCCAGGTCCCGGGAGCATGGATGTGGGACGCGATGAGTAGGCCATGGCGAATGTGTTGGAGGGGGAAGGTGCTCCTCGCTCCCCTCCCCTCCAGGGCCCACGGCTTTTTTGGATGAGGCTGAGTCAGCCAAACATCGGGAATGGGGCTAAACCCAAAACAGACAAACATCAACACGCCGCCGGGTGTTTATCCCCCGTCCTTTCTTCCTTCCCGCATCGATGCGCTTGGACCCGAATTGATTTCTGCTTTGCCCATTGCCCAATTTGTGCCAGTAGAACACACTTAATTGTGCCTTTCAGTGGGCACAGCCCTGGCTTCCTCAAGCATGGCTCGTTTGAATGATTTCATGGCTCCGACCGAGTCCATTGATGCCTGTGAGTCCACCACTACCATCTGGTCGCATTCGATGTTGACGCGTCTTATAGTAAAGCGCCGATTCGTGCGACAGAACCGGGAAATTGCGCGAGTGAACTCCATGCAATCGCTTCGAATCCGCAGCTTAGAATCCGAGGTGTCGCATCTGTTGTCCGAGAACGTCTCCCTCCGAGAACAAGTCATCACTCTCGGTCAGGAAATTGAACGACTCGAAGCTGCCAAAATGCTTCACAATGGGGTCTACGAGATCAAATCCAGACTGGATGCAAAACTGGCGGAATTAAGCAACTTGGCCACGGATCTGGGCATGCTGCCCCGCAAGGTTGGCAAGCTTTGCGACGCACAGTCCGCGCCCGCCGATTCGGATCAGTCAAAACCATCGGCACCAGAATTGAGACCGAGGACGACCGATGACCACGAAGGGGGGAAGATGGGAGGCTTCCGGCCATCTTGGAGGATAAATTCTATCCACGACGAACCTTGGAGTAAGACCCTGGGAACATGACGGCATTCTGTCCCGTTACTAAATAACACGGCCAGGCCGCAGGAACTTCAAGACCTCGTTCGCGACGACGACATTTCTGAACCCCCGCTTGAGAGCACGTTGACCCAGGACAGATCTGCGCTGAAAGTGGAGGACCCGACCCTAGAACTACCGGAAAACTCGTCAGCAAGCCCCACGGGATTTAATGAGGCCGAAGACCCTGAGCCTGTTCTTCCCCCAACACTGGAAACAAGGAAGAAGAAAAAGAAGTCAGACGCACCGCTCTTCCATGAGAGCGTGGAGCACCGGGAGCAACCCAATCCAGGCGGGGACACAGAACCAACTTCAAAACCCGGGTCGAAGCGCAAATTCAGCCCCGAAGATGATGGAGACTTCATGTCGAGTCTCGTGGGAGAAGACGATGAATTTCAATTCAACCGACCAAGCCATAGCCCCTCAAAACGGACGGAGCCCAGTCGTCAAGACCATTCCCCTAGCAAAAAACACGTTGATATTAAGAAAGGATCGGCAACCCAGACTTTGGCGAGAAGAAAAGTGTTGGAACCAAGTATGAATGGCCTCCCTCCCTTTATATCGTATGAATCTCTCCTGACAACCCGGACAGAGAGCGCAAATGCCAATCTAGGCTCACCCAAGAAATCTCGCTCATCGCTGGCCCGCAACCACAAGGCTTCGCGTCCAGTCAGCGAGAATGGCGATAACACAGCTTCCTCCGAGAAATGCAAGGATATCGAGAAGCACGACAACTCGGTGACCCAGAAGGCGCGCCGACCTGGACCTGGTCATGTTTCGCACAAGCAAAAGCGGGCCAGTCGCTCCGACAAGGACGAACCAATCCAAAGTCAACCCACCTTCCCACATGAGATATCTGCGGTCCAGACACAACAACCAATTCCAGAAGTGTCTGGTGTATCTGCCGCGTCTCGCCCCTCGCGGCGCCAACGGGGCGTGGTCAGTTATGCAGAGCCCAACTTGCGGGATAAAATGCGCCGCCCAACCAAGAACATGATCGATGCAGTTGCAGGGGACCGATCCCGCAGATCATCCAGTTTCCAACCAGGTCAGGAAGGTGATGCGGAGGAAGCACAGTGGGATGATCAGATGAGGATCGGCAATTCTCTGGGCCGCTCGAGTGGTAAACTCCCTGCCGATCTGGCTCTCGCAGACCACGGATCAGACATTTTCTGCAACGACAGCACTTCCGAACAGTACCTGAAAATGGTATCTCAGCGAAAACGCAAGGTCTCGTCGACGATCAAAGACAATGGCACGTATAATATGCCTACAGAAGATGCCAATGGTGGAACTGGGGCCACAGGTATTGACGTGGATGCCAGTCTGGCAAGTCTCTCTGCCAAGTCATCCAAGGAAACGTCGGGGTCCAGGAGGCAGACTCGTCGCCATTCTTCAAACCCTCGGGCTACCGGTCCAACCGTGTCATCTCAAGACGCGATGGATCAGGATGAAGCACAGGCCACTATATGGACCAATTCTTCTACCGGCATGTCAACCTCTTTCCTGCCAGTTGAATGCTCCCCCGAAGAGGAAGAACTCCAGGATTCAGCAATCGATGCCAGTCATATGCGACGGGGACATCGGGTTGCAGCAAGAAGAAAAAGCATGATGCTATGAAGCTGATTCCACCGTGTGTATCTACATTCATTATAGACCAGACTTTTCACAGTTATAATACAGATACCCTCTCTCTGCGTTCCTATCCAAGAAATTCGATATTAATCTTCGGTTTGCGGCGCGTGGACACAGCCCTACGCGGCGATAGATGGTTATTTCTCGACTCTATTAGGGTACCTTGCGGATTGCCAGAGGCTATCCAGCATGCAACGACCCTTTTGTCTGAAGAGCCCACCCAACCCACAAACTGGGTGGCAGCGGGGTTATGCGTGGACAGTATCTAGAGATGTTCTCGGTATCTGAGAGAATCTAGCCAAGTAATGAGCCAGACTTTGAGGCAAGCTTGGCTGTGTTGGTTTTGTAACCAGTCGCAGTTCTCAATGATATATTCTTGCCGGGGTGACAGACTATGTGCCCCGTGCATGGCCTTTGTATGGCTTCGGCATCTTTTCATAAGCGTTTGGACTTGGCCTTCTCTTGGGCTTAACATTCTGATGGTTCGGACAACAAGCCCCCGAGGATGGTCGGTCAGGTAAATGGCTATCGCGCGGTCTTCGCCCTCGAGTATGCGAGTGGCGGGTGTGATTTGGTCTGCGTGCTCGATCAAGATCGCCATCATTGTCCGAATCGGATGAGCTTGAGTCCGAAGAATCTGACTCGGACTCAGAGCTGCTCTCGCCCACGGGCCGGGATTTGTGATAGATACAGCATACTGGAAACCGTCAGAGGGTCGGATGGTCCGTGGCACACGAGGCAAATTTACCTTTGGAGCTTTTCTTTCCCATCCCTTCGTTATCAATCACATCCTCACCCCATCGGATGTGGCGAGCTGACGATGGCTCACCACTCGTCTCTGCTGGCGTATCATCTCCTCTTAATCGCAGAGTCCCTGAGACCTGGACAACGGAAGAATCTGAAGGCGCTTCAGTGGTGGTCTGGGGTTGCGAGTTGGACATCATGGGCTGGCGTGTGCGGGACATTGTCAAGGGCTAAGGACAGTTGATGCAAAGGCGAGAAATATCAACGAGACAAGAAAAGCAGCGAGGAGAGACTCCCGCTAAAGCACTGCGTTTGATGATGCAACCGATTCACCGCCTTTTTTTGACATCCACGAATGTACAGCAACCCTCCGACTTTATATATCCTATAGTATTCAATGGAATTTTTTTTTAATTAAATAATGATTGGATGGAAAGAATGATAATAAGACATAGAAAAATCGTTTTTCATTTGGGCTATCTGAACCACTAATATCAAACAGGCCTACCCGCATGTGGACAGAGTACATACGAGGATCAAACTCAAGAGGGCGTCGTTACACCCCGAAATAGCAAAGAAAAAGAAAAGAAAAGATTTGGAGATGGGGATTCAGTGTTGCATGAGTGCTTGTCAAAAAGAAACAGACTCTCTCGTAACACCAAGCAGGATGCAACGCCTCTAAACGTCGTAGAGGGACCAGCCGTCCAGACCATCATTTCTGGAGGTCAAACTCGAGGCGGGCAGAGAGAATTCGGTGCGGAGTTCCTGATCGAGTCATAGCTCATCTTCCTGATCCATTTCCGATGGCTTCAGTAACCCCCCAACTCTCATCGCTCGGTTTCGCTCCGCAGCTTGAGCATCGCGCACAGCTTGCTCTCTCTCCTCCGCATAAAGCTCGGCATTATCATCCGAGAATTCCTTCAAAGAAATCAAGAAATCACGCAGGTGAGTCTTGAATTTGTTTAGATCATCCGTGAAAGCAAACAGCCCGATGACAAACTGCTTGATTTGGACCCTGGAATTCGGGATTAGAGCTGCAACGGTCGGGGGTTCAGGGGGAGAGATTGCTTACTCTTGGAGGTTCTTGAAGGCGCTCTGTAGCAGGTTTGCGACGTATTCTTGCAGGAAATCCTTGTTCGACGTCCCAGCCGGGGCCTGGTCAGGGGCGTATATCGGCTCTTGGATCTTGCCGGATTCAATAAAGTTGAACATGCGCGACAGGAGCATAGCTTGAGATTTGAAGCCTGTGAAAAAGGAAAAGCAAAAAAAGGATAGTGTGAGAAAACTGGACATTTCAAGGGTCGAGGGTCATACGTACCGGCTTTGTGGTCACTATCTGTCAGGACAAAGAAGACATCCTGAAGAATCGGGATGTAAAACTGGCGGAAAAAGATGCCGGATGTTTGGAGGTCCGTCTCCGCCATGTTGTTCATCAGTTCAAGGCACATCGTGAGGCCCGTGTTCTCCACCTCTCGGTTGTCGTGCTTCGAAGCCCACATGCAGGAATCAATCACGAACTTGAACTGCGTAGCATCGAGCTTCAGCAGCGCCTGGAAGCAGTACAGGTTGATGGCCTGGAGCAACTTGAAGAACTGAACCCGGTGTTCGGGGTATTCGTGGAAATCTTTGTTGATCATCTCGAGGGTACAATTGAAGACACTCTCCATGATCGCCGGGATCTTGTCCTCCATCAAATTCTGGGACAGTTGTTAGCAAGAAACGAAGCCACGGTAGAGAAAGGACAAGGAAAGGTGACATACGTGAAGCTTGTGAATTATTGTGGTCATGGCATTCAACACTTCGGCCTCTCGTGCATCGGGAACGTTGCGATTATAGTCGATGAGGACCGCCTCGAGAAGTGATGGAACCATGTTGGCATTGACCATCTCGAGGTCGTCCGACTTCTCCACATAGGTATCAATGAGCTTCAAGATCTCCTTCTTGATGGTTCGAAGCCCTCGAACTTTGGGGGTTTTGGGGGCAATGCTTCCTGTGAGATGTGTTAGATTCTGATCCTTAGCTTTCACGGGCTAACTGGGCCAGTTACCGTCATGGGCGACAGCATCATTGATAAGCTGGCTCGAGGCGCGGTACATGTTCAGCATGTCATGGTAGATGCGACCAATTTGGGAGTAGAAGTAGGTGCCAATTGAGGAACAGGCGGCGACATTTGTCTTCATGATGTTTCCAATGATCTTAATGGTGTTGCCGTCTTGAAGAATCGCCGGGTTCTGATTTGCCTCCGCGATAATTTGGTCCCAGGCCGAATTAGGCAGAGCCATCAAATTTTCAATCAACCGATCCTGGAGCCCCTTTTGACCCTGAGCAGAGATCATGTAGCCGCATGCTTCGTAGAATGTATGGATCTGTTGTGGCGAGAGGTCCATGGTGATCTTTCTCATATTCCGAACGATTTCCTCAATGAAGGCCTCGTTTTCTCCGGGCTGGAGGGCCACAAAATGTCGCCTGCATTTATTGGCGATCTTGATAAAGGTATCGCAGGCCATGTCTTGGACACCTACACGTGGAGGGGTTAGCCAGAGAATTTAGACGCAGCGTCGAGTAACAAACCTTCGTGCGTCTCGTGCATGAACTCGAACAGTTTGTTGACGACCGTCTTCAAGAACTTCCAGTGAGCCTTCAGGAATCGAGGGTACTGTCCCACGATATACATGATGTTGCTTGCCACGACGGCTTTGTTATCCTTCCCGCGTTTCTGCTCTGTCAGACCCAGAAGATCCTTGATCACGGTGACCAGGAAGCGTTTTTCGGTCTCTTCGTTCATTGCTCCTGAGATCGAACCGATTGCCCAGCAGAGTGTGTTGCAGTTTGCCCAAGACCATTCCGATCCATCGACCTGCTTTGCCAATTTGTCGATCATGATTGTCTCAGTATCGACCACATCAAGATGCGTGAGGTACACCAGACATTCACGGATGGTTTTGTAAAGCTGGATTGTGTCGCTTTCCTTGACAAATTCACGAACAATCTCTCCCTCATCGTTCTCCACAACCAGAACTTCCTCCGGGCGAACCATTTTCTCGATCATGACGGTGCGAAGGTTCGATAGGACAGTCTCGTACTTGTGTTTCCGGAGGGGATAGTTGGCCAGGGTACTCGGATGCGGCGCGCCGCCATTGGATAAGCCACTGACGCCCATTGTCACCAGTGGGTTGATGTCGGTGATGGGGAGTTGTTGCATCTCTTCGTAGAGCTCCTGCACAAGCCTAGTCCAATAATCTAAACAGATCTTGAACACCTCCCGGTCCTCGATCTGACTGATACGGATCAAATAGAAATGTGCGTGCGTGAGGTAATCTTGGTTTGGTAACTTCTCGACAAGCTGTATGCGGGAGGTAAAATCGATGGTCAGTATGGTCTCGAGGGACTTCAAGCAAAGGAGAGGGGGCAAAGGATAGGGTCTAAGACGTACATCCAAGTGAGCGCTGAAAAAACTTGAAAGAAATAGTGCGAGGTTTGAAACAAATTCTTGGTCGCGCGAATTGCTTCTCGCATAGGTCTCCTTCAGGTCCAAGGACAGCGGAATGACGTTGGAGACCGTGGTCAGAGTCTCTGTGAACATATGCACCAATCGGTCATCGTAGTTGTAGGGAGCACCGATTTGCAGGCCACCAATTTCGGTCAGGCACTTCAACGTGACATTTCGAAAATCGGGAACATCCAAGAACCGAGTGAGAAGGGTGTTAATGATGGGAGTTTCGAAGATGTAACCTAGCGGGATCCAGTTGAGGAAACGAAGAAGGGTTTCGAGCGTCGATTTCACCAGGCTCGGTTGGTTTGCTGTGGTGAGTACTTCGGAGCATAGCTGGAATATCGAGGCGAATTCCTGGGTCATCGACGTCTTCAAGTTCCTTGCCTTGGCTGAAGTCATTTGATCCTGGGAGAAGTCAAAAACTTCCTCAGACAATAGGCGCAAGATGACCATGTTGTTTTCACAGATTGAGAGACTGGCGTGGCAGGAGGAAATGATCTCGTTGATAAAGGTCGGCCAGTTGTGCGGCCACTCCTGCTTCAGAATGGAGACCAGGACGAGGTTGAGCTTGTTTAACAAGGCGCGCTCCGTCCGAAGTTTATCTTCCGAACTCGAGTTTTCAATGATGAAATTCACGATGAAATTGCGGATTCCTGGACAGTTTGAGGGACATCAGCACCGATAGGAAACTCAACCCATGAGGGCCATTGCTTTTCTTTTCTTTTTTTACCTTGACATTGGTCCCTCGGTAAAACCTTCCATCGAGTCATGATCACCTCATCGAGGACTTGAAGGGCAATGTCTAAGAAGGGTCAGCGAGCCCTTGCTACCGTCGAGCATCGAGGATCGAGGATGTCGAAAGGCATCACAACACACATTTTGTCTGGGGGTACGACGCTTCTTGAAGAATATTGCCCACGGTCACCCAGGCATCGGGGTTTTGCTTGAACTGTAGGCCAGGCAGCCAATCAGTAGGTGTTTTGGATGGGAATTGCGGGCGTCGCGCTTACTTCTGTCAGAGTCTGCTGGGCTTGTTTTTGCTGGCGCAGAGAGGTGTCAGTTAAGAATCGTCGTGGAATCAATCGGCGCGGGCTTCAAAGCATAAATTGAAGCAATCACAAGCTTACCATGTCCCCTTTGCCTTCAAAGAAGGCCTGGACGGTGTTGTCCAGCTCTTGTACCGAAACAGACATCCCGCCGCAGAGACTGGCGATTTCGCCCTTTATCGCGGAATAGTCAAAGCACGGAAAGGGATCAGGTCTGGCGATCGACAGGGAATTGTCTGAAAGGAAAAGCAACTAGCAGAGCCGCTTTAGGACGTCACCGTGGGAAGGAGGGTGGCGAGTAGTGCGGTGGGGTAGTAAGAAGAGAGATCCTTTTGGGGGTTTGAAGAGGGGCTTGATCGGGATAAGCACCTCAGCTCTTTTTGGAAAGAAATGATTGGCAGAAACGCCGGATTTCTCCAGGAGCTCGAGGGGCAATAACAATCAGCAGGGAAATTATCCAGGCAAAGCTTTTTGAGAGACGAGCTATCACACTCTGGCGGTGAAGAACGCGTTTCTCTAGGAACGTGGGTGATGTTATCCCGGTGATTAGTCAGCCGAGCTCTCACCTGCCCGAGGGTTCCACCCTTGGAAGGTTAGGAAGGAATTCCTCAGGCCAACAGCACTCTCTCAAGATACCCCAGAGAAATACAAGATCCACACGTCGATCGAGGGATGGAAATCGGTGAAGAAAATAACGTATATTTGCAGGTAACATATAAAACTAAGAGTCTCCTCTACTCAGTATCTAAATAAATATATATTGTATAAAAGAAACACATTGATTAGGGGGAAAGGTTCAGTACCAGAACTCTCCTTCACAGAAGAACACTAAGAAGGGGTAAGGAAATATCATTATCTTTTGGAGGGATCTATGGATGGATGGAGGGGGTGTATAGTAATTCTCAAGATAACATTGAAGCCTTGAAACCTTAAAAAGAGGCATAGAACATAGTTAAAAAAAGGGGAGAAAAGAGTAAGCGATGCATAACCGCCCAATGCGCCAGTGCGGCGCCAATGGCGAATAAATGACGGGAACGGCCTTGAGGGTGTCGGCTGTAATTTGTCACTGGGCCCCACCAGGACACGGGGCGCCTGGGAACGCGCGCCATCTGCGGAGTGTCTCAGACCCGCGCAGGCCTCACCCTCCCCCGGCGCTTTCGCCTTCCGATTGGCGGGTGCCGTGACGCCGTCTTTGCCGATCGCGCGCCAATGCCCCCTTTCCCTCTTTTTCTGTCGAGTGTTGGGCCTTTTGATTTGACGGATTTGCGTTGGGCTCTTAAAGCGTTCGGATTTGTAGCGGTTTTTTTTTTCTCTTTTTCTTTTTTCTTTAATTAGTCGTGACCCCCCCTTCTCCCCCCCCCCCCCCACATAGTCCCGTCCCTTCCCCCCCCCCCTCTCTCTCTCTCTCTTCCTCTTTCCCTCTTCTCTATCTCTCCCCCTCTCCCCATCTTCAATTCTTGCAACTCCCGACAATTTATTGGTTGGTTGTGGCAGTGATATTGGTTGCGTCGCTAAACCATACTATCTGAACCTCTATCTCCTACCCGCGTCTCCGGATCTCTCCTCGCCCCACCCGTGCCGAGCGAGCTATCCCGCAGTGTGAGAGAAAGAACCTCATATAAAGAAGAGAAAATACCCAGTGAAGCTAAACCAAAAACCAAAAAAAAAAGGATTCGGGCAATTGCGACGCATACGATCTCCAATTGAGGATCAAACGTGCTAGTTGATCATCTCGCCCGGGGTGTCGTGCTCGGTGTGCCCCATGTGTCCTAGCCACTGACTACATCACTGTAAGCTCCTCATAGCGCCCCGATCAACGGAGGGGCGTCTGCAATCCCCCAAACGTGGATTCGGCCCCTCATTGCTAGCCCTCGCTCATTGCGGAGAAAGAAAGAAAGAAAGAAAGAAAGAAAAGACCGAAAACAAAGTATCACGGGTTTCTCTTTCTTCAGTGATGACGGCTGTTGCCAAGGCACTCGCGATGAACAGCAACCACGAATCGGGAACCGAAACGGGCACTGAACACAGCCCATCCCGCTTCACAGCTGTCAATGGCAAGGACTCGATGCTACCGGGAGCCAATGCGATGAATCTATCTAGTAGTGCTGCCGGCAATGGACGCGCGCAACAGGATCATTCGGAACAAAGTATCGCGGAAGCGACCGGCCGACCAGAGGATCGCCCGAAAGAACGAGATGATCTGACCAACGACCTGGATGAGCAATTGTCACAGAGATCTTCCTCTCAAGAGATCTCTCCCCACGGCAATAAGAATAAGCGGAAGAGGTCGGAGTCTGGGGAACAGCCAGAATCTGTCCCCAATCCCGAGCCGGGCTTTGGCGCTTCAAGAAGCCCAGCTCGCCGCCCCAGTGACCAGATCCATACACCCTCTCATCCGAATCGTGGCCTGTCGGGGTCAGGCTCTGAATTGGAGCGAGGCAATGCATCCGTTCCACCGAACCCTCGGCCGGATGGGACCTCACAGGCATCATCATCAAACGGCCCATGGCCTGAGTATGAGTCTCCATTAATGAACCAGGCGCGGGCCCCGCAAATCGATACGTCTGATGCACAGCTTGCCGACGCTCTGCAACGGGAGGCACAAGGTCAAGAGCCCGCGCAAAGAAATCCGAGTGCCTCTCGTCTATCGCCGGGGTCCACTCCGGGGGCTCATCCAGCACCCGCTACTTATCCTCCAGACCGCTCTGCAGCGGTGCAGGTGGCTCCAAAGAGGAAGCGCGTATTCAGCAACAGGACCAAAACAGGCTGTATGACTTGTCGTCGCAGAAAGAAGAAATGTGATGAGCAGCACCCTGCATGTGAGTGTAATATGATCTTCGAGCCTCCTATCAACTCATCCCTTTCCCCAAACCGCCTGTCACGGCAAAAAAGGGTATTGCTAATTATGTACCGCAGGCAATAATTGCATCCGCGGCGGGTTCTTATGTGAGGGATACTCATCACGAAGTACTTGGCAAAAGCCGTCGGGTACAAAAACGCCCGTTCCATTACAATCCAAGGAGGGCTATCCAGAGATCAGCGGTCATTACATCCAAGAACCCACCCAACACCATGACCGGCAGCCTATCTTAACAGAGCATGTCGACGCAGGGAAAGTGAGGCCTCTTGTCGTCGACGACAGTGACCGTTCTACTCAACAATATAATACTAGCCCAACGGCCGCGGTATCTAATCACGGGTCCTGGTCGAAACGAGCCTGGCCTAGCACTGGTCACACTACGTATGTCTCGGACCACATAGCTAAACCCGACTATCGAGAAGTTCCACCTATCCATGAACTATCGCGTGAAGGACATCCCAAACCCGATTACCCGGTGGTTCCACCTATCCGGGAGCTCTCCCATGGGCCTCATCCTAAATCCACCATGGCTCTCTTTCAAGCTGGGGTCGAGCCACGGCCACTTCCCGCACCGGCAATGGACACCAGTACTCCCCAGGCACAAGCTCGGATGGCACTCAACATTGAACACCAACTTTCCGGTCGTGCAGTCCCCGGCGAAGAAAGCGAGAAGGAAAAGATGATCCGGGGCGAGCTCTATCGACCGTTTGACATTCAATTGGTGGAAGAAAGGGATCGGTGTAAAGGTGCCTTGTGGAGGTTCAACAATGCCTGCAATCCGCTGTCTGGTGTGAGTTCGAAGGAACAGAATCGGCTGCTCAAGGAGATCCTGGTCCCCCCGTCGGGTTCTGTGGTCAATTCGCCATCCGGGGTTGCTGTGCCTCGTTCAGTCGGTTCCATCGGGCAAGGGGCGGTCGTCGAGGCGCCCTTCAATTGCCACTACGGATACAACATCCATGTTGGAGAAGATGTGATGATTTCGGAGAATTGCCTATTCGTCGACGACTGTCTCATCAGCATCGGCGCTCATACTTGGATCGGGCCCAACGTCACAGTGCTCAGCTCGATGGCACATGCTAATATGCAAGAACGCAAGGGCTCGCAAAGTCGGTATCAAGGTCGGCCCGTCACTATTGAAGAAGACTGTTATGTCGGTGCGGGATGCACCATCTATCCTGGAGTCCGCCTTCGCCGGGGGGCCTATGTCGCCCCCGGAGAGGTAGTCAAATCGGACATCGTGGCATACGGGTTTCAAGGGTTGAAGCCAAGTTATATGTGAGTGGGGAAAGGCATTAGCCTTCCAAGGTTTATGTGCAGATCAGTCTTGTTTTCTTCTTCGCGTGAGGGTGGATGGTTCCATAACCATTACAAGTGGACTCGGATGAGTTTTTTTTCAGGTCTTTGCTTTTTTCCACTTGTTGCTCCTCTGCAGTGCCAGGAATATTTGATTTGGTTGTCTATAGCTTTTTATGTACTCGAGCGACCCACACAGCATGTATATAAAGTTCCAACGTCAGTGGAGTGACGTTGTCTGTTCCATAGCCCTCGAGCTATATAGTTGAAGTTTAACATGCAGATAACATCCAATTGTCAATTAATACACACAACAGATGGATATGTTTCAAATTGGTTTATGAACAACGACCGCTCCTACAGCCAGTCGAGAAATTCCGGCACAAAGTAGCTGACCACAATGCCAGCCCCTGCTCTGAGAATGCCCTCGGTACTTTCAAACGCCATGGCCTTGAGGTCAAAAACGCCAGCCTTGGCCCCCGCATGGATCATTGCGAACTCGCCGCTGACCTGGTAGGCAGCCACGGGGAGATCATTGGCTAGTTCCTTTGCATCTCGAATGATGTCCAGATAACTGCTTGCGGGCTTGACCATGATAATGTCAGCACCCTCGCCCATGTCTCTTTGGATTGCGCGCCGAGCCAGACCACGGCCACCGGGGGGAGCTGGTAGCACCGACGGTCCCCGAATGATGGACAGGAACCAGCGGCATCTCGGAAGGGGCCATACAAGCAGCCGCTAAACTTGGCGCTATATGACATCAAGAGCACGCGATGTGCCAAGCCGGCTTCAATCAGTTTGAGCTTGATGGCCCGCACTCTCCCGTCGTTCATGTCAGAGGGAGCAACACAATGTGCGCCGGCTAGAGCATAGGCCATGGCCACATCGGAAATCCGATCAATAGACTGGGCATTATCCAGCGATCCATCTTCCCGCAGGATCCCACAATGGCCGTGCGACGTATACTCACAGAGGCACACGTCTGTTGTGATATAGAGCTGGGGAAATCGAGACCGGAGCAGCCGAATTGATTGGATCACCGGGCCCTCTGGATCATCGGCAGCAGTTCCAAGGGCATCTTTGGCCGAGGGTTGCAAGGGAACTCCAAATAAGATCACCGAACGCAGTCCTTTGCGGACGAGGGGGAGAGGAAAGGAACCAAGCGGTTCACGCCTCGACGATACTGGTTTGGCAAAGATGGTATAGGGGTCTCCTCGTCAGGGTTGTCGGTGATGAATAATGGGTACATAAGCATTTCCTAGCCAGTAGACGTTAGTTGTATTCAATGTTCAACACACCCAGGACTCAAGAAACGAACTTTGGTCAATTGGCGTTCTGCCTGCCATGATCTGCTGAGAGGGTGACTGTATCCAGCATGTAACTGACTTGAGATGTCACCGTAGATGCTGACACTGGTAGCTGCAGTGCTCGTATAGGATCGAGCGGTAGCCTGTGATTGCGCATGGGAAATTTGCGAGCTGCGATCGTCGGGTCGCGAGTCTCGCAAGGCAATATCAGACACAAGATTGGAGAAAGACATGGCGAATTGAATGGCTTGTCAATCAGGAAGAGAGGGGGAGAACGGGAGAAGGAAGGAGGGAGGAGTGAGCATCTCGCGAAGTGATGGGGGCAAAAAGGCGGGAATTCCAAAGCCGAGGGTCAGGCGAATATGGGGCCAAGATGATTGGTTCCTCTTCTGCCGTTACTTGACTAAGAAAAAACCATATTCGACCGAGTGATAACTATGAATATACTTCGTATACAATGAATTAGCTGTTAATTCTTTATTTTAATAGTAAATGATATTGGTAGTAATGGTGTTATATTTAATGTGATTTCACAGTATCAATTGTCACATCGCATTCCTTCGTGGTTTGGTATAGATCACCATGTCCCGAGGTATCCCCCTCAAAAATGGGGAGGGGTCATGTGGGCCTGGCATGGGGGCCGGCTCTGATTGTGATCTTTGATTCCCTATTTTTTTTTTTCTATGGGTCCTTTGTAGGATTCCCTGGGGTATATATACTCCGTCAGTGTAGAGGCCAAAGCGTGTCTCCAAAGTCAATCCTTTCTTAGATCGCGAGTTTCTGCAAAATGTATATGATTTTTTTTTTGCTCTGTATCAGTATATATAACCCAATTTTCTGTGTATACTATAACCACAAAGCCTGTGGACTACATGGGGATCCCTAGTGTCAAGGGTTCATGAGAAGGGTAAGAATAGTAGGCATAAAACTATTGGCAATGACATGAGATAGAGGCCATATGAAACCCAGGTATTATCCCTGTTCTTAGGTTCTAAATAGGCAAAATACAAGCCAGGCAGGGCTGTACTGAGTACTTTGTAGGATATACCTAGAATTACCTTATAACACCCTGATCACTATATGAGATAAGTACTACCTAGGGATGCTATATTCTTAAGATGTCATATTTTAAGGTCTAATGGAATGGTTCATCGCTGAGGAGTCTTCATGGCCTAGGCATTTGGTAGCAAGATAAGCTAATATACAAGATCTATTCGCGTTATCGGTTGACCGAAGAGGAGCAGATCAAGTAATGTGGGGGGATAAAATTTAATCATTGGGTATTGCTGACCTAGGAGCGCAATGGTGGGATATTCGATCATCCAAGTTACCTAACTGCTGTCAAAGTGCTCTTCCACTCGAGTACAGAAATATTCCTAGATCCTCTGGCCAATCAAAACATCCTCAAAAGCTACTTGGTAACTTGTTCCAAGAGGTAGATGTCGCGTTCCTTGATATAGCGACCGAGTTTCGAGGTTGGCTCTGCCTTGGCCATGACCTTCTTTGCCTCCTTAACAGATACCCATTGGTGTTGAAGCTTGTCTTGGATCTCGTCGTCGGTCAAGCTAGCGTAAAGGGTCAACCAAGATGGTGAGGCATGAGGTTATTCCCAACTGACGGAAGGGGTAAATCAGGTGATATTATATGATCCTGAAGGAAGTCGGAACTTGTTACTTGATCTACTCTATAGTAGAATAATCACGATATACAATAGAGACCTAGTTATTTATATTATTGATAATATATAGAGTTACGAAGATATTATATAATAAATTAATACTCTCGTATCTAGCTAGTAAGATAAGATTTAGTCTTAATAATAATAAAGATATATTACTATCTTTATTTCTTCTCTTTATTTCTTTACCTAATCGATAGATCTTATACTCTACTAAATATATTTTTTATAATTCTAAATCTTCCTTTTCGATTATCTAAAAAATAGGATAACCCTATAGATTTAATCTATTATAATATATTAGAGTAATACTCCTAAAAAGATATTATAAACCTTTTTATCCGAAACTAACTAGATTTAACTAGATAAAGATCTATAGACTATCTAAGAAATAATCGAAAAATTTTAATATCTATAAAAATTATAATAAATAGCTTAATAAATAAGAAATTAGATCGAATAAAAGAATATTATTAAATCTTTAATAAATTAATAACGAAACTAGGGTTTATCTCTTATAGAAAATAAAAATAAGATTAAGATTTAAAATATTCTAATATTCTTAATTTATTCCTCTTTTTAGTAAAGAGAAAAATAGCTTTTAGACCTCTCTTTTATTTTTAAAGAAGCGCTATAAAAGTATTATAATAAAGAATAATAAATTATTATAACTTTATTATATATAGAACCTATTTACTAATAAAGATAGTATTAGTATATTACTAAAAAACCTAAAAAAAATAATGAAATATTAATACTTTATAGATTTATTTTAAGAATTAGAGTCTCTCTTTTAATAAAGATATTATAACTCTTAAAATTAATATTATAAAATAACTATAAAAAGTAGATATAGATATCTATACTAAGATTAATATTATTAATATTAAATTCGCGGAAAGATATAAATTATAGAAGATAAAGCTATTATTAATATTATTTAGAATTATAGATAATTCAGGAACTCTTTTATATAGTATATAGAAGGTATCTATTATATTTATCAATTCTTAAGAAACTATTAAATTAGTAATTTATCTTTATCTTACGATTAATAGAGATCTTTATAAATAAGAAAATCTAATCTTACTTTTAATAATAATATTTATTAAATATTGTATCTATATTTTACTATAAAACTAAAGTTAATAGTTCAAAGCTACTAAAATTAAGTTAGTATTAATTTAGGAACTTATAAAAGAATATTAAAAATATATTATTATCTATATTATTATAAAACTCCTAGAGAAAGTCTAGTTACCTTATAAAAAAGATAAAGAACTAACTATCTATCTTTTAGAAATACTATTAGAACTATATTAATTTATTAATATTTTCTTAATAGAGTAATTATAAATCTTTCTATCTAATAATTTATAGAATTATATTATTAAGCTAGAAAATAACTATTACTTATTTTATAGATTAATATATCCTTTATTATAAAGCGAATTATAGATATTATAAATCTATATTAATAAAAATCTTATAAATAGAAGGATTAAACCCTTAAAAAGTCCTATTAAAGTATTAATCCTTTTTATTCTAAAGAAAAATAAAGGATTATATCTTTATATAGAGTATTAAGGACTTAATATACGGTAAAGAATCGATACCCTTTATCTCTTATTTTAGGGATTTTAGATTAACTTTTAGGAGTAAAATACTTTAGTAAGATTAATATCTAGAATATCTACTATTATATTTATATTTAAGAGAGCGAAGAGTAAAAAACTATATTTTATATATATTATAGTTACTTTAAATATATAGTTATACTATTTAGCTTAATTAATATTTCTACTACCTTCTAGAATTATATTTATACTATTTTATAGGGATTATTTAATATCTTCTATATTATATAATATTCTAATATTCTAATATTCTTATTAGATCACGAGTTATATACTTATTATATCTATTAAATCCTTAAAAGAATAAGAGAAATAGGACTTTATATAAAACCTTTAAAATATATATTTTATTAAGAAAGAGTAAAATTCCTTAGATTTATTATAGATTAAGATAATATATCGATAGATTAATAATAGGTTAACGCTATTATTTTATAGCTAGACCCTAAAAACTACTACGATATCTAAATATTTATTAAGTTCTATAATTTCTATCGATAATTTATTTATAATTTCTCTTATATTATAGTATCTTTAACTATATTATTTAAAAAAAGTAAGAATAGTAAAAAACCTAGAAATTACTAATTTATATTTTATAAAAAGATAGCGTTTTAATACCTAATTATAGCCTTTTATAATATATCTCTACTATAATACTTTAATTCTTAATACTAAATATATATTAAAATAGATATATTAAATTAAAGAATAGCTAGTATCCTCTTTTAGCTAAATAACTAAAATTAGTATTATCTAGTTACTTTTTAATTAAAATTATTCTCTAAAACAGAGTTAAACTATAATATATTAGATTAAGAACTTTTTATAATTATATATTTCTTTAAATATTAGAGATAGTATTTAGAAAGTAGCTAATTTATTATTAAAGTATTATCGGATTACTTAAACCTTTAATCTTTTATAAAATAAACTAAACTAAATAGAAAATAGATATATTAATATATATATCTTATATTATTTAACTTTATAGTTAAGTACCGGTTAAGAAAAATTAATCTTATAGATAGACTCTTAAAAAAACCTAATTCTATTTAAAGGAACGCTTTAAGAAAAGAATTATTTATATTATTATAAAAATAGATTATAACTAAAAAACTACTATCTAACCTATAGAAAACTAGTATTTAAATAATTATAATTATAGACCTTATTACTAAAAAGTCCTAGTTTAAATCTAATAAGATACCTTTAGAGGAAAATAATCCCTAGTTTAATATCTATATAGTAAAGAGTAGAAAAAAGTCTATTAATATAAAATTAGCTAATTAGGCTATCTAAGAAAAACTTATAAAAAATAAAAGAATATCCTAATATAAAATATAAAATATTTATAAAAAAAGTATATTTATTTAATAGAAGCTAATACTAAATTATAGATAATAATTAAATAGATCTAAAATAAGGACCTAGAGATATAAAAACTAAAACTATATTAAATTAGATATTTAAAACCTTTAAAAATTAGGATATTAATTTTAAAAACCTTTTTCGATTTAAGAATTAACTTTCTATCTTAATAGAGGAGAATATAAAGAATATATTTAGCAGAGTATAAGACCTATCGATTAGATAAAGAAATAAAGGGAAGGAGTAGAAGAAATAGTATATCTTTATTACTATCAAGACTAAATCTTATCTTACTAGCTAGATACGAGAGTATTAATTTATTATATAATATCTTCGTAACTCTACGTATCATCGATAATATAAACAACTAGATTTCTATTATATATCGTGATTATTCTACTATAGAGTAGATTAAGTAACAAGTTCCGACTTCCTTTAGGATTATATAATATTACCTAATTTACCCCTTCTGTTAATTAGGAATAACCTTATACCTTACTATCTTAGTAGACCCTTTATAGAGAATCTTAGAAAAAAACTACTAAAT